CGACAACGAACGAGTACTTGGCGATACGAATTTTGCCGCCACTACGGCGATGATGCTCCCAGCAATCCACCGCGACGAGGTCTAGAATGTGAGACACATGCAATCCACTTTCTTCTAGCGTCTCGCGCACAAGAGAATCGAGTAACGTTTTGTCGGTGTCCAGTTCGCATGCGCCTCCGGGGCCCTCCCAACAGCCGGGCATTGAATCAGTGAGTGCGCGCTGGAGAAGGAGGATTCGCGGGGGGGGACCGGCATGAGAGAAAATGTACGCACAAACACCAAACCCTTCAAATTCAGGTCGGGCAGCCACAAAGTCCTTGAGAGGGATGGTAAAGTATTTGAGATGAGGAGCAACTGTAAATGTCATCTTGATTCGAGATGTGGGGAGGAAGTGGGATCTGTCTTTGAGCAGCGCAGATGTTGAGTTTGATCTTCCGCTAGGCAGCGCTTAAGCGCTTGTTTTTGGAAGCCAAAAAAAGAAAAGAAAAGAAAAATAAAAAGAGAATTCCAAAACTGGTGGAAACATGAAAAGAGAAATTCGTATAAGAATGAGTTCACTATAGGGTCTTAATCTACGAGTTCTTTTTGGAGTCCACTTGACTCATTGTATTTCATGAACTGTATATGTATACTATATACATTCCATTTCGATTTCGATTTTCTTTTCTTGGTAGTCTCATGGTCTATAATGACCACAGAGGTATCACAAAAGGGACGTTGAAGGGGATGATTTAATGGCCAAATGTGTAATATGGGCTATATGAATCACAGAATTGGGATGACACCCAAATCATTTAGTTGAAGACAACAGTTTTATGGCCGTTCAAGATCACACGGCGCTCCGTCACGTACTTGACAGCAGTGGCGAGTACGTTGCTCTCCACGTTACTGCCGGCATGGGTCAGCTCCTTGGGGCTCATGCCGTGGTTGACTCGCACGACATTCTGTTCGATGATCGGGCCTTCGTCAAGGTCACTGGTGACGAAATGGGCAGTGGCGCCAATGATCTTCACACCGCGGTCGTAGGCCTGGTGGTAGGGCTTGGCGCCCTTGAAAGAAGGCAGGAAGCTGTGGTGGATGTTGATAATGCGACCGGACATGGCGGAGCACAGGGTTGGGGACAACACCTGCATATACCGAGCCAGCACAATCAAATCAATGTTGTGTTGGCTCACCAACTCCAGAATCTGGGCCTCCTGCTGCGCCTTGGTATCCGCGGTGACGGGGAGGTGGTGGAATGGGATATTATAGGTGGCCGCAAGGGTAGCGAAGTCTGGGTGGTTGGAAACGATTAAAGGCACCTCAATGCTCAGCTGGCCGGTGGATTGGCGGAAGAGCAGGTCGTTGAGGCAGTGGCCGATCTTGGAGACCATGATCAGCACGCGGGGCTTTTTCACACTGGGGTTGATCTCGAAGTTGAGGGAGAACGACTGGGCAGTGGGCTCGAACGCAGTGCGCAATTTCTCGAGTTCAGGGGTTTCATCTCCGCCATTTGCAATTGCAAATTGTGTGCGCATAAAGAAGCGCTGGGAGGTAGGATCTCCGAATTGCGACGAATCGATAATGTTGAGGTTGTTCTGCACGAGGAATGCAGTGACCGCATGGACAATACCGGGACGGTCAGGACCGGAAAGGGTCAAAATGAAGCTAGGAGCCATAATAAATGAGATAACGGTGTTGAATCCGCTTGGTATTCCTTCAAAGTAAGATGGAGAGGAATTGTTTCGGATTTCTTTTCTTTTTTCTTTTTTTCTTTTTTTTTTGTGAATATCCCACTTCCAAGATTGCCGGTTTCGGCGATGAGTCATCCGCATTGGCCCCTGCGGGACCACCCAGATCGGCGTTCTTTTTGTTTACTCTTTTGATCTTCATCGCTTCGATCTTCATCACGTCGATCATTTGATCATTTTGTTCACTTTAATCACTGATCTATATCTATCACTAGAACTCATTGACAACCAAAAGAAAAACATCCCGATGAGTCGCAGGATTCCTTCTTAGCCACCGTTTCTCTAGCGCGACCCAAAAGCCACTCGGCACCAAAATTATGCATCAATCTCACCTAACCAGGTGTCATGAGACTAAAACAGCATTACTTGACAGGCCTGTGCTCGGCATTGGTTCCTTAATCCCCGTGATTAAACCAAATTACCTTCATCGCGCTAATGCACCCCATTGCCCACACCCAGTGCGCACAGCTAACGCAATTTACCGAGAATTGGGGTAAACCATGTCCCGGTCTAGATTCTGCAGAATCTGAATAGTTACTACCTTGCCACGGATCCGAGGTATTTTCCTAATCTGGGTATGCTAACATATTTCATTTCTCATTTCTCCAAGTCGGGCGTCGTGCACAAAAACATGGCGTTGTCCCTGCCTGATTTGGAGGCAGGCCATTTAGCCGCCAATGGGTTTCCCATCCGAAGTGGCTGCATTGCTTGGGCCTAGTTTGGCTTTCCCTTTACCAAGCGATAGAATACTCACAGCCATCTCGGTGACACTAAGACCCAAGGCGCCTCCTCCAAAAAAAGACTTCAACTACTTCTGAAGCTAGTGGCGGGGTCTGGGGAACTCCCTCCGTGTCCCCGGAGTGTTTGTCGTACTTCTCCATTTGGAAACATGGCAGTCTATTGAGTCTATTTATCATACGGTCATACGGACCGTAGAGCCGTGGCATGAAGCTCCATGTGAATCCTCTGACAACCCTCTCTAGTTTCTGTTGGAATATAAAAGGACTTTGTTCCCATCCCAGTCTCGGTTTCCTCATCAATTCACCCAGCAACCAAGCCCTCAATTCAGTGCACATCAACCCGGGACATCATGGCTTCCACTCTCTCCTTCAAGGTCTACAGAAATGCTCTGCTTTTGGCCGCCTTTCTCGGGGCTGCACAGGCACAGCAGGTTGGCACAAACACTGCTGAAGTCCATCCGTCCTTGACTTGGCAAAAGTGCACCGCAGGAGGCAGCTGCACTTCCCAAAGCGGCAAGGTTGTCATCGATTCCAACTGGCGCTGGGTTCACAACACTGCCGGCTACACCAATTGCTATACTGGCAATGACTGGGATAGAACTCTCTGCCCGGACGATGTTACATGTGCCACCAACTGCGCCCTGGAGGGTGCCGACTACAAGGGCACCTATGGTGTTACCGCCAGCGGCAGCTCTTTGCGGCTGAACTTCGTCACTCAAGCATCTCAAAAGAACATCGGCTCACGTCTCTACCTAATGGCGGACGATAACAAGTACGAAATGTTCCAGCTGCTCAACCAGGAGTTCACCTTCGATGTGGATGTCTCGAACCTTCCCTGCGGCTTGAACGGTGCGCTGTACTTTGTGTCTATGGACGAAGATGGTGGCATGGCACGGTATCCTGCCAACAAAGCTGGTGCAAAATACGGTACCGGTTACTGCGACGCGCAATGCCCGCGCGACCTCAAGTTCATCAACGGCGAGGCCAACGTGGAAGGCTGGGAGCCGTCTTCCAACGATGTTAACGCTGGTACTGGCAATTATGGCTCTTGCTGTGCTGAGATGGATATTTGGGAGGCCAACTCCATCTCCACCGCATTCACGCCTCATCCCTGCGATGACCCAGCCCAGACCAGGTGCACTGGAGATTCCTGTGGCGGCACATACAGCAGTGACCGCTATGGTGGTACTTGTGACCCTGATGGATGTGATTTCAACCCATATCGCATGGGCAACCAGTCCTTCTATGGCCCGAGCAAGATCGTTGATACCGAATCCCCTTTCACTGTGGTGACTCAGTTTATCACCAACGATGGCACGTCCACCGGCACCCTCTCTGAAATCAAGCGCTTCTACGTGCAGAATGGCAAGGTTATCCCCCAGTCTGTGTCCACCATCAGCGCTGTGGCTGGCAATTCCATCACCGATTCCTTCTGCTCGGCTCAGAAGACCGCGTTTAAGGACAAGGACGTATTCACCCAACATGGCGGTATGGCGGGCATGGGAGCTGGTCTTGCAGATGGCATGGTTCTGGTCATGAGTCTCTGGGATGATCACGCGGCGAACATGCTGTGGCTCGACAGCACCTACCCAACCAGCGCCTCTTCGACTACTCCCGGTGCTGCTCGTGGTAGCTGCGACATTTCCTCTGGCGAGCCTTCCGATGTTGAAGCTAACCATCCGGATGCCTACGTTGTCTATTCGAACATCAAGGTCGGTCCTCTCGGTTCGACCTTCAGCTCGACCGACCCAGGCTCCGGCACTACCACCACCAAGGTGACCACCACTACTGCTACCAAGACCACCACCTCAACTGGATCAAGCACCACCGGCGCTGCTCGCTATGCGCAGTGTGGTGGAAACAACTGGACCGGTGCAACCACTTGCGCCAGCCCATACACCTGCCAGAAGCAGAGTGATTACTACTCGCAGTGCCTGTAGACGAGGGGCAAACCCGAGGAAGGAGTGGCGGTAAGTCCGAGAATGGCGAAGATATGAAACGATTGGATGATTGGATCGACTTGATTGATTGTTTGACCTTATTTTTGACTTTTAAGAGTTTCGTCTTGCTTTCTTTTGAATTGAACGATCTTGATTTACAATACCTTCTTTCGTCCGTGCAATATTCATACCCGTAATATGTATCGTGGTAGTGCCTTTCTGCTTGTATTCCGATACGCAGTGCCGGATTCAAACTAAACCCCGTCCCTAAATTGAAATTGCACTGGAGGTCACTAGAAAGGGATTATTTCTTCATTTATCTCGCTCAACGATGTCTCGAACGCGTATTCATATTGAGAATGCATATTCATAAGTCTTCGCCAACACATTGGTTTCTTTTTCTCAGCGCTTTCCTCGAAGCTCTTTCTAAAGCTATCTACAATGCAATTTCCCATTTCCCATTTCCCCCCAATGGATTCCTATACTATCATAATATCATAATCGGCTGCCCACTGGACTGGATCCCTGCCAACTGGAATTGTTGTCCCTAAAACATGTATACATGTCATTTAGCCGTTGTATCCTTCTATTCACATGTTATGACCAACGTACGTTTGGCGTTTGAGAAACCCAGCAAAGAACTTGCCGATTTCCGAATGATCGCCTAGGCCCATAATGGCAGACACGTCTAGTTCAAAAGCGTCAGTTGTATCTGATCATCTCACGGCCACGGATTTACTTACATTGATCTGGCCGAACAATGATAAGAGCACCTTGTGCCGGGTCAATGCCAAGATATTCGTATGCATGGCCATGTCCGTCGTTGTAACTCTCGTCGTCATAATAGATCTTGTGTAGGTCTAAATACTCTAGGTTAGGCATAATGGCAAGATTCAATGTTAGAGCATCCGCACCTCTTGTTTGGTTTTTCCCAGAGACTGGCCAAAAGCATTCAGGGATTTGTTCCAACTCAACATCATGACGCTTTCCATGCCCGATCAAAATGGTCTCGATGAGGCTGTCAATGTCTTGGTCCTTGGGTGTGAACGTCTGGATGGGCCCATCTGCCGCGCTTAAGTATTCTCCAAGCTATATGATGCATTAGATAACGGCCAGGTTGTAGGTTTAGTGACGAACAGACCTTGTTGAGCTTTGAGCGGTTCTCTGACACAGTCAGGTCACCTATGAAGGCCATGATGCGCCACCTACCATCGGACTTGAGAGATTTCATGAGGTGTAGAGGTTTGGAGTCACAGAACCGCACGACCTGTGCGCTGGGCAGCCGCATACCGACGGCCACGTTGGAGGCGAGATTGGTCGATTCCAATGCAGACGTGATGGGTGAGACCTCATACTTGGCCGTCAAGCCTGCGGTGTATTTCCCAGACTTGATGAAGCCTTCTTGAAACTCAGCAGGAGATGTTGTAGCCCCAGAAGAAAACAGCTTGGAAAAGTACCGGTCGAATGTAATCAGATCAATAGCCACCTTTTGGCGTTCTAGGACGTAAGTCTCTAGAAGTGAGGGAGTGGCCAGACCAGTCAAAATCTCCCCGAGCTTCCAGCCAATATTATAACCATCCTGTAAGCTGACATTCATACCCTGGCCGGCTTTGGGGGAGTGGGTATGGCAAGCATCGCCAGCGAGGAAGACCCGGTAATCCTTGTGAAAGAAATCGGCATGACGCTGGCCGATCGCATACGCCGACCACCAGACTGTTTCCACGAAGTCTACCTTGTAAGGGCGGAAGATGCTCTGTGCTTGGGCCTGCAAATTTTCCAGCGTCACCTCTTTCGGGTTGGTTCCTGGGGCAAGTTCAATATAGAACCTTGTCAGGTTGTCGCTATCGCCTTCGCGGGGAATAATCAGGATATTCCCTGACTTTGAGCGAATAGTAGACTTCTTGCGAATGTCTGGGAAATCCGTTCGGGGAACCATGTCCATGACACCCCAGACAGCGTCGCTGCTGTCTCCAATCATTTTGTACCCGAGGGCTTTGCGGACAATGCTGTGTGCCCCATCACAAGCCTAAAACACTAAGCATAATACCGTATATTTCGAAGATAATGAGCACCTACCAGTGCGTATTTGGCTGCAAACCTTTCTGTCTTTCCGTCCTTCTCCGCAGTCACTTTGACCGGATAGGTATCATGGTCCTCGGCAGATGTGCTATCAACTTTGACGTCGGTCACGTTGTAGCCATAGTCGATTTGTTGGTCGTTATATTTCTGCATCAGCTCGATGAGGAGTCCGTTGATACGTGCCTGGTTCAAAATAACGTGAGGTTGGTGTGATAGACCCGGTTGGGTATCCGCTGTCCGGCCTGTCCGCTTGATGGCGCCTGTGCCATCGTCGGCCCAGAAGTTGACCTCGAGAACGTGATAAGCCTCACGAAGAAGCTCTTCCCCAATTCCAAAGCTTTCAAAGATCTCCACGGTGCGACATTGCACACCGTCGGCTTGACCCATCTTCATGGGACCTGCCCGCCGTTCTAGTACCTTGCATCGTACCCCATACCTGGCGAGCCAGGTAGCAGCGCAAAGACCGGCAGACCCGCTGCCGCAAATGAGGACATCGACTTGCTCCATTGAAAAGTGATTTCGATGTGTCAGTAAGCGTCCAGCCTATCCGGGAACCTTTTATGGTACATCCGGGATGCGACCCGGGATGCGACCCGGGATAAGTTCCGCAACCCGGGATGAGTTCCGGCAGGCAATTGCGGGACAATCGGGAAAGCCTCGGCCTTGACCAGTTCCTAGGTAGCTCTGTTCACATCACTGCCGTTTTGATATGAACCCGTGTTTAATGTGTCTTTTCCGATAGTCGGGAGCGGGTAAGCTCTTCGGGAGATATCAAGTCTTTGGCCGGTTCTCTATTCATAGCTGGTTTCAATCCCTTTTGGTCTCTCATAAACACAAGGCGTATGCATCATTAAGTCTGGTCTAAATCATTATATAATGCTCATCCTTCCGCCCAAATACCCAAACCGAACGCCAGCGCCGGTGCAGAACTTGCATCAAATGTTACAAAAAGTACTCGCTGCGCCCTGGCCGCGAAGTTGGAACATGCCTCTGGTCATCGCTAACTGCACTAAACAGCTTGAATGTGGGTTTGAGATCCTCTCCGATTTCACAGACCGAGGCCAGGTTTCCGCATCGGTAGCAGTAATTTGGCGCACTCCACACGGTGACGACATTTTGGTTGTTAAAGTGGTATTTGTAGCCCTCATTCACCAACTGATGAGCGCGTGCGATCAACGAGAGATCATTAACATGGCAGAACTCATCGGCCACTCTGTCTCCGAATAACCATCCTAGGGAAGATTGTCAGCTATGTGAAAAAGAAAAAGAAAAAGGAAGACCTGGATGGTTCTTACCTGCTCCCCGAGGACTGACAGCCCACGTCTCTACGTCATCTGGGTCAGACCACACAAGATCACAGAAGGCACCCTCGTGGGGAATCTCCTGTGCGCGGGCTACCACGCGGACTTGGTCCAGTGTGCGAATTTCAGGGCTCAGGCCGCCGTGAACGCACAGCACCTTGCCGTCAATAATGGCCCCCAATGTCATGAAATCGAAAACCTGGCAGCATGCCTTCCATACTGAGGCACTACCGTACTTTTGGAAGCATTCTTCGTAGAAACCGTATACCTGGGTAATCTGGCGCGACTCATGATTACCACGAACCAACGTGACTCGATCGGGATACCTAGAATATTTGTAAGCATTGCTATCAAGTCCACCAAGTGCCATATGGGACTCACTTTGCTTTGAGACAGAGTAAAAGCGTTAAGGTCTCCAGACTGAAATATCCACGGTCCACGTAGTCACCCAGAAATACAAAGTTGCGGTTAAGCTGGAGATCTGCAGATGTACCGCTAGCCGATCGGCTTCGCGAACTCGAATCTTCCTCCTCATCATTGGAATTCACGGTGGGACCGCGAAGCTTCTTGCGAATTTTAGGGTCTGAGATGCTCGACGGGGGTTCGATATCGGCGGAAGTAATGACAGAGGGGGATGTCTTCGGGGGGTCGAGTTCTGTACCATCAGGCATGCCTCCAGAAACTCGGAAGAGTTCCAAGAGATCGTAGAATTGGCCGTGAATGTCACCACAGACTGTGACGGGTGTCGACACTGGTTGGATATTTGATTCTGCGAACAGAGTCAGAATAGTTAAGCCAAGTTCTGGCTAGACAACAACTTGCCCTCCATCATGTATTCCTTGACGATCTCACACAACTGCTTCATATGTGGCTCTGATAGATACTTGCAATCCTTCGCGGCCTCCAGCCACTCGTCAGGACCCGCATTGCGCTTAAGTTTGGCAGGACCCGGTTGAGGAATCTTGCTCTCAGGCATGATAGAAAGAAAGGAAGAAGTAAGGAAGAGAAATAACGAAAAGAGAGTGAAGAACAAGAACTTGTAAAATGCATGTCACGGAGAAATGCAGTTGGCGTTTCCCCGCAAGCTGAATTTCACACTTGGCCGCCTTGGTCTGCCGAATTGTTTAGGCCTGTGGCTTGTTCCTTTTCTTCTTCTTCCAAGTACTCAACGATGTCGTGTACACTTCATGGGCTATTGTTCTTTACCATCTTGTCTTTATTCGGACCATGATCTGGTTACTGACATACAGCTGGCCGAGTACGTCAAAACACAGCCCGATCAATCTTCCTTTCCGCATGGGCACCCTCGTCCTCTACACAAGATATTCCGACTCGTTAACGCCCCTTGCTATACAATAGAAGTCCTGCAAAAGGCATTCCTTTGACGTGTATGCCTGCACATACACATGGCTGGATCCGAAGTCACGATACGATGGAATACTCCATACGTGAAGGGAAGATACAGTTATGTCTCATCAGTGAACATATTGAACATATTCATTAATCATTTATATGCCGAACAAAAGCTATCTACACATAACCCATAGAAATCCAATCAACCATCTATTTTGCTGAGGAACTCAGTCACAACTTCCGCGAATGCCACAGGCTGCTCCACCATAGGCAGATGGCCAGCACGGTCGATGATCTTGAGATCAGCGCCACCACGTAGATCTGCGGCCATCTTCTGCATTGTCTGGGGCAGGACACCGTCGTTGGCTCCGGCGACGAACAGACCTGGTACAGTGGCAGCAGCCATACGCTCCCGGATATCGTAGGCACAGAGGGCCTGCACGCTATGGGCAAATCCCTTCAAGCTGTTGGTGCGCACCGCCTCCTTGACGGGCGCAAGGACCTCGGGCTGGGTCTGGTATGATTCCGGCACGAACCAGCGACGGGTGGTTAGCTCGGCCAACTCTTCGCCGACAATGGGCTCCTTGGTATCTGGATCGGTAGATCCTTCCTTCTCACAAATGGCGACACGGTCACCCCATGCCTTGCGGTTGGATTCGGGAGCGGAAGAGTTGGTGTCGCAAGCGATGAAGGCCCCAACCCGCTCCGGGTGCAGAAGAGCAGTGTTCAAAACGGTCACACCACCCAGACTGACACCGATCAAACGAGCGGCCTTGGAGGCACACGCAAGGCCTCGAGCAATGTAGCCAGATCAGAGGCCAGTAAATCGATGGTGACAGGCTGCTCACCACTTTGGGAGTGTCGGCCTCGAGTCAAATAGCGCACGACACGGTAACGCTGGTTCTGCTGATGAGCAAAGAAGGCGTCCACAAAACGATCCCAGATGTTCCAGTTGACCAGGATGGAGTTGCTCAGAACGACGACAGGCGCGTAGGGGTCCGTGCTACCCTCCAGGCGGTACGGTATTTCAACACCATCAGAAGTAGTGACGAACGACTCGACAGCCGGGCGGGTGGCCGAGGGAAATGTGCGAGTACGGCCATCATTTGAGTTCCAGGGCCCAACGACATCCGGGGCAGCTAGCGCAGTGAGTTCACGGGGAGCAGGGCCGAAGGTGTAGTACCACTCATATACGCGACGCTTCTTAGAGGTGACCACCTCGCTCATGAGACGCGCACCCCACGGCGTATTCATGGCGGCCTTGTGGGCATCGCCTCCAAGGCCATTAACGGGGGCATACTCGTGGAGAGCCAGCGATTCGCGCGGGGCGGCGGGATCGATCGCCGCTGTGACAAAACGGCGACTCCGGCGCCATCCAGGCACACGGGAGAGCATCTCGAAATGTTCCTCCCGGTACCATTTGTCCAGGTCGGCTTGTTTGGCGGGGTCTGGGTGAGTGGCAACTCGGACGGCGATAAGGACGCTACCCGGGGTCTCGGCATCTGTATCGGCTTGATCTTCTAGCGGGCGGAAGTTGGGGCTGGTGCGCTCATCGACTAGATCGTACAGTAAACGGCCGACATCGATTTGGGCCATGGTTTTCTTCTCCCGCTCAGTCTTAATCAAATCGGTTCTTAGATCCAAGTAGGTCTTGCGGGTCAACTCGTCCATGTCGGTAATATCGTACAAAGCCACATATTCAGGCTGCTCTCCATCGGTGGCACGGAAGCGAAAGCCATTAGTGACAAAGGGCAATCGCAGACGCAGAGGTCCATGTTCAGTATTGTACCAGTCGTGGAACTGGGTGTCCGGCAGCGAGCCCTTCGGCTGCATTGTCACATAGAGAAGACCTGGAGTAGGCATAATGAAGACTAAGGGAGTAAAAAAAAAGAATCCAATTTCAACAGACGCAACACAGAGAAGGATTCAAAAGAGTACAATCAAGACAAGACATAAGAACATTTTGATATATATCGGCTCTTAAGACTTGCCCCTCATCCGGGAGAAAGCAGAACCCGAACTTGACTGCCGATGATATTTCCCTTTCCTTTTTTCCCGTTTTTCTGTTTTATGTATCAAAGTACAATATAAACATGCATTCTACCGTAAATATATGTACATTTCATCTATTCTATTTTTATTCTAATCTCTTCAATCATACCAGATGGCGTTCATACCAAATCCTTGCTCGGGGATATCCACACGCGCGACGCGTGCCAGCTTCTCGTCACGCCAGCGGTACATCTCAACAAATCCAAGCTGGTCATCACATAGTGCAAGCCACTCATCACTGAAGTCACAGGGGCTGACGGCGTTGGAGTGACCACCGCTGGTCGAGGTAGGGTTGATGAAGAGCTGGCGCTCGATCTCACCATGTGGGCCGAGCTTGAACGCAGTGATATAGCCAGTCACGTCGAAATGGTTTGAGCGAGTAGTGGCGAAAAGGTATTCTCCACCCTTGGTGCAAAAAGTCACATCTCCGCGATACTTGTTGCGCGGGGGAAGGCCTAATGAGAGATTAGTTGCTAGTTTTCACATCGGTCGCATCGTCACACTCACCGGAAGGCAGTAACGGGTACGTGATGTGAGTGAATACTGGCTTGTGGGTGCGCTCATCGATCACGTAGACTGCCAGTCGATTGCCCGCCTCCATCAGCGCGTATAGGTACTTGCCGCTCGGGTGCATCTCAACCCAGCGGGGGTGGTCGCCCGCATCAGGAGCGTCGAGGCAATCCACCAGTGCCAATTCGCCCGTCTTTGGATCCTTGATGTGCGTCCAAATCTTGTTGGCTGTGAGATCGGCGGAGTACAAGTATGTCTCCGTGGGGTCGAACACCATGCCATGGATACCTGTGTTAGGAAGATATTCGTAGTTCTGGATGTTGCGATCCAGACCTCCGTCGGGCTTCACGGAAAACACATTGCCGTAACCGGCGTGGTTGTAGAAAGGGTTGCCGTAAACATTGTAGGGAGGCTTGTGGGCGGCAAGCACGAAGATAGCACGAGTGTTGGTTTCGCTGCTGGGAGCCAGAGCTAGCATGAAAAGAAATGTTAGCGAGAGGGAATTGTTTCCATTGACACCTTGGACATACGGTGACCAGCAACTGGGTGCGACACTTGGTGAACGATCTCTGTCGGGCTATTGACGGCGAAACTGTTCCACTTCTTCATAGCTGCGCCATATATCGCCTTCTTATCGTGAGAAAATGTCATCCATGAGATTGGTTCCGCTTCTGGGATCTCGGTCTTTTTGACCAATTCTAGCGTGAGGGCATCATCGTCAAATTGCACGGTATAGATGCGCCCGGGGGCGGTCCAGGTACCGACCATCAAATGATGCTTCATTTTGGTGGTTGAGGAGTGAGAGAATGACCGAGATATTGAGCCAGATGCCCATGAAAAAGCAGAACGGATCATGTATGAAAAAAAGACTTGGATATAATGGAAGTTCAATGTTATCCGCATGCGGGGATATCGGCATCGAGAGGCGGCACCCCGCGGGAGTATGTTTTGACTCCAATGCCGGTGGAAATACAATCCGGGGTAGCATCCAAGTATCTATCCCACACAGATTTCTTCGGTTTGAGGTCATAGATTTGAGCCTTGTTCAGTTACCCGTGGACTATTGCTCAGCTTACTCAGTTCGCATACCTCAGATAGAACAAAGTAGTAGGAGATCTCGAGAGAGATATCTCTGCATACTAAAACTACACCCCGACTCTAGCGGATATTGTGCATACCTCATTTAATTGTTATTATATATCAATTATTTAGCTGTCTCTTCCTATACAACCTTGGAAAACTGGGAAGTAAACATAGTAAACATTTCGAAAGGGAATAATAGAATCCCTCCGAGAAACACTCCCCACATTGGCGGGTAAGATATTTCCCGGTACGATATCGCCGACTATCAAGGTGCCGTTGAAGAGAAGATGCCTAGGTAATACATACATTAGAAAGTGGACTCTGATGTACGTGATTCAGCGTAGACTCACCATAAAAAATACCATCAAATCACTCGGAATCAATCATACACGCACCATGCGTCTGCCCTACGCCCCTTCCACCCCGCCTGTCGGTGCGCCCCCGACACAGCCGACATCTATGCTCGCATCGCGGAGCGCAGAAATCCCCGTCCTCTGATCCCGCTTGACCTCTCCCTCCTTCACAGCCCACCTGTCGCCGATGGCTGGAACAGCTTCATCGGGGCTATTCGGTCGCGAACTCTAGTGGACTCTGGTGTTATGGAGTTGGCAGTCTGCCGGGTCGCTGTACTCAACAACGCTGTTTACGAATGGAATGCTCACGCCCCATTGGCTCTCAAAGGTGGTATCAAGCCCGATCAATTGCAGGCCGCTCTTACACTGCCCTGCACCGCCGAGGGAGATATTGCTGGGCTTGAGAGTAGCGCACTCACCCCGCAACAGCGCGCCGTTCTACGCTATACCGACCAGATGACTCGCACCATTAGAGTTGAGGATACTGTCTTTGCTGAATTGAAGACAGTCGGGTACGATGACCGCGAGATCGTGGAGCTCACTACTGGCATTGCCGGTTATAACTGCGTGAGCCGGTTCTTGGTTGCGCTGGACGTCGGTGAGAACAATGCTCGCGAGATGAAAAGTGTGGATGAGGTGGTCGCCACTCTGCAATAGAAAGTGTCGTACGAGAATGAAAGGGAACAAAACACGGAGAGGCACTCTGGACAAACGATCTACACCACATTGAGATTGTTAGAGCCCTCCAGGCCTACGAGTATGTAAATAGTAGAAGTTTTGGCCACGACCAAGGTGACAGGGTGGCCTATCATAAAGAGCAACGAGCAAGAAAATGAGACATGAATCGATAGCAGCTGGAGCTACGAAATATGTGAGATATTAGTGTTGGTCTATAAAGGTGCAAGTAGATCTACAAGGATTCACTGCGCATGAAAGCGCTTTAGTAAGAAATCGGCCAGATTGACATACCGTCCCTGGCTCACGTCTTGCAGGGCTAGGATCTGCTCGGCCACATCATGCGCCCAAATAAACTCGGAATGAAAGTCGCGCAGTTCCCATAGACGCTGACGGAGCCACCTTTGATGCGTTATATCATTGGTTTCAATCGCTGCCATCAACAGCGGCCAGTGTAACCGCCGAAGGAGCTTCGGGTCAGACAAGAATTGTTTTTGACAGATGTCAATGATCCCTGCGGTAGCTTGTTGGTGGATGCCTAGAGGCAAAGCATCGACGCAGAGAAGCCGACGGTGGAGGAGGATCTGGGCGTAGAAGGTAGAAACGGCCATGTATATGGTATTGAGCGTACGTCGAGCGGACACACTACCCGCAAATCTCGCGGTGATAAAAAGGTCAGAGAATGTCTAATACAATCAGTAATTCTCTCCACATCAAAAGGGACATATATAACTGACTTCTCGGGTAGCGAGGATTTCACGGAAAAGGGCTTCTGCGGACTCGGCGGTACCAGCCGCTGACTCGACGAGGACTTTCCAAGTCCGGTGGCGTAGGCAAAATCCCACATGCAATAGCTCTAAAGCTCTATAATTTTCAATATCGTCCAGAACTTCCTCGTCGGGATATTGCTCGCCCCAAAAGCACCGGCCCCAGAGACGGGCACAACGATGAAGATGGTCCGGCTGCAAAGCGGGATTCCCAGTCTGGGCCACATAGTCGTTAAGTGAATCGGTAAGACCAATAGGACGGCAGCTAGCATCAATATACCTGTTTGGTCGTCAGTGGGAGTCGTTTGAATGACGGCTGGATATGAGCTCACAGAATCCACAACAACAGCTGCTCAGGAATGAAGGAGACCTTGGCCATGGTCCCTGTATCACTGGCCAATGTATTTACTCCGGGGAGCAGAACATATCATTCACATCTTTGATGCGGAATAATTGCGGGTGCGTTTCCAGAAGCGAGCGTACGCCCTGGAGGTGGAGTTGAAGCTAGACCATTAGCCGATTAATAACTGCACAGACCCCATTCAATGAGAACATTCTTACATGGCGAACTGAATGCCCGAACTGCCACTCCCAAGCTATCATCAGAAAAACAGTAGCAAAAACCGTCTCGACATCATCCAATGATACCTGGCGCGGCGTCTCGAGCAATTGCCTAAATTCTTTGACCGCTTGGCTGTAATGGTACCGACCATGATCCTGAGAGCGTACAATCAGCCCATTGCGATGCATATCACATGCGCTTAGCGCCAGTATCATCCGCATTATTATTCTATTGGATGCAGCTGGACCTTCGTAAAGGTGGCTATTTTTCTCGGGCGTCCAATTAGCGGGTAGTCATTTCTCACACGCATGAAAGCCTCACCATAAGCTGCTCCACTTCCATCTCTTCATGTAGTAAAATACGAGCGAGGAAGAAGGGAAGTACTGGAAGTATTGTCGATCAAGAGAGGTGAGTGTCAATGAATTGGCGCACGCGACATTGACATTCAAGGAAGGGTATATGGGGGTCGGGATTGGCGCCGGATTGAATGTATCAAAGGGAAGAGCGTCGGATGCCCAGGAGACCGGCGAGAGACTTGCAAAAAGGGCATCCGGTTGAAAGCCGACAAGGTCCTCAGCTTTGGGCATCACCCATGAGGGTTGTTCGGAGGTTTCCGGTGCAGGCTCGAGGTGTCGGATTTGCGTGCTTCGTCCACGCTTCACCGGGACACCCCACTCGCAATTGAGGCGCAAGGATGAACATCTTGCGCAGACTGGTTTCTCTTCACCGCACTTGACTTTGCGACGGCGACATGTACTACAACCTATCCAGAAGTGAGTTAGTCGGCCATGTAGGAAAGGATAAGATACCCTACCACTCTTGGAACGTGGTCCATTACGCCCAAAGCCCTGCATGGAAATGAACCAGCAGGGATCAACCTGCAGACATGAGCAGAACGATTGAAGACAGCGAATAGGAAGAATCAATAATGAAAGGGTATTCGGGATAGTGGACTATCTCAGTGCCGAAGCCGATAAGATAACGCGGGGAAAGCTGAGTCATCTGACGTCAGTCCGACACCCTTTTCGGGTGCGCTACTCTATTTGATATGCCGATTCTCTTAAAGACTTGACTTTAAGCTTAAGGGTGAGGCTTTGAATAATCTCCATTGGTAAAATGAATGGGGCTTGAAGTTGTACGGCCTTGAAAGACTATACATCTACTCCTCCCGCACAATCTCATCTTTCCATTGACGCCGCGCCAAATCATACATATCGTTCTCCACAATCATATCCCAACCGATCAATGCCAAAGACTTCCCAACGATTAATGCCTCAGCATGCGCTTCATCTGTTCCAGCTGCCGCTGCAAACGTTGGGTGATGTGGAAATGAAGTTGTAGGGGCGGGAATCGCAAACATTGTATGAAGCGTGGGGGTCTCGTAGCTAACATTTCCTACAATTGAAGTGCCACGTGTCAGTCCTGTCAATCGGACAGAATACATTCTGACCACATACCAATATCTGAGGATCCTGTTAGGACTTTGTCATGGCGCTTAAGAACATTGCGACTATAGCGCCCCATGTGGACCTGGTAGCGTTCACAGAGAGTGTCATTCAATCGGACATCGGTATAGAGTTCATTCCTTGAAGCAAGCATATTAGTAACCATTTCATCTAGGTAGAATGAATACATGGATACGTACTCCTCAATCTTGACTTGACATCCAGTGGCCAACGCACCAGCCTCAATGCAATTGCGCAATTTACCAACAAGGGCATTCAGCCCCTTCAAAGTAGGGCTGCGCACCTGCCAGAAAGCTTTCGTGTAATCCGGTATCACGTTAGCTACCTTGGGAGTATCCAAGAAAGCACAATGAACACGTTGATCCGGAAGAAGCTGCTGTCGAAGAACGGCAACGTTGTTGTAAGACGAGACCAGAGCATCAAGCGCGTTGATCCCTTCCCATGGGTTTCCACCGGCGTGAGCATTTTTACCCGTGTATTCGCCTATATCGGATTATGTTCATCAACATGGAATCCCAGAATTAAATCGGACGACTCACAATGAATATTCTTCCGCGCGTTCATAGGCGTTCCAGCTATGCCATCGGATGGCTCTTGGTCGGGATAAATCTTTTTGGGTCCAGGATGACTACAAATCAAGTCAGCAATAAGATTCCATCTCCATTCATGTGCAAGACCTCACGCCATTAGCGAAATGTCGACATTCTTGTAAGCGCCGGCATCAATCAATTTGGCCTTTCCGCCTCCGTTTTCTTCGGCGGAGTGCCTAACAGCTGGGCTCTACCAGGGATGTTAAATTTTCTTATGGCAAATGACAGCGCAAGAAACGCAGCGATACTGCTTGTCGCTATGAGATTGTGACCACAGGCATGGCCGATTCCAGGTAGTGCGTCATATTCTGCGTTGAAATTGACCAATCGCCCACCGGTTCCACTCAAAACCTCAAAAGAGGTTTCAAGCCCATAAGCGTGGCGAGTAACGGTGAAGCCTTGTCCTTCGAGGAAGTCACAAATCGTATCATGGGCGCGGTGCTCCTCGTAAGCAAGCTCTGGGTTTGACCAGATCTGATAATCATTATCAACATGTTATCCTTGCAGATTAAATCCTGGCATAAGGATGAACGTACTTGATGGTTCAATTCCCGCAATTCTTGTTGTAGTGCCTCAAGTGCGGCATCTGCAGAGGTCTTCACTTCCTCGATATTGATGGTTGTAAGAGTCATAATGTTTTAACTGTCTCCCACTATACTTATCGTATGGAATTGGATCCCTCTTTCCCGAAGGTCACCAAGGACTCTGCGTACCTGAGTATGAACAAGATTCAAAATCAAAACCGGATTGACGTTTGATCAGGTATTCAGAGTAAGAGGGGAAGGCAACGCGGAACACTATGCCAGACAACAAGGGTAGACTCACTGAATGGCGGTTGTTCTCCGCTATATTGGCGAGCTCGGCAAGAGCCTACGGGTAAGAACCCTCGGCAATCTCCACAGGCTAGCGGAATCCGGGGTATGTACGGAGCATCCTCTGTGATATAAAATGTTATAAATGGCAGTGGTAACAGGCTTAGCCAGTGAAAAAGTTGGGACCAGAGTCCGAAATTCATCCCATTCCCAAACTCGGGTCCGTTTTTTTCACCACAAACTTCGTAGCCCATCGTCGCCAGCACCATGCGTATTTTCTTTTTCCGGTTTACTCTCTTTGACTTTTACCGGGGTGAGGGGAAAGTGGGTTGCCGATGAGCATATATTGCCGACGTTGTTCCTAGGTCATGAGTTCTCTATGTTTTATGAGCAATGCATTATTTAGACCCCGTAGTTATGTACGTTGCATAAATTCCAGTTTCGCATTATGGCATTAATAATGATGAATATGCTTTGGATACAACATATAACATAGGTTAGTATCCATGGATAGTCGAAGCATTCAGCGAGTCATACATAGTAAGGCTTGGCGTGCATGCAGTCAAATACGACGACAAATCTATATAATCCCCCAGGGCCCTATTTTTTGCTTACATCCTGCCAAAGCTCCAAAGAAATAGCCCCTGTAAAACCAATATGCCAAATACATAGTCTATAGGTTTTTGTACAATGGTTTTCAGTGTGCATATTCGCACTAAGTATAAGAGATTCTGTAGGTAACCCACCAATTGGTGATTAATGCTCCCATCACCAATCTCTACCTAGGTAGGCTAAAAGGCATATAATATTTCATGTCCTATAGCGACGCTATGTTCATGATTGATGTTATTCTATTACGACAGCCCGCTACTCTGTCTCGACGGCTGTTTGACGCCTATCAGACGGGAATTCGAGTATATCATACGTACCTTGCTGCATTTTATGCGTTTCAGGGACCGCATTATCTTCGCTACCTTGTAACTACCATGTCTAAGGACCAACATCATACTAGGGATCATATATAGAACTCAACATCGTGTTATTTCTAATCAAAATGTGATCCGACAATGAGGCGAGGTTTTCGAACTTTTAGGGCGTTATTCGCCATATTAACAGGTTCTCCTGTAGATAATAAGGGACACCTTATACAATGTATATACAAAACATAGCATTTGATTCCGATTCAGATCTATTCGCAGATGGGATGGAATATAGGATAAGCTGTGCAGCTCTATTGTCTCCAATGGATTTTCAAAATGTATTGTCTTGCCTTGCCTTCTATCAAACGTACCTTCTTCAACGGTAGCAAACACATTCGCGTCGTTTCTGTTTGCAAATATTTCTGCTTCTTTCATCTCTGCTTTGCTCTCTGTTTTGCTCTCTGTTTTGCTCTCTGTTTTGCTCTCTGTTTTGCTCTCTGTTTTGCTCTCTGTTTTGCTCTCTGTTTTGCTCTCTGTTTTGCTCTCTGTTTTGCTCTCTGTTTTGCTCTCTCTTTTGCTCTGCTTTCCTCTGCTTTCCTCTGCTTCCTTCATCACTCCTTTCATCTTTGCTTCTTTCATCTCTGCTTTCTTCATCTGCAAAAATCCACCACCGGGAAAGTGCCATCCCAAATCTCATCCATTCACCCATAATGGATGGCAAATCGTCCGAATACCCTCGAGGTGACGTCCAGGCACTGCAGCATGTGGAGTATCCATGTCCTGTGTGCAAGGATCGAAGGTATAAGACGGAGCAAGGTTTCACTGATCATCTGAGAAACGAACACCACATATTCTCATGTTCAAAATGCGAGAAAATCTTTGCGGCTGCAGATGACTTGCTTCGACACAAGGTCGAAGCAGGACATACCGGGCCCCCCAAAATCAAGTCCAAAGTGAAAAGCAAGCCTGGCAAGTCCAACGACAAGGTCAGGTCAATCTTACGGGCTGTTTCCTCGCCTGCAATGGCAGACGAGTTGTCGACCCAGGTGCCAGAGCAGCACCATCCCCCACCTCGCCGGCCCCGTCGATCAACCGCCCATGCACGTCAACCATCTACTGAGACCCGCAAGCCACATGCACAGACCCGTCAGTCAACCAGGCAGGTCCCTGGATCACCGATGCGAGCCCCTCAGTCGCCTATTCAAGTCCGCCCAGCTCGAGGGCACTTCTTTGAACCACGGCCACGCGCTCAAGACTTGCGGCAAAACAAACCATCTCGACCACAAGGCCAAGTGTGCCAACCGCGAGATCAAGTCTCTCAGCAATGTGATGTAGTCTCTCAACCACGACTGGAGGCTCTCCAAGCCCCGATAGGAGTTCATCCAGCAGCCTCTCAAGTCTACCATGCACCTCCTCAGACCTTTCACCCACAAGCTCCAGTCTTGCCTCCATGCAATGCAGTGTCTCAGCAACCAGTGGGCTTTCCCCAAATCCCGATAGCGTCCTATCAACCACCTCCTCAGGTCTTTCAACAACACACTCCCATCGTTCAAGTTCCTGGGAACGCATACCAAGCAGTGGTGTATCCAGGAGGTTATCAATCGCGTCAGATACCAACTCAGGTCTACCATACACCCACTGACGCCTCTCAGACACCCGGTCAGGTTCATCAATCACCTGCTCGGGGGTCCAACAACCAGCTGCGGGTCTATCAACCCCCGCCTGGAGTCTCACCATTCCCGCTGCAGAGCTCACCACGAGCCCAGGAAGCCTTCCAGCCCCGGTTGCAAGGCTCTCGGCCCTTGGAACACTCTGGGTCCCCTACGCGGGACTCTCAACAAGCGGCAGTCCCCCAGTCCCCTGAACAGGGCTTTCAGTCCCTGGAGAAATCACAGCGCGCCGAGGTCTTTCGGCTCCCAGAGCAGGGCCCTCAGCAATCAGAGGCCACTCGGTCCGCGCAACAGGACCCTCGGTCCCTGAAGAAGTTCCGGTCCCCAGTGAAGTCATGTCAACAAGCGAAGCAACTTCCCCAATTACCGATGCATCTGTCCGCGCAGGAGACTACCCCAGCTGAGGAAAATGACACGGAAAGGCGGGCACAGGAAACACCAGCAACACCATCAACGGTCGCTACAACGTCATCCCATTTCATTCCCCCGACAACAACCAACCCCACTTTCTCGCTAGTGTACGGTGAAATGAAGAACCGGTGGACCGACCTTGAACCAGAGGAGCAAACCCTAATCCTCAGATACCTCCTGGGAAGGTGCCACCCACCGGCCCGTCTCCATTGCCAGGGTTACAAAACCCCGAAGACCATCCGCACTGCAGCATGCACGAAGCGCGGCGAGCCACACCAAGCGCACACTTTCACTGGCGGCTCGGCGCATCGAAAGGCCATTGTGGTAGGCTGTGAAATGATCGAAACAACAGTCAGCACCAGCGTCCTGGCCTTCATAACGGCCATCGACTTCCTGACCGGTGAGGTGCTTATCAACAGCTACGTCGCGCCAACGGCGCCCGTCACAAACTGGCTGACTCCAGTCAGTGGCATTACGCCCGAAGCAATGGACGCGGCGATCACGGATGGCAAGGCCTTCCTAACGAATGATGCTGCGCGCCGTGCGCTGGACAAGTTCCTCGATAAAGATACGGTGGTCATTGGTCATGCCCTCCAGCATGACCTGCGTGCTCTGAACTTGTTGCATGGTCGGATTGTCGATACCTCTGTTGTCACAGCTGAAGCTGTGTTTTCCAGTTTTTCTTCCAAGACAACGCTCCCCCGGATCTGGGGGTTGAAGACCCTTGCAAAGGAGCTGCTGGGTATCGATATTCAGCCTGAGTTGGCACACAATCCCCTTGAGGATGCCCTGGTAACCAGGGAAGTTCTGATCTGGTGTCTGCGTGGCCCTGAGTGTCTGAAGGCCTGGGCTGAGAAGGCTCGTAGCTCGTACGAGCGGGTGCGGCTTCAGAGAGGGGAAAACAAGAAGGGGAAGAAGAACGTGGAGAAGAAGGCTGGTGGTGAAACTGCCCCCTCGGCTAAATCCCAGGGCAAGAAGCGCCTCTCAAAATGAGAGGAGTTAAACTTTGGCCCCGAGATGGAACGGGTACTGAGGAAATGGAGGGCGATCAACGGGCCATCACCACACTGGTCATCATCCTTGGTCTGGCTATTGGTCAGGCTGGGGGTGGTTGGCCACTATGGGGATTGGCAGCGGAAGACAAGTTTACTGAATCAAATGTTGAAGTATGAAAGTCATTTGAAATATCTCTCTTCTTATATCCGTAGGGCAACACACCTTAAACTAAGTAGAAAGATAAATGCATGCAACACTACGTAGGAAACCAGATATGCAATTAAGTATTCTCATCGTTTGAAAAAACTAAATCACAGAGGAAACAAAAGAAACAAGAAACAAAGCAATATTGGGGATAGGGGGAATTAAACGCCAACTTTACAGAAACAATGAAAAGACAGGCAAAGTACAAGCACACAAAGAAACAAGCCAATAAGAATGAGACTGCTTTGAAAAGATCAAAGCTAGAAGTAATAAACTCGATATGAATACGAGAACTTCAGAATTCTCTATGCATGCATCAAAGCGCTCAGAAACCAAAATTCAGCGCTAAACACCTTGATCCCAGATCGGATACATAACAAGGTCGATAACGTGTTTTAAAGTATACTCCGGCTGGCCTGGCTACGACTTGTAGCACGGCTCGGATTCGTGCGACTAGGCTCGTCTTCCTCAAGAACATCGCTCAGACGCGTGGGGTGACGATGGCGCGGTGTCACGGACTCCCACCCAGTGCCAGGGCCCCAGCCGGCGCCGGTATAGTCCGCAGCGGAGGCCGGCGCAGGCGGAGGGATGGTACTGGCGGCAGAGGTATACGCGCCGTCCGGCATGTAGTGACCCTCTGGCAAGGAGTGGTCATACTCCTCGCTTCCCTCTGAAGGAGAGCCAGGTGGGTAGCTTAAAGAGTTGCCGTGCGGGTCGTGGGAGTAGTGGGCATATTCCTCGTCGCCTGCTTCGCTGCTGCCGACGTAGGAACGCGCGTCGGGTTCTGAGGTTGCCGGGCCTGGGTATGGAACAGTTGGGTTCTCGTGTTCATACAGTGGACCCGGGTAAGGGGCTTTTGAGGTAGGTGGGTCAACCTTTTTGGGCTCGATGAAAGGGTCCGATCCGGTGGGAGACATCGGCGTGCCGTCTTCGTAGTATTGTCCGCCTGTGCTCCCTGCAGACTTGCCGTATGCGTCGGTGCCCATGGCTGTGGCCGATTGTCCGCCCGGGTATGCGCCGTCGCGGGTCTGTGGGCGAGTGGTGTTATGACGACTAGGGAGCCCAGAAACCATAGGCACAACCTGAACACCCCCAACAAGCGTGGGCTCTCCGTTGCGCAGGGAGTTGGTTCGGTCTCGCTCTTCTTGTTCACGACGGCCAAGCTCCTCCCAGGCACGGCGTGCCTCCTCCTTGGAGATCTGGAGTTCGCGGCGCATCTCCTTCAGCAACCCCTCAGCCTTGACTTTGTCTTTTTCAGCTTCCTGGGCGGCAGAAAAGGCATCGGCTCGGCCTTGGCGTTCTTCTTTCAGCTGGCGGTTGAGGTCCGCCTGCACTTCCTTGGAGCGTTCCTGCTCAGCACGGGTGTCGAAGAACCAGCGCTGGAACTTGCGTTCGGAGGAGGCTCGCAGACGTTGCAGTTCCACCACCGCATGGAATAGATTGGCACCAGCGGCAGACAAGTCTGTAATCTGTCGAGCCAATTGCTGGCTGAGTGGATCACGCTCTAGATCCTCATTGTTTTGTTCGAGCTTGCGCATCCAATAGCTGGTGAGACCCTCCCAGTGTGAAGACAGCGTTTCCCATCGCTCAAATGCATGCGGAAACCCAACTCGCTTCGGCTGCTGAAGAGCTTGGGGAGCACCAGGCTGTCCTGCGGGTAGGGCCTGGGCGGATTTGGAGAAGGCACTGGGTTTGGGCTGACCTCCATTTTCTGCCGCACTCTGCGAGCGGCCGTGCTGAGGCTGCTGCCCAGTTGCTTGTGCCGGCCGTGACTGGTTAGGCATTTGCCCGTCGTAGCAGTCAGTGGTGCGGTCTGGTATTCTGATGGTCGAGTACTTGGCGCAGCATCTGCTGCTGGTCGGTAACCGGATGAAGTGACGGGCACGGTCGGGGCCTGTCCTTCGGGGCCCCTTGATGGTCGGGGGACTCTAATTCTTGATTGGGAGGTATTGTCGGCGGCAACGCCAGCGTACTGTTGAGCTTGGGCCTGGGCCTGGGCCTCGGCTTGAGCCAGCTGTTCTTGCTCCAGTTGTTGTCGTTCCAGTTCTTCCTGTTCCCTCTCTCGGGCCTCGTGTTCCGCTTTGCGGCGAGCTTCCCGATCCCGGCGCTGTCTCATTATATCCGTAGGTGTCCTCATACCACTGGGTGGCTGCGATGTCCCTGAGATGGGATTCTGGGGCACACGGGCTCCACCATTTTGAACTCGGCTATTGCCTGCAGGTCCAGCGGGACCAGCGACGCCTACCATGTCTGACATAGAAGCATTCACCTCGTCCCAGTCAGTGGAGAGCTGCAGCGGTCCACGGATAGCTTCCTCGAGGGCGAAAAGGATTGCTGACGCGGTGCGCGACGAGACTCGGGTGGTTCGCTGCGGCCAGTAAGATGTGTTGAGGAGCTGGTACGGGTCGTCGATTGTAGACCCGTTGTCGTCGGTCGCCGCTTCGGAAAGGGCCGGACGTAGCTCTGCGTTGCCACTGACTGGGGCGTGTTGCACAGAGACCGGGGTTGTACGCGCCGGCTGGGGTCGATTCGGGTGTGGAACCGGGGCACGTAAAGATTCTCGACGGTGGAGGGATTGGCGGACCTCCGTCTGGCGAGGGATACGACGTAAGGGACGCTGAGAGCCAGAAGAACTCGGGGGTCTCAATTGGTGATCGGCTGAAGTAGAAGGTCGTTCAACAGTGGGCTGGCGTTGCCGCGCAAAGGTCGTTAACGTTGATGGGTCGTAAGAGTCGTGGGCTTCGTCAAACGCTTTCGGGGTGTGTCGAGGCACCTCTAAGAATGGTTGGTGAAATCGTGGATTGGACGACAATGTGAGTGTTGCGTCACTGATTCAGCTGATAGCTGTCAAGGATCGCGATCGCAAAATTACCGATCGCTCAGATTTGGAGGGTTTACAGCCTCAACGGCTGTACAAATCAATACTCAATGCACAATATAATGCAATTGAGAGAAAGACAGAAGCAATTCGAAATCAGGAGAAGTGAAGGAACGAGAAACGGGGTCGGAGTGCGAGGTGGCTGGTTAATTGAGATGGCTGGGGTTTGCCGCAGCTCGAGCTGCAGCCCATCAAACGTGTCTCGGGGATGAAGCGCCAACCCTGAAAGTCCGGCTGCCCGTCAAATTCGAAGAGGAAGTGAAGAAGAATGAAGAATACTGAAGGAGGAAGCTGAAGGGTAATCCACGTTCAAATGTTCTAAGGCAGGAATGCCAGCGCAGCCCCTGCCCTAATTAACCCAAAGGCTTTGCTTTTTTTCTTTTCAGGGCTATTACGGAGTAGATACCTAAGTACTCCGTACTTTATCATGTCAGATCTCAATTCAGGGCAATGCCGTCAACGCGTCCAGATCATAACGTCGCTGCGCAACCAATTTGGGAAGAAATTACCTCAATAATTAGCTGCACCTGTACTGAGTCGCACGGACCGGTGCTGTCGTACTAGGTAATGTAAAATTGAATAGTCCAAACTTTGGAGCTATGCAGTTTTTAGATCTGTGTATGTGTAGTATACGTAGTAGAGAGACCAAGAATAGGAGCCTCTACCTAGGGCTAAATGAATTCGAAGCAAATTCCAAGGTTCGATTTCGCTGTGCCATGGTTGACTTGGAAGCTAAGAACCTTGCAATAATACCTGGGTACCTAGGTAGAAATACAACGTATAAGCTAAATATATAGTGATGTGTTGGCAGATCACTCTAAATTGTGTTATGTCGGGCAACAATATATATGTTATGTACTCCGTTGAAATATATATCTGCTACGGCTTCATCAGTTTACTACTCCTCAGATTATTTTATTATGGTCATTCGCGCGCTCTGTACCTGGGTAATCTATTCTTATCCACAACATCCATGAATCTTGGTTATGCTCCATCCGATCCACTGGTTCATTTTCACGATTCTTGGAACGAACTGCCTTCCCCACAGTTTGCGTGGAAAACCTTGGAAAGGAACAGGGGTTGTCTTTCCAATTTTCATTATTTTCAAGGATTTACTATCTACATACCTAGGTACCTACGACATATCACAGAATACATCATTCTACTTTTAACATGGTACAGATGTTGTATAATATCCATAGACATGCAACTGTTGCGCCGTTTCCGTTTCCCCGCAATGACATCGCCTGTAGGATGTTCCGGGGCCCAAGGTCGAAAGAGAACCTGGGAAGTATTCAGGTTGTTCAAACTCAACTAGAATCTTAGATCAAATAAAAAGGTGATACGAACGGATCCATGCCTCTGGACATTTCCAGCGCTTGAAAAAAAAATTCGAATAAAAAGCCGCAACAAGAATGCCCGAAAGGCCCCGGGTTTCAGTTACCATAGCGGATGCACCCATAAGATCTAGGCCGTCGCGGAAGCCCGAAGAGATCCGTAGCACCGCCGCGGTGAACCCCAGCTTTGAAGTGCACGAGGCGACCATTCAATCTAGAGAGGAGACCCAGGGAGGAACGGAGTCGATTTATGCTCCTCTCTACACATACCCACCCCATTTGGGGTGTAAAGGTGTAAAACAGCAGTAAAAGTGGCTAGAAATTGCTCCGGGGGACAATTTTTGCATGGGGATGAACTGTGCACAAAAACACCATACAACATACGAAGTGGGCCACTTTTAACCCTGAGTGATTTTTTGACTTGGAGATGACGATCTATAGTGTCTGTTCAAGCAAAGGTCCTTACAGAATTCCGCAGAGATGAATTGAAAAGAGCAAGAGTATTTCACTGGATAGTTTACCGTAGTCCACTGTCGCTTTTTCAAGTGAATTATATTGGCACTATTGCATACCCAACCCAGGATAGAAGCTATGTCTGAATGCAATTAAGCAGCTATTTTGGTACATTCCAGTTGTTCTCTATGAGTGCAATATTAATCTAGTTACTCCGTACGTGGGCAGTAATACATGTATGCAATATAGTGAGCACAGCCCCTAGCTACCCCCATTTCCAATACCTCAAGCCAGGAGGCCTTCAATACAACACCCCACCGTGACCGCAACGAGATAACGAGACACCTAAACAAACACAAGCAAGCACTACGGAGTACGGAGTACAACCTCAAAAGTAATATTTACCCCCTGTCCAAAGGCCTGGACCTCAGGAGCAAAAGGACAGCAAGGGCCTAGGAACCGGAAAATTTGATACCTCAATCGGGCCGGGGAAGGGCTTCCCGCAGCGCGGACGCACGAACAGAAACCCGCAAAGTCTCCAGAAAGGAGCGGAAACCCAGTACTGAGGTAGGTTTCAAGCATGCCTTGCAGCTTGCAGCCTAGCTCCGCGGGAGCTTGGGTGTTTTAGATCGGTGTTTCAGTTCCCTTTGCTTTCCTTTGTCCAGGTTCTTGGGATTGGGAGCTATTGGCCAACGGAAATATGTTTTGCAAGACAATTCCGGGGATTCATGAATTGGGTTCCTTTCGGAAGGGATCTGTTCGAGCCCTGTGGCTCTGGCATATTGAATCGTGCTGATCATCGGTCAATTATTACTTTTGATTCTGGTCTTTATCTCAATAACGTTCTGGATCGAGGAGTCCTATCGAGGGAAGCTGGGATTTCCTGGATTGTTGCTTCATTGCCCTCCTTGAAGAATTTCTGTGGGAGCTAGTACATGTACTCATGTACCCCGTCTAGGAGTTGTTTTCAGTCGAGACGCTGCTAACCCATTGTAAACAGGTATATTCAAAACTCTATGTGTCTGCACTCGACATCTAAGGAAGAATGTGACCGGGAGGACGGGAGGCGAGGGCTTCTGCAGAGGTTGCGTCCCCGGCGAGTTAATCGCTCAAAGGCCGCGAACAGTGCATGAACTGCATAAACTGGAAGAAAGTTATTGGGGCTGCAGATCAGGGGTACTACTGGGGGATGCGTCGATATTTATACCGACGGGCGGGATGGCTGCGCCTCGGCTGTAGGTATAGCGGGATGCATGCAAGTCAAACTTTTCGATGGAATGTGGGGTTTATTGACTTAGCTGAGCATCTGTCTCAAGTTTGTTTTGTTTTGATTTGGTCTGCTTGAGGGCTTGCAGCTTTGCGACAATGGAGAATAATAGCACCCTTGGGTGTATGTATACAAGAGCTAAACCATGAGATAGAGCTGGACCCTGCAAACACATACATTGACAAGCTAGAAGTGAACTTGTATGGTCGGATCAGACATTAATCAAAAGAGAAGACTTCCTCGATGCACCAATGGCAGCACATTGTCAGAGTTACAGATGCACAACATATGTGATTTGTCCACCGTCAGGGTATACGTGAGCTCCTTGGATGTCCGACCATCCTCTCTATGTTGCGGAAAGTTAGGATGGCTCATCCGAGTCAATTAAATCCAGGTTCTCCGTACTCCGTATTTATTAAGGAGTCAAGGCAAAGGAGAAATACGAGAAATAGGGAGAACTATATTCACTCCTACAAAGGTGCAACAAGACATGGTGTCACTTCTCCGTATAGAAAAAGCATTAAAGGTCTCTAGCCAGCCACTATTCCCTACTCCGTACTCCATACTCAAAAGCAAGAAATAAAAACAAAACAAAATAAGCCCATGACGTAGTCGCGAGCAGAACAATTTCCGAGATGGAACGTTGTGGCATCGAATTGTGAGGCTCGAATTTTAAGGAATGCTAAGAATGTCGAAGAGACCGAAAGTACCAAAGGCCAAAAAGTCCAAAGTCGAAAAGTACTTCTGAAGTACTTTGAACTGCCAAGTGACAGAGCAATAGACCCTAACAGACACTATAGAATAGACCCTATAGATCACGGCGATCGTTAGTGGCCGATCCCCGGGACCTCCGTGGACTTTTGATATCTCACATTTTCCCTCCCAGCCATCTGCACAGGATTTCTGCACTCTGCAGATGTACGGATTATTTTCTTTTGACCTTTTTTTTGCCTCTGACCTCTGAGCTGAAAATTATTTCAAATATAGAAAAAAAAAGAAAATGAGATCTGGTGGTACGAATTCCTCGTGTCACTTCCTTGGCTTCCAGAGCCCATATCACAGATCACAGACACACAAGAACACAAGAACACAAGGGGACACAAACACATACAATACACATTGTATTCGGGATGTTCTTTTAGTGCTATTGTACGGATCGAGTTCCGCGCGCCCTTGCTGGGGGACCCAATCAAAGGGTCCTTGCTGCAACCCCATCCCTACGGAAGGGGACCATGCAAGGTCAGATAGGTCATGATCGTCTGTGCTTTTGTTTACATTGTGCCATGGTGCATTGGCATGCATCTGTTTTTCGGGCTAGCCACCGGATCATTGTCCTAGGGCTTCTAGGTCGAGGTTATTTTTGGTATAAACATATCCCCTTCACCCTGGCCTCCACTTCGGTCATTTCATTCTTCATTCTCTTTCTCTCGTCCTGTGGCAATTCTTCTCTTGATCTGTTGTACTGTGCCTAGATCCTAGAGATCTTGCTTACTCGTGTTTCATTCTCTTTCATATTACTCGAGCTCACAGTCCCATGGATCACAGAGGTCTTTATTGTCCAGGCGAGTTGGACGTCTTGTATCAGGATCGGAATAGATCAGAGACTACAATCTGTCTCCCATCTCCCTCACCTGCAAAGCGAGGCTCATCTTACTACCCGGCAGGCCCAAAGGTCCTGGAAGAATCAAATCTCGATCCCTTCTACCTCGAAGAATCACTGGCTGCCACGCCATCTTGGAATCCTTACACATCGGACATGCGCAATGATAGCTTTGAAAACGAAGACCAGTACTACACCCTGTCCCTGACCCACAAGGACATCCACAACCCATCAGAATACGGACCAGATCGCTCCACACTTGCGCAGGTGGAGTTGGAGAACAGCTTGAGATTCCACCGATACACTTCCTCGACGGAGGAACGTAGTCCGCTGCACAGCAGCCAGGTCTCGTTCAGCTCCGTTCACACAGACAGCACTACTCCCGACTTGACGCCCAGCACTTCTTTTTCTTCATCCTACGATTCACCCAGCTGCCCCGACGCCGTCTTGGAGGCGACTCAGCAGCTTTACAAGCACGCAAACCAGATCCAGATTGAGCCCCGTCGCCGATTCTATCTGCCTGCCTCTACACCACCTACGTACTCCCTTCCCCCTCCCCCTCCTCCGCCGGTGGCTCCCCTCAACCCGGCGGATACTCGCCCAACCACACCTTGCTTCCAACACTCCAACGACTCTACTACTACCATAACCATGGGCTACGAGGACGCTACAGGGTCCTGCTCATCGCGGTCCCGCCGCCGGAAGCAGCCTCCTAGCGGCCTCACCCTGGCGCGTACTGCGAGTTCTCCCAGCACGTCTCGTCGGAAGCAATCCAGCCCTGGAACCCGCCCTCCTCTGGATCCTTCTATGATCTCTCCTCCATCCTTGATCAACCCAGTCACCATGGAGCCTCACATGACCCATTTTGACCACCCTCTCTTCATTCCCGCCAACGACTGCCCTAGTCCCGTTCCTAGTCCTGTGGCTAGCTCCCCGCCCATCTCCCGCCAGTGGACCGCAACCTCGATGGAACGCCCTTCAATTTCTACCATCGACGCCTTCTGTGAGCAGTCCGTGTGGGAGTCGGACTCCGATTCTGAGTCTGCCGGCCGTAAATCTATGTCTCGTCGGCCTATAGACACACTCCGCAAGGTTCGCAGCCGTGCTAAGCTCCGTGCCGCCAAGTCACAACCAAAACTTCATCAGGCTATGTTGGATGGTCAGACATGTGAGCAGTTCCCATGCATGCCAGAGGATATTCTTGGAGAGCCTATTCCCGAAGCCTTCCGTCCCAGCATGGACCGCCCCAGCACTAGCAAAGAAGGGGTGCGGGCACACAACGGGCTGCACACATTGCGCCTTGTTGCTCCTTCCTCCACCTCTCTGACCCGCTCTCGTTCCCGCAAGAACAGCAGTCTCAATAGCTCCGACGTTGACCGATCTGCAGCTGCTGCTTTCCAAGCTCAGTTCCGCCGTCGTCAGCGTTCCGACTCCCCCGAATACTCCAACTCTAGCTCTGACAAGGGTGACAAGGAGAAATTGACCTCGTTCTGCTATGACCAATACTCTCACGCCCCCACCAATGGAGCTCGTGAGCAAAGGCCTCTCTTCGAGCGGTTCATGGACTCCTTGCGTTCGTTGAACTGCCAGAAGCCCCAAAAGTCTCACAAGAAGACCAATGTTACCACCATCTGATGCATTTCCCCTCGGCGTTCCGGTTCTCTGGGTTCAATTTTAACGGACGAAACTATGCTACAACATACCGACTTTACCAACGATCCCTCCAACGATTTCATATGACTGTCTTCATGTCTCCAATGTGTCTCGATGATTACGAACACGTCCACTCCTGACGCAAAAATCCGATTCTGCTTCCCGCGCACCATGAAAATAATGAACTCTCCAGACCCGATTGTGGCTGGACACAGACGCGCCCAAAGACGTTCTCTACCTGCGATATCTCGCGCCACGAAACGAACATCATGCCTAGTCCTAGAGGCCATGAGGCCATGACTACCGACTTTTACCGACTTATGACTCGATACCCTCGAGCTAACTATCTTTAATTTTCCTACTCGTCATCTCTTTGCACTGATTTTCTTTCATGTCTTGATTGCGCTATTTCGCGTGCTGTATTACCATCGCTCTGTTTTATTACGAAGTTACTATCGCCAACGGTCTTCATTTTTATGTCTGACTGAATCATGTCCTGCTACCACTGCTACGACAATCATTTCCTTCATCAACCTGTGATTCATAATTTCAAAATAGAGGAATACGGTGCCTTGTGTGGTCTGTGTTTCTATGACCCCAAATCCGCATTCTCTGGATTCTTTTTTTGCATTCATCAAAAGTTGTTTCACTACCTCATGCTTTACGAATAGACAAAATAGAAACCATCACATTTTACCCCAAGCATGAATGGTTCTTTGTTACTTCGTTGTCTAGGAGATGGGCACGTTTTGAGGAATGCTGGACTGCGGAGTCCGGACGATCCTCAAAGGTATCTTGAATACTACCGCAACCTCCTTGAACCATCAATCCGACCGAGTAATGACGAGCATGTAACAGCAACTTCTACGTAGGCAAGGCATTGTAGTCCTACGCCATGCACGGGGCGACCCAATTACACAACCAGAAAGCCCTGGACCAACAAGGGTGAAGGAATCACCAAACCTTCCCCTAGACACAAACTAACACCCTCAGCTAGCTCTGCCTCTGAACAGTCAACTCGTCGCCAGAACTTGCACAACCCGTCTGGCCACGTATGCAGTGCGTCATGATCATTCCAAATGCACAGTCGCCCGCAGATTCTCTTGCAGCTGTTTTAGAACACTAATGTCTAGCCGCAGAATCGAATCCTGGATCCCGGGTCCGCCATCATGAGAACACTAATGCCGTACGACAAGTTACCTGTCTAATTCTCGATGCGCAGCGCATTCGTACGTTCCCCACAACGGCTGCACCGGGGACCCCGGGGATCCACTGGGGATGTGGGATGGCCTTGGATCGACATGTCGAGGCTGAAGTTTGAGGATTTAGGGCTTGGGATGGCACACGCCGAACTGACACTGACCGACAATTGCGCCAGTGTACACCTCTCACGCAATTCACATAATGGGATTGTTCTTATTCAAATACAAACCCACTAACGGCATCTTGAATACTCAAATATATTGTACACAGTCAACCTCGATATGAGGACAAGACCTATCCCTTGCATGAGCCGCGCCTCAACGTCCGCCAATAGCCACCATTGTCCGAGACCTTGTATTTCGACCTCGGCTGAAAAGACCCAAACCATATCATTTTGTCCACCTACAACATAATTTGCTCCCTATGTGATACAAGCTTAAATCAGGACTACCAATCTGATTCACGACAAAAAGCCAAACCGCGCCGTCCCCTCAATCTGATATCACAACTCCGTTCTCCTCAATACAACTCAAACCAACACCCCGACCTCCTAATTGCCACTTTGACAGGTAACGCTAGACAGGGGGTTCATTTAGGCTGGCCAAATAAATCTCCATCTCCCTGTGCCGGAGCCCTTCCGCGGTGACCTCAGGCGCAAGGTGGTCCACCGGCTGCGCCCTCATTGCGTCCCCGAGAACCGTCAGGTTGGCTGGTTTCAGATTTTCAGATCTATCGGAGTTTGTGATGTGGGACTGTAGGGAGCTCGATCAGGTACTGGGGCGTCTAGACCTTTCTGTTGTTGTTTTGTAGGTACTTTTGGTTTTGTGAGATGACTACTCGGGACGTGTAGGGCTACAATGTGTGACATATGACTTGTCGTTTCTGCCTCGTGTTTGACAGGCAGGCAGTTTGCTTTTTTGCTTTGACAAATCCAGTTCTATTTGCAGAATACATTGGATATAATCGAGCTGTTGGCTATCATCCCAAAGTCTGGCGAAATGTCTCTGAAACGGTAGAGAAGGTAAAATCGGATACCAGATCCAACCTGCAACACCACCATGGCAACAGCCGTGTCTACGGTAGTGTGCAGAGACCCCAGCGTCAGTGTCTTAGAGGAGCACGACCATTCTATCCCAAAGAACCGAGGACACACAGTCCGGACCGGCCTTCCGCCCCTCCCGTATGTCGCATCAACCTTGCAGTGGCAGCGGAGACTGTTCCAAGTATTTGGATACTCGCATGCCCGCGGCAGGGATGATCCCTGCAGCGGGGACCTAGCAGCGGAGAACCCGGGAGATACTCGACCGGTCCATCTCTGCAGGAACTTAATGCTGCTTTCGCATCTGCAAGATGAGGGGAGACCTTTTCCTTCCTTCGTCCCTGTCCCTGTCTCTGGCGGGGCATTGTTATGTCGATCTCCGGACAAATCACAGCCTTGTGTCGTATCCATGGCAAACACATAGTGCAAGCCGTAAGCATGTCTGCATAAATCCAAGACAACTTCAACTGTGCTCCACAGCCTGACCCTCGCCCTTGTCCTCCTCCTTCATCTCCAAAGCCTCCATATTCTCCTCCCACGCCGGAACCCCAACCCTCCCCTCCCACTTCGCAATAACAACATCCCCCTTCCGCCCAAGCTGCACCTCCGCCCGTTCCTCCTCCCCATCCTCCGCCCTCGGCGCAATCTCCGGAGCACTACCACCACCCTCAGCAAAAACAGCCTGTACATCCAGCTCCTTCAACGCAGCTTCATACAGCACCCGGAGCTGCTCCCTCTTCTGTCGACGCAATTCCGCAATTTCAGTATTCCCCTCCGTCCCCGTAGACGCGGCAGATTGACCCCGCACCGGCTTCTTCACAACACCCGGTCCACTCCGCTCCTCAAACCCGCGGAGCAGTCCCTCCATAATGCCCAGTACCGTGCCGGCGCGCATACCCAGCTGCGCGCCGACGGGGAAGCCTCCGTCGAAGCCTTCTTGCACGTGCGCGCCCTTGGAGGCGGATGTGCCGTCGCGGTAGCCTGCTGTCACGTGTTGGCGGCGGAGGCCCGGGAGGTCGGAGGGTTCGGTTAATTCGGAGGTTGCGGTTGTTGGTGGGAGTGGTGCGTTAAGGGTATTTTGGGGCGGGGAGGAGCCGAAGATGTCGTCGAGGGAATTGTCGTTGTCGACTGCGGGGTTGTCGTGAGTTGACATTGTTGTTGCTGGGGAGGATGGTGCGGATTGGGCGGATGATGAGTCTGTGTTTGTCATTGCCCAGATGGTGTGGGTTATTCCAAGGTTGACTTGGACGATTGTAGGGTTGGTGTCAGTTGGTAAGTTGTTGGTCTGGAGGAAAAGGGAAGAAAAAAGATCGCGGGTCGGCGGGGCGATCCGTTGATCCACTGACGTCGATGGACTAAATAGGTTTGTTAGGGTTAAGTGTAGTTCAGGTATTCAACAATAGCTCCTATTATATAGTCATAGGTCATATGTAGAAATTTAGATACGAATAGGAGGTAGCATAATATAGTCCTGGTTAATGTGCAGATCAAGGTCATTTACTTCGGGAATCCCCCTGCTCTAAGTGACGGGATATTTCTTTGCTGAATAGCATACCCCTCTTGATGCTTTTCTTTCTACCTCAAACCGCGCCGATTCCTTCATTCCTTCATTGCAGCTGGTACAGTGAAGTAGTCTACAATGAGCTAGGAGAAACTATGGAAATGGGAAAGCTAATGACGGCTGGCTTGTTCGCTGTACTCTTGGTTGGATCCGCCATTCCTGGTTGCTGCAATGGCAACTACATCTCAACAGAGGAGGTCTATCGACATATCCCTGATTGTCAGAACTACTCAGAGCAGACGTAAGGTGTCGGCTGTTGTGAGTTAGTCGGAGCGGGTCGGGGCGATCCGTCGATCCATAGAGCTACGATGTACATCGATGGTACGTGTATATTATCTTGAATGTGTTTTATATGACATGCTTGCAAGTCCGATAATAGGAATACACATATTGAGATACAAGTGGTCCTGCATGCAATGACCAATGTCTTGTTCGGCATGTCCTTTATTTCCTTTAGGCCCCAAGCGCATCATATGATATGCCTAAAGCAGTTAGTAACTGCTAGCCTCGCTTCCTCCATTTGAAATTCACTTGAAACATTCAAAGTAACCTGAACACTCACAGCTATGTCTAGACTCTCCCTCAGACTACTAGGGTACACAACCGCCGCCACCGGCCTAGCCGGCTACAGCATCCACCGTGGACTCTGCCATCTGGAAGAAAAGTATCCAGCACTTCCTCCCGCAGCAGGAAGCGGAGCCCTCCGCAAAGCACACAGCCCAGATACCCAGCACTGTGCATATACCGACATCTACGCGGCACAAATACCCCTACAAGTCATCGAAGCACGCGTCCCAAGCCCAAAGACACCAACAAAAACAGAGCTCGAATATGCCTGGGCTAGATCTGTCATTGGAAGCAAAATCCTACGAATTGAGGGCTCTCTCCTCGGCCTACTCACAAGCTTCCGTTTCACACCATGCGATACAGGCAACTCGGCGGAGGGGTTCTCACCGGATAAGACCACTGGTGCGCCGCGCATTCTGCTGAACGGTTTATTTCAAGTGCAGCGACTACCGGCCGCTGACGCAGATAGTAATGGACTACTGGTGTCGCTGGAATTGCCGGGCGCACCTCGCCTGTTCTTTGAGAAGATTGCGCGTTGGGGGTATCCTTGGCGCTTGATGTCGGGTGTGCGACATGAGATGAGTGTTTCTGAGCCGTTCCAGAGAAACGGGGGTGTATTTGTTGAGGTGCGATTCGCAAGTGCGCATGATTATGAGGTTGTTGATGGAGAAGGTGAGCTGGAGAAACAGAAGATCATCCCAGCTTGGGTTTTGAGGTTGCATCGTGGATATGCTAGGTTGGTTCTTGATTCCGCTGTTCGAGAGTTGCAGCGGGAAGTTGAGAAATAATGCTGCTAATGTGGGCTATGGGCTATTTGCATACCCCAGACCTAAAGTTATTGGACACATCGGGTTTGCGGCGGAATTTCTCAAGCCATGGAAGCTCTAGCGTACTCCCCTCTTACACTCCCCTCTTCGATATCAAGCATACATATACTTGACAATACTTAGTATTGAGTCTAATTAAATTGATTGCAACTTCATTCATTGCCTGCACTTTATCTACTTAAGAAATACCGCGCCCAATCTTATAAACGTATGTATCAAATTGATATACACCCTATTTACCACGCAATATCAACATTTCCCCATTATCAGGTCATACCCATTTATTCCTCCTGACCTTCCTCATCATTGGCCCCATCTGGAACACAAGCATCCCCATTCGGAATAATACTCCACGACTCAAATCCATTGTACAGATAGCACACATCCCAACCATTGGTAATGCTCCCCAGCAGACTACCCTCCCCACCGGAGCAGTCAGGAGAGCTGAACATGCAAAGATCATACCGGTTTGTCTCCGAGGGGCTCTTCCACGAGATACTCTTGACATTTGTTGAGTTGAATTTGGCAAGATTCAATACCTGACAGTCACGTCCTTTCGCGCCAGAGTAGTGGAGAATGGAGTATTCGATGTTGTTCACGGAGCTATTGCAAACCGGAGGTGCTTCACTGAGGAAACGGAAATCCCACTATAAAATATTAGCAGGTTTAACTACACGGCAATTCAGTTGGTTTGACATACGGCTCTGTAGGCAAGGACTGCGAGGTCTTCAGGGCTGGGTAGTGCATTCACAGTCCAGCAAGAGAGGCCAATGGCCATCAAGCATACGGCGAGGAATTTCATTTTGTAGTTGGTAGAAGCAAGCCTTGTGATAAGTAGGGCTTAGGGTCTGAAATAAGCTGGTATAAAATATTTATCCGAAATATTGAGAAGCGTAGAATTGCTTCTTTTCAGTTCTTTTTATACACCATTCTCACCCTAAAGTCTGACTATTTTAGTACACAACTGCACCGGCAGAAGCGGAGCCAGCAGATCCAATCACATCCATCGTCAGCCAGTCGAGACACCATAGGCTCGAGGGTACCTCCTTTCAGCTGCAGCTAAAAAAGCAGCTGAAACAACTTGGCCAAAGAAAACTCATGACTCCGTACGGAGTAGAGGGGTTTCGGATACGTTTTTCTTGGCATCGGGGGGAAAAGGGAAGTTATTTGGCTGCCATTAGACGCAACATCGTCAACACCCTTATTCGTAAATGTTCTTGTCGGATATGCTGCGGTTCGGCTCGTCCGGGCCTGGTCTCGGGGGAATAAAGGCGAGCCATCCCAATGGTGATTGTCTCGTCAACTCAGCATTTTAGCAATACGGCACAGGGGCACTTAATTGACTCAGGACCGACAGGGGCGGTCTTACGTGCAGCTTGCATTGTAGACTAGGGCTTGGTGGAAGACGAGCGACAGATTTCCAGAAGGCTTGAAGTTGAGTCTGACATTGCTGTTTCGTTGGAAGAATAGCTCAATATCCATGGATGTTTGTAGACACGTCGATTTGACTAACTGTGCGTGTTGAGCACAAAGACGTACTATAAAAGCTTTTGCATGTGACGTGTACCTCCTGTGACCATGAAGCTTTTTCTCAGAACGCCAAATAAGGTAGTGTACAGATAGTCTGGCTTCGGACTTGCCACTATGACGACCTAAGCGAAAAACATGAACATATAAAGGCCGAGGGTGAGATCTGTCCAATCAGTGCCTCGGCGATAGTAACCGCTACGCCTTTGACGACGGAACGCTAGGTTATTAGCGATAGGTTCTCGCCCGAGTGCTAAGTATCACAGACTTTTGTAGATATCGATAACGAAAGAGGTATACTTGAATACCGGTTATGCTAGAATAACGATAAGATTCGGGCCTAATATAAGCAGCTAGAAGATCAGGGAAATAGGACGTTGGCCCTTAAAGGGCTAGACTTCTAGGGTGTGGTGTATCTACTAGCCCGTGAGGCTATTAAAACCAGTTAGTAGACGAGGATGAGGGATATTACGGAGGTGTACTACGCTGGGAGACCTAGAAGTTTATTTTCAAGGTTGATATGTTTGGTGACATGCCTTGTGTCTGGGAATGGTCTCGATAAAACAACACTGAAGCGTTACAAAGAATGCCAGTTTGTCTAAATTATTTATTTATTCAATCTATGAAATATCTGGAATATCCCAGACAGAGGGTATACGAAGACATTATAGGCCGTCACGAGACACCAAAACCACGGTAGAGGATCTATATCAACCCCGCTGGGGGTTGGATGCCAACCGCCAAGCGCGGAGAGGCAAGTCCTGTAGCTTCTGCGCAGCCGGCTTGATAAACATAATGAATGTGAGCGCGCCAATGAGCACACAGAGGACGTTGGTCATATAGTACCCGTCACGGTCGATGTGACAGGTACCGCCGCCGTTGATGCAGCGGTTCTTCTCCGGCTCGAGGGCGCAGGAGAATGGCGTCGTGATGAGGGTGTCCTTGAGGGAGTCGGCAGGTGGGGGGGATGGTTGGAGGAAGACATGTCGCTTGGGTGAACATGTCAACGAGTTTAAGGACAAAGATGCGGGGAATGTTCCTCCCAGGTTGGAGACGCTAGAGGTTATATGTTAGCTATTGTGTGCACGGTTTATTGCAGGATGAGGAATGGAGAGCGCAGATAGTATGACTTACGTTGCAAGGAGAGTCATGTACGTCCCGCCAATGGCTGGATCGGCGATGCGGGCGTGGAAGGCCGAGATGGAGACGAACATGACAGTGTTCATAAAGGTTGAGAGGACATGCTCGCCAATTACCGTGAGCATATACCACATTGGCACTTCCGGGGCTGTGGGGTAAATCATAACGGTCAATTGGGCGAGCACAGCGGCTGCCAGTCGTCCGACAAAGGCCCAGCCCCAGAGACGCATTGCTCCGTAGTTGGTTGACCATTGACCGGCATAGTAGCCCAGCATGATCTCAAAGGGGAAATCAATCAACACGACCAGGGCCATGTTGTCTTGGCCAAAGCCCTTGTCCAGGAGCTTGAGACTGGTGACTCCGTCATTGGCCTGGAAGCCGATCTTGGCAATCAGGTGAATCACAATGATGGTTTGGATGTTCTTCAACTTCAGGACGCTCCACATGCTTTTATACACATCCATAATGCTGTCACGTTCCTTGGTGCGTTCTTCCTTTTTGAGGAAAGCCAAACCGCAAGTCACGATCAGATAAGCCCAGCCCCAGAAGTTGAGATAAGCGCCGAGAGATAGCAGACCGCCATCTCCGGGGATGGTTCGGAACCATCTGTTGGCAAAGTCCTTCGAGTTGAAAGCCAAGAAGACAGTGTAGGACAGGAAGTGGCCCGCTGTCAGTCCGACCGTTTGGGCGGTTGAAGCATAGGAGATGTTAGGCGGGGACATCAAAGTGATAGCCCATCCATCCACAGCAATATCCTGGGTGGCGCAGAAAAGCACCAACATAAACCACCAGTATGTGAATTTCCAGACACCCGCACCACCATCGGCTCCGGCCTGGACCATCATCTCCTCGATATGGCCGCCCATATAAATCATAGCCAATCCGGCAATCACCTGCACGGGGGTAATCCAGCTCTTGCGCCGACCAAAGCGCGTACTCCACACAGCGTCGACAATAGGACTCCAAAACAATTTGAGCGAGTATGGGTACGAGGCGAGCGAGAAGATTCCAATCTGGCCGTATGAGAGGTACGGCTTGAGCAGGAAGGGTACAGAGCCGGTGGCTAGGCCCATGGGGATTCCTTGGAGAAAGTATAGCAAGACCAGCAGCAGGAAGTTACGTCGATCGCTGCGTGGTAGGTTGTGGAAAGTTGTATTCGTCTGGACTGGGGTTTGGGGTACGATCGGCTCATTGTCGAGGGAGAAGCTATTTCGTGACATAAGTTGGGCTGTTCTTTCGGCTGAGGTTTCCGAGGAGGGCGTATCCCTCCTGCGCATTTCGATGTTGTTATTCATCTTGCCATTCGCACGTCCGTTTGACCCGGTAGCAACTGTCAGGTTCGCTTTGGAGCGGCGCTTCGAGAGGGTCGCGTTCTTGCGTGTCATTGAATGCAATGTTATGATAGGGAGGTTTCGCCTGCGTCAACTTCGTCCTGATTGAATCGAGGACTGAAGTTGGATATTATGATGTTGAATAGTGAAAGGGATGGATCGAAGGTTCAGTTTCGAAGGGGTCCTGCAGGTTTAGATACCTTGAGTATGCTGTATGTTTAACTGCGCCGAGAATGAAGGAGTGAATGAGGGACTTGAAAAGAAAGAAACCTCGAAAGTAGATGTTTGGTGGGGGATCTCCGAACCGCAGGACAAAAAGAACATGAGGCAAGCTGGCCTCTTGGCTGCGGCTGCAGATCCGGGGAGCCGGGGGTTCTATTTTACTAGTCTTCTCCGTATAGAAAATGGTCGACCTCGGGAACATGGACATAACACAGGTATAGAGATGGATCCGAATCTGATCTTTTGATATGTATTCTCTCTCTTGTTACACATAGAGTACCTAACACTATGAGGTCACCACATCAACACGGTAGACTGCAGGGGATAAGCCTAAAGCCCTAGGCCTATATCATATCTGATTTATATAAAGCCAAAATCTCGATATAAACACCTCTAAGGCTCAGTCTCTTCCATCTGTCCAAATCCTGCATAGTCAAGTAATAATCTAACAACCTCAGCCCAGCCCAAGCTTCTGCATCGCGTCAGATGTTGACATGATCACGTGCCACAAATAAACAACTCCAATTCCCAATCTCCACTATCTACAACATAGCTTACCTTCTATGACATTGCAACCTTGGAAGGGAAGCTAATCCCTATAGTCATCTGGAAGACCCTACATAGTTTTACAAACAAACATCCAAAATTAACAACAATGGCATCTCACGCCCCCGCATCACCAGACCCAGAAGAAGAGGAACTCGACTCAGAGATAGCCTCCATCCGCGCAGAAAGTAAGCATCGCAAACCAAAACCCCTAAATCCAAAAGCAGAAGCTAATCAAATGAAGTCCAAAACCTCCAAAAACACAAACGCATCCTCACATCCAGCCTCCTAACAACCGACCCAATCCAAAAACTCCTCCGCAAACAACCTCAACCCCCCACCACAAACCCAACCGACCCCCCTCACAACAATCTCCCCCCCTCGTCCATGCCGCCGGCGCACACGCCTCCTCAAACCACCACCGCATTGCCTTCGGCGCAACAGCCTTCCCATTCAAAGACCCATCCCCGACAGCCAATGGCGCGACCCTCCTCGGCGTGCGCATCGACGTATGCGCGCGGAATGGCCGCTTCGCAAAACCATACTACGTAATCCTCCAAAAGGAGCGAAGTCGGGCTGGTCCGGGCGCAGGTGGTGCTAGCTCGAAGGTCTTGAAGGTGTATCGACACACCGTGCCGGCGTTTATATCGATAGCGAAGCTGGAGAGTGTTTACCTGCCACGGCCTGGTGTAACCCGCGCCAATGGAGATGGGGATGGCGGAGGTTCATCTGGCGAGGATGAGGACACTGAGCCCGCGAAGCCGTGGAAGAAGGGCGGCAACTCTGCCCGGAAACAAGATCTGCGGGGATTTGTGCGCGAGCTTCGGAGGGAGCTTGTTGCATGGCATATGCGTGTTGATGCGGTTGAGTTCCTGCGTGAGAAGTTGGGTCTTGTTGGTGAGGGTGGGGGGCCGTTGCCGTTTGATGTTTCGCCGGATCGAGATACTGGGATTGTGTCTTTGGCTGCTGTTGCGACTGAGGCGCGGTATGTGCGGGTTGAGTGGGTTGATGGACGGGTTGGGCGGTTTAAGTTGTCTAATACTGGAATTGTGGAGCGGGCTGTTGTTATTGGTGATCAGGGTCGGGATAAGAAGGTCGAGGATGCGATTACTGGGGGTGGTGGGAGGGTTGAGACGGTTTTGGATAGGTTGAGGGTTGAGGTGTTGTCTAGATCACCTGGGTTATGAGATGTGTTTTTGTTTTGTTTTTCAGCAAGAGATACCCCAATATGAACTTTGAAGTATTCGAATCAAATTGAATTTGAAATTTGCAGCTAAGTCCAATCTTATAAACAGGCCTGGTATGTCTATTCAATGGTCCCCGCCAAATGCTATGCAATCATGAGACCAAAAATCCGCCGCAATGCGTGTATGTGTATGTGCGCGTCAATCCAAAAGACTTCAAAATTATTACAAGGAGGGTAAGGGCATAACAGGGACAGAAGAAGGGGTTATTAAAAGGGTATGTTGAATAAATGTCATGTCATCGTCTCCGGTTAGTGAGGCACACAATCCTGGCTGGGATGGATTGTATCCGGGGTTGAAGAAGTTTCAAGTGGTGAGTGTTCCGCAATATCAACGGGGCTATTGGAGGTGCTGAAACTGACAAGCGGCAAAGGACCATATGACTGGCCATGTCGCACCTCGAGATGCCGACGTAGGATAGCCTCTTCCAAATACCAGCGGCGCTGCAAAGTTGTCTTTTTCATCTCCAAGTCCTGCATGAGGGAGGATTCTTCTCGCTGATGCTCGGCTTGCAAGGCAGCAACAACCTGGGTGTGTCGTTTACACATTTCATCCAGTTCCTTTTGCATACGCGCCGTGGCTTCTTGCAGCTTAAGTTCTTGGCGGTCACGGAGGACTTTGATGCGGGCGTCGTGGAGCTGGTCCATGCTCTTGTGGGAGTGGTATTGTTGTTCTAGTTGCTCCATGTGTTGGCGAGTGAGCACACGGGCTGGCGGGGTCGAGTCGGACTCCGAGAATGATTCTGACGATCGTGCGGATCGTTCAGCTCTGGTCGGTGTTCCAGCGGGAGATGGCGGTGGGCTGGCATTGCGGAGATACCCCTCCATATGCTTGATGCGAGTGCGCGAGTTCATTTTGGCTCGATCGAACTCGCGTTGCTGTTCGATCTCCACCGCCAACTGTCGCTCTTCAATTTGGACTATGGCCTGGATGTTCTGTACAAGCGCTTGTTAGCCTAGAAAAGTGATAACAATAGAATCTTGTAACCCGAACCTTCTCGCGTTTCTCATCCTCCTGACGCTGGTTGTCAGACTGGTGCTCTGAAATAGCGGTCTGGTGCCGACGCCGGAGGGTACTTAGAGCGGCGTCGTGGAAAGCGAGATGTCGGTTCCTTTCCATTTGATGCCGCTCGTGCATCTCACTTAGCTCCGGATCGTCCAGGCTTCTTTGTAATTCCTCTTTACTGAACCGAGGAATTTCCAACCTTGGAAGCGAGACCTCATCACTCGCATGGAGCGGAACATCCTCATGGGCAGCATTGTCAGGTCCTGGTGTAGGCTCGAAGAAAACATGTTCAACGCCTTTGTCGCTTGTGGATACAGCTATGCGCCCATCCGAAGGCAAGACAATGGCCGAGGACGTGCGCTTCTTGCGGAAATGAATCCTCCCAATGGCAGACTTCAAGCTGCTCCGTCGCTTCTCCTTTTTGTCGGCAGAGGCGATGCTAAGAATCGAATGCCGGTGCGACCTGGCCTCGAACGCATCATTATACCCGTGTCCAATAATACCCGTTTTCCCCTCACTGGAGCAAAACGAGGTCGGGCGCGTAGACAGAGAAGCCAGCGATCGCGTACTGCCGGCCTTAATGTGATCTGATGAAAGTGTGACATCCGACAGCGACGACACGATCTGGTCGAGCACGGATGGGACGGGGACGACGGCTCGTGGGACGGAGTGAGGGAGCCGCACACCGAATTCCGATCGGTCGATGATCCAGAAGACAGGACTGGTGAGGAGAGATCGACCATTCCTGAGGCGATCGAGGCAGCTAACGGCGCAGATACTTCGATCTCTGGCACTTTCAGACCCAGTTGTTCGGCTTCTTCGGCTAGTTGTTGCGCCTGCGCTGCTTCGGATTCCGGTGAGGGGAGGTGAAGGACATCGATGCGATATTGGGCCTCATCGAAGATGGGCCCCGCGCTTGACTCCATTGTATGTACAGTTATAGGAGGTGGTGTTTGGCGCCTAGCCAGCGGGCGCACATGAAAGCCAAGGACAGGTAGAGCTAAGAATAATATTCGTCCACATGGACGCGTTCTATGACGGCATCCAAGGGATTGTCAAGGAGGGGTTGTAAGGACAGTATGAGAAGTGAAGGTGTGGAGGTAAGAGGGTCAAAGCTACTGTGTACAACAAAAGGGGCCAGAAAGAAAGGGGAAACAAAGACCAGTTGGCGGTCTTTTCATTTCCTCATGTTTTGTCGTTTTAGGAAATTTCTGGTAAAAAAAAAAAGAATAATCAAACTGACCCACGGATGGCCCTGACGCAATCCCTGGTTCTACTACGGGACAATGGGGTTTATTTTGAAACGGCTAAGCTTGACGGCTTGGGGATACTGTAAGAGAAAGAGATGATAACTCTTTATATACTACATCATCTGTATTTACATATGTCATAGGTTATATAATGAATCCGGAGATTTATCAAACGGTACCAATAGACATCTCGGCATTTGTTAGATAGCCCTGCGCCAACCTGCATTTCCAACTCTATACTTGATCCCTGGAAAACACCCCCTTGACCAAACCCCTCGATTTTGGCCATATTAGGAAAGTAGGGCTTAGGGCTATGGAAATAACCTCGGCCTCATGGAAGTGCGGATCATGCCATACATCATGCCAAGAACACGAGATATCAGGAGATGTAGACGGGCGCATCCACCTCCATATAAGACTAGCTCACTACTTGTTCAACATATCGAACGCCAGTTGATAAGCTCGCTCTTTAGCCTGGTATTGTGGAGTTCCGACCCTCGCGTTCTTATCCCATCCATGGCTACACCCCTGCATGCGCTCACTGACCACATGCCAGCCTTGCAATTTCTTGATCTTTTGGGCCAGTTCCTCTCCTTCAAGCGCGAGGGTATCACCATCTGCGGTGATCATAAGAACACGTTGTGGGAATCGATCTGCCTGGGCGTAATACGGCGAAATGCGCGGGTCTCGCTTGTCGAAGGATGAGGGTATATAGCAGCTGTCGAAGAGGCGCATGACAGGAAGAGGAATTACAAATTCACCACGGGCCGGGGCGATCTTCGAAGCAGGATCAGGACTTAGATCGGTCACGGGATAGATTGCTAGCAAGGAGCGGAACGTATCGCGAGGGAAGAGGGTTGATGCAGCTGCCAGCGCGAGGTTGCCCCCAGCACTAAATCCAGATATAGATACACGAGTTAAGTCGAATTCATCTGGGCGTGTGAACACATATTTGACGGCGTCTTCCACATCGTTCAGCGCGGCGGGGAACGGGTGTTCTGGTGCCAGACGATAGGGGATGTCCAAGACAGTATGTTTGGTTTCATGACTGATCCGTCGACAAAACTCGTCGTCGCCACCATGGAGGGGTAGCACGAAGCCACTTCCGTGAAAGTTGAGGAGGACAGGTGATGGGCCTGAGCCAGAAGGCTGATACAGGTGAACCTTGATGGTTCGACCAGCATCCCTGGACTTGATATGGCGAATCTCATCTGGGCTAGCGGATACATTTCTAGCAAAGTACATGAATGTCCGAATGATAATGGCGAAGCATCTATTGTAATAATATATGAGAATATCCATGGTTGGCGTGGGAGGATGTAGCATGTTGAAGTCGGGCCTGAGCCGAGGCCTGGGGTTAAGGATGCCACTGCTGATCTCCACCCGCTTCTACGGAGTGGTCTACGCTGACTTGCGGAGCCTAGCCCGGAGCGACTAACTTGGAATCGACTAACATGTGTTATTTCTCGAGTCTAATATACAATCTATCCAATCATAGTCAGTAAAGACCATCTACAATATAACGAAGACGATATTTATACACAAATTCCAAGGCACTTACGCACTATACAGTGTAACTTTTCCCGACAACAGAACTGACTGGGGTTACCTTACTCAGACTGACTGACACTGACACTTTGTATCTGCCAGTCTGTAAATATTCTACTTCTATAATTTATTGTGAACCAAGCCAATGTTCTGGTGCGTCGACATATCCCCCCGCTCGTGGTGGTATTGAATCTCCTATCAATAAGCTCTGAATTCCCCGCATTAGGAAAATTCCACGCAGAGCCTCATTGCCTTCCACGCACCTTGGCTGCCAATCAAAATGACCGCCTGCCGTCGTCACGCTCGACTCCAACGCCCATCGCCATCGCATCTATTGTTTCTGGGAAACACCTTTTTGGAGCCCCACTTGCCCCGGAAACAACCACTCTAGTTTATAAAGTCATCATTCTCTTGTTTAATCAGTCGAAAGACTACCTACTGAGCCGGACAGGAGCACTGAGAGATCTCCGTCCCAACATCGCAATCTACACGCAATTTACAGGATGTCAATCAAAGTCGACCCCGTCGACACTAATTTCACGGTATTCATACGCTTACCATTTCCCAGAGGCGACTTCGTCGACCCGCCGCCTGTAAGTCTCCCCAAGAGGAACTTCTCAAGCATCCACTGACGTAAATAGGTGGAATGGAATGCGTCCAAAGACCAAGCGCTATGGGATATTCTTTCTCGGCCATCTAAAGGTGACATAGACTGTATGTATTGCTTTTGTTTCAACTATTTCCTTTGCCTTCTTTGCTTCGCGTTGCTTTGACATCGCTGACATCACCACAGGGAAAGCTCTGTAACAGCACTCTGCCCCAAGCACCTTCAAGCCGAGGGATGCTAACATGGTTGGTTTAGGGCAGAGAACTTCGACGTCACCTTGCAGTTTCTTCTTCAGCAGGCGGCATGGCTCTACGATCGCCAACTGTCGCAGGTTCGGGCTCAAATGCGCAAGGTCGGCACTACGCAGTCGACCTCCCCTTCCCCAGCTCTAGGTTCTGTTTCTGGTAGTGCGGCCTTGAATGGACAGCCGCAGAAGAAACGGCAGCAACAGGTATATCCGGTGCTTGCTTTATATTCAGTATGGTCTGAGGCTGATGATCAATAGGTTCTCGGGCGCCATCACGGCAAGTATCTCAACAGAAAGATATCCCTCTACGAGGTATGGACCGAAACCCTACTCGTCGTCCTACAGGGCATTTGATACCGCCGGGGATCGAACGCATTTGACATTGACTACAGCCCCTGAAAACCGACGTACGAGCTTTACATCAACTACGGCTACTAACCCCACTCGCGGATCTCGGGACCCTACGCGCACCGGCACGCCGACAATCGAGGACAAAGAATCACGGTGGGATTCTTTTGGTCGTCGGCCTTCAGCTGTGAGACGAGAACAGCCACCCGTCGTATCTTTGCCCCGATCTCCACCCCTTGAGGAAGAGCCCCTATCCTCAAGCTCCTCAGAAGAATCAGGATCCGACGATGAGGACACCACCAGACGTGCACCCCTGTTCAAACGGTTTGGCAAATTTTCTACCCAGCGCTCAGGTCTTCGGGATGATGAGGACGATGAAGAAGACACTCCAGCGTTTCTGCCCCTAGCCCGAGAGCACGAGCATACCCATCGGGAGCGGCCAGTCCAGGAACTCAGTACTACCCTCCGTTTAGATGCCGAGCGAGCAGCAGCGCAACGCCGCCATCCTGAGCAGCGGGCTGGTCCCAGGGCCCCGGTACCGACAGACTCGTCCACCAGCTCTATGAGCTCGGGCGGTCGTAGCAGCCTACCGGATGGAGCCAGACGGCCGAGCCAGGGGGCACCGATACTCAGCCCTCAGAGCGCTGCCGAGCGCCAAAATTCGCGCAAGTCCACCGCCTCCGGCCGCGAAGCTAGCGATGGTACCCCCAGCATGGGAAGCAGTTTCAGTGATCTCGACGGTATGTGTCCCAACCCTGAGGATTCTGGATTCCAACTGATCGACTGGTCAGATGCAAGCGTTACCCAGTCAGCCCTGGAGGAGGCTCTTCTAAGCAACATGCAGCATGGTGGAATGGCGAGTCGGATGAGTACCATCAGTCAAGCCTTGCGCAGTCGGTATCTGCAGTGAAATACATCTTACATAGGAACATCCATTTTGGCAGATTGCACTCTACGATGTAGTATGGTGTGTATGATGTGTATGATGTAGCTCATGCGGGGGCCCAGTTGTTCCGCATATAGCATCCACGTGATTGAGTGGCACCTCGGCCTCCCGGTGGTGCGCACCAGTGAAATAGGGCCATTCTGGATATCTTCACTTTGTCTCCGACGGAGCTCCCTATACTCAGATATTCCAAGCATTCACCGTCACGCATCGGTCAAACGGGAGCGCTAGTGCCGGATCGAGCTGTTCAGTTTCAGCGCCCCACACCATATGATGGAGGGGTAGCTCAACCTCGCTACAAAATAGTCACCTTTGAAAACGCAAGTTAAATGTACAACATAGAAAATTTCTTGGATATTGTGAACAAAGCAGGTTCTCAGCCAATCGTGGACAGCTGACCGGCATCAAAGAACACCCCCTGCAACCCCACCAAGGCGTTAAGGCGCGGAGCGGCATCCTCGGCATCTCAACTGCAGTTCACCTGCAGACCTTCCGTTCGCAATTGCTGAGACAATTTTTCTCCGCCGTGAAGCGTTTCCAGCACCATTCACAATGTCCACCCCATTACTCGGCGAAATGTCCCCAGCGGAAGCAGAATCCGTCTATTTCAATGAATACCCCCCACCAAAGGCACTACCGCGACATGAAGCGCTGGCACGCGCATTCATTGACCTTCACGTCGAGGCACACCGGCGTGTAGTGCTCGTCACATCCGGAGGCACAACAGTACCACTCGAAGCGCAAACCGTACGATTCATCGACAACTTCTCCGCCGGAACTCGTGGAGCCACATCAGCCGAGTACTTCCTCGAGCAGGGGTACGCAGTAATCTTCCTACACCGGCAATACAGCCTCCTACCATACTCGCGGCACTACAGCCACTCAACGAATTGCTTCCTCGATTTCATGGACGAGGCGCCGGCGTCGGCGGATTCCTTCAACCCAGGCCATGGGCCTATTATGGTGCGCGACGAGTACCACGATCAGATGCGCAGCGTGCTGCGGAAATACCGGTACGCGAAGCAGAACAACCGCCTTCTCCTGTTGCCGTTCACGACGGTCTCAGAATACATGTTCGAGCTGCGGTCAATTGCGAAGCTGATGCGGCCGCTTGGTCCGGATGCGCTCTTCTACCTTGCAGCTGCTGTCAGCGATTTTTTCATCCCGCGCAGTCGCATGGCAGAGCACAAGATCCAGTCTAGTGAGCTGCCTCCGCACATGCGGGGGAGTGCAATCTCTTCGGATGAGATCTATACAGGCGAGAACGAAGAAAAGCCCTCGTCGAATAGCAGGAAGCTCGTCATCAACCTCGACCCCGTGCCTAAGTTCCTTCATCAGTTGGTAGATGGCTGGGCTCCGGAAGGGAGTATGGTTGTCTCATTTAAGCTGGAGACGGATCCCTCGCTGCTTGTCTACAAAGCGCGCACTGCGCTGCAGCGCTACTCCCACCACCTGGTGATTGGCAATTTACTTTCGACGCGCAAGTGGGAGGTAGTCTTCATTACGCCTGATGAGCCGCATGAGCGCTGGCTCCGCGTCCCCAAGTCTCGACGCAGCAAGAGTATCTCTGGTGTTGAGGATCAGGTTGGGTTGGCGGAAGCTAAGAAGGGGAATTCATCGACGCCGGAAGAGGTGAAGGCTGAGGAGGTTAATGAAACCAGTCGGGATGGAATTGAGATTGAGAGTCTTATCATTCCCGAGTTGGTTAAGCTGCACACGAAGATGATTGAGAAGAAGACACAACCAGCGCAGTGATGCTTCTATGGGTGTAAAATTCAATATAAACAAATAATGGGTCTTTTCGGGTCTAGTAGAAATCAATTAATACTGTCATTGGTTCCGTATGGTACTATTTATTTGGTCATCATGCTGGACCTAGGCAAGAATATATATTGTCCTTATAACTAGGTGCCATGCACTGTTTCATGTTTATATGTTTTGAAGCTTTTTGCTGCGATGTCAATAGGTTTGGTGTCTATATCATACGTAAATCATTTAGAGAAGGACATGTTTTGTGCATACTTACACTTTCAATTGAATTATTTAACTATTTACGGAGTAACTATTCAACTACTATTCCATGATATCCTGCACTGCCCGTGCTGATCTCGGACTATGACGTCGCGCGGGAAGCTACCCCTGAGGAAATGAAGATGCCTTGGAATATCTCGTATAGCAAGGGATTATCATCTCTCCAGCCCTGGAGATATTTGATTCAAGGGGCTATTTAATCCCAAATTCCACCTGGGCTACGCGTCCCGATGTGTCAGCGGCAAACCTCGGCGTCGATCATCCTTAGCGCCGACCCTTCCCCAGTTCTTCGCTCTTTTGGTTAACAGGAGAAGGGGGGAAACAAGATCTGATCAACTGCTCGGGAGAAAATGACCAATTGATTCTATTCTCTGTTTTGGTGTACTCATATTTCTCAGGATGGTCCCCCGCCGGCTCAGTCGTCGCCTGATTGCAGTCGCAACCGCCATTGCCCTCTTCTTCCTCTACCACGTCAGCTCTTTCTCCAGTCACAATCGCCAATGGCGCCCTCACTTCACAACGACAGAAGTTACCCCGGCCTCCGGCGACAATGGTGAACCAGCCCCATTCTGCCCGCCCCTACCAGGCATCGAAGATGTGCTCGTGGTAATGAAGACCGGAGTGACAGAATCACGAGACAAAGTCCCCATCCACTTCCAGACGACATTACGCTGCATCCCCCACTTCGTGATATACTCCGACTTCGCAGAAGAAATCGAAGGCGTCAAAATCCACGATGTCCTCCGCAACATGGACAGCGCCGCAAAGAAGAACCCGGACTTCGACTTCTACCACCGCATCGTGAAATACGGCCGCAAGGGTCTAGAGCAGCAAGATTTCTCCGACGAAGCCAACTCCGCCATCGGAAAACCGAACAATCCAGGTTGGAAACTTGACAAATGGAAGTTCCTTCCAATGGCGCAGGAAGCGCTCCGCCACAAGCCAGACGCAAAGTGGTTCATCTTCGTTGAAGCAGACACCTACGTCTCGTGGCCAACGGTCCTGACCTGGCTGGCCCGGTTTGACCACACAAAGCCACACTACCTCGGCACGGAGACTCAGATCGCAGACGTTATCTTCGCCCACGGTGGTTCGGGCTTCATGCTCTCAAACCCCGCCCTGCAACGCGCCTCCGACGAGTACGCCGCGCGCGAGGTCGAGCTAAACGCATTCACAGACCAGCACTGGGCCGGCGACTGCGTGCTGGGCAAGGTCCTCAGCGACGCAGGCGTCAACCTACACTTTACATGGCCGATTCTTCAGAATTCGAACCTCGGCGAGCTGGACGAGTTCACCACAGACTTCTACCGAAAACCATGGTGTTTCATCGCTGTCGCCCTCCACCACCTCTCACCAATCGACATCGAGAACCTATGGAAATTCGAACAAAAGCGCTGGCGTGATGTAAGTCAACCCAATCCCCTTCTCCCAATCATCCATCTACATGCTCCATAACATTCCGTCACTTACACTCCAATAGAAAAACAAACGAATTCTCTTGCACGGCGACCTCTTCCGCGAATACATCTCACCAGAAATAAACTCACAGCCCACACGCCAGAACTGGAATAACATGGCAAACGAAGATCAGCCCTTCGCACACAACTTCGAAGACTGCCGCTTGATTTGCCAGACGCAGAACACTTGCGTGCAATTCGCCTTCCGCGAAGGCAAATGCTTCACGAGTCCCAACCCGCGTCTCGGACATGCTGTTCCCAGCAGCGATGCGTCGTCAGGCTGGATTACTAGTCGGATTCGCGATATGACGGAGAAGAAGGGATTGTGCCGGAAGCCTGATTTCGGGGATTGAGGTGGTCTGATCGTGTTTGGATATTGCTTTTGGTTGTTCCTTTTTTGGGGCAAAGTCTGTGTTATGGTAGGTTTCTTTTTGGTATTTATGTGATCTCGTATTTGGTTTAATGTTGCTTGCATGGAGAGCGAGGAATGGAAATGACCTGATGGTATTTGGTTTGGAGCCTGGTCTGGTGCTTGGGCATACCGAGTGATTGCGAGTTGGGTTTGGGAGAACGTGCCTTTTTTTTTTTCCTTCTCTTCTATATTCCTGTACTACCATTTTCTGTGTTCTGTGGCTGATGAGCTTGAATAGACAAGCTGTATTCGTGGCGTTGGCTGAGTCCTTTTTATATACTTGCTTGGTTGCTCAATACACCCTCTTGCCAAACTTGCATTCCTACATATTTTGCTACTGTGGAAACACAAGTATTATTTGCTCTTTCATTGATCCACTGGTCTAAAGATAACGCCAAAAGAATAAGAAACGAATGAAGGCATTGCGCGGACGGCGTCAAGACACCAATTAGGTGGGAGAGGGAACACGCACACTTAAGAATATACCTAGGTATGCACAGGACAAGTCCTGCTGTGAGTCTGTACAGGTTTCACGGCATTATCCATTCACAACGGCGGAGCGGAGACATCCCCCAAACACTGATCGATTCGCATGATCTGGTATCCGGCCCTCTTGACATGTCGAATGAACTCTGGTAGGTATCCAATGGTAGTCGGATGCAGGTAGTGCATGACAGCAAGATTCCCCCCCTTTTCAACACTGCGGAAGAAGGCTTCAAGCTGCTTCTCTGGTGTGGACGTATCTGCCCATAGCCAGTCTTCGACATCGACGCTCCAGTTCACAATGGACGGGTTTGGTATGTGTCGGGCTAGCTCCTGACGCAGCCGAGAAGCTACTGTACCGAATGGTGGGCGGAAGTACGAAGCTGCAAATATTCAGTGTCAGAACCATTTTCACGAATGCTTTAGAGGCTAACATACACTCGATGCCCAGTTGCTCTCTAAAGATTTGCATGGACTGGATAATCTCGTCATCGATCTGAGCGAGGGTTGCCAATGATTCCATCCTTGGTATGTCAGCCGTTTCACATGAAACCCCAGTGTTCAGAATAAACTTACTTTGGATGAGTGTTCGAATGAAACGCCACTTGGTGCCCCTTCTTCAACATCTCTTTATAGAACTCCGTGAAATTGCTCGTCGGATCCCTGAGTCCAGCCCCAACGACGAAGAAAGTAACCCGCACACCCTCCTCGTCAAGGATTCGCATGACCTGCTGAGAGTACTGCGGCTGTCCATCATCGATACCAAATGCAAAAGAATTCGGACGGGAACAACGGAGAACCAATTTCCCATTGGGCATCTTCCAAGGGACACGATAGTGACCATTTTCCGGCGAGGGCAATGGAACATCAGGCACAATTTCCACACGATGCAAAGTGATGGATTCATTGGTGTAGAAGCCATGGAACGAAACTGACACGACGCGGTTGAAATCTATATCGAAATGAGCCAAAGGGATATAGAGCTCACGACGGCCCGTTGGAATTTTGGTATTGCCCTGGGGGTGCTTTCGTCGACCGCCCTTGGACTTTCTATGCTTGTGTTTCTTCCTCCCCACATCGGCGTGTATATTATCATCATCATCCCAGTTATCATCCTCAGCAAAGGCCTCGGAGGCGGGACGAACCACATACCGCTCCGCCTGGACGGAGTCTGCAATGCCGGGGAAGGGCCTGCGTTTCGGGTTGCACTCGTCGTTGTGTTGATTAAAAGAGACACTGTACTGATCCGTGCCCTCAAATATGACATGCAAATACTCGTTGTACCAGGGTATCAGGCCGTAGCAGGCGTTGGAATCGAACTGTGTGACGAAGTTCTGGTCCGGGTCTGTTGGGAATAGACGGACGAATCCTGGTCCATGTTGTACGGTTAGATTCTCGCCGGAGCCGTGCCAGAATCCCAGGTCATTGCGGGTTGGATTTTTGAAAGTGTCAATGACAAGAGGGGGGCTTGACTTTGCCTGCGAGGAATTATGCGAAGCGTTGTGGGTGAGATCTCGGAGTTCATTCCAGTGGCCGTGGTCAACAATTCCGCGAGATAAAGCTGAGGCTGGGAGGAATAGCAAAAGAGCGGCAGAACCTATAAATAGCCAATGCATGATGGAAGTGTGGAAAAATGATTGAATGTCCTTTGAAGAGGTCGAGGTGGAAGTAGTTTAAAGCATCGTTTATTTACTTGGAGCAGTGGAAAGAGTCAAGAACGATTGACTACACATTTAAACAGGCAGGAGGTATACCTAAGTCTTTGCATCTCTACTTCTCTACATGTATATACCTAGGTACTCTCTACTCTCTGCTCTCTACAATTTACAGAAATGAAAAAAGAAAAAAAAAGACTAGATAGTTGCATAAAACCCATGAAATCCGTAATGCGGCACATCTTCCCGGCCTTTGCATCCATATCACTGCATTCGCGCTCACGATAAAACCCATCTCCTGATAAAGAACCCAGGCGAAAAGGTCTTAGGTTCCACAGATCCAGGTTGCATATGGTCGAGAGATCAAGCCCTCAAAACTTCCTCCGGGGTATAATGTGAGATCTGATCCCTGAACATCCAGGGTAAAATCTCGAACGTGGTAAAATCCATCATCTGCACCGTTGGAATTCTTTCGTTTCCATTTTTTGTTCACTTTTCTGATTTTCCTTCTTTTCTCGCCGTTGTTCGTATTTGTTGGTCTCCCGCGCGAGGCACAACCAGAAAGGGAGGTTGAGCTCTACTGCCAGAAAGGATCATCATCCTTGGGAGCGGGCTTTGGCTTCGGGGCCCAGTTGGAACCAGCCAGGCCAGCCTTGGTATCCTTGGGCTTGGCTTCTTCCCTCGGCTTCTTGCGTTCAGTCACGGTTGTGGTAGGCCCCCACCATGTAGAAGCCTCTTCCTCCTCCTCGGATGTAATAGTGGGCCTGGGAACAGCAGGCTTGTCATCCTCGCCATCGTCTGCAACCACCTTGTCACTCTCTTCAGCCTCAGCTTCAGCGACAGCAGATTCCGCATCAGCGTTGGAGTCAGCTTCATGGTCAGCCTCAGCATCAGAGCCAGCGTTAGACTGATTATCGAAGAAGTCCTTGTCCGAGTCATCGTCAAACTCCAGCACATCACCCTCAGGGCGGTACTGCTCAAGGAACTCCGGGATCACTTGCTTGCATTCGATCAAGATTTTAACAAGATCCTCGGCAATGCCCTCATCGCGCTCATTGTAGAAGGAGGTGGCGATGCCTTCGTTGCCAATGCGAGCAGTACGGCCTGTAGGTGGTAGAAAGAGGTATTAGCGGCAAGTTCATGAACGGTATCGGGAACAAAGCAATATCCAGCTGGCGTAACACATACCGATACGGTGAACGTATTCAGTGATGCCCCCCATGCATAGCACTGGGGAGATCGTAGTTGACGACGTGGAGCACATTGATCACATCAAGCCCACGAGCGGAGACGCCGGTAGCAACCATGATGGGACACTTCGCAGACCGGAAGGCACGCCTGTTTTGGTGGGTCAGCAAAATTAAAATAAAAAAGGGAACGAATACTCACATAGCATCCTCGCGTTCACGTTGAGTCCGTCCACTGTGAATCGAGGTGGTAGGCATTCCAGAGTTGTAGAGGTAGTCATCGACGAAGTCAACCTGCTCCTTGCTGTTGACGAAAATCAAGGTGCGAACAGGCGGCATGCTGATCAGAAGGTCATAGAGTGCGCCCATCTTCTTCGGCTGATCGACCCAGACGATCTTCAAGGTTCACTAAGCGTTAGCATTGGTCTGAATGCTAGAAGTTCCACATAATTGCAGTGGTACACATACGTCCTGCACAACATTGAGGTGTGAACTGCCAGCTCGGCCAACACGGAGGCGCACATGGTCCTGGCTGAGGTATTGCTTTGCAAGTTTCCGGAACTCTTTGTTGAAGGTAGCGGAGAACATCATGTAGCGGTGATCATCATCCTCATTCACATCTTCTTTGAGTCAGCAGAACTGAAACGCAAAGTTGGCGCGAAACGCAAAGTCGGCGTAAAGGTGGGGTGGGGTGAAGGGGTGAAGAGCGCGCGCCATGGCAAACGTTTTCAATCACTTACCTCCTCCTGACATTATCTTCTTGAACTCTTCTTCCCAGTCAGATTCCAGCATCTCATCCGCCTCGTCAATGACGGTGTACCTGAAACGCCGTTAGTATCCAATATCAGCCTGGATGTATATCAAAGTGAGTCACAATCGTACCTAACGCGGCGGAGAGAAAGAACATGAGTCTGTGCCATGAAATCAAGGAGACGGCCTGGAGTGGCAATCAGGATATCGCATCCTTTCTGAAGCTCCTCACGCTGGAGGCGAGCAGGAGCACCGCCATAAGCAACACACGGACGCAGCATGGAGCGATAGCACAGACGACGCGATTCATCAAATATCTGAGTCGCCAATTCACGGGTGGGACAGACGATCAGGACCAGTGGCTCTGCTCGAACAGCATCCTCCCTTGGGTTAAATCTTTCCGCGGTGTTAGGCCGAGGGGCAGCCAGCTTCCTCGCCTTGCCCATCAACTTGGAAAGAATTGGAATGAGGAAGGCGCCCGTCTTTCCAGAGCCTATGTTTTGTTAGGACCAAATTTTGCCAAACACCATACTCCGCAGCACATACCAGTTTGGGCCACGGCAATAACATCAAGGTTGGCTAGAACAGCCGGAATTGCATAAGACTGCACCGCGGTGGGACTTTCGTACCCGCAGAGACGAATGTTCTCCAGCATGACCGGATGCAAGCCAAAGTTTACCCACTATAAATGATTAGACTGGTACATTGTTGCTAACTTGTCTCGCAGACTGACCTCGGTAACCGCCTTGACCTCGTTTGGACTCTCGATGTTGACCTTGTAGTTGTTCAGCCTGCAGAAGAAGACGTGTTAGATATCGAGTTGGTGTCCGATAATCGATAATCAGATTCACGTCACTTACGCGTCGAGCTTAGCACCGGGGCGAGCAATCAGGTCGCCGTGGAAAAGCTGGTCCTCCAATTCAGGGACGGCAGGACCAACGTCACCATATTCGTCCTTCCATTCGTAACGGACAGCAACTCCAGCCCACTCCAGATGATCCTTGTTATTAGCAAGCTCAGCATACTCGAAGGGAACTGGGTCAGTCCAACCCTTGTCCCGAGCAACCTTGTGAGCAGCCTCGGCGTTGGGACCGACACCAGAGAGCACACCTTCAACAGGAGCCTCTCCAGCATCGGAACCGACAGCAGAAGCACCCTCGGCGGCCGAGGCCGAGTCGGCAACCTCAGGAGCGTCGGGAGACGCAACCTCGGGATCGTCGTAAGATTCCATAATGTATGGAACTAATTGATGATTGCAAGCGTCTTCAATGATCAGGTAGGAAACAAAGTGGTATGGGGAAGGGAAGAGGAAAGGAGAAAGCAGTGGGACGAGGTGAGATCTCTATTTATCCACAAAGCAAACGACTAACGCGTTGTTCAACACGCCAAATTGGTTCCTCAGTGGGCGCGATTCGCAATTGCCTTTTTTATTTGAACTCCTCCAGTACTTGTCGGAACACAAAGTTACTATGGGAACCCCAGGGTTATACTTCATGTACCTTTCTCTGTTAGGAAGGAGCAACCCAAACCAACCTATCCGGAGTGTCCATATACCAAAGGCAATCTCGGGGTACTTCCATCACCATACAATATACTACTACGATGGATGTATATTGCATGGCCTTCGTTATTCGATCTGAGCCGATTGTGATAATCACGGAGCTAACGTGGGTAGCACTTTTCTCAGGCTATATATGTAGATATATGAATGTGTACAACTGAATGATCTGCCCCAATCATTGCATGTCAAGAGGTTCGTGCATTTCTACATATTTCATTCAATATCTACGTACAATGTATGTATCTATACTGCTGATCATATGCAAAAATTACTCATGCCTACATGTGTATCTACCTAGGTAGGTTAAGATTTAGGTCCTCCATTCTCAGTCCGGAATGAGATTTCAAACGAAGAGCAGACTAATTCTCTTGTATACATATGTATACTGGACATCGGCATATCAAGATCTATACCTCTTTCCAAGGTTGTGATCTACGATGCCTCCCGAGGTCAGAACGTTAGCTCCTCGGCTTCCAAGAGAAAAAAAGTGGATCCCTCCCGGGTAGAAGGAGGTAGAAGATATACGCAGTAAGCCTGGGAACGGCTACCTTCTTCACCTCCAGCGATTCTACCTCCTTCACAACATTCCATCATGGCCGAACGTGTGGAGGTAGATACTCGCAAGCGCCCGAACCGTTTGGAAGCTGCAATCACCAATCCCGGCGCCGTCAAAATCAATGTCACGGGCGCATTCATCGTCGACGACGAACCACGATCCAAAAGTCCCGTCGATGCAGAGGGCGTACACTACGAAAACAAGGATATTCGACTTCCACATCATACAGGCGTTGTGAGCCATGTGGCTGTCGATGTGAGTCAGAATTTTATTTCCTCTGCCCCGCACTGCTACCTGTTCACCCCCCGCAATCTAGGGGCCGGGCAGACAATTCGCTCGCAACGTCAAAAGACAGCATAACTGACGTGGCATTGGGACTTGGTAGATTGGTGGAACACTTGCGAAGCTTGTCTATTTCACTCGAGAGCTCGACACTGCGGATAATGGCGGCCGACTCAATTTCCTCAACTTTGAAACGCACCGGATCGATCTGTGCATCAACTTCATCCGACAACTCAAAGATGAACACGAGAAGTGCAATGGTTCGACACGGGAGGGACTGTGTGTCGTGGCCACTGGGGGTGGCGCATACAAGTACTACGATCGACTGAAAGAAGAATTAAACGTTAATATTCTACGGGAAGAAGAGATGGAATGCTTGATCATTGGTAAGTCGTCGAACAGGTGCAAGTATAGAGCAGACTGTCTAACCTCTTCAAAAAAAGGATTGGACTTTTTCATTACCGAAATTCCCAACGAAGTCTTCACTTACAGCGATGCCGATCCTGAGCCGATGCAATATGCTGAAGCCCGTGCCGATGTCTACCCTTATCTCCTCGTCAATATAGGGTCAGGTGTGTCGATGATAAAAGTATCCGGTCCGAGACAATTCGAGCGTGTCGGCGGAACACATCTCGGTGGTGGAACGTTCTGGGGCATCATGTCTTTATTGACCGGCTCCCGGACCTTTGACGACATGCTAGCAATGGCCGACCGCGGGGACAACAGTGCAGTGGACATGCTTGTAGGAGATATCTACGGCATGGACTACACCAAGATTGGGTTGAAAAGCACAGCTATTGCCAGTACTTTCGGCAAAGTGCTCCGGTTGAAAAACGATGCCGAGCAAGGGGCCGAGGACGGCGAGGGCTTGATTCGCGACGATCCTAGTGAAGCTAGCGAGTCTGGCAAGTCCAGCCATGGAGCTAAGCCCAATCCGGAAGATATGAGCAGGAGTCTGCTCTACGCCATCAGGTATGTTTCATTGTTTCCATTCTTCCGAAAGTCGGAACTAACCCCGATTAGTAATAATATTGGTCAGATCGCATATCTGCAGTCTGAAAAGCATTCAGTCAAACATATTTATTTCGGAGGCTCATTTATTCGGGGCCACCGGCAAACGATGAATACTCTCTCCTACGCCATCCGCTTCTGGTCCAAGGGCGAGAAGCAAGCGTATTTCCTGCGTCACGAGGGCTACCTAGGTGCCGTGGGTGCCTTCATCCGACGCCAGCCGCAAAACTGGGGTCGCAGAAACAGTGTTGACGATGTGGTCGCACCGCAGGCGGTCCGAAACCTCGTTCAAAATAGCAATGTCCTTCAACAACATGGCAGGTCATCCAGTGATCTATAACAGACTAAACTATTGTGACCCCTCCGCTTTTGAGTCTTGATACCCCTTAGCAATCTATGAACCAGTCTTGTGCCGACTTCTTTTGTGCACCCAGTGTGGCTGCTTTAAGCCACCTGTGAAAAAGGCCAATTTGGCGATTTCCGGCATTTGTCCATGTACATTTAGATCTACCTGAAGTTTTCTAGCTTCTTGTTTGAATTTCAAACAAGTTCGGTTATCATCTTAGAGAAATAAATTTCATATTTCATTCCATTTTGCTCTGGGTTATGTACTTTGATGGTCTTATTCTAGCTCTCTTTGCATCTGATATTCGTTGCCCTGTATGATGTCGTCGATCAAGCACATCTTCCCTTCCCTTACCATTGCGCTGACATCGTCTTCCTCTAAGTCATCTCTTCTAAGGTTATTCTCACCCCCGAGGCGGTTCCTTCCGGTTCTTTCTGCTCCAGATCGTTTACATCGCTCTTGCAAGGAGTCCTCATCTGTCACCTGGACTCGCAATTTTCCTTTACATTGATCGCAATTTCACTCCTATTGCGATTTATTTGCGTGGATCTTCTACCTCCTGCGTGTCACGTACTCTCCTCTCCTATTCCTGCTGCTTCTTTCTTTTTCCTCGCGCATCTTTCTACCTTTCCCTCATCTTATTCTATCCCTATTCTACCCACTTTTCATCTTCTTCATCCTTCTTGTTGTCAATATGGCTGAAAGCCCGGTTCATGGAATTTCAGACCAACTCAAAAGACTCACGGCGCAATCACCGGCCGCTCGGAATGCATCCCATGTATCAGCTGCGAGGGTTGACGCTACCGAGCCTATCATTCAGGGCTCTGTCCTCAATGCACCAGAAGGGACTGACTCACAAGTTCCGACTTCAACTGAGTCTGACCTGACCGATATCGACGAGTCACTTCTGCAAGATCCATCAGATCCTGCTCCTATGCCGCCGACCGAAACCCATTTCATTAACCCAACGGCTCCGCGTGTGAGCTACCAAGTCTCTGCGTCTGGCGAGGTCATGCTTATCGAAGAAACTCAAACTCCCAAACCAATCGCTCCTGCCCCAGCGGCCCGGCCGAGCCCTCCTCCTGCATACTTATCTTTTGATCGGCTTGCTCAAGGGTTGCCGCCAAAGCTGGCATCCTCGCCTACCACCTCAACGGTTCAACCTCCGTCCCTGGCAGTGGAGCGCATCATCGGCCCAAAGCAGCCAATCCCCGCACGGATCCTTGAACTTCTCGAGGAATGGCATGAAGATTCCCCGTACATGGAACATCCTTCTGCTTTGTCTGGCCGTGGTCCCTCTACTTGGAAGCACTTCAAAGCTTTCAGTGATGATGGCGACGAGTGCGAGCTATCAATCTTTCAGATCTCAGTCAAGGGCCAAACTCGACGAAGTGTGACCTATCGTATTATGATACTCCACTCTCAGAATGGACCCGAGGAACTTGTCGTCTACGGCCAACCCCGGCCGAAGTTCAGAGGACCCTTGACCAAGGGTACGAGGGGGCTGTACCTACTGGACTGGCTGGAAATCGAGCGAAAGGGCGAGGTCCAAGCTTGCGGATTGAAGCTGTGGAGAACAGACGAACAGAAGATTACATTCAGTGCACACATGTTCGATCATGGACCTAAGTGCACTCGGCTGGCCGGGCCGAATGATACTTTCAACATGCGTGCCTCATCTTCCACGCCCAAGAAACAGTCCGGCGCAAACGAGGACATTGAGGATGCTGGATCCAACTCATCTGAGCCGCCTTATTCCCCGTCGAGGTCTAGGCGCCAAGTTTCGACCAGCAGCCCTTCCAAACTGGAAAACGAAGAAGACAGAACCCCTGTTGCCTCACGCCCGTCGCCAGCCAAAACCGTTTCACCTGAGTTCCGCCCTCTTGCCAGTCCCTGGAAGCCTCAGAAGAGGCGCCGTGGCACATGGAGCTCCAATGATGAGACCTCCTCTGTTCTTCGCTACAAGCTGATGTCAGATGCGTCGGACCAAGTCCGTGTCTTCAAGACAAATGACGCAAAGGTGTTGTTTGCAAAGGCCCAGCAGTTCTACAAGGGCATGGGGAAGCGCACAGGACTTTTGTGCACTGTTTCCGGTGTCGAGGGCGTCCGATACGTGGGGGAGGGGTGCTTTGACGAATTCGATATCCTTCAGGAGGATATTCGGAAGTCTTCTGGTCCTGGTGATGAGGACCGCGTTGTGGAGGTGAAGCCGGCAATGGGCTTCTGAATTGCCAATTGAAATGACCTGGTGGGATGGTGTTGTGGACGGAAGCATCTTCATGAACATCTGTTGCAGTCTGCCTGCGCGTGGATGTATGTGTATCTACTTCAAAAGAAAAACCAAAAGAAAAAAACCGAAAAGGACACTTGTTAGATTGATTACATTATTCCATGGCCCAAATAGTCACCTAAAACAAACATCGTCATCTTCATTATATATGGAAATCGTGTCAACATTTGGGGGTTTCTCAGAACTCGTCATCCTTGGGAAATTTCTGTCATTTTCAACATTTTCGTTCAGATGAACGTATTATGGGCATTTCTATTGCACAATTTAGAGCCAAATCCCGAACTACGGTTGCTAACATAACTTATAGGCAAATGCCGAAGAACGATAGAGGTATACATACGTTGCATGATCCTGTATCAAAATCCAAAGGCTGCGGCTCACCCTACACGAGAAGGCTCTATTTCTGCAGCCAACGCATGGCGCCTGCCCCTGAGACATGTGACATTTTATCCGACGTGCCCTGCGAGTATTAAACACCAAGAGATGGTCCTTACGCATCTTAGATACATAAGTTTTGCTTGCGATATGCGACCCAGGCGGTGATCTTTCGGCTGATATCCGGTAGCTTTGGACCCCTACGCTCTCCCTGAATGCCATCAATCCCCCAAAAGGTTATTGGCAGGTTATAGGCGAGTTGTATATCACCCAAGGCTCTGTGTCATGGACGGGGTTCGACATTCGTCGAGATGGCTGAAAGCGAAACGAGCCGACAATACCCGCCTGAAAGAAAAGCAGCCGCGGCCGGGGACGACGATCGAGGACTTCCTTCCGAGTATGCGGCAGGAATGGGCTGGAGAAGATTATATGCTGCAGCAATCCTGGAAATGCGAGAACGCTTGAAGCCGCAGGAAGGGAGCACGTGCTGACAAGTGCAGCGGGCCAAGGACGGCCGTCGGAGCACGTGGTGATCTTGGCTGCGATGTTGGCAGCGGAGATTATCAACATTCATCTTGGCATTGTCATTTACCGCAGCACTTCGCACCGATGATATGATGCTGGCTGTGCCAATGTTCAGGATGTCAACATACCCTGAAGATGATATGGACTATAAGTACTATGGCCACTGGGCTCCAGGCAATTACAAAGGTGCCATTTCGAAGTGGAAATCCGCGGCGCACTCTCTATCTATTTTTCTAATATTGAGCAGCCCATAGGAGTGAGTTGACCGCTTGTTGATGAGCTTAAATATCGCCAAAATGGTATCATTGCTTGACAAAGTGAAATTTCTCTGTATCGCGGGAGTTGGCCTGTTTTCTGATGGCTTCCTCAATTTGACCATCGGTCTAGGTTAGTGCTGTTCTAAAGGAATACTACTCTACCGATAGCTAAGCAAACCATTTGCAGTGGTACCGATGTTGGGCTATCTGTATTGGCAGGACCAGGGTGGTGATGTTCCAACGGCGCAAAGTGACATTATGAAGGGTACCTTGAATGTTGGAATGGCCGTCGGCCAATTGATGTTTGGTGTACTGGGGGACGCTCTGGGTCGTCACAAGGTGTACGGCAAAGAGTTGCTAATCACCTTGTTCGGCACCCTCATGGTCGTCTTGCTTCCCTGGAACAACTTTGACAAACAGTCGATTGTTGCATGGGTTGCATGCTTTCGTGTTGTGACAGGAATAGGCATTGGAGCAGGTAAGATCTAGAAGTTGCCAGTAAGTATCGAGCCTGAAGGCTTATGGTTACTTAGACTACCCCATATCATCGTCTCTCACCGCTGAAAGCACGCCGCTTGGTTCCAGAGCGGTTCTGTCCTTGTCAGTTTTTGCTTGCATGGGTCTCGGCAACATAGCTGCCAGTATCACGTTCCTCGTACTGGTCGAAGCGTTCCAGTCCGGCATTGAGTCCGATATCAAGTACGTCGAATGGGTCTGGAGACTCTTATTTGGGCTGGGTATGATACCCGCCGCTATCACGCTATACGCCCGGTGGACTATGGCAGAGACAGCTCCCTATGAAAAGTGTATGTCCCGTTCATACCAGGACGCTCCCATGCGCGAATCTAACTTTCTAGACGTATTGAAGGAGACGAACACCGAAAAAGTAGACAAGCGAGGCCTAAAAGAGCAGTTTCGGGACTTTGCTGTCTACTTCAGCGAATGGAAACATGCCAAGGCTTTATTCGCGACCTCAGCGTCTTGGTTTCTCTTGTAAGTGTAAACCCGAGGTCCCTCAGGCGCTTGATCCAAACTGACATATGACGCTGTCCAGTGATATTGCTTACTATGGCGTCAACCTCAACCAAAGTGTCATCCTCAAGGAAATCGGTTATGCGGATGGACCTACCCCGTGGGTCACCCTTCGCAATACTGCCGTCGGAAACATCATTGTCCAAGTCGCTGTAGGTTGCCGCAGATTCCCTCATCCTTGATTTTCTGTGTCCATAAATTAATCAAATATAGGGCTACCTTCCTGGATACTTCTGCGGAATCCCGCTACCCGACCTTGTGGGACGCACTCATCAACAGTTCTATTCATGCATAATAGTAGCCATTCTATATGCGGTCTGGGCCGGCATAACCAATTACACAAGCGTTGGGGGGGCTGATGACCGTCTTCACGCTCTCCCAGCTTTTCCTCAACATGGGCCCCGACTGCACAACCTGGCTCATGCCTGTCGAAGTCTTCCCCACGAGCGTTCGCGGTACGGCACACGGCATCTCCGCAGCGGCGGGCAAATTTGGCGCCATTCTGACTGCGTTCGCATTCGGTACTGTGACTGACCGTATTGGTTTGCCGGGCGTGTTGGGCCTCTTTTCAGGCGTCATGGTCCTCAATGCTCTGGTTACTTTTTGGATTCCGGAGACCAGAGGCATGACTATTACTGATATTGAGAATGAGGTTCATTTCGCTCAACATCGGCCGATGGATATATTCAAGTGGCCAGGACTTTGGAGGAAGGAGAGGGAGGAAGGCGTTACGGATGACAACGTTGCGGGAAAATCGGAGAGTGTGACCCCCCATCGAGGTGGTTCCTACCAAGGACGTCTCTGTTTGAGGAAGAACGGGCTGTCCAGAAGCATGCGTACATTTGATACTCAAGTCTAGAACACACGACCCTTTTTCTGTTTGCTACTGTTGATCATAACTTGGCTCGGCTCTACGCTCGTCCCGATTGTTAATCAAAATTGAATAGATACCAGCGGTCATTTGTGAACTTCTTTGAGTGCGCGACTACCTTTTCGAGGGGTAGGAGCTTTTATTTAACTCGATTATCGCGGATCATATCGAGTAGTATGGTATATATATCTCTTGAGATGGCGGGATGCAAGACACTTGGGCTGTAATGAACGTTACCTCTATGACCTACTATACTGGAGAGTACTAATTGGATGGAGGTAAGCTTTTCTTTGAAAGTCAAAAACGTGATCTGAGGCCTACTATCCCATGAAGGAATGAAACCTAAGTCGTCCAACCCCAAGGAACAAGGGCTGATAGGATCACGTGTGTGCATAGATAACTGCTGAATCAGCCTCTAGATGTCCGCGGGACGGGTCGCGCCCTCGTTGACAACAAACCCCGTCACATCTACATTATACATCGGGGTTATTTTTCTTCTCACGCCATGCCCCGACGCTAGTTCTACCGTGCTCGATGGCGTCTCCTCCTCGCTAGACCCTTTCCCTCCTCCGATCCCCGTCGACACTCATCCCAACCGCGCTACAGGGTCCAAGCCTCCTGAGCTCGAACGATCCCTTCCCGACCCCAATCGACTAGCGCCCGAAGATGCGTACTTCGCACCCTCACTTTCGCGCGCCCGGTCAGCGCCCAGTAACTACGAGGAAAATCTGCGGTCGTTGAACGGTGATGGCAGTGCCCATATTGGGTCTACTGCGGCGCTGCGGAAGAAGTTGGGCGGTCCTGGACGGCGTCGGAAGCGGAAGGGAGCCTGGAAGAAGTTGCTTTGGGTTAAGCAATCGTGTATGTCTGCGCGGAGGCCCGGGCCCTGTATAAGGCTCGGGATTGGTGTTGCGCTGTTGCTGACGATCGATTCATAGATCCGGATAACTACACCGACACGGAAACGTTTCTTGACCACCTTCAGCGTAATCCTCGGGTGCGGCCGTATGATTTCTGGCCTCTGGTGGCTGACTCGACTGTGATTGTGCAGCATGTCTGTTCAGTGGTTATCTTTGTTTGCTGCTTCGTCGGCATTGTCCAAGACCGAGTGAGCCCTGTCTCAATTGTCTGCTGGGGGAGCGTTGGTACGGCAGTGGGCTGGATTCTATGGGATAATTGGATCTGGAAGGAGCATGAGGAATCCGTGCAAAGTACAGGTGGAATTACTGAAGGCGATGATGGATCCAGTTCGACTTCATTTGCCAGCGCTGTCGATACACCGGCCAATGGCACACAATCGGATGAGACGAAGACGAACGCCATTCACGGCCTTGGGCTGTCAATGTCTGGAAATGAATCAAAAGAGCAATTCGCCCGTCGCAGTGCGGATTTCACCGAAAGCATCGACGGAGTGGCTCATCTAACAGCGCAAAGTGCTGGGCCGTCTGCTCCAGGCAGCTCCATCATTGGCACTACGGACCCATTGATGTCGCGAGATAATCACCGCGTTTCTATGCTATCACCGCGCAACCGCCAGCGCTTGACTACAGTCAAGTCGGCCTTCCTTATTTACTTCTCCCTCCTGGGCCTCAGTCCCATCTTGAAATCTCTTACCAAGTCCACCGCCAGTGACTCGATCTGGGCAATGAGCTGCTGGCTTTTAATCATGAATATATTCTCTTTCGACTATGGGAGCGGGGAAGGCGCAGGCGCCACTACCAAGTTCCCTGCTTCTTTGTCCACCAACGCAGCTGTGATGGCATCGACCGTGCTCGCGTCCCGGCTGCCCTCTACGACACATGTGTTCAGTCTCATGTTGTTCTCCATGGAGGTATTTGGGCTGTTCCCCATCTTCCGGCGCCAACTGCGACAGAAATCATGGACTGGTCATGTGCTCCTGACACTGGCCCTTGTGATCGTTGCTGGTGGCGCTGTTGGTGTCACGCTGAGCGGCGGTTGGGCAGCAGCCATCATTGGATCCGTCCTAGGAAGTATCCTGACTGCGTTTGTCATGGGCGGGTGCAGCTGGTGGCTTATCAGCTTGCAAAAGTACAAGAACGTTGTGATCGGTCCCTGGGACCCTGCCCGGCCGATCATTCGGCGCCACTGGAACTAAGCGCCCATGTTTGAGTGATGACTTTTAGCGCTATTGTAATATGGATTGTCGGAGTTTGGTTGGGATCTTGTTGCTTATACCCCTAGACCAGTCTATCTATTTGAAACGTTCTTGAGGTTTCAAATGCCTTCCTTCCGTACATCGAGTTTCGCCCGCGCCTAATGGCCAGTGCTCGTAGAGTCAGATCATGACCAATATCCCAAATGAATACTTCCAGAAAGCTTAACATTGAATCCGGTTTTCAGTTCTACGGCGATTGGGTTCAACTAGGGGGGGAATGCGGGTTTGGGAAGAATCTGGCATACCAACCTTGTACATTACACACCGATAATAGACTTGCCACCATTTACTCAAGGAGAAACACCTTTTGGAACGTCTCAACCAGGATCATGGCCCCCCTAATCTATTTTTACCTATTGGTATTGGGGGGCAGTATCGGGCTGACAGGTCGGGGATACTCAAACTGTCGACCTTCCAAGGTTGGAAGAACAGCTTGCTTACCTAATCATAACAACTACAACGATAAACTAGAATCCCTAAATATCCTAATCCTAACGTGGCCCTAATAAAGATATATTAAAATAAAGGGCCCTAATAGAGAAAATAGCCCTGTAGAGGTGATAAGGTTGGGTTGTGATGATGTAAGCGGCCTTTTGACGGGAGTACATCTACCGGGTGTTGGTGAGCCCCACCGGATCCCATTTTCTCACCGGATCCCAGATTTGCAAGATTAGGTACCTTTTGTATGAACTTACCATACAAAAGGTACTCAAATATAACATAAGTATAACATCAATCTTCTCAACCGTTAAAAAGGGTGAGGGATATAATAAGACATATATATAATGTAAATAGTGCCCTGATTATATGCTATTTTATTATAGTAAGACATTCCTAGTATGTAATATAAGAGTACGTACTGTGTCTTTATGCGATGTTTATATTTTAAGAAGTGCGCTGTCCACTTCTATATAGTGTATTTAGAATTTATTTTAGTAGTAGATTGATTTAAATAGACTCATGTTAGGCTTCGCCTTTTTATTTTTCCTTTATCTAGTATAAGACTTGAGTTATGCTTACATTATGGTTAAGTACCTTTTGTATAGAGTTGCCATACAGAACATACTTAATTTGCAAATCTGGGATCCGGTGGGGCTCACCAACACCGGGTGTTTGGTGAAGGCGGTGTCACGATTATAGTATTTCTTACATATGGAGGCATTTGGCATCTATTAGTATTTAAGATAAGATACGGTATTATACCTCCCAAATATACATTCGATTACGGTATTTATCTTAATACCGGAAAAGTCTGGTATTTAGTAAGACAATCGAGTTACCTAGGTATTACTATGTTGTATAGTACGACCATTTGTAGTATTGTAATGGTTGTACAACGGAATTCCCGCATTAAGGATCTCCCAGATGGTTCCAACCTTCCAACCTATCTACCTAGGTAGGAACCTTCCAAGGTTGGAAGGTCCACGGGTTGGAAGGGTGATGATGTAAGCGGGCCTTTTGACTACATCGGAACTTTTTTTCGAGTATCTCCGAGCTGTAACCCGGCAGGATCTACTTCAGGCAGCCCCAAACTTGGCATTCCGCAATCCTTAGCGCTGCCCTTTCTTAGCGCCTCGAATCCTTCTGTTTAGGGGGCTGTCTCACTGCATTATTCGATGAGCTAAATAGTGATACGACATTCCCAAAAGGAATGGCCCACATGCCCCCCATACTCAGATTAAGGCACATGTTCGATAGTCCTGAATCATCCTGGCATATTTCGGTGTCCATGCGTGCAGAACTGCAAAAATATATATACCCTGCCTTCTTCTGGCTCAGATGATTTTCTCCATTCTCTCTCAGTTTACTTTGTTCGCGGCTTGAAGCTGCTTCTCGACTATCAACGATAGACTGGATATCTGTTTATACATTCTTTCCTGATCCCTGGACCCACCTTTCGATCTGTCTATACATACACATATCACGACTGTTGGCTAATTGACTCTCATTATGTTCAAACGCCTCGCACTTGGTCTGCTGGCCGCTCAGTCAGTGACTGCCATGCGTTTTGCCATGTACATTGACGAGTTAGTACAAACCCATGGAATGGATCTAGGCACCCCGGAGTTCACATCTAATGTCTGCCCAGGTGGCATACAACTGCTCTTCCGGGACAGGAGAAGACCGAGGGCATCGACTATGCAATCATGAGCTTTGCTGCCTCGAAGCTATTCAATTCCGACTCACCGGCAGAATACAAGCCATTCGAGTCCCCCAGACCATGCGCAAGCGCTTCAGCCCGGATACCAAGCTAATGGTCGCTATTGGCGGCTGGGGGGACACCGCTGGCTTCTCCGAGGGAGCCAAAGACGAGGCTTCGCGCACGCGATATGCCAAGAACGTCGCATCCATGCTCGACGCACATGGTTTCGACGGTGTCGGTAAGAGATACCCCCAATAAGGCTTTCTAAACCGGAAAAAGAGCAAGTGATTAACTGGAAACAGATATTGACTGGGAATACCCTGGTGGTAATGGCCAGGACTACAGACAAGTACCCAACGAGGAGAAAGTGGGCGAGATCGAAACATATCCTCTCTTCCTAGAAGCTCTCCGCAAAGAACTTGGCGACAAGATCATCTCTATCGCAGTACCAGGTCGTAAGCAGGACTTCATTGCCTATACCAAGGAACAGGGCCCCAAGATCTGGAAGTCTGTCGATATGATCAATGTCATGAGCTACGATCTGGTTAACCGTCGCGACAATGTTACCAACCACCATAGCGGTGTCCAGGGATCCTTGGACACCATTAACGAGTATCTCGCGATTGGGGCTGATCCCGAAAAGCTCAACCTTGGCTTTGCATATTATGCCAAGTGGTTTACCACCAACGCTGACGCCGATTGTGATAACAACCCTCTGGGCTGTGAGCTTGCCAAGCTTGAGAACGACGATGGGTCGGACAATGGCAAGTCCGGTTCTTTGACTTTCGAGGCTAGCACTGTTGCTGCTCCCCCTAAGGATCTGAAAGACAGCACCGATGGATTGTGTGGATCCGGAGCGAAGGCCAAGTGCCCATCAGGACAGTGCTGCAGTTCCTCCGGCTATTGGTATGTATAACCATCCCTTACTTGCGGTTGGAATCTAAATTAACTTTGTACAGCGGTACTACCGATGAGTTCTGCCAGACTGGCTGTCTTTCTGACTACGGTACCTGCAAGGGCGTCTCTATCACCGACTCATGGCGCAAGGCCCAGAAGGATGGCAAGACCGATGAGAAGGGCGGTGGTCAGTACTACTTCGACAGCGAGAACAACCTTTTCTGGACCTGGGATACCCCCGAAATGATCGCCCGCAAGTTCAAAGAGATCGTCGCGGAGAAGAAGCTTGGTGGTGTCATGGCTTGGAGTTTGGGAGAGGATACCTACAAGTTTGAGCACTTGGAGGCTATGCAGAAGGGTATCAAGTCTCAGTCTAACTCTCCGAAGGTTGAGGAGCCCCCCCGTGGCTGAGAGAGGCAGTGCCTAGTGACTGTATGGAGCTATATGAGTCGGAGTCAGAGATTGCGAAATACCAGCATGCTTTTACTGTTCTAAATTGAACGTTTGATTCCCCATGTTTGCTTAGATTTTATCTCTGAATCTCGCTTACTGCTCTCATCTTTACCCTTAATGGCCCCATCATCCCGGTATCTTCAGTGGGACGTCTTGAAAACTGAATCGCTATTATATCCCCTACTATTAATTTATTTACCAGTCCACCTCCTCATCCATGACTCAATATACCTCTGTATCAATCCACCGGCAACAGGATCCTCCAAAAGACCGAGAGAGGGGCAGTCTTGCACTGTCCGCTCAGTTTCAAATGTGAGACCAGCCTCTGCATTCCTCCCTGGTCCTGTCGCGGACAGACCAGGACTTGCGTACTTAGATCTCCAGAAATCGATGAGCTTCACACTCGGATTTTCCTCCGGGTCCTGCTCACTAGTCGCCAATCTACTCAGCCACTCCTGCGGAGAGACAACCTCAAACTGCGCCAAGGCCGATCCCTGTCTCAAAGCAGGAAGCAAATCATCCTTCCAGCTAAAGGTGCGAGGGTTAACCAAATGGTACACAATGTTAGAATCGGCAGATCCAGATACGTCCATGGCAATATCCGAAATAGCCCGACCACACTGGTCAACAGGCAACCAACTCGGCCGCTCATTCAGTTCCGGCAATGCACCCGTCGTCAACGCACTCCGGAACATAAGCGCAACGGCTTCCGTATCGTTCCATTGCGCGCCAACCGTATCGCCGCCAAGCTGGCCGATTCTCAAAACTCGGGCTTGCATGCCCGTCTGACGCATGGCGTTACGAGTGATGTGCTCTGTGACCAGCTTCGACCTGCCGTACCCGGTCCTTTGTGCGTGCTCCAAATTCTCGATTATGGTCTCGGGAACCGACGCGGGTTTGGGCGTGTTGCCCGCAGCGCTTACACTGGAGCAGAAGAAGAAGCGTGCAGGGGTGGGGAGACGAGAGCGCAGGCAGAGATTGATGAGGTTGTATGTTCCGCGAATATGCTGCTGCTCAAAGGACCGTACGCCCAGGTTGAAGTTTACGGCCCAGGCACTGTGGATGACGCATGTCAAGCATGAGAGTAAGTGTTGCAGATCGTGGTCTTTGAGACCGAGGTTGGACTGTGACATGTCACCAGGGACGGCGTGAAGCTTTGCTGCTTCCGCATCGGTGAGAACGATGTTGCGATCAGCTAGTGCTTTGTAGAGACGAGCTCCTGCCGCTGCTTGACCTGGTGCGCGCGCGATTGCCCAGACTTCGGAGACTGTTGGTCGTTTCAGTAACTCGGAGACAATGAAAGCCCCCAAATTGCCGGTTGCGCCGGTGACCATTACCACCTCTGTTTCTGGGCTTCGGGCTATTGTTGGGAAATGCTGGGTGAAATGGGAGTATTTGTCAATCATTTCACGCATGGAATGAAGCTCATCTTCTCTCTCGAATTCCTGACCAGTTCGCAGCTGGTAGAGGTGCTTCGCAAGTGCGTTGACTGTGCCTTTCTCGAACACAATGTTCTGTGAAAGCTGATCCCCTCCATCGCCGATATCAATATCGCGCACGATGCACCTCCAAATTTGCGTTGTCTGCAAACTGTCTACCCCAGCCGAGAAGATGTCGGCCTCAGCACCGGGTATTAGTACGCCCAAGTCTTCCCTGAATCTTGAAAGCAGCCAATCCTCCAGTTGTGGAATGCTGAGCGCGAGGGAACCTCTCTTCTGGCCACTCCCTTCAAATTTGGCATATGCCTGCTTGATATCCTCCTCAAATTGCTGATAAACCTGAGCGCGTATACAGGTTCCTTTATCAGTTCTGGCGTATACAACATCAGCACCCTTGATCACCACAAGCTCCTTGGGGATACGGGAGAACGTCTCGGCGCGAGCATTTGCCGCTTCAACGGCTGGCCAGATAGCTTCCAAAAATTCATCGTCGCTGAGATGAGGCACCTTGCCAGGAGCACGGAAAATCAAAGCCCCAGGCACAGTCCGCTGGAAGCCGAACACAACGCAGTCACTCACGATAGGCTCTTCTCTGACGCGGCCTTCAATGGGAATAGGAAGCACCTTTTCACCATTGACCAGGGTGATCCGATCGTCAAGCCGACTCAAATATTTATAATAATTGCCCTTTTCTGGATCCGGGTGTTTGGTGAACAAATCGGCTGTTCTGAAAGAGTTCTCTGGGTTCTTTGCGCTGTATGGTGGCTTTGAGTTCGAAGGACCCTTACTCGGTAAGCCGTCTAACGCAACGCATTCAAAAACCCCAGGCGAGATTTCATCCATCAGGGTGAGGTCGGCAACAGGACGGTGCAGTCGCATATACTGCCACTCCTTATCTTCCGGAGCTCGGAAAGAAGTCATAATTTGTCCCGTTTCCGTCGCTCCATAGTTGCCGACCAGATTCACGCCCTGTGCAACAAGACGGTCGCCAAGATCGTCTGGGCAGCTGGAGCCACCGTATAGCACGAGCTGTGGTCTAGCTAGTGCTTGAATGCCTTCTTGCTTCTCCGCTAGTAGTTTGATCACATATGGCACGGCGCTGATTTGCTGTGGCTTCGCCACCTGGAGGGCATCGAAAAGATTCTGGTATGTGACTGGAAGAGAATGGTTTCCTAAGTACGCTGGTGCTCTTGTATAGAATGCTCTTCCAAACTCCATTAGAGCGTGCGAGTGGAAGAGCGGGCTAATAGTGAAGAGGCACAGGCCGAAGCTCTTGCAGAAATTGGCTAGCGTTTGAAGGTTGGTAAGGAAGATCGGCTTCGGGAAACCGGTACTCCCAGAAGAATGTAGAATCCAAGCAATCTTCTTGCCTTCTCGTGATGGATCTGCACCCGGTCGTTCAAAGAGAGGAGTGCTAACCGGACGATTGAACCAGTCCTCTCGTTGTAGTAGGGAAAAGGTACTACAGCCAGGACGCTCGGCACAAATTTCAGTTACAACTTGCTGGAACTGGTTTGTTTTGATGAGCTGGCTGCAGTTTGCCATCTCCAGTAGCCGAATATAAGCCGGTGCCATGAGACGCGTGGACAAGAAAAGCACAGCATAGCCAAGACGATTCAGCGCAAAGAAAGTGACCACGACCTCGAAACTAGATCCAGCTAGCATAGCGACAACAGGTGCCTGCTCGAGATGCGGGTCCTAGGAGAGTATTAGTTGAGATTGACACAGGGAAATAGCCTTCTTCTTACCGCGGGTACAAGTCCTTGCTGCATGTAAAAGCGAACAGCGAGATCAGTATACCGATCGATGGCCCCAGCTGTATGCTCCTCGAAATCGGCCGCTCCGCGAATGGGGTAACATATCAGAGGCCGCTGTGCCTCATCTGGTTGAGCTGCATGAGATTTCAATAGGCCATCGATGGTTGCGAACTGTTCGAAGGGTGGCCACTGGGAATGAAGCGTGCCGTTCAAGAGGCGAGTCGCAATATCTTTGATCTGAAGTGGCTCCACGCCCCCTTCAGTAGTTGTGATGGTTACTGTAGCCATGATAGTTGTGTAAAATACGATTAACAATTTATTCGGTCGAGATGATTTTATATCTGGCGGAAAAGCCCCATGTTGGGGTAATCCCACGCCTGGCGGGTGCTTTTCCGGGTTTCCGAGTTGATGCCCCCGGAAAACACTTGGGGACAGTTTTGGACCTCAGTGCTATCCAGGCGTCGATTTAGGGCTCATGTGAGCTTTGGTCGAATTAGGCTGTAGTTCAATGATATATGCGGTATTTGACAATTTCTCCATGTGACCTGAGATGGTGTTGATGAGCCCGAATATCCGAAATGGACAATGCGCAGGTGACTCCGTAGCCGAAAGTCTTAATATTGTTCATGTATTTCCAGAATTCAGGGTAGAGTGCGAGGATGCTCTTTCCACACGTTCAGAAAATTGATCGAGGCCTGCTGCAATATCGTATGAACAGTACCAAAACCATAGGATATGAGGCAAAAGGAGATGCTGCAACCAGATTGGCTCACTTGGTCTCTATATGGTTCATGTCTATAAAAGATTCACTGCACATATCTAAATTACAATATTCATCCCATCACATTAAACACGGCACAGCCGACCATTCTGATCCGGAAGACCATCAAGGCTCTTCACAACCCAGTCCTCACTACCAACACCGGTAGGCGCGTAGAACAAGGCAGCTGGGTCATACCGTTGCTTAAGCTTGTACAACCGGTCATAGTTGGTACCGTAGAAAGCCTGCTGGAAGTGCGGCTCTTGGATATCCGACTCGGACATGTACGCGCCAGAGTCGGGCAGACAGCGCGCCACTTGCCAACGGCTTTAGTAAGGTCATCCATCTTGACCTTGATATCGGCATCAGATGTGGTGTTTGTCCATGAGGTCGACGTGATAGCGTGCATTAGCGTCTGGCGCCAAGCCGGGTTGGCCGAGTTCGACGTGAAGCCCTCTTGCAGCTCGGCTTTCATGTTGAATGCGAGCAACGCAAAACCGTCAGTAATAGTGGCACGAAGAGCATTTAAGGTCGCATTCAAAGATGTAGGAGTGTTCCAATTTGCGCGTGGGAACAGGCGAGAGCCGGTCATCATGGTTGATGAGGCGACTGTTTCGAGGGCGAATCCGGCCATCCAACCGTCGTAAAAGTTGTCGAAGTAAGTTGTGTTTGGCTGGAATGAGATGCCCAGCTCGTGGAGGTCATCGTACCATGGCTTGACTAAAGCGTTGAACTCGTCCACGGTGTGGTTGACAGCGAAGAAGGGGTTCATTAGGAAGGTGAAGGCGTTAGGGCCTGTTGGCATTATCCAAAAATAGGCGTAGGTGCCGGCGTCGGCGTGCGTTGGGAATCGCTCCAAGTAAGATCGGACACCCGCCCAGAAGGTCTCCACAGAGACATCCTTGCCAGTGGAAAAGTTGAATGTCGAGACAGTCACACCGACCTTGGGGTAGACACGAGAGATGAGCGAAGTGACAACTCCATAGGTTCCTAGTGGGAATGGGTTAGATGATCGGCAAGTGAATAGGAAAGAGAGAGTACACATACCACCGCCACCACCACGTAGAGCCCAGAATAGGTCTGGATCGGTCTCTTCAGTCACTGTGACAAAGCGCCCATTCGCCAGCACGACCTCAAGAGCCAAAACTTGGTCAGCAGCCAGGCCGTACAGGCTGGACATGGGCGAGTGGCCGCCACCAAGAACATAGCCACCTGTAACACCAACAGTCTAATAAGGTCAGTTATTTGCCGAAATATTGATATCTATGGAGTGATCAACCCACCTTGCCTTCGCCACCAACAGCAGTGAATCCGAGTTCCTGGCCCTTTGCATAGACCTCGAAGGCCTGCACACCTGCCCCCATCTTCACAGCTGGACCCTGGTAGCCTGAACCACGGTAGTTCTCGTAGTATTCGATATCCTTGAGGTTGTGGGTCCAGATACCCAAAGCACCAGCACCGGTTGATTTTCCATTGAAGTCATGGCCGGTGTTCTTAACGACCAGACGAATGTCCGCGTTGCGTGCAAAGTTAACAGCAAGCTGGATTTGAGCCACATTGCTCACATTCACAGCATAGCTACTGTAGCCACCCACTGTGCAAGATGCAGAAGCATTGGTAGTGGGAAGGCAGGTTCTTCCCTCGAACAGAGGCCACATTGCTGACGCCGGGTCAGCTGCACTGATCGTGGAGTCAGTATACAATGTGTATGTCTCATAGATTGGGTGTAACTCTGTAACTCACTGAAGATGAGAATCGGTCCACTGCGAGCTGATTCTCTCGCATTCATCACTGTCATATTGGGGCCATGAAGAATAGCAAGACGCCGCTAGGGGGGACTGTCTTGATGAGCGCGCCACCTAGAAGGTCATCGAAGACCGACCATGCAGACTGCGACGGCCACTGGCGATCACCGGGGAAAACCTTGCACTTCCTTGTAGGCTGAGTGGGCTTGTTAGTACCGTCGCACCCAAATTTAACCAGGGCTGACTGCTTCGCAATGTCGTTATCTGTCAATTGAAACTCTTCGCTGTGGAATAGCGGTGCTCCAGCTACAGAGGCAGAAGAAACCTGTCCAGCACGGGCATCTCCCGGTGTTACGAACAGGAGAGCACCGAGAAAAATGCCCGTCATGAACGAACAGGGGGACATGGTGAGCGTGTGAAGGGAAGAAGCGACACCCGGGATTGACAAGACTGAGGAAGGCCAATGGAGACTTTAAGACCAAATCTCCGGGTCGTCAGCTCAAGGTGTCTAAAGCACCATGTTTCAACGTGGGCAATACTTCGGCTAAACCATGAGGTTGACATCCGAAAGGAAAACGCGCTTGTTAGCCCGCCCCCACTGCAATTTAGAATGTCTCGCTCAAGCCCTCTCTCCACTCCACTCTCGTGCGTCTCTTCCGACGACGATGAAAAGTTGAGGCTAGAGCCAGATGGGGCGTTTTCTCCGGATCTCTGGTGGAATTCTCCAAAGCCACACTTTATCTGTGACGCCCAATGTATGTTAGGGAGAATCCAATGCCCTCCAACCGAGATTGTCGCTATGAGTGTCTTTCGCTCAGGATTCCATATGGCGACGGCGACTGTGTCTGTCCACTCCGTCGGTCGGAATGATCAGGATTCTCAAGCTTCGCTCCACGAGTGTTATGAGAAACACATAAGGACCGCATGAACAAGCGCTACTGCGTACACGCGGAAATGATTATTCTGGGCTTGACTCTGATCATGCCATCATGCAATCTGACCCGACTCCATTTTCCATTCACCGTCCACTATGCTCCACTTAAGTAGATCCGATCTGCTTTCTGGGCAATGAGAAACCCGCAACGCAAGGGACTAGGAGAACCTTGGAATGTTGCATTTCATCTAATTTTGCCAAGATTGAGCACGACAGAAACTAGTGAAATTTTTGTTAACCGATGAAGCAGAGACAATTTCATGCCGAATATTATATCCGAGATATCGAGCTCTTGAGCTCTCGATCCGATGCACTCAACGGTGTGAGATTTGATACTTGATCGACTCCACCATCAGACATCTTTCTTTACTAATTGGTGGAATTATACATTCATCCACGGGTCAATACCGGCTGTTGTAAGTGTATATAATTGCGGGAGTGCTCATGCACGCCCATTTTACGCCCCTGACAAGGATAAGCAAATGTAACGCTGCAAGAACGATTAACTTCTCACTAACATGCAAGAGGTGACTCTTCCGCGAGTATCTGCCCTAGCTGGCGGGATATTGTCAGCGTTACGAATGGTTCGTTAGAGGCTGGAGTTCGGAGCCTACATTGCACGCACAAATCCAACAGTCCACGATTCAAATGACAGCGAGATGAGAAAAGACCTGACTTTTTGTCGAGAATTAGGGTCAAGAAGAACACCCACTCCAATTTAATGGACGCGTGGACTTTTGCACGCCATTTATTATTGGCTGTCCCCTTAATTACCGGCCTGAACGGACATCGCACTAATTGAGACACGGACGCAGATATGCAAATTGGTTCAATCAATGTGTTAATATACTCAGGAACCCTTGAAATGGCCCCCCGAACTCCAATGAACCAAAGCCAAAGAAGTGGACCTTTGATGCCGATCCTGACTTGCAGTGTTGGCCAAAATACCAACCCTTAAGATCAAGGTCGCAGGTTGTTCGATCTCGGGAACCCTGGCGAACCTTTGCGGGGAGTACACAATGATTGACGACCATCATCAAAAAGCTGCACTAGGTATCATAGTCGCGTTCACGATTCTCGGTGGCATTGCAGTTCTACTTCGGCTCTGGAGCCGATGGCTATCACGATCGGCACTCACAAGTGGTACGACTCCAGATCGGCACTGGACTTGAACTGTTTGAACTTGCTAACGAGTCTAACTTATAGATGACTATTTGATTGTCGTGGGATATGTAAGTTCCTGAGATCTCCAGGTTTTTACGTCGTGTGTGCTAAATGGTTTGTTTTTCCCTAGATCCTCGCCATCTCCCAATCTATTACGTCGTGGTACTGTAAGTGATTCAGTTAGAAGCACAAAGTGAACAACTGCTAATTCGTAAAACCAGTTATTAAAACCAACTATGTTGGCATCCACGTCTGGGACATTCCCAAAAACTACAATCCCAGACCTGGGCTGAACGTAAGTCTTACTGTGCAGCTTGCACAATAGACCAGAGAGATTAACACGAACAAAATAGTGGAATTTCGCAAATCAGCTCCTCTACAATCCAGCATTGACCGTGGTGAAACTCTCGATATTGGTATTCCTGCGCCGACTCGACTCACGCTCACGGGTGGTCAAATACCTCATCTGGAGCTCCTTCATCGTGGTAATCAGCCTTTTCATCGCGATCCTCTTCGTCGACATTTTCCAATGCCGCCCAGTGCAATACGTCTACGACATGTCGATTCCGGGCGGGAAATGCATCAACCAAGGCGCATTCTTTGTGTCGACCGCAGCGATAAACCTCTTTACCGATATAATGGTCCTCTCAATCCCGATAATAATCACCGCGCGACTTCAAATGCCCCTCCGACGCAAGGTCGCTGTGTGTATCATCCTATGCCTGGGTGGGGTGTAAGTACCCCCCTCAAATCCAACAACGCACCACACACACGCATACCAATCTAACAAACCCATCCCACACACAGAGCGACCGCCATCGGAGTCTGGCGCATCATCATCCTCGCCCAGGGATTCCTCTCCCACACCCCAAATCCAGATGCATCGTATGGAATCGGATTCTGCAGCTCCGCAATCGAAGTCAACGTCGCCGTGGTAACAGCCTGCGGCCCGTCTCTGAAAGCCATCAGCAGCAGATTCCTCCCCAGACTGCTAGACAGTTCGCGCGGGAAATCCACCTACGGCGCCGGCACCGGCTCCGGAACCGGCGTAGGCTCGCGCAGACTCCGCTCGAATATATTCAAATCTGCCTTACACGCCCAGCCATCAGTGCACTCCACCCGCGGCGCGGATTACGAGATGGCGGACCCGCTCTGGGGGACCGCGTGTTGATATTGTTGGCGACTTTGAAGTGCGTAAGTATAAGCGTGGGCATAGTTCTAGTTTAAGTAGTGGTGATGACAAGGGGATTATGAAGATGACTGATATCTCGGTCGGGTATAGTATGGAGCCTAGGGTGGGAGACGGTCGGTCGCAAGAAGGCAGACCGGCCAGTGTTGATAGCATGATTTAATTGCATTATATAGATACGATTTACGAAGATGCATAGGCAGCCGATGGCTTAAATAAGAAGGATATCAAAATGGGCCGAGAATCTACCCCAATTGGGATACGAAGGGTCATCTCATACTTCGGATGTCAGACCGATGGCATTCCCTTTCCGTTTTGGTCTCGAGCCGCTTTTCAGTCACTAAAAACTGAGCATCGGCCAGTCTTTTGAGTTGGAGATCCAGAGCGTCCACGGGTCTACAGACAGGCTGATAAGCGAAATAGACTACTGTCTTCAAATCGCTCTCTCATTATCCATATAAGTGTATACAGATTTCCCGCTGGGCTACCCGCTAATACCAGGGGAAGGTGATATCTGTCACGGATCTCATAGTATAGTAGATCTCATAGTATAGTACTTCACACTATTCTAGACAGATGAATCGTCGCCAAAAGAGGGACTGAGTGGTAATATGAGCCTATATAGCGGATACATGCTCAAGTGGGTTTCAGGGACTCGCTATAGCCAGTTCCGACGTTTTCCAAGTTCAATCCATCCTGAACCGTGGTCTGTCCGGGAAACGAAAGATCGGCGGAGATTGCTCGGACCAGCTTGGTTCTCTTGAAGATCTTCCAGAAGGCGAAGAGGAAGATATAGATAGGCAGGCCGATGTACGCTGCGATAAAATCCGATGTCGACCAGTTGCCGTCCGTGAAGACGGCGAACCCATTTCCCAGAGCTACAAAGCCGAAATACACGAGGCTGAAGTATGCGGCGTAGGGCTGGAAGGGAGTCCGATATGGGAGGGCTTTGATGCCAATTCCCTGGGCTTTGATGGCTGCACGGAAGCGGATGTACGACAGGGCAATGGCCATCCATGTCAGGAAACTGCTAAAGGTCGTGATGTTCATGAACCACAGGAACGCTTTGTTAGCGCCGCTGGAGACTGTCATATAGGTAAGAAGTGTCATGGATGATGTTATGCCGACGGCGAAATATGGAATCCCTCTGTTGAAATGAAAAGAAAAGACTGGTCAGACACGACTGTTCTTTTCTCGGGAGAATGAACCCAGGAAAGGCTATGGGATCCTACCTTGATGAGCAGCGCAGAAGGAACCGCGGTGCCTGGCCGCATTGCGCCAGCGAGTATAGATATCGAGAGGCATTGAAGAGCATGTTATTAGCAACTGAAATGGCTGAGATCAGGATAACAGCATTCAAGATGGACGGCAGCACTGGGATTCCTGCGTTGACGATGCCGATGACCCACGGGGAAGCGGCCGCGCCAGCACCGCCGCTTAACAGCCTGGGGTCATCGTACGGCACGATCAGGCCCACAGCCAATGACCCCAGCACATAGAACAGCAAGATCCTGATGAAGATGATGCGAATTGCCGTTGGAATGTTCTTACGTGGGTCTTTGGCTTCGCCAGCAGCGGCGATGATGCCCTCAGAGCCGCCGAACGCAAACCCAGCTGCGATGACCGTCGCAAACCAGCCTGCAAAGCGTCCAGCGGCACCGGTTCCAATGTATTCATTCATCGCGCCGGGAACCATCCAGTAGCGGAACCCCAGGCGGTCCTGGGCAGGCGCGCCGCCCAGGTCAATGACCAAGGAGAGGATGAGCAGCCCTATCATCGTCGTTAGCTTGACGATGCTAAAGATGAACTCGGCCTCGCCGAATATAGACACAGCTATGATGTTGAGCAGAATCACGACTATGATAACGATTGTAATCCAGACAGCGGGATTCACCGCGGTCGTCCAGTATTGGATCACAATTGCCGCGGCGGACGCCTCGGTACAGACGACCATCGAGTTGGCATACCAAACCTGCCCGCTTGTTAATCACCCAGACACTTGGAATCTAACGTTCGTACTCACGTTCCAACCAACCGCAAATCCGAGAGCATCGTCCACGAACCGAGAGCAATAGAGTGGAATGGCCCCAGTAACAGGCATCCAAGTACCCATCTCTCCTAGACATTGCATCTGGAAAACGGGTGACCAGTCGTTAGTAAACCTCTCACTCTTCTGCTGTCAAACTCACCGTTCCGTAGACCGCCATTGAGGTCAGGGTATAGGACAGAAACACAGACAACGGGCCTCCGCGACTGAGCGCGTCACCGATTGCCAGAAACAGACCCGTTCCGACCGCGCTGCCCAACGCCATGAGTTCAAAGTGTCGGGCTTTGAGTCTTTTGGAGAGTCAGAGAGGCAGAGGCGAGCGACTTGCAGTAGGGATTAAATACCCTCGTTTAACCGACTGACCTCCTTCACAGACATCTTGGGCCGTGCCAGCCTCTGTATCCTCCGCTCCTGGCGGGGAACCGATAACGGTCTGGTCAATGACCTCGCCGTCCTTGTGGCCTTTCATGGTAGTGTTCCAACCACTGCAGTCAGGCTACCGATGAACTGACAAGGATTTGCGAGAAAGGTGCGGTAAATGGTGACAGAATGTGTATGGTATCAAGACTCAAAGAGGCCAGCCCATCGATGAAATATAGGCTGTAGGCAGGTGTATAAGTAGAAATAAGGGGACCCAGGGATAGCGCTATAGATAGATTCCCCACATAATCGGATCCAGATGACAGTGTACTGGCTAGAGTACTAGTATTTTTCAAATATTATGGCACCTATCCTTCTATTGTGTGCAATAATTTCAGTTCATACATGTATTTGTGAAAACATCAAATGGATATCTCTTTAGGACATCCAATCGGAAGCCGGTCCGTTTCATGCCCATCCAACGACGGCGATGCCGCAGATAAGTTTGGTCAGTGAGGATGTAATTTTACACACGGTGCCGAAACATATATCGGATTCTTATATAAATAAAGCCAAAAGATGTTTACCTTCACTCATCAATCCTTCAAGTCAGTACCAACATGACCCGACCAAACTTCCTCGTCATTGTCGCCGACGATCTCGGCTTCTCCGACACTGGAGCGTTTGGTGGAGAGATCAAGACCCCCAACATTGATAACCTAGCCAATGGTGGCCTCCGCTTTACCGATTTCCACGCAGCATCAGCATGTTCGCCGACGAGGGCAATGTTATTAAGCGGAACCGACAATCGTAGGTGTCTTGAGTATCAACCCATTTGGTTGAGCCAGTGGGCTAACTGTGCACCGTCCTCGCACAGATATTGCAGGCATAGGGACAATGGCAGAATCGTGGACTGGGGACCAAAAGGGCAAACCTGGCTATGAGGGCTATCTAAACGATCGCGTAGCACCATTCCCCGAGCTACTTCAAGCTGCTGGCTATCACACGCTTATGTCAGGAAAGTGGCACCTAGGGCTGGCTCCTGAGCGCTGGCCATGCCGAAGGGGCTTTGACCGGTCGTTTTCGCTCCTCCCTGTAAGGCTCTGTACTCATCTATCATCCCCAAGCTTCATCGGCTAAGGCTAACCGTACTACGCCCCAGGGTGCGGCAAATCACTATGCGTGGGAGCCCCAGTTAGAAGAGAACAAAAATGCCCCAGGTCTCCTAGGTGAGACCAATGTCTTCTACGTAGAAAGTGACAAACACATCCAACCCCACGAGCTGGGAGATGATTTCTACTCATCTGACGCGTTTGCAACGAAACTAATCCGGTACCTGGATGAGCGAGACGCAGCTGAAAAGGAGAAGCCATTCTTCGCCTACCTTGCCTTCTCGGCGCCCCACTGGCCGTTGCAGGCCCCGGACAGTGATATTCGGGACTACCGCGGCGTGTACGACGAAGGGCCAGAAGCGCTGCGACAGCACCGCCTGAAGCGCCTCAAGGAGCTCGGTCTGATTCCCGAGCACGCAGTCCCCCACGACGTCGTCGCTGTCGGCGGACACGACCTCTCCCGGGACTGGGACGAACTCGACGCGGAGAAGCAGGCGTTCTCCGCCCGCACAATGGAGTGCTATTCAGGGATGGTCCAGAACATGGACCGGCACATCGGCCGTGTCGTGGAGTATCTCCGCGAGCAGGGCGAGCTGGAGAACACGTTTATCCTCTTTATGTCTGACAACGGCGCCGAGGGCCTCTTGCTCGAGGCTATTCCGATTATCAAGGGCGATGTCCATGACCATATCGCGCAGTACTACGACAACTCCCTGCAGAACATGGGCAGGAAGAATTCGTACGTCTGGTATGGGCCGCACTGGGCGTCGGCGGCTACAGCACCAGGGCGTCTGTACAAGTCCTTCACCACCGAGGGGGGAATCCGCGTCCCGTTCATTCTGAATTATCCTCCTCTGACGGCTCATAGACATCCGGGTAGTATTGACCACTCGTTTGCAACGGTGATGGATATTGCTCCGACGATACTCGAGCTCGCGGGGGTTGATCATCCGGGGACAACCTACCGCGGCCGCACCGTGGCCCCTATCCGTGGTAAATCCTGGGTTTCCTACCTGACGGGACAGACAGGCAGCATCCACTCGGACGATGACGCCATGGCCTGGGAACTCTTCGGCCGGCAGGCTATCCGGAAAGGGCGATACAAAGCGGTGTACATCCCCAGGCCGTATGGGCCCGAGAGGTGGCAACTGTACGACTTGGAGCAGGACCCCGGCGAGCGTGATGACTTAACGGACCACTTACCAGACACTCTTGCAGACTTGATAAAGGAGTGGGATCGGTATGTTTATGACGTTGGACTGGTGGTGGGCTCCGCACAACCATCTTACGTAGTGGACGAGAAAGGTTATTGATAATATAAACCTAATTGTTATTGACAAACTGCTTGGTTCCTTTAGTGTCCCTCGTATAAAAGCTGTTAAAAGAATCATATCCTCCTGTAGGCCTAGCAGGCAGACTGCAGTATCGAGGACCTGGTTAAAAGAGAGCTACAAGTACCCGATATCCATTACAGTTCTTGACTATATCTACTGTTCTGAAGAATATATAGAGATTTTAAGAATAGTGAGTTTTCAGCGCCAGCTGCTCGGTTTAATACATGATGTAGATCTCCTGCTGTATTTTATTGATAATACGCAACACATTTGATTTCCACCAATATCTCTTCACGCGGCAACGCGCGCACTTCAACCGTTGTCCGGGCTGGTGCTGTAGTGCGGTCCGGCCACACACGGTTCCACTCCTCGTTCATGCCCGAATAGTCGCCGTTTATGCTGGTCAAGAAGACCGTCGCGTCGACGACGTTCTGGATCCCTGCTTTCCCTTCCGAGGCCGCTTGAATGTCTGCGTGTATATTGGACAGGACAGATGCGGTTTGCTGCCTGATGTCTAGGTCCAGCGTGACCTTGCCTGCGGTATCCTCTGTGCGAGTGGCGCCGACGAATGTTCCATCGCCACGGCGCGAAGACGTTCCTGAGACGTATATATATGATCCTTGGCCGTTGCTCGATGGGACAGCCCGTGCATGGGGATAATTGGCCAAGCCTTGGGCGTGGTTTGAGGGCCGGAAGTATGGGGTGGTGGACGACATCGTCTGTGGGATTTGGGTAGTCTGTCGAGTCGACAAATGGTAGATAATGCAGGTATGTATAACTGGGTACAGTCTGGCAAGACGAAAACTACCAAAAGAAGTATTTTTACATAGAGGACGAGGCTAAGGGGACTATAGTAATGCTTCGGATGTATCCGCATACATCGGAATATTCTTTAAAATGAGCAAGGGAACTGAACCGCCTGAGGTCCACGGATGTTTCCATAGGTCTCCGGCCCGGCCCGGGGCCTCACAAGCCAAATCCGGGGGCCCCGGGGCGGCCGCTTACTAAGAATCACTTGGGCGAGGTCTTCCCAAGGTCATAATTTTCATGTCTTAGCTATATCCTATAATACTATATGTATACTACACACTGGAGAGTAGGGACGCACTGAAGAGTAACTTGTGGAAACTGCTGACCAATAATGTTCAATAAATACCCCTACTCCTTTGACTATGTTCAACAAGAAATTGAAACGAATCTGTTTAAATTTTTTTTTTGACTATAGACCGATTCGTATAATCACCGGCTATAAGTTTGCTTGCCCTTTAATACTCCTGTTTTCTCCATCTACCGGCTAGTTGTTAATGTTTCGTTTGTTCTACTACTATGTGCTATGGGAAGCGTCGTCGAGTCGACTCCCAAATAACCGTTGCATTTGGTCGTTCATCAACATCATCTCTCTCTTCAATTGGTGTCATTACACCCTATTTTTGCCAGTTTCTCACCTCTGCTTTCTGCCGGCCGCACTCATTGGCCACATTTGAATTTGTATATCTAGTATTGATTACCTATTCAAGATCCCACTGGGCACTTTTGATCCCACGAGTAGGACCCTCACGTTCCTAGGAACATGGAACCTAGAGCCGAATATCACCTAGCACTAATCTCATAGGCGAATATGGTACATGATCATGATTGAGGCTCGGTTCAAAAACCATTGAAGACAACCTAAGCGTAATATTTTGTCAATGAGGGCCTCAATGTGTCCAACGAAGTGAAACCACAGTGTCCTCTCTGATCTTCGATTTCTTCAAAATGATTCACCACCCAAGCCGGTGGCGCAATCGTTTCCCCCCACATCAGCATACCTAGGGCTGCAGTGTCTGAGACTGTCATTCCTGGGCGGATGACAGGCAGCGCTGATTGCAGCACTACAACCTCCCGCCAACGGCATCACGGACTTGAACCTTTGGAACGCCAGCCCGACCAATATACATACCATAACACCCACAACAAGGACAGACAGAAACATGGGTAGAGGTGAAAATCCCAGCGAGCTAGTCTCTGATTCTACAACCGGTTGGCCTCGCACGTTATACGGGGTCGCTGAAACGTAAAAGATACTTTGCGAAACCAGCCAGTGGAGAGCCATGTAGATCACCAGGATTGGAATGCCGTATTTATACGGCACGCTAATCCAATAGGTCGAACGCTGCTGGCTGCCTTTAACGGGCCAGGTGACGCGAAGTGATTTGCGATTAACCCCGTAGGAGCTGTACTCGGCTGCTGCCAGCATGCTAGTCAGGACGCTATTATAGCAGTAGTAACTGATGGTGATGACCAACTGCGGTGCGTTGGCCACCACGATGGAGCCCAACATGGGCCACTTTTGCGTTTCTTCCACAGCCCCGTAGTTGTCTCCGTCACCACCTGAGCTCCACAACTGCTGTAGTCGGCTCGCGCTGAAAAGGTAACCGGACCAGGGGGATGAGGGGTTTGTAAAGAGGAATACGCCTGTTCCAATGCACGTCAACCATCTGGATGAAGCTGGTTAGTATAACTCTTGAGACGCGACTAGGTCACACCAAAACCTACAGTATTAAAGTTGCCAGCCACCGCGTTACACTAGGTGCCTTTATCCAGAACTTGCGTGGCAATAGTCGCTTGTACGTGATTGCTTTATGTTGATTGCTGCCACCGGCCGACGTGTCAGCGAGCCCTTGTGTCCTGCAGGGAGTCTTCCATTGCTTATGACGAATGTCCGCGTAGGAGATCCAGCACATCCCCTCTGTCGTGGGATCCGGCTTTGCAATGAAAGATGCCACTGCATCGCCCACCGTAAGAAGAGGTGCCGATCGAGAGCGACCAATTCGGGCTGCAAGGAACATTGCTATCACTTTTGCCGACGCGGTAACCACAACGATAAGACAGATAGGCGGGCAGTAGAGCAACTGACAGTGCTCTTCGGCTTTGACAGCAAGGCACCCCTGGATTTCGTAGGACACAAAAGCGGGCCACGGAAGATCATCGACGCAGGTTGTGAAATCTCCCTGTGCACCATAGCTCTGTTTTGCGAACGAGGTGGCGCGAATTATCCCATCGTGGCCGGAAACATCAGCCAATAGCATGGACGCATTTCCTCCGTCACTCACGGTCAAGTTGTCCGCGAGCGCGACAAGCGCCTTTGTTCCTGTATGACTCGAGCCAGTGTGGAAATCGATACATTGCTGGGTAGTAAGTCGCTCATAGTTCCCACTTGCAATATTGGAAGCAAATTCATGCCAGCCGAGTGCGACGGTACCGTTAAAAAGAGGCGACATAAAGCATTTTTCCAATTGGGGAGTACTTAGGTCCCATACGTTCTGTGAGTCCAGGTTGTTTGGCCCAACGACGATGCCGTATTGGTTCGGGAAAAGGATTGAAATATCATGGAGTTATACCTGCGGCTGCATTAATACATGTACACATATAAGGCATCCATAGATCTCCCCCCGTCACACATACAATAAATGAAATGGTGTTGTTGTAATGAGCAATACCACCCATAGCGCTAGCCGATACCGTCCGATAGCACAAAGGTTCTTGAGGCTCGCCTCTCCAATATCAAGCCATCGACCCCGCGCATGGAATACATCAATTTCCTCTCGGCTTGGGGCGACGAGTGTCTGCATGCAGTAATTGCTAGCAGCTAAAATACCGGTGCTGAGGATGTTGATTATCAGGTGAAGCGCAATATCCCATCGTTTGGTTAAAGTGCAACTACCCCGATATATTACCGAGGCTTTAAACTCATCATTGTCTGGATATCTGCTGGCCAGTCCGGCAGCTATGGCGATGAAGATCAAATTGAGCAAAACCACAAGGGTAGATCCTTTGGCACAAAGAAATACCCCATTAATCCAGCCACACTTTTGTGACCTTGATATCCTGCCGTCTTCTGTCCGCTCTGCTGCACCCCTTTCAAGCAGAGTAACCTCCTCGTCGACTGGTGACGTTTTAAAGACCGATAGGTGACTTATTCCGTTCAACGAGAACGAAAAGACAGATGGTTGGTCATGGATTTTATTGAGCTCGGTTCTATCTTGTCGGGTTTGTGCATATCCGTGGGGACGATGGCCCAAAAAGGATTTGACGCGGCCCCATATCAGGCGCACACCAATAATTCCCATCATTTTCGCCCTTAAGTTGGGAAATTGACCCGGCGCTAGGGATATGACGAAGCGTTGCTATATCGGTTAAATCACAAATGTGGGAGAGAAAAAAATAAATCGACAAAAAAAATGCGCGAATCCGAAGGATTAACATATGTCCCTGTTGCGTCTTGACTTTGGCCCCCATTTTATAACTGGGTCAACAAGGCCGATCATATACGTAATCAAATTATAGGGTATATTACTACTTGACCAAACTACTATATTAGTGGATGGAGGTAGGTGATATTGAAAAAGTTAGACCCCCTACTAGTAACTAGGAAGCTTCCACAACCTGATAGTGGGCGGCATGGGCCATTGGGCCCGTCGTGAGCTCCATGTATACATATAGTCAGTTTATCCGTAACCTTATTGTATTAGGATCCTCGGAGGATAGTGGTATCCAAGCTGCTAGAAGTGCGACACATGAAGGGTACGCAGATTGGTAAAGACATCACGGCTGTACGCTCCACCTTCACGGCCGGTGCCAGACGCCTTCATGCCTCCAAACCCTGTGCCGAGCTCCCGAACTAGCCAGCAATTGACCCAAATCAATCCGGCATCGATACGCTCGCCCACCCGACGCATTCGGGCTAGATCGTTGGTCATGACAATACCGGCCAGACCGTTAGGGTTGTCGTTTGCCAACACGATAGCCTCTTCTTCTGTGTCGAAGGGACACACGGTAACGACGGGCCCAAAGATCTCCTCGCGCATGACTCGACTGCCGGTCGGAAGGTTACTAAGAACCGTCGGCCCGATCCAGAAGCCCTGCTGAGGATCTTCGTCCGGCACATCTCCCGTATGAAAGAAAGCGTTCTCTTCCCGGGCCTGTACCAGATAGCCGCGAATCTTCAGGTAGTGCTCCCGCGAGACAACCGGACCCATCGTCTCCCCGAGCTTGTAATGGCTTTCAACGTATTCAACCAGTGCAGGCAGAAATTTCCCGTACACTGCGCGCTGGACGTAGATACGTGAGCCGCACAGGCAGATTTGCCCGCTATTCTCAAAAGCCGCCCGAGCAGCGAGAGGAACTGCCTTGGTCAGGTCGACATCGTCAAACACTAAGGCTGGATTTTTCCCACCAAGCTCAAGCGACAGATGCTTCCCAATGTCAGCCACGGTGTCCTGTCGGATGCGGATGCCTGTGCTTGTACCGCCGGTGAACGACACTCCTCGCACGCGCGACGACTTCACGAGGGCTGAGCCAGTGCCTGGGCCATCGCCGAAAACAAGGTTCATCACGCCCGCTGGTAGCTTCGCTTGCCGGAAGACTTCACGTAGCACTGGCCGAAGAGTTAGCTGGCTACAAGCACGGTTTTGGCCAATGTTCGGACATACAAAATGCTGTTATGCTGGTGACTTCGCTTGGTTTTGCCACACCTGTGCATCCGAATGCGAGACAAGGAGCGATCTTCCACGTCAGGAGATACAGTGGCATGTTCCATGGTGAGATGAGCCCAAATACCCCAACGGGGGATCGATGTTCATACGTCAAGGTGGATGGTTGCCCATCAACGTATCGCACTGCGCCCTCTTCGTGCAAGATATATGTAGCAAAGTATCTAAGAGAAAACAATCTGTCAACATTTTTTTCATCACATGTTAAGGAGCAGATAATAGTCGGATATGTTATTGGCAGCGACGGGGAGCAAGGAACCAACCGAAAGTTCGAAATTGCACGCTCTACCTCGACCCTGGCCCGAGACAGTGTCTTCCCCTGATCAATGCTCTCCCAGACTGCGAAAAGTTCTTTCTTCTCACCCAGGATATCAGAAATCCGCATCAACACCTGCGATCTCTCCTGTCGGGACGTCTTTGACCATGTCAGGAACGCTATCGAAGCCGCATCCACAGCGCTGTCCACATCAGTCACTGTGCCGCTGGGGATTTGCACCAGGAGCTTGCCGGAACGAGGATTTAATGACTCAATCCATTCAACTGCTTCTAAATGTCTACCGTAGGAGCCATCGATAAAGTGGTGTAGACGGGGAGTATTGGGCCCATGGCTGGTCAGGTAGTCATTTGCGCTCTCCAATGTGTCGAGCTCCCATAGCGTGGAAATAGCATCCATGATGAAGGTGAAGGTGCAAACTGATGTCGACCAAGGCCAACATTATAAGCCACGAGTTCCTGCTGAGTGAGCATTACGGTGATGTGTCTCCACGCGGAGCACCGCAATTGCTATCCACTGCTACGGAAACGATCCGGTCCAAGTGCGCCTTCAATGCTGGACCCGCGGCTCGCCCCGACATAAGCTGGCGCGAGACAAGAGTGTGACGCTTTCTGAGAAAAGGCTATTACTTGGATTGAGTTAGAAGATGCTGATATGGCTATGGCTCTGTCTACTGTATGCACCGTTGATTAAGAATTTTGAAAATGATGGCTCGTGGCAAATGCACCTGGCGCTAGTATAGCACCTCCAGGGCTATATGTAACTATTTACACTCCGGAAACATGCTCTCCAACCTTAGAAATTCAATGGCGTTCCCTGACAACATCCGCGCCCGCTTCTCCTGTGAAAGGAAGCTGCCAACCTGCGCGTCACTGGCCAGCATCTCGCCTGGGACTGGCATCTCGCCGAGCGGGAATGGGTAATCACTGCCCATGATGATCCTTTCCGGCCCAATCTTCTTGCAGATAAATTGCAGTAGATCTGGGTCATGTACCAAACTGTCGAGCCAGATGTTGGACTGCTGTGACTGGATATAGTCCTGAGGAAGCACTCCTTGGGAGCTGTGCGCAACCAGATCAGGACGACAATCGTATCCATGCTGAATCCGGCCCAGAAGAGGCAAGTAAGCCCCACCGGCGTGGGCAAAGCAGAAACGGAGGTTCGGGTGACGCACCAGAACGCCAGATGAGAGTATAGAGTGCATTGCAAGTGCTGTCTCGCTGGGCCTAAATCGACATATGGTTAGACGTCAAGAAGATTAGCTTGAGTGCCAAATGGATCCTTACATTCCTATTAGCCATGCTGACCAGTACTTCCCCCATCGTTCCTTGTTCTCCTGTTCTAGCTCATATCCAAGAGGGTGGACAAATATTGGGAAATCCAACTCCTCGCATGCAGTCCAGAACGGCTCAAAGTCGGCACTGTTCAAGGTTTTCCCGCCAACCTCAGTGCCAATCTCCACGCCTTTCAGTCCCAGGATGTCCTTTGCGCGCCTCAGCTCCTTGACTGACACAGCCACATCCTGCAAAGGCACAGTTGCCAAGCCCACAAATCGATGAGGATGATCGCGACACACGGATGCAATGTGGTCATTCAAGTATCGGGCCATCGCCGCGGCTGGCTCGACGGGCTTGTCATATGAGAACAGCACGGGCACCGTGCTAATAACCTGCACATCCACACCCGAAGCATCCATTTCTGCGATGCGGACGTCTGGGTCAAAGCAGTTGGGCTCAACCGTACGGAAAAATCTGTCGCCGACAAACATATCGACTTTGCTGGAGGCTGGGCTGTTCTGGCCATCGGATCTGTTGCCCGGGGTATCATGCGGCCGAAGGGTAATCCATTCTTGGCTGTTTGACTGCGACATGCAATGAGATTTGGAGAAATCAGGCAAACATGGCGGCATGATGTGAGTATGCATGTCGATCCGAAATGGGTCATTGCTGGTGCATCGCCCTCTGCTGACGGGCTGACGATGCTGCTCAGTAGAACAGCAAGAGCCGTTCCAATTAATCGTCATCGTAAATCGCTGGCAACTGAAATGGTATATAGGTTGGACTTGAAAGAGTGATAGATCGCTAGGGCACAAGTGGTTGGATGTTTCTGTGCTAGGAGTGTCGCGGAGAAAAGGCAGTAATATGAAGTGAAGGGATGCTCTGGCTTGGCCGGGTTTGTCCTAATTGTTTCTTGCCCAGTGGGCATTTCCGGGTATAGGCGAGCAGCTGTGGCCATGGCATTCGGAACCCCAGAAGATCAATATGGATATATCCGAAGGCTCATTCGGAACGCTGTCCGGTCTGGGGCCACTGCGAATGCACAGTAGAAACCCCTATTTGTGTTCAGCTCGCCGCATGAGAGCAGCCCATTCATTCTCCATCTTCTAGATTCCCTCTCTTAACTCACTTCTTTACCGAAAAACAAATCATGGAGCACGCATCGTCCGCTGAAACTTCTATCCCGGGACTCGTTATTCTGCACTCGTGGCTGTCCGCGAACGCCCAGAAGTTACAGCCCCCAGTCAATAATCAATGCCTGTACTTTGGAAAGGACTTCATCTTAATGGCGGTTGGAGGACCGAACACGAGGAATGACTACCACAGTGGGTATATTCCTTCTAGATGGAGATCAAGTCAATAGAAAGGTGCTGCATGCTAACGTGGTCGTTCGGAGCAAAGTCAACCAGACAGAGGTGAGTATCCCGTTATTGTAACGTTGACGAAACCCGAAACCCGAAACTGACAATGGTATGTTATTTGCGCATCAGGAGTGGTTCTACCAAATCAAGGGTGACATGCTGCTCAAGATTGTCGAGAATGGCACGTGCTTTCGTGACATTGTGATTCGAGAAGGCGAAATGTTCCTTCTGCCTGGTACGGTCACTTGCTATCCTTGCTCTCCACCTGTTCTAAACCCCCATAGGAGACATCCCGCATTGCCCAATCCGGTATAAGGAAACCATTGGCCTTGTTATGGAGCGCACTCGGCCCCCGCACGTAGTCGACCGCATAAGGTGGTACTGCCCCAATGCAGACGCTCACCAGACTGCCCCCAGCATCATCCGGGAAGAGTCGTTCCACTGCGCTGACATCGAAACTCAGCTTAAGGATCTCATTAATCATTGGATGACGGATGAAAGTACACGAAAGTGCGGCGACTGTGGGGAGATTGCGCCACCGCATTGATCCCAATGGATGCGGCTATGCTCAGGCCGTGGCCAACGTAGAGGCCTTTGTTGGCACCTCTATACACCAGTCTCCCCCTACCGCATGCTGATTAGGATGGAAATGAGGCTACAGTTGAAAGTAATGTGATGGCCATTTGTATCATTCGGAATGTGAGAAGAATAGATCGAAGGATGACATCAGCATACTATCATCAAGCAAGTCTGTTGTAGAGTCTCCCGGCACGGACGGCAGAGGAGGAATACCGGGTACAAGGAAATCACTGGGGCCAATGGCCGCGTCCAGCATAGGCAATCTGTCTGCCTCAGAAAGTATGGGCGGCGTGTTCAGCGCATAGTAGGGGGAGGGAGCAGGATGGACATTGAAGTTCTGTGATAGCCTGCGCCGCTTTGGTTGTCTTTCAGGAAGTCGTGACTCTTGCCCATAGTTATTCGATAAGAGACTTTGTGGCGTCCTCGTTAGATCCACCTCAGGGACATTGTGCAATGGGTCCCTGTGACGAGAAATGGCATCATTTTCAGCGATGCCCGGCAAACTTTGGGGCCTGTCAGTGTGGCTGGTCCTGGTCCTGCACAGCGACCCGTGATTCGTTCCGCCGTTTCCTGATGGCCTTACGTGGGATTCGATGCTATATCGATCGAACACTCGATGGAATAGCTCGTGTTTGCTAAGATGAATCTGCGTCAGATACATGTCTTCTTCAGTGACTTGTTGATATCTCTTGACCTCAGGCCACTGAATCTTTGTCTTTCCCAATATGTCGCAGCCTCTCTGGACATCTGGCCAGGCCTTGTTGGTGTACCCTGTATTCTTCGCCATGCGTATGCAGTGTAAGAGGACTTTGGTACTCGTATATACCGCCCGACACTGTTGGATCACGAAGTGACTGGCAGGCACAGTGGCCATCACTTGCGGAGTGACCCTGATGCAGTTTGACGCGGCCTCGGCGCAACGTAAGAACACCTCAGGGTCCTCAATTTTGAGTCGCTCAATAAACGTGCGGTAGAGAAGCACAACTCCGATATAGTAGGATGACTCGGCAACGTTCTGTAGTGCAAGCGGTCGAGCCGCACTATGGGGTCCTTCCATTTTAGGCAGGACCCGCTTAGTGTAGTACCTCTCCAGCTCGGTATCATACTTTTTCATGTATGACTGCAGTATGCTGTTATCTCCATGCGCAGCATTCTGGGGCTGGTGGCATCTGCGAATCCACCGCACGGACTTGTAAATACGACCCATGATGATGTGAAACTCGGCAATGACTGCGAACCAGGGATCGATCTTGTCCTCCGGTATCAAAGTCAATTGGCTCTCTCCATCATAGCGATCCATGTTGCTTTCGGAGTTGTCGATCGCCAACGGCTTAAGGAGCGCTGTCGACAAAGATCGGTCCAGAATATATAAACACCACCAAATGTTCCCATGTACGCTGCATCTCGCCTGCACTTCAGCCGCCGCATCCATACCATCTTCAAGATCCAATGCTTGATATAGGCGGATCGCGTGGCCAACTGTGATCCAAGCGTCGTTCACCTTGCCACACTCGGTGAGATAGAAGGTTAGAAGGCCTTGCGCAACGACCAAGTTAGTGGCCGCTGACGGGGCATTATGTGTAGTTGGCCGTCCCGGAAACCTGGAAGTCGCATGGGTGTATAGCAGACCTCCCAGATCCACCTGCTTATAAGCTTTTAGGCGAGGTTGGTCAAAGATAACATGCTCTGCTGGCAGCAGGAAGGATGCCACGGCGAGCAGTGCATATAAGAGCAGCAAAAATTTGTCGTCCTCGCTGCCACGGCTGCATTGGCGAGCCGATAACCAGCGATCAAATTGCGGCTGAAAATCACGTTGGCTGATAATGGGGAATATGGGATATATGGAACGGTAAAATAGGTCAATCAAGAGCTGTAGAAGGGGCTCTGGCAACTGGGTCACGTCGATCGCAGCGGGCTCTGGGGGCTGTGAGGCCGTCACCACGTTTTCCTCCTGCTGGCCCTCGGGACCTTCATTTTGACCGTCTCCCTGCTGGTCGGGCAATGAACAGGGACCACGATTGGCATTATCACTGTCAGACACGTTCGCAGCTATCGGACAAGGTACAGACGGAAGCATTACTTCTCCGCTGTCTAGGTCTTCTTGGCCTGCTTGGACATTTTCACTGAGTTGGCCGTTATGACCGGTTGATGGTTGTGCTTGTGACTGCTGATGCAATCTCTTTTCCATCAGCTGGATCTGGCTCTCGAGTTTCATGAGATATCTAAACCAGCGTTCAGCCATGTCGCTTTCGATGGGGGACTGGGGGTGAAGAGAAAGAAACTCACTGCGGATCCACCATCCTCATGTTGACGGACGGGTCGATATAGATGCACTCAGCCTGGTTGCGAGTGCAGCTCTCGCATGGATGCTCACCATCACACTTGACCTTCTTCCGCCGACATATCTGACAGGCGCGCCAAACCCGCTGACGCTCGTTCATTGTGCTGAGCGTGTTGCGGAATCTCTTACACTATTGGAGGAGAGGGGAAAGGGGAGTCGGGGAGAAACGCGTTCCTGCTACTACAGTGGAGATTTGAAGCACGACCCCAACAATCTAGGGTAGAAACATCTGACCAATCAAACAGCATGTAATTAACTAACAACATGTAATTATAAGTGTCAAACTGGGATATGGCCCTCCCTAGGCCCTAAACAGGAACCTTGGTTTTTGTTATGGTCTAGTGGTAAAATACGTCGTATTTATTTGCACAATAAGTGAACAATTCCCCCGAAGTGTTCAAGCCTTGTTATCAAACATACCGTGACGTGTGGGGTCTGTCTCCACGTTCAGCTTAGCGTACAGGTTTATGTATCAGCGTGACAGAACAGTCTCAAATTTCAAAATTTCATTTCAAAATCCAGAATTTGGTATATTTTCAATTCCATTTGGCTTCTCCTTGTCAGCAGTCTAAATGTCCACGGGTATACGCACCAACCGTTTGCTCTATTCTATTCATGACCTCGGGAGGCTTGAATGGCTATAATAGCTTACCTAGGTACTGTCTGCCTTATACCGAAGATGAATATATTGTAAGCGTATTCTCCGTGAAATTTCCGGTCAAACCCAAATATTTCCCAACTTTCCCCCTTTCTCTGTATTCATTTGCTTGATCTATTCTTATGCAGAAGATCTTTCCCTTCATTATATCAACAATCTACCTTTTCTCCTTATTTCATCAAACATTTTGAAAACTTCCAGCTACCTCGCACAACCCCAGTCTACTACAGATAGCTCCTACATTGCCCGGTGCGCGTGGTGGCCACAATGATATTGTATGCTCCTAGAACATTAAGCAAGATATATGTTAGCACAACACAATCAGAAATAACGAGGAAGCTGTTGTGAATTTTATCACTGCTACCCCCTCCGGATACCAAAGGCCCCCGGAGTCTGCCGATAACTTCCAGATGAGGCCTATCGGATCACTCCCGGGGAATGGCACGGAATAGGAACAGCTTTTATAATACTAATATGATTATGAATTATGAATAGGCCTTGCACCATGGGTGAAGTACCCTCACACATTAATTATACCAGAAGATTGAGATAAGACACTGCATCATGAAGTCCGAGACCACCAGCCGTCACCACGCGGCGCCAGCAAAGATCCGTGATTCCTTCTCCCGGGCCATGTCCGCCATGTATGCGTCTGAGGTCCCTCTATATGGAAGACTGTTGTCTCTTGTCTCTCATGTCAACAAGACGACCCTTGAGCAGGACGGTTCACTACGCCAGCGCTTGGAAGCCACAGATGACCTGAGACCGCATCGACATGGAACGACATGGCGCGATCCGAGTTGGTACACCGGCAGAGCTACATTCAGTGCGTCGCGTGCTACACGTAATGAACATGCTTCCTACTGGGTTTTACGACCTCTCCGCAGCGGGAGTGCCAGTGCATGCGACTTGCTTCCGTCCTCATAGCGCATCGGAGCTATCCCAGAACCCATTCCGTCTGTTTGTTTCGCTGTTGCAGCTGCACCTGATCACAGATGAAAAGCTCCGAACTATTGTCACAGAGACTCTTGCCCGCCGTCAAATCTTCTCAGACCGCATGTACGAGCTGCTAGACATCTGCGAGCGCTACGGTGGCCTTACAGACGCCGAAGCCGAGGAGTTCGTGCAGGAGGCGAGGGATAGTTTTCGATGGCATGCTAGTGCTGCTGTTCCTTACGACGACTACATGCGGCTCTTGCGCGATAATTCTGTCCTAGCCGATATTGTTGCTTTTCGGTCGCCGCACATCAACCACCTCACGCCTCGTACCTTGGATATCGATGCCGTGCAGTCCGATATGCTCAACCAGGGTATTCCGCTGAAAGAATACGTCGAAGGTCCGCCGAAAAGGAAATGCCCCATTCTCCTACGACAAACCAGCTTCAAAGCCATTGAGGAGGCGATTGAATTTCCAAACGAAAACAAGGGCGACCCGACAGTATTGCCCAGTGCCGTGTCTGGGTATCATACAGCCAGGTTTGGAGAGGTCGAGCAACGTGGTGTGGCTTTAACAGTCAAGGGGCGCCAGATGTACGATTCAATGTTGCAATCAGCCTTGCAGGATGGCATCACAGCCGCGCATGGAGAGGCATATTCCCTTAAATTCGCCAAATTCCCCGACTCATGGGAGGATCTACGTGCGGAGGGCCTAGCGTGGTTTCAATACCGTGTTGATTGGGACAACCTGCAATCGTCAGAGACTCCCAAGTCCGATGATCTCGAGTATCTGATTGGATCTGGTTACGTGGTGTACGAGCCCATCGTGTACGAGGATTTCCTCCCTATCAGCGCAGCGGGCATCTTCCAGAGCAATCTTGCCAAACCAGGGGCGACCAACGGCGGGTCACCAAAAATGGTTCCTTGCAGTAACAGACGAGAATTTGAGCTCGCCCTGGGTGTGGTAACTATGGACGAGATGATACTATACAAGAACATCCAGGACGAGAGTCTCCTGAAATGTCGACAATGTGTTCAAGACTTTAAACTGGGAGTGACGACAAGACAGGAAAAGTCGATATAAGGGAATCGATGAATCCGAGTTGAAATATATTCTATTTGGATCATGTACATACTTTTCATCAATTTACACGTGGGTATATACCCATGCTAGGATATAGCCGTCTTATTTGTACAATTGGGGCTTGCATTCCAAGTCATGAGAATTAACAGAGTTGGTTGGCTTTTCCCTAGATACATTCTACATTTCTGTATATCGTATACCACTTTCCTTTTTCAGAACCACCTATGCTTAAGTTTGTATCTTGATCAGCAGTTTTCCAGTGGTCTTCTGAGCTGTAAGGTCATCCTGGGCCTGCGCCACCTCCCCCAAGTGATATTCACCACCCAACTCTGGCCGCACGACTCCGGACGCCACCAAGTCAAGCAGCTGCTGCGATCGGAGGACAAACTCATCCCTGTCCATGATATAGTTTGCCAGTGTTGGCCGCACAAGTTTGACATTTTTCTTGCTCAAATCCAAGACTCGGAAACTAGACACGGCGCCACTGCTGTTGCCATACGAGACCAAAGTGCCCTTCTCCTCGTGCAGGCTAGGTCTTCGGGAAAGGTAGCCTCTCCAACCCCACTGAAAACCGCATGACAGCCCTTCGTCCTCGTGATTCGCATGACCTCCTCTTGCACATCATTGTCCTTGTAGAGAATAACGTGGTCGCATCCGTGCTTCTTCGCAATCTCGGCTTTTTTTGGTGTCGATACTGTGCCGATCACAGTTGCACCGAGGTGCTTGCACATTTGTACGAGCATACCACCTGTACCTCCAGCCGCCGCTTGGACAAGAATTGTTTGCCCCTGCTCAACCTTATGGGCATCTTGGACGATCGTCCAAGCTGTCAGGCCCTGGAGCATGATCGCAGCGCCATGTTCCGTCGATACCGATGGCGATAAGACCATGACGCTCTCTGCTGGTGCAGAGACGTACTCTGCTGTGGTACCTTGAGTGAAGACTGCCACCCGGTTCCCGACCTGAAGGCCATATGAGTGAGGGACATTGGAACCAATATCGACGATGGTACCGGCGCCTTCACGGCCGACCTGGAGGGGCAACTTCACTGGGTACAGGCCGCTACGCTGGTATGTATCGACGAAGTTTACCCCGGCGTAATCAACTTTCACCAGGACGTCCGTCTCATTCATCACTGGGAGAGGATGTCGAGTCTCAAGGCGAAGGACAGATGAGTCGCCATGCTTGCCAATGACGACCGCTTTCATGGATTGTGGGAGTGTGTCCATGGTTCCGAGAGATGATAACGACTTAACAAGTGAGAAACAGAGGTAGTGCGTTGATTACTTGATGTCGTATGGTATGTGTGGTTGATGTTTTGGTAGTTTGAAAGTCGCAAGGCAGCCAAGTCATACAAGAGTAAACCCGTGGACCGGTCAAACTTGATACGCTACTCCGGTAGACAGATTATGGTCTCCTCAGCAGATGTACAAAGTACCTGATCCCGGAAGCGTTCAAAGAAGCAACCACATCCAGAGCATAGCATTAACAAGCACATGGAAAGCCGGATAGACCCGTGAGTGGCTCATTTACACTAAAGGGCCGTTGTCGGATTGCTCCGTGATTGGCCCTATGAGCACACGAAAGATATTTTTACCTGGAACATACCATCGTTACCCGCAAGTACAATTATGTGGCCCATACTGTGAGATACCCCAGTGAGCAGAGCGTCGAGCACCCCGATCGGGAAATTCGTATCGGCCTAGAATCCGGTAGTTACTGCTACATAAAGTACTACTAAGTAGTATGGAGGTTCCCATCTTCTTATAAACTCTGAATATACCTCACATATTCAAATCATCCTTGATTGATGTGGCGACTGAGTACTATTCACGGTATGCCTTCAGTGTTGGGTCACGCACTCCGCTCTAATATATTCAAGTCTGTCTCGCACTCCCATCCATCAGTCTACTCCCTCTCGCCGTGCTGATTACGAGATGGCTGGGCCATGTGTTGATATTGTTGACGATTATGAAATACACGCAAGGTTTAGGTAACCTTACGAATATTGCCCAGGTGGGATAATAGGGGGATCATAAAGACAACTAATATCCCGGTCGGGTATAGTATAGTTTAATTATATCATCTAGATACGATTTACGAAGATACCTACATAATGTAGGTAGCTTATAGCCTACTTGAAGAAGAAGGATACCAAAACGGGCCGAGGATCTACCCCAATTGGGGATATGAGGGGTCATCTGCATACATAAAGGTATGGAGTCTCCCCTCTTCTTATAAACTCTTACTCGGTGAATATACCTTGATCACATATTCAAATCATACCCAATTCACAGATATGGCGACTCAGTACCAGCTACCATTCAAGGTATTGCTACCATCCTTCTATTCCTAGTCGGGGTATTCGGCGAGATGTCCGAAGTGTTCAGCCACGCTAACCAGATGTTCTCCAGCTATCGGACCCCAGTCTGCTGAAATTCGACTCCATCATCGGCGATAAATGGGTCGGTGCAAAGAGCGGAAAGCGATTTGAAGTACTCGGTAAGTGAAAGGGCATTATCCTCCATAGACATCACAGCTAACATATCCACTTAGACCCCGGCACTGACAAACCCTGGGCCAGCTGCCCCGCAAACGCAGCAGAAGATGTCTCCGCCGCCGTGGAGAACGCCCACACAGCCTTCGAGGAATTCCGCAAAGTCAACCCTCGCCAGCGCGCCAAGTGGCTACTAGAATGGCACAACCTGACCATCGCGGCCCGCGACGACCTCGCCCAGATCGTAACCCACGAAACCGGCAAGCCGCTAGCAGAAGCATACGGGGAGATCGACTACTCCCTCGGGTTCCTCTGGTGGTTCGCCGGAGAAGCAGAGCGCATCCAGGGCAGCGTGTCAACAGCTGCCGCACCGAACCGCCGCATATTCACCATCAAGCAGCCGATCGGCGTCGCAGCCGCCCTCGTCCCATGGAACTTCCCCGTTGCCATGGTTCTACGGAAAGTCGGCGCCGCGCTAGCGGCTGGCTGCACGATGGTCGTTAAACCCAGTCCCGAGACACCGATTTCGGCGCTCGTGCTGGCGGAACTGGCCCATCGCGCTGGTATCCCGGCTGGTGTGCTGAATGTGCTCACTACAGACTTGGAGAATACCCCGGCGCTGAGCGAGGCGTTGTGTAAGCACCCACTCGTTAAGAAAGTGACGTTCACGGGCTCCACGCGGGTGGGTAAGTTGGTGGCTTCGCACTGTGCGCATGGTCTTAAGAAATTGACTCTCGAGCTCGGTGGGAACTGTCCTTTCCTTGTTTTCGACGATGCGAACCTCGACCAGGCGGTTGAGCAGCTGATGTCGCTGAAATGGCGCCATGCGGGCCAGGCTTGTATTACTGCCAACCGGATCTACGTTCAGGCTGGTATTTACGATCGCTTCGCTGCTCTTCTAAAAGAGCGGACTGCTGCGATAGTTGTTGGCCATGGCGCCGTGGCTGGTACCACGATGGGACCATTGACCACGCCTCGGAGTCTTGATAAGGCCTCTGCGCAGGTTGAGGATGCTCGTCGGCTCGGTGCTGATGTTATCTTGGGTGGTAAGGCTGTGACGTCGCAGCCAGGTTATTTCTTCGAGCCTACTATTCTGTCGGGAATGACGGAGGAGATGCTCATCTCGCAGGAAGAATCGTTTGCGCCTATTGCTGCGCTGTACCGGTTCGAGACTGAGGAACAGGCTGTCAAGGTGGCTAACGATACCAGCATGGGTCTGGCTAGTTATGCTTTCACCAAGAATATTGATCGCATGTGGCGTCTGTTGGAGAACTTGGAGGCGGGAATGATTGGAATGAATACAGGTGAGTCTTCTATTAATAACAAGTCTAATCAGTCTGACAATTGGTACAGGCAACTCATCGGCCGCCGAGTCGCCTTTCGGTGGTCTCAAGGAGTCTGGTTATGGCAAAGAGAGTGGAAAGGACGTGGCTGTCAATGAGTACTTGGTTACTAAAACTGGCACTTTGACCATCGAGGGACAATATTAAGTACGTCGTACATATATACACATGTGTGTAGATCATCTCAGTTCTACCAAATTGAAATGAAATCCATGAGTGTTGAGTTTTCTTGATTGTGACTGGTCAATTGAATCCACTATGCTCCAAACGATATCTTTTGATTGGCTGAATCCAATCTGGGGAGATCTTTTCAATATCAGATTTTCTTCACTGCACACTTTTGGTTATTCTCACCATGGACGATCTTAGTCCGCTCCGACACCTGATTCAAAATCACCCGCTAATCGACCACCATGCCCATAACCTATTGAACCCCGAGTCAGCCACCGACTACGACAATTACCCACTAGAGGCCATCGCCACCTCAGCAGACGGTCGCGCCCTAGAAAATGCCCGCACAACCCTCCCTCGTTACGGGCCGCAAGCCAGCTCTCGGAGCTCTACAGCCGCCCATGTGCAGACTGGAACGACGTCCAATCCGCGCACGATGAAAGCGTGCGCGGAGACTACTCCACCTTGATCCGAAAATCTCTATCAGGCACGCACACCCTGCTACTCGATGATTATTTCAGCGACGACGAAGATATCGAATCCTCGAGCTGGCACGATAGCTTCACGGCCTCGCCGACAAAGCGGATCGTGCAGATCGAGGCCATGGCCGAGTCCACAATCCTACAGGTATCGAACTCGCGCAAGAACGGCGAATCAGTCTGGAATAATTTCCGACAGCGGTTCCAGGACGCTCTGGCGACAGCCTTGGATGATGCCAACATAGTTGGCTTTGTATCGGAAATTTGCTGTCGGACCGGATTGGACGTGGATGCGTATTCCTCTGATGATACCACCCTAGGCGGGTCATTGATTCGCATCCTCGATTCTGGTACAACCAAGTCCGGGTTTGCGGTCGATGACAAGGAGATTTGTGACTGGATAGTCCAGCAAACGCTGAAAGCGATCTCGTTTAAAAAGAAAGGCGGTGTTGCGAAGCCTTTGTTGTTCCACACCGGCTTGGGAGATAACCGGGTTAATCTTTTGCGAGCTAACCCTGCATGCCTGCAGCCTTTAATCGCACAGTACGCTGACGCGGACATTGTGCTGTTGAATGCCGGTTACCCTTACACCTGCGAGGCGGGTTATCTGGCTGCTACTTATCCAAATGTCTATCTTGATCTCGGGAAAGTCTTTCCCATGGTTAGCCGAGAGGCGCAGATGAAGGTCCTGAGAGAAAGTTTGGAGCTTGCGCCTACTAATCGTTTGCTCTGGAGTACCGATGGCCGGTTTCACCCAGAGACGTTCTGGTTGGCTAATCGACAGTTCCGCCAGGCTCTCGAGATGGTAAGTTGCAAGCCTACTTTTGATATTAGTTGTCTTTCCTGGTGCTAATTTTCTTTGTATTGCAGGTACTAGTCGATTACGTTCAAAATGGCGACTTCACTGCGTCCCAGGCTTTGAGGATAGCAGCTGATGTTCTGTTCTATAACGCCAATCGTCTTTACAGCCTGGACTTGACTCCATCGTACACTGCTGCGGAGTAACTGCTGAGTACGAGGATACAGAGGTATTTCTGTGCCATTAATTTGTATTCGCAAGGGGTATACTGACAATGGTCCCATCAGCTGATGTCTCTACTCACGCTCTCACAATGCATAATGAGATCTTGCAAAGGCAATACGGGCGTGCAAGCACCGCTGGCGCCCGTCCATGTGAAGAACTACGTAACAGGCAAGCAAGCCGAACCAGCGCACCCGCTAGGTATCCAAACCGGATGCGCGCCAATTTTGGTGTACGGCGCCGAGCACAATACGTAGATTTATGAGGAGTATGTATACTGAATTCCATATTAGAACTGAATGTGGCCATGATCTTTCCATCCCGTCTTGCCTCATCCCAAGTCATAATACATATCGCAAGGCCAACAGAGCGATCAAGCACCTAAAGTAACAGGTATCTATGTACGTGTAATTCCAAAATACAACCCAAAAAGAGCATTGAAAGACACGCATGTACCACCGGGTGGGTAGAATGTTGCACGCCGCGGAATCTTGAGTATCATGCAAGAAGCGAAAGGCGAAATAAGAGAAAAGTCAAAGCAAGATATAGAAACAAGGTATACCACTCCAGACGTCGCTTCCCGTGTATCAAGCGAAACAGTTCCAAAAATGGGAGTTGTTAGAATGTGGGTGTAAATCGAAATATGGTAGAGAGGGGAGAGAAGCCAAACATCATCATGTTCATTGGCTGATATGATAGTATTGATAATGTTATAATAACACGATCAACACAGATCATTTGCCAACCTCAACAGCGAATTGATATCGCAGATATGATAGGGGAAAAAAAAGAAAAGAAAAAGAAAAAGAAAAAGAAAAAGAAAAAGTGGTACATGTCGTGTGCGATTCATCAAGACGTAGAGTTGAGAGGAAGAAAGGAGCAGGTAAATATGCAAGAGAAGAGGTACTAAGGGGCAAGGCGACGCATCGCAAGCTCCAACCGAACGGATGGAAACGAGGATTTCACAAACGAGCTTGCACGGCAGATCAAAATGGACAAACATGCTGCTTCAACCTGTCATCTTCCGTTCTGTCACCAACTCGTCCCTTTCCCACTCATCTAGGAGCCGTGCTACTTCCCTGAAAGAGACAGGTTTAGTAAGGAATAGATCCACACCAGAAGCTATAGCATCCGACTCATCACGAGAGCTACTGAGGCCGGTTAAGGCAATGATGATAGCCGGTTTGCGGCCATCTGTATCCCTCTCTAGCGAGCGAATAGCACGAGTAGCCTCGAAACCATTCATGACGGGCATTGACATATCCATGAAGATAATGTCATAACCACTCTGCATGCGCTCGACTGCCTCAACGGCCAATTTGCCATTTTCAGCTGGGTCCAGGTCAGTCAGCTGGCGCTTTTTGAGGAACGTCATCATCAGGTTCAGGTTGATGCGATTGTCATCAACCACGAGCACTCGTGCCAGTCGCCGAGAGGGGTTTGTGCCCTCTACCAGTGGTTCTGGTAAGGGGGCTTCTGAAATCTCCTCCGTTAATGCTGCCATTGGCGATGGTTGTTGCAGCGGTGATGCCGTCATAGGGCGCACTTCGGGGCAGTCCGGCTCAGGTGCGCTAATATCATCAGCAGTGGATATGTGGGGGGAGGCGAGTTCAGATGGCAACGAGGACGTCCTGATCGGCAGATTCAGTGGTTGCAGAGCGGAAGCCGGTGTCGTGGATCTCGATTGGCCGTGGGTCAGGCACCTCATTACGCTTCGAGCTAATTTATGTGGCCCACAGGGACGACGGATGATGTTCACGGAGGAAGCAAGAGGCAACCACTCGGATTTTGCTCCGGTGTAATCCACAGACTTGTGGCATAAAACGAGAAGAGCAGGCAAAGTGGCCGAAGGTGCAATGGTGCGGAAGTTTGGTAAATCGTTTTCATCCATAAGCACAAGATCAACATGGGCTTCCGGTGTCCATGCGACGATCTCGATATCGTACCACTCTGAAAGATATCGAGCAATTTCAGACCAGTTAGAGCTGGCAGTCACCTCAGATGGATCGATACCCCAGATACAGGCTCGTCTACCAGGGTATCCCTCGCGTAGCAGAAGAGTTTGTGCTAAGGTCTCTCTCTGTTGGATAAGCTGCCCGGATGGTTCGACCTCTGGGCTTTCCTTGCCAACAGGCCGCTCTAGCGGGAGCGATACACGCACGACAGTGCCTTCCCCGCCGACTGCGAATTCGAATGCTTCCATTCAAAGCTTTGACCAAACTGCGAACAATTGACAATCCAAGTCCAGTACCAACAGCCAGGGCATCTTCCTGAGCAAAGGGCGTGTAAAGCTTGCCGCGCAAAAACTCCTCCGATATGCCTTTCCCTGTGTCGGTTACTGTCAATGTGACCAAGTCTTCAAGGCCTTGCCGTCGAGACCGTCCTTCAGACTGGCTCGATGCTGCCAATGATAATGTGACACGGCCAAATTCTGTGTATTTCATGGCATTTCCAAAAATATTCATAATGATCCGCCGCAAAGCGCCTGGCTGAGTCCGGTAGACCCAATCCTGGAATGGAACGTCAACAACAACTTCGACGTTGGACCGCTGATTCTGCGACTTTGTCTGATGTGGCATCAATACGGGCAGGTCAGCTGAAGCAGTCGAGCTCTGGCCATACACATTGCCAAGACAGATGCCTTCAACGACTTCCTCGGCGAGAATGGCTACATCGGTGGCCACGAGCGTATCCAGATGATGCGGCAGCTTGTCCGATCCTTTGAAATCGAGCGGTGACTCTTTCTTGCGTTTCATTGACCGCCATGTCCGTTCCAAAGATACCACTTTGCTGAAGTCAAGTACCTGATTCATTGTATCCAGTAACGTCCGGCCACAGGAATTGATAGTTTCAAGCAATGAGTCCTGGAATTCGTTTAGATGAGTGCTGTTCAGAAACTCAGCAGCGGCCAAGATGCCATGGAGAGGGCTACGGAGTTCATGCCTAGTAAAACATTTTAGTCAGTAACTGTCGTCGGCACGTGGAATATCCGCTAGAGACAATGAGAAACTCACGAGATACTCCCAATGAAATCACCCTTCTGGCGATCCGCGATGAGGGATTCAACGCGGCTATATTCGGCCATGATGGACGATGAAAACCCAAGCACTGAGCTGAGCTCGACTGAGGTGGTGAACACCTGGGTCTCAATTGTGCTCCAGCAGAAACACCCACCGAACCATTGCGAAGAAACAGCATCCCACAGGGGCACAAACATGATTTGTGCGGCATGCGGAAAATACTGGTTGAGTACTGAATTCTCCGCAGCTTTCCGGCGTTTTCGCGTTGGCTTTGAAGGTTGTGCACTGGGTGGGGACCGACTGGTGGCACTGGTGCCAAGAGGGGCCTTGTCCTGGGCTTCTTGGTCGTCATCATCGGATGTCGAGATGAGGCCATCGCGATGGAAAGACCATAGCTTTCCTTTGGGGTAACGTCGAAGCAGCAATTGCAGGAAGGATCGATCCAGGTTGGCAGCAGGGCATGTGGCCATCGAACCTGCCTGGGGAGCGAACGGCTCTTCATTTGTTGACGCCGACAGGACAGAGGCAGGCCCGCCTGTGTCGGAACAATCACCCCCCATATCGGCATCCATCAAAGGGCTATTGTTGGCCTCCAGGAAAATGACACCACCGTCGCCACTCAGGTCAAGGCTCTCGCGGATTAAATTAGCTGCCCTGCGGAAGCACCAGGAGTTGCCTTGGGAATCATCCGGCGGTAGTCGATTTCGGCTGCTGCTTGTCAGCCATTCTGGCAGAGAGCTCTCTACAGTGCCCGATTCAATCTTTGAGACGTTGTCCAATTTTGAACCACTGCCAAATTTCCAATCGTAGTCCAGTTTCGAATCTGAGGGAACAGAGCTGAAGGAACGTGCATCGTTACTGAGTGACCGGTCGTTTGGTGGACTATTGGATGGTGCTTGCGATGCGTTTTCTGAGCCGTCTCCATGAGATCGACCAGAGGCACTGATTCGATTGTAGGAGGATGCCGGGGTTGCTGATAAATGGCCGACACTGTCGGTGCGCGACGGGTCGACATTATCCACAAAACTGGAGCTTCCCTCAACGAAATAGCTGAGCCCGCGGGAAAGGCGTGCAGCCCGGCGTCCTTCGGAAGCCTGTCTGCAAACCCTCAAGTAGTCCATCACAAGCATCGATATAGATCCCAGTGTATCCTTCTCCAGCGGTGTCAATCCATCCCGGGGCTTTTTATCCAACACGAAAAAGCATCCCAAATTGATATTCTTCTCGGTTGTCAAGGGAGTTCCGGCGAAAAAGCGGAAGTTGGGATCCTTTTCAACGAAGGAAAGGTGTCTGTAGCGCTCATTTTCGGTCATGTCGTTCACAATTAAAAATTGATAGTGTGCATTCTCGCGGTCGTTGGGGGGTAGTGAAACGATGTCCTGCCGAATGGCGTCAAAACCAAGGAATTATAGAAATGGAAAATTATGCGATCGAGTTCGACAATGGCTCCGGGTCGGCCAGCTCGTCGAATGAGCAAAGCTTACCTTGCATACACTCCATGCCTTGCGGGTGTCGGGTGCCCCCAACCAGACATTGTCATTGTCGTCATGGATTGACGGATCGTTCAAATTGACGGATTTTGTAGCTTCAGCAATGATGTGCTGTTGATCACGATCCAATACAGAGATGAGTACCCTCTCCACATTCAGCCGCAAGGCCGCTAGCTGTGCAAATGACGTCATTGTACTGTTTGAGGTACCTAAAACGAGGGCTTCGGAGCCTGCGCTCGCTGGCCGTGAAGGTGCACTATGTGAAGGCACTGAGCCTTCTGATATCGGCGGGGTGATTATATTTCCTGAATTTGCAGAAAAAGGGAATCCATCGTTCGCAGGAAGCCAAGTAGGAACCACTTCGGCTTGGGAAGCAGGCTTGTAGTAGCGGTACAGCTCTCTCGCCCTGCGATCCGCATTGTGTAGGCCATCCTGGCGCGCCCTAGGAACATCCATCATTTGCCGGTAGTGCTAAAAGAGCCAGGATACAGTGGTCATCCTCGGACTTCCAATTTCGATATGGGTGAAGTTATCACGCCGATGACGATCGAGGCAGGGTGAGGGCCGAGAGAGGTCGAAATGCAGAGAAGAAGTGATCAAGAAGCTGGGAAATTGTTGTAGCGATCAATATAACTGGGTTAGTCACAGATTATGGGAGAATTGGAAAGAAAGTGTGATTTCTTGATTTAGATACGACTCTCCACAACCGAACAGCAAGTCAGGTGAGCGCAGGATTCCAGGGAAGACTGGGTATAGCCAGGGACCCGTCTGTCAAGGTACAATAGGGACGGGTATTGGCGAGGTGGAGCACTGAGGGGGAGCAATGCATAGAACATGATTAGAGGGAACCAGCGCTCAATGCACATTGGGAGTTGCGCATGGAGTACATCTACTCCACCACCTCATCGCTTCTGTAGTGGAATAGTGCAGCATCTTGGGATCGGCACACCAAGATGGTGCAACTGTCATTGGACCGACATATTGCCTGGAGCATGATGGAGTGGAAGGTACCAGTGTGGACAAGATGTGGAGGAGCAGGTTTCAGTGAGGTGGTGCTGTGGCGTCCTGGGCTAGCGATCATTGGCTGATGGCCTCAGGCCACAACATTTGCCGTGAATATCAGGCATGTAGGCCAAAAACGAGTGAACCAATGAACCTTCGCGATCATTCTACCAGTGGAAGTTGTTAATTGTAGATGGTGCTTCCTTGCTTCATTCGTAATGTGAACCATGCTGTCCCAGCGCCTCGCTACTGTCGACCGGGGCTTCGCACCCACGCCCATGCCGCCACTTGAAAACTGTACGTCATTTTTCAGGGGCTGGATCAGCGCTGCAAGCCCTATGACGACGGTGGCGAATTCATGAAGCAGCTATACAATATAGGCAATCTCTACTTAACTATGTTGACTATGACAGCTATAGAAAACGATCTTCTCCGTTACGGGCCTGACCGCATAAGATGATCAAAGTCTCACAAAATCATATGTTGTATTCAACAACTCTTCTAAACTTTATACCGAACTACGAATTATGACCGGTCACCGCACCCCAGATATACGCCACCCACGACCCAACTGTCAGCAAAAGTAGAGCTCCAAAGCAAAGTATGGAGATCTTCCGGGTACGCTCGCGCTGGGTTACCAAGTTGCGCTCCCGGATACGCTCGATGACAGCCGCACCCGATGTCAACCGCTTATGCCGAGTCCACTGCAGGGGCGCCAGGTTATCAGTCACAAACGAGCCGATCAGGATAGCTGCGCCGACGACCGTAGCACCAGCACCAAGAACTAGGTAGACCTGAACCACCCGGCGGTATGAATTGTCGTCTGCGTCCTGCAAAGCTCCTGTGATGATCCGAATTATAATGCTCATACTATTACGGTTTCCGATGTTAAACTCTATGTCCCTGAACACAACCTGAGTGCTGGGTTTTGGGGTCAAACTTACGCATTATTCATGGTGACCTTCAGGGCATACGCAGATCCAAAGACCGATTGGTGCCAGAGCGTGGTGCGAATGCTGTCGATGACCGAGGTTGGTCCGAAGGACACGGCAATGCCGTAGATGCCGAACGCAGCCCCTGTTCCCGCATGTGATGTTGCAAAATTAATGAGAACCATACTCAACAGCATGCCGAGACCACAAGTAAACACTGGGAAGGTCAGTGTAAGGCTTATTTTAGGTCTTTATGACAAAACTCACAGACAGATGCTCGGTTGCCGAGGACATCAATGAACACGCCCAAGCAGGGAACAAGGAAGAAGCCTGGCTAATGTCAGCTTATATCCAGCAGCAATGACCAAGCTTTTTAGGAATATCATACCTGCATACTGTGAAAGAGAACTATACCATCCGGCCTTGATGGAATCGACGTTGAATCTCTTCTCGGCCAGTTCGGTGGCATTCTGGCTGAAGACTGACGCAGCACTCGTTTGGAATATAGAGAAGGCCATGACGGCCCAGAACATCCAAGGGAGCTCGAACATCTTCTTGAATTCGAACTTCTTGTTTTTCTCTGTCAGTTGTTCTTTTGTGGCTTCATCGCGCCGTCCCTTGTAGTGGCGGTTACAATATATGTTGAAGAACCAGAATGCAGCGCTAGCGGCATTCGTGAACAAGTTCATGAATACTGCAGTCCAAAAGACCCACGCGAAGTTTCCAGTTTTCTATATTCATATCAGCACCAGCTTAACCAAAACAGACCCGCGAAAGGTGTAACTACTGAAAGGTTGGGGGAAGAGAAGACGATCCATATGTGACCATGCGTTACGCGACGCCTGGCATAGTCTAGTCTGACGGCTCCGCCGTTATAATGGATCGTCTCCTCCCCCCCAAGCTTTCAGTAGTTACAAAAACCAATTACCTTGCTTATAACGTTGGCCGTACTCTTCCCGATGAAGCCACCAATTTTGCCGATCGCGAGCTCAAAGCCTAGAGTGGATGCAAATCCGTTGCTAGGAGGAAACCAAGAGGAAAACATTTTATACTGGGCGATTTGTGTGGCGATATCGCCCAATGCGAGGATGATTCGACCTCCGATCATAAAGTCAAAAGAGCGCACGGTCGCCGCCGCGGCGACGAGGATGGAACCGATGGTGTAGACGATATTTCCATAAACGATCATCTCTATCAGAAAGGACTGGTCAGGATATCTCTCGCTGATTTGACAGGGCAACATACGAGCTCCACCGACACGGTCGGTGATCACACCACTTATCAAAAGCAGAACTGTTGCCATGAAATCCTCGCTGGCTTCCAAGAGTGAAAATTGAACATTGTCTATATGCATTTGCTGCCCAAAAAAATCGTTAGCGAATTCTGCGGGTCGGCATGTCCGTGTCATGGAGTACCTTTTTCATCGTGCTTTTCATTGCACCCGTCACGCCAGAACTCCAGTGCGAGCCAAAGCTAATACACGATATCAGCGCGACAGCGCATAACTTTGCTGCAAGCGGCGGTGGCTTCCTTCCATCAGAGTCATCGCTGTCTTCGCTAGGTTCTTCCGACGGAGTCTTGACGTTTTCACGGACAGGCGCCGACACCACGTCCACAGACTTCGAGTCTGAGGTATCAACTGCCATAATCCCAACCAGATAGTGGTATTATATAGCAAGCTACTAGCTCGGGCTGTCACAGAAAATAAAAAACTTTCGGGGCGAACTTAAAAAATAGTTCCATGTCTTCCTATTTATGGACCTCGGAGATTGATAAAAGTTTAACGACAGAGCGGAGCCCTGCTAGTCGGTTCTACGGTGAGCTGATCCTGGTGGAAAGGGCCGAAGCTCCTGATGAGGTCCTAATTGGCTCCACTACGTACAAAAAAAAGAGAAAGAAGAACTTGCAAGGTTTACCTTGTCGCTTGGCGCGGAGTTCCATCAGATAAGATGGTCCAGATCGGGGGGTTATGCCCGAAAGGGGTCTAGCGCGGCCTTATCTACTCCAATTCGGGGCAACATCGGTGAATTTGACTCACTTTAGTCGCTTCAACGTTTTCAAGTGGTGGGATAGGGTTGAAAGAATTTCTCGGCTTTTGTCCGAGCTATACGTAGTCAGCTTGCGCTATTATTTCTTTTAGACCCGCTCGGATTCTTTAACCCGGTTATATCTCGGGTTCAGATTATACCATTTTATCTCGAGAGTGGTCCAAGTCAGTCTCACCAGCACCACTTTTTTCGACTTCCACAATTTGTACAAGGACTATGGTGTCATTAAAAATTCAAATATTGATATAGTTAATGCTCGTTAATATACTACCGAGGTCTATTCAAGCTACTTAATCACCACTGACCGATCTCCTTCAGCCCCTTTGAACGCTCCGCCTATAAACTACCTCCAAATGAGACATCGAAAAGAGATGTCGAAAACAATCCCACAGTGGGGCCCTCCCAAGGTATACGTGCAATCAACGAGAAAAGAAGACACAACTACACTTTTTCCGTCTGCCGGTCGCTGCCATCCCCATGTTGAATTAGTGCTGCTACGTACTCCCCATTGCTCTCATCGACACCACCGATCAAAAAGCACAGAATCAGCGCCACACCGCCGAATCCCAACGTAGAGAGAAAGACAGTACTATACGCCTGGGAGTTTCCCAGTTGGAAGGCAGATTGGATCAGCGCGATGGCCCCAGCAGTCAGACCCGGAATGCCCTCGCCTACCCGGTTGGTTCTTGTCAGGTTTGCGATGAGCTGGGGGATGAAGGATTCGGGCACTCCTGCCGACAGCGCGACTGGAGTGACGGCGGCGGGAATCGTCTGCAACAGACGATTGTTCAGGATAGTGTTATACATTGCTACCGCGACCGAAGTGCCCGCCAGGCGAATGCATCCACTAAGACCACCGGCGGTGCCCAATGCTTCCTGGTTTTTGATTGGGAAGGTCGTCATGGGCAGGCCAATTCCATCCGCCATGCCGATCACGAGGTTACCCGTAACGAGCATGCCCACCGTCAAGTCTCAGGTTGAGTGGGTTGGCCGCACAGGCCGCAAGCAGCCCCGTGCCGATGAATGTGCCCACGATGACTAGTGGTTTGGCCGGTAGCCAGTTTGCGAAAAACGGGCCCGCCATCTGGCCTAGCGCGAATGACATGGTTACCAGTCCCGACATGGTCGCGCTGGTGGCTGGACTTAGAGTGGGGTAGAGGATGGCAACTGCTCTGGGCCAGATAATGCTGGTATATATTAGGATGAGTCTCCATCAGGGTCAAAGGGTTGGCACGTACCCAAAGGCATAAAAGTTCATGGCTTCAATCGCACACCAGACCACGCAAGAAGTGTACTTGACGTTTTTGAACAATTGAAGGGGAAGGTAAGGTTCTTCCAGCGATGATTTCAACTCATAAGCTATACAGACGGCGAGAATGGCGACGCCGGAGAGCAGGGTTCCCAATACCTGTCCGCTCTTCCAGGGGTAGATCGACTTTTATGCTCGTTAGCGATCACATCAAGCTTGATAACAGAGCCATGCACTTACGCCACCCCAGTTTAACCCAATTAGGAAGAGGATCATGCCGGCCGAAAATAATACAAGACCAATGAAGTCAAACTCGCGAACCATTTGTTTGACAGTTTTATCGCGGTGTAACATGTGGAAGGATGGCGGGTGGTAGAAGAAGAACCACAGCGCTACCGACAGAGCGTTCAACGCAGTCAGGTAGTAGAAGCATCCGCGCCATTGCACTGCAGTGTTATTCTGGAATCTTCGGTCCAAGAATGTTCTAGTCGCAGTCGTCAGCAACTCCAGTTTTACTGCACAGAGATCCCGATGGGTACTTACTGTTGGCAAGGTCCACAGAAACAGTCCGGAGTTGGCGATGAAGCGCCTCTTCATGGGCACAATCTCGGACACGACCCAGAAGAAAGAGCACTGAAAGCCCGCGGCAATCCCGATCAGGGTTTCCCCTGCGATGAGCTGCCCGATAGTGCCGGCTCTCGCACCGACGATACTGCCAACCAGGCCGATGACTGACCCGATAACGAAGAACCAACGGCGGCCAAACAGGTCACTCAGGCGGCCGGCCAGCATGAGCACGATGGCCTGGGTCAAGGAATAGACAATGCCGACCCAGTTAATGTCACTCGATCCGGATCCTACACCCTTTCTCGTCAGTAGCGCTCCGAAGATATTGAATACTCGCGTCCAGAATATATATACCTCCGAGGTCGTTATTGATATCGGTCAGAATCGGCGCTACCAACGCATACCCTCCAGTTCCACATGCAAAAGCGACTCCAATGGCCTATTCAATAGCTGTCAGTGTCTGGAAAGTAGACAGGGTATTGAAAAGGGGTAAAATCCCATACACAGTAACTTCCGATGAAGTATGGGCTGTAAAAGTACCCTTTAGGCAACTCAGCCTGCTCCCTTCCCATGGCTTCGGGAACGCGGTCAGTCTCGACATGTTGCTCTTGGTGAGTCATGTTCGCTGTTTCGAGGTGGTCAACCTGTAGCCCGTTGCCATCTTCATTGCCAGTGGTAGACAGAGAACCCATGTTCTTGTGCCTCGTGCTATCGAGTAAGTTCAAGACCGATTGATAGGCAAGATATATAGGAATGGCAGGGATTGAGACGTCCAATGGAGCTATGCATTATGTGCGGCTTTGTAGAAGGGAACGAGTTGTTCATAGGTACGCACCCCAGACGCCACTGTCGCGACCCCATGGGGTGCAGGGGTCTAGAAGGGGGTTAAGGTTTGGATGCGCTAATTCTCGTGTTTTGAGAGGTTAGGGATTGAGCCGGACTCAGCCGCGGATTCAGCCGCTGCTCTATTCGGGACGGATCTCCACGGGTTGTTCCATGGACTGGATAAGAGTTAGTCTCGCTAGTGCTCTTGGCGGGGGATACTTTTTGGGGAAAAAGTATCGATCAATGGCGGAGGTTGGGAAGTCCACGGGTCACAAAAAAGGCGTTACGTGGGCGAGAAATCCGGACAGACCAAATTATGGACGAACAAAGAACAAAGAAAGGCTATCTACACTGTGAGGTAATCTCAGGCACCAATCACACCCCAATGTGCTGACAGAAGGTCCTATGTTGGCTATCAAATGTCGCGGTAATTATCTAAGAACTCCTTAATTCGCGGATTTATTCATTTCGTCTGCACTATTTGGTAGCTCTGCTATACACAATATCATCTCACAATCTTCCAGCGTGGAGCCCGCCGCTGATGACTAGATTGCTTCCAGTGGTATACAACGATGCATCCGACAGGAAATAAATGGCAGCACCCTTGAGATCCCTGCGATCGCCCATCCGTCCCATAGGAACAGCATTCCGCATGATCGTAGCCAACTCCGGGCGATTCGTGAATTGACTGACCGACATGTCGGTGATAGTGTGCCCGGGGGAGATCATGTTTACGCGAATGCCCTTCGGTGCTAGTTCAACAGCCAAACCACGAAGCAACCCATTAGCCGCTCCTTTGGATGCCGAGTAAGCTGTCAATCCCTGGCTCTCGACGCCACTTTCCGTCGCGATACTCCCGATGAGAATAACGCTACCCTTCGGGGCGAAGTCATCAGAGGTGGGCTGATTTTTGAGCATCGCCTTCACCGCTAACTGCACGGTGAAGAAGAGTCCAACGCTCTATATCGGTGTTATTGGTCAGCCCATGGAGAAGGATGATAGCGTCTTCTTTTTTACGTACATTGACCATCTGGAGCCGAACCACCTCTTCCCATGTATGATCGACAAAGGCCTTTTCGACGCAGATACCTGCACACGCTATCCTATTGAATTTTAGCAAATTGAATGTAATTGGTGATCTTGTGGCAAAGGGCGTGACGAAAAACGATGAATAAACTGGACGGCAATGGACGGAAGGAGCTTACACGCCATCAACCCTCCCAAACTCTGCTAAAATTCCATCAAATGCTTTGGTTACCAGCATCTCGTTGGTGATATCGACCCTGTATAAATAATTCCCATGTTAGAAACAGTAAACCAGACCAAATGCCAATCACATATGAATAGCACACCTGAAATACTTCACCCGACTCTCCTTGTGCAAGCCTTGAATCTCGCGCAGATCAAGGTGAGGCACCTCACGATAGTCAATCACTGCAACATGGCCACCAAACTCCACGACGGCCTTGACTAGAGCGAGCCCGATGCCATCCCCACCACCTGTAGTTGTATCAGCTATGGCTTGTGGCTCTGCACCGAGTTGTACTTAACTGTGATTACAACCACCTTGTTTCGCAAACTATGGAAATCGTCCACGGTGCTGGTGGTCTTGTACGACAGCAGCGATTCTTGGATAGCCGATTGCGAAGCCATTGTTATCAATTTCACAGGTCAATCTTGAGTTAATTTTATCTTAGAAATTATGGCCGCTGATCCGCTTGCTGGTGGTACTGGGATCTGATCTTATTGTACAACAGCAATGGATTAATAATGCGGCGCGAGACGGAGTATGGATGGCATCATTGTTTGATGCCGGAACTCAGCCGAAGATCCCGAGGAAGGGATATTTAAGTCAGGTCCCAACACCTCTAGTATTGGTAACCACGCATTAAATTCTCTTGTGATCGTGCACCCTCGACGAAGTCTCATCTGACCATTGCACCATCCTCACTGCAATTCTCCAATAACAACCACAACAACCGCTCCTTCTCAATATTCGTTTCTCTCATCACCATGGGAACCAAGAAATTCACCGCTCGTGAAGTGCTAGACGCTTTCTACAAGGCAGAGCGAGAGTACATGCAGGCTACACCAGAGCAGCGTGACTATGCCAGCATCGCAGCTACTCTAGCTCCAAATGTTCGTATGGAGCAGACATCCGCCCTGCCATACGCCGGTGTCTACATCGGGCCAGACGGCATGCAAGACTGGACGCGCCGCATGGCCGATTACTTCGAGGTTGTGGACGTGCAAAACCCGGAGATCTTTGAGTGCGCTGGGTCCGAAAAGATCGTCGTCTTGTCGAATGTCCACTTTAAGGTCCGCAAGACTGGCAAGGAGATGGATTTCCCTTTCTGTCAGGCTATCACTGTCGACCTCGAGCGTGGCGTCATTGTCGAATTGAGGCCTTTTTACTGGGACGTGGCGGAGGTGAATAAATCTCTGGGATATTCTCCATGATGGTATTCAAATCAGCAGATCGGTTATACTGGGTGGCAACGTGTGTGGGAATGGAGCGTGATACTGGTCTAAACAACATGTATGGAGTGATGTGTTCGAAGAAAGTAGATACATAGAGGAACAGTACGCTATAGAATTCTACAATTTTTCAAACGAGGTTCATGAATATATCGATACATTAGAGTATAGCATACTGTGAATAAAAAACAAATAACATACGCTGTAGGTGGTAACCTCTATGGAATGCTATTCAGGAAATGTAGTGGATGCGCAAGTATTGTTTTATTTTCTAAAATGATATCACCACCTGGGGAACCGCAACTGATTACAAATACCCCCGGAAAGGTCCCGGTAAATCCGTAAGACATCGTGCGGATAATAGGAGATATCCTGTCTCTTGATGTAAGTAGTAACAGGTTATTTCCCGGCTTTCCCCCGTCTTGTTAGGGGATGCACGGAGTGCAAGAGGACCGTCAAAATGCCACTTAAAGCCAGATTATTCAATAGCCCATGGCTAAATAAACATCCTTTGTGAAAACTAAATTGGATAATCTCCCCCTTATTTGTTCTGATCCATAGCCTACTAGCACAGGGCTTCATACGGTTGTTTCATTTATCATACCGGAAACGAGAAACCCAAGAAGATGAGCCTCGCTTTCAACACCGATTCTATCGTCCCACTATGGCTGAACGGAGCCCAGCGCGTGACAAAGGCCACCTTTGACGTGGTCTCACCCGTCTCCCATCAGGTCTTATGGAAAGCCTCTGCGGCTGACGAAGGCGATGTCGAAGATGCGATCGCATCAGCCGCTACAGCCTTTGAGACATGGCGATGGACAAAGCCCCAAGAGCGGCGCGAGATCTTCTTACGAGCCTACGAGCTCCTGAAGGAGCGTCGGGATCAGAACATGGCATACAGTACCACAGAGACCGGGGTGCCACCGGTCATGTTTGGATTCGAATACAACGGTGCCATCGATATCTGTCTGCAGCTGGCCGGCCTGTCCGCGCATTATGGCACCGTAGTCGATCCTGACGCAAATGACACCAGTGCAGTGGTCATCAGTCAACCGTATGGCGTGGTGTTGGGAATTGGTCCCTGGAATGCTCCCCATACACTCGGCATGCGCTCCTGTCTGTTCCCTCTCGCTGCTGGAAACACAGTCATCCTGAAAGGCCCCGAGCTGGCGCCAGCAACATACTGGCATTTCGTTTCGATTCTGCATGAAGCCGGTCTCCCGGCTGGCTGTTTGAACACCATCTATCATCGACCAAGTGGCGCTGCCGCCATCACAAAGCAGCTCATATCGCATCCAGCCATTCGAAAGGTGAATTTCACCGGTAGCACCGCTGTTGGGTCTATTATTGCCGGGCTTTGCGGACAATATATCAAGCCCTGTCTGCTTGAGCTGGGCGGGAAAGCAAGCGTCATTGTCTGCGAGGATGCAAACCTCGAACTGGCCGCAGAGCAATGCGCGTTGGGCGCTTTCAGCCATGCAGGTCAGGTCTGTATGAGCACTGAGCGCATCATCGTTCATGACAGTGTGGCCGACCGCTTTCGTCCGATCCTGAAGGCGGCGATCGAGCGTATCTTTGGTGCGGGTCAGCCGGCGCCCGTTCTCATCAATGAGAAGGCCGCAGCTAAAGTGCGTGGTCTCGTGCAGGATGCAGTTACGAAGGGGGCAAATCTTTTGTATGGTTCTTTATCCGATGCGAATGAGGGGGTGAATCGCCTTCTACCCATGGTGGTTGAGGATGTTCAACCTGGCATGGACATCTACTACAACGAGTCCTTTGGGCCGTCTGTGTCACTCTACACTTTCACAGATGATGAACAAGCACTGAAGCTGGCCAACGATACCGCGTATGGCCTCACGGGAGCAGTGTTCACAGAGGATCTACGACGCGGACTCAGCCTTGCCAAACGACTGGAAACTGGAGCAGTGCATATCAATAATATGACCATTCACGACGAGGTTTCGTTGCCCCATGGTGGTGTGAAAGACAGCGGTTTTGGGCGGTTCAATGGGCCTGACGGGCTGAGGGAATGGGTGAAGACGAAGTCGATTACCTGGCGGGACTGATAATTTATGGGAAATTGGAATCAGCTGGATGTACCGTGTCTGTTCATCGTCTTTTGAGCTAGATTTATATATCAAAGTTACGTGACGCTTCAATGAATTTAGAAAAGAACATATCTACAATACAATCCATTGAGTTAATAAGTGGTCTTCATATATAAAATCAGGAGAGTATGAGAGTACTTGTCAACAAGGTACTACCTAGCCATAGTCTTCCATTATCCTTATTTAACCTCCAGAATGGGAGAGCAGAAGACATGTCCTGAGTGATAAGGAAATCTAGATATTGTACTTTCAAGTGTAGGTCACAAGGTGCCAGGTAAGAGTTGGCAGGGTCAATCACTACGCCAATCAATAAATTTGACATACAAAAGCGACATAAGTGACTTGGAGAAGTATCAAGGTATGTATAGATAGTAATTCAAATTCAAAAGGCCGTACGTTTCATAAATATAATCGAATCATCGTTTGCTGCAGCCCTGCAGCCCTTGCATCTACTAGTCTGAGATTCGTAAAACTGCCCTCCCTGCCACCGTCCCGTGCTCTAACTTGTCCATCACATCGCGCAGCTCCTGGAAAGTATAGGTCTGTACATGCGGTCTCACCTTTCCTTGCAGCACGAGATCCATCAACAACGGCATTTGAGCGCTGTTGCCCACGGTCGATCCAATCACCCGTAAGCCGCGGACGAGTACCTCAAAGGGGTTGAGCTGTAGTCTGTATTCAGCTGGCGGAATACCTACGCAGACAAGCCTGCCCAGGTTGCGCAGCATTGCGAGAGCGCTATCGTAGGCCGACGGCGCACCGGTAATGCAGATGACGGCGTGCGCCCCAATGCCTCCCGCGGCAGCGCGCACATCGTCGACGAGAGAGGCACCGCTTTGGCGAAAATCGAAAAAGTGGCGCGCCCCAGAATCCCGACAGATGTCTTCCTTGTCCCCCGAGTCGATGGCGATCACTTGTAAGCCCATGCTCGTCGCAATCTGTACTCCTAAATGACCTAAGCCACCACCGGCTCCAGGGATGACCACAAAGTCGCCAGCGCGCAGCTCAGCGCGTGAGAGCGCACCGTACATGGTGATTCCACCGCATAGTAGAGGTGCGGCGAGGGCCGCAGGAACTTCTGCTGGGATTCGGGAGACATAATCGGCGTCAGCTAGGCAGTATTCTTGGTACGCGTGTTAGTATAGCGAGAAAAAGACGGCGGGACTAAGATCTACCTTGGAAAGTCCCTGGCACATTCTATCGACAATGAGTTAGCTAGCCAAGTTTGAAGGTACACGAACTTACTCTTCCTGAGTTATCCTGATGCGGACAGTGTGTGTAGTCCAGTTCGCAAGTAGCACGCTTGCGGCATGCTCGATGAAGCCATCTGAGATACTCTTTAGCATGTAGTTGTTGAGTCTTGAAACTGCCGAAAACCTACGATACGCCAACTCGACTATTTAGCAAATCCTCATCGACATCAGGTCCAACTGCAACATCCTGCTCAGTGGCAGGGGCTGCAGGGTTTGCAAGCATTATTGAGACTGCTGATTATTCCCCCTTTTCAGAATCATCTCCACAATTTGATGCATTGAATATCACAGCCAAGAGGAGATACGAGAGATGAAGTGCAGGTTCCGCGGGAGCATTGCCGACGATTTCCGGGGATGTCAGAGTTACCTAGGTGGAGAAGGCACGTGATGGTTTCCAACAGGTATGTAGAGATTGAATGGATACAAGAAGGTGTTGATACTGCTATCAAAGACTCGGGGAGAAAAAGAAAAATCCAAGACCTTTCAAACTCAAAGCAAGGCGTTTTTATAGGCTGAGTCAAACAAAGAAACGCTCGGTTTGCCAAGACCTGGGGAATGTTCGAAAGGTCCACTCCGCTATACCCCTTACGGACTAGTGCAATGTTTGAATCTCAATTGGGAATTTAATTAAACGCCTGGGCACCTGGGCACTCTCCACTATCTACTGTTAGGACGGCCTTTTCAGAATTTGAATATCTGCATTGTTCGTAGTAGTGGAAAGATCAAATTGATCTATAGTGACAGATCAGTGATATGTAGATGATTATACAAATCAATTTCAACACTTGATTCCTACAGGTTATGTATCACAATATATCTGACATTCCTAATCAGACACCAGAGATTCGACATCAACACCCTCCACGCGGTAGAATACAAGAGCGTTCAGCATTGCCTTGTCATGGAAGCGGTACAGGTAGACATCCTCTTCAGTATCCGCAAAATGCTCGTATCGGTGCCAAGAGGGAATACAGAAGGTATCTCCAGGCCCCCACGTAATGCGACCATCCCCGATGGTGGAATAACCCTTGCCAGACACAACATGGTAGACCGAAGAGGCTGTTTCTCGAATTTCTGGCGAATTCTGCCCAGCTCTGAGTCGCTCAGCTGACCCTCCCAGGACTTTGGAGACTATATATCCGTATTAGTTCTTGAATGTCTCATCATTTATTAGAAGGCTTGAAACCCAACCTACCTGGTTGGCCATCACTCTTCAAGTACTCCTTCGACGCCCAATCACCCGGGGTGTCGTCAAGGGCCTGCTTCATCTTCACCCAGGGGAACACAATGGGTGACGTGCTGGAGTCTACATCATCAGCCGGATACCGAGCGTGCTGATAATGCTCGACAAAGTGGACGGGAAAATGCCGGAAATTAGGCAGATCCAGTCCGTTCAGCCAGATCATAGGACCTGTGCCATCCTTTCCATGGTCATGCCAGTTCCACCGCGGAGTCAAGATCACATCGCCGCGCTGCATACTGATGCGCTGCCCGTGCACCGCGGTAAAGCCGCCCTGACCTTCGATGATGAATCGCATGGCAAATGCCGTGTGTCGATGCGCCTGTGCAGTCTCATTGGGCATCACTAGTTGCAGCCCTGCGTATAGTGTGTCGGTTGTGTAGGGAGCGTCTACTTGGAATTAGATCATCGCCAAATCAAAGATTGCGATGTCGCATCCTTACCTCGAGCTGGGTTCACCAACATCAACACTCTCCGCTCTGCCTGGCTCTCATTAACCAGCTCTCCAGCTCTCAACAGACTGGGTCGGATCTGGTCATAGCGCCAGACGTGTGGTACACAGCTGGGGTTCGCGAGAGGCGGGTTGAGCTTCGTCATCTGTGTCCAGAGTGGCTTGGTCTCGAGCTTCTCCAACGCCAGAACCAAACTATCGGATGTATCTATCTCCTGGTCGCTGGCCTCCACATTCTTCGAGGCATCAACCGTGGAGACGGTCTCTGTTTCAGTGGCCATGTCTTTTTTTTAATGTCACAATAGGAACCAGTTAAGAAAGGAATCCCAAAGCTGATGTGTCCAACACTACCCCGAGCAACAGCGCATTTAATACTGCTTCTGTCGAACACTGCATGAACAATATCGATATAGAGTTAGGGTCACATTGGATGTCTGCCGCGGAAGTTCCCGTAGTTCCCCGTAAGCCCCGGTATCCTTCCGGGACCTTGAACGGTGACAGAGATCGGAATCTCATTTATTAAGTGCCAGATCTAAGAGAACGGATCACTGATTTGTGTGCAACCAGAATCCAATTCAACAATGAGAGTCGCGTGGCAACGATTGATCAGATTCCACGCCGTGGATGGCCGTATCCTTCAGGGCGATCCCATCCTGTGCAAACCGGATTTGGACCTGGGATACGTTACTGAAAAGGATAAACTACAGGCCCGAGTCATTGTAGGCGACGAAATTTTCGATGAAACTGGTGTGACGCGAGTTTCCGACGAGATAGTGACAGTTCGAAGGATCTTGTCTCCGCTTGCACCGTCGGATGTGCCAACTATCCGCTGCGTTGGGTTGAATTATTTAAAGCATAGTAAGAGGGAAATCAACCAACCTGCAGCAAATTTCAGAGAGCTGATTACCGCAGTCCAGCAAGCAAAGCGGATGCCGCCGCCCTTTCCCTTCATCTTCTTCAAACCGCAGACGACGATTTTGGACCACGGCAACAACGTGGTTATTCCAAAGATTGCTCAGAATGACCAGGCCGGCTATGAAGGAGCGCTGGTATGTATTCATCAGCGTCCGGGCTTGCTGTCTGATCAGTTTCGTGCATTCAAAGACGTCGACCTGACTAAGTATCCAGACCATCGTCATTGGGAAAGACGCAAAGGACGTTTCTCAAGAAAATGCCCTTGATTACGTCGCCGCTTATACGGTAGGCAATGACATCTCGTCCCAGAGTGTGCCGGACGTATTCCCCAATGGGGCTTCTCCAAGGGGTTCGACACGTACGCGCCAATTGGGCCTTGTCTTCTGGCCAGTGGTCTCGTCGACGACCCGAAGAATCTGCATCTCACCACTATCATTGATGGCGAGGTGCGACAAGATGAGTCTGTCGACGATCTGCTATTCGATTGCCGGTATCTCATTTCGTACCTATCTCAGGGCACGACTCTGCAGAAGGGCAGCATAATCATGACAGGCACGCCTGGTGGTAAGCTAGTATACTATTCTAGAATATATATCAGCTTCTGACTTATGTCTCGAAATATAGGGGTAGGGGGAGATATGAAACCCCACGATGGCTGCAACCAGGCACGCAGATCGAGGTGCGTATCTCCAAGATTGGGACACTTAGGAATGGAGTTGTGTTTGCTGAATAGATATTGGTAGAAATATTCTATATGAGTACCACAACTAAAATACTTATCTATGTAACGCTCTTTCCACCCTACCCGAGAGTACTGGTCATCCTAGCTCCTCTCTGAGCTATCATCAGCTTGCCAATGCCATCATTACCTTTTCAGCCAGCTCTAGTTTGGACGAAGATATCATTAGAAATTCCAATACTAATATAATGCTCGTTACTATACTCCATTCAAGTGACTAGCATTCGCTAGTGGCCCATCCTCTCAAGACTACCAGGACCCCCAGATGGAACATCGGAGAGATGCCTTCAATAATCCCCACGGTAGTGGCCCTCCTAAGATACATATAATCAATGAGAAATAAATAAAAAGCAATGCAAAAGATATAAGATCCATGGATATTCCACGAATATTAAATCAGCCAAATTAAAGCCGCTCCATGAGCCGCTTGCGCACCGTCCACATACGAGCTCGTTTGCCGTACAGGTACATGGGGATCGACATGAGCATGAAGAAGAGCTGTATGCCACCGATAGACAGGAACACAGTGCGTGAACCATTAGCATCGAGCCAGTCCACGATGAAAAGGGAGAAAATCAGGCCGTGGAGGATATCTGCAAGAAAAACCGTTAGATCAGACACAACGACCAAAAAGAACGAAGGGCAGTTCAACATACTCTTGCTAAAGTTCAGCGTCACCAGCGCCTCGCCAGCATACTGGCGATAACTATCTACACAAAAGGTGATAACAGTCGTGCTGCCCAAGCAGCAACCAAACGATATCAATCCAAAGAAAATAGTCGGGACAATCCAAGAGTCGCCGATCTCAGCACTCCACCCAAAAGCCATCAGACCGATGACAGTAGATAGAGCGATGGGAATTGCCATGACGAGACGAAATTCAGGCTCGTAGATGCCGCCATTGCGTCTGGTCATAAACCGCGCGATCACGTCCGATACTTTGCCTGCCACTGCAGTTCCCAGGAGACCGCCGACAAACGGCGATATATAGATCAGGCCTGTCTGCAGCGAGGTGAAATTATAGTGATCTTTGCTTTGGAAGATATGTGCAACCGACTCTGAAAGCACGATCAGCCACCCAACAGAGAGTGAGTAAACCACTGTTGACCAGAGAACCGCTGGATAAGCAAATAGAACAAATGGCCGCGCGGCAACTCGGACCCAGCTGTCTTGCGCGATTCGGCCGTTCCAGACCTTGAGTAACTGGGAGTAGGGGATCTTCGGACGTTCACGGAGTCGGTTTGTGTATTGCAGGGTTGCTGTCAGCGGTGTGCTGGCAGGCTCTAGTGACTCCGTCCTCGCAGGCGATACCGCAACCCGTCGAGCTGTCTCCAGGTCATCTGGATGTGCGCCAGGTACAAGGGCCTGAGGTAGTGGTTGGAGGAAGTCATCGCCTTTCTCATTAGATGGGGTCGGCGGGTTAGTGGTGCTTTGTTCTCCATTGGTAGTATTGCCGGTCTCGGGAACGAGATCTGACTTTTCAGGCTCGACTGTGTGGTCTCCCTCTACTGGGTGGTCATCCGCGAATCCAACATGCGCATGCTTGGACTTCTTCGGTGCCAATGCTGGATCATTCAGATCCTGTTCGGTGGACTCGTCCTGAGGTTGGACATACGGGCGCCTCCCGCGGAAGCCGTGGGAAACAATGTCAGAGACACTGCGACCAGGTCCACGCGGGCGCTTCTGCTTGGGCACACGCGGCCGGGGTGTGCGATCCCAAAATGTTTCGGGCACGAAGAAGAAGAGCAAGACTAGGCACATGCCTACAATCATGGCGACAATCCAAAATACCCAGCGCCAGCTCAGGCTTTCGATGATGGCGGCACTCACTAGGGGGGATCAGGTTCTTTCCACCTAGTAGCAAAAGTGTGTATATCCCCACTCGATAGGCTCGTTCGTGCAAGAAGTAGATCTCCGCAATTGTAGCAGATGGAAGACACTCGACTGGGCTCACGGCAAGCCCTTGGAAAATACGAGCGACCACGAGACTTGGGTAGTTCGGCGACGCTGCGCACCAAACTGCCGAGACCACGAACAGAGTCGCTCCCAAGAGGTAAACCGGTCGTTTCCCGTATAGAATGGCAGTGGGTGACATCACAACAGACCCCAGGCCCAGACCTAGCATATAGAACCCGGTGGTGAAAGCCACCTGCTGTGTACTGACATCGTACGCAGCTGCAACGTCGTTAAACCCTGCCGCCAAAATGGGGGTCATGCCGCCTCCCATCAAACAATAGAAGCCTAGCGAGACCAATGCGGCGTCTCGCTGCCATACAGGCCAGTTCAAAGGGTCATTTAGGGAGTCGTCCGGCTGGGGATCAAGCACAAATTGTCCGTCCGCTGTTTTCTTCTGCGTTGGAACCGCCGACCGGGTTCGAGAATTAGACCGCGAGGGACGATAAGACGACGTTATAGACGATGTCGATGTCCGGTGCGGCTGATGCCTCATTCCCAAAGGTTCATTGCGATTGGATGATAGGAGAAGTACCGTCCCTAAAGCATGGCAGGCACTTGTCAGACCCCGTTTCATAATAATGCTTCTCTGCGTGAAAGGGGATTCTCTACTCACCCGGAACTTCGTCGGTCTCTTTATCACTCAGGATTCCCAGTGTCGACTTGGAGCGATAAGTCTGGCCCTCGCCAGACTCGGGATCTTCTTTGGCCTTTCCTCCAAAGACTCGTCTCCAGCGGGAGGCAGTTGGCTGCGACTGGACAGGGTCTGAGCCCGTGCTTTCCTCCATTGTAGCAGAACGGTCTTCTGCTGGTGATGCCATGTTCTTTTCGAGAACTGGGAACGAAGCGCTCGGCTGACGCCGTTTGCGAAAACAGTGTGCTAAACATTCCATTGTTAGCCAGAGTCACTTGTATCTAACAAACAAAGAGGAATCCCTTCAAGTCACCAGGGCACAGCCCGGGAGTAACTCACATTTATCTCAGACAGCCACCAGGGGGTACTGGAATCCGGTAACAAGCCCAAAAATGCAGCTGGTGAAAACGAGCAAGTATAGACGACGTGCTAGCAGTAAGTAGATAAATTACCCACAAAAGGATAAGTGAAGTATGTGTTGCTGGGTCTTGCGAAAGCGATCAACGCTTCTGGATTAACGCAAGAGGCAGCAGATGAGCACCACTTAAAGGCATAGCTTAATGAAGCAGGAAAGATGAGAAACGAAGTAGGACAGAAGTGAGAGATCTGTCGAGTAATATATAGGGTCTTAGTTCCTTTCGGGGTCCATGCGATAAGCTCTTTGGTATATCACGCGGTTAAAGACAAAGAAAAAGCCCTGGAGGTGATCGACGATCCCATGTGGCAGTGGGGGGAGGCGGTGAGACCTCTCGGGGTACTCGTTGAGTACCTTGACCGTCGCTTGGTGGCGAAGGTCAAAGCAAGTAGCCTCGAGGTACTATGTTTTTGATTTTTATCAGTTATTCAAATCTCACATGTACAGATGGATAACTACATACATGTATGTACTTGATGAATCTGATGACGCGAGTCCGATAAACCCGTTTTCGGGCAATGCTAAGCTCCCCACAATATGTCGTGAACAATGCACCTCATGGGTCAACATTCCGTGTTGATAGGTGGATCTCCAAGGTGAGGCCACATATTGCAAGATAACGGGGAAAACCATAATACCACACTCGTATATATTGGTAACACATTTCATACCTGTCAGTACTCTACAATGCAAGCCACTCACACTCGAATCTTCCCAGTCGCCGAATGCGCCCGTCCATTCCTGGGTTATGCCAAGCCGTTCAAATCCGGCGCTTGCCGCGAGAGTTTCATTTCACGTGTGTCCATATAAATGTTTTTCACCGAATAATAGTATCGGTCACTACTCAAGATACTGTTCCGAATGTCTCATTGTCTCAGCTGACCACCGGGAGGTGTTGGCTACCGTCATTGTGCAGATGTCGAATTGCGGGGAAAGGAGCCCCAGCTTTGGTATCTTCATGGCGTTGGATATTAGTATCTCCCTTCGTTAGTGCTCGGGCTGGCATGGCGTCATGGATCAGACTATGGCTACTGATCTACAACCTTATATATCGTGTTTGGAAGAGGAGCATCCAACAAGCCAGTTGCGCCCACGCGTATTACCGCTTCTGGGGACGCCACCTGATGTTAGTACAAATGATCAGCTGGGATCGACAGACTCGTTTTGGATCCTTTGATTCTTCATATTAGGCACTATCTATCTGAAATTGTGGTCGGATTAAATAACTTGTCACGTCGATTCATGGCCTTGTCCGCTCTTTTCATGGTTGAAACACAACATCAGACGTCCGCTTATATGTCTATTTAGTGGTCTTTTGAGTAGTCTCAGGGAGTCTTTCTCTCATCGAGCCATTCGCTGATTACCCATGTTCTAGAAGGTAATGAAAGGGTCGGATGGGCTGGAGTAGTGATCTCGGTACCCACAAGACCGCCCAGAAATGAAGTCTTCGTCATTTTGAACAGATCTCTGTGAGGTCGCGAAATGAAGTGGGGGTGCGAAGGTGGAATGAAAGAAAGTGGTGAGGTTGAAGAGGGAAATGAGAAATGATAGTTGGAAGGGAAAAATGTCAGTGGTATAGTTGACGAAATGCTGTGACGGGATCGATCTCGATCTATAGAAGTTTTCAGCCTCGTACTTTTTCTCACTCTATCTTGTTTGCTACTTTCTCGTTGACCTTTTATCTATATCTCTAGTAAAAGGAGTAGTAAGGAAACTAGGAGTGAGCTAGAAGCTGGTAAACCCTGTCTAATATGGTAATGTAGTATCTCAACCCCATATGTTCTGATTTCCTTTTAGAAACGGTCATCTTGGACCTCCGGAATGAGGGTGCTCAGACGATAATACTCTTTTTAGCTTACCCTAGAGTAGTGGGCACACTGGGGCTTCATGTCCTCCTTCAATAAACATCTAGAGAGCTATGTTGGACATGTTTTTTGTCTGATACTCGTCAGTTTCTAAGAATAGCTCACTAGTTTTTGTTCAACACAAATGATCTATCTACACATCCAAATAGAAAGTAAAGGAAGCACGGTGTATAAAGACAATGGTATTGCATAGAGTACAGTTCTCCATTCGGACATGTACAAGATACATCTCATGTATGTGTGTTGCCAATTGCGTCCAGGGGTGAATCAGATCCAGCCGATTTCCATGACAGGGGCCGTTCGCGGGCAGTCACGTGGAAACCCCCTTTGGTAATTCAAGATGAAGACGAATGCTCTTTCTTTGCTTCGAATTCTTCTGTTTGCTTATACTTCATCTTAATATTCATACTACTTTCTTGCTACTTCACATTCATTCCGAAATCTATCTTCGCGCTCGAAAAATTGTCCATCAAATCCTTTCACGCGACTTAGTGTCGTGGCATCACTCGAAGAATTCTCCGACCTTGGATATCGCCTGTTTTTCTCCTTGTGGCTGTGAAAGATCATCAACTATAAGTTGAAAGCGCCAATTTCAACTCCCATCCATTCTTTCTGCGGGAGAGACCGCCGTTCACTATGAAGATCAATCACTCGTCCTTCCTTCTTTTTCTTCTTCCCGCCATTTCGGCCGTGCTCGCCGACACAACATACAATGACAACATAGACTCCCGAGTCACGCGTGAGACTGCTGGAAACAACGCTCGTCTCGTCGATTCGGATATAGTCGCATCCAATGTCGCCAAAGGGGCGCCGGACGTTCCCGTGGATGGCAAAGATGGCAGACCGCACGCTGGTCCGTGGGTGGAAACCAATGCAGACCGGGACCGCAAAGGTGTCAAGGGAACCGATGACATTGACCCTGTTTCTACTAAATATGACACCAAGATTCCCTCTTCGGAACACCTGAGCACCGAAGAAGGGAAAATGATCCCGCATTCAAACGGCGGCGTTATGGATGATCCGCATCGGGCGGGCCCGAAAGAAGGAACACGGGGAACGGAAGGTGGTGTGTCTGAGAAAGGCAAGGAGGGCAAATTGACTTCCGAAAAAGCCCCCGGAGGGCCGAAGGAGGCGCCTCCGCTGCCGCACAGTGAGACTAAAAAGCTGGGATCTGACAGCGACGATACAACAACTGGGACTGGAAGCCGGTCTGCGGAGAGTCAGGGAAGTCTTGGTATGCTGGGGGTAAGTCTTCCTATAAATTGTTCGAGTCCGAGGTCCTTTGTTGAATAAGTGGAATTAATGTGCGTCTAGAAACCCGCCGACCTACCTGAAAAGCCACACGATATTCCATACCCCAAGCCCCCGGCCGTGGTCAAGGATGATCCTCTGGGCCTTGGGCACGACTCAGTCGCATCAGGGTCGCCTTCGAGTTCATCCTCGTCCTCGTTGACCCATGACTATGACCATGACTCCGGTATTCCCGATGCCGGCAGCTCACTACACTCCCTTGTATTCTCCTTCACCATGATTCTCGTTTCTGAAATCGGCGACAAGACTTTCCTTGTGGCTGCTCTCATGGCAATGAGGCATCCCCGCTTGGTGGTGTTTAGCGCCGCATTTAGTGCCTTGATTTTGATGACTGTTCTTTCAGCCGTCCTGGGCCACGCAGTTCCTACTCTTATTCCCAAAGCTTTTACCAAATTTATGGCTGCTATTTTGTTCTTGATCTTCGGCGTGAAGATGCTCAAAGAAGGTCGTGAAATGTCTCCAGATGAGGGTGTGGGCGAGGAGATGCGAGAGGTCGAGGCGGAGCTCGAAGAGAAGGAGCACGAGCAGCTGCGCATGAACCGCCGTCGCTCCTCGGTTACTCCTCACAACCTCGAAGCAGGTCGCGCTGGAGGCCGTCCCAAAACCCGCGGCTCCGGAAACCGCCTACCTTCGCCTCCGGAGAGCTTGTCGTCGTCCTCGTCCCGTGGCTCTTCCCCCCAACCCCGTCAGCGCTTGGATAGTATCTTCTCCGGGTTGAGCAACCTCTTCTCCCTGCTTCTCAGCCCCGCGTGGGTTCAGACCTTTGTCATGACCTTCCTCGGCGAATGGGGAGACCGCAGCCAAATTGCGACTATCGCCATGGCAGCTGGCCAAGACTACTGGTGGGTGACGATTGGAGCTAGTGCTGGTCACGGGATCTGCACCGCAGCCGCCGTGATCGGTGGACGAGCGATCGCTGGTCGGGTCAGCATGCGTGTTGGTATGTATCCTCTGCTTGCTGTTTTTGTCTATGACGCATGCTAATATTGAGCCTTGCAGTGACTCTGGGCGGCGCTGTGGCATTCCTTGTGTTTGGCATCATCTACTTCATTGAAGCCATCTTTTAAAGCGCTGCATATCCGCGGTTGTATGTGTCCACGGGAACTTATCGTTACAGTTTTTGGCGGTTGATTTGTTGTAAAAGTCGAATGAATGCATCTTGTGACATACCTAGGGCTGTTGTAATAATATAATTACGTGTCTGGCCCACGCAATGGCCAGGTTCAATGTTAACCTCTAGAGTTTTTTTCTCCAATGCCTAATCTCACAGGAACAACTCACTGATCGATTGAGTAGGTGGATAATAACATTTCATTATGTGAAAATCCCATTTTAGCGGCTTCGGACTTTGATTGTTTTACCCATCAAGCTAGTGTCTCCTAAAGATCTGTTCCAACTGTGTCCCAAGTGATAAGGAAGAATAACGGGAAGCTCAACTTCAAAGGTTAACGCTCTATCATGTGATCATGAGCACACGGCCTGTGGGTCGCGCTAGGGTTTTGCCTTAGGGTCTCCGCCTTGAATTGCAGGCATAAACCTCAGGCATCTAGCTTGCCGAAGGAGGTGTAGCGTGTCTCGTTTTATCAATAGTCCGTTTTTCCGAGTAACGCAGCCCCGAAAACCCTCACACCTCGCCTCCCTATCCCCTGAATCCTCCAACTCTGCTCAGAATTCGCTCCATCTCATCACCCAGTCATCAGAAATCTTCTATTTTCATCTCGTTTCTTCACATTCATCAAATTCCTGTCAAAGCGTGCAAAATTGAATCCATAACAACAACGCGTGTAGGCGCTTGACGCACGTGTCCCGCCCTCACCGCCTTCCATGGCCCGCCTGACAGGGTCCCGCATGACGCGAAGTCGGAGCCGAGAAGCAGCGAACGCAGGGCTTATGCCAAATAAGGGATCATTGGAGCGAAATTGTAGGTAATCTTCCAGTTGTTTTGGTGTAGCCCCAGGAGCTCTTGGGTCGTGTCGCACAGTGCGGTTAGGCAACTACGCTAGAGAGAATTATGAATTCAGTTGTGAATTCCTCAGTCTGCTTCGTTTCCTTGCCCACTTGCCTCACTCTTGACCCTGTTGCCTCTATCACTTCTGTTTCAGAATTGAATGTGTTCTGACTTTATGCAGGGCTGACCGGGGTGACTGAGGAGCCTTCTACTCCTTCTCCCGGTTTTATTGCGCCCAGACATGTGGTACCAGAATCGCCAGAAAACCATGAAGGTCATACCAATGTCTCTGGTACAACCCTGGGTCACAACGATGTTGAGCCCGTCGGTTCTCAAGTCGCCGATAAAATTGCGACCCACCTGCCGTTCGTTCAGCAACAGGCGACGCTTGTCATGAGTCTCTTAGTTCGCCCGGAATTGAACCCGGATAGCCTTGCAGCTGAGTCGAAAAGGCTCCTTGATTCTAATCACCCGAATCGCAAACGCCTGAGACGATCGGTGGAAGGACTAACCGATGAACTGGATGACTCCCCCTTTCTCGCGATGGCAGGTCATTCTTGGACATCTCTCAAGCTCGTCGTTTGCTTTCTCCCACGCAATTGGATGCGTCCATTGCAGATATTTACATGACGAACTGCGCTCTGTTGACTCTCAACATGTTCCTCCCCAGCATGGGTACCGTGTCCCAGTCGGAGGTCATCCAACAGCTGGATTCCCAGTTTCCCGCATGTGTCATGAGCAACCTTGTAGAAAGTTCTATGACAAGGGACATTGGAGCCAGTAATACCACCGAGACCACCTTCAACCTTGCCTTGGGTATCCGCACGCAGTTCTTCATCATGGAATTAGAAAGACGCCAACATGAGCAGGACTTCAGTGCACTCTCTATCTTGAGACAGATCTTCGCTATGGACCTTGCACCCAGCGAAGATGACTCCCCTGCTTCTTTCCGAGGGTTCAATTTGCCAGGTGTCTTACAGGACGAGGATGGCCATCTTCCAGAATACCTACCTGAAAGGTTCCTCATCGCTGTCAGCGACAGGTTCAATGAGCTTCACGAGGAAATTTCTGAGTGGGATACACTTGATATTGATGGTCTGAGGAAGGCATACAGATGGCGATCGTTTGAACGTGACCTTGCACGTTGGGTATATGCTCGTGACAGAGAAATCAAGGACGACATCAGACGGTTGTCAGAAAGATTGCGTATCTCACCCGCCCCTCGCCGTCTTACTTCTGTCCCAGCTGGAACTCCCAGTCGGCGTCAAGGATCGACAGCGCCTCCAAGTGGTGACATTTCTCGTCGGGGACCCTTGCCCCAACGGACTCATTCTCCTCAGAAAGAACGATTGGTGAACATACTGCCAGGTGCAAATAGGGCGCCCCAGGCAGAGATGGTAACGCAGGCAGAACAGTCAGCCCAGGTGGGCAATATACCCGGAGACATCGGTTCTCGGTCAGGCATCACTTCTCAAACGGTTCCTGAACAAAGTGTATCCAACCAAGTCGGACAGACTGTATCAAAAGATCCGAGTCGGCGCAAGTCCAAAAGGTATGCTTACTCTACGGTTTCTCTCTCTGTGTGGCTACTGATTTTCATCTAGCAACTACCGAGACCCGGCCTCGCTCGCGGCACTCATGAGGCGCCAGGCTACTAGTCGTCAGCAACCTGCCTCGAACGTCGCATCGCAAGCGCAAAATATTTCTAATGACACGAACATTGTCACTCAAGCCGGTCCTTCTGCTAATCGCGGAGTCGATTCCGTTGAAATCCAACAATCCCCTGATCTTACATACCGAGATATCGGGGACGAGTCTACCTATGTAAACAATGACGAGGACTTGGACCTTGGTCAGGGTCCAGAACCTGATGTTATGACATCGACTAGCCCCCCTACCTCCTCTAGAATCAGTCGGGTCAGCCACAATCCTAATCCTCGGTTCTTTGATTCACCCAGAGATGGAAACACACAGCGATCAGGTCCGAACGCTCGGCGCTTCCTCGATAAGCAGAGTAATGCCAAAGTTGTGTCACCGATCAGCCAGTACGATGCTCAAAGTCCAGGGAATCAGTTCACTGTTCTGGGGAAACGGAATCGAAATGCCGACGCCCCGGACGATGACTTGAGTGACGGGTCAGACGTCGAATTCGAGCAGAACAATCAGGACGTGGACCCCAGGCGCAGGATCGAAAAGCCCCAGCAAAAGTTGCCTGCCGCGAAGCGACAGCGCCCGGAGGACAACCCGGGGTCTGTCGGAGAACGGCTGCCATCGAGCATCAACCAATCGTTCCACCGCAACCAGCCTATCTCAGCACAAGGCGCTCAAAGGGCGCAGAGAGCCGAAAGTGACGATATCACCGATGATGAAACCACTGTTGAGCAATACGAACCATCCACCGGTACTCAGAGTCGCTGGGCAGCCTCTAACTCCCAGGCTGCGCTGGTCAATCGGAGAGTTCGGAGCACCAGCCACAGATGGACAGAGGAAGAAGATGAACGTCTGATCCACCTCTTGGGGATTTATGGCACTTCCTATTCCGCCATAAAGAAGCAAGATAACGCTTGTCCCCCATCTGAAGGTGGTCCCATGCTTGAGCGTCGCTCTCAGGTTAATTGTAAAGATCGTGCTCGCAATTTGAAGAGAAAGTATCTCAGGTAGGACATGATACCCTTTCGTCCTTGGTATGTGTAACAGGCAGTTCTGACGCATTGTTTTATAGAGAGGGCCGACCACTTCCACCGAACTTGGAGAAGGCGACAGGTTGATATGATGCTATGATGATGTACAGGCAGCCGCAGTTTGCTCTTTCGTTTCTTAGCGTTTGTCGAGATACCCATGGAACACATGCGATGGCGCTTTGGACGTTTTTTCTGGGTTTCGTTATTTCTTTTCATGTATGATTTTCTTTTCCTGGCCTGTACAGGGCTCTTCTACGAAGGAACGTTGATGATGGTCGGATGATTGCTTTATACTAGTTGCTGTTGTTTTCGATTCCAATCATGTCAGAGTTAATGAATTGTTATTTCGCACACTGATCGCTGCCAGGGAGTATCTGCTGATCCAGTTGCCACACCAGGTACACTCTAATTCAAAACGTATGCAATGAAATCATATCCATACCGCAAGGGGTACAATAGCCAAACTCTTTTTCAACAGTTGTGCACTACTTAGGTAAAATAAACCCCAAGTGGTTGCTTGCATATTGCACCAAAATTTGTTTACGAAAGGCTGCATAGAAAAGCTCGGATAGTATTCCCATACTATTTAAGCAAGATGCTGTGCAGACACATCAGTTTAAAGCAGATTGAGATAGACATTGATCAAATGGTAAGCTTTGCATCGTCGTCCGACATGAGTTGGAGACGCTCTGACATTTCCGAATTGGTGAAGGTTGTACAAGTCACTCATTTGGAGAATGACCATAAAGAGGAGAAAGGAGAGGAAGGGAGCCAAGAGAAGTGTCTCGCACCGAGATACTGAGACAAAATGCAAGATAAAGTAGAACCTGGAATGAACGGATGCACTGAGTCAATATCAAGGCCAAAACCCAAGAGATCAATGGCTTTGTATGAAATTTATGAGCAATAAACATGAAGCTAATAGAGACCAAGTCATATTGCCTGTCTCAGCTCGGCGATGTCTTACCAGCTGCTTTGTCCAAGTCTTTCGCCTCTTTGATATATGATGCTGATGGTTCTCAGCATCAAAGAACGTTACTCATTTCACGAGTTTCGGGGTGTATCGGCTAAACAAAGGAAATAAAGATACCATACATAATACCCTAGCAAGATGCTGGATCGACGGATAGCTCCTACACGGTACATACCGGATGAAGAAATACTATCTAGTATAAGAACGGACATATTTCTTGAGATTAGCTCTCCAAATCAATTCCAAAGCAGCAAGCACCTACTTCCATCGAAACAAAGTTTCAAGGAAATTCTTACATCGCTATTATTTTCCGACCGTCAGCATGGGCAACAGCAGGGGTAAAAACAAGGGCAAGGGTAGGGGCAAGAAAAGAAGTCGCAGCCTGAAGGAGAACAAGGTCACAACGAAGGTCGAGATCAAGCCCAAGTCTAATGCCTGGGAGCATCACTGTCCTGAACGACATGTGTTTACTTCACGATGCATCCGTTTAGGTCATGTGGTCCAATGTCCGATTCATCCTAAAAGCTTCCCCCGACGATTGAGCGAGTGTGTGCTGTGTAACAGTGCTGACAGGAGACTAGTGCAACAAGAACGGAAGGACAAGAAGAAGTAGAGCAATTCTGGTTTCGTCCTCATGGTCTTCAAGTTGGATAGGTATGTCAGCATTGGACATTTCCAAGGTTCTTGATTTATGTCTGGTCTTACTATTGGTGTTGACGTTGGACTATATATACTTGCCAGTAACTACAGCACTGAAAAGGTGTTAAAGGGTCAAGATATGTATTCAATTACTTCTACAATATTGTACAAGCACTACCATTAGGTTCATCTTCCTCTCTACTCCCGATTTGGTAGCAAAACTATGTAGAACAGCACAAGGGCTTCGTAGGTAGAGATACGCCTGGCCTGAACCCCTTGATTTGGTCAATGCGTACATGTGTTTATTAAATGTTTCCAAGTACCCCGCATTATCGCCCCTCTTTCTTTTTCTTTGTCTTTGTTTTCTTCGTTTCTTCTAACCTCGTCCTAATTCTACACCTTGAACAACCAGCGAAGGCATTCACTGTGCGCTCATAAAAACCATCTGATGTGGAAAAATACAAAACCTAGGCATCTTGCCTTCCGAGCACACGATCGACATGTTATAACCTGTTTACAATTTGATGCGGACAAAATTATAGCCGGTAGCGACAATACCAATATCAACGTGTATGACACCAAGACCGGAGCGCTTCGAGCAAGATTGGAAGGCCACAAGGGTGGTGTATGGGCACTGGAATACCATGGCAATACTCTGGTCTCTGCGTCGACCGATCGCACTATCCGAGTATGGGACATTGCGAAAGCCAAGTGCACCCATGTGTTCCAAGGTCACACGTCCACAGTACGGTGCATAAAGATATTGCTCCCAGTTCAAATTGACAAGAATTCAGACGGTACACCAGTGATGACGCCCGAACAACCCCTAATCATTACGGGTTCCCGTGATTCGACCCTGCGGGTTTGGAAACTTCCTCAACCAGGCGACTCGGAATATTTCCCTCCTACCGAGAGCGACTCGGAATGTCCATATCTCATCCGTGTATTGACTGGTCACCAACATTCCGTGCGAGAAATCGCAGCCTACGGGGACACCCTAGTCAGCGGTAGCTACGATTGTACCGTACGAGTTTGGAAAATATCCACCGGAGAATCACTACACCGGCTAGAAGGCCATACATTCAAGGTTTATAGCGTATGTTTGGACCATGAGAGAAATCGCTGTATCAGTGGATCGATGGACAACACGGTCAAGATATGGTCTCTTGATACAGGTGCGTTGTTATATAATCTTGAAGGCCACTCATCGTTAGTGGGCCTCCTTGATTTGAAAGAAGATCTGCTCGTGTCTGGCTCTGCAGACTCTACACTCCGAGTTTGGAACCCAGCGAATGGCCGTTGTCAAAGCACGCTGGGTAGTCATACTGGAGCGATTACCTGCTTTCAGCACGATGGTCAAAAGATAGTCTCTGGTGCTGATGCGAGCTTGAAGATGTGGGACATACGGACTGGTGAATTCGAAAGGGACCTTCTCACCGACCTCAGCGGCGTCTGGCAAGTCCAGTTCGATAACCAGCGTTGTGTTGCAGCAGTTCAGCGTGAAAGCGTGAGTTATATCGAGGTTAGTACGCGTCCGCCTGATATCCCGTCCATTTATAATTTATTATTCATGAAGATTCTCGACTTCGGTGCATCCCCTGAAACCATACCATCTGGCCAGTTCGGGAAGCGGGTTCTAGTTGATGAGCTCGGTGATGAGATCGAAGGCCCGGAATGGACAGGTTGATTTTGTTCTTCGGGACCTCACAGGTCGTGAAGAAAACAAACATTCTAGTTCCTGAGGCTTACACACGATTTCTCCCTTATTGTTTCCGTTACAATTCGTCGGCCCCGAGACCATGCTTCAAGCTTCGTTCGTCTAATAACTCGTAAATTCAGATATGTTAGACGTGTCACCACCCTTCCTCTGTAGCACCTGTTGTAGTACTCTCAGTCTGGGACAGTGCACGTTCTGGCCGTTTCCTATATGTCTCGAACGCACTCGTTATCAATATTGGAAAAGATGTTCCTACCCAGAGGCTAATAACCAAAGTATTAACTTCCTTGATAGCGAAAACTGTAAGTTATTCTTCACTGAGATGACTGCATCGAGATCAGAAAGTAAAATACATGTATTCTGCCCATAAAAGTTATGAGGCAAAACCTTGACGACATGGAAGTGAGTCCTATATACAAGCTTTATATTCAAATGATGTACCTAGGTTACACGCATTCGAGAACGAAATACAAGTCCCCAGATCGACATCTGCTTCATACCCGAAGAGGAACGAAATAAAGTTACAGATTTCTTCTAAACCTGATTATCGTCAGTGAATTAATAAACTCGGAAGATCATTCCAATATTTGGCGCTCTTCACTCACAATCAAGGCAAACGGGTATCCTAATACGTGTCGTCTAATCCGGACAAGTCGAGAATCTTGGAGCCATATAAACCTATAAATATAAAGGGAACCACCTAAACGTGCTATCATCCGCTATCAAACAAACCAATTCCTCCTAGCTTGATAAACTACCTCAAACTGCAACCCTTCGTGGCCCAAACAAAATGGAACAGCTGCTTTGCAATCGATCCAAAGAAGCCAGTGACGCTCTGGCTGTTATCGATGGAGAGCATCGTTTCACATATCGTGATCTTCTAGTCAAAGCCGACGTTCTGGCGGCGGACCTGCTCGAGAAAGGTCTAGGTACTGAAGAGCCTGTAGGTGTTGTTGTTGGGCCAGGCTGGCAGCAAATTATTGCTCAGGTTGCCATCCTGAGAGCAGGGGGAACCTCTGTACCCATTGATCCCTCTGCCCCTGACATACAACTCCATGCCATGCTTGGTAATTTAAGCACTCGATTCGTCATGACAACAAACAATTTATCGGGCAGAGTCTCTCAATTTGATGTCCTGCCCATCGAAACGGTTTTGAACCCTGAATACCAGACAGAGAAACACGGTGAAATCAATGCGATGTCTGGGAAATCGGACGGCCACAGAAGTCATATTCTTCATACATCTGGCTCAACCGGAATGCCCAAGGCTGTTCAAATTTCTGCGAAGGCTGTGCTTCACCTCGCCGCATCACTCCCCGTAGATATTGGGGAAGGCGATAAAGTCGGGCAGCTAAACAACCCGGGATTTGACCTTTCTTTGTTCGAAGTCTGGATTACACTGCTTTCCGGTGGTACAGTGGTGCACATCCCGAAGTCCATTATCAAGGATCCAGTCTCTTTTGCCGCCTTCTTGAAAGACACGGGCGTTACGGCGCTCATTCTACCCTCCACCCTCTTTACTGCTGTATCCGCCAGCACTCCTTCTGCTTTCCAATCCGTTCGTCATGTTGTGAGTGCAGGAGAGTCGCCCAGTCCTCAGGCAATGCAAAAGGTTCTCAGCAGTGATGGCCCTCCTGAAAACTTGTGGAACGGCTACGGACCAACAGAGACAACATGTCTCTCCACTCTGCAACGAGTGACACTTGAGGAGGCTGAAAGTGGACCCATTAGTGCCGGAATACCATTTGGAGATACCGTGCTCCACATCCTTGATGAAGCCCAGAAGCCAATTGTCGATGAAGAAATTCCTGGTGAAATATGTATTGGAGGGCCAGGCTTATCCGCAGGATACCTGAACCACACCGAAGCAAATGCCGAGAAGTTCATTAGGATTGAGATTGCGGACTCTCAGGACCCTGGACGGGTGAAGATAACTCGACTGTATCGGACAGGCGACATTGGGATGTGGAAGGGGCTACCGAAACGACTCCAGTACGTTGGGCGCGTGGACCTCCAGGTAAAACACCAAGGTTTCCGTGTTGAGCTAGAGGCAATCGAGCAGACTATCGCAGCAAATGATAGCGTTCGGGCAGTGGCCTGCTTGCACCAGAAAGCCGGTGATGGTCCTGGATCAGACCGTCTTATAGCAGTTGTTGCCCCAGCAAACGATATGCCACTTGACCCCCAAAAGATCATCGAATGGACACAAAACCGCCATCCCTACTATATGGTTCCCAGTCAAGTCAGGGTTGTCTCTGAGATTCTCTGAATTCTCGCGGCAAAGTTGACCGTGACGCCTTGTACAAGGAGATCAAGGAATCTCGGCCCTTGAAATCAACTCAGAATAACGCGAAAGATGAGGGCTCCCTTGAAAAGATTACCAAGATCTTAGAAGGGATCCTAGGACTCTCGAATCTTGGTCCTGACGACAACATTATTTCTCTCGGCCTATCATCCTTGCAAGTCGCTCGATTCCTTGGCCTGATAAAACAAAAGATTGGAAAATTGATATCAATCAAGGATCTATATATCAATACGAGCATTAGATCATTGGTACATCACCTACATCAAGCCGATGAAATAAATTATGGACCGACCGAAGTCCTACAATTCGAAGCTGATACCCATCTTGCTGATGATATTGAGTTGATCCCCGATTGGACATCCGAAGGTCGCGTATTCCTTACAGGTGCGACCGGATTTATCGGAGTTAACTTGTTGTATCGTTGGCTCTCCAGGCCATCTATGAAGGCGATTGAAATAGCATGTCTCGCTCGGGGCAACGAAAATTACGCGCCTATTGACCGAATCAAGAATGCCCTCAAGAAATATGACCTCTGGAGCGAAGAAGTTTCCCAGGAAATAAAGAGAGTGATTGTCCTGGATGGTGATATGACACAGGAACGCCTTGGCCTTCCGCACAGTGACTATCAGTGGCTCATTAATTGGGCACCAGCGGTTTTCCATGCAGCCGCGAAGGTCAACTGGTGTGATTCCTACAACGGCCATTTCGCGCAAAATGTCCAGGGTACCAAGAATGTTCTTCGTGTCGCAGCAGAAGGCCGGCGAAAGACCATGCATTACATCTCCAGTATCGACGTTTGGGCAGTCACTGGACTTATACTCGGGACAGACGTCGTGTCTGAGGATGGTCCGCTCAAAGTCCATCTCGCTTCGCTCCCATTCGATACCGGCTATGCCCAAAGCCAGTGGGTAGCAGACGAGATGGTTCAAAGAGTGCGCGACAAAGGCCTCCCAGTGACCATTTACCGCCCCGGGTTCGTCGTCGGCGACAGTAAAACAGGCGCAGGAAACCCAGACGATTTCTTCGGTCGATTGATCGCCGGATGCATCAAACTGGGATACTGGCCACATATGCCACACCAGAATCAGGAATATGTCACAGTCGACTACGTCTGCGATTCGATTCTTCGTATCGCTGCAGATAGTCGCAATATTGGCCATGCCTATACCCTGAGTTCACCAAACCCAGGCCAAATTACGAATATGGAAAGGTTATGCGTACTTATTAACCAGGCTGGTTTTTCGGTTCAAGAAATTCCGTATGCAGAATGGTTGGAGAAATTGCAAGCGTGGGACGGGTTTGAATCGAGCCCCTGTTTACCTTTGATGCCTTTGCTTGCGGAGCCCATCCTACGTGGTGATACACGTCTTCAAACAAGCAAGTATTCGCCGAGGTACGACTGTGCGAATACCCTCAAGGCAATTGGCGCTTGCGACGATATTCGCTTTGTCCAACTCACACCCGGCCTCGTCAAGAAGTTTATCGACTTCTGGGCTCGCAAAGGTTTCTACAACTTTTGATTTGATGGAACACCATTGAATGTTTCACCACCAATCGCTTTCTTTCGGTCTTTATGTCTGCTCATATATCACATCTACTGTAGGGTTTCATGGATACTGTCTTGGCAAGTTCAAATGGAGACAAGAAGTAGAAATAACCTCCAGTGTTTGATTCGAGTTTAATTACAACAATATGTTCAAATATTTGTAGCGGCTTAACGCAGATAAGTACAATCTAAGCGAATTAAATATTCTGGCAGACTAGCTTCCCCGGTCCATTCCTTTCATATGTGCTTCGAAGCTGTCAAAGCTGTCAAAGCTAGGCCGAGTCGATCTTCTGAGGATTGTAGTCGACGGATGAAGCATGGCGTCTCTTGTGGACATCGTAGCAACCCAGGACGAAGTGAACGAAATGGAGCAAACTATTATCGGGGGCGTCAGTGCATGGCCATATATCAAGCCTTTATATGGTAGGACGCTTACCCATTAATAACCATGAGTGCGAAGGCAGCGACGGCCATGTGCCACGAGGAGTGCAGTGATGAGCGTCCACCGTAAAGAGACACTTGCTCGGCAAGAAGGCTGACGATTCCGAAAAACAACAGGACGATTGTGAAAATGAAATCTAGAGCAATATGGGCGCCGGGGTGGACCGGCCGCTTGAAGACGATTAGGGCGAGGTTGACCAGGGACCAGATTCCTGGGATGCCGACCTGTAGTTCTTGGTTAGACTGTCTTTTCGAGATTTGTTGTTGACATGTGAATGTCCGGGTGCACATACGACAATGTAGTATACCCAGCCCATGTTGCCGAATAAGGCTCCAAAGAGTGACATTATAATAACAGCCAAAACCACAGCAAAGGCACGCAGGCCCAGCCTAGGCATGCTGGTCTCAGAGGCTGATGCGTTGGCCATATCGGGCGAAATGAGATGCAATCCAAAATGGTTGAAGAAGAGATTTCATCACATTGTAATGAGGATAGAGCCAGGCTATTTGTAGGTAAATAGAAGGAGCCGCCTAGGATTCAACTAATGCTAGTGCAGTTTACCTTGATTAAGATCATCGCTGGCGGCAGCCTTGTGGGTCGCATAGACAAGTCGACCATCCAAAAGCTAACGTCTGTGAATTTTGCGAGTCAAGAATTGGGCCAATGCTAAGGTCAAGGCAGCAGTTTCATCACTATCTAGTAGGCAGCTGCTATAATTCTCGAGTAAAAGATGGGAGGCTGATTTTCGTTTTCCATTCTACTCCGTAGGAAATGTTGTCTTGAGGCTCAGGGGAAGATTGGGAGATTTTGGCCCCAAAAGAGCCTTACGAATTGGCCATAATCTATCCAATCAAAATTGAAACTCCATGTGGGACTCCAAGAGGTGCGGCTCATAGTGGATTTGGCCCCCAGAAAAATGGTTGAGGAGAACTATAAGCCCACAGCCAACAAACGTGTCGGCCCCCAATTTGTACTAATGCTAGGGCCTGGCAAAGATAACAAACTCAGGGGCTCAAGGATAGAGTCTCGTTCACTTAGTTAAGATAGTTTTTGGCGTGAAGATATATGTATATTGTATATCGGATTCCCTTCCCTCAAACGGCATCGTTGCCATATCTTCAAGAGAACACACGCTATAGACCGACTCAGGTGCAGAATCCCGCATATCCTTAGCAACTTGATGTACAATAACATGCGCATTTCCACACTGCAACAGAGGAGACAATATAGCAAATCTATGGTGTAGAATGTAATATTAGCCAATATCAACAAAACAGGTCTGAAACGAATAGCCTAACCCACATTTGGGGGCCATAATTTGAACGGCTTTCTACTGACTCTAGGGACCTTGTTCAATATCACCCTTGTAAATATATTTATTAGATCTTTCCCTTTGACATAGTGAATGTACTTGCTTGATTCTGTATAAGAGGTTCGGTGTTACCACCACCTACCTGCATGACCCAGGTCTTTGAGGTTGTCTTCGAGACATGGACAGCATTATCTGATGAGATAACTGTACCCTACTGCAATTGTGTTTATATATGTTAAAGATATAGGAGTTATTTTTGACTAGCTACTGAGTTGGAAGTTACAACAGTGTTCTGACTCTCATGGTCTCTGAGATATAAAAAGCCAAGAACTAGTCTCTTGGCATTGCATCACGTGCTTACAGCCTTATCGCCCCCACTGGGGCCTTGTGGCTATGTTATGCGCACACGGCACAACGCGATGATCTTTCCCGGGGTAGTTTGGTCTGTTACGTTTCTCTTTTGTTTTCTTCTTTTCTTCTTTTCTGTATCTTCTCTTTTAACATTCACTCTAAAAATGGGAAACCCAGAACTTGACTTCAGTAGCAAGCATACCGAGGCAGTCTCGAATACCGAGGCAGTATCCAACCATCCACCATATTCTTCCGATGAGCCACCCACATACGGACAATCAAACGCATCATACAGAGTATCCCGCGACGGCTTTCCTAGTTCTGTGGTGGTGGTTGTTGATGAATGTATCACCCACCTGAAACTTTTATCCGCGATCGCCAAACTTCGTAATTTCATTAAAGGAACAGACAAACTCTTTGGAATTCACGATGGTGAGATCAGAAACTTTTCCAACAACCAGCAAGCCCAGGCAGCCGCCCGCATTCGGGAAAAGAGATGGGCTGTTTATGTGGCTAGAGCTGTGGACCGATTTACCATTTGGTGGCAGTCTTACCTACCGAGTCTCAAAACCAGTCGCATCTCAACGTTAAATACTGCATCTGAAGCCAATATAGCATGGTCTGCTAACATGATGCCACCACTTGGTCAGCCAGTCTGAATGTTGGAGCTTGTTCTTTTTTTTCTAACTTGCCGCTTAGATGTTATCATGGTCTGGCATGCGTTTATGCTTAACCCGCGTGCCTTTCTTGAGGATTGTTTGCGTCAGTCTAAAATGAGTGTCTGGGCCACTGGGCTGCCGTGGGATGTAATAAACGCATCCATCGACGACAAGACCCTTGTCTTCTACCCAGACAGAGACAGTGAAGCGAGGATAAACTTCGAGACAATAACAGGTCATTCATGGGAAAATATCCACGACAGTCCAGGGAAATCCCTGCCTTGCTTCGGTTGTAAACAGGAAATCATTGCTCCCTGGACGGAAGGATCAATTGGATGCGATACAGATGTCGCCTTTGCACACTGCACCGGATATGCGGACAAGTCTTTGCGGGTTTCATGTCCAGCATGCAAATTCAATACCACACACGATACTCTTCGCGTGCAAAAGTTTCGCAGTGACGTGCAGAAGTTGTTGAAAGATGATATTCCTATGCCCGGCACGCTTTTGTCACAGAATGGCACTCCCGCCGACGATGAAAATGGGGATAACGTGTCCTTTCCAAATCGGCTTATTAAAGAGGGCATCAGAAGCGAGTTCCTGCAGCTTACGGACCTCACGGAAAACGAAAGCACCACCATTGAAACCATCCGCGACCACCTCGAGGGATATTTGAAGAGTCGTTCATTAATGCGTCGCGTGAACAAGACAATACTGGCTTCTGGGAATTCAAGTATGCCAGAAAGGATATCTCTTCGCAATATGCTCTCCAGATATTGGGACAATTCATCCCCTTTCGCCATCGACTTGGTTGGGGCAGTCATACGACAAGGGACGTTTGTGGACAAGATGGACAAGATCGGGTGGATACGTTCACCAAACCTGAGATCGACCATGAGTCACTTCATCGGCAAGTACGGCGTGTTCTTCCAAATAATGGTCAAGAATAAAGGCCATGCTGTTGTCCCCACTCTCGATGTCGACCTGATTTGGCACACCCACCAGCTTTCTCCCATTCGCTATTACATCTTCTCTACCACGCAGATGGAGGGAATATTCATCAACCACGACGACAAAATCGACGAGATAAAGCTCAATGACGCCTTCGCATGGACCTCAAGACAATACCAAAAACTCACCGGCGGAAAGATCTACAGTGAATGCACATGCTGGTATTGCGAGGCAGTGCGCGAGTCCAACAACCAGGGACTTGGGAGGCTGATATCACCGTCCACCCTGCATGCCAAAACCAACGCCGCCCTTCTCCACAACAGTGCTGATAATACCACCGACGGTAAAAGCAAAGAGCCGCACATTTCGTCACATAACGCAGTTCGCATCCTGGCTCAGGCTGATCCAAAGGCAATGCAGACCAAGACCGCCCAGCTTGAATCGTGCTGGGGAGAAAGCGCAGCGACGATCTCACAATCGCAATCACAGTAGAGGCGGTGGTAGTGCCCACGAAGAGTCACCAAGGAAGACAGTCTCTGGCCCCTATGCGCGGGATCCAGATATCCATCGTGAAATATACCCCTGCAATCCAGCCTGCGTGAATATCACCGCTGGCGTGGTGGGTAACTGCATGAGCGGGACACAGGGTGTTGGTCTTGCGCAAGGTGCGTGTGTGAGTGGCACCATGGCCGCACAGACAAGATCGAAAGGTAAAAGCTTCTGCTCTGGCATAGCCGGTTGTGGTATGAGTCTCTAGTCGGTCAGCAAATGTGTAAGTACTGGTGGACCGAGCCCAGTGTCCTCCAGGTCAATAGGGAACTGGACAATGTATAGATGAATATTGAATGCACGAATAACCTGGTTACTATGGTCAAGGTCGCGAATAAACCCGAGTAATAGAAGGAAGTGGGCACGAGATGATCAATGTAGCCTCGACCCATCTCTCAGAACGTCGCACGCAGGACAGGAAATACGTTGCTATTACGTTGAGGATCTTCGAACAGCGCTCTGGACAACATCATACCTAGATAACTTCCTAGTTGAGGCAATGCGAGTGACAAATTTTGAATTCCCCCCGAAAAGGATATCGAAGTCCATCCGGTAATAAATAGTGAATGCTAAACTGATTCTCGTAAACCCAAGAATAAAAGCGAATGTAGAGAATGCCCATCCCAAGACGGGCAGTAAATGCATCTCAAATCCGACCAGCGGATCCAGTACAAGAAACAGAAACAAGAACAGGATATTATCCCTGATATCACAAAACGTCCTGTTGACGAACCAGCGAGGGGTATAACTGCACATGCAATGTAGAGTACATGGAATTCAAAACGACAGTATATGCATCTTCAATCACAAGACATGAAGGCTAAGAGCTTCACAGAAGCAAGCCCATACCCGCGACAACAGCGCCAAGCAGCGATGATCCCGCGCGGACTGTTCCAGCAGCGTTATTCGTAGGCGTGGGCGAGGCAGTTGCGATAGAGCCGGAGCCAGAAGCCTTGGATACAACGTTACCACTCTTAGAGTTCGCAGTTGATGCCGCAGTCACGATGCCGGTTTGCCCGCTAGCTGTCGAGGGCGCGACAATGATTCCGCCAGCTGCGGTGGCAGCAGTGGGGGCAATAGTAGTGGAAGCATTTTCAGATGGAGAGGCTTGTAGGTTCTCAGTCGCCTGGATGATGTTGAAGGTATCCTGTCCGCCGCCTAGATAAGAAATAATGCTGTCAGAACTGATCTTGTTGTCGTGTCATATGTAATTTCGCGGGTAACTCACAGCTTCCTGCAGGCCATCCAGAGCAGGACAGGTCGCACTTATCGTCGGCGATCTTGGCGGAGTCCGAGGGCATTTTGTTGCCGCAGTAGCACATGTTGCCACGGCTCAGAGCTGCGACCTTGAACCCGTTCTCTGCGCATTGAGCCTGGCAATATCCCGGTGATTGATAGGTGTAGGGGCCTTGGTTCTTGAACGAGTCAACTTCGGAATAGCAGCCCATGCTAGCCGTGGCGCTAAGCGAGTACACGGGAAGAGCTAGGGCAAGGGCCGAGAAAAAGTAGTTGGTATGCATGATGATATTGATATATTCGATCAACGAATTAAAGAGTGAAAATTTGGTAAGAGATGGTAGATGTTGAGCAAGGAAAGAATATGCAAAAGAGGGGAAATGTGTGACGGAGGTGACAAGCAGAAAAAGGGTCCGTCAAGCTTCTTTAAGACCGTTTGTTTGTCAGGAACACCCGTCGGGTTCCATTTTTTTCGAATGTTTTTCTGTGGAGTAAAGGTTGGGGACTGATGACATCGGTGTCCAATTGATCGACCGGAAATAGAAAATGATCATCCTGAAACACTAAGCGACATGCTCTATTGAACTCGCACTGGGGCTTTATCGCCTTCATTGGCTTGCGAGCTGGCGATCGCCCGATCGGCATCCCCAGGTGTGGCGACTTGTTTCCCTTTTCAGCGACGAATGACGGCGGATGGAGCCCGACGAGTCAAATGGGATGAACTTCAGGAAAGAGTTCGCGTGTTTCCGGTTTGCCGCTTGTCTTGATTAAGGATAGAGTGGTTTTAGGGTGTTGCATTTGTGAGGAATCTGACATTGTCGGTCATTGCTGGTAACCCCTTGTTTCTCCTTTTCTGGTATTCTGGTACGGAGTATTCTGTTTGGTATTCTAGCTTATTCCATTTTTACATATCCTGCAAGGTATCAAGGTAGTTATTGAAGTGTATGGCCTGGCCTAATTAGGAAACTCGACATCAAAATTGAGTAACCAATCTTTCTTGGATCCATGGTTGAGCCGAACCTTCCGAACTGTGGGATTGTCGGGTGTATCAGGTTAACACCGCGGAGTACAACCCTAACTAACCCGCGTGTCTTCCTTACCGATGTAAGACATTTCAAATCAACCTGACTCAAATTCGTGTCCTCGTTCTGAATATGGAGCCAGGTGGAGAGGAAATAATGACGATGATTAGCTTTCAGGTACTCCATACATCAAACTAGGACCAGCTGAAACAAATATTATAGGGATACGCATGATTATCTATCTAGCCTTGATGAAAACAAATCACCTATGTTGTATATTTCATAGGAGCAAGAATAATATCCAAGAGTGTCGCCAGGCATAAGGGTTTGGCATAGTATTCTGGTGAACAGTTCAGTGTCACTATGAATAGGTACATAGATGGAATATATCATTGTTTCTCATTCAATTTTGTGGAAAATGATGCACAAGCTAATCAATTTAGCTAGTTACATGTTCTTCCTTTTCTTTCAGGTACTTCAGAAGCAAACTCCAAGTCGGGAAAATGCCGAGAAATACACGGACTTGACATTATTTTCATGGCTGTGAGACATCGATGCTCTCTTTACCTTAGCTTGAATACTAGCACCAATTTATTACTGTATGTCTTATGTCTCCCACTCCTCAACGGGGAAAGGAACAAAAATTGGACCAGGAAGTCTATCGAAATGGATTCGTGAGCTTTACATGGAGCAAGTTCATTTATACAAAATCTTGAATTGGCCGAATAATTATGAGTAAAGTGCAGGTCGGCCAGAAGGAAACAACTTGTTGAGCTTCTTCCTAGGTACCGTCTTTCTCACACCGTAGTGCCACCATTCACACGGATAGTCTGACCAGACACCCATCCTGATCCCTCGGACGCTAGAAATGCCACGAGACTAGCAATATCGTTAGGGATACCGAGACGATTGAACGGACTCAGAGCAGCGATTCCACTAAGCACCTCCTCGCTCTTCCCTGCCAACAACAGGTCTGTGGCCGTTGCTCCCGGAGCGATAGTGTTCACCGTGATACCTTGTAGCCCCAGCGCCTTGCACAGGGAGCGTGTGACGCTGCGCTTCACGGACGGCGCATCGGCTACCGGTGACATGCTCATCGGGGCCGATGGCATGCACAGCGTCGTGCGGAAGATCCTGTTGGGGCGCTTGGGACTTCCGGACCCACTGAGAATCCTGCACGTTGATACCTCGCACGCCCAGCTGGAAGTGTCTGACGAAACGTTTGAGCGGCAACTGCCACTCAGTCATGGTGTCTGGCTCGTGGCCACGCCTTCCGATACCTCCGATCCAGGGGTAACTCTGTTCACGGGTCTCGGCCAAGTCAATCCAGATTGCCGCAGCGGGATTTATTTCTGGTACCTATCGAGTGACAGACCCGACTTTAAGCTTCCTGATAGGAAGGCCACCAATATCTCCAAGAAAGAATTGCTGGAGATGTCACGTAAAGTGGCGCAGAGATTGCAGCCTCAGTTCCGCAAGATTGTGGAGCTCACGTCGCCAGAGGGGATTGCTTGGCCTCCATACGTAACCAGCGCTGTAGAGATGGACAAGTCTAGTCTGCAACCAGGCAGAGTCACGCTTCTTGGTGATGCTGCGCATGGGATGCCGCCATGTATGTTTCCACCGCCATCCCTAACCCGACTGCCCCTTTATGTTCTTAAGCACAGTATGTACTAACGTGTGCAGACCGTGGTGAAGGCGGTGTTCAGGCGATGAGGGATGGGCTGAAATTAGCGCAGATTCGTGATACCAGGGCGACTGGAGCGGCCTTGGAAGATCTCATGGGTGCTTATCGCGATGAAATGCTGGAGCGAGCGGTCCGAGCATCGATAGCAGCAGGAACGGCTACCAATGAAGGTCGTGTCATGGATTTGGGGCCATCTGGCAGAGATGATTCCACCAAAGAAGATTTCCCTCGCAGACATTCCTTTGAAAATGTAAGTATATTTTGTTTCTGGAATGCATGTTCCGAGATTTTGCGCGAGATCAGCCGGGAGAACATTCACCAAGAAGACCAAGAAGACCAAGTACCTAGTCAAAACAGTAACAATATTGTCCATGAATGTATCCAAAGTCATAAGGTCTTGGCACAATTTTTTGCGATTTTGTACTTTTCACTGGAACCACATCGCTTCTTTCCCTCTTTGCCTTTGGGGTCAATACCTAGGCAGTACTAGTGTTATCTCGTGATCCTTGTAGATGACCTCAACTTGCAGTGACAACACTTTACTTGATTTCTCTCACTACCTTTCGCTCCCAAACAAAATGGAGCGTCCTGTCGGCTCTCAGACGTATGACTCGCTGGTCTCCGAGCCACCACAAACTATCGAAAGAGACAACGCGACCGAACCTAGGCAAGCCATATTGTCAACAAACAGTGGGGGAAACCCCTCAGAAACGCAAACCTCGACACCAAGCCAAGACCGATGTGGACGCGAGGGAAGCACTCAAAGGTCTGATGAGCACAGCCTAGTGGAGCTGCCTACTAGTAGACAGCTCTTCCTGTCGTCTACTAACATGTTGTCAACAAGGCCTCTACCCAGGACAAATTCCCCGCGAGTTGGCGACACGAAAACATCCGAACGAGAAGCTCGAAAGAAAATCCAGAAAGAGAATAGAATGGACCTTGCGCTAAAGAGACGCAGGGAGAATTTCCGGAAGAACATTGCTCGAGAGCTTACCGCGATGCTGCCTCCATCGGCTCAGACGACGAACGGAAGTGGGTCAGCAAGGTGTTCGAAGGTATTGAGGCCGAGGAAAAGCGCCGACAGGGCCTTTCACCTGCAGAAAGGCGACAAGAAGATATTCAAGTTTCAGCGAAAGCACTCGAGAGACTCGTAAAAGAGGATGTTGGGCCATACTCATCGCGTCCCTATGCCGTCTTCCTGCTTCAGGTGGCGCCGCAATCCCGCAGCGGAGCAAAATGCCAGCTTCCTCACTGTGAAACGAGGATCTTGCCTGGTGACTATCGCATTAAACTGGATGGGGGTCATTGGAGCGAATACCCCTCAGGTAAATTTTCTGACTCACCATATCAATTTCTTGAGGTTGGAACTGAATATTGTGACAGGCTCCTATCACGTAGACTGCTTTGAAGAAATCTTGAACTTATCGTCTCGATCATACGCCTCACGATTTATACCTGACATGCAATACTTTCCCGGGCGTATGGAAGTATGCATCTTGCAAGAATACGTAAGAAGATGGATGATCCGACTCGGTGTCCAGGTGCGTACATCATGCTATGCATCCTACGATCCAATACCCCCGCACCCTTTGGATGCTTAAAATATTCAAGGAACATCCATTCCCGGAGCAATCGTGGGGTACATTTGCCAAAGAGATAAAATCCGAGAGATATTTTGTCTCCGAGACCGACCCGGAGTATGATGAACGCCATTCCCTGAGCACCGCGCTTCGAAACTGGCTACAAAGATTATCCGAAGCAGAGGAGAATGAATAAGAGCGCTAGCCATGGAAGAAGATTCGAAATTATTTGTTAATGGATGAAGGTGAAACTTTTTTTACGGTGTGTGCTAAAGATGACCGCTGTTTCATCTCCTAACATTGTTACATGACTGTGAGATCTTGATGCTTTCTTTATATTAGCTTGAATACTAGCTTATTTACAGATGAAAATTACAAGTTGGACTGTCAGTCTCAACACACACTTACCCCAACTCTCGGCAAAAGGGCCACCCTGATAGGGCAATTCGGCAACGGCAACGGCCGCCAGCCGTGAGAGGGGAAGATAAGACTGTTGGCGTGCTCTCTATAAGATATGGTGAATCCTTTCACGTCAACTTTTTTAATGTTCTTTGAGTATTTTTATTAGAAAAGTATAGAATCGACCCAATCCGATCATGAAAACACTCGCCCTTCTCACCCTGGCCGTAGTGCCATCGCTAGCGCTCAATATACCCACACAGCAGCGTCTTTTCCCCGAGAACGAGCTATCGGGCAATCATTATAACCCGCTATCAACCCCATCTACACGGGAAACATGTCCACAACCCCCCAAGGTCAACACCCCGAACGATGGCCTACATTCGTCGCAGACCTTCCTGTCCGACGATGCTTTCCGTGCCCGCCAGGCAAAGCGGCTCTCGCGCGCGGTACAGGTCCCAACCACTGTGGGTGATTATATGAAAGACCCATACGATGAGGCATTCGAGCCTGTAGTCAAATTTCAATCGCTATTGGAGGAGATGTTCCCTCTAGTGTAAGAAACTGCCCAATCATTGGACTTTGCCTGCCATGAATGAAGAGAGAGAATACTAAATAAACCATATAGACACGACCGCGCCAAGGCTGAGCACATTAACCGTCTTGGTCTAGTCTTCACCTTCGAGGGTGCTGACACTTCACTCAAGCCGCTGCTCTTCATGGCCCACCAGGACGTCGTCCCTATCGACGACGCATCAGACTGGACCCATCCGCCCTTCGCGGGTGTCTTTGATGGCGAATGGATCTGGGGCCGCGGCTCAAGCGACTGCAAAAACGTCCTTATCGGACTAATGTCCGTAGTTGAAGACCTGCTCTCGCAGGACTGGCAGCCACGGCGCACGGTCCTGTTTGCCTTTGGCTTCGACGAGGAATCACATGGCTTCCTAGGCGCTGGAGCAATCTCAGCAGCCCTGGAGGAAAAGTACGGCAAAGACTCTTTCGAATTTATCCTCGACGAAGGCGGAATGGGGCTCCAGAGTCTGGGTGACGAGTCCGACCCTAACGGCGAGATCTTGTATGCTCTCCCGGCTGTCGGTGAGAAGGGTAGTCTCGACCTGATTATCGATATTGCCGTTCCTGGTGGCCACAGCTCAATCCCGCCCGCGCACACTGGCATCGGTATCATGGCAGAGATTCTGTACGAGCTCGAGCGGAAGGAGCTGTTCCCCGCCTGGCTGGATACCACCCACCCCGCCCACGGGATGCTAGAGTGCCAGGCACGGTACTCACCGGAGCATGTTGAGACCTGGCTATCCGATAAGCTGGCAGCAGACGACCCTGCCGCTCTAGGCGAGGCTGTTGCCAGCTCGCGCGGTCCTGCAGTCCGCTACACAATGCAGACATCCCAGGCCGCAGACCTGATCCACGGCGGTGTCAAGACAAACGCGCTGCCAGAGAAAATCTCCGCGGTTGTCAACTACCGCGTGGCACTACACCAAACGCCCGATGAGCTACGCGAGCGCGCTATCCGACTTATCAGCCCTATTGCTGAATCTCACAACCTCACTCTACGTGTTGACTTCCCCGGTGTGGCGGAGTCCACGGAAGGAGATGTGAGCGACCGTACTCTCACCTTATCCCCTCTTAGTGTTCCTCTTTCCCCGGCTCCGATCTCCCCAACAGACCCGCTTACATCGAAAGTGTGGGCGCACTTTGCTGGAGTGGCGCGCAGTGTCTTTGAGTCGCACTCGAATCCCCTTTCCGAATCTGCGTCTGGATCTAAGCCGACGGTTGTTGTCACTGGAGACGTCATGACTGGAAATACAGATACGCGCTTCTACTGGTCTTTGTCGGAAAATATCTACCGTTGGAGTCCGTCGCGGTCTGGTGGATCGCTTAATATTCACACTGTGGACGAGCGGATCCGCTTGGATGTTCATCTTGAAGGCATGATGCTTTACTATGGTATGTTTCCTTTTTCGTTCATTGCACTTTTTAGAAAGTCTGGCTAATTTATATCAGATCTCATTCGGTCTTTTGATGCTTGGGATGGAAAATCCGAGTGAACATACTCCTCTCCATCGTCAGATACTTCGACCCTTATATATGAAGGTCTCCAAGCACGCGAGAAGTGAATGATTTATAGCTTTACACACTTCAAAAGTGACATGAACAGATAGTTATATTGAATGTTGATCACCTTGTATGTTGTGATGCATAGAATGCCGCAGCAGGTTTGCTATAGAACTGATAAGTCGCGATGTTGAAGCATCTGAAAATATGCCTAAGTAACATGGAGAGAGGGTCGAAGTCACAGATTCATGCATGTCCGTCACATACTCGATATGTAAATGCGAGGATCTCAACAAAACTCGCACAGCCCATGCCAAAAGGCAAGGCAATAGATGGGTATAAGCAAGAAAAAGACATTACCAAGTCCGGAATCAACGAAGCGAACGGAAGATATCCTGTACATCTTCCACCATCACCAGTGGTAGATATACTAGACCAGAACTTTTGAGCGAAAGTCTTTGGAGCGATCAACGAGGGGGAAGGCCAGAAGGCGTTATAAGTGAAATAAATCAACAAGAAACGAAGGGGTCCGCTAGCGGACGAGGATAGGAGCGAAGCAGCCACCCATAACGGGGCGAGCGACGAAAGTATTTTGAGGGTAACTAGATTCCATCAGCAAGGATCATTACAGGCTTGAGGGTAGATCGACTTACTCTCCTGTGATAGTGTCGTACAGATCAGTCAGGGCTCGGTTGGTCGGTGTCTCGTTGATCCAGGTTGCGAGATCATTGATAAACATAGCCCGAGTTTCGACCGAACTGACCGCTGCTGCAAAACACTCCCAGTCACCTATTGAATTGTAAGTATTTTGCCCATGCATACTGAGCCGTCGGAACTCTTACCTTTGGTGTATGTGTGGCGGGTGTCTAGAGGCACGCCGTACTTGTTTGCAACAGTTGGGTAGAAGTCGCTCTGCATCTGGTAGACAGATTGTGGAACGAAATTCAAGCCCAGCTGGGCATCCGCAAATAGATTGTAGAGCAGGCCTGCAGAAATGGTAAGCAAGGGGCTTCATAGACTTGAAACAGGGCTGAACATACCATGGCTAGCGGTGTCGCCGTACGACAGGGTCGTTCGTGGCGGGTTGGCACCCTTGGCAATAGCCAGGTCCTGCCACTGAGTGATGTAGTCTTTGGCGATTCTCGAGTAATCGGCGGCGTCAGCAGTGTGACCAGTCTGGTTGGCAATGACTGCCATGGCCTGAATACCGATCATGCCCTTGAGTGCGAGGTTGGTTTGGTTGCTAATCATGCCGGTTAGTTTTGAAAATTTCAGGGAGAGGGTTCACTCACGCTAGGGGGCCGGCAAAGTCGTCTGTTGAGATCTGGTTTGCAGGGTAAAGCGAGTCCTCGACCAGATAACTTGTCCACTGCTTGAGAAGGCTGTAGTGGTCATTCAAGAAGTCAGAGTCGCCCGACTTCTGCACATAAGCCAAAGACATAATGAGCATATTTCCGCACTCTTCCAATGGCATTTTCTCGTCGCTGCCATCGGAGTGACCCGTGGCGTTCGGGTAAGACGAGCCTAGGTCATGTATGGAATAGTCGTTGGGATACTTCCCAGCCTCCTGGTTCTCTAGCAGAGGAGTGAGAACGAGCTTCAGGAGTTCGGGGTTGGTGTACAGGAAAATCGGGTAAGCTGGGAAGATAACATCCACAGTGTTCATGTTGCCGTTGGAAGAGATTTCCTTCAGGAACATGTACATTTTGTCCTGCGTGCCACAAAGCTGGGTAGCACCGAATGCCTGCCGAACCGAAAGCGAAGTAACAATGAGGTAGTCTTGACCAGCTGTGGCAATTGAATCTTGGGCCACTCTTCTATCCAAAGAGCTTGCAAGATTGCTCGATTCGGTATAATCCTTGTGGAAGAATGAAAGGGCGGCCAATTCGGTAGCGAAATAACTCTTCCACAAGGAGGGTACTGGGGCATACTGCGAAGCGCCTTCATATTGAATGGCTTCATCCTGTGTCAGGCCGAGTGAGAAGAGCGTGCTGACGGGAGAGTCGACTGAGCCCAGATCGTATGAGAACCCAAATACGGGCCAGGTAGACGAGATAGCCCGGAAGTTGGCGTCGCCGCCATTTGAGAGTTTTCCAGTTGTCGCAAACTGGCCACGGACGTCGGTATCCGCACCAGACTGGTGGGTCATGTCTTTCGAGTCGTCGGTGGCCCAGTACCAGTTACCCCATTCGGCTTGCTGGCTTTTTTCGGTAAAGGCCAGCTGAGTCTGTCGGTGTACCTTGTGATAGGCCACACCGTCAGTCGTACCATACTCCCATTCTGCAATGGCATTTCGGTCGCCCGAGACCCATTCTAACATTTCATCAGTCACTGTATGTAAGAAAGGAGGCATAGCACCAACCAGCAGAAATATCCGTGTAGACCTGCACATCATGCTTCTGGCCGTCAAGAGAAGAGACCTCGACATTAAGATACGAGAAAACAAGGGACTGGCGCTTGAGATCGGTGGGCGTAACAGGCGACAAGAAAGTAATGTTCATTTCAAGCTTATTCTCCACGTTCATCGTAAAGATACTCTTAGTCGAGGTATACTCAAACGCGGTCTGATTGACGGTTTTAGATCCGGGTAGGCCCATCCAAGTATAGGTATTGCCGTCGACGCGGATCATGCCTGTCCACCCATTGATCTGGTTCCTGTTTATTTTCTTAGTACGAGTATAGCTCAAAGGAGCATAATGATCAACTTACTCCCAGAAGACAGGCCATTGACCAGCCAAGTACCCGCCATTACCACCATCATTTCCTACATTGAGCCAAGTGCTAAGATACGGTGACCTAACAGCGAGGGGTATAGCCGGGGACGGGCAGGGGAGAAGGTCGACTGTGCTCCAATAGAGGACACGAAAGAAGCGACCAGCAGACCGAGACGATACAGCTGCATTATGACAGGATTGGACGGAGAGATGGTAAGATACAAAAAGTCCAATGCAGGGGCAAGTTTGCTCTGTTATTTATTTGCAGGAAAGGGAAATAAGCTCTGGGAGCTCGAATGCCCAGCACTCTGACGGGACGGCTGAAGAAAGGGATCGGTGTTGTGTTTACAGGAGAGGAATGCCAGTGACATTTTTATAGTCGAGCTCAATCTACGAAGAGAGGGGGAGAAGCCAAAGGCCCCTCTGAGACCCGCATGCCAGAATGCGCTCTCTACGGGGGAATATCAAAGCGGCTTGGCATTTTAGAAAATGGGTAACAGCAGACCTGCATGTCTTGATAAAATCCCAAGGACGCTAATCTGCTGACCTCCATCAACGTCCGGGGGGAAGAAGATTCACGCTAAGAGATGGACAAAATGATGTTAGGGGTGGGATGGAGAAAGGGGGATCTAGGTGTAGTGACCGTGAGAAAGGTGGTGGACTATCCTAGAATGGCTCAAATGCAAAGTCAAATCCCAAAAACGCGGTCTGGCAGTTCAGGTTGCATGGAAGACAAGCAGCGGTCTATGCAGATCAAAGAAATGAATGGCGTCAGTAGACAAGAGCATCGGAGTAGTCCCGGCTTTAGTTTGGTGAGCACCTTGCAGATGACAGACCATACAACGGCATGGCGGAAATAAAGGTGTGGAGAACAAGAGTGTGGTGAAAGGCATAAGAAATAAGGGCTGCAGACGAAAAAGAAACGGTGGTTTGAGGACATCGCTGATAGGTCCAGGGCAAATAATAAGGCACGAGTTCGAGAGAAGTGCCAAAGCCCATGTCCTTCGTGATAGCATCATGTGGACATATTGGCCGGCTCTGACTTAATGCATGTAATATCAGACCATGATCTTTAGCACGCCATATATTTGCGGGGAAATGGCGATCAGTAGCGTGGCATTCAATGAGAGCGTGAAATGAAGAGATTTTGAATAGCCACGGTATCTGAACTACGGAAGATCCCGGGAACCTGCAGTAAAGGATGAGATTTCCATGAGTTTTGTCTCATCTTGGAGTGCCCCTTGCAGAAAAGCTCATCTCCGCGAGTCAGCTTTGGCCCAGACAGCCCGATCGGAGACAAAAGAAAACTGCAAAATTCCATCGGTTCTAGACTCCTTCGTCGCATGTACTTATTAAATACGGAGTACTCCGTACAGAGTACCTGGGCTGAGGTCGCGTGCGCGATGTAGTACAAAATGCATTTTTGGGAATTCATCCCCTTCCTATTGAACCCTTGCGTGATATGTCGGTCTAAATCCACTCGGTGTCCGTTCCCCGAAGCATACCTCCTATTTCATGTATTAGCATCTAGCCTACAACCGGCCTTACTACTGTGCCATCGTTTGAAGAGTTTCAACACACCCCGTGATCTTCCAAGGTTGTATTGATTATCATTTACGTAAATGAGCTCGGTGCTTCCATTGCCGCGGGATCGCGTGCCACTGCTCTGCAGGTATAAGGGCTTGTTTAGGCAAAAGGCAGTGTATTTGACCTTCGAACTCTAAGGGAACGGTCTGCATACATAATTAAGGATCGAACTTTACAATATAGGATTTCAGCATGTGGAGTTACCTCTATAGGCTTCGATACTCTGCCGATCAAGAATTCACCTACTCCACTAATGGCTTGCGTAGGACTTGATTTATACTCTGCTGCTGTACAAGTGATAATTAGGTACTAGGCATATATGAAATGTCGCCCATTATGAGATGCGGAGTGAAAGCATCATAGTTGAACGGACTACTTCGTCCTGGTCCACATAGAAGATATCTGAATGAAAGATATAGCACCCGACAATGGAAATAGTATCCAACCCATATGCAAATCTGTATAAAAAGAAGAACAAGATAATGAAAAGAGCAAGAGGAACAAAAAGGAACAAGAGGAAACAACGTAGTAATCGTGCCAAGCGTACCACCGAGTGATTTTTGGCGCTTAGAAGATCATAGTATAAAGCAAACAGCGAAGTAACCAGTGACAACCTCAAATTTCAACAGGAGATTTGAAAGTCTCTGCCACGTCTATCAAAACCTGGCACGGAACTCCCTTGTGCTCAAAGAAATTAGTAGCCAATGTATCGGGTGGATAAATGCACTCTCTAGTGGATTGTTCAGCATCGATAGTCGATTCCGACTCGTGATACTCTTTTTCGACGATCGTGCTACTACTCGAGTGCAGCACCTCTTCGGCAGGACTTTCTCTATAGCGCACGAATCGTACCGAGCCGACAAGCTCTGGTCCGAAGATAAATTTGTAGCTAAATCCCCGGTTGAATGTGACGAGCTCGACACACCCAGAATTGAGATAGTTGTTCACCTGGAACCAGAAATCTGTTGGAAGCAAATATCAAAATATCAGCAAAGATCCAACTTGGTGTATAATGTCTACAAAGCTTCCAAGGCTATAATTACCTTTTTCTGACATATTACATCCGGGGCGGATATGGATTGAGAACAATGATGCATAGTAATGCTCGAGCATAAGATCCCTGGGAAGCGGTGCCCCTATATCGAATGAAACATAGTCAGCGGGAACCTAATCTCACAAACAGAGGAACTTTTTACTAACCTTTTTTCCGACGGTAGACTGCCATCATAGGCATTTTCTTGCGATGTTTCTGGGGGACAGCCTTTGACAGTAGCGGAATGCGCTGTCCCACCTTCGCCAGAACGTTCGCAATAGCGGGTGGCCCTACAGCCAAAGGTCTAATGAAGGGATGGAACTCGTGGGCCTTCCAGCTGATTTGTCCTTTTGTCCCTTTTCTCCAGCAGAGATCAAGTCCTCGTGCGTCAGTCTCAATCCGATAGATCAGGTACCATCTCTTGAGCCAAGTGCTGATATCTTCTTCAGGACCCGCAAGCTGTACCCCAGTGAGGAAGCCATTAGGAGCTAGAGCTTGCCGTCGGCATCCAATGTCATGCTCCATAATTTGCCAGAAATTACCGATGAAGGCAGTGGTGTTGCTGGGACCACGCAGAATACGAATCGCTAGCCCCAAGACAAACTGCTCATAAGCTGCCGTAGAGAGGGTATCGTGATTCATCTGTGTGAACACCCACTTTGCAAGCAAAGAGAGTTCTTCGGGATAGTAGTCTGTGACGCCGATGTGGTACGCAATAAAAGGACCACCGAGAGCTTTCCACTCTCTCTGGGGTTCGTCTCGAAGTACTATCGACGATCCCTGAGCCCCGTCTTCCAATTTGAGATGGTAGAAATGACCCTCGCTGTAGATAGACCAATGACAAGGTTTTGGAGTCCGGCTTAAGCGACGTGCCCATCTGTTCGGTCGTCCAACAAGATAGACACTGGAATGCTCTGAATAGTCGGCGTTTGGGTCGGGCTTGTTGAAGGATGCATGGAGTTGCAGTTTGTATTTTGCAACATCAGGAAGGCGGGCTTTGGTCATCTGAGCTTTGGGTAACTCATAGACATGGTCTGTGAATATGTTGCTCTCCTTGTCTAGGAGTTCGGCCAGAATCTCATTGTTGGAGACCCCATTCCTCATTCGTTCCAAGAACGCCTTCGCTCCGTCGCGGTCGCGCTTGAACGGTTCAAAAGGCATGATGAATTTGAAGTAATGAAAATATAATGAGGATGCTGACTTGGGAAGGTTGGATTGAAAGTTATGGGAATTTCCCCACTTTATACCTCGACTGAGCCGTCGACTGAGCCCTTTGTTTCCCTGAAACGCGAAGCACCCTGGGGATGAATGCAAACCCTGCCTTGAATGGTATAAACCAGCGCAATAATAGACAGGATTTTGTGTTCAACACTGCCTCGCTATAGGCGCCTCGTCATAAGAAAGCAGTTACTGGCTGGACATAAGAGATCTGCGTGAAACATCAGAATCTCAAGTGCCCGCCCATGACTCGCGCAGTGGAATACACCATGCCGTTAGCGCTTCGCAATATAAATGTGGTCCTTTGAGTGCAAATGGCTCATATTATTGACTTGGGATGGAGGGTATAGCATAGACGCTAAGACGAGGTAAAACGAGTACGGCGGCAACCACGGCGGCAAATGGGGGTTTAGAATTACACATTCAAACTCGGAACATGAAAGATAAAAACAAAAATGAGGCGTAAGTTGTTGGAATCAACTAGGCACAATTCGATTTGCAGGCTTGAGCTTAATATAATCTGCCTGCTGTCGTGGTAGGGATATTAGTACGGAGTATCGAGTATCCATGAGCACATATTCCCTTCAATCTCCAATCCAACACAAAGAAAACCTTCAAAGCCCCCAATGATATCCAAAATACAGAAAGAGATATGCAGCCCAATCACAAGTTCCGACGAATCAAACAAGCCCGCGGATCACCCCCAGCATCCTTCAGGGACGATGATGACCTATCCCTAAACGCCCAACGACATCACCAAACTGCTCCACCTAGACATTTTAGTACAGCGCGTAAACAACATCCGATAATTTGTGACCAATGTCGCCCCGACCCCTGAACTACCAAACATCCATGTCGCGAGCGATAATCATCGACGAAAAGATCGACGTGCGTCTCGTCGGCGACATATTCACGTCAAACTACTACCGCAAGACCTCCCACACAAATTATTCTGGTCCACTCGTACCAGCTGCAAAGACCGACTCGAGTCTTACTTCTATAATAATAGTGTAGAGGACTATGAGAACACAGCCATCCACCAACCAACCCCAACACCAACGACTACCCCTTCGCCAAATCATTCCAGACTTCCTAACATCCTACGTAGCGCTAATCCAATACCAAAGCGACTTCAGAATCACGCAACGCCACAAGCCTCCTCCCGACCCTAACCTATTCCCAATGACGAGCCTCGTGCAGAGCCTCTGCATCCTGCCCAGCTCCACCCGTGGACGGGTCCACCGGTCCACGGGTGCTTGCATTGTTACTAAGCATATCCACCCCGAGGTCCGACCTCCGCAGCCCTAAAAAGCTATACACATGCAATGATGCTGATGCACTTTGTATAACATTACAACAGAGACAATCAACAAGTCACATATACACAAGCAAAACCAAGGACAAAGATAATCCGAGAAACAAAGTCCAAAAATCCCAGCCTTTAGAGCGGGAAAACACTACACAGCAACAGCAACACAGTAATCTATCCACAAATAAAAACCACATCAAGCATTACGCGCCAGCTCAATACAGAACTCCCCCCCAATCCTGCCCGCCATTCAGCGAGAGGATCTCCTCCGCAATAGCCTCCTCCAGACGCTCATGGTATCTGCGCCTGTACTCATTCTTGACAAGATCGAGATGTCTAGGCTCCCAATGCAGACGCACGAGACGGGAAATAAGGAGCTCGGAGCGTTCGCGGCCAGTACGGGATTCGCGGAGGGCCTGGTGGAGGAGGAGGGCGTCGCGCATAGGTCTGTTGATTGCGCCGTTGAGGATATGGGCGAGGGTTTCGCCCTGGAGAAATGTATGTTAGTAATGGCATTCGATTCAGACTCGGTCAGTATTGACAGGAGGGGAAAGGGTATCGAAAACAAAAGAAACATAGACACAATACGTACCACCAGGTTGCGCGACTTCGAAATCATAGCCCTGAGTAAAATTATGACCATAATTATCCTCGTAAGCGCGCAGCACCTCACGCAGATGCGAATCACTCCTCAAAACAATAATGTGAATCATAGCGGTCTCACCGCCCTCCCTCACAATCGCATGGTGCAAATCCTGCACATCATGCCTGACAAGACGTCTATCGAGCGGCTCACGCTCATCCTGCCTCTGACCCTCGAGCGCGAGCAGAATCGCCACGCGGAACTTATCCGCGCGCAGCTCTGCGCGCATACAGCGCTCGAGACTGTTATCGTAGCGGGTGTCGCGGAAGGAGTTTTTGATTTCGCGGATGGCGGCATTCGACCGGCCCATCAGGGACTCGATTAGGAGTTCGCGACGTGAGGTGCCCGCTTGGTAGTAGCAGTTTGCCCAATATGCTTCTGATTCCCAGCGACCCAGGGCGGTCGCGTAGCAGACTTTGCCGAAGGAGGAACTGCCGAGTTTGAGGCGGAGGTGTTTGGCGAGGTTTATTCCTTTTCCTTGCATGCGCACGCGGGATTTGTATTCCTGACGGAGGAGGAGGATCTCGTCGCTTGTTAGTCGGGGCAGGATTTGGATGATGGGTTTGTTGTCTATGTTGCGTGCGTGGTTTAGGGCGGATTGCATGGCTGCAGCGTCCGGGCCGGCGTCGTAGAAGGAGACGCGTTTGCGGCCGGTTGTTGGGGAGATTAGGACTCTTGGGTCCGAGCTGAGGATGGAGGAGCTTGAGTCGTGGCGGTCGTGGCTGGCTGTTGGGCGGGTAAGACGTTTGTCTTCTTTGCGGTCGTCGCGCTCTTTGTCTTTCTTATCTTTGCTGCTGCGGGAGCGGGACTCTTTCTCGCCGACGGACGAGTGGGAGCGACTGTGTTTGCTGCGCCGGCCTGACTCGGAGGCAGAGGTTCCGCCGTCCAGTGGTTCGAGGTCTGAAATGTCATCATCGCGGATCGAGGGGATGACAATCGGGGATGGCATGGGTGACATGGACTGGTAAGTACCATGATACGGCTCTAGCAGCGGACTAGCCGGGGATGAGCCGAGTGAGCTGCAGTGGCTCCGCCAACTGCGAGGCTACTCGACGACAGAGAGTGACTGTGCGGACGCGCAGACGACCGACTACCTGGCGCGATCTCCACGAACTGAGGCTCCTGTTTCTGAGGCTCCTGTTTCCGAGGCTCCTGTTTCCGAGGCTCCTGTCTCTGAGGCTCGTGCTTATACCGGTACGGCTGATCCGAAGGTTGCTGCTGCAATTGCTGCGGCATCGGTCTGAGAAACTGCTCATGCGTAGCAGCGGGGTATATCGGCTTAGACGCAGGCGCCGTTGTTGGCACCGGCACCGGCTTCGAAGAGTACTTCACATTAGGATCGATCTGAGCGTACTGGTACACGCCGGGATTCGCATATCCCGCCGCCGGCGGTGCATAACCAGCATCACTAGCCGAGGCAGTACGATAATGCGAAGGCGCATAACCCGCACTCGTCGCATACTGGGCGGGCAAGCCAGTATACTGCAGCGAGGGATTGACAGGCGCCGGCACAGCACCCGAGCTAGCGGGGTAGGTCGAAGCCACAGGGAACGCGCCGGGCATAGTAGCCGGGCCCGCAGGCTGCGAGGAAGGCGGCACGAACCCAGGGCGTTCGCATTCCGGCACGGAGGCCCAGTCAATCGGCGCGGCGGGGTATCCCGGCGCAGCGGATGCGAACTGCGTGGGCTGGGCATAGCTGTACCGATTGGGGCGCGCATAGCTAGGATGCGTACCTGGCGCATCACCGTAAGCCAGATCGTCGTCGGAGTCGGAGTCATGGTGATTCACGCGACTGCCGCGGTCTGGAGAGGGTCGTCGTCGATGCCGCGACGAAGCCGTAGCAGAACCGCGCTCCTCGTCCGAGTGTTCATAGCGGTCATCCCGAAGTCTTCTCGCGCTCTCTACGTCACGACGTCTCGACTCTGAGTCCGAGTCTGAGCGGTCCACGTCGTAGCGGGAGCTTCTTGGGGCGCGCGAGATGACGGGGGGGTTCGTCGTTGGTTTCGCGGCGGCGCTCGCTGATGAGCTTGTATTGGCGCTCGATTTCGGCTTCTTCGTCTGGGTTGTAGCCTTTTGTTCTGGGGACTTCGACGGCTGGCGAGCGCGAGCGGTGGGAGGGGGAGGGCGAGGGAGAGGGGACTCGGCTGTCCCGCGACCGCGACCGTGAGCGCGAGCGGCCAGGGGATTTGGATCGGGTTCGCGACCGTGGGTCGTTCACTTGGAGGGACATTGTTCCAATGGGGTTTTTTTGTTCCTGAGATTCAATGTGCGTTCAACCGCGTTTATTTTCTTGTTTCAGTCTGAGATGTCTTCGGTCACACAAAAGGAGAGTTGGATTTGGGGGCTTCTTTGTGCGATGTCCACTAGGCCATTCTATACTTCCAATGTTGTATAGATATGAAGCCCTCTCTCTGCCTATGTGTAGGTGAATTGAAAAGAGAAGGGAAGAAAAGAGAAAGCAAGACGATTATAGGACCTCGTATTCATCGGCGCCAGCTGATGGAGAGCTCGTTCTTCACCTCATGTAGCCAAGGATTAGCGGCTCTTATTGGCTTACAGCTGGACTTAAGATCGTCGGGTGTCCAGCGCTTCAGCCGCAGGAGATTCTGGCCAATGCGCATGTCAGATCGTAAATGAGGCCGAGGGTGCATTAGTACATGTACATTCAGGGAAGGTTTACTGTCTCAGAATTACGCATATTCAAGATAAACTATCAAATTACCGTGCAAACAAAAGATGAAAAGCACTAGTACAGGTTCCGGATGTCGAAACATTTTGTCAGAAGAGAACATTGAAAAAGCAGAAGGTATGACATAAAAAGAAGCCTTGCGAGGTGCCAGGCCGCGAAGAATGGGGGTATGTGCGGGAAGAGAAAGCTATGGGAACAGAAGGAAGGGGAGACAGCCCGTTTATCGCGTGCGACGGCCATCATGAGGTCCCTGACGGCCACCGTAGTTTTGCTTCTGGGCGGGCGAGGCGGATGTTGGCTGTCCGTTGCGGTTGAGGCGGTTGGTTCTCCAGCGCTCATACCAAACCACACGGCTGGCCTCCCGCAGCTCGGAACGCCAATCGGAAAAGACGGAGTCCTTCAGACGAACAAAGTCACAGTGCTCGGCGTCATAGGGATCTGCAAAACCCCAGGGGAATCGGCGACCAACGGGTTTGTCTCCAGCTGCCAGCGAGTGAGGGTCCGGAGACAGAATCGAGAATGGAACGTGCTGGTTGGCGGCCTGCGATGCGTTGGATCTGCGAGTGCCCTGGCTGAGCTGCGATGGCGAGCCGGGGACATTATCGGTTGCGTTCTCAGATTCTTTGGCTTCGTTGGCTTCCTTGGCATCTCCAGTCTCAGTCGACTCGGGTTTGGTCTCGAGCTCCAAGATTTCCTCTTCGTCCGCACTTTCCGACGAGTATTCTTCCTCCTGGTCCTCCAATGTCAAGATCTCAAGGGGGTCGATATTGGCTTGCTTCAGGCTGCTCCAGACCGCCTTACGGAGGTAGCTCATGTGGGCGGAGGTGATCGTATCCGCCTTGCTGATAACTGGCACGACAGTGGTCTTGCCCAGCACCGTGCGCAAGACCTGGATGTCCAAATTCTGGTCCAGAATCCCAACCACAGGCGCATCAGTGGGCTTGGACGTGCCATTGGCAGCACGCTCAGCCATGGCGATGTTCTCATCAAGGCGCATAGGATCCAGGAGTAGGAAAGTGCAGTGGATGTGGGTATCGCGGGCACCGGGAGAGCGAATAACCTTCATCTCCTCGGCGAGGGTCTCCTCAAACTTGCTTTCCAGGAAGCCTGTCACGCCACGCAGCTGAAGATCTGCGATGTTGCGCTCCAGACCTACAGAGTCCCACAGGGTAAGTCCGACACGTTCTCCGTCGAACTCCGTTTCCAGGTATTGCGATGTGAATCCTTCCCAAGCCGAGGTTTGACGCTCGAGCTCTTCAACCTCCTCGGGGGTGCGCGAAGGGTGCTTATGCGCGGGCATGGTCAGAGCACTGCGGAGGAAGTTCAGGAATGAGGTCTTTCCCGAGTTACGAGCACCAATGACAAGCACACTAAAACACGTCCTATTGTTAGCTGGTCTGCTTGTTGATGTCGTATCTGCGCGACTCACTTGTAAGAGGTGGGGTCCTTGCGACGGCGCACACGGCGGGGGCTGTTCACGGTGCTGACAGCACTACTAGCATAGCTATATCGGCCACGGTGGGTCATGCTCTCAGTGCGCGCATAGGGATCGACGTTGTTGACGGACCCCATCGAGGGCGATGCAGGAAGTCCAGACTGTGGGCGGATTGGGATTGGGTCGGCGAACTTATCACGTTCCTCACCTCCAAAGGTTTCCAGTTGCGGGGCGGGGGAAAGATCAGGCAGGCGGGGAGGGACTTTGGGGGCATAAGACTCGCGCTGACGACGCATCTCCTCTTCCTGGGATTTGGACATCTTTTTGCGAGATTTTTGGTCGCCTAGGGGTTCGGTGGATTTAGAACGACAAAGGAAACCGAGGGAGGTGCGACGGTTGACGTCTGTTTCAGGTCCAGTTGCCATTTTGGGGAGTTTGTCTGTTCTTTCCTGATTAGATTGTTTTCTTCTTCTTCTTTCCCTTTCTCTTTTTCTTTCTCTTTTCTTTGTATTTCCTCTTTCCTCTTCTCTTCCTCTTCTCAATGGAGTTATTCTCTATAAGAAATCTCGATATTGCCAGAACCCCTCACCTCAAAACGTCAGGGGTAACCTTGGGGAACTGCCACTTACCAATAAAAACGATATATATCGGAGTTCAACAGCGCTTTTCGTGCAGCTCAGATCCGGAGATGGAGCGATTCAAAACTGCTCCGAAACTGGCCAAAAGTGGGATTCAATCCAATTGTCAATTGCCCGGGATGTATCGGGTTTCTTAAAAACGAAAGTTGTCTGCGATAGCAAAAGGAAAGAGAATAAGCGAGAGTGGAAATCAACAAGATACAAGTTACCCAGCCAGTGGGCGATGGAATATTGAAATTGGGACTTGAACAAAGTTCCAACTTCAAAGTTCCTCGTTTTTTTGGGGTTGTTTTTGTTTTTCTGCAAATAGGGCCTGCTCACAGCGTCCAGCAACAGCGGCGCTTGGAGAAAGATGAAAAAATGAGGGATAGAAAGAAAACGAAATCAATTTCACTATTTTTTACCAGGGAAGATCGAAATGATATCAAGAGAACCCCATCCCACGGCCATTCAGGGGTAAAATTGTCAGAACTCCAACTTTGGCCCAGGCTGTTCTCCACTTGAGCTTGGGTCCTTTGGCCTTTGTTTGGTCGGTTCGTCCCCAGCTGAAGCTAACGGGATGATTGGATTATGGTCTTCGACTGTACCTATCTTGTAAGTATCTATGTAGTAAGTACTCCGTACAAAGTAAGGAGTATGTACGGAGTACATATATGATGATATCCTTAAATACACATGGTCAAAACCACATTCCCCTTCCCTCGTGGCTTCGGGAATCTGGAACGTGCGCCAGGGGCCGTTTAGAGAGTCTCCACTTGGATACGAAACTGCTGATATTCACTTAAATTGGGAGTATTCATCCGGATATCCTTACAGAGACGGAGTAATCGTCTACAATATGGTAGAAAAGTACAATGTAAGGAGATGTTTGTCTTGTTTGCACTCCCCTGTTCTCTCCTCTGGACAACCGACCTTACCCACTAACCTCTCCTAGGGCAAAGCCATCGGCTCCAGAACACAATACCGCATAAGGAAATGCACCTAATCAAACTAACTCCGTTTAATAACCATATCGAACCCCAGCCACTTGGACTTCTCCCATACTAGCTAGATCAATTTCTGAAACACGGCAATTTAAGATCTCGGCCCAAACACGAGAGATCATATTGTGATGGGGGTGGGGCACACGGGACTGGCCTGCCACGCGAACCACTTCATACTTTCCTAGGGATTCCAGTCAAGGTCTCTATTTGTATACAATATATAGTACATCCGAAACTATGTTTCTTCTCGTGTAGCTTATTATGATGTATTTGTACTATATACGGTACTCCTACTCCGTACAGGGAAAGGACTTGGGTTTCCTACGAGAAATGACCGAGTGGAGCAAAAGTGGGGTGGATTTCCCTCGCGTGCAGGAACTTTCTTTTTCCAAGAGAACAGGCAAAGGGACCCGAGAGTGAGAGTAAAGAGAGGAATCAAAGTAGGAACTAAGCTTCCCTTCAAGTGAACTCTCTTTTTCTTTTGGCCCTCGGAGCAGATACCTCAAACCTAGACCAAGCTGATACAACACATTTGGATTCTTGCCCCGGTGCTCATATCACCAGGTTACGGGTTGAAGGACAAGCTTTCACTCTAAACAGTCTTTCTACTCTTATCACTATATACCAAAATTATATCCTATATCCTCCTATATTATGATCAACGCAACATACCCACAATCCCCCATATCATCTCAACCATCACGAAGTCGTATCCACAGAGAAAGTCCTGAACGGAAGCACAAAGCACGGCTTGGAAGGACACACCAACTCTCTATCCAACCCCTTGAACTTAGGACCATTGGGCCCAGCAACGTTCTTAGCCTCACCAAAGACCGAGGGCTCATTAGGCGGCTGGTCATCACCCCATTTCCCATTGAAATCCAACCACGCCACCGGATCTTCGGAGTTCACAGCCTGGAACCCAGCTTTTTCGTCGTAGGCGTAAGTGTAGCCGTTGAGGACAGGATCCCACAGCACCCCGCGGTCTGTATAATCCAACAGAAACCCTGTAGGGAGGTTGAAGCCCGGGATAGTGTGGTCGTGTTGTCTGTCTATATCAGTATTGACATTCCAACGAATCTTAAAAATCATATGGATTTACCCTTCGATTGCATAGTTCGCATGCGTGCCTTTCGCAGAGTAAACATACGGCCGCTTATCCTTCTTTTCAACGGCGGCGTAGGTAAACGCCTGTCCACTGGCATGCTGGCTGTACCATATTGCGTCCGGTGAGCCATTAACGAAACGGATCATATTATGTTCCCTGTTTATTTTTAGTCACGGCCTCTTGAGCAGGGTATTCTCCACACTAACCAGTCTCCGATATGGTCGCCGAACTCGAGACCTAGTACTGTACCGCCTTTGTTGAATCTGGGATGATGTCAGTACAATGCAGACCCAGGATGATGCCGCACTCACGCGTAGAAATAAAAGTAAAACGCATCGACGGTTCCGTTGCCTCGATCCGCGATAACTATGATACTCGCTGTACCATTGTCCGTTCGCCCCTGTGAATCTGGTCTGATACCTTGGAACCAGGCTGGTTCTGGATCGGCTTCGATGCCTTCTAGAGAGGTTAGATAGACGCTTGTATTACCCATAGAATTGAGCGTGTCGAGGTTGTTGAGGGTTAGGGGTGACTCCACTCCCTCGAGGGCTGTCCAGTTGACATTGGGTCTGGTGTGATCGAGCTGCTGTTGGATATCGCTCGGCATGTATGTTTCCTGGCTATGGAGCCAGACCAAGGGTGCTGTAAAGCCGAATTAGTAAACAGATATTAGAACTACGTATATCAGATAGCTTACCATATTCCAAGACATATGGCGGGAGGTCAGATGCAGCCCTGTCGGTGAGTGATGCGCAGACTAGTTGGGTTGTAGATAGACCAACTAGTGCCAGCGATATAGAAAGATGCATCTTGTGTGGCGGGTCCCGAGTACCAGGGAGCGACAAGCTCCCTTTTAAACCCTATGAAGGGAATAGCCAAACCTTGCCAAGCCATAACGATGTTTAACTACATGTTTGTCGGCATGACCTCGTCATAAGCATGAGATTCGAAGATACACCGTGTGGCGAGAAGCAGTCAAACGAAGATGGAAGTAATAGAAGTAAGCGCTCAATCACAAGGCCTTTTGCTATTCAGCAACACCATGGATCCCTCGAGGTGACTGATCTCCTTGACGGGGATCATGCCAGCGTTCCGAGCAGCCGGTCACAGCACCTCGACTCGGATTTTTCAAGCTCGGACAAGACGGTTAGGACAGTCCAAGGTGGACTCAGGTGGTATTTTTCCTGCAATAGGGTGGGATTGTTGAAGCTTCCCTGTTTACTACCTTTATCCTCCGGGATAAAGTATGCAGTACAGTATGCAACCCCGAGGAATGTAAGCCCTGTATCGGGTACCTCCATGAACAGGTGGGTGCAGCAAGGCTCATAATTTGTTGGTTGCTGGTCATAATTATAGCGCGATCTGCATGTCCGATCTCATGGCTGAAGATCATTGCTCTAAATTGCTGTTGGGCTGACGATGTCACCTGCCCGCGAAGCCATCACCACGCAAAGATAGGGCTGGTGTCGAATTAGGTTGAGTTCCTTGTAGTGATGTACTATTCATGTGAATATTGTCATTTGCATATTGTAGTTCTTATTGTATTTGGAACACTGATGCGCTTCTCGGTTTTATCTGTATAGACTCGTGAGATTCACCAATAGCATCGCCTAACTGTACCAGCTGTTGACATTTCCCAACGTAATACGGCGTGGCGCGGCGAGAGTTCTTTACCTTTTTAGTGGCTTGTAGTCGATCTATCTATCTCGTTAGAAGGGATATCGTAGTTCACCGTAGGGTGTACGCTTTAAAGTATAGGTGGGGTTCGATCTGAAATTCACTCACGGAAAGCCTACAGAAATTCTGTAACGCTAGCTTTAGCTAGTTTCCTTTATTTGGATCTATCTATTTGCTTTATCCCTCATAATATCAGTTAAGATAGTTAGCTTTGTCACGTCATACCATGAAGCTTGGCTATGAAGCGTCTCGGACCAACCAAAGACCAAACCATGGATACTAGCAGCTCATCTCTCACCAATTAAGACTATATTTCAACTGGTGTTTATAAACAAGATGGTACATGGTCTTTCCTCAATATAGCCCTTCATTGATTAGCATTTGTACCTTGCTAACCCAATCCATAGATCCTACAGCCTCTCCTTCACCTTGTCAACCTCCTCTTCCTTCTTCCTCTTCCTCTTCTTTCACTACTACTACTACTCCTTCCTCGACCTAAAAATCGTCAAATCCAACGGAATCCGATCACCAAGCCAAGTCGCGCGCTGCGTATGGTTGCGCTCATCCTCTGATTCCACTGTATTGGGATGAATGAGAGCACTAAGCGGGCCCCGATTGATAACCAACCAAGGAACGAAGGCTCCAAACTGCGCGGGCGTGAACAAATTCACTTCGAACATGGCCACCGGGTGAGGTCCAACAGGCCGATCGAAGAAAGTGTAAATCCGAAGCTCGGGGACTGTTCGCAAATTGTAAGCAAAAGACCAATTAACTGGGCGACTCAAGTCCGCAGTAGACAGCCAGACGATGCAATTTCTGGACTAGAAGGGCTGCGTTGCTTACATTCACGTCGAATTCGTTCCCAGAGCGCTCTGGCGTATGCGGCTTGGTCGGGGTTGTTCTGGTCGATGCGTCAGTTTCGCTGTGGCTTGACTTTATGGTCCGGGATGGGTGGTGGCATTTACTTGGAAATGATAGATGTGGACGTCGAAGCCTCCCTCTCGGCCTTTGGAAAGAGGGTCGGGGAATTCCGTGTAGGCTTTGCTTAACACGCCATGTTGAGGGTTCTTCAATGACTTGCCGTCTTCGGCGCGCTCACTAGTAGAGAATAAGTGTCTTGGGCTCGATGTGGTCTCGTGGGATACTTACTCGGTTAACGGCTCGAGGTTTTCGTACCCCTCCAATGGAGATGGGTATGAGAAGGCATATGCGTCTGTCATGTCGAGTAGATTGGGGTTATTGAAAAAGAGAACAGTATGTAAAGAAGACCACAGGTATGTGTATAACCTGGGATGATGACAGCTTGCAAATCAATGCAAATAATCGAGTCGGATAAAGCAAGGATAGTAAGTATTGGGCAATCTTTATACCAAAAATGTCGTCAATTAAACCTGGAGTATCATCATCAATTCTGCGGGGGAAGTTCCGCACTCTGACAAAGCCGCGGAACGGCCGTGAGGTCAACTACAACAGTACAAATGTGCATCATACGAGTGTACATCAACTGTACTTTTTACAGTGTAAAGGTAAGCAATTGTTAATTATTACCTTTCTGTCAGGCAGAGTGCTTGTTTAGAAACATTACTAGCCTATTCAACACCCTTCTGAGATTTTATGCTATCCTTACCACAAATATATTTCTCTTCCTCAAGGCCAACGACCATAACAATATTCGATTTTTGAGAAGCATACAATGTATTTCCATGCTTGTTTTGTATAGCATAGACAAGGCAAACCTACATATCCATAAAGCTTAAACCAAATAAGAGGAAAGTTATACATGTAACATACACCTGGGTATCATAGCACAGTCCTTGAACGCCAATTATCAAAACATCCAGTAAACACTACCAGGCCGCCCGAATATCAATATGACCATCATCATCCACAAACTTGCCGCGATCCCATTCCCGTCCTTCGCCTTTCTTCGACCACTGTACATCCTCCGGTTTGCCTTCTCCGTCCATGCCCGCAAAAGCAGTGTTATTCTTCCATTTATCAATAACTGCCTCATCAATCCCTGCTGTACGTAGCCTTTCCTCGCCCTTGCTTCTCCAGCGTTCACGATCACGCAGCGCCTCCATTGCCATGTCCCAGTCATCGTCTTTTGTCATGAGCCCTGCGACAGGACGACGAGAGGACTCCTGGCCCATGGAGTGTAATTTGTCTTCATCTAGATGCACATCGGTGGCTGGGTCGTAGCCGGGTGCAAAATGAGCATCGATATTGCTCATGTTGTGTTTATAGGCACCTCGCCCGCGCGAGCGGATAGGTGCCTCGTCTTGTCGAGGAGGAAGTGGTCCGACAAGGTCTTCTAAGGGATCGGATTCGTCGCCCATCTCGCTTTGGCGTGCAGTTATAGTAGACAACGGCGACACTCGTTTATGCTGCGTGCTGGTCTCAAGGTGTGAACGGCGGGAGCCATGTGGCGATGCATCTTCCCGCTTTGACCGCCGAGATTTGTACGACTCTGGTGAGCGGGAACGGGAAACGGAGCGAGCAGAATGTCCAGATTGACGTTTGTGTCTTCGATGGCGATGACGGTCGGTACTTCGGTCCTGTGTGGAGAATGGCTGGGAGACCTCGAGTATGATCGCTCACGTCGCCGCCTGGTGTGTTCCTTATCTCTGTCCCGTCGACCCCTCCTAGATGACTCGTGATCCCTGTGTTCATGCCGATGTCCATCGCGGTCTTTGTCCCTCTCTCTAGTTCCGTCATACTCTTCGTTTCTTCGTCGATGCCTCCGCGATCGGTCTCGTTCAGCCGAAGGGGAGCGACTTCGTGTTCTTTTTCGATGCGAGCGATTGCGATCTTCCCGATCTCCTCTCCGGCGGTCTCTTGATCCTCGCACTTCACTCCAATCATCAGATCGTTTGGAAGAACGGTCTGGCGAAGTTGGACCTAAAGCACCTGAAGTACCCGAGGCCTTATATTTCAGTTGGCGCATACGCTCACGTGCTTCTCTTTCCTCTTTGAGCTTGAGAGCTGTGTTATGATTGTCTGTTACTTTGATGAGATTCCGTAGGAAGCGGGTATTGGGTTTTGGGGCATTGCTTGTCGGCCTGCAGGTGTTTGTTAGCCTTGTACTCATGCAAATCGCAGAACATGAGAGCAAACGAACCTTGAAGGCATAAAAGCACTCATCCCTTGAGATGCATATTTTATAGAGCTCTCCTTAGCCTCCTTGGCCAGGACCTTGGCAACATAATCGTCGTCCATGATCCAGATGAGCTGCAGATCGCAGGACTCTTGAGGGTGTCGAAGGAGTGCACCGAAGGAAGTGATAAATGCAAAGCAAGAGCAAGTATATACGCTAGTCCATATTAAAATAGAACAAAGGCGGAATCCTCTTCAGTTGAAAGATCGAGAGAGGCGAAGACGAAAGCGCCTTCCAAAAGTTGGACTGACCGCCTTTGATATAGGGCTGTTTACTGTCCCGCAAATGTTATGGTCGCAGGACTTGACCCCTCCAAGCTCTCTAGCAATAACCCTGTTGGATTCCCTTTTCATAGGTTTCCATAGTCAATATTAATGAATATGACTGACTCATCGTTTGAAGCCCTTGCAGCACTTCAGCAGCTGGAGAAGAATGGCAAATTGAAGGACCGACTTGCGATCATTCGCATCAGCGACCCAATTTCCACTGAAGTTGGGGGATCTTACCCATCTCCCTCAAAAAGAAGCTCTGATGCTTCCCTCTCAAATTTCGACGATCCTACCCCTGCCTCGTTGGAGGCTGATCTTTCACATTACAAGGTCCGCGCGATGAACCCGAATACGGCGAATGCCTGCTGCAAAGACCAGTAGATACTGATGTTTTCGCGTAGGAACTATTCTCTAAGCTGCGATTCTCCTACCTCGAGCAAGTAACAAAGGAAAAGTTCTTGCGCGCCATTGTTGGCGACCCGCCTGTGATTGTCGGACATAATGAGAACATGGAACTGGAGACGCAACTAGCGGACGTGAAGGCCGAGCTCAAGGCACGGAAAGAAGACGCACGGATTATGATTGAGGAAATGGAGCAAATGGGCCGTGACTTGGCAAGCCGTAAGTGACCAATGACTGTGGAAGATGAACATGTTGACTGAAGCATCTGCCGCGCCATGACAGGTTACAAGAATGTCGAACTTCAAACTACACAGCTCTCAACGCTGCCTGCGTCAATCGAGAACCTCGAGTCAACCATCGCCGAGCTCCGCGCCAAGCAGATAGCCACAATGGATCCTTCGGATCCTAACAATACTTCCTCTTCGCAGAATCTCCCTCTTCCCGCGACCCTGGCTCTGTTGGCGGAACGTGAGGCAGAACTGGCAGCGTTGAATCGCCAGCTGGCTGCTGTACACAGCGCATTGCCTCGGAAGACCCGAGAGGCTGAGGCAGTAGAGAGAGAGCGTAGCGTGCTTGAGCGACGGAAGTCAGATGCGATCGCGCAAGCCCGCGAAGCCCAACGCAAGAAGCAGCAGGGTGAAAGTGATGGACTAGAAGAGATGGGACGTTGGTATAGGGGAGCAGAAGATACCTTGAAAGAATTGGTGGGGACCCAGACATGACAGTCTGTAGGCCAAGCCTAGGCTTGTGTACGATGACACGAGGGATTGAAGGATTGAGCTTATCTTAGGCTGGTGGGGATCGGGAAATGGCGTTTGGGATCTACTGTACATATATGGGTCCTACCTATAGATACCTACCTAGGTAGGTACTAATTCTAGATTACGAAAGCATGTGAATTGAATCATAAAATCGGGTTCCAAATTGAAGCCTTTCGGCTGTTTTAGATTCATTGTATTGCATGATCGTAGAACATGAGACGCTATGCAGTCATTTTGAACCTCCATGTTATGAAGGCGCCCCAAGCGAAACCCGACCGTACTCCATTTTTTGGGGAATATTCAGGAATAATTTATTCCTCCTCCTCCTCCTCGGCGTCCTCACCACCGGCGGCGGCAGCAGCCTTCTTGCGGCGAACGCGGCCGGGACGGCCACCACCGAAGGGAGAGGTGAGAGAGAAGTCGATGTGCTTCTGGGAGTCGAGGCGGACCATGAACGAGGGGACGTTGACGATCTGCTTGCCGACGCGGATGTGACGCTGCTTGATCAGGACACGGGCGTGGTGGATGGACTTGGCGAGACCAAGCTTGTAGACGCAGGTCTGGAGACGGCGCTCGAGGAAATCGTCAGCCTTGAGGGCAAGGACGTAATCGAGCTTCATGCGGCCCTCATCGAGCACACCGATGCGGACAAGACGGCGAATGAGGGCATTGCCTTCGAAGAGACGCTTGGGGTCCTTCTCGTCGAGAGTAAGGAGCTCACTGAAGATGAAAAATTAGCGCCAAGTCCACCAAATTTGAGACTTGTCTAGACTCGATCGCTCGAAGCCTCGCAAAATCACAGATTGTTCCTCGCACATACCGAGCAGCACGACGGATCTTGGAGAGGGTGAGCTGGACACGCCACACCTCGCGCTTGTTGCGCAGACCGAACTCGCCGACGGTCTTGAGTTCAGCATCACTATTGAAAAATTGTTAGGAATATGAATACGACATAACCAGAAGCACGCTTCTGATTAGTGGCCGGAGAATACTAACAGACGGGCCGACTCGAAGGCTGTGATGGAGTTAGCTTTTTAAACATCCAGATCGATACTTTCGAATTTCACTTACGGCGACGGGGGACCTTGTAGGTCTTGGAGGAAACGCGACTGCACGGGAATTGATTAGAACGGTGCGATGCCTTCGATTTTGTTTGATATACTCACGGGGCCATAGCTGCGGTTAGATGGGCGGAGGTTGTCGACGGGAGGTCGAAGGGTCAAGGATGAATTGAGAATTTGAGTGTGTGTGATGCGAGCCCTACCCTAGTCCTAATTGGGAAATACTATTATGTCAGCTGTTTATGTCATTGAGCCTCTCCACCCGTCTGGGCGCTGCATGCCCAGGTGGCTCCACTCTTAGCAACCTTCGAAATCGTCCTTCAATCACCTGGCGTGGATGCTCGTCTGCAGCTATTTCTTTTTTTATTGGTCATTTTCTTATTATACAATTGTGTTAATTACTTGCTTTATTTACTTTAACAGCTATTTAATTCGAGCCCAGCGTGAAATTTAGGATATTTTATGCATCGTTCTCTTGATGTTGCATGCAGATCATCAGAACTGGGGATTTACATTATGATTTCCTTCACCGTAACAAGCAGGCCAAGACGATATGGCCCAAAAGATCCGGGTCATCTTATCGGTCTTCAACTTCCATATTTCGCTCATCGGAATCAATGGTCAGCGGGCTAGATGCTCGATTTAGCCTTCTTTACTGACTGACTCGGCATCGTTTCCCATACATAGGCTTAACCTTGTCACCCTCGGACAAACTTCTAGTGACATTCAAGCTCTTTCGGTCTCGTAATTATACGTCCGAATTTCAGGGGTCCAATTCTTAAAGGGACCCTAAACTACGATATACTTAAGCCCCAGACGCCTAGTTATAGACCTCAGTTGGATAAGTATAGTAAAGTGATATGGCAACAGCAATATCATCCTCAAGGCACCGGGGTTAGAATGACAACTGTTCAGCAACTTGCAACACACGACCTTGGGCCAGTTATGGAATCTAGACTTATCGCGCAGCTCACATGTGTCCGAGCATCAGTGACTGTTCTGATTTTACTGCCATTCTTCGCCAAGTCAACTATTCCTAGTGAAACGAACCATGGAGGTCGAAAAGTCTGGGTACCGGATACCGGACCTGGCAATGGAAGGGTCCGGCGGTATGGTCAAAGAACGCCATTAGTACAGTCAGTGGGACCTCTGAAAAGAGACATGAAAAGACTACCGGAGAAGACTACCATCCCTAAGAAGACGAGACTTCTTATAGTAGTATATACCGGGCAGGCGGTATACAGGGCGGTATATCTAGGTATAAAGGTTTAGCCCAACTTTGGAATATTTCGGAGGTCCCACTGTATCTCTCTCGGCCAGCATATACCACCTGCGTGCTCGCCGTTTTTGATGTTTCATAACTAACTAGAGCGTGTCAGTCACTATACAGATGACTCTAAGCGCTGCAGAATGTAAATCCAGTAAGAGATTACAACAAAAGGGCAATCTCCAAAGGGGTGGCATGAATACGGAACTTGAAGAGAAAGGACGAGCGATGCATGCTCAAAACCTCAAAAGTCGAAGGGTTTGGGGGCAATTCAAGCTTTGATTGGCTAAAGATTAATTATTACGCTAATCCCAATTCAGAAAATAGCTTGAATATTCCAAAAGGGGGAATAGCGTAGCTCCAGGGCTTTAGCGAGAGTAACAGATCATGTGATGTCAATCCCACAAATTGTTATCCGACACTCTCGTTTTTCGTGTTGAAGGCCCCGTCGACAATTAACCACCAGCACCAACCACAACACCGCCGTCATGCCTCACTCGTACGGTCTGCGCGCCGGCACTCGGGTACGTTTTAATTCCCTTTACGACACACGTCTTTTTTTTTACACTGGGAGGACGAACTGGATCAACTGGATACGCCCTTGGGCCTCAGGGAGGATAAGTGCTAACGAGACGACGAACAGTATGCCTTCAGCCGTGGCTTCAAGGAGCACGGTATGATCCGTCTCTCCACCTACATGAAGACCTACCGGTACGCTCAAAACCCTCGAATTTCGAACGAACGACATTGAATTGGAATCTGACGGATATTTTTTATAGTGTTGGTGATATTGTCGACCTCAAGGTCAACGGTGCCGTCCAGAAGGGGTCAGTACAATTCCGAAACTTCCTCCATGCGCTCTCGCCCGACCGCCCACTGCGATCATACACCATGGGCAATGCGACACCCGGAAGAGAGGACGAAAATCTAACAGTTGAACAGTATGCCCCACAAGGTCTACCACGGTAAGACCGGTGTTGTCTACAACGTCACCAAGTCCGCCGTCGGTGTCATCCTCTACAAGAAGGTCGACAACCGCTACCTCGAGAAGCGTATCAGCGTCCGCATTGAGCACGTCCAGCACTCCCGCTCCCGTGAGGACTTCATCAAGCGCGTCAAGGAGAACGCCATCAAGAAGCGCGAGGCCAAGGAGAAGGGTGTCCACGTTCACCTGAAGCGTCAGGCCGTTGGTCCCCGTGAGGCCCACTTCGTCAAGCAGGCTGGCAACAAGCCCGAGACCGTCGTCCCCATCGCCTACGATACCCACATTTAAAGGGCTCGTTATGGAATTGGAACGGTGTGTGCGGTTGTTAGGTGTTTACTGGGTTTTCACTCCATTTTGCCTAGACTGAAATGGACTTTGATACATGAGACGAAGCGCAAAGGGTTTCGGATGCCCTGGCACATCTCTCGCCTGTGCATAGATTCCCCTGAATGAAACAAAATCAAAAAATTTCCGAGTTCATGTCAACTTTTTTCCCGGGCCCAGCATAACTCAGATTCGATATATTGTTCTAGGCCTATGGTCGTAGTGCTGTTCGTTCTCTTGGTTTTGATCAGCAGCAGCTCCATCTCAGGACCACTTACACTCTGGTCAAGCATGATTCCAGTCCTAGTGGTTATGCTTGCCGATTAGGTCTATATGTTATGAATGATTATTGATACTACGTCGTGGGAAGGATGTCTTCGCAAACTGCTATACATCTTCGAACCTTTCAGCCGCATTAGCTGTAGAATGACCGTTTTCCATTATCAAGCACGTCGATAAATTTCAGATGCCCGAATATGACATGTTCTCGGCCTAAATGTGAACTATCCGAAGTACTTACATCCATGGATGGTAGATTTGCCCCTTAGAAATGCGGCCTCCACAAGGCCCCGGGGGGGGAGAAAAAAAAGTCAGACCCGCCCAGGAAAGAAAATATTACGGACGAACTTCAACTCTTCTTTCTCTATATTCCCCTTTGAATTGTTATGATTTAATTCGCTTCCCATTGTACCTTATTCTAATTCTTTTCTTCTGTCTTTCCGGTCTTATCGGCACGCCCGGCATTTGCGCCTTCCTGCCGGTTCCTACTTACGTCCCACGATGACCTTCTCAACCACCGCAGCTCCCAGCTCTGCGCCGGCGCAACTAGGGAGCACATCTCCATCATTAAATAAAGATTTAATCCCACAATCCAGAGAAATGGGGGATGTCATTCCGAACCGGACACCGCCCGCTAGTCAGGAAAAGCCCGAAGCGAAGCCATTTGCACACTTCGTTGCTGGTGGGTATGTTTTCCCCATTCCTTTTGGTATCCATTCTAATTGGAAAATTATAGACTGGGAGGTATGACCGCGGCAACCCTGACTTCGCCGCTTGACGTCTTGAAGACGCGCCTACAGTCCGACTTTTACCAAGCGCAGCTACAGGCTCTGCGCGCCGCGAAACCTGCGCCCGCGCCGACTTCCAATGCCTTGGTGTCTCTTACCCGGACTGCTGGAATGCACTTCAGCGAAACCTTCCAGATACTCCGCTCAATACACGTTCACGAAGGATGGCGCGCGCTATTCAAAGGACTGGGACCGAACTTGATCGGTGTAGTGCCCGCACGCGCTATCAACTTCTACGTCTACGGAAACGGGAAACGTATCCTAAGCGATTACTTTGATTACCGAACTGCTGAACAGACTCCTATGGGGATTCACCTGGCCGCTGCGGCAATCGCTGGTATCGCTACAGGTACGGCGACCAACCCGATCTGGCTGGTAAAGACACGTTTGCAACTGGATAAGTCCAATGCGGAAATTGGAAAGAGTCGTCAATACCGCAACAGTTTCGACTGCATTAAACAAACTGTGCGTCACGAAGGTATCCGTGGTCTCTACCGCGGCCTATCCGCTTCCTATCTGGGTGTGACGGAGTCGTCTCTCCAGTGGGTGATGTACGAACAGATGAAAATGTATCTAGCCCGCCGTGATGCTCTCAAGCAAGCTGACCCGGCGTACGATTACACTTCATGGGATTCGGCGGAGCTGTGGGGAGGACGAATCACTGCGGCTGGTTTGGCCAAGCTGGTTGCAGCTGCTATCACCTACCCACACGAGGTCGTTCGAACACGTTTGCGTCAGGCACCGACCGTCTCGCTGGGCAATGGCAAGGTAGAGATGAAGTACACCGGCTTGGTGCAGTGCTTCAAGACTGTCTGGAAGGAAGAGGGAATGGTCGCTATGTATGGCGGCCTGACACCGCACTTGCTTCGTGTTGTTCCCTCCGCTGCGATTATGTTCGGAATGTGAGTTGCTTCAAGTTTACCGGGAGGCTCAATGAGGCTCAATATACTGACTATTTCACTAGGTACGAGTTCATTCTGCGAATGTTCGGCACAACATCGTAATCTGTCCTTTGCTGTCAACTCAACCCTGCCTTGCTTCTCAGCTTGCACCACCACTGTACAATATTTTGCTTCTTCGCGCTTTCCTCTCCGCTCCCTAAGTGACTAGAGAGTGACTCGGGAGTGCTTTTCTTTTGCTTGTTCTTATATTGTGTATAGAAGAGAAAATGGGCTACCTGCATGTGTACGGCGTATGCGATTTGGGGTCACATTAATAAACAGGCGTCTCTACTCCGACCTCGTCTACAAAAGCAAAAAGGTTTCTGCGTTGATTGGCTGTTTATTTGGGGTTTGCGATTCGGGGGCGAAGCTCCCTGGGCAATGCTTCTCTACTTTTTTTGCCACTCACAAGTGTGGCAGAGCAAGGAAAAAGAAAGGAAAGGTATATAATGACATAGAAACTGCCAATACATTTGTACTTTTTTCACTACCAGGGCCACAATAGTACGTGCAGACTGCATTGCATTGCAGAAGTTGTTGAATTGCACCGCCACCGCCACCCATAGCTCTCTCAAGCTACCCTGAAACGAATGACTCAGTCCAACTGAAATCAGCACGAGATCCAAGTCGGGCACCACTTAACTAAGGCAGCAGTGCTATACCCAGGCGACAAATGTACCCGAGCGCACCTGATCGGGCTACTCTAGCCAAGTCCCGGTGGTAGACTTCCTCTTTCCCGTGCCTAGCGAAGAAGAGCTACACTTGGCTTGGATTTTTCACTTTTCGCCCGTTTAATCCTCTGTATCTTCTGATCAAAGCGCCCGATGGTACGAAGTGCGGAGTACTGGCTTCCTAGATTGATGATTGGCTTGTTTATGTTCTTATATTGCGGGCGAACACCTAAGTAAAGAAGTGTATGGATGGATACCTCTAGATTTTTGTGCCCGATTGCCGTAATCGTGGAATATGCCCAACCTGGAAAGGTTCTAGGAGGTAAGATGGTCGATAGTCGGATATATACGAACACCCCCTTTGTATTTCAGACCCTGTTCGTGTGGCGTAAAAGGGCTATAAGTGGAGAGAACAGTATTATTACGATGTACAAAGTACATATTTTGTTTTGTTAACACATCTCGATCGGCCTAGACTGTCATGTTCTCGCCTAGACACAATGATCTTCGTGGCTTGGATCCTTCACCCATAACCTCAATACCTGCATTGACATCTAGATTCTTGACTTCCCAAAACACAACCTTAGAGCCTGGGCGTAAGTAAAAAGCAATAGTTCTGGCAGTAGCATATACTGCGCCCCGATATCTTGTTCCTAAGAATCTGTGACGTGAACAGCCACACATGGCAAGAATGAAATAGCAAGGAGTGTTTCTCAAACGTTTTTCTTCTCCTTTGATAGGGTAAATTCTCCGCGACCCGCATTCCACGGCTTAGACTTGAAGATCATACCCCTCGATTTTTACCATCGCAACATATAAGCGGTGGCAAACCACTCCCGTGGGTTTTTACATACAGATCGACTAGTCGCATACTTGGCTATCTTTTCTGAGGGACATGCCAGTGGCGACTCCGTAGTTTCTCGAACTATGCCTTTCTGACGCAGACTATATTGGAAATGGTGTAATAGAATTATTAGGATTTATACCCCTACACCGTACTTTCTACACACCCTATCAGGTGTGGAACGGGCTTGTGGGTTAATTTCAAGCAGACTGGTAAAGGTGAAGGTCGAGGTAAAATTCGGGCGTCTGGGCGAGCCTGTCACTGTACGGGCAAACATACACAGCATACGGAGTACACCCTAAAGGATTGCATAGGCCAAAGCATCTTGAATCATGAAGTCTAGGCTTGGGCGAGCACAGCCACACTGTTGCAGAGCTCCACAGCAGTTCATGCCGACATTTAGCGTTAGAGTGAGATGTACGGAGTAGGTATAGCGTATTACCTTCAACTGGGGTCCGTCCACTAGTCTGTCAGTGGAGATTTAAGAATAATGGATTCACGTACAATATATACTTCGATTGTACCTTACTTGGATTGTTACTTATCAGCCACTGCCGAGTTGACGTATAATACTCAAGCGCCTGGTGACATGCAGCCCGGGTATGGAAGATCGGCAGGGCGGATGTAATGGGTTAAATGAACCTAGGTTTTATTGCTACCACTCCCACAGATGACCTTTGCCCGATACATGCCCAGGGGCGACTCAATGGGCCGGTGGGCTATTATTTCTAACCTGTATACTATTGGTGGCTTTACGTACGAATTGACCCTCTATGTGACTTTTCCCCCTTCGCCGTTTCCTTTTCAGAGTAAAAGAGGGAAAGAGAGTGGGAAGCTATATCAGCTTCTGAGCTTCTGGTCTAGCGCGATGCTCAGCACTATGCTGACCTCGGGATTTTCGATACGTTCTTAAGTGTCTACGTATAGGATCTGGCAGTCCGATCGTAGATCCCCCCGCCGTTTTCTTTTGAACAATATCGTCACCGCCGCTGCTCTGCCTCCATACTAAGGCTTACACCTTAAAACCCCAAACCAGGGCGAACGCCTTCGCACCCGGGTTCTTTCGCAGGCAACAAGATGATCAAGACCAGAACCCTTTGGTTTATAACGCTTGCGTTCCCCCTTTCTGAGGAGTCTTTGAATCTACCCTCTTCAGACTCACAGCTCGTGTCTTCTACCTCTGCGAAAGTCCGCACCGGCAATTATTGAACTACTTTCTCTTACATTGCCATTAAGTAGCTTCCCTAGCTACTAGATTTTTTTCAATCCATTTGATTCCCTCCTTGAAGTACTGTTCACCGCTGCTTCAAAGCTAATTTCTGTGCTTAATCGCCAAAATGAGCTCCAATAAGTAAGCCGGCTAGTTTGATAGCACATACCGTCGATACCCGCACTCCCCAATACCCTCAATCCTCAACTCAGTCGTCATTGATGTTATTCAACAAAAAGATTCTATTGTACGCCTTCTGATATTATCTGCTAACCTTGGCTTTCTCCCAGAGGCTCGTCATCCGACTTCCTCACTGCTAAAACCCACGGCACCACTAGCAAAGGCACCACTTCCCCCAGCCAAAATGTCGCGTCGCAGACGTCTGTGTTCGCCTCCAATTCCGGATCGCAGAAGGGAAGCTCATATATGCTTGCGGCATGGGCTGGGGCACCCGTCTCGTCGGAGCCGTGGTCATCGACCAAAGCCGCCTACTTCCCCACGCGTTAGGGTTTGCCCGTCGGTGTTGGGATTGGGTTTTGGATTTTGTATCAGCGTATTGTATGTACAAGGGTTTCCGGGGGGAGTTCGGTGGCGACCGAGATCGGAGCTTGGTTTCATGTTTGGGGTATATCTTAGAAAGGAAAGACTTAGACTACGGAGTAGTTAACGGTTTGGGGGAGTGGGGTTCTGGGGCTTGATGATCATCTATCACTCTTGTTGACTTTTCTTTCGTTCTATTTGCTTCTGTTCTCCCTTTTCCGGTTTTCCTTTATTCCTTTTTTACCTTCTTACGGACATAGAGAAATATCATATCGTACTATACTATCTACATAGTTAGCCCTGGAGTATTTCCCCTGCCGGGTGGGGTTTACCTACCTAGGTATCTAACTGCCGCCGCTTTTAGGTACCTAGGTATGAGGCTCAGAGTCAGGCTTAGTAATTCTCAGTAGTCCGGGCTCAGACTCACTACCTAGGTAAGCTGCTTAATCCCACTAAGCGTTGGCGCTTACCTAGGTAAAATGTGCTCAGACATTGTGACTAGTCGCCCACTGATTATTTGGAGGTTGAGTAGAGACATCTACTAAGCACTTAGTCTACTCTTAACCTATTACGTAAAGGAGCACTCGGCCCCACCTATGCTGTCTATAGAACTACCAAGTTCTGTGCCGATGGACCCACTGCATCTGTTTATGACGAACGAGGGGGGAAGGGAGGGGGTGTACCAGACATATAGTGCATAGCTCTCACAGCCCCGGCCATGGGACGAAGTACTTAACCGGGCAGCAACACGTTGCCTAGATACACATTTTTCACTCCGGCCGCGTGTTCGGTTACCTTTATGCTTTATGATGCATTCGCTTGCTCTCTGAGACCTCCATCTCGTCGACAACCCTACAGTTGAGTTGTGTGGCGTGTTAATAGCTGGATCGATCCGTCTGCTCTGTCAGACTGCCGTCTCTATATATGCAGTAGGGTCGGATCAACACAACGATAGATAAGTCGGAAAGAAAGACATAGTATTCCTAACGAGCGACAAGTCTACTCTAACCCTTGTATAGACATAGCTTAGGAATAATATTCCAAGCATCATGAAGCACTACGGGAAGCACTCTGGCAAGCGATTCCCATAGATTACAAGCCAGCAAAGGTTTAGCACGGTGCTCCTTGAACAGCAACACCCCAGCCTTTCTCATCCATCAGTCGTCCTTTGACTCCGGAGTCGTTTCCACAGGTATCTAGCACCGCCTGTGTGGCATCCGCCAAGACTCCCCAATTCTGCAGTGTGTGATCCTTGCCGTCCTATGACATAGTTAATAACCCACTCTCGTTTATATAGGTGATAGACGATGTTTCAGGTGATACTCACATCGGCGCAAAGATAGATGCCCGAGCCCCAGGAGCAGCTAACCCGGTTGCACTTATTAGCTTCAGCAGTAGGTTGACCGCTAAGCCCGCGGATGTAGGAAATCCCAGATTCGATTGCACCCTTATCAGCATAGTCGTGGTCCACGTTGCACATAATTTTGGCGCCGAGTGCCTATCAATGAGCTGTATTAGTATCCTCTTGATGGCACACTGTTTATGCAACGAGAGATCTTTACCTGGGTAGAAAGGGCACCAAGGATGAACAAAGTCGACTGCCACTTCATAGTTGCGAAATATCGGTTTGGATGCTTGTGTATTTACTTAAGTTTCTTGCGAGAATGGTTAATGATGGAGTCATGATATCGATTCTCATGCCTCCTATTTATGCTTCTCTGCTTAACAACTTCAGGCTTGCTCTTAATTCAGGCGTGCCACGATATTCCCAGTTCAGGCATGCCACGATATTCTCAGGTCAGGCGTGCCATAATGCTCAAGTCAGGCGTACACGTTCAATTAAGGTAAACACTGCATCTAGAACTGCGGAACCCAGACCTGCGTCGGAAACATACGCTTTTTCCTGTACCAAGAGGATGAAAGAATGCGAAGGCTGTCTTGGCAGGGGCTTACCAGGGAATTGGTGGGTGGGTGCAAGGCATAATTAGGCCGTATATCTTCATCGAGGTTAGGGCGATACCTCTCCCGAAGAAGGGGAGCCACGTCCTCGCAAGGACCAATGGAAGACATGTTCTGCCGATTCGTCTATGTCGCCCATTTCGGCCGTGTCAGCCAAATTGTCTCTACACCAATCTAAGCAAGTCTACACCGGTTCCGTTCGATATGCCATTGCCTCTCCCATTTAGGTTGGCAACTCAAGCACAGCAAACCAATGAGATACACTCGGAATTTGAGAATAACAATACCGAAGCCAGAGTAAACTGGCATAGTAAGGATGGCAGCAGGGCATCAATTTACACTCCAAGAAATGTCACGTGGATTAGGTTTTGCATGGAAAGAGGTCTCTTTCACAATTGATTGCCAGGTGATTCTATACCTGGCGGCTATAGGCATCATTTTCCGCAACTGTTGTAATGGTAGATGGTCATTCACCCTGGTATATTACCCCTTAAGGCTCCATATCGCTTCTCCCAGGGATCGGGAATAAGGCATGAATGGGAGTATGCGTTATTCCTTAAGCCCGAAGCATGTTTTCATAAGCTGAAAGCATTTAGAAGTAGATGGTGGGGGAAGGTGGGGGCAATAGGAAATGCACTAGCCCCGCTGGTGGGGGTCGTGTAGCGAACTACTACCCGCCACGACGCTGGAATAAGCTGCGCAGACTTTGATTATATCCAATCATGGCTCTTCCCACCATCAGCTCATGCAGGATTGCCGATCGTACCTCCTGGTAAGGGACGATCATTGAAGGATGGGCATGGTAGTGGATGGTGGCTACGAGATAACTAGATTTGGGGATTAGATCAGTTGAAGCAATGCACTGAGGACGGTCAAAGCGACTTGGCGACGACTGAGATGTGAAATCAGATGACGTGGTACTTTGCTTGCCAAGTTCAGCTCACCCCGTTGGGGGGCCTTAAAGGACTTTTACGCCAGGTCTCGGACCTTTAGATATCTTCAACATATCTTCAACTCCATCCCAGCTGTTTCCCTTTGAAGGTATATTCAAGTCCTATAATCGCTCTGAATCGCTACACTATGCCCCGTGAAAATATCGAATTCCAAACGGCCGACCATGTCACCTTGCGAGGTTGGTTCTTTCGGCCGTCAATGGAGCCACTCGAAACAAGGCTGCCTTGCCTGGTCATGTCTCATGGGTTCTCAGCCTTGAAAGAAATGGGACTTGACGCGTTTGCAGAATATTTTACTCTAAATCTGCCCATCAGCTGTCTAGTATATGACAACCGAGGATTTGGTGACAGTGACACGAAGGAAGGCCAGCCTCGGCAGGAGGTTCTTCCCAGCCAACAGGCCAGCGATATATCAGACGCCATCACCTATGCGCAGTCTAGAGCCGACGTTGACCCTAACCGCATTGGTATCTGGGGAAGTTCTTACAGCGGTGGACATGTACTGTATGTTGGAGCAGTTGACCGGCGTGTCAAGGTGGTGCTCTCCCATGTTCCTTTCACCGATGGGTGGGAGACCTTGAATCGTCTCTTGCCGTCCGACGCAATAGATGGAGTAAACAAAGCATTTCAAGAAGGTATGGAAGTCCTTTACGTGAGATGGCATGCACGATTCCCTGATGTTTCATTAGACCGATTGGCCCGGGCTGCAGGTAAACCCGCTGGGATGATACCAGTGGTAGATGAAGACCCTCTAAAACCATCTACACTTCCTACACCGGATAGCTATCAGTTCTTCAGTGCGTGGGAAGCCAAGTCAAACTGGAAGAACGAGACCACGCTGAAAAGGTAAAATTCATTTCCCACTATAGTCGATCTAAGTAACATGACCCTAATACTGGTATCTGATTAGCGTCGAGGCGGCTCGTGGGTACAATCCTGCTGCACATATCCACCATATCTCACCAACCCCGCTGTTGTTGACAGTGGCGGAGAACGATGTCGTGGCTCCGACTGATATTGCTCTGGATGCGTATTCTCGGGCGGGAGAGCCAAAGAAACTGCAGATCTTCCCGGGTGGTCATTTTGATGGTTATGCCGGTGAAGGCTTCGAACACAACGCATCAGTCCACGCAGACTTTCTGAAAGAGCATTTGGTTGGATAACTTCTGTTTAGCAAGGATTCCATGAATGGTATCAATGGGAATTAGCGGTCAGATGAACATTCGTGAGCCCAAGCGGGTCAGACCGCTCAGGGGCGTGCTCAAATCCACTTATTAATCAAAAAGCGGCAAGGCCTGAGCACCAAACGGAAAGGATAAGTCAAGTAGTTTGCAGAATCTCCGTAATCAAGTACCAATTTGAGGAGTGGGGCTTGTTAAATTTCCGTCCTGTTTGCTTTCGTTCGCTTTTCTTTTCCTCTTATAGGGACATGGGCGGGAGATTAACGAATACCGTACGAGGCATATACAAATTCACTTTTTTCCCCCTCCCCGGACCTAGGCAAGGCAATAGTAGTGGGGCGTTGCACGAGTTGTTGCAGGGTTATCATTCTGTTACCAGGCCAGAAATGAGACATGACTCTATGTATCTTGATCAACATTCCAAGCAAGTCAGTAAAGTAAGTCGAAGTGTCGTTCAACCTTTGCATTCAAACTAGATGAGCCATGGTACATACGTAGATTGAGGCTCTCGGACTGTCCCGTTCCCCACTTGATCCAAACAAACTAGTAACTTTATATTGTGTTGCCACGGAGTACTCCGTCCACAGCTACTGCAATCAGAAACATTTCCCTCTTTATAGTTGTTTTCTTTCTCCCACCCCACCCCGCTGTATGTGTAATCGTTTGTACCCAAATAACGGGTCTGATTTCTTAATGTCTACCTCGTCTGCGCGGCTCCATTTTCCCTAGGTCTTGACACAACTTCCAAATAATTAATGACAGAAATCAACGTCTGGTGAAAGGGCAAAGTAATGATGCTTAGTGGCGAGTATCACCAGTAAATGGATTATAGGCGGAGGACAAAAGTACAGTCGGGTATGATTGTCATCCGAGCACAAGATAGGTTAATTGGCACAGGAACGTACAGGAAAGGGGAGATTGGGCTTGCCGTTGAAAATTCTTTAAAGCTGAACTCGAGCTTAATAAAAAGGCCTGTTTGCTTTCCAGCCATTCATATATTTGGAGGGGAGGTGGTTGAATTATCCTGAGCAACCCTGCAAGAGTAGTCCTGATGATGCAGGCAGGTTCTAGGTTTTTACGTTTTCAATCACCTGGTCCTGGACTTTATTCTCCCAGTTTTCCCAAAAAGGGCTCTAAGCCCCAAGGATCTTGCTTCACCTCCAGGGGTGTGGATGGTGGGATTTCAGTCTTTTCATTCATTACATCTCGCCTTCCCAAGCCCCCTACTACTTTCCCCGCTCTTGCCATCCCAAAATAGTCTGTTTCCGCATCCAAAACTTCGCCCCAAAATCTCTCAAACACCACGGACGTAAATTGTCCGCGCGGGTAGGTTGCCCAGCGGTTGTTCCGACAATGCTGAAGTCCGTGTGTTGTAGAGTCCATCAGATTGAAATGATATTTCTGCATGATCCTTTGGATTCGAGCGTGGTTGGCGGGTGACTTCGATCGTTATTTTATTTTCTCGATTATTATTTTCCACCGTCCTATTGCATCGCATTCATTGGCTGATTCGTGTCCCTTCAACGACGGAGCCCAAGCATCGGAGTTCCTCAAGGCCAAATAAATCCTCCCGGTGCATTAACCATTTGGGTGGAAATATCCTAACTTTCTGTTTTTCATTCCGAAGCACTGGTAACGGGTGAAATCAAGGTTAATTCGGAGATTTTGACTCCGACTGGATTTCATACTGCCAATTGCCGCTCATTGTTGGTCAGTAGATAGGGTCGATCTGCCTGCATGATCGGTATTACCCTGATAGAATACCTTTTTTTAATTGTCTCCGACGGTCATTTCAACCCCATTGAATTCCGTTTCTCTTGGCATTTATTCCATCTTTCTCTATCCACTGTGATGTGATCGCTTAACCATATTCGAACAATGGTGGGTACCCACGTCACGTTCTTGCCCGAACCCCCGATGTCCACTCTAGATTCTGTCGAAATAGATTTGCCGATGATCTGCACTAACCAAAGCCACACGTGAGGAGGCTGCTAATATGTAAGATAATGAAAAAGTCCCTCATATATTATTTTCCAAGCACTGCCTCAATCCTCCCCCGCGAATTTCCAAAGTATGGAGGAATACAAGAGTTGTATAACTCTCAACATGTATACCCTAAGAGTAATATTTCTTTTTCTCCAGCATGTGGGACTAAAAGATCCGGTCTTGTAGACATTGAAAAACCCGACCGTTTTACACGTATTCCTTTGAATTGTGGGAGTTAAGAGTATACAAGCTGCCATTGGTGGCCCCAGAACTGGAGCAGTCCGCACAAGGCAACAAGGCGATCGCCTCATTACTGTTCTCTCTACTCCGTACAAAGTACGGAGTACTGTCTTCCTCCATTGCTTCCAAGATTGGGCCGAATCACTTGAAATCTTTTAGTAATCGCTTCCACTTGGAGACTGTGATCCCACGCGTTTCAAGTCTTCTACTCCCGGCAACGGTTCCTTGATCCGACACTCGTTTCGACCCAATCTCCCTCTCTCCCCTTTTGGGGATTATTTTATTTCGTTTTATTTTTAATATTTTTTAAATATTTTTAATATTCTTTTGCCTGGGTGATGAGGAGACATACTTCTGTACTTAAAACCGGTTCCTCTTTTTCTTCGACGAAACTTACCTTTTTGTTCAACTTTGAGCGCCATTTTCTTTGCCCTGATATCATTTACCTCCTCAAGAAGACTTGTTCACAATGAATTCTAATTTCAATTTCAATAATGAGGAGGTTGATGAGACAATGCAGTGGCCTGGGCCTCCTGGCTCCTTTACCTCATCCGAAGGGTTTACTGGGACAGACAATGATCGAGTGGGTGCCCATCCAGAGACCACAGCTTCAAGGTACTAATACTTGACCAGGGCTATGGATATTATCATACGGGAACTTCCTCCTCGGCAGACTTAACAAGCTTAACGAGTTCGGAGGCCTACCCACAAGATTCCGGATGGATGAACATCGATCCTTTCAGTCAAGTGCGAGAAACTCCACAACAATATGACAGTGATCTGGCTGGTATTGATCCGAGATATTACTTGGAGGACGAAAACAATATCCCCCAAAGCCTAGCGGAAGATCTAGGAAGCTCAACTATCACTCAACGACCAGCAGAGGATCCAAGTGAGAGTACTGTCCTTCCCGTGGGAGGGTTGGATCGGACCACAATCGGAATACCAAATCCCGCACCTTTTTCTCTGCAACCTCCAACCCAGCCTTCCCTTGAAGGTATCGTGGGCCAGGTGGTTACCACCTATAGAGCTCTCATGTCTGACCAGGCATGTAGTCCTGATCAAATTTCTCAAGGGCTGCAAAACCTTGAAACGATCAAGTACTTCTTTCATACAAAGCTCCCGGCATCTCCTATTTCAATTGCGTCTTCAGAACCGGATACACGAGATAAGCCGTCGTTTCGATGTTGGCAATGTGATCCTCAGAAAAAGAAAGCAACCTTTCCAAGTTTTGGTGCCTTTAAGAGACATTTGACTATGCATGGTATACTCGACTGCGAGTGGCGCTGTACTTACTGCGACATAACCCTCCACCGGCGAGATAGGATGCGTAACCACCTCATTCACGTCCACAACAAATTCAATCTGCTCCCGGCTGATGTGGAGGCAACTTCGAGTGAGGTATCCCCCTCCAACCAACTGCCCCATCCCCATTTGTCTCGATAGGACACCTTCTTGGGCTGTCTATTTCGAGCACATTAAGAGCCACTGTCTCGTATCCTCTGCTTCGGGGAATGCCTCTACCAGCGGCGATCGTTCTGATCACGGTGACAATGGTGGCGGGAACGGCAATAGGCATGGTCATGGCTCTTCTTCGGCCGGACCCAGCAATTCGAACAGAGGATCGCAATCTAGCCAATCAAATAACCGGACTGGGGGTGCTCCTTACCCCAGCGCGAGCTTCGGAGGCTTCAGAAACAGGGGCAACGTGCGTCCTGGTCCCATCTCGCACTCTGCCTCTGATTATCAGCTCAACACCAGCCGTCGTCAAAGCGCTACTGAAGCCATTGAACAAATTTCAATCGACGACTTACTTCGATCACCTGGGTCCGGGGCAGCTCACCTCCCCAGAGGAGCTAGTGGACAACCTAATAACCTCCTGCCCCCACAAGACCCCCGATTGTCACGGGGCAATCATTCGAGCAAGCGTAAGCGCCAGGACAAACAGAAAGAGCCAACAGACGAGCAAGCCCCTAGTTCGAACAAATGCAGACGATGTAATCACGACATGGCCAAATGTCGCCACTGCAAATCTGTTGATAGTTGCCACAAATGTGGTGACGTGCCCAGGAGTGGTATCCAAGTTGGGGCATCCTCGACAACGCCTGCGCAAGCCCTCCCAGATGCATCTTCTGCCATAATCAACTTGAACGAATCCTACCTTAACCCTGAAGCATTGGCGAACTTTGCAACGCCCCAGAACATGCCCACCCAACTTCCTCCTTATTACAACCCCAACGAGGTTATGCACTTCTTCGACCCGCAATCATTTGGCGATATGACCAACACATTCATGGACGATACATTCCCAAATGATCCTTTCATCAGGGTGGCCATGGATGTTGTCAGCCACCCACCTTTGAGAGATCTCGGCGACAAGATCCAAGAGTCGCCTGTATTTGAAAGTGATACCAAGTTACTTCACAGCATTGGACTCGGCACATTGATTGGCCCGCTCTCCGCCAGAAGACAACCCATGCAACCAAAAGCGAAAGCCTCCAGTGGTCCGGCTCCAGGATCATACACAGACCTCAGAAACCTTGGATCACCATCCATTCTAGGAGCTCTCCAGCCGGTATCTCGTTGCCAATGCCCATGTGTAACCGTCCCAACTGTCGACTACGAAGCCCACGCAAGCCTCCAATTATCGCCCGACGAACGCGTCGAGATGGCATTCAAGATGACCCCCGCACGTGAATCCAGCCATCCGCTCCGCACCCGGGTGCGAGTCTTCGTGAAACTTTTTAGTCTCCGCGCGTCGGCAGCACGGTCAAACACAAAGCAGCAGAGGACTCGTTCTATCTCATCTGACACTACTGACGAGGATGCCGAGTCTGATACCGATCCAGACCAAGGGCTTACTCCCACCTCGCCTTCCGGTTCCGAGATCACTCCACTCCTCTACTGGACCGAGGATATCCAAGACTGGTCATTCAGCTTTGACATCAAGTGGGCTATAACGAAACTAGCCCAGTGGACCAGCGGCATAGATGCCGATTCGTGCCAGAAACTACTTCTCTCTGATCCTGGCCATATACTGGACTTGATGTCTATGTATATTGTGTACAAGTTCAAGATTTCTTGGCTTTTGATGGGTCGTAATGGGCTCAGTGTGTTTTTGAGCATCTAAAAGCACCCTGTTACCCCTACTTATACCCCATATCTCTGCCCTCATGTTTGATACCCTCTAAGACCTTGTAAGGTTACTTATTTTCTGTCATATGCCTGTTTTTTTTTCCTATTGTTGAACTATATTTTACATAAAACCCTCCTGTACAAGTCTGTATACTACACATTTGGGGATCCAACTTCCAGGAGATACATAATGTTGTCATGCGTTTATGGGAGGCATACTACTTACATGACATTTCACGAATCACAAGATTGGACCCGGAATGAAAACATGATTCATGCGCTGTAAAGCTCTTCCCAGTCTCACTTTTAGTCAACTGCTAGCCACTATACCGTTTTTCAATCAATCTGCGCCTTACCCAGTGCAACATTTATTATTTGCCTTACCTGCACTGCCCCCATCAGGTGTCTATTATGTAGTCTGCCTTGGGCAAAATACAAAAAGGACAAGCTGTCCATATGAGCTGGGGTGTACTCTGCTCCTATTCGGTAGGAGATATTAGCCTGAAGTTGGTCACATATACCATGTATGCATATTGCATGGCATAGCCTCGCATGTACTCTGTAGCTTGAGCACAGATGTACTAGCTACCTGCAGATATATCAATCGTTCTATATACCACTTCTCAAATCGGAAGTGATATAACATATTATATCTTACATCGTCCACACCATCTCCTCTATACCCCTGTCCCCAGTATGCCTCTACCCGGCTGGCTAACTAATTACATGGGTGTACAGAGCACATACATACATGTGCTCCGTACTTATAAGATGGAAAAACGGAATAAAAAAAAAGATGTCCTAATACACCGTAGAAAAAAAGAGAGGAAAAGAGCAAAAAAAGCAAAAAATTAAGCAGAGCCAGAACTATAGCAAGATGATTTCGTAATAAACGATGTCAACCTTGCTAAGTTGGGCGTTTCGTTGCAGCCATTCCCATCCATGGACCATTCCCCCTTCGCATGAAAAGCAAAAAAAGCAAAAAAAGCAAAAAGCAACCATAAAAGAAATATTGGAAAAGAAAAAGAAGGAGTAAAAACAACCCCTCCCCGGTCTGAAGAAACATCAGCACGCACTGGACCATAAATGATCCGTAGCAAGAGGCTTTAGGGAAACCACAAGCCAAATGACTCATTATTCCCCAAAGCAACATGCAGGTGTGTTCTTCGTATTGTCGTGTCTCTTAGTCTTGACGGCTTCGCTTCGCGCCGTGGGGGTTCCAGGCACCTCCGTCGGAGCCGCTGCCGCTGGCCTGATTCTGGTTGTTGGAATTGTTGGGGTTGTTAGGGTTGTAGTAGCCCTGGTTGAATCCCTGGTTGGGGCCCTGGAAACCTTGTTGTGCTAGAAGATAGTCAGCATCGAGGAACGGAAAGAACGGCCAGGATATATATCAGAATCACTTACCTTGCATTGGCATGTTGCCTCCCATGCCACCTGTCATGCCACCTGTCATGCCGCCGCCCATCATAGGATTCATACCAGCCATCGGGTTCATGCCCATGCCACCCATGGGGGGAGTCATAGCAGGCATACCCATCATGTTCGGACCACCGCCCATGCTTCCACCACGACCGCCGCGCATGCCACCACGCATACCACCACCCATCATGTTGCCGCGATTGTTGAAACCATAGTTGGGCATACCGCCCATCGGGGCACCCTGGAAGCCACCCATCATGGGGTTGGGACCGCCACCTTGGAATCCGCCCATGGGGTTAAAGTTGTTGCGGTTGTTAAAGTTGTTCATGTGACCCATACCGCGGTTGAAGCCGCCGCCGCGGCCGCGGAATCCGCCACCAGCGTGGTTGTTCATGCCGTAGTTGCCACCAGTGTTGTGGGCAGCGCCGCCGCCGCGACCGCCAGCATTGCGCATCGGAGTATCCTTAGGGAGAGTGCGGAACGGGTTTTGGTGGGGGCTGGTGTATTGCACGGTGTGTCTGCGCGCGGGACTGTCATTTCTTTCAATGTAGTGCCTAGTTGCGGTCGCAGCCTGCGCTGTGGTGAACTCAACGAATGCTTGACTGTCGGTGTTTAATATGTTAGTATCAATGCTCGATATAAATTTTCAATTGCGACCGAGTAAAGAAGGTTCTTACCCCTTGCTCTTGCCGTTCACTTTATGCTCGCTGAAGGTCACATCCTTGAGCTGGTCCTCGACACCAGCCTGGTTCGCCCAGCCTCGAATGTCGTCATCGGTGGTCCACCAGGATAGATCCGAGATCAGCAATGCAGTTGTAGCATCTGGGTCAACGGATTGGTCCTCGAATTCCTTGCGCTTGACTCCCTGCGGGGGTGCAGGCAGACCGTGGTTGGGTGTCTGCTGCTGAGGCGCGGATGGAGCTCCATTGTTGTTCACTTGCTGGCCCTGGGTGGAAGTAGGGTTCTCCTGGTTGGCAGCGTTGGATGATCCGGTAGTGGGCTCAGGCTGATTCTCGGGGGCATCCAGAACAAGCTCGGAATCATCCTGCTTGAACTCTCCCGGCTCATTGGCATTGTAGGTGCCGTCGCCGTAGATGTCAATGTCGAAGTTGTCATCGTCCGTAGCCATTGCGAACTAAATTAGTATCCTCTTCAGGGGGTTGGACCTCAAAGAAATGATTGAAATTGCCTGAGTATCTGATGGTTGATAGTACAGGCCCTTCTGTTTCTTCTTGACCCTTTCCGCTTCTGAGCAACTCAAGAAAAGTGCATGTCTGCAGGTATACAAGCCACCAATTAGCATAGAGAAAACGAAAACGTCATGAGAAAAGAAACCGCAATCAGAGTAGGGGTAGCGAGATTCCCGTATTAGCTCCCAACAGCCGTTGGAGTCATCACTGTAAAGCGGACGGAAAATTGGCCAAGCCCCGAAGGGTAACATAGGTAGGACAGACAGGAGATCAGTGAAGCCAGACAATACGTACAATCCGAAGCGGAGAAAGCGCTTCCGGTAGAACAAGACTGAGAGCGAGTTGCAGACGCGGGTGTACAGAGAAGAGGAAGGAATCTTGTTCCGTGGATGATCGGATACAGAGTAGAACGAGGGAAAGAGAGCGGAAGTTCGCCACAGACAGGCAAAGGAGAGTCGCGAATGGAGAGAGTTGCGTGAGAGACACAGGAGGCAAGTGAATTAAGGCAGTGAAGGGAAATGGAGCTTCTGGGCTTCTTGGGGAATGAATGCGACGCCGAGAAACGCCGAGAAACGCGGTATTTTTTTCTCAAACTTGTTTGGATTCGCCGGTTTGTACGTTGTATATGGGCACAACGATGAGCGACGGCGATGAGGTCGTCGGCAAGGTTGGCGCGAACGGGCCAGACCTGGACTGGAACAAATATTCTCCAGTTCCCCGGGCCGCAGAGGCCAATTGGTCATTCCCCGAGAAACCACCTGTTCTTCTTCATTGTCGCGACTTGCTCTTTTTTTTCAAGTTCATTATCTTTTCCATATTCCTTGATTTTCGCCAATATGTCCGAAACTTTCCAAGAGCTTGCCGATATCCCTAAGGACTTTGTCCGGGAGGGCTCCCAATTTGTTCGCCGCTGCACCAAGCGTATGTTCATGTTGATCGGCAGTCATCTCGCAACGCCTCTGAAACGCTGACTTTTTTTTATAATAGCCGACAAGCGCGAATTCATCAAGATCAGCCAGGCTGTTGGCATGGGCTTCCTTGTCATGGTATGTGCCGTTGTGGTAAACCCTAGATCGCGTTTCGAGGCGGAGTAACTGACATCGCCAATAGGGAGCCATCGGCTACTTCGTTAAGCTGAGTATGTGTTCTAAAACGCGGATTAGAGTCTGCACATGTTGACTGCATGTATCAATATACTAACCTGTCTGCTGCAGTTCACATTCCCGTCAACCAAGTGCTGGTCGGTGGCGCTTAAGGGAGGCTCCCAGGAGATGCTCAGATTCATCTGTCAGTTCGAAGGAGATGGAGACAATTAGTTGTTTATGGGAAAGCCTGCGGATGATGAAGAGATGGGGAAAGATAAGAAGCCGTATCGCGATATACTGGATGACATGTGAACCCATCAATGCCACCGCTGTCGCCTATGCACTATGACTACCCCGCGGGCCTTCCCCAAACAAGCCTGGGCTTCGAGCTTTCCCACACTGCAAAGCATTTTCCTTTCGTGTTTTGAATTTCCGTGGTGATCACCACTTGGCGCTTTTGTTGGCGAGCGATAGGAGGCAGAGCATGATCGCTATCTATGAGATACCACCCTTTTTCGCATGTATCATTAGGGGTCCTTGTTTTACTTAATCCATGCATTTGAAGCATTCCATTCCCATCTCCAAGTCCTTGACATTGGGCTTCTGAGCAGCCTGGAATCATCTGCAGTGATCGGCCAGACGAAATGACGTATTGCATTCGTCAAAGAGAGATGTGGCTATTCCAATCGAGTACATACATGTATTGTGCAAAGATACACCAAAAAGGACACGCAAGATGCGCAGAATCAAAAGCCAGATTTCAATGCTTTTGTCGGACTGAAAAGACGAATCATCCTCGACTTACCATATTGCGTCCTCTGCTTCCTCATCACCAACCCATCGACTAACAGGCCGACTGCGTAATGGACGCCGGGGTCGACCATGCGGTGCATTCTCGCGATAATGGTCGAACTCGGGGATGTGTCGTAGTCTATCGTCGTAACTCTTGCCGGGTGGCGGATCTCCCTCATCTTTAGCAGCACCGGCATTCCAAGAATGCACAGTACAAGTGCCAGTGGACAAGCCCCAGCCATTCCAAGAAGTTGCTGGATACAGGATCAGCAATGCCTACTAAAATCCAACGTTCCGGGATATAGATCCTACCTGCTAGTACTGGCGCATTGGGGTGCCAGCTTGCATCGCGAACGCAAGTCCTCCACAGCATCTCCCCACTCATCTCATATGCCGTAGCATAGGCTTCTGGATCACGCGGTCGTGAGTTGAATGTCGCTTGGCCAACGTCAATGGTGCCAGCTAGTGTGGCGTCCAAGTTGTACACATAAACCTTGCCGTCTTCACTCCCACTGTAAACATAACGTGAATTGGTGCTTCCAGGTGGCGAGAAGTGGCAGCGAATCAATGTTTTCAAAACTCGATGGCCCCGGTACGTAACAACGGAGCAGTCATTCTTGGCATTTCTGCGGTACTGGTCTGGATATTGCTCGAAGCGGTAATCGAAGCCGGTGGAGTAGTCGATGGGGTCGATGTTTTCGATATCGGCCGATGTCATCATCTTCCGTAAATCCCAAAGCTTCATTGTTTGGTCTTTACTATTTGACAAGACGTATCGGCCGTCGCCCTTGCTGTCAACGTATGTTAGTCCTTCGGTGTGGCCCATAAAGGCACCGGCTTCACGCCCATCGCCCATTGACCGCCTGTCCCAAACCCTAATTGTCGTGTCATCCGATCCAGAGTACAGGATGTGCGGGGATGATGTGTCGCCGTAACACACAGCATTGACATGATGTTGATGCCGTTCTCGTAGATTTAGAACAGGCTGTCGTGTTTCTAGATCATAAACGATAACAGAGTCTTCTGATGTGCCGGCGACCACCTCACGTCCATCTCCAGAGAATCGAAGAGACCAAATCTAGTAAAAAAATGCATCAAGTTAATCATTGAAATGCCAATTAATGCATCATTTCACTTACCCCGAAGTGTGAACTACCCCAGCTCCGCCTTCTCCTTTGTCCCGGTGGAGTTGATAGATCTAAAACAGTGGGATCCGAATTGTCCTCTGGGTCCGTGGTAGCCATATATGCCTGACTTCGTATTGAACTGTAAACGAGGAAGCGATTGTCGGGGCTCAGAGTCGCATCGGTTATAGTCCACTGACCGAACGGATAATCGACGGTTTTGTAGTATTTCCAATCGTACGGATTGGATGTGTCGTACATCCGAACCTTGAAGTCTTGTGCGCAACAGAAAAAGAAATTCCCATCATCTGAGAACTGGCCTGAATAACTTCGCGTGTCATAGTGAATGATCTTGTCTGCAATCGAACTTGGAACGAGGCCCTAGTAGGCGCCAAACGTATGCATTAGTCCTGCTCGCTGTTGTAATCCATGTCATCTATACACATCGCTTACCTGAGAGATAGATTGGCCGGCTCTTTTCCGCACTCCATCAGTATCAATGCCTAGTTCTCGCCACATTAGACTTGTCGCCAGAAATTTCTTCCGCTGCCTGAGCCGGTCGCCGTAGAATTGGTCGGTTCCGAAATGACCTTCGCTCATCAACTTCTTGCCCTCTGGGTTAGGCACTGGTGGCAATTTAAGGGTTTCTGTGGATCGTCTGGCTCGGAGGCGATTTCGGAATATGGGCATGAAATCTTCGTCGCTTAGCTCATCGTCTTCATTTTCCAGCTGCTCCTGCTCTTCTTCCATGGCGGTTGGCCAGCCATTGGCTTGGAGGATATGTTGTAAACCACTTGATGCGAGCAACTCGAATAATCGGGAAGCGGGCACTGTAATTTGTGAGCAATTGCACTAGTACGCATCGAAAATTCCGAGCGCTGCCTACCGCGCGTATGCCCCTCATTTAGATCGTCTGTGTCCTCACTCTCTGAATCGTCCGCAGTAAGTTCGATTTGGATGTTTCCGATGTTGATGTGCGTATTTTCTATCACAACAAAGCGGTTAGTTCATTGCATACTATTGTGAGGGCGTGGGTGTTAGTCCTACCACTTGCTACCCCGGGCCCATTTGCTGATCTTCATTTATGTCGTCCTCCCATGCGCCGTCGTGCTCGGAGGGCGCGGGGTGATATTCTGTATCCAGCTCGTCATCTTCCAGCCATTCATGGGCAGGATGCCAGATCCCTTCTGAGCCCCTTGAAGATTCAGTCCCATCATCAGGTGTCCTTGAACTCATATTTTGTATTGTTGTAGTGGAGATGAGGAGACATCCATGGATGCTTATCGTAAATAGATAAGTCCCGACCTCGGTCACGGGCTGGTTTGTGGTTATGTCATTCATCGGCTTAACTCCGAGGCTTAACTCCGACACCGCCATTTGGTCGAACATCCTCACCCTATATTTTTAGAATGCGACATCTAGGTCATCAATATACATCGTTAGCACACTGACTATCTTCAATAAGCATCTCTAGTATATAAAGCTGAGGTATTGATTTATCTGGAGTAAGCTTTTCATTTATAAAGCCGCCTCCAGCTGTGTCACACCCACTTGGTGTCACCCGCTCCAGCCCTGTGGCTTTGGTGTGATGGAATTGCATTATTTCCGTAAGGTGTAGAACTCAATTAACCTTCCAAGAACCAAGATGTACACATTATATGCTGGAAAGCAGAAGCCTGTGGTAAACGAATCTCTGGCTTTCGCATATGCATGTTATGTTATACAGAAATCATACCTATGTCGGGAAGCGAAATCATGCCAAACCCTTTCCATAGGTATCCCGGTTTAGGCCTCCCCATTGCAACGGATTGTAGTCCTTCCCAATGGGATATAAAGAGACGAATTATCAAATTATATAGTTAACTTAGCTGCTGGTGTTGTTTTTCTTTAGTTCATTTTGACATAACTGTAGCATAGGCAACTATCGTTTGAGTAGAAATTGATTAAGGTTGCTGCTATTCCAAAGTTAAGTGTCACACGTAGTCAGGGCAATTTGGTAACACCAGGGCTACATTTATCATTTACGGTACCTTCAATGTTCTTTGGTAGCCCAATACTTCAGCACGCAGTTTAATATCAAACCCCTTACGAACCCCAGCAAGGACCAAAAGTAAACTCACTACAAGTCCTCTACTCAACCTGGACTCAAGGTCGAGTACAAAGTCCATCCACACACTTGTTTCCGTAGCAGCAGTTCTCATCTGCCAGACATGGGCCATTATCCTCCTTGCAATTCGGCCAGTCTGGGTCAGTCGAGCGACATTTAGTGGCCGCACAGTATGTGGAGCAGCAGATTTGGCCCGAACCGCCGGACTCACAATCCGCTAATGATTGTCAGAATTAGATTCCATAAACATGTGGTTTAATACTTGCCGTAAACTCCTAGACATGTTGGTGTAGGTACACAGGTCGTGATGGTAGTTGCAGTTGGAGTTGTGAAAGTAGCGGTGGTGCAGATCTCAGTTCCAACGCAGGCATCCGCATCGCCGCACCCGGCTGCGACTATAAAATGTGGAGAGATTAGTGTTTGGTTTCGTGAGTAGAGACGACATTCGAATGGTCACATACCGCTTAGGGCAAGGTGAGTAGAGAAGAGAATCAAATGGTTGGAAAGACGCATGATAATGGGTTGAGCCTTGGCTAGTGGTGAACCTTACACAAAAGTTGTTTGACTTCTGTTGAATAGCAGACTTCGAGAAGATGAATTAGAAGTCCTATATATTCACCAACCTTTCTCCGCTGATACGAACAAGTTAATCGTTATACGGAAAGGATCGCCCATTAACACAATATGCAAGTCATTCTGACACAATCGTCGCTGTTGCTCGTATTCAAGCCCTAAAGAACCAAAGCTCCTATTGAAGATCAAGCCACTTTAAGACGAAAACATGCATGTTTGTAGCTGAATATCCATCCAATCTCCAACCTGCTGTGTGTGGTGGGACTAAACAACCGTGGTTGAAACTTTGCATTGCCACGAAGATACGAGGGTTTTATATGAAGAGACTTGGCATGGGAACAAGCTGTTTTAGGTTAGATGAATCTAATTATAACAGCTATATCCCTTAGGAATTGGATCTTGGACGACGTAGGGCTATGACATCACGAGCATGTTCCCTCATGGTGCATGCATGAGGTATCCATGATTCATGAAAGCGATTCTTCGCAGGGCCGATAATTAACCAGCGGGTCAGTCCGGTAGGATGAAGAGAACATTGTCTCTTATTACTTATCATTTCACTTACTACTATCGTCATTGTTGGCCTTTTATCGCATTTTGCAATACCTAGAAGATGTTCCGAGGCAGATATCTACATTAATGTATGCACATACCCAGGCTATAATTGGGATGATTGACGTCATTGCAGACAACGCATAGGAAAGAGACGAATTTGGTATACTAGATGAAGGTGATACTTTGATATCTGCGTCCCTGTGAACGAAAGATATATATAGCAAGCTGGGCTACTCCGATGACTGTGCGATGACTCTGAATACGAACCTTGCATCCTGGCCCGTGCAACCGACCTTCACAAATAGACCCTAACCCCCACTTTCATCTTCGTAATGCTTTAAGGACTTCTCATTTTGTGAAGCAAAGATGGCTACTAAGACGTTAATGGCTTCGTGCCACTGCAAGAATGTCCAGTTTACTGTCGCCGTTCCAACCGAATGTTTTCCCTTGAACATACACCTATGTCACTGTAGCATATGTCGTTACACCCACGGCGCACCATGCAGCTTTCACGCACCACTACCAGTTGGTGTGGAGCCTCAATTTATTGCACCATCCAGCCTCAACAAACTGACTAGTTATCGACACCCAGCATCAACAGCGACGGGCTATTTCTGCAGCACTTGTGGCTGCCAGATTGGAGGAGCTGATGGTCAATGGGTAATCACTCCCGCAATCTTCGATGCCAATAGAGAGGATGAAGGCATTTGGAAGTTCAACGCCCATATGCTTCCGACCTCTGCACCGGACGGTGGTCTAGCAGCTGTGTTTTCGGTCATTGACGGACATCGAATGGAGACCGAAAATCTAGGTCTATCTCCGCAGGCTATAGCCGGGAGCGATTCGCAGCCACCTGATCCCGAAAGCAAAGAGCTCCTAGCGCAGTGTCATTGCGGTGGAGTCTCTTTCACCATTGCCCGCCCTAGCGAGGAATTCGTCGCAAGTCCTCGAAGTAAAGGATGGATTTCATCCTTGGACAAGAGCAAGTGGCTTGCATCTATGGATCTCTGCGACGACTGTCGATTGGTTACTGGCACACATGTCATCAGTTGGATATTTGTATCCCTTGATCATATCACGCCGCGTTTGCCGAAGAACTTATTGATCGGATCAGCGAAGGGCTATCGCTCCTCGAAAGATGTACTCCGGGTATTCTGCGGGACTTGTGGTGCAACTGTCTTTTATCATTGTGATGGACGACCGGAGATTGTAGATGTGGCGATGGGAATCCTACGCGCGCCTGAAGGCGCTATGGCTGAGAACTGGAGCGTGTGGAGAGCTGGGCGGGCATCATGGCCGGAGAACGGAATGCGGTATCACGCCGGATTTAGCCGTGCGCTGATCGAAGGGATGCAGCGATGGGGGGGCTGAACGGGGGCATCCTCAGGATTTTGAGATAGCATAGTATCTCTAGCCTTCTGGTGGTAAGACAATAGATATTCTATCAATGTTCTTGTGCTCGCTCAATGTGCTTAGCTTTTGTGGTCAGACTGGCTCCAATAAGATGTGGATAGCATGAGAGGTCTTCATAGGAAGACGTATCGGACTTTACTTATTTAGGATAAGGGATTCTCTTAGTTCTAGCTACAATATCTTAGGAGATGAGGGCCCGTATATTTTTTGTAGGCGGGTGGATCATTAGACTAGACCAATTTGGATTAAATGGTTTTGATGTCTAGGTCGCTGAAGCTGAAGTCATATTCCTAGGTGTTAGTATAAGGCAGTAGGGGGAATAGCCCTTTATTAGACAAAAGAATCAAAAAAGAGCACCAAACAACTGGTCCCCGGGTGTATACATCCGTGGATATATGCGACATCAGAAAACGGCTGTCAGATAAGCCAAAATGGCGGATCAATGATTTCCCCGGTCCCCACTGATAGAGATGCTTCTCCAACTTCCGAGCTCGGGTTCCTTAGGATCTGCTCTCTGGTGTTCAGTTCCAGGGAATTAGAGTGAGACAAGCTGTCTAATCGAATAACGCTCCCAATCTGGGCATTTGAAATATAAAAGTCCGCTCGCCTTCCCCTCAACTTTCCATCCGCATCACCCCAACCCCACCAAGATGCAGTCCGTCCCAGAATCGCGACAGCAGTCCTTCGAGGAGATCTATGGACCCCCAGGAGAACTTCCTCGAGATGGAAGTGAGTTGCTTGATGCAGAATGCCCAATACCCACACCTGAATCAATCGCCCACCCCAATACCCCAGAGTCTCGTGCCCATATCTCTCCCCTAATCAGCCCCCATACCCCACTCAAAATCGCATCACCACCCATCGGGCACTAACAACGCCAACAACGAACACCCAGACTAACAATGACTGCAACAGGTCCGCAACCCCCCAGACCCACGGCACATCTCGCAACATGTACACGTCGTACGAGATTGTGTGCCGGACCAACATCCCCGCCTTCAAATTGAAACACTCCGTCGTGCGCCGCCGGTACTCCGATTTCGAGTATTTCCGCGACATCCTGGAGCGCGAGAGCACGCGCGTCACTATACCCCCGCTCCCCGGGAAGGTCTTCACCAACCGGTTCAGCGACGACGTCATCGAGCATCGCCGCGAGGGTCTGCAGCGCTTCCTGCAGATCGTCGCTGGACACCCTCTTCTGCAGACGGGGAGTAAGGTCCTTGCTAGTTTCATACAAGGTGAGTTTGTTCGAGTCATTTGTGCAGATTACTGTTGAATGTATGCTAATGCTCATTTTGCAGATCCTAACTGGGACCGCAATGCATGGTAGATGGCTAGTGCCTTTACCATTAATTCATTGACGAGAAGCATGCCTCATTTCTCAGGATTGGATGGGCCTTGCATTTGGCCTTTCTGGATTTCCTTTCTCACCTTCATCTCCAGTTTCCCCTCTTCTCCGGTTCCCTCACTCTCATGTCCTTTCCACGACAGATATCTTTCGCGATTGAAAATGGGTACCCGCAGTGTATGCTATGTGACGATCATTGCTTGAATTTCTTTATGCTCGTTTGATATCCGAGTCCACCGCTTCTTTCTTCTCAATCAGATGCAGATACAGCAAGTACAGACAGGTTTTATTTGTTATCTTAATTGGACAGGCGCTTTTTCTTAGTTTTTCTTTTCTTTTCCCCAGCAATCTATCATCATTATTTTATTTGACCTCATCTTTCATGATACTATCCTTCTCGTTGGTATCAATCTAATTGTCAATGACATTGAACTGCGAAAGAAAACTTATATGGGATACAAACTGCAGCAAAAACCATCGTGTACTGCGGGATATAGATCAATAATGAAAACAGGAAACAGGCCAGAGAACAATGAAAGATGGTATAACAATGCTCCACAGAGTATCGAACATCAGAAGCCGAGTAAGAAAGAGAATAAAGTGAGAATGACAATGGAATGAGAAGGCAAAAAACATTAACAAGTGAAATGTGAAAATCCATGACATGCGTTGGCGACATGGTACATCCAAGGCTTGTCCCTGACTAGGTCAATTCATCCCAAATCATAGGAGCGAGGGTATTATCTTCCCACGGTGTCTCTACCGCAGAAGAAGCACCCGTCCCAGGGCCATCATCCAAAGAGAAAGAAAGCGCACCTGCAGCTGCAGCGGGCGGAAGATACATCGAATGCTCCAAAAAAGCCCTGCGGAGGCGGGGGCAACAGCGCAGGATCAATCTGGGCGGGATTGGACTGGGAAGGGGTAGCAGCGTGACGACTCCTCGACACCGAGGTGCGAGGAGTGGTAGCCGGAGTCTGAGTCGGAGTCATGGCATAAGCCTTGCTCGGAGATTGTTCGGTGTTGCCAGCATGGGGACGGGGGGTCGACGTGCCTACAGCGGACTCTTGGGCCTGGTTTTGGCTTGTAAGGGCTTTTCCGCTTACAGAACCTCCGTCACGATAGGCGTGTGGGAACTTGGTTCTGAAGCGGTCGCGGAGATCTGTCGCTTTGCGGTGACTTAGGTTCAAGCGTGAATCTTGCTGGATTAGGGTCCATTGGAAGCCGTGCACTGCATAGCCTTTAAGGAGGGCTTCGTCCTCGGCGGCTGTGAAGGGTCGCCGAGAGCGACGTTTGGTTCTTGAGACATGTGGTTCGGGGATTCCGAGAGACGCGAGCGTTGTGCGGGACTTGCTTGAGAGAGCGGGTGTGCTGTTTCCTGATGAGGGCGACTGTGATTGAGCAGTGGTACTATCCCTGGGATCTGTGTCGGGTGCGGTACTCGAGATCGATGGTTCTTGAGGATTGCAAGCCGGGCTTCCTGCTCCAGAGTTTGGTTCGAAGTTGGAGGGTATTAGATGGGAGAGGTGGAGTTTGCCGGACGGTTCATCAGAGCCCTCTGCTTTGGCTTTGAGTAGGTTGTTAGCGAGAGTGTCATGTAGTTGTTTTGCAGCCAAGTCGGGATCGGATGCGCTGTGGTAATATTAGCGATTCCGATTAAATGACTCCAGAGATTCACATTGTTTACCTGTATGCCCATGGACATAAGACTCGGAATCTTCAGCATAGCGACGCTTTAGCATAAGACCATACAGTTGGCGAAGAACCGAGCATACCTGTCTTTCAAATTTGAGGCAGTTCGCTGATTGAACTTCAATTCCGGTTGAGCAAGAATAGCAGTCCAGTTGCCAATACCGCATTTAATCACGCCCCGAAGTAGATTAGTCGTCTCTTCTTCGGACCACTTTCTCAGGTTTTTACGGGACCGGCCACGGGTTTTAGGAGACATTGGCGCATCTGCTGCAGGAGGGAGTGGCGATTCCTTACTCTCCTTGAGCTTTTCTGCTTCACGAACGGCCAGGGCAATCTCATCTGGATCCACTGGGTTAGTGCTTTGAACATTTCCAACATTATCATTTTGGTCGTGGTCTCCATCCGCATTGAGAGACGTTCTGAGGATGTCCTCAAGTCTAGTATCTCGTCTTTCCGCAGGCTGGCCATCTGATATCGCGGCATGAGCCGAAACTGACGTCCCAGAGTCAACAGCAGCATCGCCTCGGGAGGGCTTATTCAAAAGCTGGGAGATATTAGACCCAGCCTCGATCGGTGGAAGAAGTGCAGCATTGGGCGGGGGCTCATTCAATCCATTTAAAATAGCAAATGGCCCAAATGGAGGAGGCCGTTGCTCCTTCTGGGCCTGGGGGATAGGTAACTGTAGATGCTCGCTGAATGAATCAGGCTGGGGATCTCGACGTCGACGCTTGCGGGGCCCTTGGAGGGCATCATCATCGAAAGACGACGAAAATGGAAACTTTTCCAGGGCACGAAGATTCACAAAAGCAGGAAGTATCGGCCTTGGCGGACGTTCCACATTTGACTGAGAGTCTGCTGAAAGTTCGGTTTTCCTGATGCGAGCAGCGTTCAGAAATTCCGTAACTGTCGGCAAGCCTTCCTTTGCATTTGCCTGGATCTTTCCGCTATTGCTGTTTGAATTGGAGATATTATTCGAGTCCCTTGCTCCACTAGCATTGGGTTCGAGGGGCGATGGGACGCTTAGGGTTCGTGATGATACTGGTTCTCGTAGAGGGGCGATACGGAGAGAGAGTTGAGGGAGTTCGCGGAGTAGTGATTCGTCAAGAGGCCGCAAGGCACTCGAAGATTCCATTTCGACCAGCTATCACAGATTTCATACCATCCTGTGTGTCCCTGACATATTTCGTCCATGCCTTTGGGGGTCAGGACATGAAGCTCTGATAAGACCATGGCGATAACAGGTCCGGGCGGTGACGGGTGCCAATAAAGCGGGCCCTGGGAGGTGTCTACGTCAGCTGGCATCCTGTCGAGATCCCCTGGCAATTCCCTTTCGAAGGATCTCAATTGGACTCTGCTGATTGATTTGATCGGATTTAATTATATAATTGACATTCTATAATTGTTATTTGACGTGGTCGGTAACTAAAACGTGAGTTGCCTTTGTCTCCACAGAAGTAAAGCTACCGAGAGCTTTGTTTATACAGACCGCTCCGAGAGAATTACAGTCAGGACCAAAGCGCAACAATTTAAAAGACACAAAAAAGAATAACATTGAATGCCACAGGTCCTCAAAATGCCCACCATTTTCCCAACATGGCCACACATCCTATTTGGCGTCCTTGAACCTATCTCACTGTACGCCCAGCTTAACCCTTTCAACCAACCATCCAAGAATACTACTGACCCTACCATCATTAATGCAGGGCCCTCGGCAGTGTCTTCCCCCTCTACGACCTCCAAGGCTTTATCGCCGGGCAAACACCCACCATCGCAGCCCCAGCCACCTTACACCCAAGCAGCGTCGCACTCGCCTACCAACTCGGCAATGTCTATTCCCTCCTCTTCCTAGTCGGGGTGGGTGTCTGCCACGCCACAACAGAGCCAAGAGTACTGCGCAACTATCTAATCGGGCTGGCCATCGCCGATGTAGGCCATGTCTACGCCACGTACTTGGCGATGGGCTGGGACGCGTTTGCGGACGTCGGGGCATGGAACGCTTTGACCTGGGGTAACATTGGGATCACGACGTTCCTGTTCGTCAATAGGATCGCTTATTTCTTGGGCATTTTTGGATATGCGAAGGCGCCTAAGGCGGCTGCAAAACGGGAGTGAGGTGTGACCTCCTGCTTTGGTTGGCCCGACCAATAGTTATATGCACACTGTCCTTTCCTTGACACCGAGAAAAAAAAAACAAAGAAACTTTGGGCGGGGTCTTTGGCTCACCCTCGTCCCCATTCCCTCCCTTGCGTGTGCGTGGAACTGCATATCTGCGCGGTTTAACCTTGGCTTTACTCTTGCCTGAGGCGGCTCTTCGGATGCAATGGGTGCCATCTGATTCGTAGGTTCTTGAACGGCGCGAAAGGGAGATAGGATCGTGCGTACCTAGGTAGGATGTGGCTAGGTGGATCTGCTGGTATGCTTGTATTTGCTTGACTGCATTGGGGATTATGGAGATAGACTGATCTGGTTGCGTTTTCAGATCCAATGAGCGCCCATATGCAAGTGTAAATATAATCTCGAATGTCACTGGGGGAGAAAAAGGAAAAATAGATTCATATTAGCATAATGCAACGCCGAACTCCCCGGTGGTGCCCGATACTAGCATGGGTATCAGAGTAGAAATACAGATCATAAAATATAGTATTTGAGGTCATCTCATGTAGATCCCTCGTAAGACTGCCAAGGAAAACACCCCATCAATGCATTAGCTGACCGGCAAGACAAACAATTGAAATATTTAGCCCACGGCCTTCGAGCTGGTCTCGCCACCTGCAGCCACACAAGCCAAGCACACGCCCAGGTAGGTTGCTTTTATTCTCTCACCGAAGTCGGGAGCCTAAGCAGGCTGATCTGGTGACTACCTCTGTTGGGTTTATTGGGTGCTTTGCAGATACTGGAAAACTGGCTGAAGAACGGCTTCGCCGTTTTCTTTGTGATCACGGAGGTGAGGGATCAGGAAAGGAATGCCGGGGAATTTTTGGTAGTGCTGGCGATAGGCGGCAAAGTTCTGAGCTGGGCTCATGAGGGAAAGGATTTCCTGCGGAAACAGAGTGTCGAGGGTGATCACGTTTCCTTGGGTGCCTGTGTTGCCAGGGCGCGTTTTTAAGATGCTGTAGGTGTGCAGGCCTTTGATAATAGCCGTGAAAGAATGATAATTCCGTGTTGTTAAGAGCGTCTGTGTAGATGATTGTACGGTTAGAGGGCTTTGACATTCGGACCTCAGCGACTTTGCTAAGACTGCTCACCTGTGCACATTCTTGTAGATATGGGATCAGGTCTGGAAGTGCAGCGCAGCATTCCCAGACAGAAACGCTGAGTTCGCGCCACTGAACCTTCAATTGCCCCACGACTGCATCCTCTGCTATTGAGACTTTGCCGGGTTAACTCGGCAAAGTGGTGCTCGTCCAGGCCTCTCATGCTGCGGGCCAAGTCCGTTGGAGATGTCGACTCGAGATAATCGTCCAGAAAAGGAATAGAGGTATCAAATGGAGTCCTCCAATCCATAGTAGGAGCATGGACATACTTTCGGCGAAATCGGATTGTCAAGACACTTAACATCTTAAGCATAGCAATAAGCCTTCCTGGCTGCTCCTTGAATAGGGCCTGAATAGGGCCTGCGATGAATTCGAACCCAGCGGTGGGTTTAGTCACGTCACGATTTCCCCTAGGTCGCACAGCCATAAGGCACTGGACCAACGCTCGATGTGCGAATGGACTCCGTGACCGAAGATGCTATAGAAGTCAGCTGAAGCTCTATGCAATGATGACTATAGCCGGGTAACTTAATGAACGTACCTTTTCCACTTCTGTGTACAGAGGAATGCACTCCGGATAGGCGCCCAGATGATCCCGGAGAATAATATAAAGAGCCTCATGCTGCTGTAGGAACCACTCGACAAAGATAGCATTGTATCCGAGGGCAGCCCGTACAAGCTCTTCGAAGGCAACCTGCCTAAAGTGGAAATGGCTCTCGGCCTCAATTGCGGCAGCGATTTCCCGCGCATCTTGAGTAGAGCTCGGCTGCGGCGGGAGCCAACTCCAAGGAATCGCCTGGAAAGGAGATATACTCGACCGGCGTAGGATCTCCTCCACCCTCTGTATATGAGAGAGGTTCCCAAGGAGCTGGTACTCGTGCGGCTCAGACAGTGCCATCAAGAAGGTGTCAATTGTGTCCACATTTCGAGCGCAAAGCGAGGTCCTCGGGAAGTTTTCGTCGCGAAAGAGCCCGAATTGGATCACACGGCTAATTCCTTGGATATCGAACGCCCAGAACACAGTTGTCGCCTCGTCTTCCCACCAGCGATAAGGCATGAAAAAGGCGGGGATTTCCAAGTTGAGTTGGAAGATTGATGGGTAAGAATGTCCCCAGTCCGAAGCCGCAATGCTAGATTGAGCCGACATGGTCACTTCCTTGGGTAACGAATATTGCCTGTCCCCTGGAGTGGAAAAGGTCTGGGGAGGCGGTTCAAAGGCCGATTCTTCTGGGCTGGTCGATTGCATTTATGCGGTCACCATTGGGGAGTTTTAAAAAAAAAAAAATTTCAAGGCCAACACATTAGGCAAAGTACACGCTGACGCTCATGTAACACGGCGCTTGAATAGAGTAATTACAGGGGATGTCCAGGGAGAGGTGTATGTTATATGTTAAACGCGACGTGAGAGAGAGGAGCATGGGAACGAGAAATGGGAAAACTAAATAACGCACAGATAATAAAACAAGCGGGTTGCTCGGAAAGGAGGAGGGTGATTGGTTTTAAATATAAGAGAGATGAATTTCCTTTATCCCTGTTACTTCCGCCACGTTCGACACATCACGAGGGTTGAAAATGGGTCAGGGAAACTCTGGGCATATTAACAAGGGCGCTGATCCCAGAAGGTTAACGGGAAGAGCCGTCGGGAGAAAGAGGAAATATTGTCATTGGGGAGTATATAGAGTTACTTCGGGGCCGGAACCTCCCTAGATCGGGGAGAAACTGGTGAACTCCATGGATTAATGAGATCTGCAAGTTGGGCTTCTCTGCTGGTTACCGAGATTGTTATGCCGAACACCCGTTGGCCGTTGGGCTGCAGCGAAAAAAAAAAAGATTTGGCTCGGTTAAGGATACAAGGATACAATGATACAAGGAGAGTTGCTGAAGGAATCGGTTGAGAAGCGGTCAACCTTAACAAAGATTCTGGAAAAAAAGAGGAAGTCTAATTTGTCAAGACAAAGAGATAATATGGAGTACTCGGTACTCCGTACGTATGGGATATATGAGAGACAGATAGCATCTCCACTCTAAAATTGACCATTGGTCCATTGATTCCAGATCATATACACAAAAATGGGCGCTAACGTAGTGGCCGTAAAATGCCAATGTGGAGTAACAAAGAATCTCTTTTGGAGTCCGGACTACTCCGTACAGGGGATATAGGAATGGAACACCCTAGAACACTTTAGAATCTTTTGTTTCTGATTTTACGGAAGTCCGCAAATTGGTTTGCCCGTCAATCATATATATATTGATGGGCCATATAAGCGTACAGTTCTGCCCAGGTGGGCGAATTTCCAATTGAGGTAATCAGGAACAAGTATTGAACTTTATAACCTAAAATGGTAAAGATAACAGGGGGCCGTTATTATATATTCTGTTGTATACGAAGTACTCCGTACCAATATCATTAAATCCTTATAGCATATAATCCCATATTAACCTTTCGTTCTCGTTCAATTAGAAACAACAATCCTACCCGTGTTGAATCCTTGTGAGATTCCTTTATGTACACCGCTAGAGGCCCGCCCCCCCCCAAGGTTCAAATATCTTAAAAAAGGATCGGCATATGTTCCAATTATCCCATGCTCCTGGAATCCTTCCACATTCCCACTGCACCACATAGCAGTTTCCTAAGATACCAGTTGCATAAAGTACAATGTGAGTAATACAATGTAAGTAAATCTACGATGGGTACTCCGTACATTCTCCAGTCTCATGATTTTCAATCATACCACGTGAAATTCGAAGATTCCCAAGGTCTCTCCATAGACCCAGTTCCCAGTTCCCTGGGACTGGGACAGATCTCGGATCCACGTTAAAGTTTGTGATATCATGTTATAAAGGGTGATGTCCCTGAGTCTGAGTTTCTAGGTTTTGCAACTTGATTTCTTATTTATATTAGGGTTCCACCTCTAATACTAATTGGAAGTGCGGCGTTCTGCAGAGAATACCAGAGCCACTACCGAGTTCCAACAAGTCTCGGCCCAACGTCTAGATTTCCGACACATACAATTGATCAATTGGGCACTTGAGTAAAAGTACACAATATTCTAGATCCCAGGGGTCACGGTTACAAAGTAATCCACAACTGCATTGTTGTGTATCCCCCAGATTGTATGCCCGATTGTACGTCTTGGTTAGGGATTCCAAATCCCCACACATGCTAACATGTTTGTCAGTGCAGCCAGCCACCTAGAATGCAGCATGCAGCAATACAATCGAATCGAGGCAACATCCCCTTGCCACCTTCCTAGACCGACCTTGCCTTTCCATTCCTGGTTCCACTACCGCTAACCCCTGCAGAGGCCAGTTCACCTCTCCCCACAGTGCATAAATGACGGGTCACGAATCATATGGCTTCAATGCTGTCGTGCATGTTACCAACAGTATGGTGCTTGGAACACGCATATCTTATCCCCAGTATCCCCGGCGGCGATCCAAACGTGGGACGGCCCAGTGCTGAAATTGAGTTTGGATATATCAGATTGCTGTTCCCTCCCTCCATTGTTACCATCCCCACCCGTAAGCCGTCGGAGAAATTTAAGAGAGAAAAGATACTTCCAAGGACTGGATGTGCGGGCTGTTTGGCTCTCTCATCCCTTGCCCTCGGGAAGGTGTGGTAGGCATGTCTGGATTGGATGGAGCAAGCACCCATTCTATAAAGCCATTGCTCTCTCTCGAGTCGCCACGACTTTTAAGATCCGCTCATCCCCATAGAGAATGAGGGAGCCCCTCCGCGATCCGGCCCGACAGCGGAGGCGAATAAGTTATTCTTAGACTCTGGGCCTCTTTACCTGCTTGTTTTGCATATGCTTGCTCGCTTATATGTACAGTATTAAGTAGGCGTACGTCTATGGAGTATATATGTACCTAATTTCTTCCACAAATAGCTCTATCAAGCGCCAACATATATATATATATATATGTTGTGGGCGCTTGTCAAAATACTTGGCGACTTGAAAATGAACCTCAAGCTGAACGAATTATAGGAATTACTTATATAATTTAGGTTTTTTTTTATAAAACAAATCAGAAACAACTCCACATCGGACACTTTTTACTATTGCATCACATGAGCTAGCTCCATATGCCGGACACACCTCGATTTTCATTACCGAGTACACAGTATGTGGACATCAATCCCCATCTACACACATCAATTGGGCCGCGACACCTCGTGATCGCCACTGATCGCCATTATCGTGGAGCGGGCAACTGGGCTGCTTGGGCGAGAGTCAATAAATAAATCGCGAGCATGAGAGTCAGAACACCAGTCGAGAAGATCCGGACTTAAGTTTCTTATTCTGATCGCCATCTTCAGGCTTGCCCAGGTGTGGGTTCGAAGTTAGTAATCCCCCGTTCTCGGTGCGGTGTACTAAATGTACTATGTGTTCCATGTACACCGACACGGGAGGACGGTTGCATCGGATAAGCCGAGGTGCGCTGGTGCGCTGTTGTTATGGATTGATCGATTCGAGTTAACGGGGTGCGCCGGAGATGAATATGTAGGCAATATATATATTTTTCAAGCGGGATGATGCATGTCTCTGGTCTTCAATCGCTGTTGAGATGCCGCGTCTCAGCTTGAAACGGCTTTTGCGCTGATTCGGCTGGAGCTGTAGTTTGCAGTAGATTTGGTCTAGAGCTAGATTTGGTGCTAGCAGGCCTCGTGCTGTAGTAGCCTCTTGGATGCGAGGCATTCACATCTCGACTACGGATTAGAAGGAAAACAACTACGTGTCCCTTGATCTTCATGTATACATAAGAACTAGACCTGGGATGATTGCGAGACAACGATGACCAGAGAACAAGCACAAAAAGACATGAGAGCGGATCATCCAGGAAGTAGTAGTGTTGAAGATCCAGGGAAACGAAGTATAAATACGGTCATTAAATCATTCGAAAAAAAGGTAACGTCAAATGGTATCATATCACTCGGAAACGAAGCGGTTAACCCGTTCCTGTTTTGTTTGCTATGGTTCGAACCTACGAGAATGCATTATCCAAGCCCGTTAAGCAAGACAAGACGCCGTTTCCCAGCTACTGTTTTTAGTGTTTGTTTTTAAGCTGCCAGCCAATCCACGAATATCAGAAGATATTATGAATTTAGTTGGCAAGGTCGTGGGCACGGCGGCGGTCACGCTCCTCGGCAATGGAGAGCTAGAGAAAATGTTAGGACCAATTCAGAAATATCAATGCCGGGGAATATAACATACCTTGACACCCTTACCCTTGGGGAGGGAAACCCAGGGCTTGTCCTGTCCAATGACGAAGACGTTGGACTCACGGGTAGCGAACTGGTTGTCAAGAGCATCGCGAACGTGGACGATGTTGAAACCACCATCGTGACGCTCACGGTGAGTGATGACACCAACACGACCCATGTTGCGACCACCAGTGGCCATGATGACAACACCGGAGTCGAACTTGACGAAGTCGAGGATCTTGCCAGTGGCAATGTCAACCTTGACGGTGTCGTTGACCTTGATGGCAGGGTCGGGGTAGCGGATGCTGTAGAGCACGCAAGTTAGCAAACCATGTTCTGATCTAATAGGATCTTACTGTTTCCATTGTCCTCCGCCGATCAACCAAAGCTTGGTCCAACGACTGAATGACACGGAACTTGTGGAGTGTGGAACTCACGTTCGCGCATCGTGCGTAACCAAGAATGGGATCCCGCCCTTGCCGAGCTGAACACGCTTGACCTTGCAGAGCTTGTACTCAGCCTCCTCAGCCTGGATGCGGTGGACGGTGAAACGGCCCTTGGTATCGTAGATGAGACGGAAGTGCTCGCCGGTCTTCTCGAGGGAGATGACGTCCATGAATCCAGCGGGGTAGGTGCTGTCGGTGCGGACCTTGCCGTCGACCTTGACCAGACGCTGCATCATGATGGCCTTGACCTCGCGACCGTTCAGGGCGTACTTGAGACTGCCAACGAAAGAAATGTCAGTGATTGTTCGTCGCATGTCGAGGAATTCAGGATGTCGCGTGCGTACCGGTTACGGATGAAGACAATCAGGGGAAGGCAGTCCCGGAGCTTGTGAGGACCGGGGGAGGCCTTGGGCGCGTAGGTTCCGGACATTTTGTCCAAGAGCCAGTGCGAGGGCGCACTGAGGCGCTTCTGGTGCTTTCCGCTGCAAAAACATACTTGTTAGTGGTGATGTTCCAAGTCGAGAAATTTTCGATCACTCTCTCGCAGCGACTGGCTGAACTCGCTGTCCGGCAGATAGACGAGGCCAGTGTGCAGGATAGTGATGTAGAGGGCGATCTCATGACACTTACGGGCCGCGCATTTTGACTGATTTGTCGACTGAAGGTTAGGTGGTCGGAGTGTCGAAAGAGAAGGCTCAAGCCGAGAACTGATGATCCAAATCAGAGAGGAATTCGCTTAGTGTGTGGTGAGTGTGAGCCCTATTCTCCACTCAGACCAATCAGACTCCACTAGTGGATTTTTAACACTTGCTTATGTCATCTCCAATCGGGGCCCTGATCCACCCGTGGGCACGTGAACTTCCCTTTTAGGAATCGAGAACAATGAGATCTAGTTCGTTTATACGAAAATTTGTATCTATTTGACATGCGCTGATAATTCCACTTTTCCCGTAATATCTTAAACGTAGCCCTTGATAACAGCAACCTCGGCGTTGAGGATGGATGACCCAGCAGCTCCAATGACGGTGTTGTGGGAGAGAGCAGCGAATCGGATATCAAAGTGACCACCTGCGGCACCTTCACGAACCCGACCAACACTTACTGTGTATCCACCGGAGATGTCGCGGTCCAGGCGGGGCTGGGGACGGTCGGGCGCATCGAACACCTTAATCGCGGGCTCTGGTGCGGAAGGAGCACCCAACTTCTGTGCCTCGGACTTGTACTCCCGCAGAGCCTCCTTGACCTGCTCGGCGGTGGGGGTCTGGCGGTTCTTGAAACGCAAGGAAACGAATGCCATGTGGCCGTCAGTGACACCAACACGGGTGCAAGTGGCACCGATGCGGAGTCCAGTCTGCTCGTCGAAACCGGTGGCGCTGGCATTCAATGAACCCAGAATCTTCTGGGCTTCGTTCTCAAGCTTGTCTTCCTCGCCGCTGATGTAGGGGATGACGTTGTCCAGGATGTCCATGGTAGGTACACCGGGGTAGCCTGCTCCAGAAACGGCCTGTTCGGTGAAGACCTCGACTTCCTCGACGGGGCCAAACTTAGCCTGGAGAGCTGCGAAGGGAATGACGATGCCAATAACAGCGCAGTTGGAGTTGCAGACCAGGAAGCCCTTCTTGAGACCGTACTGCTCGCGCTGGTGAGGAATCAGATCCAGATGTTGGGGGTTCACAGTAGGAACGACCAAAGGCACCATGGGGTCCTTGCGGAAGTTCTTGGCGTTTGAGAAAACAGGAATCTCAGCCTTAATGAATGCCATTTCTGTGTGAGATGTCAGTATATGCTCTAGTTTATTAATTCTGACGCATCTGATATCACATACCAGTCTCGCCAGCAACATCGCTGTTCAGGCCAGAGAAGACAAGGTCACAATCCGAGAACTGCTCAGGCTTGCAGTCACGCATTACCAAGTTGCTGAGCTTCTCGGACATGGGTGAAGACTGCTTCCAGTTCACGGCATCCTTGTATTTCTTGTTGGCTGAACGTTCAGAAGCACCCACAGCGTGAAGCTCAAGGAAGGGGTGGTCTGCCAGCAACAGGATAAAGCGCTGGCCCACGGAGCCAGTGGCACCGAGAACACCTATAGCAAGTTAGGATTGAATGATGCATAAAATAATCTGTAAAATTCGAGAACGTACCGCACTTCTTCTTTGGGAATGAAGGAGCCATTTTGCTTTTGAGTTTTATATGAAAACGGGTATCAATCTTGTGTAAGTTAGCAAACCAATAGTTCCAATAAGTCAAAAACCAGCGGGTTAATTAAAATATATACATAACAACAACTGTCCCATCCCGAGTTGTGTCATATATCGCCTGGCCACCAGAGGCCTGTATGAGTCAAAGCGTTTTCAGAGCCCCGCATGCAGTATATAGGAGGCTCTGCCAACTTCAATGTCTAACAGACCACATGGCATGGAGCCCCAGGCGAGTTTCACAGCAAAATATCAATATGAAACAACATGTGTACTTACAGCTTCGCTGATGATCGGGTTAAAGGCTTGTAACATTCCACGCCGACAGCGATATCGCTCTCAGCCAATTGCCTTGCCCCGCGCTTAGTCAGGGTTCTGAATTCGGACAAAATGCTCCTCCCCGATTGGACAAATCTTGTGGGACTCTGGTCAAAGTTTAATGTCCCAAGATTTGGCTTGTTTGCAATTTTTCCTATGGCAAGTCACGGAGATTCTTGGATTGTCAAAAGAAAAGGCCACTCAGTAGTGGACTGTGATACGGCTAAATATTTGATCTATTTATTGAGCACGCGCTTGACAACATCGTTGACTGTTTCCATTCCAAGTCCCAACACATTGTTTGCCAGCTTCTCCTCTTTGGCATAGTTCGAGTGAAGACCCGGGGTGTTGCCAAAAACAGTGGCCCGAACCAGAGAAAAAGCGCCATTAAAGTCCCCGGCTGCAAGCTTCTCGACTCCCTCGTTGACTTGAATGTTGGTGGTAGTCTCGTTCACGGTCCATTTCAGTCCTGACTCCTCCTCCAAAGCAGCAAGGATGTCCTTCTGAGTGGTTTCAACCGAGGCGATGAACAGAAACTGGTTCCTGGTTTCATGAGGATGCGCCAAGACAGAAGCAACAGCTTCACCGAGGGCCCTCTGGTTGGTGAGGGTGAAACCCTTGTTGCCTCCATCCCAGATAGTGGCCGTACGACTGGCAATGTCAAATTCCAAGAAGCCATTCGCAAGACCCTATTCAAAAACCCACAGATTAGCTCAAGCCTAAGAATTCTAATTCGCAATAGAATACCTACCCAGTCAAACAAGCCGGAAGTAGCAATACCAGTCCAGGTCAATCCGTCGGTCTCCTTACTCTTGAGGTACTCGATGAGTTCCTTCTTCTGTCCGAAAAGTGGCAGTAACTGCACCACAGCGTCGTTCTGGCTATTTACTGAGAACTCAGATGGGATAAAACGCTTGACACCTGCGCGGACGGCGGCATCGACAAACTTCTTCTGTTCGCCAAATGCGCTGGCACCCACCGCCGAAATGACGACGTCTTTGCCCTTGAATGCAGCCTCGAGATCTGTTTCTGAGTAATCGGTTTTGAGAAGAGTCACACCAGGTGGGAAAGTGGCCTCGCTCTCCTTGCGGGAGATTGCGGTAATTTCGAACTGGGAAGATGCAACAAGGCCACCGAGGATGATTTTGCCAATGCTGCCGCTGGCCTACCAAGCTGTCAGCTGAAGTAGTATGTATGCTTTGAGAATGGACCTGACGTACGCCAATAATTGCAACGCTCTTCAAATAGGATGCCATTTTGGGGTTATGCTGTAGATAAAGAACTACTCTTGGATGAAAATACTTGCGTTCTCGTGCTTGAGGAATATCCAGTATCATGGCTGAAATCACATCTTTATATGTCTTAATCCTGCGCTATCTCGGTCTTTCTATCCGATGTTGATTTCATATCACGGACTGTGTATGAATGCTACCTAGCACACTAATACGGACTTTCTGTCCGCTCCCCCGCTTCAACCAACCAGGCGATACCAATAATGACTCTAAGGCAGCTTTTCAAAGGGAGATAGTATGATGATGCGATCTACTCCGTCTCCGAAGTGCCCTGGGGCCGCCTTACGCTTAGAAATGCGGAGTGGGGTCTCCGCCGCTCCGCTCTAGCCAATCACCTTGCAGCCTTGTATCATCAACTTCCAGTTGCTTATGTTGTCTTGACTTGCAGGCTTACAATTCCCCACTCGAGTCGTTATTGTAGTTCCGAAAAGATTCTGAGTCATGCTTCAACCTCCTAGAATGGCGATGCGCTCTTGCGTTGAGTGTCGCCGACGAAAAATCAAATGCGACAGATCTCTGCCGTGCTCGTACTGCGTCAAAGTCAAAATACAATGCAGCTACCCGCCACCAAGAGCAGAACCTACCATTGCAGAGGGCAATAAATCTAGCGATGATATGGCAGTCCGCATAGAAAGAATTGAGCGTACATTACACACTTTTGGGCAAAGCCTCTCTCAACTCCAGGGGCTTGTGCATACTCAATCTTCATCACCATCTATTTGTGGAAGTCATGGCCATGATCCAGTGCAATACACCCATGAAGACCACGGGGATCATGAACGGGGCCTGAATCAAAGTCTATCCTTATTCAAAGCTCTCCCGACTTCCGAACCCGAATATCTTCGCCCGCCCGGGTTCTGGTATCTTTCCTATGGCAGAAGTACTTGGAGAATGTGGAGCCAATCCTCAAGATTCTACATGCACCTACGTTCCAGAGACAAATATTAAATAACACTAAATATCGAGAGACCCTTGGAACGCCCACGGAGTGTTTGATATTCGCCATTTGTTATGCTGCGGTGACAACAATGACAGTGGAAGATTGTCGGGTTGAGCTTGATGAAGACAAGTACGATGTATTAAAGAGGTACGTGTCTGGCTCAGAGCTACACATTATCCTGCTAATATATCAAGATATCGCACCGGAGTTGAAAGCTCCCTCACAAAAGCCGACTTACTGAAATCAACGGACTTGCGTGTCCTGCAAGCCTTTGTCATATACATCGTACGTGATGATGAAACAAGCGGAGGTCTGATATTATCTGACAGTTCATTTAGTCTTGCAGCAGGCATTATGATAAAGGTCCAGACATTAGGAAGTTTATTGGGAATGCCATTGGAATTGCCCTCAAGATCGGCCTGCATCGCGACGCATCTGCTTCAGGACTACCACCATCCCAAGTTGAAATGCGGCGTCGACTCTGGTGGCAGATCTACATTCTCGACATCAATATCGCAGAGGACTGTGGCACAGATCCGCGTATTCTGGAGTCATGGTTCGACACGAGAGTCCCCTCGAATGTGAGCGACGCAAGTCTTGACCCTGATATGAAGGACCCGCCTCGAAAATGCAGCGGGAAAACAGAAATGGTGTTGAGCCTCACAAGGTCTGAGATCAGCAATTTTGCCCGCCGAACTATCTTCTCTGACCAGTTTTGCGAAGAGAACTGCTACCCGGTTCTATCAGCTTCGCAGAAATCCACAGCGATAGATATCCTCAAGGAGAAAGTCGAGCAGCAATATTTATCGCATCTAGATCAAAGCACTGCGCTAGACTATTTTACAACTGTCTCCAGCAATCTGATACTCGCAAAGCTCAAACTGGCAGTGATCAAACCCCGAGCGAGACAAGACCAGTCTATGCTCACGCATGTGAGCTTCCGAAAGGTCTGCACAGATATTCTGCAGAAAAGTGCGGCTTTGAAACGCTATGAAAAGGGCAAGCAGTGGCTCTGGACTTTCCAAAACCACATCGAGTGGGATGCCTTGACATGCCTGCTCATCAACCTTTCTCTGACCCCGAAAGGGGACGTATTAGATTTGGCATGGCAAGCGGTCAATGAGACATACGATTACTTGAAGATGGATGGTGATGCCCGGGGTGATTACCGCTGGGGAATCATTGAGGAGCTCCGCACGCAGGCTCTATTTTCTCGGGATATGATACAGATCAATCCATCCAAATGGGGGGGTCTCACCAGATGATGACAGCGGCTTCGAAGAATCACACACCCTGGTTATAGAATCACCACAACGGCTTGGTCTGGGGACATTAAAACGCCAGAGAGAAAACGATATTTGTTCTTCTTGTTCTTGCCCGGGCGAGCTGGAACCCATACCGCCGAACTGTCGTTCTGAGGTGTCGGCCATGCAATCAGACACCCAAGAACAACTTCCCCGTATGTGGGCGTTGGCGAATGCTGCCGCGGCTGCCCCGACAGCTATCGATAGTTCACCTCACATGGGACCGGCCAGTGAACTTGCAGACATACCGAGCTCAGGCACTGGTTGTCAGTGGAGCGCGACTCTCTTCGAGCGATATTTCCAGGTCCTGGGCTCTGAGCAAACACCAGCGTTGTGAGAATAAGAATCCAACTATTTGCGCCATTCACTGGAAGACCTGGAAAACCTGGAAGTTTATTCTTGTATAATGTATAAAATGCTATCACAATCAATGCCCTGGGCCCGGTGTTTCGTCGTCGTAATCGAAGATCTTGCCAGGGTTCAGCAGCCAGTTCGGATCCAATGAACGCTTGATACTGCGCATGACATTAATTGTGTCCGGCCCAACTTCCTTTTTCAAAGACCCTTTCTTGCCCAGCCCAATGCCGTGCTCGCCCTATAGTAGTGAGTTAGCTGATATTCCGGTACTTCCAATATGAACGACTTACCGTGCATGAGCCCTCCATCTCCAGCCCACGATCAACCATATCGTATACTACTTTCTCGACTCGCTCCCTTTCGGCGGGATTGTTACGGTCATACATAATGCTTGCATGGAAGTTTCCATCGCCGATGTGGCCAAGGATACTGGCGAAGAGACCTAGGTCGACCAATTCCTTCTTAGAGATTTCTGAAAGGAGTCAGTATACATGCAACGAAATAAGACTTGCGGAGGCCATACCAATAATATCAGGCAGCCGAGAAATGGGCACGGCCACATCAGTCGACCAGACCTCTGATCCCTCCTTACGCAGCGCCATCATGCTCCACAGCGACTGCTTCCGCGCCGACCACAGGTCATGAGCTTCGCGGTCATCACGAGCGAATTCAAAAGACTGCGCATTGTTACCTTGCGCGAGCTTCGTCGTCATATCAATACTATCCGCGACACCAGCGACAGTTCCCGAGAACTTGAAGAACAGCGTAGGAGAGACCTTCCATTCACGGCCGGTTCCACCCGCCCGATTAATAACGTCCATTTGAACATCATCCATGATCTCCATGCACTGCACAGAGACACCCTTCCGAATAAGCTGCATCGCCGTCGAGGCCGCATCACGAATAGTCGGGAACGCGACGACGCCAACACGAGTCTGTTCCGGGATCGGAGCCAGCTTCAACGTAGCCTCAGTGACGATACCGAGCGTACCCTCCGAACCGACAAACATGCCGGTGAGATTGTAGCCGGCGGAGGTCTTGCGCGGACGTCTGCGGGTTTTGATGATGCGGCCATCAGCCAGCACGACCGTGAGGTTAATCACCCAGTCCTTCATGGTGCCGTAGCGGACGGCGTTGGTGCCGCTGCAGTTTGTGCCCACCATACCGCCGATCATGGCGGATGGGCCTGGGTCGACGGGGAAGAACATGCCTGTTTCCTTGATCTGCTCGTTCAGATCCATCCACTGGATGGAGGGCTGCACGACGATGTCCATGTCGTCTGGGTGGATTTCTAGGACTTTGTTCATGAAGGCGAAGTCGATTGTCATTCCGCCGTGCGGGGCGGAGAAATTGGCTTCTAGACTCGATCCGCCCGAGTAAGGGATCATGGGCATGCGGTATTTGTTGCAGACCTTGGCGATCTCGGAGACTTCTTGGGTGGTCTTGGGGTATGCGATTGCGACGGGGAGACGGTCGGCGTTTAGGCTGGACCATTCTGAGAAGCCGTGTTGGTGGAGTTCGTCTTCATCGGTGCTGATTGTGTCCTCGCCGAGCTTCGTTCTTAGCTCGTTGATGGCCTGGGAGAGGTTATTAGTTTGGATGGCTCTGAGATTATGCTGTTGCAATTGAGTGATTTACCTTTTCAAACTCCTTCACTGAGCCATATTGTGGCTTCTTGGACGTCTGTGTCGGTGTCTGGGTATATGAGGAGACGCCGTAGCCTAACCCCGCAGCAAATGCGGAGACGAGCAGAGCCTTGGCCGGGGTCCAAAAGGGTGAAAGGGGGGCGTTTGTAGAAGAATTGCTCTCTTTTGTGTTCTCTGTTTTCCCAGCATTGGAACTGTTTAATCTGGCACCGCGAGCTAAAATAGTGCGCGAGATCTGGGGCCGACAGACAGGAGCCGGTAGGGCTCGTGAGACCCGGAGGACTCGCATTGTGGGTAATTATAAGAGATTATAGAGCTGTGCTAAAAAGGAAGAAATGATTCGATATTGCCATGATGCGGGCTTTTGTACCTTGACCTCTTCGGCCGAGAGATGTAGATTGGACCTTTATAGTGCCATAATCCACTATAATTTCACGATATCCCACTCTCTCCATTACCGAGGTGGAGAAGCCAAACGTGGGGGCGAATAGGAAAAGAAAAGAAGAATTCCGTTGTACGGCAGATTCCGCCCTTTTATCCGTTGAGGGGACTATGAAGGACAAGCCTAAGACAACTTATTCTTGTTCTTTACAATGATCTACTCTACACTGAAATTACTCATTCCATTTATAGATTGTTATACAGAAATAGACCTATTATTTAGGTTGTAATATGGAAATTAGGTCTTCGATTCAAAGGGTAGGTAGGCAGGCTAAAAGGCGGTCATGATTATGGAGATACATCTTGGGACTGTCCGGTGGTTTTTTCTTTCTCTCTATTTCCTGTTTACAAGCGAAACTCATATACATCGTATTTATTATTCATAGTTTAATGCTATTTCAACGCTGTATAGCTAAAAGACTGAAGAGAAGTAAAGAAAGTGAAGATGTCAATGGTTGACGGGGCAACGGACGGAGCAGAGAACCTCGTACACCCAACACAACGCCAACCTTTCGAAGTCAGAGTGAATCGCGTACTAACCACTAAATTCACTTAACACACATGCAATTTTAAAGCGATGGAGCAACTGGCTCAACTAGTGCGCGAGGTGGAACGCATAGTCACCGCACCTTACGTACCTTCGTTACAGGTAAGTCGGTTGAGACTGGCATTGGAGTATAAATGCTAATAATACCAGGATCTCTATGATCTGGTCCAGCAGAGCCAGTCTCCAACAATTGGCGCCTGGGCATTTTGCAAACCTTGCCAAGTTGGCTTGTTGGCTGATGTTTTCATCGAAGCCTTATCACGGTCACGCGTCGCTCTGCCGCTGATCACTGCATTTGGTTTGTGCTCAATGGAAGTCTTGTCGGGACTCGAGTCTGACATGTTTTAGCATCTACCTCGACCTTTAGGGATGCGCTACTCGAGCGACATCCGGTGGTTCTGGATGTCTTTTTAGAAAAGGCCGTGGACGCTAATGGAGCTGAGGTGAGCTTCATTCTTTGAAGCCAAAAAATGCCAGGCGGAAGGCGTCAGCTAATTATTTTAGTATTTACCGGCATGTATCGCATTGTTCTCATCGCCCTTGCCAGTGGGTGTTGTGCTACCAGCTAGAATTGCCCCCTTCATCACGAAGCTGGTGAGCATGATGGCAGAGAATCCCTGTGTTGAGACTGTAGCACCTCTCCAAGCACTCATCTCGGGGCTCAAAGGCTCACCAAGAATTTTGAATGATATCCCATCCGAGGTCATGTCCAATCTCCAGCTGGAGTTCACCAAGACACTGCGCAACCTTGACGACCATATGGGCAACCTCTTGTGCCTGGCGACTTTTGCGCAGATTGCGACCGCACTAGGCACAACATCTCAAAACCAACACGGATCAGAAGCCCCATGGCTTCTTAACATTAAGCATTTCTTTGGCCAGAAACGGGGTCTTAAGACACTTGACTTAGTCGTCTTGCGTGTTATACTAGCTTGCTCATCCAGTTGCAATATGGCACCGCCCGAGGCGGCTGAGAGTATTCGACTGGCCATTTGCATCGCTGAAGCAATTGAACCCGAGCAGAAACAGGTTTGGATAGCAGGTAATAATCCTAAGATTGCTAAGCTTTGCGAGAAGGCTGTCAGAGACGGTCTCTATGGTCAGACGCAAACGATGGTTAGTTATGGCTGTTCGCGTATTGAGACTACATGCTGATCATTCGATGATAGGTAATCGTCTTTTTGCACACACTTCTCCCGGCACATTCGTTGCCATCCCAGCTACGGGAACTTGGCATAAGAGTCCTTCTGTCCAAGAACAGCCAAGAGACTATGGAAAAGATACCACATCAACTGATTCCACGCCTCGCGAAGTCCCTAGCAGTAAGCATAAAAGCTCCTGTCCGTGGAAAGCTTTTGGTAGCTGACATCAACAGGAATCCGGGGAACTTGCCACTCGGCAACTTTTGACCTTCACTTTCGATGTCTTAAGAAGTAGTAAATCGTCGGGTATGAGAGAGATGGCAACACTACACCTGGCACACTTGGTATTGGCCGGTGTGCAAGAAGTACATCCGGAGATCATGCTTTCTAGTATCAACAACTCCATGGTCCCTCTGAGAGAAGTTCTTGGGGAATTGGTTAAACACTTCCCAGGACAACCAAGCGAAAGCCAATGCAGTGATCGAGCATGGTGTGTATCCGGGCTATACACAAAGCAAAACAGGCTGTTTCTATCTCTGCTGGGACTTTACAACATGGCGACAGCGCAAAACGGAAGCGACATTATCATGAAGTCCTTTATGCGACGAGTGGAGCAATCAATGCCGAGCCTCGACTGTGCCTTCTCAACAATAACTCCCAAAGCCTTCCGTGGCTCCCTTACATTGCGCGACAGACATGACCTCTCGTCGACCAAGATAAACCGCAATTGGCGGTCTGGGGTTACTGAGCTCTTCATGCAGAATGCCCAGACCTCTCACGACAGTATGATGAGAAAGATCGAGGATACGTGTTCTGACCTAGAGCGCCGCTGTTACGATGTTGAAGGGCCCCTGCGAGCTGCCGAAGAAGAGCGGGACACATACGCGAGTGAAAATGAGCAACTCAAAAGGCAAAACAAAGAGTTAAACGAACAACTGAGTACCAACAATACAGAGGCCCAGACTAAGTTACAGAACTCACACGAATGTTTTGTTGAACTTGGCCACGAGAAGACACGCCTTGAACAGCTTCTTCAAGGTCAATATGCATATACCGAAGAGCTGACTGTGTCGCTCGCATCTACACGTGAGGAGCTTCAGCAGCAGCAACGGAGTTCTGAGAAGGCACTTCTTGACGAAAAAGAAAAGGCCCGATCTAAGGAATTGGAGATGATGGCTACTTTAACCGGGAAAGACGATCAACTGGAAGAGTTTCAAGAGGAGATGTGCAGTTTGCAAATGGAGAATGAGCAGACACGCCAGAGTCTTGATCAAGTCACGAGCGAAAAGGCCAAATTATCCGAACGCTGTAGCTCTCTGGAGCAAGAACTTGCTAGTGCTACAGAGGCATTGAAGCAAACCAGGCTTCTTGCTGATGAGAGAGCAGACGAAGTGACCCGTCTCCTAGCCCAGGAGGAAGAGTTGCGAAAGGAACTGGGATCTGTGGAAACAACAGTGAGTCTTTTTGACAGGCTTTTTAGCGTCAATCAATACGATTGGCCTATACTAATTCTTTCTAGGTTGCACAGCAGAACGTTGAAGTTGAGAGGCTCTATTCTACATTGGAAGAATCCGAGGAAAAATCGCGGAGTAATATTGAAAGGCTGAAACATGATCGTGAAGCCGAAGCTTCTCGGGCCACATCTGAGGTATGCCTAAGCGTGTATCAAATCTGTGTATGTGTGAAACTAATCATGCGCCAAAACAGATAGCGAAGCACGAGACAGACAATCGACGATTGCATGCCGCTATGCAAGCAGCCGCTCTTGATGCTTCTAGAGATGCCCGATTGAAAGACAAACGGATCCAGCACCTGGAGAGAAAGGTAATTGATACCACCCATGTATGCAAAACCTGGACGCCCTAACATTAAATTCAGGTGCAAGCCTTGCGAGACGAACGTGCCGCCAAGGCCCGCGAGTTCTCAGAGGCACAACAACACATCGGTCGTCTAATGGGCGTAATGGGCTTCTCTGCCAATGCCTCCGAATCAAACGCCCCTCCAAGACACCAGCGAACCACGTCCTCTGCCAACACCACCCCAGCTGCAAGGATCCCGCAACACATAAGCGACGATGAAGATGGCACACAGCTCGCACAGTCCTTTGAGTCCATAACCTCCAACTTCCATGAACCTACCCCGAAACGACCAAGAGGGAATCGCAAATCAACAAACCTCCCGTATAATTTGAACACTCCCTCTGCTGCAGCTCCTAAGGCGAAATCCCCACCGCCGGCCAGCAGCATGTCTCGCTCGGTGAGAAAGCCACTGGCAGAGGCGGACCGCAACAGCCCGACAAAATCTCAGTCAAGCAGTGCGTTGAAACGCAATCAGGTGGATGGCTCTTTCCAGGAGACGCAGGCTCAGGAGAATAGTGAGGAAAACCGTCTTCACAATCTGGATTTGGATATGGATCTGGAGTTTTCAAGAGACTTTCTCTTTTCCAGCACTGCTTTTACTGGGTCGACGGATCAGATTGCCCCGCAGTGAGAAGATTGCTTAGTGGTAGAGAATAGTGTGATTAACACTGGAGGTACATATGTCATGAATAATTGTATCATGTCCATCGTATCTGTTGTTTTCCGATGCGTTATTACTTGGGATATCCCCAATAAATCTACATCATCCATGGATAAAGCCAGTCCCCTTATCATTAGATTTAGTCCGTTTTAATGCTTCACCTGCCGCTATCCCAAGTCAATTTGTTTTGAAGCTCTAGAGTATGTTTCCCCGTCCCTTCATTCCAATTTCCCTCGGATTGTTCACTGCCTTAATGTCTTCAATCTAAGTGGTGGCTTATTCGCTTGTACACTTTTTATTAATTTTCCTGGTATTTGCCAACATCGGGCTGCTAAATGCACTTAGCATATAGTACACACTTTAGTCTCACTACCTCTTCAGCTTTCTAAGGTAAGAGATAATTTATTCCTCATTAGGACATCACTTTAATGGGCCGGGCAATCTATCCTTCAATGAAGATACTATCAATTTAGCTAGGTCAGAGATAGTCGCCGTCAAGAGTAATCGTGTCCTGTGTATGTATATGAGGGATTCTCAGTTTCGCCTCATTTTTAAAGAGAATATCCAGGTATCCAGGTACAAGTAGTCCAAGTAAGTCTCATTCGTAAGTACATGTTAGATGCATACAAGATTGCTCGTTCTCACTTGACTAAATTCAAACTGATCGGGTGAACCCTCACATTCCTTGCCTGCATGTCTCTTTATACTGATAGATCTCTCACCTACAGGGCTGTTACAGTTCAAGCAGGTCGCTCTTTCCTATTAAACTGTGTTTCTGCACCTTCCTCCCTGCACCGTTTAGACGGTCGTTCTTTCCTACGTGTAAGTTGTCACTTCCTTATGTACGTACATGTATACACCTAGGTAGGTGTATTCACTGCGGTCCCTCCGTAGTTCCTATATATTCTTCAATTCTTCACTTCTTCCTCTTCTTCCTCTCCTTCCTCTTCTTCTTCAACTTCTTCGTGTCACATACTTCTTGCCTTACACATGATGACAGGCCCAGATCTCCCCAGTTTGCAACACCCAAAGTCCAACCTCTTGAGAATGGCTCCCCCCTAACGCACCTGCCCCTGCTCGCCGCAACTCACCAGTCCGGGACTGGATAACCTGGAGATCATGGAGGACTTGTGCGGTGGATCTGTTGAATCTCCCAAGAGAGATGAACACCCACGACATCTACGACGCTTTCCACCGGTACGGAAATCTGATCTCCATCGACCTTTGGGAGGACGCCTCGGGGCGTCCGGATTGCAAAGGACGTATTCGGTTTAAGTGAGCATCCTGCAACATTGCTTAAATCCTTTTGGCTAATTATCTATAGGCCCCCTCCAACTGAGGAGTTCTGGAGAACCGGCTCCTTCGGTGTGAAGCTACGGAGTGGCCGTGTGGCAGTGATAGCACTCTCTGTCTGTTGTGGTGACTCGAACGGGACCATCCAGAGCCCAGTCCGTCCAGATGTCCAGCTCCCTGGTGAAGTGGTAAGTGCATGCATGCTATGAAGTTATCATCTAATACTGATGCTTATCTGAAGGAATTGAAAACTGTACAAGTCGACATCGGTGTGCTGCTAGGTCTGTCCACTTTTCATTCCATGCAGAGCCTTACCAACTTGGCATACCCCAGATGTGTTGTGGATGTCATGCGCAAGTGCTTGTTCCTTTACTTCAGAGTGGGCATTCGGGGTTCGGACACTGCAGATGTAAACCATCATGACTATCGTGTCAAAATCACATTCCTCCAACTGACCCAGATTTACCAACAATACGACAAAGCCACGAGAGAACATTCCTTTTTGATTGTCCTCGACTCCGCTGCCATCTGGCACCGAAAAGCCAAAGACATCCAGTCTACACTGACAGAGCCGTTGAGCTGGAGAGAAGAGGATAGTTGGTATCGCCAGACTTCCGTCACACATAACCCGAACTCGCTAAAGACTCTACCCACAAATTTGAAGAAGGCCGGACATATCATTGACTTGGGTAAGTACCAGAATCTATTATAAAACAGTACGCTTACCAGTTTTTCTCAATAGGGCGATGGAACGTGTTCAAGATCTCGTTTGCACCTGACGTGGACCCCAATATGCGTCGTGTCGACGATACCAGTCACTATTTGATGTGTGTTGAAGAAATTTTCAAGGACTATAACATCACCATCCAAGATGGGAGTCACTTCGTCGAGAACGCCGACCGACCGGTACCAGTGTGGCATTGGATTGACTTTTCTGAGTCCAAGTCCAACAAGGCTTCCGCATTGCTGCAAGACATGGGAAACCAGAACTATCTACACCTCCCCTTCAAGGTCCGGTATCAACTAGAGGTTTGTTTGTCCCAAGGATACCTCTCTGAATTTACCATGACCCGTGAATTCGTAGAGAAGCTGAAAGGCCTCGGGGATGATCAAGCTACAAGACTGCTAGAGTTCGTTGCCACCGAGAAAAAACAGTACCTTGCCCCCATGGAAATTTTTGACCTCACATTCTTCAAAGGAGTGACTGACTCGAGGATTCCGAACTACTGTTGCTTCATGCGCACAGCACGAGTCACTCCAACTACAATTTATTACAATACCCCAACTGTAGACATCTCAAACCGAGTCGTGCGCGAATGGTCTACAAAAGGTGCACCTGGGCGTTTTCTTCGAGTTCGGTTTACAGATGAGAAGACTGAAGGTCGTATCAATGCTTCACAGAGAGATTGCAACGATGAAATCTACACCCGTGTCAAAAGGACACTGGCCAACGGCATCGCCATTGGAGATCGCCGCTACGAGTTCCTCGCATTCGGCAACTCTCAGTTCCGCGAGCATGGGCATACTTCGTTGCACCAGATGCCGGTATCTCAGCGGGAACTATCCGGGCCTGGATGGGACAATTCAACCATATTCGAAATGTGGCCAAGTACGCTGCAAGCTAGGCCAATGCTTTTTTCGACCACCCGAGCTTTCACTGGATCCTCTGTTCAAACTATTCCGTGCGATGACATTATCCGCAACGGCTTCACATTCTCCGATGGTGTTGGAAAGATTTCCAAATTCCTCGCCCAGATGGTCACATCCCAGCACGATATCAAGACTCTCACTGGAGAACCTCCGTCAGCTTTCCAGTTTCGTCTTGGGGGAGCCAAGGGCATGCTGGTTGTCTCGCCAGACCCTCTGCCTCAGGAGGTACACATTCGACCAAGTCAGCAAAAGTTTGAAACCAGTCAAGCCGGCTTGGAGATCATCCGTTGGTCCCAGTATTCTCTCGCAACTTTAAACCGCCAGATAATTCTAGTGCTTTCTGCATTGGGAATCCCAGATGAAGTCTTCCATAGCAAACTCAATACCATGTTGGGGAGCTTCCATCGAGCCATGCTCAATGATTCAAAAGCAATCAATCTTCTCCAAAAGTACATCGATCCAAACCAAACGACCCTAACCTTAGCCCAGATGGTATCTGATGGCTTCCGACGAAATGAGGAGCCGTTTGTCAATACCATGCTCGAGCTCTGGAAATCCTGGCATCTCAAGCACCTCAAAGAGAAAGCAAAAATTGCCATAGACCAAGGAGCCAACGTTCTCGGTGTCATGGACGAGACAGGTGTTTTGAAGGGCTACTTTAAGACAGAATTACCCCGCAGAAGACCCTCGTATGCAGAGAAACTGGCCGCTCTTCCTGAGATATTTGTGCAGACCTGCCGGCCAGATGGAAATGGCGAGTATGAAGTCATTGAAGGTCTCTGCATTCTCGCGCGCAACCCTTCGCTTCACCCTGGAGATATCCGTGTGGTTCGAGCAGTGAACCGACCAGAGCTGCACGCACTCCGGGACGTGGTTGTACTTCCCCAAACTGGCGACCAGGACATTGCGAGTATGTGCTCTGGGGGTGATCTCGACGGTGATGACTACCTCGTTATTTGGGACCCCGATCTGATCCCCGCAAACTGGTTCGTCGAATGCATGGACTACAAGGGTTCCAAAGCGCCAGACCTTGATCATGATGTGACTGTTGATGAGATCACTTCATTCTTCGTCACCTATATGAAGAATGACTGCCTTCCCCGAATTGCGCACGCTCATTTAGCTTGGGCTGACAGACTCCCGAAGGGCGTGTGGGAAGATAAGTGCATTCGTCTCGCCCAACTTCATTCTGATGCAGTGGACTATAACAAGAGCGGTGCGCATGCGAGGATGGCCCGCTCTCTGGATCCCAAGTTCTGGCCCCATTTCATGGAAAAGCGGTTCAAGAGACCATCCAGCATTTACAAGTCCACCAAAATCCTCGGTCAACTCTACGACGCAGTGATAACGCCTGACTTCGTTCCCAAGCTAGAGAAGCCCTTCGACTCTCGCATTTTGGAATCCCCGCTGGCTCCGGCAAGTGAGGCCTATATGGAATACGCCCGTGAGCTCAAGGCGGAATTCGACATGAACATGCGACAAATCATGGCTCAGTACGAGATTAATACTGAGTTTGAGCTGTGGTCAACTTTTGTGCTTCGCCACGGCTTCGTAGTCAAGGACTACAAGATGCAGGAAGACCTAGGCAGGATCGTGGGCACACTCCGCCGCGGATTTCGCCACCAGTGCTACGACAAAGTCGGGCGCGATGGTGGGAACATCCCTGCCTTGGTCATTGCCATGTATCGTGTTACCCAGGAACAGGTAGCCGCAGCACTGGAAGCTCGGCGCAATGAGGCACTGCAGAGAGAAGATTTTTCCATTGTTGAAGTGAACTCTACTGAGCTTCCGCTCATTAGCTTCCCTTGGATTTTTCCCGACGTCCTCGGTGAAGTTGCGACGGGCCGGGCGCGACAGGCTATGATCTCAGAAGTACAAGAGAGCGGCGATTCTGTGAAGCCTATCGGCGAGGGTTTGGTCTTCACTCACAAGCAGATCCTCAAGATTGTTGAAGATATGGATGGGGACATCAAATCGAACGCTGAGAACATGAAGCTGAAGGATAAGGAGAATACGAAGCCGAAGGCTGAGGCGGGCTCTAACTCCGCACCTCTCGATGAAGAACTCATTGCTCGTCGGCGCATTGACAAAACCAAGCCCAAACACAAATCCGAAGACAGGGATACGGGTTTGTATGTCGAGGAGGATGATGAGAAGGAGGGAGGCGTGGCTATAGGCCCTGCGAAAACTGAAGAGAAGATCAGCAAGAAAGAGGCTGTAACGGAGGATATTGTGGAAATGGAGGGCGACGTGAAGCCTTCAGCGCTTGACGATCTGATCAAAATGATCAGCGGCTGATCTTTTACTTTGTGAGAATGTGAAAAAAGCAAAAAGACCAAAAAAAAGAGAAGGGGAGGGATTGCAGACCAGTGCTTTCATTTACTTGGGTGATGAACTTCTAGTCTGCATACGAATGAAACTGGGACTTCGCACTGGCACGCTCGAATTTGCTCCCATTTGTAGAACTAACCATCAACAGAGTCCGCAGGGTATATCCAAGTCAAAACTCCAACTTCAAAACACCATGTAACCAGAAGACTACCAATCCAATCCCTCATCTCCCTTCCGTTCCAACAATTCAACAACAGGCTCCAACACGGCTTTGGAGTGTCTCCAATTAGCAGCATCTCTAGTCCTCGAGTAGAAGATAGGGCAATCGAGACTATCACAGCTAACCTCATCACCAGGAGAAACACCCATACAAGAGCGACAGATAGCTTCCAGATCAACGACTCTCTTTTCCGCCCTCTGCAGCCGTGAAACAACATCCAGCAACGTAAGATGCGGCTTCTGCAGACAATCCCCACACACAGGCACAGCAGCATCAGACAATTTCGACCGACATACAACACACGACGACGAGCGCATATAAGACTCAAGAGTCTTCCTACTAACCCCACCAACAGAATTCGGCCTCGCCAGCGCTGACCCCTCAACTCGCCGAATGCGCTGCACCTTCGGCATCTCATCATACCACTGACGCACATTCGCACCCACGAGATTAAAAATCCTCTCCAGCGGCGGAATAATATTCTTCGTGATATAGTACTCCGCATCAATCTCGAGCTGCGCATCGTGCAGAAGCGTCTGCGGCGCAACACAGCGATCAACAAGTCTCGCCCCAGGCGGACCGGTAACAACAACATACGGCACGCGCTCACCGGTCTGCGGCTCGGAGCGCGGATCTTCCAGCATGCGCTTGGTGCTTATCACCGCGCCGGCGGGCAGGTTGCGGTCAGAGTACGTTCCCAGCCGGACTTCGCGGGCGAAGCAGAAATCTTGGATGGAGATGCGGCCTTGCATGATCTTTGCGCATTGGCGCTGGAAGTAGGATTTTACCTGGCTGAGGTCTGCGGTGCGGAAGAGGGTTTTTAGGGCTTTTTCTTCGATTTTTTGTTCGGCGGGTGTGCCGTCGCGACGGACGGTTTCGATGCCCTTTGCGTCGAATTCGGGCTCTTTTTGATTGCGGTGCTCGTATTTGAAGCCTACGTAGCGTTTCTTTGCGAGCAGGACGCAAGGGTGGTAGACTTTTTCGAATTTGAGTTTGACTGGCCGTGGGTTTAGGTCTGTTACTGCTTGGGCGATCTCTTCGCCGATGTCGAAGGCTTGGTCGCGACTGCGGCCTTTTAGGTAGACGAATAGGCTGTCGGTATCGCCGTAGACGACTTCGGCGCCCCATCGTTCGACGGAGTGGATGAAGGCGATGGCTTTTTCGAGGGTTTCTCGTCCGGTCTGGACGATGCTGTCGGCGATCTCGGAACAGGGCATTCGTCCGGAGAATGAGGCGGATGTGTAGCCGTATGTGACGTTTGCAATCAGCTTGAGCGCTAGCTGTCTGTTGTTCAGAAGTCGCTGCAAGGCCTTGTCGTCTTTGTCGGCCTTCATGCCGTTTTTGACCATCACGCGGGTTTCAAGAATCTCGGAAAGCATCTTGGCTAGCAGCGACTGACGCGCTTCCTGCTTCACGTACATCATGCCATTTGGTGCGATGTTGATCTTGTCTTTCAGTAACTCGAGTAGCCTGGGCTGTCGCTTGTAATCTAGGAACCCCATCTTATCTCGCCCGCGCCAGTGCATTGCTCTGCCCAGGAAGGTTGAGTAGCAGTAGTTGTACGCGATCATGACACTCGGGTACAGTGACTGGAAATCAAGCACCAGAAGTGGACTAGTGTAAAAGTCACTTTGCGGTTCCATGACCAGGGGCAAGCATTCTAATGCGTTCTGCTGTCCGACCTGCTTTCTGCTCGGTGAGACGAGCAGGAAGTTCTCTGGCTTCGCAATTCGGAACATCAGAGACTCGACTTTGAACTGGGATCCCCGGGTAATCACAGAGGCGAAATCAATGCCCAGCAGTCTCGCCTGCTCGCTTGTCCTTGGCGTCAATTCATTGGCCTCAAGGATTTCCAGATTCATTTGCACGCGAGAGGTGAAATATTCCACGACTTTGAAAATATTGCGAGGCCTGCCGCTTTGATGCCATTGCGTCAGGTGTTTCGGGGAATAGTGAGGAATTCGGCGATGCAAGACATGAAAGACGACGTTCTCCATAGTGTACTGTAGGAGGTTCAGCTCGCCTTTCATAGCGCGCCAGATATTGAACACATGCCGCCCGGTGATGCGAATGGACGATGAGTGGTTGAAACCCCACTGATCTGCCTCTTTCCCAAATCGTCCATTGGACTGGGATTTGGTCCTTGAAAGCTCCTCGCAGATGTCAAAGTCGTACTTCTTGCGCGCTCGCTCAATCACATATCCCCACGAAGCGTTGTGGACTTCGTAGCCTGTAATGATGTCCGGATCGTAGTGCCGGACAATGTCTATGAGTCGATTTATCAGGTCCAGTTCCGTAGGCTCATGCTCGACGTCAATTGTCAATGCTTTGGAGATTTTGGCCTCCGGTCTCTCGCCTTCGCCATGGTAAACCATCCCAACATGAACCCCAGGAAGATGACTATTGACTTCAATATCCTCGTCTTCGGATTGGATGCACCAGAACAAGGAAGTGATCTCGTCCTCCTCGGGGTTGGGCATCAAGGTTCCACGCGTGTTTACATGCACTTCTAAGCTCATTGTGCTCATGTGTTGAGCTTGGTGCTCCACGCTGGTGGAGACACCATTCTGGGAGTATTTGAAGCCATGTGCATTCTTCTGCGTCGGGCCCTCAATCTGCGAGAGGAGGTCGCATTTCATTTCAGAAGGTATGGGTTGGGCTGCTTTTTGGTCAGACTCTTGCAAGGCTTCTAACTCTTCAAACCACTGTATTACTTCTGACCGGCTTGGCGGAACAGGAGCAAACTCCCAGACCTTGGAGGTACACCATTCACGGAGCTGCTGGTCAACCTTTTCTTGCTGATCTCGGTCATGTGCTGTTGGTGTCTGCTCACCAAACATTGCAGGTGCCTCTGCCGTTGGGTCGAAATCGGGTAGATAGTGGATGGTGTTACTCTCCAGCCGAAATTCTCTGCCGCCATATTCTCTTGGTCGTTCAGGCACATCCGCTTCATCACTGTAAAATGCTTTCTGGTATACAACTGAGGGGCGCCCATGTTCATTTATTGATGAGCTGACTTGGCTGGATGTCGGGCTGGCAAACCTGAAGCAATGCAATGACGTATTGGATGGAAAATTGAATGACTGATGAATGTTTTTCATGGTCTCCGCGAGATGTGGATCGAGAGAGACTAACCCCATCACCGTTGCAGACGAATGTAGCTCCGAGGAGCTCTGAGTTTCACTAGTTTTGCCTGACAGTTCGGTGGCAGATCCGGAAGGGAAAGAACTCAAGAGGGGCTGGGATGACTCGGGATCTTTTCTTGAAGAATTTGCTTCATCTTGGCTGTAGCGCGAAATGGTCAGAGGATCATTCGGGTCCTTGACTACCGGAAATTTCAGGCCGCTGGTGTAACTATGCGCCTTTGGACGGACTGTCCTCTGCGAGGAGGATGATTTTGGTTCTGATGACGGGGCTTCCGCGTGCGAATCCAACTTGCTCTCAAAAGAGACACTTTTTTGTTTGTCATCTTGCTGATGCTTCCGCGTGTTGGGCGATTCCAAAGGCCCGTCAGACAAGCCGTGTTCGGCCATCTGTCTAGCTCTTTTGGTAGGCGAATGGTGGCAATCGAGGGTTTCATAGTGTTGTCTTTTAGGGGCTACTCTTCTGTTCTGGCTCTGGTCTCTGGGCCTTCTTTCTTGGGCTACAGAATCCCCTTCTTTGTAGGCACCATCCATAATAGCTGCTTCTGGGTGGTTGGTTTCAGCAGGCTCTGCAGGCGCAGCCACATCTAACAAAGGCATTTCGTCAAAGATCCCATCGTAGAAGCTGTCTCCCAGCGGGTCCTGCTTTGTTTCAGGCTCGTGATCAATTATCCCTTCCAATGAATACCCTCCTTGATCAGAATCCGAGTAATATTGTCCGTCAGTTTGAGAAGACAAGGCGAGACCCTCGTCAACCGAGATTTCCGGTACTTTTTGCTCAGCTGGTTCCTGGGAACGGCTGCTATCAAAAGTAAAAGTACTGATTTTGTCAGGAAAGAAGTCCTCAACACTATCCAACGCAGTCTTGACATATTTGGCTTGATCGTCGGTATCCAAGAATGTCCCAAATGAAGTATCTTTGTTGCCACCCGCCTGTTTCTCATTAGCAGCAAGCTGAGATGCCATCTCACGAAATTCTTCCTCGTGTATCCAACCACCTTTCGACTGATCTCTTGGGTCCGCAGACATTGAAACCAATTCTTCAGGTCCAAACGGAGTGCTTCCGGGATCAGTAATGCCCATCCTCTTTTTGCGTCTGCGAGTTTCATCCTGCCACAATCCAGCCACGCTAGGAACGAGCCGCTCGTTAACCGCAACTGGTTTCAACAGCTCGGTAAAATCATGGTGCAAAGGCCGTTCCTTTACATCAAGGCGGTTCAGGATATCTTGAACACAGACATCAACTTCCAGCGCGCAATGACTTTGCTTCTGTAGTGCAGGGTGATCGAGTATGCTCTCGGGTAAAATAGAACGATCGTGCCAGCGATGGGCTAGATTGCTGAGCTCGAAATACTCAGGTACCGGTGCTCGGAACTTGACTTGACTACAACTCATGATTGCACATCCGTACAAGTTGTAGTCACACATCCATTGCGGGATGTATTGCACGTGTGCCTCGTAGGGTTGAAGCGGACGTTTCATCACAGCTCCCTGGTGCAGAAGATCGACCAGGCGAGTCGTATGGAAGGGGTTTAAGAGATAAATCTTGAAGAAGAACCGCCATCCCACATGGTATCCATAGAACGGGACTCCTTTCACCAAGGTGATGTGCGCCACAAATGCTGTCCTCCGGTCATATGCATTTCGGCGAAAGCTAACCGCCAGGGCATGATCAATTGAAAGATGGAGGGTTCGGATCGCCGAATTCACTGCAACTCTGGTAAGTCAACCCATCAAGTCATCAATGACTATCACTAACCATCTTCCGGCGCTAAGGACCCGTTGTATTCGATGTAAAGGTATGGAAATGCGCCATGGACATGTACGCAAACCCTCTGGCCAGTCTCGGTGGCTCCAAATATTCGAATCACAGGCACCTTGGGCTTAAAATCTTTCTCCGAGACCTCATCACGAAAAGGTAGTGGCGGATCCAACTCCGATGCGGTCGCCTGGTAATGATCGATACAGTTGAGACGCACACGGAATGGCTCCATCGCTCTGGTTGGTGGCGACAAGAAGCCACAGCAACATTGCGGAGGATAAATGGTACACACCGATTATCGCATGTGTGCCCTTTTCCGTACCTCAGTAAGAATAGTTGAGAAAACGCGACCGAGGTATGTCCATGACAACGCGAGATAACGCCTAGTCACGTGCTTCATATCAATTCTCCACCCGCCAAGCTCGGGTCTATCGCAACTTCACTCATCTTTCATCTCACAAAACAGGAGAGAGCTACAGATTGCTCTATCTATTTCCTCGCTTGCTTCCCTTTTTTTCCTCTAACTAAAACTCCTTGTCCCTCATTGAACCTACCAGTCATGTCGCGAAAACCCGCAGATGTGGCGTCAAAAACGCCCAACGAGTACATTCCATCCTTCATCTCGAAAAAGCCATTCTACGTCGACGATGAGACAAACAACGACTACCTGGAGCATCAACGTCTTCAGAAAGCCACACCTGATCAGTCAAAATGGTATGATCGAGGAAAGCGTGCGGGCCCAGCAGCCACCAAATACCGCAAAGGCGCATGTGAAAATTGCGGCGCGATGACACACAAGACCAAAGAGTGTCTGAGTCGACCCCGAAAGCAAGGCGCCCGATGGACTGGAAAGGATATTCAGGCAGACGAACTTATCCAGAAGGTCGATATGGGGTGGGACGCCAAAAGAGATCGGTGGAACGGGTACGATGCCACTGAATATCGCCAGGTCGTCGAGGAATATGAAGAGATGGAGGCCATCAAGCGAATGGCGAAGGAAAATTCAGATCTCAAGAAACTTCAAGCCGGTGAGGATGGCGACGAAGGCCCCGATTCGGATATCCGATATGCCGAAGAATCCGATATGGGACGACAACAGAGTACCGCCACCCGCAACCTACGTATTCGAGAGGACACCGCCAAATACCTGCTGAACCTGGACCTTGATTCCGCCAAATATGACCCAAAAACACGCCGAATGGTGGACATGGGCGCGCAGGATGATCAAGCCGCTGCACTTGTCGCAGAGGAGAATTTCGTCCGTGCTTCAGGCGATGCTGCGGAGTTCGAGAAAGCCCAGAAATATGCATGGGAGTCACAAGAGAAAGGTCTCCCTCAAATACATATCCAGGCCAATCCGACATCTGGAGAAGTTCTCCGAAAGAAGGAGATGGTTGACAGTGAAGCTAAGCGCGAGGCGCATCGCAAAGCTCTCCTGGATAAATACGGTGGTGTAGAGTACACGAAACCAAATGCGCTGCGAGAGACTATGGTCGTTGAAAACGAGCGATTCATTGAATACGATGAGAGCGGTGCCATCAAGGGCGCGCCCAAGAACGCAACCAAATCCAAGTACCCCGAAGACGTGATGGTCAACAATCATTCTTCGGTCTTCGGCAGCTGGTGGTACCAATTCAAATGGGGATATGCATGCTGTTATTCCACTGTGAAGAACAGCTACTGTACAGGGGAAGATGGAAAGAAGGCCTTTGAGGAAGAAGGCAATATGTTGATGATGACTGGAGCAGCCGACGACAATGATGAGGTTTCCGACAATGCTGGAAATGCGAACCTCTCCCACGAGTCTGAACAAGCCGGCGGCAGGGGTCAAGAGGAGGATTCAAACACCAATGGTAAAAAGCGGACGCTGGAAGAATTGAAGTCGGGGGTCACAGAGGAGGAATATGAATCATATAAGCGGAGCCGGTTGGCTGCTGAGGATCCTATGGCCAACTTCATAGGGAAAGATTGATTCTGATGGTGTTCTCCATATACTACTTGCATGGGCGTTCGGATGTACTAAAATACCCTCTTGATATGCTGTCTAAACAGTAAACAAATGCACAGCCAAATAATTTGTGTTATACATCCCTGTTTCGTGTAGTTCTAAAACATCGTCTCAAAATAATATACGTACATCAAATAGATATTGGACCATTGATGGATATCTACAACTCTGTAATTGGTTGGCTTTCGAAGATGATTTGATGTCACGTGATTTGTCATGTGCACTGACCATCCAACTCCAATGAGGGCTAGTAGATCACGGGATCTAGACAAGCCCTGATGGGTCCACGTGATTGACTAACGCACTCGCTTAGAGCACAATCGCCAGATCTTGGGCAAGTTTCGAGACGCTTAGCGACGACGACCCGACAACCAGCCCCTTCAACGGAATTGCCAGGTACGTCCGCATGCCGGTCCCTTCACCAGTGCTCAGTTCACCCCCGTCAATTTACTAACATATATACTCGTCCACAGTTCCATAATTCAAGATGAGTACGTCCGATGCCGAAACATCGCACCGCGATCCTCCGCAGCGTCGAACAACTTCAAACTAACAATCGCCACAGCTAAGGGTACCTCGAGCTTCGGAAAGCGCCACAACAAGACGCACACTCTGTGCCGTCGTTGTGGTACGTATTACACCTATTTTTCACGATCCCACCCATCCGACCTGCAGTCGCAAATTTCTACATCGAAAGACGGAATTGGCGATTACGGCGAAGACAACCACACAATCTAGCAAGGACAAGGGCTAACCGGTGATATCTACGACTCTACAGGCAAGCGGTCTTTCCACATCCAGAAGTCGACTTGTGCCAACTGCGGCTACCCTGCTGCCAAGACCCGCAAGTGTACGCAAATACCCTCCCCGAGAACGTTGACGGTGTGAATGGTGGCCATTATTTGGAATCTAGGCACCAATTCGAGAACTCTGGCTTACATGGATTTTTCTTACGAACAGTCAACTGGGGTGAGAAGGCTAAGCGCCGCAAGACCACCGGCTCCGGCCGCATGCGCTCCCTGCGCGATGTCCACCGCCGCTTCCTCAACGGCTTCCAGACCGGTACCCCCAAGGGTGCCCGTGGCCCCGTCACCAACTAGATTCCCTTTTTCGTCCGCTCGGCGTCGCGTTTTCGTTATCGGAGAGGCTGGAATAGGAATGAGGGGAGGGATCCTGGCATGACATGAATTAGCATTACGGGATAGCATTACTCGAAATGCAATGGCAGTTCCGGACTCTTATCGCTTTCCCGTGGAGTTGGTGGTGTGTACAACTATCGATCACGTTGGTTCTCTTTGCCACGCCAAGGATGACAAAGTAGAACTTGCGAGACGATGAGAAAAGTTTCGTTGAGGGGCTCTTCTCTACGGAAAAGAGCTGGATTAAAAAAACCCTGGGAAAGCGTGAATGAATTTCCTTTTTTCTTCGTTTATGGCTGGCGAATATCCCATGTCATGACAGATACAATGTGAAGACTCTTCCTACCATTTCATGATCTGTTCTACTCAGTACGAGGCTCTTTGGTGGACGCAGAGACTTGAATTGGACATGATTCAATGGCTGTTTTTGATAGGCTTGTGGCTCTCGAACATCTAACTCATAGTATACAGTCTCGATTTATGATTCCCCACGACCAAACACCTTGACACCGCCATCCCGTTGAATGAAGTACAACGCCTCTCTCTCCTCCAGGCTCTCTTCACTCGCGTTCAGGCCACCACCTCGGCTGATCCTCAGTACCCCGCTCACATCTTTTGCGGCTCCAGTATCCAAAGTGCGGAGCTGCATGACCGACCGAGCCCGATGCGCCAGCCCAATAACAAGCGCCGCATGTTCCGTCTCTATTGGCGTAGCCAACCCTCCCGACGTGGATGCGTTGTGTATTAATGGGGCATCCGTAGCTAACGTCAAAACCGTAGCATGTGCATGCTGTCGAAAATAGTCAGCCCTGCCGTAAGCCTTGATTTTGCCTATCGGGAAATGATAAGGCCTTACCTGTTGTAGCGCTGTGATCCACTCCGACATCTCTGTTGCTCCAATCCCCATACTCGGACCTGTCGCAGCGAGGAGCAGGTCAGGCTGATCTATAATGAGGAGAAGCTCATCACCATCTTCCATTGAACTCTTTTGTTGCTCAATCACTGATGAGATATCTTTCTCCAGCGCGTCGAGGGAGGCGAGACCACGGGCAGAGAAATGGAGCTTCTTTGCAATCCCAGGCTCGACCTGCTTCGACGCATTTCCTCTCGCTCCTGTGACTGTTGGCCCCGCCGGCTGTGGTGACCTTCCAGGTACAGCACCAGGCGGAGACCGCATTGGGAGCGTTGTGCGTGGACTGCTTCCCAGACCAGCCGGTGAGATACTGGGAGAAGTGGCTGTGAGTTGCGGTGCGTAGAATAACTCAGACAGGCCGTCTATGAATGCAAATTGTTGCTTATCTGCCAGACGCGCAAGATCAAGGCCCTATAAATCTGGTTAATGATGTCGAACAAAGTATCCATGGATGTATCTATACATGAATAATATAAGAAATCGAACGCAAATGCATAGCTCAAATTCAAATATCACTCAGCCTGTTAGTTAAACTTACCAATCGCTTGGCCTCGGTCCTCCAGAACTCGTAACTCCGCATGAAGCTCACTAGCACCACTTTTTTCTTAGTACCATTGTGCAGCTCGTCGGAGCCAAATGCCGCGTTGGGGCTTGGTGAGCTCAGCGCAGCATGGAGAAATCTCAAAACAAGCCAGTTTGAAGTTGCACCAAGGATAGAAGATACTAGTGTCAGAGATGAATCGGGCAGATTTGATACATAAGGAGCGAGGAGGGGCGGTAGTGGGGGTTGTGGAGGGCATGGTTGCGCCTCGATTCGGATATCTATAGTATCCTTTGTTCCTGGCAAGTTAAAGATGCACTGCGTCGGATCTCAATCCTTCCTTTCCAATTATTGAATCTTCGTATGGAAGTGTTGTTGTTGATCGAGTCGTGGAGATGATGTCGAGAAAAAATGTCTCCGCCTTGTGATTGGCCCCTAAGGTATCCAGCCATGCCAAGACAAAGGATATTGAGATGATATTGTATGGCATTTGATTTCTCTTGCTGTTTCTTGATTTATTCTCTCTTGTGTGGAAATACAATACAGTGGTTAATCTAGAATTTGACTCTCCTGCTATTTTCTACTCAAAATGTCTAGCTTAGAGGTCCTTAGAGCAATATGTGCAGGCAATATATATAGTTCCTATTGTATACTACCCGCTCAATGTCCACATCATGCACCTGAAATCTCGACCAATGCAGTTAGTAAGGGGCAAACTACAGAGAATGACACACTGGAACTTTGAACTAACATATAAAACTGTCAACAAGGGCTGTGACCAAAAATCCAGGTAATTTCTGCCTAAGGCACCAATATGAGTTTTCTGCACGCATCACCTGACCGGTTTCCCCACCATACCATGGAGGGGAGATGATGCATCTTATCCATCGCATTGCAAGAGGCTGTGCTGTAGCGCCGATCGTGAGTACATTCTCCTTTCTATAAAATCACTTCCACCCCGCTACGTGTATACGCACCCTAGCCCTATCATGGTTATGCTATACATTGTTACCCGATGTGGAGGTCTTTTCGCGAAAAGCACTTTCTGTTCATTATATCAGATGCATTGGCTAAATGTTTATACAGATGACTGCCGTTGTATGGCATAATCAAAGCGCATTGGATACAAGATACAAGATATCCAACTTACCTCGATAAAGATGGCTAGCACTCGTGATTCCCACTCATTTGCTGTATGTATTGATCGGCCTGAATGATAACTGACATATAAACCACAAGAGTTGAAGTCTGACCATTCAAATAGTGTGACGAATGCCGCTTGCGCAAGTCAAGAGTAAGTGCCTTCTTGTATTAAACACTTGCAGGCCTTGGCCCATCTAACCCGGGTGTTATAGTGTTCAAAAGAGCGACCAGTTTGTCTGCAATGCCGACAGCTGAACAAAGAATGTATATACAGCCCAAAAGTCAGCAGAAGTCCTCTGACTCGGCAGTAAGTGACAAGATCGAAAAAAGTTTGTATCTGAAGACAAGACTGACCACCTCAGACACTTAACCTATGTTGAAGATCGCCTACACTCATTTGAAACAGCCTTAGGAAGGCTTTTCCCAGGAGGTGATCTGGATGCTACACTCCGTTCTCTCTTGCAAAACCCTGAGGTGGCAAGGGCCCCTTCATCCAAGTCCTCTTCAAGGCACTCAACCCCAAAGCATGAGCCAGAACGTGCTGAGCCAGCACCAGAAGCTCTCCCACAGCAAGCCGATGGCTTTGACTGGGCCGAAAAAGAAATCACGCTTGGTGATTTGACAGACGGCATGGCTGCGCTGTCTATTAAACCCGAAGGAGCTGGCTACTTTGGTTAGTCACTTGAATATCCATTATGGATTCTGCTTTTTGCTTTCCAAACTGACACATAGATCACAGGAGCGTCTTCAAGTGTCGTACCATTACGAGCACTTTTTGATCATGGATTTGACTTGAATATCCCTGTTCGCTCGGCAAGGTCGGGTGGCGTGCCTCTCAAAGCACAGCTTCTGGAAAGTGCCCCATCTGGGCTGATCGAACAAGCGTTTATTGACGCCTTCTTCCTCAATTATCACACCAGCTATCCATTTATCCACGAGCCTACCTTCCGGATGCAGTTTAATGACCCATCTCTACGCCCGCATGGTACGGCCTGGCATATCCTCCTAAACACGATCTTAGCTCTGGGAGCCTGGTGTATCGGCGATGACAGCTCAGACCTCGATATCACATTCTACCAAGAAGCCAGAGGATACCTGCAACAGGCATCTGTGTTTGAGACTGGCAACCTGACGTTAGTCCAAGGGTTATTGTTATTGAGCAACTATGCACAGAAACGGAACAAGCCCAACACTGGATGGAATTATCTTGGGTTAGCAGTCCGAATGGCCATGAGTTTGGGTCTTCACAAGGAGTTCCCTGGCTGGAAGATCAGTCTCCTACAAAGAGAAATCCGCAGAAGATTGTGGTGGGGAGTTTTCATCTTCGACAGCGGCGCAGCCAAAACCTTTGGAAGGCCAATTCTCCTCCCAGAGGATAGTGTCATGGATGCGAAGCAGGTTCGAAATATCCACGAAGAGGTATTTGCAACAGTATGAAACATAAAAACAGCAGTTATAACTAATACATCATAGGATTTGACTCCCACAACAACAACTCTGCCAGCCGAGTCGCCCGGCCCAACCATCTATTCCGGCTTAATTGCCCAGGCCAGCTTCCACCTCCTCACCAATAGCGTCTACCAACGCCTCATCTCAAGCCCTAGCCTCACCCCGGAAGACACGCTGAACTTGCAAAAACCCATCGAAGAATGGTACAACGGTCTTCCATCATACCTCAAACACCCGCAGCTTCCTCTCTCCATGCAGCCAGCCAATCCAGACCCGGACTCTCTAGCCCTCGTGCGCAACCGCCTGCTATGGCGAAACTGGAACCTCACCATTTTGATCTACAGACCTATCCTACTCCGCTGGGCCGCTAGACGCTGGGCCCCACTTAGCGGCAGCGGTACAGCCACTCCGGATGCAGGGTCTGAAGATCCCTTCGAGACGGAGTGCCGATTGCGCTGTCTCCAGAACGCGCGGTTGACCATCTCCTCCATCTCAGAGTACATGGCGAACTATATGTGCACGAGACTTGGGGCATGGTATATGCTGTATGTATTTTCCCTATTTCTCATACCTAATACCTACCAAGTATTACTTTCCACCAGAACGACAACGACATCTAACATCACAAATAGCTACTTCCTCTTCCAAGCAGGGCTCATCCCCATAGTCTTCCTAATGACCGACCCCTCAAACCCAGAAGCCGCCTCCTGGCTCCAGGACATCGAAACCACAAAATCCCTCCTAACCCACCCCTCGCTGGGCACAAACCGCTTCGCAACCCGCTGCCTCGAAGTCATCAACCGACTCCTTGGCCCACCCACGCACCCAATGCCACAGGGAATCCCAACCGATGGAGACCAGCTCAACCAGCAGCACCAACAGCAGCATGAGCACATGCTCCCACAACTGCAGCCTAACATGATGCCGTTCCCTGGGCAGCTCTTCAGTGATCCCGGATTCGGCGGAAGCCTGTTCCCAGTCGAGCAGCAAATGCAAATGCACAATGCGGGGGGCATGGACTTTTCTGAATGGGTGAATTTCCCGCCGGCGGAATGAAAGGCTGTGGTTTTAAGTTTGTTATTGATTTTTTTTTCTTTTGTTTCCGTATGTATCTTGCATTGTAGGATGGGTATATGGAAAAATGGGAATTAGGACTTTTTGGAAATAGTTATAGGTATGAACGAATACTTCAAGCATGATTTTGACAGTTGGATTTGATGTATAATGCAGGACATCCTATGTGAAGAATAAGTTATTCAGTGTGGGTAATATTCTCTTTGCGCTATAAGTTCTCTTCATTGCGCGTTGGCATTCATGCCTGTTCCACATGGGAACCGACCGGCTTGATGAGGTCGTCTTCTTCAATCGGGGTTCCGCGTAACTCGGCTTCAATGTGCTTGATGCGCTTCTTTTCTTCGTGGGCGGCCGTATCGCCGAAAATGAGATCCATATCTTCGAGTGTCTGTTGAAAAAACAGTTAGTATGGTCAAACTTCCATGGACAATGTGGTCCACGCTATGAAAGAAGGCTGCGGAACGTACCTTTCCACGGGTCTCGGGGATGCAGAAGAAGGTGAAAGCAAAGGCAAGAAGACAGAAGGCAGCAAAGAAGATGTATGTGCCCCAGGTGATGGACTCGAGCATATCAGGCGTGACAAGGCCAATGATGCTGCAAGAAGTGTTGTTAGAATCGAATCGAACAGTCTGATTAAGAACGCTGTCACTTACAAGTTGCACATCCATGTTGCCGAGGTCGTGATAGAGATGGCCTTGGATCTAATGGAGAGGTTGAAGATCTCCGAAGGAAGAACCCAACCGATAGGGGCTGATAGTGAAAATGTTGTTAGTTGGTTACTGGAGAACGAAGGCAGGAAGAGAGTTTTGGATATTATCTTACCGAAGGAATAGGAGAAGTTGATATCGTAAATGTAGATAAAGGCAATACCGGCCCAACCAGCGGATTTATTGCTCACGAGTGAGGAACCAAAGCCACCCAGGATGCCGCCCACAATCACCAGCGAGATGCAAGTTCCTGCGGCACCTGCCATGAGCAGAGGTCGACGACCGACTTTGTCGATGAAGAAGAGCGCGGGGAGGGTGCTAAGACAGTTGACGATGCCGTAGACACCAGTAGCAAGGAGGGAGGTGGTGTTGCCGTCCAGCCCGAGTTGGCCGAAGATCGTAGGAGCGTAATAGATCATGGCTGTATGAATTAGATATTGCTATAGATGGATGGGTGCGTATGCAATTTTACACACCGTTACAACCCATGAACTGCTGGAAAAACATCACGGTGCAGCCAATGGCCAACCGTCTGAAGCGGGACCATGTCGTGAAAAAGGACATGTACTTTGAATCATGTTAGTGAGATCGAATTATAAGGGAGGAATTGGCAACAAACCTGAGCAGCGTGTAATTTGTATCCGGAGAGATTAGGGAAATTGTCCCTCGCAAAGGAATTTTCCAACATAATAGAGGCCTTGATTTCAAGGTACTCATTGAGAAGAACAGGACTGTCACGATCCTGGCGGCGCAGTCTTGAAAGGGCGTGCAGCGAATCGTCATCACGCTCCTTCATCAACAACCAACGGGGCGAGTCTGGGAAGAACAACATTCCAATGCCGAGGATAACGGCTGGGACGATCTGCAGAGCGAGCGGGAGACGCCATGACACCTCAGACTGCCCGTTGCAGCCACCAGCAGGAACATCGTGATAAGGGTCGAAAGTGGGCTTTGAAATTGTACCACCGGAGTATGGGATATCAGGAGCACACCTGGTGCCGCCGATGTAGTTTGTTCCATAGTCGATCCAGTAACTGAACAAGATCCCAAGAGTGACGGATACTAAAAGCAAATTAGTCGACGAGCCATATCCCAATCTCGGGAAAAACATACGTTGCTGTAGAACGACAAGTCCTCCGCGAATCTCTGGAATGGAAACTTCAGAAATGTACAGAGGCACGACCATGGTCAGTTGACCAACAGCCAAGCCAGCAATAGCTCGACCGGCGAACAGCATTGAGATATTCATAGCAGCGCACTGGATAACGGAGCCAATGACGAAGACCACTACAGCCAGATTGATGGACATCTTCCGGCCAATTCGATCGGTAATAGGTCCATTGATCAAGGAACCAGCCCAAGCTGCAAGCAACAGGGTCGACACAAACCAACCTTTGAAACCACTTTCAGAGAAGACACGAGGGTACCGAGCCCCAAAGGACTCCATGGTGATAACACCGCTAATGACACCTTGATCATAACCAAACAACAGACCACCCAGGGTGGAGAACTGTGTCAAGGTCAATGAATGAACATGTCATACAAGAGCAGACACTTACCGATGCTACACCACAGAGAAAGGGATTCTGTAGGACAAGCGCAAAGCCGCCCTTCGGGGAGCTCTCTGCAATAGTAGCCATGATATGCCGATGTTTTTCTGAACCGATGAAAAGAGATGTAACGCCTGTTCGCTCGGCTTTATATAGTATATGCTTTCCAGCCAAGTATAAAAACTACCCTCTGCCGTTTAGGAACACAGTATTCCGTCTGGGGTATAGATGACACAGGAACACAGTAGTCCGAATCTCCGAGCAAGGCACATGGTCTGATATGAATATCAACGGAGTGGTCTACTCCGCACCAACTGAAAATGGGGGAGCCGAAACTTGGGGCCTTTCCCCGAATTTGGGCCCGGAAGAGTTTTGATATTGCGGGGAAACCCTGTCACGGGTCGGAGAGAATCCGATCTTTTGATAACACGGGAAAGAAATGTACACATATGTACTCTTAAATATCCATACATATATACATATATATCAACAAAATACCTTCCCATTATCAGACTGATATTCCAACCAAAGACCCTATAGTGGTTCGGCGTCATCCCGAAGGGCGAAGCCCTGTGGGGAAACGGGCCTGGGAATACTTATCTGTTCTGTTCGGTTTATTCCGGTATATTACTGGTTCTTACAATATTATAAGAATATCGGAAATTTTTGATCGAATTGCTTTCCAAGGTTATTTCAACAATCGGAATGGATCACGAGATGACTCATTATGAGCGAATGCCTGAATAGGGACCCATTGCAACGGTGATTTTCGACTCTGTGCTGCGCATGTGAAACCCATCTTCACTATCAAAAGCAACGCAACTTGCGCTATTATGCGCAAATTTGCCAGGCGATCGCCAAGCCCGTGCAATTCCATCGAGTCCAGCGCCCAAGAGCAGCAGCCGGGCCTCGGGACGCACGTCAGCTGCTGGATAAGCGGTTCCTCGAGAGACATCAGGTGCAGCAAGTTAGCATCTGACCTGCGGAGTGCGATGTTATAAATCCTCGCTGCCCTGGAGCCAAACTTCCAGATCCCAAAGTTCAAGATCAAGATCTCAACCTTACTCCCACCACAATGTCATCCCCCCTCCGCATCGGCGTCCTCCTTGTAGGAACCGTCCAACTCCTCGACCTATCAGCCGTCGACCTCCTCTACATGACAACACCGGAATACCTACAAGAATGCTCCCTCCCACAGCCACTAGTAGACCTAGGCCGACCCTGCGAGATCCACTACATCGCCCAAAACAGAAACGACACAGCCAAGACGACCGCGCAGATGTCCCTACAAGTAACCGACTCACTCACAGACTCAGCCGTTTCCCCAGGCAAGTTGGATATCGTACTAATCCCCGGCCCACCGCCCAAAGCGATGCCACCACCAGAAGAATACCTGGACTTTGTGCGCGCGCATTTCGCAGCCGGCGCGCCGATACTGAGTGTCTGCACGGGGGCCTATGTTATCGGACATGCCGGGATTACGAAGGGACGGGAAGTGACTGCGCCGCGGTTGTTGATTCCTGAGATGAGGAGGAAGTTTCCTGAGGCGAAGTTGTGGGATGATTCGGCTAGGGTTGCTAGGGATGGGAATTTGTGGACTAGTGGTGTGTTTTTCTTTCTTTTTTCCTTTTCTCTTTTCTTTTCTTTTCTTCTATGTTTCACTTTGATTAATGGATGTGGATATGCATGCTGAGACTCGCTATAGGCGGAATTACAAACGGACACGATCTGGTCGCTGGGTACCTGCGTGAGCATTACCCTGCGGCGCTGGTGAATACGATCCTCGTCGCTGCGGACATTCCTTCCCGTCCCCCGGCGTATGCTACTCCTGCCATTAGCGATACTCTCTATATCCTATGGCAGATTATCAGGGCAGTTCCGAATGCAGTGATTGGGTGGTTTAGGGGGTGACTGCATGGGGTTCTAGAAGTGTCATGGTATTCGACCGACTGTCGACCCGAGGAATCTCCTTGCGTTAGGGCCGACGATCAAGTGCTTTTGTTTTTTTTGAAAAATTAATATGATGCAAGTTTTAGTACTTTGTCGCTAGAAGAACCCTGGAACTATTAATTTAAAGCTATCCAATCAGATAAAAGGCCGAATATGTGAAATCTCTGCCAAATGCACCAAAAGTACGAGCATGAATGTTTATTCCAAATTCGAATAGTAGGCTGACTCAGTACCAGTATGCAAAAGAACGCACTCTGCTTGTAGGTATATAGGCGAGCACGGGTATGAATTCCGAATCTGGGTTTGGGGATAGTTAGGGTTGAAGGTGCAATCCTCGTTCAAATATTGTAGACCATCACGAAGTGGGCAAGATGACAAGATCATTCCACCATTCATGAAATATCCTACCAGACGACAGTCTATAAAAGTTACGTAGCACCCTTCTCGCAACATGACATTCTACCCGCGCGTCTATAGTGAAGACATATGGATTTGGTCCAATAGTAATGAATTTCTTGTTTCTTGCAGTTCCATAGCCTAAGAAAATGAAGGGAGGAAGAAAAAAGAGAACAGAAAAGAACACAGACCCCAAGGATTGAGAAAAGAGGAAAAAAGAAACAATTTGGGCGAGAACGCTCGTACCATGCAACGCACTGCACCACGCTAAGAGGACAATCATAGAGTAGAGAAGAGAGAAAGAGGAAGGGCATAAGAAAGAGAGAAAATTGAACTCCCTCGACCGAAAGAGAAGAGGGTGCGCTTCATCAAAAAGAACTTGAAAGTGACATGTGCTGGCCTACCCGCTTAACAAACCATGATACGAGTCGAGTCAATTAACCCAGGATGATCATTATGGAGATGAAATGAGAAAGAAAACGAAATCCATGGCTCAATTGTATGACAGCCCGCAAGTTTTATCTTCGTTCATGGGGTTCCCAATGGATGGGTTCAAAGTCAGAATTCTGGAAATGGGCTTGGTTGTAAGGGGAACTGGGACAGAAAAGTCAATAAGGACGTCGGTTGTACTGTGGATGCCCTTGAAAGAACTCACTTTTTGAAAGGGGTGGTGACTGGCAACGAGCGACTGAGATTCGGTTTCATGACCAAGGGATTCAGGCGAATTTGCGGGCCGTCTGATGATCGACTAGGCAGTGAAGTCATTGGTGGCGGGGCGGAGGATGGGGGTGCGATTTGTGGAGGAGGAGAGACAGGAATCGGTGGAATGGGTGCATGGGTTGGCATAGGCGATTGGTACATGTCTTGTTGCGGGGACATGCGGAATGGACTGGCGGGGGTTGGCGAGACAGAAGGCATTGGAGACATGGGAGCGCCCATCCCAAAGGATGTGTCCTGCATCAGATTGGGGATGGCCATTAAGCTTGAATTGACATCGAATCCGAGAGCTGCTTGATCCCAGGGGGGAGTAGTCGGACGTCATTCCGTATTGGAGGTTGACAATGGGTGCCATGTTCAAAGGTTCGACTGGGTAAAGGATATCATAATGACCTCTGCGTGGGATGTTAACTCGGTACAACATATGCTAACTGCCAAAGTAACTCACGGCCGGTATAGGAGGCGGATGGTTGCACCACTGGGACTGTTAGAGGATAGTTGGTGGGGTGTGACGGCATCGCCTTCACTTCGGTCGAGGTAAAGAATTTCAACACCAAAGCCGGAGCCTTCGATCACACCGTCAATCAGTGCTTGAAGACCAACTTCGTCGATTTCGGTCTTCACCGGGTCTATCCGCGAGCTGCAGTACTGGTTCAGTGGCATAGGAAGGAAGGCCTGGTACCGGTTCGGATTGAGCTTCATCCACGCGCTAGTCAAAATCTGCAAGACGAGACATCAGTTTACGTCCAGTAACAAGGAAGACAAGAGTCCAAAAGGGGGGGGGACTTACGCGGAAGTGGGTAATGATAGCATCAGAGCAGTAACCCTCATTAAAAGCATCGACAAGGAAAGATTCATCTTGAGCACCATTTTGGATAGCAGCATGCGTTCGGTTGAGGACTTCTTCTGTGGCATCGACAAAGATCTCGTAAATGGAATCCGACAGGCCGACCCGTTCCAAAAGCGTAGTAAGAGACTTCATTCTCCGAATCTCGGTCTCGATACGGAGCGTGTCTCGGAGGGCGAAGAGGGTCTCGAAATAACCAAATGCCACAGCTGTATAGAATTAGCATAAGATCCACTTGATATCGAATGCAGATGACCATACCTCTCCAACCACAATTCCCGTCGCCTTTCATGATACGGCACTCGGGATGGGTGATAGCAAGCGCCTGTAAGCAGCAAGTTAGATGCGAGACACATTTCGGTAACACAGGAGGCTCAAGCCACCAAAGCTTACATTTGTCTTTGTAGCTAGAGTAGGATCCGCATTTGAGTAATCCAACGCGATGCTGTGGCTAGATTGTTTGGTTGAGACAAGGGGGCCCTGTCGACGATGTCAGCCATTGCCGTAGGCGGGGTTAATCGTGACCAATTACCTGGACATCCGGCTGATAGCTATTGGAAAGCTTCTGGAAGCGTTCCATCTCGTCGGCCGAGAGCGCATTCATGTTGGCGGAGTTGGTAGAGATTGGGTGAGAGAAAGCAGCTGATAATGAAAGGGCTACTGGAGAAAGAAAAGATGAGGAAAGGGAGTCCCGGTAAAAACCAACGGGATTCTGCTTGTCCGGGAACGGCTGGTGAATACCGAAATGATTCCAAGTAGGTTTTGATAAGGACATCGCATACGGTTGAAGTTGTGCTTATTCGGAGTCGAAGAGTCCACGCCGTGGTTATGTCAAGGTTTTCTGGGGATGTTAGAGAAGAACTTGACCGGGGCAAAGACCGGATATAAAGAATAAGTTGACATACAGCTCGAATGGACATCCCGAGGTCTCCTTGGAAGATTCGGGCGAAATACGGGCTTCACAGTTTCGCCTTGTACGACGCTGTAGAGTGTCCCAGAGGATCGGCTTTTACTATCAGAGTCTCAGCATGACGATCCAGACGCAAAATATGCACAGCAGTCATCGATGGCAATCTCGAATCAAGTTCATGAGGCGCTAATAGGAGGATACAAGGAGACAAGATGGGGCAGAGGAAGGAAGTACTACAAGCCTCGAGGACCGCTCTCCCACTCTGATTGGGTGTGTAAAAGAAGGTTTGTGGTGAAGAGATCCGGAAGTCATCCAAAGGGGATATCACAATCACACTAAGGGAAAAGAAAGGCAAGGCAATGATGTCAAACCTCCACGCGGCAGAGGCTATAAGCCGGTTGGAATCGGCCCAGGGAATCTTCTGAAGGAGGGTGCACGAACCGCACACCAGATTCGTGAGATTGACAGGGATGGAGACTGATTTTCCCGTATGATCGAGCGGATATCGATTCCGGGGAATTATAAATGGAGAAACCAGAAGGGGGGCTGTAAAGGGGGCCAAGAACAGAAAAATAGAGAGTGTGTATGACACACAATGACAAAAAGAAAAGGCGATCGGGGGGGGAGCCCACCTTGTTTATGACCTTGCACACGATGAGATAATCATGGAGGGGTGAATAAGAAGGTCAAAGAGAGAAGAGAGACGATCTCTCAAAGTGATAAGAGTGGGAGTCGGAGGAGAGATGGGGAAGAGGTGCGTTTTTGCGGGGAGAGAAGAGAGGGAGAGGATAAATTGTTAAGAGATTTAGCAAAAAAAGAAATAGAAGGGAAGTTCACCTTTCTCCCTCCCCTATATGGAAAACGGGATATGGAAATTAGAAAAAGATGAAAAGAAAAGAAGAAAAGAAGAAAAGAAAAAGAAAAGAGAAAATAAAAAGCGAAAAAGAGAAAAAGAGAAAAGAAAACATTTGAACACATATGAAAGTGACGATGCACCGTGCCCCAGTTACCGTACAGACTGAAGATGCTGATCGAACAAACATCTCGCGTAAACGCTCTTTGACTTTCTTCCCTTTTTTCCTATTTTTAAAATTAAAAAAACTATATAGTAAAATGTAGTAAAAAGTAGTAAATGTAGTAAAATGTAGTACATACTTTTACGGTGGTACATACCTAGGTAAGTTCAATGTCGTACGTACTCAAGTTGTACATTTGGAGTACAACCCGGTATACCCCACAAACCCTTATAAGGGTTATATAGTAGGAATTCGATAGGATACGTATATTGTACTCTGTTCTTTATCTTTATACATATGCATATTGAATATACTATTGCCCAGTATACGGATTAACGATCAAATCCCTTATTATCACCCCACCTGTAGTTACCCAATTAACACTGGTTCGGACTAATCGGAGCTCCATATTAACCACGGACACGCCCGAACTAGACATATAACAGGGGGGAACAGTAAAAAAAAGCACGTAAAAGACAAAGGCCAACCTCCCAGGTTAAAAGGCCCAAAAGCGGGGTTTGGAAATCTCCAGGGCTGAAGTCAAGGATAGTTTCGTTTGATGTTGGGCTTCATTGATTGGTGTAGGGCCCCGATTTGATGCAAAGGACCCGGTCTTTGCTTTCTTTTCTTTTTTCTTTTCGGGATTACTTGTTTTATTTTTATTTATTTTTAATTTATATATTTATATGTGTTTATTTTACTTTCTACTTTCTTCCTTTCTAACCCTACCATCATTTACTCGGTACATGCATGTTGGATGTTGGATGTTGGATGTTGGTGTTGGTGTTGGGGATTACCTTGATACAATCGCCAATCACCCGACCTGGTGCTCGGATATCCTTGACAGGACAAGTTTCTTTGTTGTGATTCCCACCGGGCTAAGACGCGCCTAGAGCTCATATGCCGACAGGGAAGAGAGTCGATAGTTATAATGACTCGGACCCCGAGTCATTATACTCCGTACATCCGTTCTAAAAACCGGAAAGACCTCGGGAGAAAGGCCCCGTACCTGATGCACATCAATCATGCAATCCTATAGGAGATAAGGAAATGTGTTCACATGCCTTTGGTCCTCCCCAACAGTATTGCTTTTTCGACTTTGACTTTTCTTGTTCTTTTCCTGAATTGTAATCTAGCCTGTTATTATCTGGGTATCAGAGTATATGCATTCCACCCGGGCAAAAGTTAAGCTAACTTACGTGAGACATCTGGCTCCAGGGCTGGGCTTCCAAGTGGACCTTGAGAGAATTTACTCCGTAGAACTTAGGCAGTAATAATACCTACAGACCTACACTATAATCCTACCCACTACGGAGTACTACATCCACTACAATCAAAAATAAATCGAAACATAAAACAGTTCATCTTATCGTGATTTTAGCGCTGTCAGACCCAACTCTAAATAGCGGGTCTGAATTCACCCTCTTCGCTAGTAAGCCCAACCCAAAGAAACGGTGAGAGAGCTCTTTTTTTGTTTTCCACGCGGCTCACCGGGATATGCACACGTGGAGTGAGGGCGCTTAACCTTGGAAAAGAGTCCAACTTCAAGCCTAGAACCATTTGGCTGGCATTTTGCCTCGGCCATCCTTGCGTGCACGGGTGGATCGCATCGCCTCGTCTCCAAGACTCGATTGGAAAATGGCACCCTGAGACGGATCGTTTGCACGCAACCCCTCACCGTTGAGAGTTGTTTGCCAGAGGTTGCGCAGCGCGGAGCTCCACTCTCCCACAGCTCGCAGCCGCTCCACGTCACTCGCGCTCTCCACTACCACCGTCCCATTATCCTGGTCAATCTTGGCATTGAGCTTTTTGTCAAGGATGAGAAAACTCAGAATGTCCAACACCTCGGGTACAGAGACCTTGATGTGTTTGGAGATAAATTGCAACGAAAACCGGGTGTAGGGCGCAATCAGTTTTAGAACGGCCTTGGTGCGCATGTTGCGGCTAACCTCGTCGATGTTCTCCGCAATGAAAGGATCGGCCAAGACATCCGGATGTTTGCTCAGCACGTCCTCGTATGCATGGATGTCGTCACGCTGGAAGGCATCCACCAGGTCGGTCATCGCGGAAATGCGTGGATCATTCTTGTATGGCTTGGTTTCCTGAGAATCGAAGGGGTTGATGTCGGACTTCATAAGCATGGTCGTTAAGACAAGGTATTTCAAAACTTGGATCCGTTGCATGGAACCCGCCTCGTCGTAGTTTCGGAACGACTCGAAGAAATCACTTTGTGCCTCCTTCCAGTTCTCTTCGCTCATGTGCATCTTGCCTCCGCATTCACGGATAATGCCCATGATCTTGGGATGGGGCACTGCCGACCGCACTCGGAGGGCGCGCTGGTACAAGGCCTTCAGTCGTTTGTTATTCTTCGTTTCGGAGGACATCTGGATCTCCAGGGCGTAGAGCTCGAGTAGGTATGTTCCTTTGCTGGTGTCGTCCGATCCGTCCTCTCGTTGGCATGCCCGGTGCAATTCCCGCACCTTCTTGCCCAGCTGGCCGTATTGCTTGCGCTCCAGCCACAACCGAGCGAGTTTAATATTTGTCTTCAGCCAAAGGCGCTCGTTGTTTGTGTTTTGGAATGATTCGAGGGTCAGAGAGTAGAATTCCTCCATGCATTGGTACGCCTCTGCATTATCGGACCCTTTCTCAATGAAGTCGAGCATATTGTTGATCGATTTCTCTGAATAGTTTCGTGTAACAGCGGATTTAACGTAGGTGAGCAGTTCCCGGTAGTGTGCGACGGTCTAATGAAGAGATGGGAGTCAGTATCTGGACAGCTAGATCAGCTTGGGGCATGAGCTTACATCGCTGTATCGCCCGAGTTTGAATTCCAGCTTGATAGCCTGCTTGAGACCTTTGAATCCCCTATGTTTCCATCGTTAGCGCCAGTCGTTGCGATCAGCCTAGGAGCCATCAAATTACCAGTCGCTTTTGTCTTGTTCCATGGGCGCTATGCCCAGGAACTCGTCAACTGCCTCTTCTGGGTTGTCGACCTTGATCTGCTTGGCATTGTAGTATTTGTTCTCGATTCCGATGTCACCGGACTCATCCTCGTCTGCATCCTCATATTCGAAGTCGTAACTGTGATTTCAACAGTCAGCTCAGTCTGGAAGGAGAAGTGGAGGGACCGATACTCCTCATCCCCAGAATCCTGCATAAAATCATCATCGTCAGACATCTTGGGCGCTGTAATATGTCGAAAAGAGAAGAAGTGTAGGATAGAGAGGGTCGCAAAGTGGTGGGGTTGAAGTGTTGGAGAAGCTCAGATAACAGCTGCGAGCTTCCGCCTTGACTATCGTGAGGAGAGCACTTAGAACTAACTACATTGTACTCCGTACATTGTTGTATATTTATGTACCAACAATATCAATTCAGCTTATTTAAAGATTGGTCCTTCAATAGGCCTACGCCCATTTATTGATAGACTTCAATAGTTTCTTATTATTATTGTTCTACTCTAAATTACCGGCCTATATGAAGGTAATCCTATCCATCTACTTATGAAGGACTGTTCAATCGCCTGCATACATGAATTGTTCTAAGCATGCGACAGACATTAGGCTGATAGCTTAGGCCACCTACAGCAGAAGGAAATCAATAGTTCCGCCTGAATATTTTTGTCTTGGAAGTTTTGTTACCTGTCAGGGGCTCGGTATGTTGATTATTGTACGGAGTACCTATTCTGCTAGTCTTTCTACATATTGAAAGCTAAATATGATCTTTACTATGCCGGCAAAATGAATATGAGCTAAACTGGTATGGAAAAGACCAAGAAAGTCCTAAGCTATGAATTGATACTCTCTTATTCATGTCCCCTTATAGAAAAGCGGGGAGTATAAGCCCCAGGACCTAAAACATCCAGGAACCTGCTAAACAAACAGTATGAGACAGTTGTAAAATGGGCTGAATTTAACAGCCGAGTTATCGAAAAGTAAAAAAAGAACCCTTCGGTGGACCAGAAGGGGGCTGACGCTATTCGCCGATCCCTCCAACCCTTCAGTGCGCGATGTCATCGACTCAATTAGTCCTGGAATCTTCCCCCGACAACAATCTCATTCTTCTACTATCACATAATTGATCCCAACTCTTATACGAGTACCGTTTCACGAACCAACACAAACTCCGTGGACATACTGTCCATTGCCCCCTTATCTCCTCACACCGAGTCTCCTGAATCACATTGCGCAATGCAGCTGTGCGGCCGTCAGAAGGTGGTCCAGCGCAAGATGGTGCTGCTGTTAGTTTTGATCGGAATTTCCCCGCTTATTAGCGATTGGTCTGACACTATTGCAGAGGCGATGGTGCCTGCGGCAAGACATCTGCGCTGAATGTGTTTACTCGTGGGTGCGCAATCTCCCCCTCACCCGTTTCCGAGGATGATAGCATAGCTAACGGACTTTGACAACTAGATTCTTCCCCACGGTTTAGTAAGAAATTCTAGTATCTCCCAAAGCATACTTCCAAGTGCAGGTTACTGACTCTGGTTATTGGTTGTACTCAGCGAGCCTACAGTCTTTGGTATGCGCGCATTCCCCCGAAGTTGAATTTCCTGAACCCGCATTTTGCTAACCTCGGAGGAATATAGAAAACTACGTGCATGGTACATAATTACCCCACTCCCCTCCACCTGACCACAACTGTCGAGACTCACGCGCCCTAGATATCTTCGTCGACAACATACATGTGGAGCTCTCGCTATGGGATACCGCCGGCCAAGAAGAGTTCGACCGACTGCGCGCGCTGTCTTATGAGGACACACATGTGCTTATGCTCTGCTTCAGTGTAGGAACAATGCTCCCTCTCAGACACCACATGAGCTAACAAGTTCTGATAGGTCGACAGCCCTGACTCCTTCGAGAACGTATCGTCGAAATGGATCGCCGAGATTAACGAGAACTGCCCTGGCGTGCGCGTAGTCCTGACAGCGCTCAAGTGTGATCTGCGCAAGGACGAAGACATGAATGAGAACCCCAACACCATCAGCTTCGACCAGGGCCTAGCGAAGGCAAAGGAGATCGGCGCCGTGAAGTACCTGGGTGAGTGCTCCTCAATCTATCTATACCTAATCGCCCGGCTCACTTCGTTTTTAGAGTGCTCGCGGTCCAAAACCGCGGCATCAGAGAAAGCTTCTACGAGGCAGCTAAGGTTGCCCTCGAGGTTAACGCGGGCGGGAGCTCGTCCTCCGGTTCGCAGTGCATCATTCTGTGAGGTGATGTCTCGCTGTCTATTGCTGACACGCATAGTATTCTTCTATGTCTATCATATTGGCTTCATTTACTCGCTGGATATCCATCTTGCGTCGCCATACTGTCCTCCCCCTTCCTCGCCCTCTATTACTTTTTGTTGCTCCCCATGTTCCTCCCGGTTGGATTTGTTGATTCCCCCATGCATTCGGTGTTTTGAGCTTGCTTTCGACTTTTTTCCCCTTCTCCTGGGCAGACTATGTCTCCTCTATTCAGACCACATAGAAATCGGTCTATGTTGATTGCATGGTTGCATAGCTCCGGATCTCTGTGTTCCGAGCATTTCAGCGAGGTCGGTTTTTTTGCCTCCTAATTATGATATAGGAAATATTCCCAATGGATTTTGCTGGTTTTCTTTTGTATTATTTCTCTGATATTCCTTCAGTGATTCGAAAGTTCCGCCCACATACTCCTGTCTCCGCCTGTGTGGATACTTTGGGTAAAGTACCTTACAACCAAGATTTGTTGGAAAGATACCTGATGCGGGGTTCCTTTTCTGCTGGCAGTACATCCACATCCATGCTCCTCGATAACTTCAAGGGCCTCCATCCTTCGTTTTCACTAACCTTATGTGGCCTAATTTGCATAATGACTACATTATGATACAGCTATGTTCAAAATGCACATACTCATTGGGATTCTTACGTTGCATCTTTGTCGTGATCCAGACCATGCAGTCATGTCACTATAAGCACAGCTCTTTACCCCAACTATAGCTAAAGTACATACATCAGAAGTATAGGTTGTCAAGCTTGACAGCTGAGCTATCTAGCATAAAATGACCAAGCAATGGCAATACGACACTAATAATACAAGTCCCGCACCATCTAAGCAGACCATTCGCAAGCACAAGCCTCAAACTAGACAGAGTTCAGTAAATCCTCCTCCCTAACCTGATAAACCTCGTCAATCTTCTCCCCTAGCGAATTCTCCCCACAAGCAAAATCCGCATTAACCCGACTAACGAATTTCTCCACAAACGCAGCGGCAACATCCCCAACCTCCAATCCCGGAACCCCCACACCCTGCAGACTAGTCGCTTCCTTGCCCTCCAGCCCACAAGCCACAATCTGCTTAAAGAACCACATCGGCTCGTCTGTAACATTCAGCCCGATTCCAAAGCTGCTGATGTTGCGTCGCAGATGCACCCCCACAGCCGTGATCTTCCTCGGCTGCATTGCTGATCCAGATCTAGATCCTGACACAGGATTCACCCATACCCCAGATCTTCCGTCGTAAATCCCTCCACCCCGTAGCTTTTCAGTAGGTCAATGACGCTGTTCTCTAGAACACGGATGTGGCACCGCGGCGTTAGGCCCAGTCGCTTGAGATCTAGGATTGTGTACGCGACCATCTGGCCCGGCCCATGGTAGGTTGTCTGTCCGCCGCGGAGAGTCGGGTGGTACTCTGCCTTTGCGGGTTTGGTGCCGTCCGCGGTGAGGAGGGAGCGGATTGGTTCGAGGGCAGATGGCAGGGAGAGAATTGGGTTTGTCGTGGAGGGTGGGCTTGTGTTTGAAGGTGGGAGGTCGCGGCGGCCGGTGGTGTAGACGGGGTTTGGGGTGAAGGTGATGATCGTTGGGTCTGGCGGCGGGGGTGGGGTTTTGGCTAGTGTGGCGCTTGGATTGCTCGGCTCTTGTGAGGATATTGAGCCTGGGGAGGCGAGCTTTTTGTGCGTGAGGAGGCGGGTTGTGAGGGTTTGTTGGAGGTGAGAGACGCGGCTGAAGGGCGTTGTGTGGGGGAGGTGGAGGTGCGCAAGTCTCATTTTGGGTGGTTTTATTGATGCTGAGATATAGAAGGTCTTGGGTGTATAGGAATTGGGTCTCTCAGCGCATTGTAAGGTTGTGGAAGAGAGGTTGCGTTTTCCACGGAGTACGAGGTCGGTTGTTGCGGAGAAGCTGCAAGCTCGCTCCGATAAGGTTTGATAAAGTGGCGGCCATCTGCGATCTCTTCTACATGCCTTGAACATTGGCTACTACGAGTCTAATGCAGACATTAATTTTGACTTTACTTCTGTTATTCCCACTCAATATCGTGAGGGAACCTATTCCACAAGGTGACAATCTTTACACAAATCAAGCCGGAGAGAACCATACTCTAGCGCAAGATTCTCTAAATCGAACAGTCAACTGTGGAAGTGATACCATTCGAATTAATCGGGAACGAAGTCATAATGCGTAGGAATCATAGGTCAATTGATGTACACTTATTTTCTTGCACTCCAAATGCAGACTAGAGCATATCGACCTCAAACTATGAAGAGCTCACGCCATTGACCAGTCCAGAGTCCTGCTGCTCGGCAGGAAGAAGAACCCAGTCGCGGACACCACCCTTCCAATCTGCGATACGACCCTCGGTGACTCTTACAGTCACGACCCGCACGTCAGTGTCAATGGAAAGGCTAGGGCGTCTCGCGCTAGGATCCTGTTGCTGCTGCTGGCCGAAGAGATTGATCTCCTCTTCCTCGAAAGTGTTATTCTCCAAATGACGAGCCTTGCACCATGACTCCTCCTCCGAGCCTGGTTCCAAGAACTGCGCCTCGCCCGTAATAGTAGTCGAGATGCTGGAGAGCGCGCTGGTGTTCAGGTTGAGTAGCAGGCTGGCAAGAGACGAGCGGGTAGCGGCGGGCGGTGGTGAGCCCTCTCGGTCACCTTGCGTCGGGGCCCGGGTTGGTGGGCGATGCGACACCCAGTCGTGGACCAGCAGTGAGACTCGCGGGTTGGACAGCAGGTGGTTCGTTTTCCGCGATGCGGGGTTTGTGGTCATGATGATGGTGGGGTGCGGGTCGAATGGGGTCGAGGGGAGATAGGTGTAGGACATCAGTGAGATGTGGGGTGTTTTATCATCACATGTTGCCAGGTGTAGCTTGATTTGGGCGATGGAGGTCAGCTCGGTGAATCGGTCATCTATTCAATGGCGTTGTACTTACGAAGCGGGAGTTCTTGAGACACGCGATGACCTCGGATGGCAATGAGGTAGCGACATGAGGATGAGTGGTGGTGGCAGATGCCTCATACGACAGCGGAGGGTTGAGTGATTCCGCCATGTTTATAAGATTTCAGAACCAAAACAGTAATAATCGAAGTTACCTAGGTAGGAGCTCGGGAGAAGGTCAAGATCTGCCCGGGGGCGGTGTCCCCGTTACCTAAAGGGCTTAGGCGCCCGCCTGTCCGGCAACGTCATCACTTGTTTGCCTGTAACTTGGTAGCAAGGTATGCTCCGATCTACGGATATTTGTTATGTCAGACTCATCATTGGGCATAGTACAGAATCCACCTAGGCAGACAAGTGCCTCAGTACAAGCAGATTACCTACCTAGGTACCGTTGTAGGTACCCCGGAGGATATGATGTGCAACAGCGTGGAGACCCAGACAACGTCATAGCGGTAGATGTATCGGGTCTTGTATTATTATTGCATGATATTTGCATCCGTCAAGTACAAGCAAACAGCCGTGTCTCAACTCCGTACGGAATACTCTAGAGCTCTATAGTCCTAGCCCCTAATAAGTGGCGATGTACGGAGGACGCTATCCCAAGTACATACAGTGGCTTGCAGAAGTCCAATAGTACTAAGTACATCTGGGCGATGTCATCATTACCCACATTTTAGTGTGAGATTAGCTGTAAACTTGGGCAAGTGGTACCAACACAGCCCGTCACTATTACTCCATACCAAGAACTCGGGGAAGCTCCTTCCCCGCACATAAAGAGCTACCGTTAACAATATGAAGTCAACAGCATCTCCTGACAATTCCAATGTGATACTGACTAGGAGTATTTCATATTGTAAACAATTGGGGTAGATTAATTCTACTGGTCAAGTCTAGAACTCCCCTCCCTGACTTTTGTTACTGGTATTTGCACATTCTCATACTCTCCGATCTGATCGGTACACCCACCCCGATCATCGCCCCTTCTTCAACTCTCCCTCTCCCCTGCAACTTCAACCTGATCCCTGCATTTACCTCTCCACTCTCCTATCCCCCCCCTCTTTACTTTGTTTCTACCATCTTCACCTCTCACTCTACTTCCTCTTCTTCCTCTTATCCCCACTTGATTCTCCTCCCTAGCTTACTGCCAACTTCGGATTTGTCATTGTCAAGCGCATCTTCCCTTGTTCTTTCCACATACCATCATGTTGGCTCCACGCGCAGCCCGCTCAGCTCGATCGGTGACTTCACTCTTGCGACCCTTCAGCTCGTCAGCCGTGGCTTATCGTGCTCCCTCCATTCGAGATATTACAGCCCAGTCGACTGAGGAGTATCTCAGACGGCGGAAAGAGTTTCGCGAGAACTTGGAGCAGGCTCGTTTGAAAAGAGAACAGCAAGAGAGTCAGTCTGTCAATGCTTCTGCTTCTTCATCTACCCCTTCCCGTGAGTACGCTCCCACTGCTCCAGCTGTGAGCAATGCGAGCATCCATGATCGTATCAACCCTACTTTCGATGCTGCCACGGCACTTGACCAGAAAGGACTGGGCTCACTCTCAACGCACCGCTATCTAGGGGATGACCAGAACCAAGAAGCTGCGGCCAAACGTGGCCCTTTGTCTTCGCTCATCTACGGCACCAAGGAGGGTCAACACTTCGACAAGGATATGGAGCGCTCGTTCTCGCAGGTCCTAGCACGCGGCAAATATGTCCATTCTATCGTTATGCACGACGTCAAGCCCGACAAGGTTGATGAATATGTGGACCTGGTGGGCCAATGGTACCCCCGCATGGCGGGTACCGAGGAGAACCGTGTCAACTTGGTAGGCAGCTGGCGGACGCAAGTCGGTGACAATGACACCTTTAGTAAATGCCCGATCAAGTGACCGAACAATTTTCTGTGCGCTGACTTTTGTCCTTGAATAGTCCACATCTGGGAATACCAACGCTACGAAGGCTACCACGACTCTCTCCACAACATCTCGCAACACCCAGAGTTCCGTGAGTTCGATCGCAAACTCAAGAGCCTGATTAAGAGCAAGAGGACTTCCTTGATGCAGGAGTTCTCATTCTGGCCCACCACCCCGCCTCGCCGTCTCGGTGGACTGTTTGAGCTTCGGTCATACACACTGCACCCGGGCAATCTCCTCGAGTGGGAGACGCACTGGCGCCGTGGCCTTACAGCTCGTCGTGAGGTGATGGAGGGTGTAGGCGCTTGGTTCGTGCAAATCGGCGAACTAAACACAGTACACCACCTGTGGCAGTTTGCCAACTTGGAGGAGCGCAAGATCTGCCGTGAGCAGTCGTGGGGCATCCAGGGCTGGGCCGAGACAGTTCACAAAACTGTTCCCTTGATCCAGAGCATGCAGAGTCGGATTCTTGTCCCCATGCCCTGGAGCCCTGTCGGCTAAATTGTGAGAGCCAGCTGAAACGTTTTCCCGTGGCTTATTCCCCGGATCTTTGCGTCCTAGGAAACCTTCATTGTTCGAACGAGCAGGATGTTGCGAGGTGTATTGACCGAGATTGGTTACCCCATACCCTTATTTCCTTTCCGTCGGGATGCATGCTATGGGGATACTAGGCCCTTTGCATCCGATTCTGTATTGTGTACCTAGGCATTAAGCATGTGTCAAATCAATTAGTCAAGCATCGAACGTCTTCTTTACCATTCATATTATTCGTTGATTTCTTGTGAGCACGGATATCACTTCCAGTACCGAAGGCCCTCGGATAACCCCACTTTTGCCCATCTCAACACTTTGAGGCATTTCATTGGGCTCAGATCGCTGAGCAGAGGGGTTAATATCGTGCACATGGATTGCCGAGCTCATGAGGAAAGAATAAATTTGTCGAGTTCCAACATGTAAATACTTATATCCATGTAGACTAAAGACGAATTATCTACTCTACGATCTAATCTAAGACCTCATTGCATCTCTCCGCCGGCAGAAAAAAAAAAGTCAACAAAAGATCACTAAGTGGCCTCTTTCGCTCTTCAACGCCGATCTTTAATATCAAGTCCCCATAGACCCGCGTCTACGGCTGTTCCTCCTTAACGGAGACCCGGTTTTCTTCTCTTCTTCTTCATCCTCTCTTTCTTCCCTTTGTTTTCTTTACTTCCCGGACCTTCTCCGATATCCCTCATTAGTACCCCGTCAACCTTAATCGCACTTCTACAACAGTGCTCGATCCGCGCGTATTTAAAGGCGAAAACCGAAACACGCCAGCTCCATCAGATATAGGCCTCGCGCTCAGAACGGAGTACCCAGGCAATAGACACCCGCGCGTTCACAGACGCGCAAAGCAACCTAGAGAATGGTGTACATCCGGCAACATGAATTGGCGAATCTGAAGAACTACAAATATGCCGGAGTCGACCACTCGCCTGTCAGTCGGTTTATACTGAAGCCGTTCTACAACAAATGCGTGATTCCCTGTTTCCCCATGGGGATGGCGTGAGTATACTCCCTCTCCTTGCTTTTTGTTCCGGGGTCTTGGTGTGCATGGGGTATAAATCCTCGCGCTGGTGCCCTTTTGCTTTTGCATACCGAGACGGATACGTTGTTTTTTCCCTCTCGTCTTCTGTCATCCCATTCCAAGGAATTTTTACACAGCGCAATATGGCTGACTCTATTCTTCTACTCTTTGCGCGTCTAAAGACCCAATGCCGTAAGTCTTGCCCATGCGACACTGCTACGATTTCCCGAGTATAAGAAAAGATCCTAATCCCTCGCTCGTTTTGGTAGATCACTCTCAGCGGATTCATGTTCGTGGTAATTAATTTCCTCACCGTTATGTGGTACAACCCGAACTTGGATACGGACTGCCCGCCCTGGGTCTATGCCAGTTGTGCTATTGGCTTGTTCCTGTACCAGACCTTCGATGCTGTAGATGGCATGCAGGCGTATGTCAACACCTTCCGTCGGAAAGTTGAGCGCTTTACTGACACTGACTGGGTTTTAGACGGAGGACGAGACAGAGTGGCCCGCTGGGCGAGCTCTTTGATCACAGTGAGTTTCCGAAGACAGTATGCAAAAGGCCGAAGTGTATGGATTGCTGATTCTTTATTTCTACGTTTCTAGGTGTCGATGCATGCAACACCGGTCTTAGCGTCTTGGTCTTCGCAGCAGCAATGAACATGGGCCAGTCCTGGATGACCTTCATCGCTCTATTCGGCTGTAAGCCTAGCCCTCCTCTGCCCTTCCACGCATAAATCATCTCTGACAATCGCAGCAACGATGACCTTCTACGTCCAAACATGGGATGAGTACTACACGCAAATCCTCACATTGGGCGTGATATCCGGACCTGTTGAGGGCATCCTCACCCTGTGCGTCGTCTACATATTTACCGCCTATATGGGCGGCGGCAGCTTCTGGCATCAGCCCATGCTGGAGACCATCGGCGTGCCGAAGCCTAGCTTCCTCTCAAGCCAGGTGTACAACATGCCCTTCACGCAGTGGTATCTTGTGTACGGCGCGATCATGCTCTGCTTCGCCATCAGCTCGAGTATCATGCACGTCATGAAGGTGCGTCGCGAGCGAGGCCAGGACCCCTTCTCGCCGCTGTACGGCCTCCTGCCCTTGGCGGTTATCTGGACTCTCATTCCCGCCTACCTATACCTGCAGCCGGTGATTTTGGAAAACTACACCATCCCCTTCGGGCTGTTCGTGAGTCTCGTCAATGCGTACTCTGTTGGCCGCATTATCATCGGCCACCTGACTCAGACGAGTTTCCCGTATCAAAACGTCCTGCTGTACCCGCTCGCTCTGGGTGTTTTGGACAGCGTAGGTGCGCTCATCGGCTTGTGGTCCGCCCCTGTGCTTGGGTACGGTGTTGGGCAGGTAGGATTCGTATTCGGGTTATTGGGACTGGCTGTCGGTGTGTACGGAAGCTTCGTGGTATGTTTCCTCTTATTTTTCCCCTGCGGGCGACGATTTGCTGATCTTGATTTCCTCCAGTTTGATATCATCACCACGATATGCGACTACATCGATATCTGGTGCCTCACGATCAAGTACCCATTTGTCGAGGAGACCGAGCGCAAGACCGGAGTTTCGAAGAAGACCATATAAAGACACTATCGGCGCAATCCGGAGTGTCTGGTGGGCTTGTGGATGAAATGGAGTTCAACCTCGATCACCACAGGCGAGACAGCTCAATTGAGCTGAGTGGGAGAGTCGGGTGTCAGTCGGACACTTAAAAAGGAGCGTTCGACAATATGATGCCTGGCTGATGACGTTTCCAGTACATAATTTAGTTTCCTTTCAACACAGAGCAAGTAGCTCAGAGTGGCGTTCTAGCGATAGAATATGAGAGTTGTAATATTGTCGTTGTTTTGAGATTGTTGTAGAAGGATGAAGCACCTGACTGCCTGCCTGGGGCGGAATCTATGTCTCCACACGGAACCAGCGATTGAGCTCGTGCTTACCTCAGTAGCTTACCTAATCCAGTTGTGATTGGTGGAAAGTCCGCCGCCTTCCCGAATAAGGACAAGCGAGGGCACAAAGCGGCACAAAGCCCTACCTCCACCCAAACTGGTCCAAATCCCTTCAGACTTCTCTTGGAAGACCACCTCATCCGCATCACACAAGGCCATCGCCATCAGCGCCATTAATCAACTATCTCGCTGATCGACTTTCACTCGTCAAGATGGTAAGCCCATTTTCGCCCTGATTTTCCGCTCGGTCCCTTTTCGATGCGATACACACGGACATAGGAGACCTATACGGATTATCGATTCCAAAACTCAACGTCCACCGACGCTAACATGCTGTCCTCGATAGGTTCTCGCGGTCGATCTCCTCAACCCCACCCCCCAGGCCGAGGCCCGTAAGCACAAGCTTAAGGTATGAAACGACTGGACTCCCGAACAAGACACGATGAAAAGAGATGAAAATATCAACCCGACGAGGGGCGAGACCTGGATATTCGACCTGGCCCTGGACCTCCGATGCTCGACATGGAGCGAATGGGAAAAGGCACCGAAGGACAGGATGATATGGAATCTTTTCAGGAAAATGGAAAATGTTGGAGAATAATGATGGCTGATTATCGACTTTCTCGCCTACAGACCCTCGTGCCCCAGCCCCGCTCCTTCTTCATGGATGTCAAGTGCCCCGGTTGCTTCACCATCACCACCGTCTTCTCGCACGCCCAGACCGTCGTCATCTGCGCCGGCTGCTCGACCGTTCTCTGCCAGCCCACCGGTGGTAAGGCCCGTCTGACCGAGGGCTGCTCTTTCCGCCGCAAGTAAACGAGAAACGAATGAAAAACTTTTTTTTCTTGTTATGTTCCGGTTGAAACGTCAAAGAGAGAATTAGCATGGAGAAATTAGGATGAAAATACCAAAACCCGGGGTTGACCTCTTCTTACCTTTTTTTTGATCGTCTCGGCTTCGGTTTTCGGTGTTTCGGGAGAGAGTTGCTATTCAGGCCCAGTTCCATATACTGGGCTTTCTCTCTTTCTTCCTACCGGGCTTCAAAATGTCACATACCAAACAACCCTTTTTTCAATATCACCCTTCCCCTACCGAACCACGTGGACATTTTCCTTAACTGTTTTTTCGACTGGTGTTGGGTCTGTGAGGTGCGATTTGCAGATGGTGTGATATGGTTCTTTTTCCATACTATATCAGTATGCTGGATCCCCTCTTGAAGAGGACTAAATTTGAATGTGGCCTTTTGGACCCATTTCTCATCCTATTTTCCACCCATTGTCTGTTCTTTCTTCTGCATTTCACGGTGATGATTAATATCTCAGCGTTGAATTATTGTTTTCCTTGCGCGTGATGACAGATAGAAGATGGAATGCCCCGACCCTGTCAACGACCCCCAAAAAGCATTCAAAAAAAAGCAACCAGCATTCTGCTAAGGGAGTTCCGGATATCTGGCACAAAAAAGGCACCTTGCTTGACTTTGTGCTCTGTTTTCTGCTTTCTTGTGTTTAATGTTTAAATGTATCTGCGACTACCTGTATATTGGGCTCTACACTCTATATCATGAGTTGTACCTAAGATCGCTGCCAATTGTAAATGTGTAGCCAGTAGATCTATGCTGCCGAACACCACATACTGTTACATGGATTGTCGCCCATGGATAGCATATCGAATGTTCTATACGCAGATAGTCCAGCTTAAATCATCAAGTAGTCTGTCGACTAAATGGAAACTGCAATGCATACATAGATTCAAGCCATTTCTCTCAACCGTCCAAATTAAAGCAACGATTGACTTAGCGCACTTCATGTCAATCTTGATGGGCTCAGTCTCGCTAGAGGAATCAGTTGCATGGCCTATAATGTTATAAACGTAGAGACGGTCAGAACACGAGCTTCACATTCCTACCAAACCTACCTACTTGGGATGCCGCCATAATGATTTCAGATTAGCCTCATCAAGCCTATACATAGGTAGGTAGGAGTCCCTGCTAGCTAGTAGTCAGGACAAGCTTATTGCCAAGGGGATACCATTGTCCTAGCCTGTACAGGTGTCAACTTAGCAAACTACGAGCCAAGCGAAGTTATCTACTTCAACGATGTTTGAGAAGATCTAGATATTGCCCCCCCCCCCCAATCCCAAGCGGGTCCCGGGTGTTCCCCACCTTGCGCACTACGCTTGTCTGCTTTGGTATGTATAGCCTTCGAGCTCCCAAGGCGACCAACCTTGAAAAATAGGTCTGCTTTGCCGTCTTGCCTAATGCTCGATCTTGCTTGACTGTCTTAGCTAACGTTTATAGAAGGTACACAGCCTCGGGGTATCTATCATGGGTCCCATCCTCTTCTCGTCTGTGCATACAAGAGAAACATCAAAACTTGAAGGACGCAAAAGAAACCGAAAACCCAGTCTCATTCAACATTATATGTAGAGGCGGGCATTTCACGGTAAGTTCTGTTTATGCACAAGAAGCCACTGGAGAAGAGATGCCAGTCGCGATGAGAAAGATAGAAAACGAAGACCAAGCAGACCAAAACCAGGGCAAGCTTATCCTAACCTTCACATGCCCTTGAATATGTACATATGGAGGAGAGCATAGAAAAATCGAGCATTGAACCCCTTTCTGAGTCAAAATCTGGGCCTTAGCCTTGATCTCCGCGCCGAAATCAGCAGGGTTGGAGGGGTTGCCGCCGGTCATCATGGACAGCTTGCCAGAGGTGTCATTGATGAGCATGTTAGCAAACGCATTGCGGCGCTCGACCTCGCCAACGGCATTCTTAGCACCGTTATCGCCGGCAGCGTACTTCTCGGCGTTCACAGCCTTCAGCTGGTTGTGGGTGTTGCGGACGAAGTCGTACAGGAAGAAGATAGTTGGATGGGTGTTAGGGGGGGCTTGCATTGTGGGTGGGATTCAAATGCACTGCTCTAGATGGTTAGCAGCATAGTCTATGTTTCTGAGGGGTGAATTATTGAGGGGCTCAGAAAGATGTTGCATGGCGGGGTTGTAAGGTGGCGGAGACATGCTCGATGAGAGCCTGCATCTTGGCATTGAGATCTTGGATGTTGGTGGTAGACATGGTGTCTGGTTGGGTGTGGATTGTGAGAATGGGAATTAATTCCAAGGTTGGGACTCGAATTGGATGTTTGTTGATGTGATGAAGCTGTTTAGGGTCAGAATTTCCCGAATTGGACTCCGCACTCCGCCCGCCTATCTTATCGCGCCTAAATCGGAGAGGGGAAGAAAAAGAGTCACTTCCTTCGAGTTTCTACTCCCTCCAATGTATAGAACCCTCTCCTCCCAGCCTCTGAAATCTCTCCTACTCAGAACCACCCAAACCCGACCCCTGACAACAATGGCCCCCAATCCCACAACCTCGACGCGGCAACCGCTCAAACTGCTCATGCTCCACGGCTACACGCAGTCTGGCAGCCTCTTCCACGCCAAAAGCCGTGCCCTGATAAAACACATCCAAAAAGCCTTCCCCCTCCACGAAGTCACCGCCATCTACCCGACAGCCCCAATCCGCCTCCTGCCCTCCGACATCCCAGGATACGAGCCCTCCTCGGAAGGCGGTGCAGACAACGAAATCGAATCCTACGGCTGGTGGCGGCGCTCCAACACCGCAAACCCGCCGCTGTACATCGGCATTGAAGAAGGGTTCGCGACTGTAGCGCGCACACTGAAAGAAGAAGGCCCCTTCGACGGCGTGATCGGGTTCTCGCAGGGCGCTGCGCTGGCAGCCATGGTCGCGGCGCTGTTAGAGCCCGGCAGGAAAGCGTCATTTGAGCACTTTTCTAAGATAAGCGCTGAGGGCGCGGCGGGAATGACTATGCCCGCGCCGTTTGGCGATGAGGGCTTCCAGCATCCGCAGCTTAAGTTTGCGGTTTGTTACTCTGGGTTCAGGGCGCCGGGGGCCCGTTACAGGGCTTTCTATGAGGAGCCTGCTATTCAGACGCCTGTGTTGCATGTGCTTGGGTCTTTGGATGCTGTTGTTGAGGAGGCGAGGAGTCGGGCTTTGGTTGAGGCTTGTGCTGGTGAGCCTGAGAAGGATGGGTTGGTTGTTTGGCATCCTGGTGGTCACTTTTTGCCGAGTCAGCGCCCGTATCTTGATGCTACTGTGCGGTTCATTCGGGAGCAGATGGAGCGCAGTGATGGCTCGAATGATAAGGGGAAGGAGGTGGAAGAGGATGTGAATGATATGGATTTGCCTTTCTGAGGGCGACGTCTTTGTATATACAGAGCTCGGTCTTCACTAGATTAGATTAGACCTTCTAGACCATGATTACATGTAGCACATATACTCCCTTGAGAATTAACGACTTGATGATTGCTACTGTTATGAACCCCGAGATCGTGTTGTGCATGGTCATATAAAGGTCAATGCTGCGACTTCACTACTCATGGGTCTACCGGCGAATTAATTTACACGCGGTGGCAGTAATCCCCGCGTCAAGTCCCATACATGCTTTCATCTCAACCCAGTTCAATGCGCCTTGCCCTTCTCACTGCGAGTGGGCTGGATACGGGCCATCATCTCCTCCTTGGTGATCAGATGGTCGATCCGCTCGAGCAGACCCAGCAGGTTCTTCATGTCGCTGCTCCACTCGTTCAGAACGTCATCCGCATCCCGGGGTTTGGCAAAGTTGACCAACCGCGCAGGTCGGTCGATCTTAGCGTAGATGGTCTTTGATGTGACCAGGTCACTAATGTACTTCTCCGTCTCTTCCTCGGTCAGATCCAAAAGTTGGGTCAGACGGCCCATCTGAATGCGAGTATAGTACTTGGCCACTACACGGACATTGTGCTCAATGACACGCTTCCGCAGGTCTTGCCACCTCTGGTTTGCTTGGTTCTCAGTAGACTGCTTCGCCTCGGCGTCGAACACGTCTGTGCTGCACAGGTGGGGGCCAAACTGCTCGGCGACCATAGGCCAGCGCATCAGCTCAGGAATGGTGAACAGCTTCAACAAGCGGGATTCCTCGGGGACTTGTGACAGCCGCGAGTCTTGCTTGATGCGGTGCAAGAGGTCGGATTGCTCATTATCGTAGGGAGACAGGACAACATAGTACACAATGCGGGCGAGTGACTATAGTCGGGTTAGTGGCCTGTATTCTGAGATGGGAAAGGGTTACTTACGGCACGCAGGTGCTCTGGGTTGTTCTCAACTGCTTCCGTGTCCAGGACTTCCCGGTAGTTCTTGCAAACCTCGAGATATTTGTTATCGTGGTTGGCCAAGATAATCTGCTGTTCGAAGTAACGAAGCTTGAGATCTGTGACGTCGTCGTCCACCTCCATAGGTGGTTCATCAGGCGCACGGGTCTTCTCTCGCTCCTCTGCCTCCTTCTTGAGCGTCTCGATCTGCTCGGCCGACTTCTTCGGCTTGCGGCTGAAGTACCGCTTGTTGATCTTGCGGCTGAGAATCTGAGCCTGGGTCCAATCTCCGCGCTCAATGCACAAAGAGACCTGCTCCAGGATGAATTCTGTCTTTTCCCGTCTCGTCATTGACCCGAATGTCTCCACCTGCAACTCACACAGGATGTCTGCTGCCGAAGTGAGATCACCTTGAGTCTTCTTGATATTTGAAAGTATGCGGGTAACGCGGGCTCGCTCTACTTCAACAAAGATCTTTGCGATAATTAGCGCCACGTCAATCAAGATCAAATGGCTCTCAGCGTACCTTTCCCTCAGTCACTGTGCGCAGAGTTTCAATAACGGACATCTTGACCTCCAAGTTGGGTGTCTCATCCAGGAATGTCATCACCGTCTGCACCATCTTCGTTGTGGCCTGCTTGAGTTGGGCATGTTTCTTAGAGAGGAGCAGTACTTGGTCGTTCAGAAGGTTCCAGTCGCCGGAGTTCTTGCTGATGGTGACAATGGCAATCAGTAGCCGGGATGTAGTGGCAAGATCGGATGCCTGGACAAGAGAATCTGAATTAGTTTGGTTGGATCGGTAACGGGGACAGCACTCGGCGTCATACCTGTCTGGATTGCTTCTCCAAACCCAACAGCTTATCGACTGCTCCCTGAACATCGGTCTAGAACCATGTATATTAGCATTAGGTCTTATATGGGTAACGAGTCTGGATGTACCTTTGCGAGAGCCTCCGCCTCCGGGATGAGCTTGTCGGCATCCTTGGTGAAGTCCTTCTCGGGCTTCAGCAGGCCGCCGGACATGATGACGAATGAGGCTGGAAGGCCGGTGAGTCAATTTAAAAGATTAATAGGCTGAGTTGGTAAGAAATGTCTTTGAATACGTTTGTTGCGCTTGACAACGTGAGATTCGTGGAATGGAAGAGGATGATGAGATGATGCTTGTAGCTCCGGTGTTGCGCGCCCTTACGAGCTGGAAGCTCCGTCCCACGTGACCGAAACATCACTTTGTCTTGGGCCTTCTACTCCTCTTGTCTAGCACTTTAGAAGATTTCCAGCAAGTTTTATTTTGTCTGTTCTGGATAGTTCGACATTTAAACTAAAGCCAACAATCTGTATATTTTATCTGGTCCATGTTTTCTTTTCATAGAGTTAAACATACCATAAGACCAATATGAGAGACTCTAAACCGGATTTTTTTACACTATTTGGACCAACTCTTGGAAGCCTCCAGAGAGGTAAATAGTAATCTCAACACCTACTCCGTAGATATCAATATAAATATACATTGAGAGCCTGGCTGGCTGATGATTGTGCGTGGCCTTTGGATCATCATACTGTGATGTTGAAAGTATTGCCAAAGACCACGCACATCCTTTTACTTGTACACTCCACTAAACTACTTTGGGTATATCTCCTGCTGCCCTTCCCCGGCATTTAGGGTCACGTGCTAATAAGCACGCAATTGCCTTTAAACCGTTTTAGGTAATAAAGATCTATAGAAAATTTTGGAAAAGAGTATTGTGTCTGCTATAATTTTACTATTTATGAGTCAATGGTATAAGATCGACCTCAAGGACCTTTGCCTGACTCTTGATTATCCTCAAAATCAAACCTCAGGGCTTCCTGTCAATTGTGCCAGGATCATCCCCCACTTCGATATCCTTATCGCCCGTTATCACCAATCGTGACAGGCCTTTTACTCACTCTTTGATATTCGCCGCTTTCTCCGCGGAAGTCTAGAAAGTCACTTCATTGGGGGCTCTGTTTGTTAAATATAAGCTTCGATTCTCTTGAATCCTCGGAACTCCAAAGCGTTCCGCAATTTGGTCTTCTTTTCCTCTCTGAAACTGGCATATCTCTTACTGATAAAGTCATTGGCGGGGCTTAACATTTCGTTCTACTATACTTCAGTATGAAGGACGCCTCATGCGATCCCAATCCACCGGTGCCATTGATGGCTGCGTGGAATACCGAATCACAAGTCCATTTGATTGTCGGTTCAAATCCTCTTGCCGCCGCTCGATGTGCGAGGAGCCTGGAGGTCGGCGCAACGCCGATCATCATTGCGCCGGAGACCGATGACATGCATTTCACTCTATCTGAACACATTGCCAATGGCTCTGCCCGGTGGATTCGTCATGAATTCCAAGACAAGGACTTGACAACCCTAGGTAGAGAAGAAGTCGATCACGTTGTCGACTTCGTCTTCGTCACTTTGGGTAGCAACAACTCACTAAGTACGACCTGCTTGTCCAATTACCAAGCCACTCTTACTCACATTTCCTACTACTAGGTCCACACATATCGAAGCTCTGCCGGCGCCTCAGAATCCCAGTGAATGTATCAGATGCCCCCGAACTATGCTCCTTCACCCTACTTTCCACCTACTCAGACGGCCCTCTTCACATTGGAATCACTACTTCCGGCCGCGGATGCAAGCTTGCATCTCGGCTGCGGAGAGAGATTGCCTCTTTCCTACCTCAAAACCTTGGAACGGCCATCGACAGACTTGGTGCTGTGAGGAGGCGGCTGTGGGAAGAGGACAGTGCTGCTGGGCTAGTAGAAGGCATATTTGACAGAGAGGACGACGATAGTACAGGCCAAAAACACACCTTCAACAACTTGGTCACAGAAGGCGATGCTGCCGCCGCGAAGACAAGAAGGGTGCGTTGGCTGTCTCAGATCTGTGAATACTGGCCTCTTCGGAAGCTCGTGTCTATCACCGATGCCGATATGGATGCCATCCTGAAGGCCTACACAGCTGGCAATGACACCACAAATGGCACAAGCGGCCTCAATGCCCTCGCAAAGAAGGGGAAGATCGTACTCGCAGGCTCTGGTCCCGGTCATCCAGACCTACTCACCCGCGCCACCTACCACGCAATCCACAATGCCGACATCATCCTCGCTGACAAGCTCGTCCCCGCTCCAGTCCTGGACTTGATCCCTCGCCGAACGGAAGTCCACATTGCACGCAAGTTCCCTGGCAACGCAGACCAGGCGCAGGAGGAATTCCTCGTGATGGGTCTAGCAGCTTTAAAGCAGGGACGGCATGTCCTGCGCTTGAAACAAGGAGACCCATATCTATATGGACGTGGAGCAGAAGAGTTCGAGTTCTTCAGGAAGGAGGGCTATTCTCCGGTCGTGTTGCCAGGTATCACCAGCGCTATGAGTGCTTCCCTCTTCGCTGATATCCCAGCAACCCACCGCGGCGTTTCCGACCAGGTCCTTGTGTGCACAGGAACCGGCAGAAAGGGAGCTGCTCCAAATCCTCCCACCTATGTACCTACTCAGACCGTTGTCTTCCTCATGGCCCTTCACCGACTTTCTGCTCTTGTGGAGTCGCTCACTACCTTCCCCGCGGAAGACACTGGTTCGCAATCACGCACACTCTGGCCCAAGGAGACACCTTGTGCGATTGTTGAGCGGGCATCATGCCCAGATCAGCGTGTCATTCGCTCGACCTTGGAACACGTTTGCTTGGCCTTTGAAGAAGCAGGTTCGCGACCGCCGGGATTGCTGGTCGTGGGTGCCAGTTGCCATGTGCTACACAATCCCCAAGGCCAACGATGGGTGATTGAGGAGGGTTTCCATGGACTGGATGAACTCCGTAGCGAAGTGGATGCGGTCGCTGTGTCAATGGACGAGAAGCAGTGATTCAACGATTTTTCTTTTGTGATATATATATATTTCCGAGCGATGGTTGCAAATTGTGGTGCGCAATGTACATAGACAGCATTCAGATACCCCTAGAAATGAGATATGCATGGTTATTGAAGAATATTATTTGAAAAAGATATTAGTATCTTGAAACACATAGACCATTCAAAGTTGGTATATTCCAAGGTTGTATACGATGGAACGTGCGGCTATAAATTAGTGGAACCCCGGCCCCGGCCATGTTGATCACTCCACCTCATTCACATCTTCAATTCTGACAACCACCCTCCAACACCATGTCTGCCAGGCCCCCAAAGCCAGTCTATTTCTCCGACGGGCAGGCTCTCCAGAGGTAATTCCTCCCCCTTTCTGCTATAACCACAGACCCAAACCGCTAACCAGCGCGCCCACAGCCCCCCGCTCACCGTGCGACTCACCCGCTTCATCAAAAGCATTTACTTCTTCCTCGGCTTGTATTTTACTACCCTCTTTTCGGTAAGTACATGTATCTCTTACAAGTGTTATTACACGCAACATCCTTTTTTTTATTTTGTTTCTCCTTTCAGCCCGCTGCTCTTTCATATTCCGCAACGAGATCAATCTAATCTGTCTCAGCTCGACTCGTACGCCGCCGCCGAAAACTCCTCTTTCAACATCAACAACCAGAGAAACAGATATACTACCCGCTCCCGCTGGGGAGGTAGCACAACCTCATTTGGTGGAGGAGGAGGAGGTGGTGGCGGTGGTCCGGGATTTGGTCCGCGGCGCGTTGGCCGTGTGGATGATGTTCGTGGGCCAGAGTGCAAGAGCTGTCAATAAGCGGACAGTGAAAGCGGTTCAATTGCTGCTAAAATGTAACCTCAAGGAGGAAAAATCGGTTAATGGACCAAGATGTCAGGTTTTAAGTCCTCCGGTTTGTTGTCTTTGGCCAGGGAGCTTGTCATATGCGAGGCATCCTGCAATGCACTTTTGATATTCAACGGAGCCTATAGTACTTTGCTACAACAACTCTCGAAATATACATATACTACAGGTTGATACTTGCCCAGCGGACTTGATATTTCTCCAAAATTTACCGAGTGCTAGCCCGAGACACACACACTAGTCTCTTAGCGCCACAACACCGCCTCTTCAAGGTGACATCGTGTCAATATTAATCACGGGTCGTCATGATGATCGTAGAAGCTCCACGTGACATCCCCTCTTCCCCTCTATGCCAAGTGTAGGAGGAAATTCGAACACATTTCCCGGAAGTAATCCCTAAAACCACACCGGCGGCGTGCTTCCAAACCCAAGGCACACTACACCAACCGCCCAGCATGAGCGAAATCCCAGCAACAAACGCCGAATGGGCGGACAAGATAGCCAACATGAAGAATCAACTGCCTCGACGCTCCCTGACCCAGCCACCAATCCCAACACAAATCCATCGTACAATAGACCACACCCTCCTAACGACCCCAGTCGACGCCTCACAGATAGACACGCTGTGCAAAGAAGCCCTTGAATACGACTTTGCCGGCGTATGCGTGCGACTGGAGCACGTCGCCCGGGCCGCAGGCCACCTCAAAGGTAGCAACACAGCGGTAGCATGCGTGGTCGGGTTCCCGGAAGGCACGCACGAGACAACCGAGAAAGTGCGCGAAGCCAAAGAGGCCGTTCAGCAGGGCGCCACGGAGCTCGACATGGTGATCCGGTACACCCTGCTGAAAGAGCGGCGGTACAAGGAGGTGTTCGACGACGTTCTTGCGGTGCGCCACGCCGCGCCGACGCCAATTGTCCTCAAGGCGATTCTAGAGGCGTCTGAGCTTGATGAAAATCAGCTCATCGATGCGACGATCGTGTCGTGTATGGCTGGCGCCGACTACATCAAGACTAGTACGGGCTGGAATGGCGGTGCCAGTACTGAGCATCTTAAGCTTATGAACTTTGCGGCGCAGATGTGTGGGTGTACTTGCTTGATCAAGGCTAGTGGTGGTATTCGCAATGCGGAGGAGCTGTTGCGTATGCTTAAGGCTGGAGCCAGTCGCATTGGAACTAGTTCTGGGGTTAAGATTATGAAAGAGATTGATGAGGGCGAGGTTCTTGAACAGGGATGCGGCCATGCAGTTGCTTGAGCTTTCTGAGATTCCCCGCAATATGTCTTGGGGTGTGTGGGTGGACGTTAGAGGTGGAGTTTCATAGTGGAGATGGAGACTCGGGAGATATCAGATTCTTTGTTTTACTGTTCCGCAGTACTCTCTGCTATGAACACAATAAGCATCAATCGGATCCTTACACTTTTGCTCGGGAGCCAATATCGCTGTGTAGTAGTTGTATAGGGATCGACCCCCCTGCGCATAGACCCAACGGGAGGGAACGGCGGGAGCAGCGGGATAAGAACCTAGATGATATACGCTCAAGGATTGAGACCTTGCTAAATCAGAATTGCCATGGAGATATGCCCTTGGTGAACGAGAGTAGAGAAGCTTGCAGAGCTTCTGTAAAATAATTGTCACCCTTGCGCATCATGTCATAACAGCCCTGCATTACCCCTTCGGGGTTGCCTGGCGAACATCCTGGCCCACCAGGAAAGAGACCATCCCCTCCAAGGTACAAGGTATATATTTACCTCATATTGTAGGAGCCGAGACCCCTGTTCGGGAATCAGATATCATATGGTTATTGAAACAATATAGCTTGTAAGTGTTGAACATAGGCCTGAGCTGTGATCCAATGAAAAGAGCACACTTAGGGATAATGGCCCGCCCATTCAAAGACGTAGATGAGAATCGTACCAAGGCACGAGAAAACTATTCGGGAGGTTAAATTGCACTCATATGCATAGTCCTAAAAACGTGGCGGACATTTTTATTATTGACCTGGAAGCTCCAAAATGATATAGTATATACTATCCAAAACCCTGCGCCGATCCATTGACATGCGAACCAAAAAAATTCCAAAGCTTTTGTTTATTCATCGCTCGGATCATCCGAGTCACTGGTCACAGCACCATCAATGTCCATCTTTTGAATGACTGCATCACCATTGCGACCCTTCTTCTCTGCAGCGAGCCAAGCTTCCCGTTTCTTCGTCTCGTGTTCCTGCTTCCTTGCTTGCCGCAGGACCTTCTCCTGCTGTGCGGCCTCCTGCTTCTCATGCAACTCATTGATGTAATCCTGCAGATTGGCGAGATCCGAGCGCAGCTGTACAACCTCATCGTCTGCATTATGGCGAGCAGTCTCGTTCACCGCGACCTTCTTCTTGAGCACAGCCACCTCATTTTCTAGCTCGGTGACCTGCGAATCGCGGGTAGCTGTGTCCTCAAGGGTTTCTCTGGCGGGCGCGGCGTTTGAAGCAACGCGGGTAACTTCCGCATTACCAGGCTGGCGGAATGCCGCGAGCTCTGCAAGTCCATCTTCGATCATGGAGGTGGGGAAGAGGGAGTGGGTAAGCGCTTGAGAGAATTCTGTTGGTTTGCGGGAGTCGGATGGTGCAATGATCTGCGTGTGGAACATGTATTCTGCGGGAACGGCGCCAGGGGCATGGTTCGGGGCGGAAAGGCCGCTATCATGGCGCGGCTTGACGATGGTATGGGCTTTTCTCTTCAAATCTGAGGAAGGGTGAGGGATGCCTCCCGGAGGGAGCATTACCAAGTTGGTGATCGGGTGCGTATAGTCGGCAACTGATGATGTGTACTTTCGCCGCGCGACATTCCAAGACAGCACCTTGCCATTCGCGTGGCCGGAGAGCAACGTGGTACCATCATATGTAAGGGAGATTGCCTTCGCTGAGCCTGTTTCAGCCGAGGGCGGGAGCCACCGGTCCTCCATGGACACCTGCGCGGGTGTTGATTGTACTGAAGGGTCGTGAAGAGGATGCTGCGCAGACTGGCTCCGGTAGAAGTCTACTGATTGCACGCTGCCATCTTCATATCCGACGTAGAAAGCCCGGTCGACGGGGTCTAGAGCCACAGATGTTGCAGATAAGGGAAGGAGGAAGGTTCTCAGAGCACGGCCGGTATGATAGTCCCATGCGATCGCAGTGTTGTCCTTTGCGGTTGATACGACAATGTTATGGCGGCCATTGCTATGTCCAACAGCAAGAGAGGTGATAGCTGCGCGGTGGTTGGAGAAAGTTCGGATAGGTGAATTCGTGGGTTGGCGAGTCGCACTAAGAGCGGGTTTCGAGAACGAGAGAATGCCAGGCAAGGACCAGACATGTACACTGGCATCAGCGGACCCTGACAGGATAAAATTGGACGTGGGGTCGACGACGAGTGAAGTCACCGGTTGCAAATGGGAGGCCGTTGTGGCTACTTGGCGTCCTGTGCATGTCTTGAAAAGAAGCTGTCAGAGCCATGGCATGGGGAAATGTATCTATTAGTTCCAACATACCTCCCAAACAATTAATCGACCACCCTCGGTGCCCAAAACCAAGACATCACCATACTTGCCCCCCGCGACAGCAATGCTGCGTACCCGCTCCGGAAATGGAACAACGCCCTCTTGGTTACCCTTCTCCCGGTTGTAGACGTGAAGGACAGCCTTGTCTGCTTGAGCTGTGAAAATATGTGAGGGGCTGACAGCCAGACAATTCGCCAAAGTTGAGCTTTTTTTGAAAGTCGATCGCAGTATGGACGAGGGCTGCAATTCGTGGACGCAGACCCCAACATCTCTGAGGGAGGCTGTCGGAGATTTGGCGGATGACAGCGTCGACGCCACAAATGATTCGGAAAGCATCAGGAATTGAAGAATGAGGCTGTCATACGAAGTATGGGAGGTTGGTTTCGAAAGTTGCCCATTCCGAGCTTTTTTTTTCTTAATCGATTGATAACGAGATGTTTGCACTGTTTGGACTATAATCAACCTCCAGCCCCGGTGCATCCACAGGGCTTGTGTGATCTATCTTAACCAATTTGGCTTTCTAACTAATGCAACCTTCTAAAGATTTCTCCGATCTTTCTTCAATAGACAGAGCGATTGTTTCCAATGCATCTATCAACTAATTGTGCCGTGTTTTGTTAGACCCGCCAGGAGTTCGATCTATCATTCTTAGTCAGCCCCATCTGGGCCAACCGAGCTCAGCAAGTATGAGGGATCATCTTGCGCCAGTCTATCAATCGAAACAATTTCTGTTTTCCGATACAAATTGGGTGCACAGGACGATTAGGCCAAGCCCTCATCAAGCATTTATATCCAAACCTCCATAAATTATGCTGATATATACAATAACATTGGTATGAACCAGATGCATGCAAGGGATAGCCCAAAGTTGACAAGAAGGGGTGGATTGCTGTTGCGACGAAACACAAGATTCAATGAAGACCCGCTTTAATACACCCTCTGGCTGATCCTGTTGCCCTTTCTCAAGGGTCTGATTCGCCATGGCTCCCTTCTCCCCCCCTCTTGCATCCCAATGTCTCATTCCAAGTACCCAGTCGGAACCTAGCTATGACGAGTTGAAGCACCGAATGGGTCTCTCCACGTTGACGGGCTCCTGCAGGACGAAAGATTGAGATCTCGAGCCAATTGCTGCCCGTCGTTGTCCCGGTTTCTCATCTTCTTTGGAATGCAAGGACGACGCGACCTCATTCCCACTATTATTACATTGGCCCGTGCCTAGTAGAATCTGACTTCAAGTGAAGTGTTCGTGCCAGGCGACGGACCCTCTTTTCGCGCTCGAAGGGGGAATCGACCCGTTGAACATTTTCCGTCTTTCATGGCAGGGTTGTTGTCCTGTCAAGGGATGTGCACTTGAGCCTGATGACCATCCCCACCTTAAATTAGCTGACTAGCGCCACAGTCGCTGTATAAGGACATATCGAGCCCCTGCAGGGACTGAGGTCGGTTTGTTTTGACTTCAAACTTCAACAATAAACAAGCTGGATTGCAATCTCATCTGGGTTACTCTTGTGCAACACGCTTTGCTTTTTTTCTTCGACATTTCAGGCCAGGATTCTTACTTTCAGCCGCGGATACCATTGTCCAATATGGACTCCGGTGCAACAGACATACCTAGCCATGCATGTTTTCCGGCCCAGATCCAAACACATATAAGAAACCAGGGCTCAAACTCGTCGTCGATGAGCCACGATGTGATGGCAATGGCCGAGCCTATTCCATCACCCCGCCGATGGTCTCCCACCTATGTACCCCGAAGGCGAAGTAGACAGATGCCGTCACTATCATTTGTACCGTCACCAGTGATGCCACGCATAGAGTCGCATGACTTTTCGACCTCAGCATCACGGCGCCCCACAGATCGGGGTCCAGCTTGCATGTCACCTTTTCGCTCGGTTCGGAGGATGAAAGAACCATTTCAATTAATGCTTCCGACATCCCCGGCGTCCCTGGAAGGCCCTCCCCCCAACTTTCCTGAAAAGACAAGGAGGCCGTCAAAAGCGCCGGCGGACCACACATTACGAACATGGCGCTCAGACCAAAACCTGACTTGCGGCAGCTTGGAGGCTTTCGGCCTTCTACCCAGCCCGCCTATATCAGAATCACGCCCCGCAAGCACGGGTCCTGAGTTATCTTACTTTGATTCACAGTCCTCCGATGAATCTGTTCGATCAAGTGACGGGAGGGATGAGAAGGATGAGCCTGGTACTCAACCGGAAGTTTCTACCAAGGCCGCAACACTTGAAATTGGGGAAAAGATACAATACACAGCGTACCGCCCCCCCAGACTGGAAGAATCAACCACGAACAGATGTCATGAATGTTCATGAAGCTCACTCAGAGTTCGTACGCCAGTGTGAGTCTGGCAATGCACAAGAGTCAAGACCCCAATCTCCGAAGAAGGCTGCATCTTCTCAAGCATCTCCGAAGCCAGAGAGTAGTGAGACAGTTCTTATTCCCGGGAGCTCACCTAGACCCCAACGTCCTCGGACTGCGACAGTCTCGAGTGAAGCTAGCTGGGTGCCCAGCAACTTCTCATACTGTGAAAGATGGCTGCAAGGTGTCCCGGTTGACAAGGTGGATGACGAAAAAACATCTACAAAAGAGTTCACCAATCGGCGGAAGTTCCAGATTGTTGAGAACGACCCTCCAATGCCAAAACTGGACATCATCCCGGGGGCAAAGGCCCTCGAAGAACCTGTGGTAAGTCGGTCAATTCGTTACTCTGAGTTGCCATTGAAATAAAACTAACCCCAATATAGAGATTCGTCGTCGCTAGCAAGACAAAACCGAAACTTGTCGATATCGCTCGACAATCATCACCATCGCCTCCACTGCTTCCACCGCCATGCTTGCTGCCAAACACCGTACCGACGACGCCGGATCAGCGTCAAGAGGAAGTATCCGCATTTAGCCCGGACACTCCTCTTGATATGTCTGATAGTGGTTACGGAACTCGCGACTCCGGCTATTCCTTTGATAGCTTTGATGGTAGCAAAGTCGATGATGACGACGATGCCTATACCGATCCAGGGTCATTGACCTCTTCGGACAGTGTCGGATCAACCGTCATCTGCGAGAAGCCTGAATCCGCGCAGGGAGACCGCGAGATTAGCCCACAACCTGAAATCAGATCGGGCAGCGTGAGCCCAAAGGCATCATCCCCACCAACAACTCACGCACCAGGACGAAAGTCTCCCATATCGGAACAGGAAGATGAAAAGCCACGGATATTGCACCATGACTGGACGCTGGACGATCATGAATGGACCCTAGATGAGCTCGACCACTCTGTCAAAGATTTCCCTCGGCATATGCTCCGCCTCGCATCCCCTGTTATGGTATTCCTTCGCAAGAACGACGAGAAGGCCATCATTAAGCCCTTCCGCACTATATTCCCCGATGTCACGGAGAACCTCCTCGACGGTCTATGTGCTGCCCTCCTCGCTAGAAACTACCTCCTTTCTCTATCAACCACCTGCCGAACCAAGCCGACGCCCTCTCCGCGCAAAGACGCATACACCATTGACGGTGTTCCGAAAAAAGCATACAATACGCTGGGGATCCAGCTTCCACCCGGGTCTGCCAGCAAGCCCAAGGACCCCCTTTTCAGCTCTCGCAGCGCGGAGCTCCAGACACACCTCGAACGAATTGTGGACAACCTCCTATTCGCCATCTGCGGCCGATCAGGCCCTACTTTGAAATCTGCCGTTGAAGTTCTCGCCCAAGTGCTCGAAACCAAGGCTTCGCATTGATCACTCCTTGCATCCAACATTTCCTTGCCTTCATTAATCCTATTCTCTAGCTATACCTGACTGAAGTCTATCCTTCGTTTCAATCTCTCCTTTCCCCTGGAATTCTTTCCTCCACTCTCTTCTCCAAAATTCTTTCTTACCGTCTATCCTTGTCTCCTTTCATATCCGTCTGTCTCCCTACCATTACTCGCTCTAATCATTGAGTTCTCTTTCTCCTATGTGTTTGTCCATGCTCTCTTTCCATCTAACTACTGTCTCCCTCTTCTCTTTCTGCTCTCTTTGTGCTTTTTCCTTTGCTTTTTTTTTCATACCCTTGCATCGCGCGGTCTTTGGAACTTGCTTTGGTAAATTTTGTGCGTTGGGGATCAATCATCTATAGGCAGTGTTTCAATAGCATAGCAACCATAATAATAATGGCATAATCAACCAGTATTCCAAATCCCTGGCCATGCATAGAAAACTCGGCTGTAAGATTTATGCTTTCTAGCGCCTTTTGATCTTTCTATAGAACTGACAAGGGCAAAAGACATATAAAAAGGCATTGTAGTCGTTATCTTGGATCTAACGTCAAGCAATGAGTCCGGATAAGCAGGTTGCTTTCTCATAGTATTCTAAGCATTATTACAACTTTGAACATCATATCATTGCCTCATTGCCCATGGATACAATGGTGGACATACTTTCCCGCCCGATGTTGCGGCGAAACTGATTAGTCATACTTTTCCGCGGGATCCATTGCCCAGACAAACTCCAGTTCGGCTTTCTGATTCACATAACATACACTCACACATCATGGCAGCTCCAACAAGAAGTCTACGACGCCTGTCGTCTTTCAGAACTACCATATCCCCATCCTCGACAGTAATTGCTCCCATCGGCTGCCGAAGCTACGCCACAACAGACTCCTCATCCGCCACGAACACACCAGGAACCACACGGCGGAGAGCAACCAAGTTCCAGGATAAGCTGAATGCAGGACCCTCATTCTCAGACTTTGTCTCAGGAGGTCAAGATGAACCTCTCGACCCATCCGAAGCCTACGCCCTTAAGACCGCGCTTGTCGGCCCCGCCGGCCGCAAGAAGGAAATGACTCGTTTGCCCGAATGGCTGAAGACTCCCATCCCAGACTCAAAGAACTACCAGCGCCTAAAGAAGGACTTGAGAGGATTGAACCTGCACACCGTCTGCGAGGAGGCCCGGTGTCCCAACATCTCCGACTGCTGGGGCGGCAGCGACAAGTCCTCTGCCACAGCGACAATCATGTTAATGGGCGATACCTGCACGCGCGGGTGCCGCTTCTGCAGCGTCAAGACATCTCGCGCTCCTCCTCCGCTCGACCCGCACGAACCCGAGAACACCGCCGAGGCCATTTCCCGCTGGAGCTTGGGGTACGTGGTGCTGACGAGTGTGGACCGTGACGATCTGGTGGACGGCGGTGCGCGCCATTTCGCCGAGACAGTTATCAAGATCAAGCAGAAGAAGCCGAGTATGCTCGTCGAGTGTTTGACGGGTGACTTCCGCGGTGACACGGAGATGGCGGCATTGGTTGCGCGGTCTGGACTGGACGTCTATGCGCACAATGTTGAGACTGTTGAGGAGCTTACGCCCTTTGTCCGTGATCGTCGCGCCACGTTCCAGCAGTCTATTCGTGTGCTCGATTCTGCGAAGAAAGCTGTTCCGGAACTTGTTACGAAGACTTCGCTCATGCTCGGTCTCGGCGAGACGGATGAGCAGCTCTGGGATGCTCTGCGTCAGCTCCGCGCTGTCAACGTCGATGTCGTGACCTTCGGCCAATACATGCGGCCTACAAAGCGCCACATGGCTGTTCATGAATACGTGACCCCTGATCGTTTCGAGCTGTGGCGCCAACGTGCCCTTGATATGGGCTTCTTGTACTGTGCTTCGGGCCCCTTGGTGCGGAGCAGTTACAAGGCTGGCGAGGCCTTCATTGAGAATGTTCTCAAGAAGCGCCGCGCTGGCTCTGGCACCGCTGAGCGTACTGTCGATCAGAGCGCTGCTACCACTGACGAGGCTACCCGGTGAAATGTCTTGCGTTTGAACAAAAATCCGATTCAACTACCTAAATAAACCTGTTTCCTTATGTTCTGACCACATGCACATGTCATTCACCCTCCTGGCGCTATCTTTCTTGCATCTTTCTGGGCTGTCGGTTTTGGGGGTTTCATAAAGGGGATTTTCGCTGGTTTTGTCAATTTCAACAGTCTAACATTTCAGCACAGGAATGTACATTGTATCACCATTGGAGAAGTCTCGTGGCCTATTTCTATCTGTTCCTAATTTCAAGCTGCACTGGAAATCAACTCAGTGCTGCTCTCCTTATATCAAATCTCAAAATGTCATAGATTATGGTCTGAGCCTGCTCCATTCCCCAATCCACCACATCCGCCCTCAATGCAAAAGGAACCCGCCGCAAGTATCAACAGGGACGAAAGCCACACGCTATACAATGATTCCATACTCCGTACTACGTCCTATCCGTCACAACCACCGACTCTGCTAAAGGTAAAGACCGACATAAACTCCACAACTCTTCAACACAAGCAAACTTCAAGTCAAGCCCCGCAGCCAGCTGTTGGCGGCGTTTGAGGCTAGACTCTTCGAGGGGTATAATTATCCAAAAAGGTTAGATCAAAGGGCAAGACTCGCCAGCGTACATGGGTATACTTCGCTGGAAATGGCACGTTGCCCGTTTAACTACTCAAGGACTTATTGCACATCGGAGATTAACTCCGCGATGTCCTCGTTGTCCATGCCGAGAAGGTAGAGGACATCGACAAGGCTCTCGCCGTTGATGCGGACGGGAGCTTCCAACTGGACCTTGGACTTAGCGCGCCAGGCGACGCCGAGGCCTGCAGCGTGGAGCATCAGGAGATCGTTGGCGCCATCGCCGACGGCCATTGTTTGCGAGAGGGGGATGCCGTTCTCGGCGGCGATGGACTTGAGGAGAGTGCGCTTGTGCGCGGCGTCGACGATGGGGTAGGACGGCACCAATTTCCCGGTCAGGGTCTGGGTGGCCTCGTCGATTTCGAGCTGGATGAAAGGTCAGATCGGATGAAATGAAAATAGTAAGAGAAAACAGGAGAGGCTTACGTGGTTGGCAATGGCAATATCGATACCGAGCTGTCCGGCGAGCCACTCGGCGAGGGGCTGGAACCCGCCGCTCACTACTGCGATCTTGTAGCCCAGAGCCTTCAATGCGCGGCAGAGCTCACGAGCGCCCTTGGCGATTTTGAGGACGGACTTGAGCTTCTCGAATACATCTGCGGAGACGCCGTTGAGAAGACCGACACGTTCCTTTAGTGATGCGGTGAAGTCTAGTTCGCCGTTCATAGCGCGTTCAGTGATTTCCTACATCAATGTTAGTCACTGACGTAGAGACTTGAAGCCTTGACAAGAAGAACTTACGGAAACCTCCTTCTCAACACCGATGAACTTGGCAATTTCATCGATGCACTCGTTGTCAATCAATGTGCTGTCCATGTCGAACACAGCCAAGCGCTTGTGACGACGGAAGACGCTCTCCTTTTGCAGGACAACCTCGACATTCCACTCGCGCTCAAAGCGCCAGATGCTCTCATGCTTGCGCAGATCTGGGAATGAGAGATATTCCGGGTTTGGCGGGGGAGAAAATGTGACCTCCACGACGCGGGGGTGTTCGTCGCGGTCAAGACAGCGGTGCGAGGTGTTCATGCGCTGGTAGGGCGTGGGGAGGGTTTCCAAGATCTGAAGGAAGTTGGTCAAGCACAGCTGAGAGACGTATGGCCCGTATAGGTGATCCAGTGGCTCGGGCTCTGGGGCAGGCGGCTCCCGTGGGAATTTATCCATGTCTTCTGTCGGGGCAGAGCCTTCGGGCACCTTAGGAGCTGGGATCTTGTCGCCAGGGACATTCTGGGGCCCTGAGTCGGGATGGTAGTGGGGGTGAACGGGGTTGTTAGATTTGTAGTAGATGGTCGCGACGATTTGCGATGTGCCGGTTGGAAGAGGATTTGCTTGGTGGTTGAAAATGCTGTGAATGATGCCGCTATCGGTGACTCTCTCCGGGTCTGGCTTGATTGGATTCGAGTTAAGTACCAGTTGATCTTCTGTCTGGTTAGCCAGAACCTCGCCGATGGTTTGACTGATTGGATTGATTGGAGCCATCGGCTTGTACTGCTGATGGTCCTGCAGGAATGAACTGCTGCGCATTTGGCCGAGGGACGGCCTCGTGGTGCGGGTAGACTCTGCCATCATGCACTACTAGTGAAGGGGTAAACAGTTATTTGCGAGTTGACACTATTTAGAGAGATCCCACATTTCCGAAGATCAAAAACGACGCCGATCGGCACGTGGGACTCGGTCCCACAACGATACACGTGACGTTGGCTTCCCCCCCTCATGTGTGACCGCCTGGCAGAATTGACAGAGGGAGTGAGGTCACAAGAGATGGACCACCTCCAGGTTTAGATGAGCTTAGTTTGAGGATTAGTACCTCATCCAGATCCACCATGACTTCAGAGTCAGGTCATTCTATTCATGGGTATAGTACATTATCCAGTATATGTACGGAATACATAATACGATAATCAGGATGGTAGGTATGCCCCGGTTTATTGGTGATTAAGAAACCTGCTAACATTATATGATTTAGGAGATATGGATCCAAATCTTGGAAGACTACTCCTATAATCGGAGATATTTATCATCGACTGGGTTGGTCAGCGTCAATTACCAACATCCGGGGGGGGTAACCTTCCAGGGTTGGAATCGATAAGCTACCCTAAATGACCATTCTACGCCATTCTCTCGCAAGAACATGGGCAGAATCGGCTTTGATATTCTGCCGGTCCGAGTCTACTCCGTACAACGCTTCCAGTGGTCCTACCGCTTTCTTGAGATGGACCCTGATCTTCGCATTAGGAAGGCGGTGAGGTAAAACCGTTCGAGCACGCAATCGCTCTCGGATGGCGTGCTTGGGTGGTTTTCATTCCCCACTCTGGCAACTGACCAATTGCATCGTTGAGTCTTTGAAATGAAGAATATCGGATGAAGAGTATGCTAGGGACGGATCTCCGGATGATGTGATTGCCTCTACTGTCCTTATATTCTTGCCCCCATTGTCATCTGTGACTTTGTTCTTCATACTCCCACTCTGTCTCTTCAGCGAATCCTTTATTCAATCATCTCCTTCTCTTCGTCAACGTTATTTCTGTGCAATACTACTTTACATTATGCCGGCCAAGATGCCCAACTACTCCTCCGAGATGGAGGGCGTTGACAATCACGATAACATGACTGAGTCGGGCTATGTCAGTGCTGGTTCTGGCTCTAGCGAGGACTATGTTCCCGAGATTGTTTTCACCAAGCCCCATCTTCAGTTCCTCAACCGCCAGTTGCAATTCCTTGAGCCTCAAGGTTCGTATTAATACCCATAACGACCCCTCTTTCCGAAGCCCCTTTTATCTGACTCCTCCTTATAGAGATCTTGAGATGGTGCATTACTTCGCTTCCTCATCTCTTCCAGACCACTGCCTTTGGTCTTACAGGTCTTGTTACATTGGACATGCTGTCGAAGCTGGAGGTGCCTCGTCCCCAGATGGTCGACCTCGTCTTCCTCGACACTCTCTATCACTTCGATGAGACAATGTCCCTGGTAGACCGTGTGCGCCGCAGGTACCCTAACAACAATGTGCACATCTACAAGCCCGCTGGCGTCGAAACCACTGCCGAATTCGAAGCCAAGTACGGCGCTAAGCTCTGGGAAGTCGACGACCAACTCTACGACTGGGTGGCCAAGGTTGAGCCCGCTCAACGTGCCTACCGTGAGATGAATGTCCACGCCGTTCTCACTGGTCGCCGCCGCAGCCAAGGAGGCAAACGTGGTGACCTTGACATCATTGAAGTCGACGAGGCCGGCCTCATCAAGATCAACCCAATGGCCAACTGGTCCTTTGACCAGGTCAAGCAGTACGTCAAAGAGAACGATGTGCCCTACAACGAGCTCCTTGACCGTGGTTATAAGAGCATTGGTGACTGGCACTCTACCCAGCCCGTTGCTGAGGGAGAGGACGAGCGCTCTGGTCGTTGGAAGGGACAGCAGAAGACCGAGTGTGGCATTCACAACCCTCGGTCCAAGTATGCCCAGTACTTGATGGAGATGGAGCGCAAGCGTCAAGAGGAGGCCCTCTCACAGGCCTTGCATACCCAGTTGACGCCTGTTGTCTGATATTTCCTTTTGACTCCTTCCACTGCATACCTCTCGGCGTTCCTTTGTGATACCTATCTGTTTTCTTTTCTGTTTTTTTCAGCGGCTTTCCTTCTACCAAGAGACGGTACAAAAAGTACTCTTCGCATTTACAACATACGTCCTCCCTGCACAGGGGTTGGAGTTTAGTTCTCAGGTCCCACTATGGGAATTGTTTGAGGCATGATAATGATATTCATACGATGAATGAAATAAACACGACTATTTTATATTCTAATCTTCACCCTCCATTTTCATATATGTAAATTTGTTGTAATACTAGCCCCAAAATCCGTTGTGTCTTTGATTTGTGATAGAAGTGACGGTCACGTGCGGGACCAACCCTATTTTCCTCCAATCCTCAGGCCTCAGATATTAACTTTGACCCACAAGACGGATACTTGAATCATGAGTGAAGAGTATTTTATCTTTTAAACGTCTAGCAGATTTGTATCGTACGATAAGGTAGAAAACAAATTATTATCACGGATCTATTATCTATTTCTCGGAGTTCGAAGTCCAAAGATTTGCTGATTACTGTGTGATTGAGTCAATCTAGTGTGATCAATATGTCGAACGACTAAACGGAGCTGTGGAATCGAAATTTGTAGTTCATTAAAGGCCGGGCTGCAGACACATCCAGGCTTTATTGTATTGAAGTAAAGCAAAACAAAAACAAGAGCCATGAGATAAGTTTCTTTGAAAGCGCCACATAGGGTATCAACAGAATTGATCGTAGAGGCATATGAAGAGAAAAAGGACCAAGGAGCCCCCAAAATCAATCAATTTCAGGCGCACATTCCCGGAGGTGAGCCTCACTGTTTGCGGTTTGACACTCCCTCGAGCAATATGAGACTTGCAAGCACTGAGAACACGGATGCAGCGGTTTATCCATGGACGGAGTAAACCCACAATTCCCACAGCTCATCTCAACATTTTCGACACCGTCATCTGGGAGATCAAACATAGCCATTGCTTCCACCAAGGCCATGCTCCACTTCGTCCAGCACGCCTCGGCACTGCGAAGCTCTTCGGCGGTAGTGACGCCAACATCACACAGATCGCGTCTGATGCCAATTTCCTGGCACCTACGAGACACAGCCTTCGCAAGGCTCTCATCGGTGGTGCTCCAAGTAAACGGCGCGAATGGTTCCATGTTGCTTCCCATCTGGGGAATTAGGCCTGGCTCGTCGAATCGGTTGACGAATGCCTCCAGTAGCAAAGGTACAATAATCCTGGCCTGCTCATCTGGCGAGAGGGGGTGAGATTCGGGACCGGCCCTCACACTCATGGTGTTTGTTGTATGGATTCGCAAAGAATACTGCTTCACTTGGGACTCCGGGAAGAGCCTTCACGGCGAAATGGTAGTGGTTGCGTTTCCCGAACGCATCCCGCTCCAGACGCTGGAGAGAATTGAAGCTCCGTAATTGCGAGGCAGTAACACTTGCCATTGTTGTGGTTGAAAAAGGAAGGAGATGATGTTTTGGATTTTCCGAGTTTTCCCACGTTGTCACGTTCAATTAGCCTTGGACGATCCACGGGTCGAAAAGCTTGGCGCCCCCGCGGACGAAATGCTTTCTTTCATAATATTCCATACTCCTTCTTTCCTCTTAATAGCATCTCTCACTGTAAAGCCAGTAAAAATGCCTTGAAAATTGCTTGTCCCAATGTGGTTGCATCGTCGAATGGAGGGGTACATGTCAAGCGCTAGTCCTACGCCAATCATTGGGCGCCCAAAGATGGGGCTGGGAATATCGACGTGCTGATTGAGTATAGGCCACTTATTCTCACATCTTACCTCTACTACGGCCAATGCCTAAAATAGTTCTAGCTTAGGACACAACTGCTTCATCCCACCTCTGTCCCTATTTCTACCAGCGATTGCTCAGATTCTGGTACGACTGTTTCGGTTAACATGAAGTGGCTTCCGAGATTCAGACGCCGAAAGGCAAGTAGCGATGATCCCAAGGGAACAGCGCGGTCGCTCCTTCTCCGCCTGTAGGGCCAGAGATGATCGCGCCTTCTACAAATTCAATACCTGCCTCCAGTCTCTCAGAGCAAGCTACAGGCCCTTCCGTGGTGGCTTCCAGTCCTTCCCCGACCGCTGTGTGTGCCGCACAGTTACAAGCTGGGCAAGCTGCAGCATCTATCTCGCCCTCTGCGGGTCCCCCGCCCGCGCCGTCCACAAGCGCGACCCAGGACATCGACATATGGACTAGTGCCTACGAAGTAGTTGAGAATCGAGAGCCAGAGTTGATGACAGACTACGCGAGCCACCTGGCCTATATACAAGGTAACCCACCACCGAAATTCATATTTCAAGCTCGGAGTTTGTCGAAGATGTCGTGAAGCAGCTACTGGGAGAACGAGAGAAGAAACAATGGCGGCTTCCTCTCCTGGGTAATAATGTCATTATCCGAAAGCAAGCCGAGAGACTAGCGAAAGTTCTCTTATGGGCTGATCCTGTTGTCAAACGTGCAGTGAGCACCCAACCATATGCGGCGCTTGCCTGGTCCAGTGTTTCTATCCTTCTTCCTGTGAGTTCGATGTCTTTTGCTTTGAATTGCATGCTTATACATGTATCTTTAGCTACTGACAAGTGCTGCCACACCGGATGTAGCTATGCTGAAGGGCTTCAACTCGATAAGCGATGTTCAAGTCTATTGGGCGATTTTCGAAGAGACTTACCTGTCTTCTTCCCACCGGCACCATTACGAAAACCTCATCGAGCCTTTGGCCAAGCTCTATTCTTACATCATTGAATATCAAGCCCGCGCTATATGCCATCTTTCAAAGACCCAACTTTCACGGGGATGGCAGAACGTGGCGGGTGAGAATGACTGGGCTGAGAAGGCGAGTGAGATTGAAGCTTTATCAGAGGCTCGCAGCAGCCTGATCTCGCACGACAACGAGAACGAGATTCGAGAGCGCTGGGGTCGTCAACTACGTGAAATTCAAGAGTCAAGTGCTATTCTCAAGGAGATCCGCCAAGTCCTCGATGAGACCCAAAGACAAACTCAGGGGAACTACGAAGACAAGGCGGAAAAAGATCTCCTACACGATCTAGCTTCTGATTATGAAGGCTACAAAGATTTCAACCGTCTCAGAGTTCAAGGCACGTGCGAATGGTTCTTCAACGATGAAAAGTTCTGCAAATGGCGCGATAGCAACACGTCTGGGCTTTTGTGGCTCTCTGCTGGGCCTGGATGTGGAAAATCGATTTTGTCGCGAGCGCTTATTGACGAACGCCGACTATCCTTGAACGTTACAACCTCGACCGTTTGTCACTTCTTCTTTAAAGATGGCTACGAAGACCGCATGTATAGCGTCAATGCTCTATGTGCAGTACTCCACCAGCTTTTTAGTCGCGACCCTAGTGGTGCCCTGATCAAGCTAGCTCTGCCTGCTCACAAAAATTACGGCAAGTCTCTTATAAGGAACTTATCTGGACTATGGAATATCCTTCTTGATTGTGCCAAGAGCCCTCACGCTGGAGAAATTGTTTGCATTCTCGATGCTCTGGATGAATGCGAGCAACAAAGCAGGTTGCAATTGATCAGCAAACTTAAAGACTTCTATTGCCAGCCACAGGGCTCTTCGGCATTATCTTCGAAACTGAGCTTCCTTATAACCAGTCGACCATACCCTGAGATCGAAAGAAATTTTGGTGGGTTCTCCACGACAGAGTATCTGCATTTTGACGGCGATAAGAAGTCTGTCGCCATCACACGGGAGATCGACCTGGTAATTGACGATCATGTGAGCCAGACCATAGGCAACTTCACCGCTGATGATCAGCTGGAAATCTCTAAACGCCTTAAAACCATGGAAAACCGCACCTACTTATGGCTTTATGTCATCTTCGAAACGATCAAAGAGGACCCAAGCCGCCACGGTAAGCGGTCCAGCATCGAAAAGCTGTTGAACAATATCCCATCAAAGTTATCCGAAGCGTATGAAAAGATCCTGGGCAGAAGCAGATGCCAAGAAGAAACCCAACATCTTCTTGAGATCATCCTTGCTGCGGCACGGCCTCTTACTCTTGACGAGGCTAACGTTGCCTTGACATTGGCTTTGGCAGAAGAAGATTTCACGTCGCACTCAGCCTTGGAGAACGATCTATGGCCTAAAAACAATTTCGAAAGTATTGTCAAAGGCTTAAGTGGCCTCTTCATAAGCGTACACGATTCAAAGTTGTTCTTCATTCATCAAACGGCAAGAGAGTTCCTCATTGACCCTTCAGGTCGGGGTACATGGGAAGGACGCTTGAGCATGTCTAAATCATCCAGAACCATATCAAGAGCTTGTTTCAAGTTCTTGATGCTCCCTGATCTTCGCGCCTCCGTTAAAGACGCTGACTTTTGGGATGACGATGATTATGACCTAAATGACCCAAACCACGTTACGTTGAAGCAACTGCCTCCGTTTTTCTGCTACGCCGCCGATCATTGGCCGTCACACTTTCTATCACAGGGGCCCACAGACATTGACCAGTCCCTAAAGGATGCGCGTACACTTTGTAACCGCCATCAGGCATGGGTGTGGGTAACAGCCTCTGGATGGACTCCGGTAAGTAGGTTCCCACTCTTTCATCACATGACCGATTTGTCTTTGGCAAGTTACTTTGGATTGAAGCAAGTGGTCGAGAATATCTTGACAGAGGAACACATTGATGTCAACACCGAAGACAAGTCTTCAACGCTGGCACTGAAATCTTCAAGATCGGCACTTTCAGCGGCATGCCTCGGAGGCAAGTCAGATGTCGTCACGCTACTATTAGATAAAGGTGCCAATGTCAACTCCTATCACAAACTGCACGCCACGGCTCTCTTTACAGCTCTGGTCTACGGTCACCAGGACATTGTTCCAATCCTCCTCGAAAAGGGCGCCGACGTCAACATCATAGGTGAACATCACGGTACAGCGCTTTACATAGCCTCGCATCTCGGCAACCCAGATATTGTCCTCAGCATCCTGGAGAGAGGTGCAGACATCAACTATAATCACAAATGGCACGGAACAGCGCTGTACAGGGCGTGTCGCTCAGGCCACCCGAAAGTCGTCAAAATCCTACTCGAGAATGGGGCCAACGTCAACATCATCGGAAATAAAGGATATGGCTCGGCGCTCCTCGCAGCATCTACTCTCAACCATCCAGATATTGTCATTGATCTGCTAAAGAAAGGTGCTGACACCGACTATAATAACCAAAAATACGGCACTGCACTACAGATGGCATCTGGACGGGGCTGGCAAAATATCGTCGAATTACTCCTAGCGCATGGAGCCAATCCGAACACCAGAGGCACACAAGATGGTAGCTCACCAATCCAGGTGGCATCATTCTATGGTCATCAAGGCGCTGTCGAAGAATTACTCAAGCACGGAGCTGATGTCAATTTCCCAGACCAGCGGGGAAACACAGCGCTTCACGCGGCTGCGCGGCAAGATCATCGAGAAATTGTTTCAATGCTCCTCAGATGTGGGGCCGACGTCACCTTGAAAGGGGAACTTTATGGCACGGCGCTCAATGCGGCAACTGAAGCAGGTCACACCGAGATTATAGAAATGCTAGCTAAGAGAGGTGCCAAGGTTTGATCTAGCACGCGAATCAGCAAGCCCAATAATCCAAACTAATGCATGATTGTTTTGTAATGATGGCATGGGACTATTCTATTCAAGTGCTGCGTTTATCCTTTCTAAAGCCACGCTCAAATAGTCATGGCCCTGTGTGAACACAATTCGGAACCACCCATCTTTCTCAGACCCGAAAAGGAAGCCGCTGGCCAAAAAGACCTTCTTTTGCAAAAGGCGCTGCATGATTCGTTCCCCGACATTCTCGCACTCATCCTCCGGGTGAAGCTCGCGGTATTTCTTTCCCAGGTTCATCCAGACGAAGAATGCAGCGTTGCACCCCGTTGCATATTCAATCCCGTGCTCTTTCAGGTAATTCGCCGTGTATGCATAGGACTCTGACAGCAGCTTCTGATTTTGCTTAATATACCGGGTGGTGAAGTCAAAGTCTTCAAGTATGAGAGCAGTCAAGTGATCCGTGATTCCAGAAGCATAAGAATAAAGCGATGGGCCCGTCAACGCCATATGGACATCCCGGTTGGCTTGGGAAATAATGACACCGAGTCTGATACCGTTTGCGCCAAAGTCTTTACTCATACCCCAAAGGACATGAACCAAACGCGGGTCGATAATTCCAGTCAAATCGATAGAGAGGGCCGATTCGAACTTGACAGGTGGTGGATGTTCATCAACGGTATTCTCAAAGATTGAGAGCGCATAGATTTCATCACTGATGAAATGGACCTGGTATTTCTGACAGAGCCGCATCAACTTAACGAGCACTTCTCTGGAATAGCAGCGTCCGAGCGGATTATGAGGATGAGCAAGCATCAAAGCCTTGACTTTCTTCCCGGTGGTACGGTGAAATTCCAGCAATGCTTCTTCGTACTTATTGACGCCCTCGAGGCTGAGAGGATCGAGTTCCCCAAAACTAACCGGAACCACAGAACTTCCCGTACGCAACGACATATCCGGAATGAACATGCCGTAGTACGGTCTTCCTAGAAGAATCCCCTCTCCGGGATCAGCGAATGACCACGCAACATGCTCAACCGCAGACGAGACACCGTTGGTCGCCATGATATGGCTCGGCTCGAGAGGTATCACTGGCTTCAGGTTGTGGTTCAAGAAGGCAGCGATGGCGGCCTTTAATCTGGAAGAGCCGCCTCCGCCGTCGTTGTATGTGAGATACTTTGCTGGTAGCTCGAGCTTCTTGTTGATGAATTTTAAGAGCTCGTCATGCATCAGGGTATTTTCTGCTACGCCTACATTGACGTAGCCGTTGGGGTTTGTCGATGCGTGCCATGTATCCTTCATCACGTCCCACATTGGATTCTCGGATCCGGCATCGACGACATCTTGTGCACGCCGGGAGAGGACCGAGTGAGTCATTTTGGAGGTCTTGAAAAGTTTTCACGGGTGGAAAACTAGAGCAAAGGGAGAGTGCAGAGAATGGTTTGGGAGCAAGTTGGTAGCGAAGGAAGTCCTTTAAACATCCGCAGGGTCGGCTACTATCGGCTATCGCAAATGGCAAGTGTTGAGTATCTCCAAGTGGAGAGAAGATGAGTACCCGAAGGGCGTGGGCGGTGACTGGTAAAAGATATCAGGGCATTTCAGCCTAGTCGATGTTGATGTTCACAACGACGTATCAAGTCTTTGCATTCGGCTTTTAATATCTCAGCAATTTCTTATCCAACCCACTTCCAATGGCCTTTTTTTCCTTTCTTGACGTCAAGTGCCAAGCTTCGTGAAGATATCCCCACATCAAAGGCCGAACACTGGAACTGGACTATAAAGATCTATACATTTTTATTTGAGGAACGTGGCAGTTTAGAAAAAATACACTAATATTGCGAGTGAGATTTCAACTTGAAAACAAAGCGCAGAATAACCAAATTCAAATTCAAAAAGCCCATTCCACCTGTAAGCATAGGTTCTCACCATTCTCCATCCCCTCCATCCTCCATCCATCAAACGCCGAAACCTAAAGAAACTACTCACTCAGCCCTAGTCCCAGATCCAAGATCACAAGAAGTCTCAAAAACAACCTGCACACAACAATTGAGCACAATATCCTGAGGCGTCAAGCTAACCCCACTAGGATGACGATAAGTAGGCTTCTGCGACAGAGCCGAAGGATTCAAAGACTCATCAATCTCCCTAATATCGATCGGAGTAACATCCTCAAAACCAACAGCCTCCGCATACTGATTCGCCTTGGTAACAGCATCTCGCACAGCCTTCTTCCGCGACTCCGCACCAATATCACCCTTGGTAGCATCAGTGAGGTACCAGACGACATTATTCAATCTGGCACTGGGATAGCCATCGACCTTCTGAATGAACTTATGCAGTTCGTTGAAGTCACAGAAGACGACGTAGATCGTGATGACGGCGTCGTAGATGCGCGGACTATCGGAGACGTTTTCCATCGAGTCGTATGCATTGCGGTTCTTCGTTGTGAGGTACATCTTACTAGCGGAAATGCTTGATACCGCGGTGGAGGAGGTTGTACCGTCTTCTTCTATCGGACGGAGGGTCTCTAGGCTTGCAAGGAGATCGTTGCTGGTCGAGGTTACTTCTTGTGTGACTGCCGCTTCGGACTCGCCTGTTGATTCTATGGTGAGGTGGACCATGGCTTGTTCTGGGGAGCGAGTTGCCGTGAAGTGGCCTCGTAGGGTGATGTTGAGGGAAGACATGGTTGATGATTGTTCCATTAGGAATGAAGAGGATGGGGATGGGGATGAGGATGAGGATGAGGGTAGAATGAGGGATTGGGGGTTTAAATAGTCCTCAGGACATAAAGATGGTGGAGCAAACATTGGGAACTCTTGTGGTGAGTTTCAAGTGAGTCTGAAGCGAGGTATATAAATGTTTGTTTGAATTTATTCTCGAATATAAACCTCGTTTTTACCAGTCTTCCTTAAATGATCATCTGAAAAGATCCCTCAACCAAACATTGGCTCCTGCTTAGCGCCCTCCACCGCAGCAAGGTAGGTTGGACGGTCCTTAACATAGAACTCGACATCAATCTTTCCTTTAAGATTCGCCTCGCCGCCGTCGAGGGTTCCGGCCTTGATAACAGTGTTGTCGGGCATGACCTCCAGCTCTGTGTAGAGACCTGAACCGCAGGTCGGGCAGAAGGAGTGCTTATTGATCTTTCCGCTGTTGCCAACTACATCGTAGGTATTGGGGGTACCTGTATAGAAGAGTGAATTAGAAAGCTGTATGTAAGGAGTTGATTGTGGGAGTAGATTTACCCTTTGTCAATTTGAAGCTGGCGCGGGGAACGACTGCGTTGGAGGTAAATGCACCACCAGTCCACTATTTGGTATTAGAAATTATTTTCGGGGTTCATATATGTAGAAGTCTTTGATTTCACCTTCTGGCAATCAGTGCAGTAGCACAGGGCGGACAGATATGTGTCAGCTAGTATTTTGTTAGCATTGGAAGGGTGTTCGATAGATTCAAAGTTGATAGATACCTTCGACGGCGTAAGTAATACCGCCACACATGCAGCTTCCCGTGAGAGTCATTTTGAGAATATATATAGTATATAGTATGTGTGAAGAGATACCTTGGTGGAATCAAAGTACAAAAGCGGGGGTCAAGTCTTTCGATATTTATATCTTTGGAGAGAGCGGGTCCTCATCGGCCCAGGGGATCGGTGTTTGGTCGAACACCGAAGTGGGGGGGTTTAGTCGAATCAGATAGATGGAAAGTTTACGGGCTTAATAGCCTGGAAAGAATAGGAAAGAATCGGATAGGCAGGGGAAAAAAGATTGGCATCATTCCTAGAAACAAGAACCTGCTTTATATACATCCAAGAATCAAAAGCAGTCCAGACCCAACGCCAGGTCTCTACCAAAACGCGACATTAAATCAAGAGATAAGAAATAAAATGAAGGTAAAAGTTGACACAAGACAACGCTGCTGTATATCACTTCAAGATCCACGTGAGAAACGTCAGAAATAAGAAAGGAAAATTGACAGAAATGAAGGAATGAAGGAATGACAATAACCGGGGTATAGAGAGGATACATAACGGCGAAGCTTGATCGAACTAGAAATGGAGACATTCAAATGCCCGGGTAAAAGGAGGTATGGGGTATTGACAAGAAAATGAGATTGTATGTGTCCACAAGGACAGTCTCTTAATCAAAATGCCAGCACTTTACAGTTTGGGGACAATTCCCCAAGAGGAAGCCAAGCATTATCAGGTTTTCGGCTTTTTATGTGCACCTTCCCCTGCGGATCCACTGTCTGGGCTTTTTCTCTTCTTGTCTTGATCGTCTTCTCGAGAAAAGCTAGGACCGCTTTGTACTGCCGGAGTCGGGAAGGTGAGGGGACTGGGCAGCATGTTGGAGTCAGGGCCTGACCGGCCAAAGCCCCATTCGGGGAAGAAGCTGGAAGGTGACGGGAGGAGTGCATCGGATACAAAGCGGCTTGGCAGGGCAGATATGGGCGTTTCGATGTTATTTGAGTTATTCCCATTGTTTGCATTTCCGCTATTGCTGCCGTAAGAGTCGTTTCGAGTTGCGGCAACGGGAGGAGGCGGTCGGGCGAACGGATTTGGAGGCCCTTGGGCTCCCGCACTCAATATTGCACCGGCGGATGGCGAAGGAGGGGGTAAAACTACGCCCGGCGGGCCATTTTCGACATTTCCTTTCGCAGGCGGGGAGTTCTTATTCACAGCGGAATCGCGCGACGAGTCGGCCGTGGCACTGCCAGCATCGGAGGTTTCGCTAGGGATCTGCACCTTCAACTGCGGTCGTTTTGATGGCAACGGCCCACTGTTAGTTCGGGATGGCGGTTTGATTTTTGGCGTCGAAGCAATTGACCCTGCACGAGGAGCCTCCGTCGCGGCTCTGACAGGCATTGATTTGGAAGCAATCGAAGCTTGTGGTGCTTCGACCTTGAGAGAATGGTTATTGTGAGATTCATATGATCCGGCTCCGGCTCCAAAATGGCGGGCGAGCACCGATCCTCGATCATCAATAGGTGTGAAAATACTCCGTGATTTCGACAACGACTTTATTTGGGGTGGCGACTGGCTGTGCTCTGCTTTCATCACCGAATCATCCTGGGGATGCTCCGAGGCAGGCCGTTCTTGGTGATCAGGTGCGAACCCTGGAGGCATAGAATTTCTTCCATGTTCCTGCATATATGCCTGCTGCACATGTTGGTGGGGCCCGGGAGGCATTCCTACCGGGTGGCCGTGTTGGAAATGCTGTTGGCCCTGGTGTTGTGGTGGCATTTGCTGTGGTAAACCGTGCGGGTGCATAGGAGGCGTCCCTTGATGTTGTCCCGGTGGGTGTCCATAGTGTGCAAACTGTGCCGGTCGAGGTTGCTGGTTCATCGCATGAACGTTCGGGTTATACATGGACGGATTACCCATGTACGTAAACCCGCCATTCTGGGGGGCAGGTGGCGGCGGCGGAGGTGTACCGTGTTGCTGGGGACCTAGATTTGAACTGACTCGGCGGATATGATTCCTGGAAGAGGGACGCGAAGTGCCTTGCGGTTGCGGGGTGCCATGACGTGTCATAGCATGATGGATCGGGGGTGACGCGGAGGGTGCATGATTCATGTGCTGGAAGGCGGGCTGGTTTTGGAGGTGGGGGGGAATGGCGGGGTGGTTCTGTTGAACTGCTTGGATGTCCTCGGGAGCCGGCGAGGCCTCGTCTTCCTCATCATCGTCATCTCGCTTGCCCGCAAAATCTTCCGGTCCTTTGTGCTCGTGGGGAGGGCCAAACTGAAAAAAAAAAAGAAAATCATGAGTTAGAGGTTTTCGGAATGAATCGAAGAAAATTCTACCCACATATTGATAGCGACCAAGAGCATCATGCATGTCGCATGATGAGTACTCGTATAGTTTCTTGTTGTGGCCAAAAATAATGACAGCGACGTCAACCGAGCAAAGGACAGCAAGCTCATGCGCCTTCTTGAACAGACCTCCCTTTCGTTTCAGGAATGTGCTATAGGAGAAGAAGCTTGATCAGCGACTAGAATACACGACTGGGATGATTGACTTACACTGAGCGGTTGCGGTCATCTTTGATGGCCTTGATCTCGATCTTTCTCCGACCCATGATGAATGGCTACGGGCGCACCAATTGCGCACCGATAGCAAGAATGAAAAATAAAAGGTACAGCAAGCCGCGGAGCGACTTGCGAGATACGTCGCGCGATTAAGTTTAATTACCCAGGATACAGAATCGACGCGATGGCGATCCTAGCCACACGGTGGCACACGGGTATATGTGGAGAATCTTCGTCTGTTCACGAGAAGATCTGATGGAGAGACTAGTCAACAAAGGAAACCGGAACCAGAAACCAATGTGTTTCAAGATAGGAAACCTTGTGTAGATACTTGAGGGGGCGGGGGCTGGACGCGACTCGAAAACAATGAAGACCCCCCAGAGTTCAAAAAGAAGTGAACCCGAGGAGATGGGGAATGTCAAGGGCAAAACAAAGGAACAAGACAAAGCCAAAACGAAGTAAATGGATGGGAGCTGGATGATTGACGATGCAGGAAAGGTTGATTGATCTAAAGATAGAACGAGGGCCCTGGGATGCCCAGGTGAGAAGATTTGCTTTGATGAGTCAGCAGGGTTTTTGGCGCCGTTCTATATTTATCTTTTGGTCTCAGCATGTGTCCACTCCTCCGTACAATACTGTAGGACTGACAAAGTACGGACTAACTGTAGTTAGTCTTTTGTCCCTGCAGTGGCTTGTCACAGTGGAGTCCGTCCCCTCCAGCTCCTATTGGGTATTGACTTATTGAAGCTATTCTGATATGTATTCTTTCAGCTGTTCAGTGGGATGGGTCTATGATGTCAACCCGGGGAAGCTCAGGCTATTGAATATAGAGGTTAGAGATCCACAGGGGACATGTCAGATTTATATATCCAGGCTATCCAGGCTATCCACCTGGGTAGTTTATATCTGATCCCTAACCATGTCCCCGTGATATCCCCAACCCTATGTCCCTATAAGAGTAAACCGTCGGATCTGTATAATCCGATCTCAAAGCCACAATGCTCAGATTAAGTTAAAGTAACGTCCGATATGTATATGTAGGTAGTACCCATACATCAAGTATGTCTTTTACATCGTGTTCCTGTAGGTTGGGCAGGAAATAATATAATAGACACGTCTGAATGACAGTTCCTCCAATAGAATAGGCCTTATAGCCCATATACATAACCTTGGATCCCCCCAAACCCAGATCAGAGAGATGACCATTGTCGGTATCATTCATTTAATTCCCCAGAATCCAAAGTCCAAGTTCTTCCAATTTTATAGAAATTAATTGAGATCTTTTTCTTTGTGTGGAGGCATCTGGGCATCCAAACGGAGTCGAGACTTGCGGGTAAGTTTAGTTTTACCCCTGAGCCTGTGAATCGCCTCGTTTTCCTTTTCCCTTTCTCTCCCAACTCTCCTTTCGTCTTTCCTTTCTCTCTTGTCTTTTTCTTTCTGTTTCTTGTGTTCGAGACAGATCCCACAGGGTTTCTTTTATTTTGTCCTGCTGTTACCGGGGCTGCAGGACATCCCGGACACGCCTAGACGCTTTAACTATTCACTCGGTCGAATTACCGTGTCGGTTATCTGCATTGTTGTCTATTTGAAACGTCTACTAATCTACTGAGCAGAAGCAAAAAAGGGGAAGGGAAAAAAAAGGAAGAAAAAAGCGGACCCCGAATATCCCCCACAGTCCGTTTTCTGACACGCAAAAGTCAATTGTCAGTCGCATTTCCGACATGTCCTTCTTCTCTCGCGTCTTTCGGGGCAAGGACTCCACTGCGACAAAGAAGCAGGTCAAGCCTACCGCGCCCGTCAACACGGCCCCTGCGAAACCCAAATGGACCGATGCGTGGCAGCGGACAGAAGTCGCGCCGGAAGAAGTCCAAGACCTTGTACGAGGGTGTGTGCATGAGCTCAAGGCCCGAGGTAGGTGGATTGATATCTTGACCGTGGAATATGGACCATTGTTCGGATTACTGATCATTCGTCGCTACAGCTCTCGACACGCCATTCCTCCTCCTACCGTTCCGTCCTAGCTCCGACCCCAGCGCAGCCCGCACGTTCATTCGCAATTACTTCAATCAGTCTTTTGAAAAGGGCTCCCCCATTAACGGAGATGCCTTGTCGCAGGAACTCAGGCTCACTGAGCCGATGGTGAGGGATAATGTCTTTCCCAGGGGTTATCGGGGAAGTTACTAACGCCATTTCTATGAATAGGTTGTCTGTGGTGTGATGAAATGGTGCTGGAGCAGACTTCCTGGCGGTGTTGTCACTTGGGAGGCGTACGAGACGTTCAAGATGGGCGAACATGGTATGCGACATTGAATGGAATGCGGGGAACACACGCGCTGATGGAACATTATAGATTCGGATATGGCCCGCGATGCTTTCTCGACTTTCATTCCGATCGGCGGCGATTCCGAGGCACGCACCAATATTATTCTAGACTTCTTCGACCTTTTGGCTGCCATTGCGGCCCACGGAAAATCCAATGGCTTGGGTGGCCGCAAACTTTCCCGATACGCTGGATGGTGGGCATTTGAGCATGTCGATACAGGCAATGGCTTCGAGGCCGCCTATAAGAACTGGGCTGCGTATGCATTTCCATTGATCTGATATTTTCAGATGGTATTCTAACAATCTCTAGTGCTGCCGATGCTACCAGCCATTTGTTCTTCGCTTACCTTCGTTCGTTGTCTCCCGATGTCCCTGGCGGCGTGAGCGGCATCTCATCGCTGCCAATTTCTCTCCAATCACTTGTTGAAGCGACGGAATACCCTCCTGAGACCCCGACTTTATTGCAAGTGACAACTACAAAGGTCGTCATGATTGTGGAGAATGTTTCCCCGACACCTTTTTCCTTATTGCGACGCGCTAAGAACTTTGAATACCGTGACGACGACTGGCATCTGCAGGAATTTGCCAACTACGAAGACCCCGTTAGCGCATTGACCGACGAGTGCCTCCGCGTTCTCACGTGTATCTCATCTACGAACCAATCCAGCGTCTCGAGTACCAAGCAATCCACCAGTTTACGGGATGCGTCTTGGTCTCGCTTCGAGGATATTGGGTTCGGTGGTTCGATTGAATCTGACCCGGAGGATGAAGCCAAGGAAACTGCTCCGCCGGTGACTGCAAAGAGTGGATCTGCGGCGGGCTTGAAATCCGTTCCTCAATCTGGAACAGGCGACCTTGGCCGTCCCACCACCCCCTCGTGGGCAGACTTCATGTCATCCGGATTCGCGGATGAAAACAACTTGAAACAGCATGTGGGCCCTCTGCTCTTGCCTCCCGACAAGGTTCTGCCTCCCATTGCCTCTGCACGTGGCATGAGCTCTCAGTCGCACAAGCGCTCTTTGGATATCGAGCCGGCTCTCGAGCCTGCCGAGTTGGCGAGTATCAACACCCTAGACATGGATGACTCGTTTTGGTGGGTCTGGATCAGCAGTTTATCTGGCGATGAGCCGTCCGCCCGCAAGGCTGTGTTTGGTCGATGCGCGCTCCTGGAGACCAGAATCCGGGATACCAAATGGCTGATCCTCGAAGAGCAGGTCAAGGGTGCTGCCCCAGAGCCTGAGGCTGGTGCTCAGATTGTCGAGAAGAAGCGATTCTTCAGCTTCGGTAGCCGTAGGGGGAAGCTCAGTCGCCGCAAGTCATCGGCGAAGAAGGTGCCTTCTTCCATTGAAGACTCGTACAAGCGGGCCAATAACCAGGGAACGCAAAGCAAGACCAGCATCGGACCGGACCAACACAAGCGGATCCAAGAAGCTGCGGCCGCTCTGCAAAGGAAGCACCGCGAGCAAGAAGCCGAGGCGAAAGAGAACCGTGCCACCCCCAATAATAGCCGTTACTCCAAGACCAACTCCGTCATGACCCTCCAGCCTGCCATTGTGAACGAGGCCTCCCAGGCCATGAAGTGGACTAAAAACTACGACAAGGGTGCCTTCAGAGCGGCATATCTCAGTGACAACCGCGCTGGCACTGGTCATATTGATGAACCCGAGGAGACACCCGAGCCGATTTCGAAGGACCCCGAGGAGAAGGCTACCGCACCGTTGGCACCTCTTCCAACCAACACTGCAAAGAATACTCCCCCGCCACTTCCCAAAGAAGCTGCTGCTGCTGTGTCCACCCCTCTCCCCCTTCTCCTAAGGAAGTGCCAACTAAGCCTGTCAATGTCGCTACTCCTGAGGAGGAGAAGCCCATCACTAAGCCTGCCGTTGTTGAACAACCCACTGAGCGTCGGGAATCGATGGACGAGATGGGCAAGAAACTGAAGAAGAAGACTGGCAATTCTGCCTTTAAGAACATGTTTAGTGCCAAGAAGAAGCCCGAGCAGCAACAGCCTCCCGTGAAGAACGGTGATTCCAAGGAAATCTCCAATGTGGCAGCTACTCGTGCGGCCCTCGAGGCCAAGGCAAAAGCAGCTCAGGAGTCCGGTCCCGTGAAGAAGAAGCCTCTCCCGACCGCCGCCGCTGTCGCGGTTACGCCCGTGGCTACTGAGCCGGAAAAGCCTTCATCCCCCCCAGTCTGTTCAACCGACCGTCAATGAATCTGAGACAAAGCCCACAAGCCTGACTCCACCCTCGGCCTCTCTGGAAGAGAACGGTGAGAATGGTGCGCCGCCCAAGACTAGACGCGCCGTCGAGTATGATGCTCTCTCCCGCGTTGGTACCAATGAACGCGACGCGGCCGATCAGGAGTTCTCCAAGTTCGACCAGGGCCCACTGACTGACCAGCCTGCTTTCGTCCCCGAGGATTCGCCCGTGGAAGTCACACCTGCAGCACAGAAGCCTGAGCTTCCCCAGACCCCGACTAACGGCAATGGTGCCCGCCCTGTTTCCGCCACTTCGCCCGAGTCTACCGAAGCTACACAGGATCGCTGGAAGGCGATTCGTGAGGCTGCTGCCCAGCGGACTGCCGCTGCCCAGGCGGAAAAGGCCCATGAGCAAGATACCGAGGCTAACACCCGGACTAGCCAGTCAGAGCGCACTGACGAGGGAGATACTAGCGGAGAAGAGAGTGAGTAGTAACTTCATTCCCCAAAATGACCCCACACTAACAGTTGTTTTCACAGCCATCGAGGCCCGTGTCGCCCGCATCAAGGCCCGAGTGGCCGAGTTGACCGGCAACGTGGAGGATGGACCAAGGCGCTAGCCTGTGACGTCCCCCCCATACCGGTTTTCCTTTGTTCATTTTTCCTGATCATTTTTTCCCTGGCTCTCTATTCGTTATGATGATCCAGGACGTATCTTTTGTTAATCGTATACCCTTCTCCGACCAGACATTGGTCGTGTTTGCTTATTGAGCGCGGTCTGATGACCGGATAAGGTCCCCATTTTCATATCCTGGCGATGGGCAGACCGACGAATACTGCGATACGATTGATGTATTTTTTTTTTGGTTGCGACATCTGTTTACTTTCTTTTTATTCTTTCAAATCCCCTTGACCCTTCGGTCTTCGATCTCCGACTGGACAAGTATCCCCCTGTCTTGGTTTATTTCCTTCCACTATCTATTCAATCTGGGCTGCTGTTTTTGTTTTTATGTCCGTCACTTGCTCTATTCCCCTTTCGCTACTGCTATTGATTCTGGCTCGCTACCAATATGAGTCGCTTTGTGTCTTTGAATTTAAGTCCTATGTAATATGGAACTCCTACTTATTTCAAACATACAATCAAAACCAGAATACTATACTAACGGGAACCATCATATTTATGATCATTGTATCCCATCACTCCCAAATTCCAAATTCCAACTAACTACAAACCCAAAGCCTTCAAAATCTCCTTGCCAACCCCAGTCGCCGAACCAGGATTCTGCCCCGTAATAATCGTCGACCCCGTCCCAGCCGCCTTCCCAACAACAACCATCTCCCCCAAGGCTCCGCAGCCTTAACATACTTCCCACCGGTAACACGACCCAACTCCGTCTCCAGCATAAACGGCATCGCAGAAGAAAGACTCACAGCATCCTCCTCAGCATTCGAGAACCCAGTCACGCCAACGCCAGAGATAAGCGGCACACCAGAGGGCGCAGTCGCATTGAGCAGAACACAAGGACCATGACAGACAGCCGCGACGGGCTTGTTAGCTGCCGCGAAAGTCTGGATTAGAGCCAGGGAGGTCGCGTCTTCGGTTAGGTCGAACATTGCTGATATGGACTCGTTAGATTTGGGTTCTATAGATGGATCTCATAATGCGAGTATCTCATAATGCGAGCATAGCTGGAAAAGAACAGGAGGGAAGGTAGAAATGGTGAGCAACTTACGTCCATGACCGCCAACGTAGAAAATGGCATCGAACTCGCCTGCGCGCGGGAGCATATCTGCCAACTTGTGCGTGTTCGTCCAGAGGGCTTTTTGTTCTTTTAGGAACTTTTGCGAGACCTCGTCTGATTCGAACATCTTTACCGACGCTGGGTCTAGGGGTGCTTCGCCGCCTTTTGGTGAGGCGATGGTTAGGGAGACCTTTTCGTGGAGGACTTCCCATGGATGGGCGAATTCGGGCTGTGGGATGGATGGTTAGTATGGGATTCATGGAATTGGTTTGTCTTTAATTTTCAAAATAGAATGTAGGTGTTGTGTTTGATTCTGTGGAGTTGCATACCAGATACCAGCCGGTTGGGTTACCGGTGGAGCCGAGCTTGTCGTGGGAGGTGAGGACGACGAGGACTTTGGGGGTCATTTTGGGGGGTTTTGTTAATTGGAATATCGGGGAAGGTAGGAATAAGTTGATTGTGTTTGATATTTTGTTGTTTAGTTGAATTAAGGATCGAAGGGTGGCTGTGAGCTCTCTTATATGCTTCCCTCTGCTTGCGGCGATCGGCATCACCATGTGTATCACTATCTCGTCACTGGCTCCACCAAGGTTAATCATGGATTACCAACCTATACCACTCGGGCCAATGAGGTTTCTTGCTGGAGGAGGCTCCCCTCGTGCAGAAGATTCTGCCCGAGCTTGACCCGTATGTGATGATGTCATACCCAACATGTACACTTCTTCGATGTCCATATAAAGAATGCTGATAGCACACCGCACTTCAATATAGTTCAATGCTAATTACTGTTTGAATGTATTACTAGCTGGTAGAGATTATGATAATGTAGGTATACGGATACATTGGAAAGTGTTTTATGTCTTGGCATTGCCTCGGGTGTCAATGCCAAGACCTAAGAGCTTCTCGGATTATCCTACTACTAGTACACCGCCAAGGCTACAATTCAGGGTAGAAATAAAAGAAAGGCGCTTGCCCTCGAAAAGGGGGAAAGGAAATGAAAAGAAGAAGAAATCATATGATAGAGGCCGCGATCCAGACTTTGATCATCATTAGTTTACTGTATCATGAAGTATTCATCACCTTACCCGTTTTATCGGACATGTAGAGATGTGTACATATTTTCATCTCGACGTGGATGAGACAGCCTTGGAATCAGGTACGCGGGTAGATATCGGGAACTCGGGAATGGGGTGGGGCTACCAATCTTAGATGCTTTAGTTTGACCTCACATTCTTCAGATTATATACTTCAATGCAATTGATTTATTCACGCTCTAACCCATACCAAACTCCCAGATTCTTCCGTCCTTGCCAGTCATATACCCTGAAAACTCCAAAGCTCAGCATTTGTCAGCATCAATATCAGTCAAACTTCCTATGGCGTCTTCCCCGGTGCTCTTTCATGTTATCCAGACGGCCAAACTTCTGACCACATTCCGGACATCTGACGGAGCGATATACCACATGCTGTACTTTGATATGGCGCATCAACGACGCATAGCTGCTGAACGTCTCGCGTTGTGATGTCCTGCGGGATTTACAGCCATCCCAGAGGCATTTGTAAGGGTGGTCCGGTTCACTGAGACAGAAGGGAGACCGTTAACAATGTAGTGGGAGGGATGAGAAGACGTGACTCACTCTTGTCTCTGTAGAGAGCTTGCTTGTATATCAGCAACTTCAATGTTATTCTCGTTTGGTGATGTCTCTTGGACGGAGGGACTCGGTGCCGAGGACTGGATATGGATTGTAGTTTGACCGGGACTGAGATGGTCTTCAATTCCATCCTCGATGTCTCTGTGCTTTTTGGTCGAGGAAGACGGCATGTTGCTCTGGTACAAGTTGTCCACTGTAGGGTGACCTACAGTGGTATGCATAGTCCAGTTGGGATCGAGAGACACGGGAGCAGGGCTCATAGAAGGGTCGTGGAGAGGCCACTCTGTGGAGTGTACAGGTAGCTGTCCAACCGCAAAGGCTGGTTGCGTATCTGAAGTTCCGGGATGGTAATTGAGTTGCTCATTACTAAGTTGAAACAGTTGGCGTAGCCTCAAATATTCTTCAAGGTCCGAAGTGTAAATCATAATGAGTCGAAGAGAAGAATTGGTGCAATCGAGTCTATACTAAAAGAGAGTTGCGGAGGATTTAAATAATCCATCACTATAGCCCTGGAGAGATACCTGGATTCGGGCTCGTTATTGTTATCCTGAAAAAGCAGGGGAAAGCTACCATCAGTGGCAAAGATTCTGTGCAGGACCAATCAACGATAAGTGGATGCCCAGGGGAGACCAATCAACGATGGAAGGGCACTGGATGTCTTTTTCTCCAACAATCCAGTGGGCATCCAGTGCGTCCATCCGGCATCCAGTGCTTCCATCCGACATCCAGTGCTTCCATCGTTGATTGGTCTCCCTGGGCATGAGCCCCACGCTCCGATATTTCGCACGACTGCACCACGCCAAGGCCCCTATAGGGAGAGTCACTCTTGGCAGTCTGTTAATGCGATTCCTGCGAGTCCTGCGTCTCATTCTCCATGGCACCTTAGTAAAAACACAACAGTTCCCGAACCTAGCCACGCGGTACTTCTATGCCGTCCTTTGCTACACATGGTGGAAAGCGAAATCCTTCTAGATTTCTACGTGAACAAGTCTGCTTTTAACACACTTTGAGAGGGGCCCTAGTCGATAAACCACTTGTAATGACAAGTCGGGATTCGCCAATTCCCTTCCGCCTTTTGCCTATTTGGTATTTACTATGTTGATTTATTGCGGCCCGCGAAGATCGACATGTAGTTTCGTGTTCGCGTGTGCAAGGTGTCCAAGGCTGGAGGGGACCGGACCAGTTTGTCGCCGAAGAAGAGCAGAATCCCATCTCAATCTGCTGTCTGCCTGATTGGCAGCTCACCCCGGATAACGTATTTCAGCCGCCATCTCCGAAACGGATAATTCATATTCTCAATTAAATTCCTATGTATTTTGTTCCATTGCTTGCCGATAGCTAGTTATTGTTATTAAGACCATATATATCACTTTCGAGAAATGGAAACTATATTACTTCATTCAAAACTCACGGGAAAATACATATCTTGATAAATAAGACACATACGTTTCCCATCTTTCCCATCTTTCTCCAACTATAATGGCAATGTTTAATTAAGATGGCTTGGGGTGAAGGCTTGGCACGATTATCTTTTCATCTTTCCCAAAACTTCACCAAACCCAACTTTCCTTTCTCCTTTTGATTCCTTATTTTTTAAGGGTTTCTTCTTGGAACATGATGGTTTACCCTAACCTGAACGCAGATAGGGAGCAGGAGGCATCTATCAAATTGTCTCAAGATATCTCTTTAATGAATTCAATTATAATAGGGGGAAAATTGCCTGGAAGCCGTGGCCTGGTCTCCACATAAGAAAGAGACGTCCCATACCTAAATATCAAATAAAACATTAGTTTACCCCCCTATGTACCACCAGGCATGTTCAAGTCAGTTTTAAGCTCGGCAAATGTGGTCCTGGCCAAGGTTCTGGTAGGAGCGTACTGAGCCGCATCCTGGGGTATCTAAAATTGAATTCACAACGCCGAGGGTCCGAGAGACAAATTGTAATGTTAGGTAACGGGTTTAACTCGGGGCACATCCGGATCGGGGGTAAACATCCCCCTTGGGGGTCTGGTTTTCTAACGTTCGTCTACGGAGTAGTACGGAGTCATGGATATGTATCGATCTAGTCTTTACGCCATACGCGTCACTCAATGCCGTGGAAGCACCTTATATAGAACGCCTTGCGACCCGATCCTAGATCCCCCTCCACGTGTACAGACCTCCGAAATGTCGGGCTAAACCTTTGTACCCAGATATACCGCCAAGTTCGGCCGATTCTGCCAGTCTAAAGCTCCTAATATAGTAGCGTGCAGGCGCGTGATCCAGCGCTAAAAGGTTAGTAGTCAAAGGAGATGCACCTAAGGAGACTGCCAAAAAGAACTCTAGAAAAAATGGATGGAAGTCTGTTGGAGAAGATTACCTTAGGAGACCCCTAAGACTACGGAGCATAAGCTACCGGAATTACTCTGTGAGTCTAACTTTGAGCGTCCTCATACAAGTGCTGCCAGCTAACATTTCAAGATAGGAAAGCCATCTGCTAGAGGAAATATGGTAGTATTATGTATTATGTATGTGCAGATGCCAAACCAAAAAGTAAAAAAAAGACAAAACTCCTTTTGCGGAGACAGATGAAGGGCCCAGATCACTGTACATGTAGACTCTCCATGAACGTGTGTCACAACACACAAAATCTCATTAGTCAAGACAAGGCTCGCATGCAATATACACCGGGTATCGAGCAAAAATCAATAACTATTCATCGCAACAGATCGTAATTTTGCATCCGCTCCGGACTGCTTGCTCATAGTATATACCGCATTCTCCGGGTAGCCTCAGCCGCCACGAGAGCGCTTATCGCCCCGATGAAGAGACAGATAGAGATGGCGTTATACCTATCCTTGTCGAGGTTCATCCACTGCGTATCTGAATTGCTGTTTGCGGGCTCTTCGCCCGGTTCGAGGATACTGAAGACAATCCAGCTGATGAATGTTCCGACGAATTGTGGCAGGGTCGTGTACACATTCAGCACGCCCAGGTAGATACCGGCCAGTTCACCTGTTGACGGGATATTGGACGCCTGTTCCTCCTCGTCGGTGTCGCTGTCAGTGGAATCGTGGTGGTTGAGTCGGAGAACATCCAGCTCGGTGTCTGCTGCGGAGTTGCGCAGACTGGCTGAGGTGATCATTGTCACGCCGGAACGCGATGATGGTATTGTAGGGTAATAGCCGCCCATTGTTAGCCTGTTGATTTCCACGCCCATAAAGGCGAATGGAGCCCAGCCGCTGATTGCCCAGGGAATACCGCATACTGCTACTAGGAAGGTTGCGAAGGCGCGGGAGTGCGCTAGCGGGGCGAAGATCATTGTTGCGGCGAACATGACGTGGGAGATTAGCCAGGCGGTTTGGAGGTCGGGTCGAATTGCGCTGATGGCTTTGAGGATCGCTGCAACTTTTGGTGGTGGTCGTGCGGTGAATCGGGTCCTCTTGGCATCTGGCTGCAGGATACAAAAGGGTAGGAGTACAGAGCTGAGGACTGTGATAGATGAGAAGACCGTTAACGAAAGACTGCCCACGCGGCCGACTTCACCAAGCATATCCGTTGCTTTGGCCATATCGTCTTTTGGTACTTCATAGCGGAAGTAGGTTTCGCCAACCCAGGTTGTACTGTAGAAGAGGAAGGGGAACCAGCCTACTTATTGTTAGCATTGTTGATTTCACAGTAGGTGCGGAGATTTCCATACCAATCCAAGCCCAAAATTGGGCCCAGCAAATTGCTTGGATGCGAGGGGGTAGTTCGAAAGTTGTTTTGAACAGCTGAGAGAGGACTTGAATAGCACCAGCACTTCCGTCATCCCTGTTATCACAAAAGGGTTAGTTGATGGCAATAAGTAACGGTTCGAGTCCAACCCACCTTGCAGATATAAGCACTCGCTCTTTTACCGAGTATGATGTGACTCCTACTGCCAACACCAATGACAAAGCAGCGATCACAGTCATCTGCTTGAATTGCGTATCTCCAAGGAAAGTACCAAAGATGCTAACGGTATCGATGGCACCAACCACATAAGCAAAGAGCTGACCAATGGCACACATTCTTCCGGCTACAAGAGAGGTCAGCGTATTTTAGGCTGAGACATATGGGGAAGCGCCATACCCCATGCGGATCCAGCTTGTTGCGATGGAATCGGTAGTGTATCCACAATCAGACCGCGACAGCACGCTTGAACTAAGACATTGTAAGCCATCTTCAATTAATGTACGGGTAAGTCTTCCACTTACCGACGTTGATGGAGAAATCCACCGCATAAATACTCAACACAGCCAGGGCGATTGTGCCATTCTTGGCCTGTAAAAAATCGAGATTAGCTTCCCATAACCATAAACCTAACCAGGTGAGTGCTCCAATACACGGGGATATGTACCTTTTCCGGATCTTTGACAAATAAACCAACAATCTCTGCCGTCCACCCCAAGACGAACAGACAGAAAGCGACAACTAACGACCCAAAGATCATGAAAGGTCTACGCCGACCCCATTTCGATCGAGATCGATCAGCAATGACTCCAATAAGAGGCTGAATAATCAATCCAGACAACGGGCCAGCAATCCACACCAACGAAGTCTTGGACTTCGTCAGACCGAGTTGAAGAAGGTAAGGTGTACAATCTAACAGAAAAATAATAAAACCAAGTCAGCGAAAATTATCCCTGAGTCCCAATGGAGATGATTTGGAATGTGTAGATCTTACAAGTCATCTCAGTACCCCACGTGAACCTATTCTCAAGAAAATCTCCGAGTTAGCCACAGACAACACAACATCCCTTGGAACTCTCAATTGCCTCCAAAAAAAAGGTAGATGTCGCACATCGCCTAACCACTATACACAAGCGACAAAACAAACGGGGCAATACGCACTGCAATCCCACCAAACTAAACGTCAAAAGCGCCATCCTGGTGGACTCATTCCGGCCCTTGATGGAGGGCGTGCCCGCCCACCTCGCAGCCTGCGGCATCCTAATTATCCACGTGCTGGCATGCACTCAGCTTTCTTCTCATGAACCCAAACAAAAACCAAATAGGGCTGGTGGCCTAGCCAGTAACAGATTCAAGATGAAAACGCCTGTCCGGAAGAGACGCGCAATTCAGATTCGGATAACAGAGTGTATGATCTAGCAGGGGTTGGGATACGTCAGGGGATTGGGAAAGGGGCCGGCAGGTGTCTAATCCTTTCGGGGAATTGAGTCGCGTGCTCTTTCGGAGCCGACGGGGGAGTTCGCGGGGGCCGAAATGGTGCACGGTACGCTCGGCGTTTCGATGTTTGTTGGGCGCGCGGATTGGGGGGAGGGTGCGTTGGCTGCGACGGAGGTGCTGATGGGTGTCTATACAGTTGTTCGAGAAGTGTCTAAGGGGATTCTAAGAGGAAAGACGTTGTCACAGTCGAAGAAGAAGGAGAGAAAATCCGTGTTGGCCTGAGCGCCTCTATGCGGGCCCCCGGCCTTATCGATTTATTTAATTTAAGAGACCCGCCAGCCCTGGAACCCTTTTGCCGATCCGGCTTCGCTTACGACTAGGGTAGGCTATGCCGGTGCTTTTATTTATCTGTGTACGCGTTTAGTTCTCTACATATGTACTTTACATGCATTAGGTCTCTTGCACTCCAGCTATGTCGTTTGCAGCCCTCGATCTCGGGAGCTCAGCCTTATGTCAGCCTCTCCGTGACGGACCCTTGTGCGCTGATTGGCCATATGAGATGACGTAATCCAGCCAATTATAGAAACACATTGTTGACACGGGAAGAGCTCTGGAGGGGATGAGGGAATGAGGGAATGTACGTGCCAAGGAGTTCTATAGGGGCTAATGTCATAACTTACCTGATTAGGAAAGTACATGTACTTTTGCTCTTTTTTTATATACTACATATTAGCGAAAAAGAGAACACGGATGACAGCAACCCCCAAATGGACATCCACCACAAGAGTCGAACAAAATAAGGGCGTAAGTATCTTTCATTGCGTGCGTCGCATCCAATCCTAATTTTGAATTGGTCTCGAAAACCTAAGTATCACAATATGACGCGACTCCTGCCGGCCAAACAATCAACCAGAGTCAGAAAATAGAGATTTTAATTCCTTTGTATCCCGAATCCGCTTCCCATAATCATCGTAAACAGCTATACTCTCAAGACCTACAGCCGGTTGGGGGCCGAGGTAGTGACGGGCCACTGGTAGCCAGCGGCGTCGCTGAACTTGTAGCCGTATGAAGCAGTGAAGTCGTCAAGGACGGCGGGTCCACGGGAGCCTAGATCAATGCAAGTTAGCTATATGTCATGACTAGGCAAGGGAAAAAAAAGCTGGTAAACTCACCGTAGGGGTACTCCATGGGGATGATCTCCTTGTTGTCATCCAAGTAGTGCAGGAGGGGAGTGAAGATGCGCCAGCTGGCATCCAACTCGTCATCACGGACGAAGTTGGAGTGGTCGCCCTTGAAGGCATCCAGAATCAGGGATTCGTAGGCCTCGGGGATCTTGAGGTCGGAGAAGCGACGGCGGTAGGTCAAGTCCAGCTCGGTGACCACCGTCTGCATGGAGAGACCGGGCAGCTTGGAGTTCATCTTGATGTAGACTGACTCGTTGGGCTGAACACGGATGACAAGCTCGTTACGGGGGATGTCCTTGAAGATACCGGAAGTGACATCCTTGAATTGGATGCGGACCTCGGTCTTCTGCTCGTTCAGGGCCTTTCCGGCCTTGAGAATGAAGGGAACACCGTCCCAACGCTCGTTCTTAATGTATGCAACCATCGCGCAGAAAGTCGGGCAACGCGACTCCTTGGGCACAGTGTCGTCCTCCAGGTAGCCGGGCTTGCTGCCGTCGAGGGAGCGGCCGTACTGGCCGATGATAACGTTCTTGGGCTCAATAGCATCCATAGCGCGGAGAACACGGACCTTCTCATCACGGATATCCTCGGAAGAGAAGGAAATGGGGCGCTCCATAGCGAGCAATGTGAGGACCTGCAGAAGGTCTATAAAATTGTTAGTATGTTTTCTACGTCTAGTGAATGCAATTGAATGTACTTACGGTTCTGCATAACATCACGGATAATACCGAACTCATCGAAGTAACCACCACGGCCCTCAGTGCCGAAAGGCTCCTTGAATGTAATCTGCAGCCGATATTAGGACCCGAATTCCGCAACGAAATCGCTTCCATCACATACCTGGACGTTATCGATGTGACGGCGGTTCCATGTGGCATTGAAGAACTCGTTGCCGAATCGCAGAATTAGGATATTCTTGACCATCTCCTTACCGAGGTAGTGATCGATACGGAAGATCTCCTCCTCCTTCCAGTTAGGCTCCAAAGCCTTCTGGAGGTCGCGGGAGCTCTGTAGATCCTTACCGAAGGGCTTCTCGACCTATTAAAAGAGAATAGGTGTATCAATATGAAGTTCGTTTGGTGACAGGCTGCCCGGAGAAACTCACAATAATGCGAGCGAGACCGCTCTTGGGGTAGCAGTTGCGCTTCAGCTGGTCGGACACAGTGGTGAAGACACTGGGCGGCAATGCCATGTAGAACACGCGGTTCTGCTCCTTCGATTGGCGGTTGTTTTCGATCTCCTCAAGGTGCTTGTTCAGGTTGATGAACGAATCGTCTTGATCATATTGGCCGGAAACGTAGGTGCACATCTTGCAGAACTGCTCTAATTGTTCTTCGATCTCCTTTGTGGGGACCTTGATGTACGAGCGAACGCGCTTGAGGTATTCGTCGGTGTCCATCTTTGTCCGCGCATATCCGACGATCCGAATGTCCTTGGGAAGGAATTTGTTGCGGAACTATTCCAAAATTGTGAGTGGGCGAGAGCTGGAAAGGTCAGTGAGAATAGCACATACAAGGCCAAAGAGTGCAGGGAACTATAAAATTAGTTAGTACGTTAAGAGATTCATCGCATCCTGGGAGGGGTACGAACGGTCTTCTTCTTCGCCAGATCACCAGATGCGCCTAGTACCACGATGATGGTATCATCTTTAAGTTCGATGGTGCTGAATGCAATATCCATTGTTAGTGTTGCGCTTAATTGACCGAGAAAGATTTTTGCATATAACGCGGCAATTGAGGGGTTGAGCGGGGGAGCTCTCTGAGCAGAGAAAGTCTGCGAAAGCTTTCAAGGAAAGGATTGAATATTATCGGGACGAAGGCAATAACCTCTAAACAGCACGATTTGGGGATAAATTGAGGTTGATTGAGCTGGAGGCAGCCAGTAGGCTTCCGCAACCGGGGGGGGTAGGGAGTGATGTCAGAGACGCAGGAGGGGGAAACTCACCCAGCACCCTGACGGTCATCGGTCTGGTTAATCACACTAGACATCTTGCATCAACCGCTTAATACACAAGATAAAGAAGAAAGATTGAGAGAGATTGGAAAAGGGAAAAAGAGGAGGATTGTTGAAGAACACCAGGATCCGGCGGAGTACTTTTTAACGGAAGTTCACAGCTTCGGCTGGTGGGGCTGAGGTATTGTATGTATTTTATGACTTCAGGGTATTAATCACTTTTCTTTTCGATAAATTGGTTTTTGATATTATTTTTATTATTTTTTGACTTATATTCTTTGCTGTACGGAGTACTAATATTCTACTAATATTTTGTTTCTCTTCCTTTGATGCATACTGCTATTTAATGCCGGCCTAGGGACCTGGCCTCGTGGCAAATTTCGGTCAACTCTCTTATATCCAGTATTCTTAAGTCCGATCTTCATGATCATTGTTATTGACCTTGAACTTTGGACCACTCTTCTGATCCCACAGGAATCTTACCCGTTTTGATTATCAACAACCCCGCGCAGGCTACTAGGGCTATCAGCGCTACTTATAACCGTCCGGTTCGGGCTCGGAGTGATACAAAGTACATCGGGTCAATTGTCAATAGTGTCAGACGTGAGCATGTCGCTTATTCTTGTTCTAATAACAGAACCCTTCCAGAGAAAAGGAGAGTAGGGGGGTCATCTGATAAGAGATGTGGTTCACTTATAGGTGCAGATGACTCAACACAAACAGGCTAAATTCGATTGTATAGTGGTATGGGTCCATAAGAATGTCCAAAATTGCACGTTCAATGTTGTATAATAACTAGTGAGTACTGGTAGATACACTATGGACAAATCTGCGGTCAACTGTACTCCGTATCGTGTGCACACGTATATTCAAAGCGGATCATTGGAATAACAGGCCATCGCATCGAGGGGAAGGTTACTCCGTACAGTGTGTCCACTAAAATCCCCTACGAGAGCGTATCAATTAAAGTACCGAACCTGCAAGAACAGGTATAATACCATGGACCTCGAGCACGCAAGCCGATAAGAACTTCTACCGGTGACCCAAATCGTGGGGATGGATCGGCACATTTGTCATTTTGTCCCAGACGGATTCTATTTTCCCGCGAGAGGCCACTTTGTTAAGTCCGGTTTGAGACTTGTATTAACCCGAACTACAATTCGAGGGGTCCGAATCCGGAGCATACATATTAACCGTTAAGTCCTACTTGGGGGCTATACTGCATGTACGTATACTGTACAACTCTACAGATCTATGCTACATGTATGTACTCTACACTAGTCTGGTTCCTGAGGTTTGTCGTACCAGTCCTCTTGAGAATTGCCCCAAGTTTCGATGAATACATACATAACCGGTCTCAAATGTAATCATCCCGACAGCCAGGGTGTGGGGCATGATACAAGAACTTCTAGATTTCCCAATCAGTGGTCTCGGTCTGAAGTATATGCGAGGATGTACCGGAGTTCTACCCGGATCATGTCACTGTCAATGGTTATCATTTCAAGATATTGGCAATTGTTTCTATATTCTATGAAGCTATCTAGTTTTGAAAACATTGTTCACTAATTAGAGACCTGCCGGCAATAGCCTTTACACATTGCTTTTTCTTGAATGAAACCTTCCAACTTTAGAAGGCTGGAACCCGTGTCGTCATGGCTTAGGTTTGTCAGCTGGAAAGCTGCAGCTTGGAGGCTTGGACGTGCCGGTCGGACTACTGTAGCCCGAGTGGCAGAAAAAAAATAAAGTCGGGCGGTAAATGATCGGTAAATGACATCCATCTCGGGTCGGAGAAATAAGAATCCCAAAGAGCTTATCTCATCTCAGATTCTGCCTATCTAATCGCTGATGTAAGATAGAGAGAGCGGTGACTATCACGGGATCTCGCTTAGCCCTGATGTATCACGTGGACTGTGGCTCGCTAAGATCCCGTTTAGGCTAGGGCGAAAACCAACACACGGCTGCCCAAATTGATTGTGCGCCTGACTCTATCGAAGCGACGACAACCACGACAAACGGGAACGACTTTTGATCTTGCGGGTCATTCCTTCGACTTTCTTTCCTTGCCCGCTCCCCAGAGAAACGCCGACACAATGCCTTCGGAACAAGGACACCGCCGTGAGTGAATCCCTCGAATGTCTTATCGATCGTCGTTTTGGCGGTCTCGAAATCGCAAAGCCGCATCTCGAGCACCTTGTGTGGTCGCACACTGGATAATGGACATGTACTAACTATTTCTTCTTTTTCTAGTCTACGTCAAGTAAGTTACCACCGCACTTTCATCGTCGCATTTAAGGATACACCAATTCGACTTGGAGGACCGATTTGGGGGACACAAGATATCGCCACTCAAATCGAAGCAACACACGAGATGGACAGAGCATTAATACGAATTTCTTCTCACAGGGGACGTCACCTGAGCTTCCAGCGCAGCAAGCACGCCCTCACCCAAAACACCAGGTATCTACACCCTGCGCACATGAAATTGAATGCTCGATGAATGGAATCTGATATATGGTTATACAGCTTGGTCAAGATCGAGGGTGTTGATGACACCAAGGCCGCCAAGTTCTACCTCGGCAAGAAGGTCGCTTTCGTTTACCGTGCTAAGCGTGAGGTCCGCGGCTCCAACATTCGGGTGATCTGGGGCAAGGTCACCCGGCCGCACGGTACGTGAATGCAACAACCAGTCTGGAGGCCATGTCCGAATGGCCCTCTAGGTCTGGGGACCTCGAACTCGAATTTCCTCTTATCTGACTCGTTCTAGGCAACTCCGGTGTTGTGCGCGCCAAGTTCCGCCACAACCTCCCCCCCCAAGTCCCTCGGCGCTACCGTCCGCGTTATGCTCTACCCCTCCAACATCTAAACGGATTCTCTGTGTTGTTTTTAGTGGGCGATTCCCTTCTTCGCACAGACGGTCGGTCAGGCAAGGAAAAGTCGACGGAACGAGCCGATGTTGATTTTGAGGTGATGGAGTTGGCGGGTTGATAACGTTTTGTTCGTGGGAGAAGGCAGGGCCAACAAAGCCCTACGAATCAAAAAAATTTACACTTTCATAGCTGTGTCGGCCCCAAGATACCGGGAACGAGCTTTGTCTCGATATTTCTCCTTGTTCTTACAATTGGCGAGCATGATGTGTCTGGTCGCGCAGCGTCACTTCTCCCATTGTGTATCTGACGCTTAAACGCACCAAATTCCATACCATTTCAAATTTCAACAGACCGGTCAATCGATCCGCTTCTTCGTGCGTCTGTCTTTCGTCTTTTGTTTAAGAAGAAATTGCATTTCCTTGCTCTGGCTACAATATACCATGGCATGATTGTTTTGCGAACCTAAATTACTCCCATGGCAGCAACAATGTAGAGACAGACCTCGGACGTAACATTTTATAATTAGCTATAGCTCTAGCACCCATAGACCCTGTGCCGGCTGGTTCGGCCTGATTCCCCAGGTTGTGATGTGGATCCTCCCCATACTGTCAACCACAACAACAACCTTTGGACGTATGAACAATAGAGAGCGCTCTTTTTTAGACTATTGAAGCATATATCAGTGCTCTATGCTCCATATTATTCCAGTGTGAAATCCCACGTATTATCCTACCTTCAGTATTCCCATGAAAAAAATATATATTCCAACATAAATCCAATCCGAACTCCACTCTAACCGAAGTATATATTTCCAAGTATCTAAAAGCAAACCAGGTATCCTAATCCCCCCAACACCAACATCCCATCATGAATCTTACAACATTTCCTTGTGAATCGATTGTCTATGCGCTTTCAAGTTCTCCCGTCGACTCGAAGCATGCTTACACCAGGGACACTTGAAAGCCCGAGGATTGAGATGCTGAGTCTGGATGTGCCGCTTGAGCACTCCTTTGCGCGAGAAGAGGCGATCATATTGACAGCCCTTCCATTCGCATTTGAAATTTCCGTAATTCTCGGTCTCCCTAGACGACATGTGTTCAGCATGCGTATAATAATGATAGCTTGAGAAGAGAACAAAATACACACTTTCTTTTGGTTGTACGGCCACGAGAAAGACACGGCATTTTCGTCTGGCTAGGCTCCGTCTTTGCCTCAACCGATTCTGACTGAAGCGTCTCTTTTATTATAGGCGTTGAGACTGGTAGATCATCCCATGGACTTGGGCATCTGACGTCGTAGAGGCTTGCTGGGGAAAGTACGGTGGCAGTTGCCTGGGTTGGAACGGATCTTGGGCTGTGGTTGCTGATGGACCGCTTAATGGTGCTTGGGTCTAGGTACGACGGCGAAGGAATAGGAGATAGCATTGTCCCAAGGGCAACCGGCGTAGAAGGGAACTGTGCGGAGGGAAGCTGGTTGGAGGGAAACTGTTGCTGATAGTTGTATGAAGGAGGCCGAGCGGTGGGCGTCCTCATGGTGGTCGATGGATCAGGCGACGGGGACATGAAAAGAGTCTCGGGCTGTTTGAGATACTCGGTTCTCCAATTCTCCAACTCGCCATCAGACCATGGAAACGAGGACTCCGGGATAATCGAGTTGCGTGTTGACCACGCCATCATGTGTACGATCGCCGACCTGGATGTAGAGAGTGGGCGTTGAGAAGGTAGAGACTAGTCATATGAATGATGAAGGGGTGGTTAGAAGAATATTTCTTTGAGCCGATGAAGGGCCGAGTATTTATAAAACATGAGTCAATGTGGTTTAGGGCACAGGGCTGGTCAACTTCACTAAAAGCCGCACTTGGGGAGACTGCACATCACTAATGGAGGAAGATGGACAAGAAGAAAATAGAAAAAAGGAAGACGGGCGGAATCAAACTTGGGGAGACTGACGCAACTACTCGGACCCCAAATTTGTTCTGGAAAACTCGTCTTACATTCTAGAAAGCAGGGGTTTTGCTCTCTGCATCAAGTCCATGCTGATACTAAATGGAGACAAGCTCGATTCGAATCCCAGCGGGATCATGACTCGTTGCCCTTTTAGAGGACTGAGCGTAAGAACCTGGTCTCCCAGGCCTTGGCTGCAGGGGACTCCTCATTTGTGTCTTCGATTTCTCAGTCTTTTGTTTGGAGAAGTGGAAAGTTTCCAACACAGAAGGATCATTATCATTTGGAAGTATGATACTGCAGCAGGCTGCGAGCCAATATCAGTACAGCACTGCCACTAAAAGCAGTTGAAAATGAGGGGCAAGTAGTGATCGACATGTATGATAGACCTTGGTTGGGTTGTTACTAATTCCTATGCGGTATAAGGTGTGTTCCCCTTGGGGATTATAAAATTAGAGAGCGGCTGAAGTATTCATGCACTATTCCCAATTCCATGGACTTGGGATGCACTCGGGCGTAGGAGCCGCTTCCTGTCCAATATGAACTTGTTCTGCTTGCCTGCCACGTCATGTCTGAAGGATGCAGATCATTATCCAAGCCAGTCTCAAGGGACAGGAGAGATCGGCATATTCTCCTTGGTAACGTACTTTCTTTCCTCTTTTTTATTATTATTAACGGTTATTTCTTTTATCCTTAGCTTTTTAATCACGCAGCTATTCTCTGATAATGGCAATGGTAGATGAACTCAAAAAAGCCTCACTACGTGAACCATCTATGTGGTTGGATATGGATGTGACAAGGATCAGGCTTGCATTGCATCAAACGGGTCTAGCACCTGGGGGCCGTTGGGAATATTACAACATTAGAATTTTATTACTATGCATGTGCTCTAATTGGTGTAGACATGCATGACGAGGCAAAAAAGATCCGATGTGATACCGGAGACTCTCGACTGTCAAGTTAGGGTTCCGGGTACTTCGCAGGACGCTGTTGATTTCCGGACCCGACGATCTCGAATGTATCTCGAAATATCGAAATTCTTAACTATCACACAAATCGTGCATAAGCGCCGAGTGTGACTGCATGTGACGAGAACTCATTGGTCAGCTCGTATATGCACCACCATGGGGCGCAGTTTAGCTGCATGAGCTGAGGGTCCTATTATTACCACTATAATAATGATTTATTATTATTCTGTTTTCCCGCCCGATACAAATAAAGCACAAACCTCTGGTATCATTGAATATCAACACTAAACTCCGATCTACCATAATCCAGACTCAACAAGATTCCCGTGACTCCAGGCCTACTGCATACCCAAGTTTCCCATCAGACCCGCTGACAATGAACTCTCCCTAAGTGCTCGGTCATATTGTCCCGTCGGCAGAAGAGCTTCCCGCACACGGGGCAGTCAAATGAGTGCGGAGCGACATGCTGTGTTTCTATATGGCGCATGAGAACGCCCTTGCGAGAGAACATGCCGCGGTATTTACAGTCTTTCCAGTTGCATATGTATGTGCCGTAAAGTTTGCTAGAATTACAATGGTATGTTAGCGTGGCGATGATATACTAGCTTGACAGTAGAGGGATGACTTACTCGTGTTTCGGTCTACGTGCTCGACCCCTGCCACCGATGGTCTGGACTTCAGGTTTACTGACACTTGATTGGGGGAACTCCTGCATAGAGGGAGAGGATCGTCCCGATCCTGACGGCGTAGTACATGCAGTACTGTATCCAGAGCTGATATACCCCATAGTGGATGGCTCACTAGGTGTATTATTCTCGCTCGAGGGATGGTGTGCCATATTGTGATTGGCAGAATTGAAGGTGCCATGAGCCGAGGAGAAAGGCATGGGGTAGCTAGGATGAACTGGAGATGAGGAGTGTTGCATGAGAGTATTGTACAGAAGATGGTTCTCAGAGAATGTCGATGGCTCTGCCGTCAGGGAGGGAGGGTGCTGGTGAGCAGCATAACCATAGGGAAGGTAGAGATCCCTAGAACTCTCGTCTTGACCAGGTGTACCAGAAGCGTTCAAGGGGACGCGGTATGGAGGCCCTGCCATCGTGATATAAAAACAGTGACTAGAAATTTGGACAAGTAAACAGATACTACGGAAACGGAGTAATGTATAGAGTCCAGCTGGGGGTCTGTGTTTCCTGGAAGGGTCTAAGAGATTTGTTTATATACCCAAGACTCGGCATTGATCTATGATGTGCGGTGAGGGTTTAACGAGTTCATGCGTGGGATGGTCTTTTGCACCTTATTCCAAGCCACAATGTTCGGCGGGTGAATTGATGGCATTCGCCCACTGGCCATATACAGATCGAGGAAAGTGGGCAGTGTAGTAATCGAGTTTCAGTCTTCTGTAATAGGCTCCAGTCCTGCAGGCACCTGGGCATATAAACTGGATGATGTAATAGAGGTCAGGTGCCCAGGTGGGCTGTACTGGGGGGAATAAGAGAGGCAATCGGAATGGGTAGGTGGCCAGTCGGTCATTAGGTGGGCTGCGGACTACCTAGGTCGATCACTGGTTTCCCAAATGGGCTATCTCACTGGAATGTCCTCGGAGGATGCCGAAGGGATTGAAGGAACACAGCCTAAACCTACAATAGGAGGATATTGAGCCACGGAGACTCACATGAGTAGCATGTAAGCTGAGGTCCAAACCTTAGAAGGTGCTGTGCAGCATTATATGTCTAACTCCTGATATTTCCATGCACTAGCGTGTTTCATGGTGTTTCCTATTCCATATTGAACGTCCATGCCAATCTGCTTTCGCCACACCCATCCAGTATCCAATACCCACTATCCACCAACCGAGCGGTCGATCACCCGAAACTCCCGGGCAACGACTGGATTAACCCGATGGGTTTGCCCAATTCTCCTCCAATGTGTCCGTTTGGTGTGAGGCATGAAAATACACCGACTTTCTCATAATCTAGCTGTTTCAATCTCCTTTGTCCCTGTGACCTTGGCGCTGGTAACCCTGTCAATCACCTGATCATGCGGACCATACTCTGTGCCCCTAGTGTCTGGACCGCTCTGCATCAGATTCAGGCTCCAGGGCTCTTTTTTTATATTACTCATAGTAAATTAGTGCCCAGGTGGGTACGATCTGCATGAGAACTGCAGATCCCAAAGCCTCTTTCAATGCCAACATAAAACTACCAGGAGTGGCTTACGGAATGGGCCACGCCAACGTGCACAGCGAAAAGAGAGCTAAATTCCAGAGTCTACAGTTGGTAATCGGCGAAAGAAGCTATGTGGTTTCACAAGAGCTATAATGAAATAGAACCAGCAAAGCATGCTATCGCACGTGGCGCCGCTCCGACGAGAACGATGTTGAACTGATGAATGAGAGATACAAGGGACTAGGAGATCATAATGACTGGGATAAAATTCAATGCTAGAATACAAACTAAACGAGGATCCCAACCCTTTCAAGTTCCACCGGAAATTCTGTCGATCCATTTAGTCCCTTTCGAGTAGTTGTCCTTTCTCATGATCATGACTGCATTGTCACTATCGGTGAACAAGGTGGTAGGACGATAAGAGGGTACAGAGGATATACTATGAAGATAGAGAGTACTACCACCTCATTACCCAAGCGGAACTTCTTGGCCTTTAAGGCCTCTAGAGCTTTGTCTCTATTTGCTGTGTGCTGTGTCTTCGAAAACTGCAGCGAAATAAGAGTCTCCGGATTGTACCTCCGCTTGCAGACCAAGTGTATAGCCACATCTGCTAGCTCTTGGCGAAGCTCGCAGTTTTTGACTTCCACCTTTCCAGCTTCTCGAATTGCAGCATCGAAAGCAATGTACTCGTTGGAGGTGCTGCTTCTTGCGACAACCTCTTCCCTACGTGCGTTCCAGCTGATTGGTGCTCCTGCATAGAAAAAGACGAATGCTTCGGTGCCTTCGCCATCTTCGCAATCTTGATATGATGCATCAACATAACCAGCAACAGTTCGGTTGGGACAGTATGGCTCTCTTTCGATGTCGTAATTCGTACTTCTTGGCCAATTGAAAGATAGGATCTGGGAGAACGGTTTCCAAGGTTATGTGGGTCTCGCTAGACCGAAATCCGATCCACACTTGTTAAGGAGCCATATGGATGAGCCTGACATCTGACGAATATCACAACAAGAAAGGAACAAGACTGAGATAAGGCAGAGATTTTCAAGATCCGTGATGGGCCACATGAATGGCTTGTCTATTTAGTCGCAGCCTTCTACGAAAGGCCCCCAGTGCACTCCGCTGGTCTAAGGTGTAGGGCTGGGCCTTCGTGCTCCTAATAAACTTCGATAAACGAACAGTCTGTTGTGTCGTACCACGGGGTAAATCGACCCGATAGGTCGTAGCGTCAGAGTGGCCGTGGGAGACGGTATAGGGATCAGCAGCACCATATGCTGGGGCGCGCGGCATCGACGGTCGTCTAAGCGCATTAGCATCGTCGGCGTCGGCCGAGCCGGCTGGATGCGGTCAAAGTTGATAGTCTCCTCAAAGACGATTCCGGGGAGGGTGTGCACACGGGAGACCGCAACATAGTGCAGGCCCGAAGAGTGAGCCCGCTCGTTAATATTGAGGACCGCCCCAAGCATAGTAATCGGCAAAGACAGGGATAAATGGTATGCCGTGCGCCCATATAACGACTGGTTTACCTTGCGGCCACCGATCAGGGTATACCTCGCCGTCAGAATTGAAGTCTGCAGGCCACTTGACATGGTGATTCCTGGCCACGACGAGGTTCTGTCCTACGACGAGGAAGGCGAGGGCGTCTGAGAGGCAGTTGTCTGCGGCCGGAGTCACTAGCCATCCGTTTTCATCGAACTCAATTTTGTCATAATACGGTAACTTGTGCTTGTCAGAGTATGCCATCAATTCCATCTGGGTTTTGTCCACAGTAATCCCCTGAGCCTTATGGACAGTGATTGCATAGGAAAGGACCAGGGGAAACTGGGTCCTGGCACACTGTTGGGTGCCCGCAAGGAACGCGTGTCACGAGGAGAATCGGCACGGCGTGCGAGGCATCTGGCCGAATACGTAAGCCAATAAAGGTGTCGAACCGAACAAATATCGCTAAGGCGGAGTGGAGGGCGGAATTGCGACAATGGTCTATAGTGCTGGATGGCTATATCAAATCCTCAACAGTCCCGAAGGAACTGTTGACGTAGTTGGAGTGGGCCTGCTAGGCTGGATGTGGTCGAAATTGCAAGTCTCCTGAAAGAGAATACCCGTGAGCGTCCACACCCGGGACACTAGAACATAATGTCGAAGCCCCTTTACTCACTATATAATTATAGGGATTCAAGTGAACATAGGTGTTCTCAGCACGATTCGCCGCGGAAAACACAAAGGGACAGCCCCGACAACATACAGTGTCGCAGGGCTTGTGCAACTTGTTACAGTGCTTGCAGTTTTTGCCATCTTACGTCTCTGCATAGCACTGCACGACGAAGGGCTAAAGCGTGGCCGGATAGCCCCAGTCCACTCACGCACCGAGACACGCATCCGAGAAGTACCACGGCTTCAGCTTTGTCTGAAGCCAATGCTCACTCTTGCAACTTCGAGCTTCCTCTGAAAAGCGTTCGGGCCCAGCGAATCGAGAGGGCGCCCCTGCGGATCCATCTCTCCAACTGCAAGACGCGTTTGGGGGAAGCTTGATACACTTGCTAGTAGCCCAGCTCGTAAGAGTGCCCAGTTGATCGACACCGCAGTCTCTGCCCGATTTGTCTGATGGTGTGTAGCCTCGACCAGGCTCATCGTAATATCAGGAGATCCGAAGACCCCTCATGGCAGAGATCTCTGCTAGGATACCGCGAAGGAAGGATCAATATGGGTTACACGTGGATGTGCTTGTTCCTCTCGCTGATGGAGGTGGTGTTGGTGCATTCCGGACCTGTTTATTTGTTTTCGTGAAATGACCCAACTACTGAAAGTGTCATAATGGCCTCCAGTACAAACAGTCCGCAGCAGCGTATGGCACGGGCACGGGTCGGCAGCCTACCTAGCACGCGCTTGGGTAGGTAAGTCGGAAACCCCCGTGGGAGGAACCCACTGCTCTATCATTACAACAGAGCCGGTCTTCGAAGAAGAGCCGACTAACTCTTTGCCGGACCCAACAGCAGGTCGCCTAGTGGTAACGTACACATGTGTACCACGGACAATGCGATCAATGTCAAGAAAGCGAATGCACTTGGCCCAGGGGCCATTGTTCTGCAAGCAGCCTGTGAAGGATCTACTACCCTCGAATGTGACAACCTCGATCCCCACGCTTCATTGACAATCGCCACCTGCGTCATGGCAGTGGACTTCTTGTCCGGTCAACCACGTCCCCACTTCCTAATTGTTCACTGCCAGCCTTGGCCTGACGAGGTCGTACGAACCGTCTGTATGGCAGTTTCTCGACAACCGCAGCCATCAGCCATTGGTCTAGGGCCGCAGAGAACAACAGGATTGCACGTCTCTTCCTGGTCCCGACTTTACCATTGAGGTTGATCCGTAAGGGGTCGGGACTGGTGCATAAGACGGGCCAGGGGCAGCTGGAAGTACTCAACGATGTCGAAAGCAGGCATCACTAATATTGAATAATGAGAGGTGAAGCGTACAAGTTCCAAACAGCACAGAATCTTATTTCAGTGAGCCAGAGGGACATGGCGGACTTGATTGCGGTTCACACGGGGCCTTTATCCGGCGAATGAGGTTCCGTAGACCTGCTGCTGTAGGTATTCCACGTCTTCAGACTCGCCCTGTCACCAGCGGCACTCGCCGATGACCCGATCCTTCGCAAGTAGGGATTCCTCGAATCCCCCAGGCACGCCTGTTTGCTGAGTGTCCGGCATTGCAGATTCTTCGTTGGTCTGGTCTTCCAAAATTGAGACTCCAAAGCAGCATGCTGGACTCGGGGAAATTGCACGCCTGTAGTGACTATGGAAGCTGAATAGCAGGGTCCGGGACTTATACATGATCAGCTTCAACCTGAAGCTTTTGCATAAGTTTGAAGACCAGGGGTTGGATTGCTGGTTCGGGCGTTGACGACCAGCAATATCACAGCTTCCTGGTTTTGATAGTTATTGCAGTACCGATTAAATGTATACACCAGTGAGTTTGATACTCACACGGACATCGATATGTGGTCTCTTCGGATCACTGAAAAAGAGGCCAATCAGGTCGATCCTAATGCACTGCTCCAGACCAATCCATTCGCCCAGTTGCCGGTTCGAAGGGCACATGTATCTGCGGCTCCTGTGCAAGGAATACTGCCAATCAACTTTAGCGTCGATTGGGTTCCTGTCTTTGTCCACCCCGAGTTTGCGTGTTCCCTCTATTCTAAATTTAGACTCCACAATGAAGGATCTCAAAGCTTGGAACACCCAGGGACCCATGGCTGTGACTGATTAGGAAAACAAGATCGAAGAGAAAACCGATATAAGGGGTAACAAACCTTGAAACGTGTGAAAAGGTGGGATAAGAGTAAGAGCCTAGCCGGAGGAATGCTGCACTGCGACTTATTAGGCACGTTAATCAAAAAGGAATATGAGGGACCTCGCGAACCTTGATGAAGTGAGACAATACGTAGACCTCGGGAAGGCTGAAAGGTGAAAGATCGCATGAACATTGGTGTGTGTCGGGTGCGAAAGGCAAAAAATGATAAGAGAGGTTAAGGAAAGAAAGAGAGGAGTTAACAAGAGAAAATGATTGTGATCCTCGTGAATCGATCGAAGATGTGGTGGATATCACTTGAAGGTACTGAACGATTCCCTCCGATGAAAATGGTCGTACATGAAATGTGTATTATGGTCGAGGCATCATCCAGAACAGTCCGGCGGTATAAAGGACAGGCTTTTATAGTAAACACAGCCTGAGTCAATCGGCCACGACTGGCAAGTGTGATGAAGAGTGATCAATGTGAGGCTGCCTGGCCGTACATTAGCACCAGGCCCATAAGTCCTCCATGTGAACCCGGCCAGGAGTTGGGTTGTGCAACGGCCAAGAGTAGAACTCCTTGATTCGTTTCTTCTCAATCTCCGGGTTCTGTCGGAATCACGAACTCGTGCTTCCGTACCACAAAGCGGCTGTTCTGTTGTTCTGCCATTTCCTCGCGCTGCGTGTGTGTAGTCAGTCATACAAGCACCCGTTGATGGATACGAGGATGATAGAGTTGGCTTCCAGGATGTCCTATATATACTGCGTGGACAAGGGAGTATATAGTTGAACTATAAGTGTCAAGTTATTGTCAGTTTCATCAAAATGGTAGAGGGAAATTTCTTTGCGGACGTACCATGGGTATACTTCAATAAAACATAGTATAAGCGAAGAATGATAGAAGAACGAAATAGGAGTGAGGAAAGAGTCTAAAAGGGAAATATGAATGAGAAGTGAAAGAGGAGGCCAGGCTACTGTGAAGGAGAAAAGAAAGAGAAGCGAGAGAAATATACACTGGTAGCGAGGCATAACAGAAACGTGCCTGCTGACGACCTGAAATAGGCAGCCCTCGAGTATCGGAGGAGGATACTCATGGGCTGAGCATGCTGCCCAGGGATGGGGAGGAGAAGGAAGAGGAAGAGAAGGGGAGACCACTTTATATAGGAGCAACGTTCTATAGGACCAAGGCACAAACAGGCTTTAAGAAGACATCAGTTTGCCGTGGGAGGGGAAGAGATTGCGTAAGAATGTATTGAATAGTCTACTTACTTTTGATTGAGTTTACAATTTATAGAGCATTTCCGTGCTCTAAGTCCAAATTGGGCTATCTCTATATACCGTGTCCTCACGGTTGCCTATCCCAGTAGAACACCCGGTCATGTGGTCCTAGGACAAAGCTCAACCGCTAGAAAGAGAGACATGACAATCTGAACGCTACCAGCCCGAGAATGACTTGATCTAGTGTCATATAGCATTTCTAGTAAGTTTGGCGTCCTTCAAATCCTATGTCTGGCGTAAAACAAACTATAGGAGGGCTACTAGATGCTCATAGGCTAGTATGCTATGGTATGGCATGTGTCGTTTCCATGAGTGAAATTTCTGACATGTCAACATGTACTTATACAGTTTAGCTTCGGGACAAATGGAGCTTGACAAAGAAGATATGCAGGGATCAAACTTGACATGAGAATTCTATGCATTTCTGTATGATTAGCTTTATTTAATATACACAAAGGCTCAACATGCATCATGATTGATATGACCCAAGTGAAGAGTGTTTGGCGCTGCAAAGGCCAAATCCGATTTTAAACAATATGCATTAACTTTTAAGATAAATATGTGCTAAGTAACAATTATGGACGGAGAGGAGAAATTAGTAAAAGGGTATCTGGAGAAGAGAGACTAGGCCTCAGTTTCAGGTTTCGAGTTAGCCTTTCGCTGAGAGTCGATAAGCTCCTGACGGGCACGTTCTTGCTCAGCAAGACCCGTCTTCTGGACGGTGTGATGGCGCGTCAGCTCACGACGGCGGATGAACAAAGCGAGAACAAAGCCAAGGCAAGCCGTAGCGGTGTAGAAGATCCACATGCGGTTCAGGGCATGTGTGTAGGCACCGAGGACGACGTCACGCTGGGAGGGAGTAAGGCTCTCGATGAGGGACTTGGAGGAGCCGCCAAAGGAAGAAGAAACAGCCGCAGCGGTTTTAGAGCCTAGGGCGGCAATGAGCTTGGCTGATTGTTGACCCATGATGTTTTGGTAAATGACAGTGCCCAGAACGACGGACATCGAAGTGGAAAGTTGACGGACAAAGCCGAAAGTAGCTGTTGCCGTGGCCATGTCGGCGGGACGAATGTTGGCCTGGAAAGCGACCAAAGGTGCCTGGAAGTTCGGGCCAATACCAAGACCAGCGATTAACTGGTAGATGATGATACGGGGCCATGAAGCGTAGACCTTCAGATCGATGAAAAGACCGAATCCAAGGGCCATCAAGGTCATACCGCCAATAATCATCTCGCGGAAGCGGCCAGTCTTCTTCATAACGGCACCCGTGATCATGGAGCCGACTGCAAGAGACAGTACCAGAGGCAAGACATACACACCACTCAGGATGGGGGATGCCTGCAGGACTGTTTGGAAGTAAAGCGGCAGATAGTAGGTAGCGGCGATGAAGGTGAACCCGTGGCAGAAACAAACAAGCAGAATGAGAATGTTATACCACTCGTTGAAGAGCCGTGGAGGAATGATTGGGAACTTAGCAACCTTCCATTCCAGGAACATTGCCAGAGCCCAAGTGAAGACTCCGAAGACAATCAGGCAGATGACAGTTGGTGAGTCCCAGGGGTAATTGACACCTCCGAACTCCAGCCCGAAGAGGAACATCAGCGTTCCACCGATGATTAAGAATGTTCCTGTCCAATCAATGCAGCGCATACCAGCCCAGAATGGAGTCTTGGGCGACTCAATGTGAAGGAAGAGAATAAGGATAACAAGCGAGACACCTCCAACAGGAAGGTTGAGATAGAAACACCAGCGCCAAGTCACATTCGTAGTGAAAGCTCCACCTATAACAGGGCCAAGAGCACCTGCGACGGCCCATGTTGCACCGAAAAGACCATAGTACATTGGACGATCTCTGTATAGAAGTTAGCCTCATTCCATCCCAGAAAGATGTCATCATACCTCAAGCTGAAGAGATCCGAAACACTGATATTAGCCAGGATAAGGATACCACCACCACCAACACCCTGAACCGCTCGACCTGCGATAATTGTGGTCATGTTATGCGCCAAGGCACAGATCAGACTGCCAACGAGGAAGACAACATTTGCCAAGACAATGATAGACTTTCTTCCCCAGATGTCACTGATCTTGCCCCACAGAGGGATACAGGCGGCATTCGCCAGAAGATATGACGATGCGATCCATGAGAAACCGCTCTCAGAGGCACCAAACTGGGCGGCAATAGTGGGGAGGGCGGTGGAAATAATAGTCTGCAAGAAATATATTAATGAAAGCCGAATCAAGGGGTGGAAATAAACGTACCATATCCAAAGCCGCCAAGAACAGCGCCAACTGCAATGCGACATCAAATTAGCTTTCTGTACTTCCCGACCTGTTCCCCGCGCGTCGGAGAGTTTCCTTACACATAGCGCTGTCATCACAACGATGATCTTGTTCTTGCTCATCTTTGCTGCCTGTGAGGGTGCCTGGTCTAGAGGCGCACCCTCCGTTGTCTCTTCCGGCACATTCTCCGCATCGTTGGGCTGGGCTGCCTCGTTTTCCTGTTCGGGAGTGTCGAGGGTCTTTTCCACATTCGCTTGATCGATCTCAGTATTACTGCTCGCGGTGTCTGGTTGCTGGCGCTCGCTCGTCATGATGGGTTGGGGGAAATAGAAAGGGAGAAAAGCTTTCTAGGAAGAAACGGAGTTAAGGTCCGTTCCGTCCAAGCTAAGAAATGTTTGCCGATCGGAAATTTCTTTTCGCTATAATAGTGGGATCAACATGATACATATATTCCAAGTCAGCAGATCGGATCTCGTATATTCGGGGTTTAGAATAATTGGGAGGTCCACGGCTGTTAAATTGTATCAGCCCTGGTGGATCGTCATCGGTGTCGGCGTCGGATAAGCACCGATCCCGAGCTTGTTTTTATTGGCGAGAGATGCAGTTTTATGAATAACTAAACTACCTACATGTAGGTATATCTAAGAGAAAATATATGACACCTGCAAACAAAGTATGAAAAAAGAAAAAGGATCAAGTGAAGCTAAAAATTCAGCTAACATGTAGAAATTCTCCAAACTGACCCAGCTGGAAAAGATGACAGATTTGAGACCTGAATCATTGGATATTGACGGTTACTATTTTTGCTAGGAGTAATAGCGTTAGGACATATTGTTGTCTAAGTCTACGGAGTTGACGAAGCACGATCTCTGGCTTTAGTAAGAGTGAAAGTAAGAGTGACACGAGGGCACGAGTAGCTATCAGCCGCCATTAATGTACCTCTAATCTCAGGTGTACAGACGTTGATAAGCATGCTGTCCGGCCAACCGTATTGCCAACTTAGGTGACCATTTCTCCTTGGTCATCCAAGCGCATCCGCCTATTCTGTCTGTCAAGCATTGATATGAGTTTCGTTTCCTATTCCTGGCGCGCGTTCAAGACGTCGAGATATGCGGATTATTGCACGGGCTTGCGGCGTGTCAAGGGTCCGGCTTTGTTGGCTGGCGACCCATGCGGCTTGAGAAACGCTGTCAATGTCGTCACAATCTTGCAATATTGTATGGTCGAATTGCCCCATGACGGTGCGAATATCCTTTGTCGGGGACGTCCATCTCGGTCGGTGCTCGGCGGCATGGTGATAGAATTGAGCATATGTGCTCATCTCCGTCTTGAGACCCATCCCCATCCCCATCCGTCGATATGCGTATTGTCCGTGGGGTGTGGTGACGGCTGCCTTGTATCCGTCTTCAGGTTTGATGGGGACGGCCCAGTCCACAGGAGGCATCTCACGGCAGATATCTTCCATAGGTATGGCATGAGGGATGACTCGGAGTGTACGAGGCATTCTGAGCTTGTCTTTGGCAGCTGGCTCTGCATGTTTTGGTGTCCCAAGGGACTTCGTAGGGAGGAATCAAAGATTAACATCGAAGTCTAAAAGGAATCCTCATTCAAGAAGCCATGAAGGATAACTCGGAGGATTCGGGACTTTGCCGAGCGCGTCTTTGTTAGCTGAATTCTCAAGTTTGGTGTCATCCGAAGAGGCTTCAAGAAAGCGATCATCAAGTAAAGGTTGGAGCTAGGCGCCTTTTGATATCTATAAATCGCACTCGATACGTCGACTGTGTCGAGAACGGCATAGACGAGGAATTCGAGGCGTTGGTAAGATTGTGTCGATGTACCGTATTCGCAGGATGCGTGGGTAGGCGCATCGACGCGCGAAGGAATGTGTCGAGATGTGGAGAAGACAGAGAAGACACCATGATCCAATGGGATCCACGGCCCAAGTCAAGCCCAACCAAACCACGAAGAGGGCGGGCATGAAATAAATCTGAAAAAAAGAGAGAAACATCTCATGCTAAATCAAGGGAAAGATAGGCCTTGACTTGTTGACATGCTGATGTTGGAGGATGGGTGATGTCTACCGATTCCGTGTAGAGGCCTGGGTCATTCATCCACAATCGACTGACCACTATTCCCTTCGTGATTCTCAAGGTTGCCTAAATCATATATGTATATAGTTGCAGATGATTTGAGTTAGACCGTGAGGAGGTCAGCTTGGTGAATATCGTCTATGAGCATCTCAGGAACTATATGTATGCGGGGTAAAATGGCCATGGATGACGCTAAACCAAAAGAGGTAATAGCGCGGGATCCATGTGGATTGAAGCCCTAAGCTGCTAGCCCTAACTGCCCTTTTAGGATAATCCAAATAGGCCTTCGCGCGCTATAACGCGTGAAGATAATCTGGCCCTTCATGTTCTTCGACCTTAACTGAGGTCTAGCAACCAATCCAGGGCATCTCCACTGTGGAGCTCATCCTCAATCATGGTACACATCCAGGACCTTCCCATAGAGCTCCTATATCTCATTCTGTCATTTTTTGTCAGCCCAGATGATCTCGAGCTACTGAGCGGACAACAAAACACGAAAGCAAAAGACGGCAAGGCGAACGAATTGGATGACGAAGAATATGACGAAGATGAACCTGATGGGACTGAGACCCTGTACAATATTTGCCTAGTCTCGCGGAAGTTCCGTGAGGTGGCCCAACCTTTACTCTTCCGTGAACTGTTTGATGATGGTTTGACCGGCGGGCTCACTCCGACTGTCCCATTCATCAGAACGATATATCGTCGTCCGGATCTCGGAAAGCATGTCCATCAAATTTCTATCCTGCCTTTCCCATTCATCTCAGATGATCGTAAACCTCTTTCCGCAGAGGACTCCGAGCTCTTCAAAGGCGGAATCCAGGACCTAGGATTGGGCGATCAGGAGGAAGCCTGGATTTCGGCTCTGGAGAAATCCGACCTCGGCGTTTTGGCAGCATTGCTAGCCAACAAGGCTCCCAATCTTCGTGGACTACATCTGCCAGTGCGCTACTTCTGGACCGAGCCATTCATCCAGCTTTTCCACCTCCATCCAGAGTTCTTGTCAAACCTGGAGTCTATCTGGATCGAAAGTGATGACGAAATGTCCGGCTTCGATATTGCTTTCTACGAGAAATTCCTCACCCTTCCAAAGGTCAGATTCTCAACCTTCGAGTACGGTGATCTCTTCGATGAGTCATTCCCATCTACCTGGCTTCCTGGAACATTGGAAACGCAGGAACTGGCCTTCCACCACTGCCACATCGATGCCGGCGCCATCAAAAAGCTCATGCAAGCGTGCAAGAAGCTAAGAACATTCACCTACAACAATTTCAGCTTGGACCCTAACGACCGACGGATCATGCGTGCGGGAACCGTGCCCGAGTTTGACGCTAAACAGGCCCACGAAGCTGCCCTCATACATAAGGATACCCTCGAGCTCTTCCACCTCGAATACGCAATGGAACTACCGGACGTCGAGCATATCGAGCAACTCGTTTCTAGCCACGTCAAGGTTGGCTCATTCCGCGATTTCTCCGTCCTCCATACCATCCTCATCCCACACGCTGCTCTTCCACCACACCCTCAATTCCCCAGCTCGCTACTGAGACTTCACATCACCGACTGCAACTCGTCTATCAGGGAGTTGACTCAGAACATCGCGGCAGATTGTAAAAATGGTCTCTATCCGAATTTAACTCACATCAAGGTATTCGCTATCGACATCACGCAGCCCATTAAACTTCCCGGACAACGTATTCCCGAAGGGAAAACCCCTGAGCAATGTTTCCTCGCTCTGAAGGATATGTTCAAAGGAACCAAAGTGAATTTCCGGATCTTGCCGTATGAACTACCTGATTTTGATGATTACGACGATCTCGACCTCGACTATGATGAAGATCTCGGGTTTGAGGAAGATTTCCTAGAACCGGGATTCGAAGAACATCCACCAGGGGCGGATCCCGGCTCGGGTCCAATTCCGCCACGGCTTCTCGATTTACTTATGCAGCGGGCTATGATGGACCCTGAATTTGCACACCTCCGCCCTGATGAGGGAAGTGATGGCAATTCATGGGAAACTGATGATGATGACGACTCATGGGAAAGTGATGACTCCGATTCAGGCAACTAACTAGTTTAGTTAGTTTAGCCTTTAATTCTTCTCTAATTTAATGATATCCCTAACCATGTGCATTTTACTAGGCTTGCTCGTTCTCCATAAGACTTTAATTTTGACAGTGTATGCCTTATTTGGAGAAGATGGCCAATACTTTGTAGATCTCAATGCACTCATATTCCAAGCATATTCATGACTCAATAACTCCTCGATGAACATGCAATGACCAATGCGTATCCCTGGCAATTCTATGACAAAAGCAAATGGGGGTTGGGGGTATAATGAAGATAGCGATCGCGAAGAGAGAACATGACAACCAAGAAGGAAACCGAGCAGAATAATACGTATGGTAATGTAGCAGAATGCTTTACTCCTGCAATAGCAGAATCTCTGTAGAAATAACGTCCAGTCAGTCACCGATCCCAACAACCACAACAAACAGCAAGACTTACCCGTCAACGCCTCCTCAAAGCTCAGAGTAATATACCCATCCCTATCCTCATCGTACCGCTTAAAGACATCCGTCATACGCTTCAGACTAATACAAGCCTGAACGAAAAGATCAAAGCTCATACCAGGAGGCCTAGCATCCTTAGGCGCATTGCTCATCTGCCTGGCCTTGCCTTCAAAGACACCAAAGATAACAGAAATGAACTTCCCACTAAGACGGTACCCGAACGCAACAAGCGCCTTCTCGAACTCCGGCTGACTGACACGGCCACTGCGGTCCTCGTCGAAGCGATCGAACAGCTCCCGCCACGCAGCCAGATACCGCCACAACGAGACGAACTCGTCGAAGCTGATTGTCCCGCTGCCGTCGCGGTCGAACATTCGGATCATCAGTCTGACCGTGCGCGGGTGGAAGGACGTGTAGTCGCCATTCACGAGCGCGCTGCCGAGCTCCCCTTCTGTGAGGGCGCCGGAGTGGGAGGCGTTCGCGGCGCGGAAGAGGGGGAAGAGTTGTTGCGGGTCATCGCTGGGTGCTGTCAATGGCGGTGGGACGGGCGATTGGGGAGGCCGAGATGAGGGCGGGGGTCGGTTGCGCTGGGGATGCACTGGCGGGGGCCCAAACCCATAGTTCTGGGGTGGCGGGGAGGGGTGGAGGGGGTGAGGACGAGCTTGAGAGTGGACGGGGGCTTGGCTCGGCGGAGGCGCGTGTGCTGAAGAGGAGCGGCCGCCGTAGGAGTGGGAGTGGGAGTGGGAATGGTGGGGTTGGGGGTCGAGGCGCGGGGGTGCTGCGGCGTATGCGTGTTGCGGGGGAGCACCGGATACAGGAACGCGGGGAGGAATACCGCTGCTGTGGCTTGTTTGCGGTGGTGGGCGAGAGGGAAGCGGTTTTTGGTTGTGGCTTGGGGCGTGGCTCGAGGTGTGGCTTTGGCCTGATACATTCATGTTGCCTAACATCTGCGCGACCTAATTGACCGTTAACAAAAGGAAGATGAGGCCGCCTGTGTCGAATTCTGTACCTGTTCTGGCTCAGCGTGACTGTAATATTCCCCGGGTCAGTAATCAGTAACTGTAGCCTCTCGCTAGATCGACTATTCACTTACGCTGGCAGCGCATCGGGATTGTAGGATTTGTTGTAGGCCATGGTTGGAGCCCTAGAGGTGACGCAATCCAGAGGAACTATGCGACACGGACTCTGGCGAAGTGCAACGAAGGTATAACGTGAAGTAGAGGAAGAAGAAAGAAGAATAAAAGGAGAGACAGATTGAAAGCGGAGCCGTGGGGCATCGATTTTTAGCGCGCCAAGGGAGAAACCTTGTCGTAACTGGAGTACGAACACATGGACGAATTGAGACAGCTAAATAATAAGGGATTAATACATATGTATCCAATTCATATATATTTCTTGTATGTGATAAGTTAACTTAATGGGACTACTTCTAAACAGATTTTTCCTACCTACCTACCTACCTAGGTATATTCAAGCTATTAATAATCAGGTGAATCAGCACTTACGGAGTATTATAGCTCTAGCATTTTATCAAGAATACGAATACGAGAAGCGCTTAAATACTACTCCTTTAGGTATAGCAAAGAACATCGAATTCCTACCCGATACTAACAAGTACGGGTTTATTGCTTGCATGGTACCTACTAGTAGGGGGTACAGTACAGAGTACGGAGTATGTTTGAATGGTATTAAAGAGACGATCCTCCGAATTTTGGGGGCGAAATTTGAGGCTGAGACGTACCCAACGGGGGTTGGGCGAATGCGCCCCGCCAGCGCTAACAATCATCTTTCCTCGGGGGTTCACTCGATTCAGACCTTCAATTGCACCCGAGCGACATTGCCCAGATTGTGGAGGATCCTTTCATTATGGCTGATCCGTTGTCTATCGCATCTGGAGTTGCCGGGTTGCTGTCACTGGGTATCCAAGTCACCAAATCTCTAGTCGATTTTTACTCCGCATACAAGGATCAGGCTCCTGCTCTGGCCAAGATCACGCTGAATCTTGAGAACCTACTCGGTATCCTCCAGGCACTTGACGATGCACGACAACATGGTCAACCTCAGATGGATGCCCTGGTCCAAGAGATCGACAAGGCGGCAGTGGGATGCCGCGAGATCATCGAGGAACTCAGCGAGGAATGCAAGAAATTCCAAAAAGACACCGCTCTGGGTCTGAAAGCTCGAATACAACTTGTCGGGCGCCGGGCAACTTATCCATTTAGGGAAAGTACACTGAAGAAGCTTGAAGAGGACATCGGTGAGATACGGGAAAACTTGTCTCTTGCATTGAATGTGCTACAGCTTAGGAACCAGACTGGGCTTGAAGATGGGATCTCTGAACTCAAACTACTCGTCGAACGGATGAATACGATTCACATCTCTACTGCGATTCGTGATTGGCTCCAGGCCCCAGATGCGACCATTGATCACAACGCCGCATGCGAGAAACGCCATACAAGTACAGGACTATGGTTGATCAACGGCCAGGAATTTCAGAACTGGCTAGTTGAGCGCAATTCATTTCTCTGGATTAATGGCTTCGCCGGGTGTGGCAAGTCGGTCCTATGCTCGACGGCAATTCAATATACAGTCCGTGAGAGGCAACACCAGTCTAGCATAGGAATCGGATTCTTCTACTTTTCCTTCAATGATGAGTCTAAGAGAGATTGTTCCGGCATGTTACGCGCATTGTTATTGCAGCTATCGGCTCAACTTCAAGAGGCCGGAGATATACAAGAACTGTTTGAGTTGCATAAGTCGGGTACTCCGCCAGTGGAAGCCCTATTTAACACCCTTCGAAAGACTATCTGCAGGTTCAATGACACCTACATTTTGCTAGACGCATTGGATGAGAGCCCCCGAGACAATAAAAGAGAGGGCGTTTTAGATGCGGTACAGACGATCCGGCAGTGGGGCTTGCCCACCTTGCATCTCCTAGTGACCAGCCGTAACGAAATGGACATACGCCTTTCTCTGGAAGCCCCCTCCTCCCAGGATATCTCAATGAAAAATCAGGACACGGATACAGACATTCAAAACTTCATTTCCTACCAGCTTAAGAACGACTCCAAGCTTCGACAATGGAAATCACGCCATGAAGAGATTCAAGAGAAACTGACGAGTAAGGCACAGGGAGTGTGAGTAATAACAAAGAACACTAGCACAATAATTTGACTAATAATTGTACAGATTCAGATATGTCGAATGCCAACTCCTTGCCCTAAAACGGGCCCGGATCCGTAATCACATCGATGAATGTCTGCGTTCTTTGCCCCGTGATCTCGACGAGATATATGAGCGAATGCTGTGCAGCATCGACGAGCAAGACGCCCCGGAAGCACGGCTAGTATTAACTTTGCTTTGTGTGTCTGATCATCCAGTCACTGTGAAGGAGCTTATCGGTGCCCTCGCTATTGATGTTAGCAAGTGGCAATTAGATCGTGAGGGTCGATCATTTAGCCAAGATCATATTCTCGACATCTGTCTTGGTCTTATAGAGCTCGCAGTGGTTGAAGACGAGTACTCTGAAGAAGTGAGTACGATTGCTCGTATAGCCCACTTCTCTGTGCAGGAGTACCTTGAATCAGATCGAATTTCCCAACAAGGTGCAGCAAAATTTGCCATTCAAAAAGAACTGGCCCATACGGAGATGGCTCATGTTTGCCTCGTTTACCTCCTAGATCCAACGCTCTCGGGTGGAGAATTCAATGAAGCAAAGCTGGAGATGTTCCCTTTCGCTGGCTTTGCCGCTATGCAATGGTCCTACTTTCACAAAAATTCCGGGGAAGGGAACTCCGACATCAAACCCTTAGTCTTGAGACTGTTTATGGACCAGCCAGAGTCATTTGTGACATGGGTACGGCTGTATGATATAGATGTTGGGTGGCGACCAATGGATCTTGGGGTGCGCCTTTATACTACGCAGTCCTTTTGAGACTGGAGTACGTCTTCACTGCCCTAATAGCGAGCTTTAGGGAGGAGACCACAATAGATGCCACTTCGAATACCCAGGGGTTGGTACATGAGAATGTGGTGCAGACCATGCTAGATCGTGGCGTCGGCGTCAATGCTCAAGGGGGTTATTATAGCAACGCACTCCAAGCTGCATCATGCGGATTATTTCGCGACTCGGTCGAGGAGGAATATCAACAAGAGGAGGTGGTGGATGAGAAGATGGTGCAGACCCTGCTAGATCATGGTGCCGATGTCAATGCCCAAGGGGGTGTCTATGGCAACGCGCTCCAGGCTGCATCGTATGCAGGCCGTGAGAAGGTGGTACGGGCCCTGTTAGATCATGGTGCCGATGTCAATGCCCAAGGGGGTTACTATAACAACGCGCTCCAGGCCGCGTCCGAGCCCGGCCATGAGAAGCTGGTACAGATCCTACTAGATCGAGGTGCCAATGTCAATGCCCGAAACGGTACAAGTGCCGGCGCGCTCGAGGCCGCGTCATACAATGGTCGGGAGAAGGTGGTACAGACCCTACTAGATCGAGGTGCCAATCTCAATGCCCGAGACGATGGACATGCCAGCGCACTCGAGTTCGCATCGTACGCCGGCCACGAGAAGGTGGTGCAGATCCTGCTAGATCGAGGTGCTGATATTAATGGCCAAGGGGGCGGTGAATATGGCAACGCGCTCCAGGCCGCATCATTCGCCGGCCACGAGAAGGTGGTGCAGATCCTGCTAGATCGAGGTGCCGATATTAATGCCAAAGGGGGCGGTGAATATGGCAACGCGCTCCAGGCCGCATCATACGCCGGCCACGAGAAGGTGGTACAGATCCTGCTAGATCGAGGCGCCGACGTCAATACTCAAAGGGGTGGTAAAGATGGCAATGCGCTCCAGGTGGCATCATTTAGAGGCCACGAGAAGGTAGTGCAGATCCTAGTACATCATGGTGCCGACGTGAATGCTGAAGGTGGTGAATATGGCAACGCCCTCGGGGCCGCATTGCAAGAAGGCCACGAGAAGGTGGTGCAGATCGATAACAGTGCTAAACCTGAGCCCATTGTTTGAGATTGCGAATCACAAAGCCTGTGGCGTATTCTTACTATACCTGACGAGGATTGTGGGGATGCAATGCATGTTGTATATTGTAGAAATCAAAAGTAAAGGCCAAAAGGGTCCAAGTATTCACACATTAATATTAACAGGGGTATCTCAATGAGGCAAGAACGCTTGATTTTCTGCAAGAGGCGCTAGGCGCATGTACAAACCACTTTTGGGTCGAGCCTTGTCGGCTCACCGGCGTCATGACATCTAAACGCCCTGGTACAGGCCACGAGAGATGAGGGACACTTCCGGCGCTTGCACCTCTAGCACGGCGATAATCTCCTCCCAAGCCTTTTCCTGGAGTTCCTCTCCCTCCAATCCAGTAGTCAATGCAGCTGACTCACTATAAAATTATTAGCATTGATGACACTAAAACATTGAAAGATTGTCTTACTCAAGATAGCCCTCACTTCGCCAGCATTTCCCCTGAGACTCAATCCCCAGGAGCGTCGCGCTAACCAGCGATCGGCTTCCCTGCTCTGTGCTCCGCGCGAACAATCTGTGCACAACCCAAACGAAACACCTCTCCCACCAATGAGTGTACTGGCGACCCAAAGCCGAGATGCACAGCCCAGGGCTAACGGTATTAACAATGAGGGTGTGAGTGCCATCGTCGTCGCGCACCATGTTGGCAATATGTTTCACCATGTACTCAAGCAGAAGCTTCGAAATGCCGTACTGCTTGGGACCTTTGAAGTTTTCCGGGTCGTTCACGTGAGCGAGTAGCGAGTCATCGGTCCGGACGCTTTCAGGTTTGACACGAACGAATTGTTGACTTGAAACGACTGTGAGGTGGGCGGGATTTTCGGCATAGGAGCTTTTCTTTAGCTTGGGAAGTAGAAGTAAGGCTAGCATCGAGGTCGATAGTGTGTTGACTTGTAGTGTCTCTTCCCAGCCCTCGGAGGATTGATTGTATTCTCGATTCCAAAGACCGGCATTAAGCAATGCAATATCGACACGGTCCAGGTCGCGATTGACGCGTTCAGCGAAGCCTTTGACGCTCTGGAAGCTGTTCATCTCGAGCTCCCAAACTTTGACCACGTTGCGTCGGTTGGTGACCTTTTCGAGGTCGGCTTTGGCCTTGTTGCCTTTTTCCACACTGCGTGATCCGATGATGAGAGACTCGACACCGAGATTGAGGATTTTGATGGCAGCTTCGAAGCCAAGACCAGAGGTGGCGCCTGTCAAAATGACGATCTTGCCAGCGAAGGATACATTTTTGGGATCGATGGGAGGGGTGTACTGCATTTTAAGGAGGCGGAGGAGGCCTGCCATAATGAAGATCTTGGTTCAAAAGCTTCAAAAAAGAGATTCAACTAAGTAAAGTACCAAGCGTCCAAGGCGCGTCTGATGGTTGTTTGCGGGAGAAAAAGAAACCGATAACATCAGGGCCGATAAACGATAGACGATAACGATAGAGATAAGGATATGATAAGGTACGATAAGGGTGTGGTAAGGGTGTGGTAAGGGTGCACATTAACTACATGAACAGACTACCTACCTAGACTGTATGTTACGTGGCACAAATGACCTAATAGTAGGAGTATATATTACCGTATACATATGATCAAAGGTTCCCCAGTATCATCTGCCTCGTTTATGCTGACCATTGCTATAGTGCAGATCATACCTAGATAGATGCCAAGGTGCTTCCTCGGTACCGCGAACTCGAAGAAGTGCCAGCAATGTATTTAGCGACATCTGTGTTACGAACGTCCCGCCGAGGGCATATAAGGAGACGCCCGCAATTTGGTAGCGATTCTCGACTAGGTTGCCCTATACTATCATAATGATAACGGGTATTATACAGAGAGTAACCTAGTCGAGAATCGACACCAAATCGCGGGCGTCTCCCCACATGCCCTCGGCGGGTCGTTCGTAACATATATGTCGCTAAATGCATTGCTGGCACTTCTTCGAGTTGACGGTACCAGGGAAGCACTGAATCCAGAACGATTCATCGGTGTCCGTTATATCCCAGTTGGTGACAGCGGAGCGCGAAGGCATCGCATACACCATGCGTATTTCAACTGAACCTGGGTTGCACGCTGAGTGGGAGCCATGATTGAAAACCTGAGAAGTTGATTGATATTCCAAAATCATGAAGCCCAATGCTGGGTCTATATAGACTGCCGCATACAAAGACGCATGATGACAAGTTTGGAGTCTTTCATGCTATTCTAAACATATCTCCTTTGTCACGAATCTCCCCCCGGTTCTTCCCGATATTTCATTGTTTATATATCTATTTTCGGGGCCTGTATCTAATTTCGGACGGGGACATCCTCCTAGAAGAGAGGGGATAATTGTAAAGGATAAAGGTCCTTTCAATAATAGAACGGGGATCAGCTGACAGGCTGTGTCAGATGTGTTACGACCCTGGCCGGATAGAGCGGGTTTCCTTCTTTGGCACACTGTTTTCCTATAATCCCAGGACCCCCCAGATCCCCCTGAATTCTGACAAGAATTAGTCTTGGCACATAGAGACAATACATTGATCCCCTCCCACAGCTATTGTACCTTACCCGGTTGACAGGCCTTACACCTGCAGACTGTATATCCTTACAAGAAGGAAACATCACCGCTTGGATATGACAACTCTTATGATGCATACATGAGTAAAATATATCCGTAGTTCCTTGGACACAGAAGCATCATACCGACCGCTCTTCGACCATAGTTTCCTTTGCCCGGAATTCCTTCCTCATCCACATCGACCCGTTGCCCAACATCGTCTCACCACCTCGCTCCGAATAGTATATACAGTACTTCTCGCAACCGTGGTCTTCCGACAACTGCCACGGATCTCCCTCATGAGACGCACTCCCTTGGAATCCTAGGAAAAAGCGACACCGGGAAAAGAAAGTCGGACTAAGAGACCGTTCATTCGGATCACTCATCCCCTTTTCGTACCGAGCGAGGAGATTTGAGTCGGCAAGAAGACTCGCGACAGCGGCAATACTAGACGGGTTCTTTGGCAAGATGTGATCTGTGTTCATGAGAATGGAACCAACAATACCCAGCAGGAGGATAGAGGTGAGAAGTGCCTCAAGAATGCGTGTTGATGCTGCATCCTGTAATAGACGCAGTCGGTTCGACATAGTGATGTTCCCGGGCAGAGGGGCATGGTCCAGCGTGCCGTCCGCCGCACTGCGAATGTAATTGTTGAATACCTGTGCTTTGAGGATCCTATCCTGATGGTTGATTGTCTTGATGACCATGTCGCTGGAGTCTGGATTCAAGAGATTTTCTGCTGGGAACGCATATTTTCCAATAACCAGCGCTGTAAAGAAGCCATCCAAGTTTGGATTTTCGACTGTAGTATCTGTGGTGTCGAAGCCGTTCCAACTGATCCACGGGATATCAACATCTTCGGTGGATCTCACAGATGACTCATCAGGGACTGGGGGATGGTCATCGATGATGTCGAAGCCAGGCAGATAAAATCTTGTCAGGGTGTCGACTGTCTCTGCGGCTTGCACACAAGTCATTGCACTTATATTCTCCGCAGAATCGTTTTGGATATTTCCCCAGATATACAAGGTTGCAGGTTTGGCGTTGTAGCTGTTGCCGCATGGGAGCCTGCTTGATTTCCCGAAAATTCCTTGTGAGTTGAGAACAGCTAGTGAAGGAGTCAAGGAAGTTGATCCTATGTCTTGGTCTGCCAGAGAACAGGGCATGTTAGGTGCGAGAACCCTTAGTTCGTAGGTCGACTCGTTGCCATGGTTGACCTTGGTGAAATTCCACTGCAGTTCACTGCCCGTTTGGAAATAACAGGCGGGAGCGGCTCTCAAGGCAGGCATCCAAATGTCTACGAATAAATTCTCTGCCTCATTGCTGGACAAGGGCATATCCATGGAAAGCTCGGGGAATGCGAGCTCGTCGTAGGTCCAGCGGGGGAAACTCATATTTTCCAGAAGAATATGTTTGGCAATAACCATGCTGGAGCTTTGGTCAGCGTCTGCTGAATTGGCTCTGTAAAAGGTGGTCTCCTGTGTAAAGTTGACACTAACTTGGTGAGGAACCTCCACTGCAGAGTACAAGCCGCTCGTGATGATGACTAGGAACGAGGTAATCAAAGTAGCTGATGTGGTAGCCAGAACAGCAAAGTGTCTTGCACGGATTGAATGGATGATGTTGGTAGTAGGAATTGAATCTAGATAATTCACTGCCATGGATTCCTCGAATAGCGCACCGGTAGGCCGTTTTAACTGGGCGTAGGGTGCTAGGCTTCTGGTGTTGAAGTCCATTCTTGCAACCAAGAGACCAATGCCAAGCATGACTAGCGAGGAAATAATCGTGAACAGATAATGCGGATATCCATTGGAGGAAACATTCGCCAGTCCATCGTTCTTTTGCGAGACACGCAATGCAATCTCCAAGGCCGCAATAAGTAAAGCGACTGCACCGAAGATGACACCGCGAGCAATGAGACCAGGAAATGGTGCCCATGGTAACCCGTGGTTCTCTTGGTTGTCAAGTCTTCTGGTATCAACTCCTTCCGTTTTGATCAAAAAGCCCTTGGGCGTATGTTGCGAATAGTAGCGCCGCTCTTTCAGACTATCATGAAGCGCATCTAGTGGAGACGCACCTGTCCCGCGAAGTGATCGACAGATTTCATTGCTTTTTGCCATGACTGTTGCAACAGATGAAATGGAAGTCGGCTTCCAAGGCGCGATAGTCGTACGTGGCCCCAGAAAGATCATGGCAACGGCTAGCAATATCCCTAGTATCAGGCACACCTCCATCACACGGAGTGAGACCTGTGCCATGACGATTCGATTTCCATCGACAGTAGCCTGTCCGGTGCTTGATGATTGATGTATTTGTGCCTTTTTCAATGAAAAGAGAGCGGTCGAGAAAATGACCAAGAGACGCAGAAGCAAAGAGCAGGCAATTCCAGCCGCCACGTCAAAGTGCTTGTTATGTATAGCCTTGGCCAGTGAGGCCGCCTGCATTTCAGAAATATAGTCCAAAAGCATGGACTCCCTGGCCTCTCCGGGCTTCTCAGCCATCGACTTCCATGGCGCTCTTTGCTTCACTTGAAATTCAACACGCGACCACAAAGTCGCGATAATAGTGAAGATAGCAGTGGGTCCGTAAGTCCATAGGTAGTGGCGGCTTTCGTCTGAAGAGGCAATTCCACAGTGGACTTGGGAGACATGGTTGAGTGCTTCGAGGGCAGCTATAACTCCACAAAATGTGATCACAAATATGATCAACACTCGTCGCCGGAGGTAGGAAGGCTGCCACCCAGATATATCGGGTTCAATCTGTTGGGATTGAGATGAAGTGTCCCCGCGTTTGCGGCTCGGATTAATCAACTTGCTCAGAGAAGGAATTTTGATCGACATCGCTTTTTTGCCCAAGAGAGAAAGATATAGGGGATATGTACATCAGGGAGCCTCAGTGACAGGAGCGATTGGCTTATGTAGCCACCGGAAGCTTCCAGATCCCATATTAGACCAATAGCACGAGGTCTTGTATGTCTCAGGCTCAAACTCGTTGACTTCCAGGGGTGTCTGAAGTTTGAAGACCGACGAACACATGCTATGATGCGTCAAAGAGCGTGCGTCGTTGGCAGACTGAGTGGCAACAAGCAGCTCTCGAGGGCCATCAACTCTATACTAAGCTGCACATAAACCTTGTCAGTAACCCCGAAAGAACATGCATCTGTATCCTTCATTCCTGCCATTTTTGCTCAGGATTGCCTCCGTTGAAAGGAGGTTTGTTCAAGACATTCTTCAAGACAGGAGCCAACGTCTCACATGAATAGGATTCCACACCAGGTACCATCTATTCGGATCCAAGATGCAAAGATATCTAATTTGCTCTATATGTAGACCATCTGAGCACTTGTTTATCCCACGTACGCTGAAAGTGTTGGGATGTCTCATCCATCACACGGATGGCGGGATGCCCAAGAACAAACACTGCAAACACTCAGTGTATGGTCGATTTTTGGACAACTTCAACATTTGGAATGTTCATACAATTGTGATCAATTTCAATTTATAACAGCATCTTATCTTTATCAAACAGTTTGAGTTCTTAGTTTTCTTCTCTGGATTTGACTTACTGTTCACCCGCAAAAATAGCCTTGAAGCCGTCACCGGAGTGAATTATTAATCCATCCCCTCCCCGGAAGGCTGAAAAGCGCAGCCAATAAACACGCTGAGGCGCATTTGGCATCATTATAGTTGATATGGCTGCCATTGCACAAGGGCACAAGGTCCATCCAGACGGTCGGACGTGGAAGAGTCATTTTCCTAAGGGTGATCTCTGGGTATTTGGTTATGGGTGAGTTAACTTATTCTTTCAAAATGGTGTCGCTGAGGCGTATATCGAATACTGACTATGTTTATAGGAGTTTGATTTGGAAACCGCCTCCACATTATGGTATGTGAGACTGCGTGTGAAAGTGTTCAATGACAGCACCAAAACGAAACCTTGTATTGGTCGTTTTTGATCAAGAATCAACTAACTATATCGTCCAGACCAGCGCGTACCGGGCTATATTAGTGGCTACGTACGGCGTTTCTGGCAGGTGCGTGAATCCTTCACCTGAGGAAAGGGCTGTGCACATACCCGCGTTCGAAATATCCAGACTAACATTGGTTCTTGTCCATGAATCTAGGCCAGGTATGTTGTTGACTGCACATATGTGTTGAATGCGCATACATTGTCATTCAAACTACTGAGAATCACAATCACTAACTTTCTCCCAAAGTACCGATCACCGCGGCACCCCCGAGCAACCAGGTCGAGTAGTCACCGTAATTGAGCGAACCTTCTGGGAGACTCTGGACGACCCGGTATGTCTCACATATCCCTAATATACACAGCCATATTAACATACCCCTTAGCTCGCTCACCTAGAATCCGAATTATCCTCCACAGGCAAAGTCTGGGGCGCTGCATACCACATCCCAGCATCCCACGCCGAAGAAGTCCACGACTACCTCGACGAGCGGGAGATTGACGGGTACAGCGCGCACTACACGCCCTTCCACCCGACAGTTGATGTCTCAGGAGCTAGCGACTCGACTGGGTCCTCTCCAATCATCTGCATGGTCTACATCGGCCAGCCGACTAACCCGCAGTTCCTGCGTGACGCAGCTCATCGCGAGCCGCAGCATGTGGCGCAGGTTATTAGTGCTGGGCATGGGTTGAGTGGGAAGGGTTCTGAGTATTTGTTCATGCTGGAGAAGGGTCTTGAGGGTCTTGGGCTTGGGACAGCGGATGTTCATGTCACGGATTTGGTTAAGAGGGTTAAGGCTATTGAGGCTGAGCTTGCGGAGGCGGAGGAGGAGGAGGCTGAACTTAAGGTTACTAGGTCTTTGGAGGTCCCGGCTGAAGAGGTTGATCGTGATGGCCGTGAGACGATTGAATGAGGTTTATGGGTTGAGGCTCTGTTGATGACTTTGATGTTTTTTTTTCGTTGGCACATAGTATAGCTTACATATTTGCCTAGAATGCATACATAGATGGCGAAAGGAGCAAGTGAAGAATTGGCGTAGGTCGTCTTACGAAAGGCAGCAGGGAAAACTATCAGAACCCTCTATGGGGGATGAATCGACAATAAGCCTACATAAACTGCTTACTATCTTGCTAGTTATACATGCTTTTGGCAATAAAAAGTATACTGTCTTCATAGGAGTACATGGACTTTGGTATAACACTTGTTTGTCTGATATTGTTATAGAGTACTTTGGGGTATCTCTCGCTTTAGACTATACCCTGGGCGGGAATGACCTTTTCTACAAAGTAAGGATGCCCAACGGGAATTGTGTCTCGCATAAGTGTAATGGTCACGCATAATAATAGCACATTAAGTAGCAATGGCAGGCGATGCCTCGTTTTCTCCCCTGGAAAACCCCTTATCGTGGTACATAGTTCAGTTCGTCCCCGTAACCCTTGGAGAGGTTCAAATTATGCTTAAATATCCATCAAATCACCAGTCTTGCTTTGTGTTCACTGTTATAGCAAGGATATGTCGTGGAACGCAAACACATTGCAGATATGGAACCACATGGATCAAACTGCCAAGAGAGAGAGAAGGCCCCAAAATTTTGTAGGCGAGGTAGGGCGAAACGCAACCGTATAAGATCTCAAATCTGCATCCAATAAAACCAAAGATCGAGCCAGAAACCCATGTTCCCTTCCTAGCAAGTCCTGCGCAAGAAAAATAGCAATCCCCGTTACAAAATTCAATGACCAGTGTAGACCCCGCTGTTCCCAATTCATCCTCCACCATATTTAAGCCATTGTAGATCGTCACTTCTTTTAAAAATGAATCGCAGAAGAAAGGCGCGTAGGGAGGAACTGAAAAAGACACTCAATCATCTAATGATGACCGTCTTGAGGAGCCTGCTCGTGGTTGTTCCCGCGCCAGCCTTTAGATGTTAGTTAAGATCGCCATCAAGATAATGCATTAACTCACCTCCGCCACCGCCATATCCAGTATTGGGGCCACCGCCTATATAATCAATTAGCGAGAACAACAAGAAACGTCCAAATAAACAAAAACTAACCATAACCGCCGGGACCACCTGCGCCGTAGCCAGCGGGCCCGCTCGGAGCATAGTTGTTGTAACCACGGTTGTAGCCCCCGCCGTATCCACCAGCGGCACCATTATTGTACCCGCCATTATTGTAGCCAGCGTAGCCACCTGCACCACCCTGGTAACTAGATTGCGGCTGGGAATTGTATCCACCGCGGCCCTGGAAGCCACCCTCGGAGCGCGGGGGGCGGTCAAATGCTTTGTCAACGCGAATGACCCGTCCGTCAAATCTGAACAACGTATGAGATTTCTCTTGAACCCAAGATAAATGTGAGGTTAAATGATTACTCTTGGTTGTTCATGGCGCCCAAAGCAGCCTCCGCCTCGGCGTCAGTAGCAAAGCGGACAAAGCCGAAGCCGCGGCTGCGCTGAGTCGCACGGTCCTTCACGACAATCTGTAGCCAGTAGACTTAGTAGAAGCTCAATAAACATAAAGTGTACTCTAGTTCAAGGCGAACTGACGGCTTCTTGGATCTCGCCAAATTGCTGGAAACCCTCGCGCAAGGTGTCATCGCTAGTGTGCCAAGAAAGGCCGCTAAATTCCATCGTAGCAACGGTTAGATTGCTTCCTACCAGCACGGATCTGTTCACAGATAGAAAATACACACTGAACGAAGAGCTTAGACATCGTGTTAAAGATCTAACAGAGGAAGCTGGAAGGAAGATAACGCTCAAGCCGACTATCCGAGGACGAGAAGACGAGGGTTGAAGGGAGGAGATGATCGGAAAGGAACGAAGGATAAAAATCAGAATCCGTCCGGGTGGTGAGATAGAAGGGAGATCCTAGTGGTTAAGAGGCGAGTCAGCATCCAGTCCGGTGTAACAATCACACTGCGTTAGGGCTTTCGCATTGCCGGGGATTTTCCGCTGGTCGGACACCAACGGCAAGCCCACAACGAGCAATATCCATTATGCTTACTGTGTCTTTGCTTGGGAGCTTGACCAGAGTGAGAAAAAGTCCGGGCTTAGCCTCAAGAGTACTCCAAGGTGGGGGAGGGGGAAGTGCTGCAGAGATAAACACGCCAAAAGCAGTCCCACGGCCCTAAACCTTGAGTTGATTCAATTGCGGGTCGTCGGGCTCTCAGCAATCAATCATATGGTATCCGGGGCTCCGTTTGGATTGGCGGCACTAAGGCCGACGGCTGATGTACCTTTGTTTGCCCCTCACTTGGTTGAAAATGCGAGGGATTCTGTGTCGGGATTCATAGGGCTGGATGAGTACTTAGCCTCTATTGTGAATCTGTGGACGGAGTACTCAGCATAGTACAAAGTAAGCCCATACTCTTGTCCATGAGGGCCGGGATATGTACATTCATGAAAGCAACAATATCTCGAGTGGAGTCTCCGCGCATGGACTGTGGAATTTTGTTGGATTTCCCGTACCTCGCAGGTCCATGCATGATTGGTTGTATGCGTGTTGATGCATTGTGGATTTCTTTCCTCATTCGGCCGGGAATTGACTGCTAAAAATTGGTCTAGCAATACAGACTGAGATCTGCATTCGATTACCGCCATTGGTCTAGCCTGTCAGTTCCATCGTCAGTCCCAAAAGTGGTTTTGCGTGTGCGTGCATCCGGGCAGAGAGGGTAGTGCTCCGTAGGCCCACATGCGGCTTGGGCCGTGGGCCGTGTACTCCGTATGCCGGGAGAGATCCCGGGGATTGGCGACGATCGGCGCCAGGATTGCGTCTATACAATGTTAACATCCGTCTCCATTAGATTGGTGGAAGAGCAGGTGTAGGGGAATGGCAGCGAATTGCTTCTGAGCAGAAGCACTTGGTAGATGAATCGAGTCAATGGACCATTCCCATCTAACAGTCGAGAGAGCATCAAAAAAGCAAACATTGTGAATTTATGGAAAGACGAAGAGACAATGAAAATACCGGATCGGGGACGAAGTTGAGATGGTCGCACCTTCTTTGGCGGTGACTGAATTTGTGTGCTCTCAGGCCACCTTACTCTGTCTAGTTGCCCATCAAATTTACTTCATTTCTACAGAAACAGCCCAGTCGCAGAGTTTCAGGAACTTTCTTGATGGAGAGCAATAATCCAATCTACCAGTGGCTTTCCACTGTGGAGGACCAGGGACAAAGTATGCTGTCACAAAAACTAGGAAGCTTACGCGCTAACAGAGCTTTAGCTGAGAACCAGGAACAAGTGAAGGACACAGCTCTTGCAACGGGCATACCACGGATCCACATCCCACTTGAGACGTCTGATGACCTGCGTGCGAATGGACATTCAGCTAGCAGGAAGAGAGATTCACGTCATCTCAAGGAAACGAAAGCATCGTCCACTCACGAGACCATACCAGGAAGTGAAGGTCATAAGAGATCTCGAAATTGTTACGAGCTAAGGCCCAGATACAAGACTCGCGAGGATCGCTATGAGTACAAAGGCCCATCATCGGCTGTGGAGACCCAGTCGCAGTCTCGCAAAGGAAGAGCCAAAAAGCCCCGGGGCAGGAGGCATACCATGAATGATGACTTCCGTGCCATCAATGTTACAGGAAACAGATTGACAGTAAGCAGAATCCTGCAAGTCCTCGCTGAATGTTACTTACGCCAAATAGCTGCGCAGCAATACGAACCTGGGTATATTCAACAAGGGACGGTCTTCTTCTGTGGCCAATCAGCACGGAAACACCCCAGCCGGACTTGCAAAACCTGCATCGGTCACCAGGTCTCAGAAATATGTCGCAGAGTCCGATCTTGCCTTTTCTGAGATGAACTTTCTGTCCCGGAGGAGTAATCTCAGCCCGTATCCCATGTCAACTGCCAGAGAAACTCTGGATGGACAGCATGAGAGAGAGTACCACCCACAGGAGGTACAGTTCGATGACCCTGCACATGACTCCAAACTCGGCACGTCTCACTCAGACAACAAATTGGTTGATGTGAAACGGAAGCTTGACGCCTCAGTCATGCCGCTGTTCGCATTTGAAGAGGCGCCTGTCAGTGAGATGTACCCAGTTTCCGGTCACTCTCGGAGTGCTTCCCCCATGCCACACAATAAAAGACGGAAGATATCAAAACAATCATCATCTATTCCATACACTTGGACTGAAACTGAGGTCGACGACACGGAACAAAGCGATGCCCTTGAACAGCACCTGCTAAACCTGCTGCACGTCGGAGTATATCCCCAAGGTCTATGCTCTGAGACCAAAAATACTGTCTTGACCGGACGATATTGGAGTCTCGCCGAATTATGGGAACTGTTGGAGGAGAGAAAGACGTCATGGTCAAGCGAAGCAGGCAGACAAAATCGAACTTCACCCGAAGCCAACACGGCGCAGCTAGCTGCAGTCAAAGCCTCTCCACAAGAGGTTCCCAAGGTCACTGCAGCAGACGATTTAGACGTTCACAATGCCGGTAGCGTACAGAACGAAACATCCAAACAATCCGCGGATTCGGACATTGCTTGTGAAATGGGTTGCAGTGTGAACAGTCCACCCAAACAACCTTCAGTTCTCGAGCAACAACAAGATGGACCACATGAAGCTTCAGATAAGCCGGGCTGTCTAAGCCTCCAAGCTTCCAGGGCATTAAACAGCCCAGATCGTTTCATAGACACCTTGAACGAAGATCATGGTGAGCCTTCCCACCAGGAATCGGCAGAGGATGCAGTCCTTTTCCCAGCATTACCAGATGTTGAACAGCCGCATATGTCTGACATCGAATTTTATGAGCTGGGCCGAGTCGATGATGATGACGTGTTCTATCGCACGCTGGATGCTGCTTACTGTGCCATCGTGCGCCCAGAGGTCGTGGCAGAGGTTGCATCAGACTTACAGCAGTTACTTGAATCACCCGAACTAAATGGCAATGATCTTCCGAATACTCCAGAGCCGACTAGTATCCGGGAACCCGATATTCCTACCGGACAGGTAGAGGGGGCAGAGCCAGAGCATTTGGTAACGGCCTCCCAAGACATCATACAAGACGGGTATGATGGAAGGCCATCTGAGCCTTCTTGCAAACAAAAGCTATCTACGAGCCATTCGAATGATCCTTGTGTTGACCAGAACAATGATTTACCATGGATGGCTACCGGATACGGCCAGACACAACCGCGCGCGTCAACTGGAATTGATGCGGGACATGCTAAGCCTCCAGGATTATCTGGCTTCTGGAGACAGAACAGACTCTATTGATCTTCATCAGCAATATGATTATCAAATTGGACAGCCGAAAGTGTCAATAGCAAACTTTGATCGCATTTGCATCAATCATCAACCATATCAAAGCAAAGTATCGCCAGCTCCATGTACATACCTAGCTAGCTTAAATCCAGCTGTCAATAGAGATTTGGCAACCTCCCCTCTGAACTCAGATGATCAGGCCATAGCCTATTAACAATGATTGGGCTAGTTCAGTCCATATTGACTCGACGCTTTTATCTAAATCAAGTCCCTCAACTCTTTAGCCACTGAAGAGAACCTCCAAATCGGTAATGGTTTAGACTGCACACTGTTGCGTTGGTTTATCGATCTTGATGAGGGTTGATGAATTGATTGGGTATATAACAGTCTTGGAAAGGAAAATTAAACGCATCATCAGATGGCTCAAATCCAAATGCTTGTCTCTATTCAAGCTATGGAGTTGACCTATCCGTTTATGCCGCTGTTGGACGAAGAACAATTGCGAACCACGGGGCATGGAAGGCCAGGGAAAAAGATACTGGATTCAGTTCAGGATTCCCGGCAACGCCAATCAGCGCGGGGATTGTTGGGGTTTGGATTCGACGAGGCAATCTTGTAGCTTTTGGCTCGTGGATATGTTGCGGAGTCCACGAAAATAAGTCGGGTCGGTCTTGTATAGGGATTCGAACGCTGAGAGGTGGGGATCGTACGGTTGACGATGGCACGCCTGATAAAAATGATATGCAGCAAGTGCTTACAAGGCGATTGGGACTACAATCTATCATAGACTCGCAGCCGCCTCGACCACACCCGTTGCCTTGAACGCGGCCGGGTTCCGCATCACCACCTCAACCGGGTACTTCCACTGCATGAATCGCGTCCAACCTAAACGATCAACCAATCAGTAAGTTGCCCTCTCGTACAGCGAGATCGTGAAGCTTGTTCGTGTCACATACTCCAATATGCGCATCGCCGCCCTAGGTATTTCCCAATGAAGGGTACCAGGACCATAGTCAGAAGTAGCTCCAGTTGTTCAATGCTTTCTTGCCATTCTGCCTCAGCATCGGAGGAATATTCGGACAAGGTCTCAAGGTCGGAGTCGTGTGTAGATTCTGAAGGGAGAGAGGCGAGCTCATCGTCGGACTCGGAGTATGAGTTCTGTCGGGATGGGACCATGTATGCGGACATCGAGAAAGAGGGATTCGAGCTGTCTGGAGAGGGGAAAGACATGATGGAGATTGTTGTAAAGAGAGGTGGGGGTGAGTAAATGAGGGGAAGCGATGTTGATCAAGCAGCGGCCTGCCTACTGCGGTTATACGTAAATGTGAGAGCAACTGGGCTTGTTTGCCTGGATCGACCGGCATCGCCAAGCTCCGTAATCAAACACGTGACCTGTAATCTGGTGACTCAGTTATGGGTCACGTGCCTGTACCGCGATAACAGAATCAGCCTTCAGGCCTGGCGATATCAGATTCCAGCGACAATTTTGCCTCTTTACACTCTTACTCTAGCTCCTCGCATTCGCAACAACCTAAACTCTCCTACAACATATCGTGGTGGAGTGAATAGCATCTTTGAAGCCTCAAAACATGGCGGACACTGTACGTCACACCCTTGTCTTTTTACCGACCCTCCCACATTTCTTTGAGTCTGCACAATATCGACCCCTCGGCCGCCAACCACAGTGATCCAAGACCACACATCGTTGAGCCCGGGGTTAAGGACTGGTACTTTCTATTGAAAAGCCAGGCTATACGATTTCTTCTGCTTTTTCTCTTTTTTCCCATAACTAACACCGATTTTTGCCGCTCCGCCCAGGAAATCGAGACGAAACAGCGCAAGTCGGTCGCATTCAGCGAAGGATCGGTCATCATGGATACCAACGGCCAAGTCACAGACGCCCCTCCGCTGAGAAGCCCACAGGCGGTATGCAATACCTCTCCGATCCCAGCCTCAATCCCCCCAGTCGCGTTTGCCACAGCCCCACTAACGATGTCTGAATACACAGAGAAGGAAGTCGACGAGGTCACCGAGATGTTCAAGGGTCTTTCAAAAAAGAAGAAGTCCTCCAAGAAGTCTAAGACTGCCGACGCCGGCGATGACGAGGAAGCTCCCGCCGCTGATGGCGAATTCGATCCCTCCGCGCTGAAGAAGAAAAAGAAGAGCAGCAGCAAGTCTAAGAAGGCCGACGCCACCGACTTCGACGCCAAGCTCGCTGAGGCCGGTATTGCTGAGGAGGCTGGTGAGGAGCAGCCCGAGGAACTCCCTGAGGGCGATCTCGAGGCCGGCACCGGTATCTGGGCGCACGACGCCACACAAACCATCCCCTACTCGCTCCTCGTCTCCCGCTTCTTCTCCCTCATCGAGAGCCACCACCCCGACCTTCTGGCCACCGGCGCCAAGTCCTACAAGATTCCCCCGCCCCAGTGTCTGCGTGAAGGTAATCGTCGTACCATTTTCGCCAACATTGCCGATATCTGCAAGCGCATGAAGCGAAGGTTCGTTCTGCTCCTTTCCTATTTATTCGTTGAGTTCACCCTCTAACTTTCTTTCTAAATAGCGAGGAACACTGCACCCAATTCCTGTTCGCCGAACTCGGTACGTCAGGCAGTGTCGACGGTAGCCGTCGCCTGGTCATCAAGGGAAGATTCCAACAGAAGGGTATCGAATCGGTTCTGCGTCGCTATATTGTTGAGTACGTCACATGCAAGACGTGCCGCAGCCCCGACACCGAGCTCAACAAGGGAGAGAACCGTTTGTATTTCGTTACTTGCAACTCCTGCGGATCCCGTCGTTCCGTCGCCGCCATCAAGACCGGTTTCCGTTCCCAGATCGGCCGCAGAAAGCGTGTGGGCTAAGCGGATGGTGCTGTGCTGGCAATTTGCGAGGAAAGGGCTTGTTTGTATCTCTTCCTTATGGCGTGTCACTTACTAGAGCTTTTGCGGGGTGGAAGCAAAGCACTGTTGCTTTTCTTTCTACCCCGACGGGCTTGAGATGAGGAAACGATTTGAACAATAAAAATAGTTTCGCATGAAATGGACTGATATCAATATATCTTGCCTTTGAAGCAGTATGATTTTGTATCTAAGCGAACGTTTAGAGTTATGGTAGGATCGTCATCGCTGTTTAGTTTAGCTCCAAAAATCGACGTCTTAATTGGTCTTCAGCATAACCAGCCAGTGAAGGTGAGTATTTCAGGATTCAAGCTACCTGGGTAGGTCCTACGGTTGAGCCGAACGCGAAACCCAACATAGGCTTTTAAGGACTACTATATCAAAATTGTTGAAAGTTGGAAAGTGAACAGAGCTCCACGTGAAATAGGCTTATATGACTGAGTACTATTCTCTTATTGACGACTTGATATAACGTGGAGACCTGCTCGCGATTGGGCCTGCCCCTAAGGCATAGCGTGAGTATACAACAACAGCACATCGGCCGATGTCAGATTGGGACCCAAGCGTATTTCGCGGAATCAAATCAATGTATCGAAATTCGAACTGCAAATTGCTGGCTCTGGATTTGTCCAACTGGATCAGCGCTAGGATCGCAAATAGGAGCTGGTGACCTTCATCTGGGCAGCGAAGGCCTTGAGGTTTCTGGTTTGCAGGTATACGGTTCCCGGGCCTTTGAATTTGCAAGCTAGTCCTTCGCGAGAACTGAAAGTAGAGAAGAGGCCACCAGAGGCAGGTCGCTGAATATCGTACTCGCATTTCCATGCAACAAGGTGACCATTGTCGACGAAGTAAGATTCCCCCTCTTTAAGCTGTATTATCAACCTGTATTAGTAGGGCAATAGTGTAAAGGGAAGAATAAGGGAGAAGTTACATCTTTCTTGATGATTGCTCCAAAACTTTGCATCCAGAGCAAACCATCGCCGGTGAATTCGTAGATGAAGAATCCTTCTCCGGAGAAGACCCCTTTAGTCAAACTCTGGGGCTTGTCATCATGTTCAACACCAGAAGTGTGAGCTAGGAAGGAATCCCTTCCTGCGTGCCATGCCTCTCCCGTGTTGATCGGGAGGACAATAATATCTCCCAGCATAGGGGGCGCTAGAAGTACCTCCCCAGGACCAGTGTAGTGTGACGTAGTCATGCTACCACCAACGAAGAGTTTCTTCATTGAGAAAGAGAAGCTTCCTCTTAGCGTTATTGTTGGCGACATTGCAATCATTGCACCTGTGACAAAGTAAGCTTGCTTAGACCTCAAGGAGCCAATGGAAGCGACACATTGGACAACTGTTTATCAAAGGGCTGTCTTACCTGGCTTGGCAGTCAAAGGGCAACCCACTGCCAATTGCAGGGTCAAAAGTGAGTTGGTATCTCGGTGGCTGATTCTGTAGCTGCCTCCATTGAATACTCCAACATCGTCCTGATTAATCGAGTGTGCTCCGACAAACTGTCCATATGCTGGTGCCCCTCCGGGCATCTTCTCCATCGTTACTGCTTGGCCAATGGACTGGTTGTAAAGGAATGCTGCCTCATTTTGCTTGGCAATCGGATCACCCTGTGTCGAACTGGCCGATGGGGGAGTTGGATATTCTGCACTGGAATAGCCCTGTCCGTTCGGTGGTGGGCTAATTGAGGATTGAGGTACTGGATAACCTCCATTTGACGGAGGCGTCTGCCTGGGGGTGGAGCGAAGTATGGTTGATTGGATGGCGAAAATGCTACTCAACACATTAGTATAGCTTTGCTTCCGACTGGATGGATATTAATTACATGTCTGAGTCGGTGGAGCTATTTGAGTCAGTCAGCCTGCCTGCGCGTTTCCCGAGAGTTCAAATGTTGTGTACTTACCAGACATAGGCGGAGGGGCGAATTCGTGTCGCTGCGACATGATGAAAATCGGTTCCAATTCAGGAAACTTATATAGGGGTCAATTGAACTGAGCTGCTTAATTATTAGCATGACATTCCAGCTGCTGTCGACTGACACTCACGGGCTTCTTGGGTTGCGGGGTAGGAAACGATGAAATGTGGACAAGCTTGATTTTACAGGATAGAAGTTATTGCTTTCTGAGATTTTGAGGAGCCTAGGGGGAGGTTTCAATTCTGATTAGGGTTGGAGAAGAAGCTGTCCGGGAGGAACAGCATCTTGCGGCGGGCCATTCTTTTTAAGAGCACAACTTCAACTCCGCACTAGAAGCTCCGGCTAAAACTAGACCGGAATTGGCACAGGAAGCGATCACCCGTGTGACAGAAAGGACTCACAGATCGAGAGTCAATTTGTTATGTACTCCCCGTCACACTAGACTACTGCATGCTCATCCCCGCCGAGCGCTTAGCTGCCCCTCTCTGTGTGCCCCCTGCACAACGTGATAGGTCAGCTCCAGAAACCACCAGACGATCTTCATTGGCCACTCTATTACTCCATAGAGGCCAAGAACAAAGAAACCTTGAGAGTCGGGTGTCAGCGAGCTCGGGACCTCAATGTTACTGTTGAAAACTCCGCCAGACGGTAGGAAGTATAGCCGATATGATGGGAGATCAATTGCAATGCCACTACAAATTACCTTTGAAATGAACGTCCTTGATTCGATTCGAAGTGACACAGATCAAATCATGAATGAAAACTAACTGGGAAGAGAGGAAAAGCTTTCTTTCAAGGAGATCTTGAAGTGAGACCAGGTAGCCAAGATGCCAAGGAGTTGCGAACTGATGGCTCCAGTATGGCTATAGCCTCATGGAAGTTCGCTTCTTTCGCCATATCCAGAACTGTATGCCCCTTGCGGTCTTTCATATGAACATCAGCTCCTTTGTCCAACAGTACCCGAAGCACTGGCAGAGAACGTTCACTAGACACTGCCCGCATAAGTGCAGTTCTCCCGTCGGTATCTTGGGCATTGATATCCGCTCCATACTTTATCAGCAACTCGAGGGCGGCAAGTTTTTCTTTCGCTGCAGCCCAAAGAAGTGGTGTTAAGCCATCAGCTCCGACTGGCTCTGTTCCTGCACCACTGGATAAAAGCAGCTCAACAATGTCAAAATAGTCACTGGCCGTTGCCCACCACAGCGCCGTCATCCCATGCTGGTCCGTCATATTCGCGTTGGCTCCGTATTGGAGAAAGGATGCCGTGGCCATAATATGTCCACCATATACGGCTGCGATCAGGGGCCTTCCGTGGGGAGCTTTGTCGCTGCCATTGGGATCAGCGCCATTATCCAACAACATGACTATCCCCTCCACATTTCCGAGGGCCGCTTGGCTGAACAATGCAGCGCAATTATCTACATCGGGAGAATCAATGTTGGCACCCTGTCTAAGAAGGACTTTCATAGCAAAATGGGAGTGTTTGTGGGCCGCAAGAGCGTATCCCAGTGTGATAATGGGAGGGATGCGGTCACTCAGCTCCACCCATTTCAACAAAAGGAAATAAAGCAAGCAGTCGTATTTGCTTTGGACGGCCCAATCGAAGCATAACTGCTCCTCCTCTTCTTCTCTAAAGCGGTCGGCACAGGTATTCTCAGCATCCGTCAGAGTGAGCCAAGCTTGCATGGTGCGGATCCCCGTTTCGGTGGCTTCCAGATCCTGGTCGGTGCCAACCACACCAGGCAAGCTCTCTGGTACATTGAGTGACTTTAAAGCTGGCTGCATGAAGCTCATTCCCGGTACTTTTGTTGAAATAGTCCATGCGGTCCAGCCTAGTTGGCTAGAGAATGAACGCCACCATTCAATACGATCTTGTGACATGGCCCAATCAGAAGGCAGCGATATTTTCTGAGTCTGGAGAAACTCCTCTCTTATATCTGAGTTGAGAAGCTTGCAAACTTCTGCGAACCCTTCCTTTCGAACAGTTTCGCTGTTGTTCAACAAAGCTCGGCGGCAAAGATCTCCTAACTCGTAGACTGACCGTTGGAATTGGGGACCCTCCGACCGTTCACAGAGCCAACGAAGCAAATGAAAGGCATTCTTCCATTTTCCCTGGCTTATGAGCTGTTCTCTCCGCGCTCTGACTTTAGCGCAGTCAGCTGCAAGGTCAGGCAAAAGGTTTCGGTTTCTCAAAACAGGAATAATGCATAGCAATGCATCCTCCCTTGAGCCCAGATAATGGGCTTCGAAGCAGGATACCAGTTCATCGATTCGCGTACAGGAACCCAAAAGCGAGTTCTGTATACCAGAGACGACGTCGACTTCCCCGCCCAGCTCCTTCACATTGAGACAAACTTCTTTGAGGAAATGAATGAAGATATCCTGGGCAGCCATTGTCTCCACTTCATTTTCAGTCTTGATAACAAGAAGATTCCCTAAGGGAAGACCTTCCTTGGGCTCAAAGCCGAATAATCGACGGGAGTCGTCAATAAGGTCAGACGGGACCAGTCGGGCCTCTGTTTGTCGGAATATCCATTTGTGGAAGTAAAGGTAAGTCTCCTCCTTACTTGCCTCTTCTTCGCTCAGTCCGACAAGACGAAAGAGTCTCGAAAACCCGCAATCATCGTCGGACTTATACAGAGACCAGGTCCACAGGCCTAGTATTGCTTCCATCTCGCTAACTTCCATTTTCCATCGAAGAGCATCACCACAACGCATGAGACCAATGGAATATGTTCCCGGAGATTGGGTGACAGAACCTGGAGAAGCACCCCTGCACTCAAAGCCGAGCCGGAACTCAAAGGTCTTCCCGAGGTCAGCTCCCCAACCGGAGATCAAATCCATCGTCGACTCGATCGCTTGTGCAAGATTATGAGCCATTCGTCGAATAGGCATGTCGTCCCAGGTAGCATTGAAGCCGTGGTCCGAATTAGATGTGAGATTGGCAAGCTGAGTTCGTGTTCGGATCAACTGTCTTGCCAATGGCGCGTCAACGTGAGGCACGAACCTTGGTGAAGGTATCGTGGCTGATCGATCAGGTAATGAAACCATATTGAAATATTCGACGTTCTCGAGATAAAAGGCGAAGGCGTCTAGTTCCTGATGTTTATGACCCATGAGATCACGGTCACCCTTCATCTTATTTTCGTCTGGTGCCATTCTTTCTGTGCGTAGACAGGTACGTATAATAGACATTAGGAATGTCGATCCCAGCTGGGCCAGGATAACAGATGCATGAAGGCCTCTCAGTCCAATAAACTGGAAGATAAATCCCAAAACCGTCGATGCGAGGGTAGAGTAAATCTCCAAATACTTCCTGTCAAATCTTCGATCTCTGATCGATTTGATGTAACGAAGTTTCTTGGTCATTGAAGACTCTGGCCCTTCATTGACAGCCAAGAAAGCATTGAAGACCTGGTCACCCACATTTTGATTACCGGGCTGCAGCCAGTATATCTTACTTGGCTTTTCTGCTTTGAGATAGAACTCCTTTGAGGATCGCTCCATGATGAATGCGCAGAAGAACATCCCCAGAAACAGAAGGGTTGTCCCGATGAGATAGAGCGGGAATGCGTATGAGGCGACGGCTTTGTCGTCTTTCTTGAAATGCTGGGGATATACGAACACTGTGAGTGTAGCGTACGTAATAGTACCTAAACGGATTGTCAGTGTTATTCCGGGCTCATCGAAGAAGTACTGACCAGTCTGCAGTACGCCACCAATTATTGCAGCGCAATGAAACCAAAATTGATCTCTCCTCTTGATCCCCTTGTTCAATGACAGGTTTGGAATGTCCAGTTCAGGCAGTTCAGTAGGCGAAACTTTGCCACTGCAAGACCAAGCCTTTTCCTCAAGGGCATCTTTCAAAGTGCCAATCTTTGTCCCCTTTTCTCCGGTCTTATGATCCACATCCTCCCAAGCAACTATCTCCACGATCTTGGGCCGGCCAAAGACTCGTGTGATGCCACCGTCATTGAAGAGCTCTGCAGTGGATTCCGAGACGCAAGGAAGGAGTTCACTCTCAGCTTCGGCAGGACCTTCTTGTGCGCGTCCGACGAATGCCCTGAGGGATGAACTTCCACAGATCCTGATCACCGACACAACAGCAGTCAAGACCCCTAGCGGTGAAAGGGCGAAGATAACATTATCAAGAATGCTGATGGACTCAGAAAGAAATTGTTTCGTAAGTCGTTCACCGAACAAGGTGATTAGAGGAGCCTTTGATCGAAATATCAGCACATCCACTTGGAACCTCATTCAGGCCATATAGATATGGACATACCAAGTCCGTAGCAAGATTGTTCGTAAAATCATCCCAGTTATCATCCGCCTTAACAAAAGGAAACAAAGATATAAAAAACAGTATAGAAAGCATCGTATGAATAATCGTAAATCACTAACACATCAATTCATAATAAGACATAGACCATAAAGAAGAATTAATAGAACTAACAGAACATCCTCGAGCAAGTGCCCGACCACGCTCTCTTAAAGAGAACACCGCTCGATCCTCCATCCGCCATCGATGGACATCTTGTGCCGATCCTCACTCGATTCAGAGCCAAGGAACAGAGCCCCATGCTTGCGAGGCGTCTCCCCGTGGCAATAATAGAACGCCAACTAATGATATCAAGAAAACTATCATCATGGCTTTAATTTCGTCGGGGTCTGAAACCCCCTAGTGTACCTAGCGCAGGCGTGTAAGCGCTGCGCTGGCGAAAGTCTTCGTTGTCACTGCACTGGTTGCGGCCCGCGTCGCGCTATAACACGGGCTGCGGGGCTAGATGGGGGGCTATCCTTCGGTCAGCGTCTAACTTATCCTTGCTGCAGGGTGGCTTAGGGGAAGTTAATATATATAGGATGCCTGTTATGCGGGGAGGGGTAGAAGGGATGTTAGTAGTGTAGAGTGGTTGGTTGTTGGGCTATCCTCATGTTTTTCGTGGCTTTTTTGCTTCTTATTTTGGGTTTCTGGGATGCAGGATTGATCGAACCCGGGCAAAACTAGGGAGACAGACAAATCTAAGGGCAGAGATATGCGCTCTCTCCTGCACTAGGGCCAGGGGTGTGGAACAAGTGTGAAATCAAGGGAAATCGCGGCGATTGGCAACAACATGGTCTACCTGAGAGGGGCGATGAGGTTCACACCGCTGCAGGCAAATGGAGACTTCTGCTGTTACGGATTGTGTGCGTAGTTCAAGGAATTGACCCTGCTAACGTCGAGTTTCAGATTGAACACAAGGGGATGTTGTCAACTTCTGTGTTGAGGTCCAGATCAATTCCCTTGTTGACCAGTTTATATATATTTGGGGTCAATTCATCAAATCCATCCAGGGAGGAAATGTGGACACTGCGTATAAGACCGCGGGAGGCAATTCAACTCGTAAGAATTTGGAATCAAATAATGAAATTTATGATCGTGAACAGTTGATGTCAATGTTACAGTTGACGTCGGGGCGGAGATTCTCAGATCTTGGCTTAGGCTACATAATAACACCCGACCAAGCAACCCCTGTGTTTCCTGACTCTCCCGACTCCAGTTTTTTTTCTTTCTCTGTTGTTATTCTGCAATTGTCTCCTTCAATCTCAACCACCCGTGTCCTTTCATAATGGCGGCCTCCAGCGAGTTCGCGTCTGCCATGACCACCCGGTCGCTCCGCATGGTCCGGACGGTATGGCTTCCCGGCTTCCCGTGCCTGAAATGTGGCCCAGGTACTAATACAACATAATTCAGGAACTAGAATTCCTTGCCGATGCCTCTGTAATCACTCCCCAACAGCTCTCTTCCATTCTGTCACAGCTACCCACCGATTCCGAGACCTCTCGGACGGTGCACACATCACCATCGCCGCCCCGACAACAGGCACAGCCTGCGCCTGCCCAACATGTTCCAGTGCAAGCGCAGCCCCCTCCAGCCCCTTACACGCCCTCATACTCGCCTCCTGTCTCACAGATGAACAATGCGTCGATTAATGAGAAAGCCTTTATGCACAATCAACATGTTCCAGTGCAAGCGCAGCCTCCGCAGGCCCCGCCAGCTTATCCCCAAGTCCCGCCAGTCCTCGGTCTTGCCTCGGCCATGTACGCATACACACCTACCGATGCTGGTGACTTGGCCCTGCAGCCGCAAGATCGCATTCAGATTATCGAGCACATGAATGACGACTGTAAGATATTTCGTTCTTATCTGATATGGATACCAAGCTAATGATAAACAGGGTGGCGTGGTCGCAACGAGCGGACTGGTCAGGAGGGTATCTTCCCTCGAAGCTACGTGAACGTTGTGAACGAGAAGGCTGGTATTTCTTCGCCCCCGCCTACAAACTATGGAAACATGCCTCTTGCAGTCAGCCAGAGTGGGCAGCCTGAAGACCCCAACGACCCAAAGAAGAACAAGTTCGAGGAAGGAGGCAAGAAGTTCGGAAAGAAACTGGGCAATGCCGGTAGGTCTTATATACTTTTGGTACTCGTTCGGTTTCTAACTTGATATTAGCAATCTTCGGTGCCGGTGCTACTGTTGGCTCCAACATCGTGAACAGCATCTTCTAATCATACGGCCAAGCTATTTTGCTGGGCATTTTGCTTCGTATTCACTTCCATTGATACGGCGTTGGTGGATTGAATTTTTGCTTCGAATGGATTGACTGGACTCAACCAGCATCGCTTATTGGCGGGCTTATGGCCAAATATTTTGGCGGTCCCAGTGTTCAGACGCTAATTAGCTCTTCATTGCGATATGATCTAGTTTTATGGCTACATACATACCTCAGCCAATGACTTTCCTGATATTCTGGATCACACCCGAAGTTCCCTAGGGCTTGAATCATACAGCCACAGAAAGCTTACCCATGTAGGCCATTAGAAAACCCGACGGAAGCGAAATATAAGAGAAAGGCTAGGAATTCTGCTACGAGTTTACCCATACAACGAGAAGGAATGAGGACAGAAAGCATGAGTCGGGGTCGGGAATAAGCCTTCTAATTGAACGCTACTACTATATCTGCATCAAATATGGACAGGCCCGTCAATTTCTGTCCTAGTCTGCTCTTGGTCGTTCTCCAGGACGATGCCTAAGCGTGGTCACCCTGTAGGATGGTGCGCGTGGCGACTAGTTGGGGGAAAATGCTCCTTGAACATAAGCCTCGGAAGAATTATATTCCAAACTGCATGCTGAACAGCAATATACTCTAAGCCCGGACAGGTTCCATGATCGAGAAGCTATTCATGGAAGATGGCTCTTTTTCTCCGAAAAAATGACTTGGGAACACTACTGTCATGTATTGATTGTTTTCCTTCCATATGTGGGTGATGGACTTCAGGTGAACTGTTTAATGTACACACCGGACCATGCCATCGCTGATATGTAAGAAAAGATGTAACTCAAGGAACAACTTTGGAAAAACCAAAATTCCTTGTACTTTGTTCTTAGATTGAGTCGCCGACCAGCCTAAGAGTCTGTAGGCCTAATTTATCTCTAGGGCTACCTTAGGTAGGTATGCGATAATGTACGATGAGCAGAGAGGCTAAGCCTATCCTGGTGCCCGATTTGATGCTCAGCCTCATCGTGGGGGCCCTTGATTGAAGACTCATTGTGACTCTTATGCTTACTTTGGTACAACGTTTCACCTGGCATGCCGTTTGTGAATGGCGATTGGTTCTTGGAGGCATATTTTGTTGCCCTTTGCCCATGATACCAGTGATTAGGGCTGAGAATGTGCACGCAAACCTTATGACATCAAGTTGTGGGGCGAGTTCATTGTCTTGCCGATGCTTTGAAGCGGCCTGATCTATATGCTTTATATACAAATGACGGGGGAGATAGTATTGCTGGAAAACTCTTTACACTTATGCTAGATCCTCGGTTGTTGGATGAGTCTGAATGTATCCATGGATGAAATAGTGTGTAGTTATAATTGCAGGTGGCTGTGGCGATCAATGTGGTGGGGGATTGCCGATGGGCATAGCGAACCCCTAGGACAATTTTGAAACACTAGAAAAGAGGTGAACCCTTGCAGAAAACTACAAATAGTCATACAGAACTTATAGAAATACAAAATGATTTGAAATATAAAAAAGAGGTTCGCCACAGTACGAACAAGGACGCCTTTGACCCAGATATACGCTAAACCCAATACGGACTAGCGCGGGCTCCCCTCCCTCGAGAAGCTTCTGTGTCATCGATATAAATTGCATTTCTCTCTTTACCCTCACACGACCAACGTCATCTCCACCCTCACCTATCATTCTTACCAACCTCAAACCACGCACATCACCAAATCCAACCTCATTTCAAAATGTCTGACTGGGAAAGCACCACCAAGATTGGCAGCAAGTTCCGCGGAGCTGGCGCTCAACCCCGCGAGACCGTCGTCAAGGGCAAGAGTGCCCTGAACGCCGCTCAGCGTTCTGGCAATGTCTACACCGAGAAGAAGTACACCACCGGTAACCTTGTATGTGAAATCTCCTTTGAAATCCGGAAAAATGACCTTGAATCTTTACTAACACACTATCCAGAGCGCCAAGGCAGGTGCCCCCGAAGGCCAACACTTGACCAAAGTCGACCGCAGCGACGATATCGTCAAGCCCAAGACCATCGGCCACGCCGTCGCCGACGCCATCAAGAGACGCCGCACTGAGGAGGGCTACAAGATGACTCAGAAGGAACTCGCCACCAAGTGCAACACCACTATCACTATTATCCAGGATTTCGAGCGTGGAACCGCCGCCCCCGACCAGAAGGTTCTCGGCGCTATGGAGCGCGTGCTGAACATTAAGCTGCGTGGTTCAGACATCGGCTCTGAAAAGTTCCCCAAGAAGAAATAGATGAGGTTGAGTCCGTGGCCTTTATCCCTTTGGGAATGAGACTGGGGCAAATATCAAGTTTTCTGCATTTGCTTTTTTGCGCTCTATGACTGTCATGTTCCTTCTTCATTTTCATGAGACGTCACATTTTTTTGTTTTTTCTACGGGTTTCTTTTCTGCTGGTCGGATTAGCGCTGGCCTTGCATGGGAAACGGGTTTAGAGAAGATATCACGAAAAAAATTGTATAAATGAGATACCTCAGATTTTGATATTATCATATACTTTTCTACTTGTAATTTGTGTTTAGGTATAGATTCGACATATAGATGGGTGTCCCAAGGTCGTTTTCATAACTCGCACATAACATGCACACGAAGACCGAGCGTATGTATGTAGGTACTGTGGTATATTTGGATATACGTAGTTCTTTCCTACATACATAGACATCCCCTATCCATGCTCTGTTCGATGCCAGCGGCGCTATCCCAGCGCAATTTGAAGATTTGCAAAGCTTTGATTTTGTCTATTTACCCGATTTTCATCTCTTTCGCGGAGGACCAGGACAGACATAAGAGCTCAGAAAAAGAACTCTGTCATCTTTTTATTAAACAAAGACAGAAACACAAGGTACCAACTCCGATTTGATCATGGAATCAATGAAATGAGAAAATCGTGGACCGGAGGGTCATCCCATTCCGTATGCGGGACTTGGGGGATTCGTCCCAAGTCTTTTCGCCTCGTAAACACATACACACGACGCATCCCAACATTCTTCACCTCATCCTCTCTTTACTTCCGCGCTTGCTCCCGCTCAACCTCGTACATGAAGTCGAAGTATGACTTGTCGAAGTGGTGGACACGAACGTAACCGTCCTCACCACCGGAGGCGTATGCGGTGCCTGCGGGGTGAACATCGATAGTGTTAAGGGGACCGAAGTGGCCACGAACGCGGCCGCACTCATCTTCAAACACCTGAGTAACAATAATATTAGTATGTGGCGAGTTAACTCACTCGAGCGCATATTTGGACTCACTTTGTGGTAGAATCGAGCTTCGAATTTACCCTGGCGGGCGGAGGTGGTGGTGACATCCATGGCGGCTTGACCACCACCAAGGATGACGAATTCCTTCTTGGGTGTCACACTAGCAGTGTTGAGAGGAGTGTCGGAGATATAGGTCTTGAGGATGGCGAGGTTGCGGGAGGACAGGAGCTGCATGTTATTAGCGGGGTTTGCCTTATAGAATGATCTGCAAAGGAACATACCTTGGCTGACTTGTCTTTCGACGCGGTAATGAAAGACAGACGATCGGGTGCGAACTGAATGTCGGTTATTTGGCTATCGAATTCGTGGATTTGCACGTTCTCGAGTTGATCTCCAGACTAGAGATGGCATTAGCATTCCACGCCCCTCAAATCACCCTGATAGAAACATACCTTAGGATCATACTGGCTGACGCTGCCATCCTCGTGCCCCGCAATGATGTACTTGGACAGGAAACTCCACCCCGCCACGGTGGCCTTGCTCTCCTCGCAAACGATGGTCAAGGTGGGCTCGGCGGCCTGCGCGCTCAGGTTTTCGCCGTAGCTGATATCGAGAACTGCGATAGTACCATTGAAACCCATGCGCTTTTCCGTCACTGCCAAAAGTCTGTTTCCATCGGGGGAGAATGACACGCGCTTGACGGCTGTCGAGAATTCCCACACCTTCACACACTCGCCGGTCTTGACGTTCCATAGACGCACGGTGTTGTCTGCTGATCCGGTTGCAAGAAGAATGGTGTTGGGGCTGACGTCGACTGTCCAGACAGCACCCTGGTGGCCGTTGTAGGTACCGAGACGCTCGCCATTGGCGGACCACCATGCGCACACAATCTTATCCTTCGAGACGGAGAAGAGGAGATCGCCATCGCTGTTGAACTTGATCTGGGTCAGGGACCGCTCCTGTTGTTATAGTTGGCTGCGGTCAGTCTCTGTGGATCCAGCAAGTTTTCGAAGAAGTTAACGCACATGGCCGGAAAGCAAAATAGGCCGCATTTCGAAGGGTGAGGTGTTAGAGTCTTCGAGATGGAGTATCGGAGGGGAAAAATCTGAGACGCTCGGCTCAGAAGGGGTAAGGCGGAGTGGCTTTTTGGGGGGTCAACCTCGTCAACCTCACTTTCTTTGACTAGTGAATTTCATCGCACACTCGGCCCTCAATGCCAAGCCTTATTCGGACGCTAATATAATCCGCGTTCCGATATCTCCACGTGATTGCTATCTGGATACCCTAAGCCCTAGCTGGTGTCCCCAAAAAGGTTAACGTGTCCCTGATGACTCATGCGGCTCAGAAAGGCAATTTTGCCTCAGGCAGAGAGACCAGGAGGTGCCCGGGAAACTCCCGGACTCTCCGCATGAGCTTAATCGCAGAAAAAAGAAGAAATGAGGTGAATGTGAGGGGAATATCTCCAAATTGACAGGACTGGCTTTTACCCCAGTGTATCTTTTGAGTGTTGCACGTGAAAGTGAGGCCTAATTGTTGATTTCTTTTTCGCAACGCCGGAGGGTTCGCCCCAAACAAGCAATAATTCATGCCATTCGTCCCCGCTGCCCTACCCCGCTGCCCTTTTTATCTCCAAGTGCATGCGGGCACCCTCCGAAATCTTCCTTTCCTATCTCGTTCTTTTTTCCATAAGTATTCCTCTGTCCACGGAGTCAGAGGACTTCGTTCATCATCCGTCAGGTCTCTAGTGAAGGTCAACTTTTCTCCAATTAGCCCCGCTATCTCACCTTTCCGAAAGTTTTCCGGGTCAGCAATGGCTGCCGCCAAGATTGATGGCACTGCCATCGCGAAGAGCATTCGCCAGGGCTTGAAGTCCGAGATCGAGCAGATTCAAGCGACCAATCCTAGATTCAAGCCAAACCTGGTTATCTTCCAGGGTAAGCTTGCCCTTCTTCGAGCATGATCAAGGGAGTGTTGGATACTAACATGATGATTCTATCTAGTCGGCAGTCGATCGGATTCTAGTTGGTCTATCTACAAACAGCATGGAGAAGGTCTGTCGGACTAATGTCACTTAGGTACCTATGTGCGCATGAAGCTGAAGGCCGCTCAGGAGGTACGACTTGCTATTTGGGATATTCGGGACATTATCTGACCTTATCCACCAGGCTAATATCATCTGCACCCTGATCAACGTTCCTGAATCGAGCACCGAGCTGGAGCTCATCCAAGAGATCACTAAAGCCAACAATGACCCCGCGATCCACGGCATTCTCGTTCAATTGCCCCTCCCAAGTCATATGTCTGAGCATGCAATCACGTCGACTGTTGCAGATGAGAAAGATGTCGATGGTTTCGGCGCAATCAATATCGGCGAGTTGGCTAAGCGAGGCGGTCGCCCGTTATTCACTCCGTGCACGCCTCTGGCGGTTATGGAACTACTCAAGGCAAGCGGCGTAAACCCCGCCGGCAAGGAGGCAGTGGTCCTGGGACGCAGTGACATCGTCGGCAGCCCGGTCAGCTATTTGCTTAAGAACGCCGATGCCACCGTTACTGTCTGCCACTCAAAGACACCGGATATTGCCCGCATCGTGAAGACCGCTGACATCGTTGTGGCGGCCATTGGCCAGACCGAGCTTGTGAAGGGCGACTGGTTGAAGCCCGGTGCTGTGGTTATTGATGTTGGTATCAACTACAAGCCTGATGCCACCAAGAAGTCCGGTGAGCGACTGGTCGGCGATGTGGACTTTGAGTCTGCTGCCCAGGTAGCCTCACAGATCACTCCCGTCCCCGGTGGTGTTGGCCCAATGACTGTGGCCATGTTGTTGAAGAACGTGGTTCATTCCGCCAAGGGCTACTTTGAGAAACAGAAGGACCGCCACGTCACCCCTCTTCCTCTTCGCCTACAAACTCCTGTGCCTTCCGACATTGCTATCTCGCGGGCTCAGTACCCCAAGCCCATCACTCAGATTGCCACTGAGGTCGGCATCGCCCCTCATGAGTTGGAGCCCTACGGCCACACCAAGGCCAAGATTAGCCTGAGTGTGCTGGATCGCCTCGCCCACCGCCGCAACGGAAGATACATCTTGGTCTGCGGTATCACACCCACTCCTCTCGGTGAGGGCAAGTCCACCACCACATTAGGTCTCACTCAAGCACTTGGTGCCCACCTTAACCGCATTTCCTTTGCAAACGTCCGACAGCCCAGCCAAGGTCCTACGTTCGGCATCAAGGGTGGCGCCGCTGGTGGAGGCTACAGTCAGGTTATTCCTATGGACGAGTTCAATCTCCACCTGACGGGCGACATCCACGCCATCACCGCCGCGAACAACCTTCTCGCTGCGGCTATTGAGACTCGCATGTTCCACGAGTCCACCCAGAAAGATGCAGCTCTCTACAAGCGTCTTGTCCCTGCTAGCAAGGGCAAGCGCGAATTCAAGCCCATCATGTTCCGACGCCTGAAGAAGCTGGGCATCGAGAAGACTAACCCAGACGATCTCACTGAGGAGGAGATTGCTCGTTTTGCCCGCCTTGATATTGACCCAGAGACCATCACTTGGCGCCGCGTTCTCGATGTCAATGACCGTCACTTGCGTGGCATCACTGTCGGCCAGGCTGACACCGAGAAGGGCCTGTCCCGCGAGACTGGCTTCGACATTTCCGTCGCTAGTGAATGCATGGCTATTCTTGCCTTGAGTAACGACTTGGAAGATATGCGTGAGCGACTGGGTCGTATGGTGGTTGCCACTTCTAGAAATGGCGACCCCGTGACCTGCGACGACATTGGTGCCGGTGGTGCCCTCGCCGCTTTAATGAAGGATGCCATTAAGCCAAACATGATGCAGAGTTTGGAAGGCACTCCTGTTATGGTGCACGCTGGTCCCTTTGCCAACATTAGTATTGGCGCCAGCTCCGCCATCGCCGATAAGCTTGCCCTGAAGCTTGCCGGTACCGAGCCTGATGAGGATCATGAGGCCAAGACCGGTTTCGTGGTCACTGAGGCTGGATTTGACTTCACAATGGGTGGTGAGCGCTTCTTTAACATTAAGTGCCGCTCCTCTGGTCTGGTTCCGGACACTGTCGTTATTGTGGCTACTGTCCGTGCGCTGAAGGTTCACGGCGGTGGCCCCGAAATCAAGCCCGGCGCCCCTCTGCAGGAGGTTTACCGCACCGAGAATGTGGATGTTCTCCGCCAGGGTTGTGTTAACCTGCGCAAGCACATTGCCAACGCCAAGCAGTACGGCGTCCCGGTGGTGGTCGCGATTAACAAGTTCGAGACTGATACCGACGCCGAAATTGCTGTCATCAGGGAGGAGGCGATCGCTGCTGGTGCTGAGGATGCCGTCCCTGCCAACCACTGGGCTGAGGGTGGAGCCGGCGCCGTTGATCTGGCCAAGGCTGTCATGACCGCCAGCTCCAAGGAGAAGAACTTCCAGCTTCTCTACGGACTGGATGGTACTATCCAGGAGCGCATTGAGCGCATTGGCCAGGCCATGTATGGTGCTGAAAAGGTCGAGTTCAGTGAATTGGCCCAGAAGAAGGTCGACACCTACACCAAGCAAGGGTTCTCTAACTTGCCGATCTGTATCGCCAAGACTCAGTACTCACTCAGTCACGACCCAGCCCTCAAGGGCGCCCCCACCGGCTTCACTGTGCCCATTCGGGATGTTAGATTGGCTGTGGGCGCTGGATACCTGTAAGTTTTTGTTCCCGCATTTTGTGGAAACTGTCACGCTAACATAGCTATAGCTACGCCCTGGCTGCCGATATTCAGACTATTCCCGGACTACCCACTGCCCCGGCTACCTTAACGTCGACATCGACACCGAGACTGGCGATATCGACGGGTTGTTCTAGGGTACAATATAGATAAGGAGATATTTTTGGAGCTTGCATATACCACTGTTCGAACTTCGATTCTTCAACACATACGATAATTGGGGTCTGATCGGACCCTTAGATGGATATTTTTCAACACCGCGCAATCCGGGGCAATTGGACACGTGAAATTCATTTCGATATATTATTTCATAATCAATATATTTTTTTTCCCACTGGATATATTAAATCGTACAATTCGGTTGGAGCTTTTCCGGGGTCAAAAAGGGAGGGCCGGTCAAGGCCGGAGTTGAGCTCCGTTCTCCGGGAATCGCTCTATCACCGTAGGCTTCTTCAGCGGGTCGGTTGATGGAGCTTTGATGGAAAATTTTAGCTGATAAAGGATTAGACCGGTGAGTCAGTTGACCTTGAAAGGAGAGATTTAAAGAAACAGAGACATCCACGTGAAATTCCCATTGAAAAACATTCCAAACCCTTCAATATCTCCAAATATCTCGTGACTGTCCGGCTTCGGCGCTTCTTTTTGCGGAGTTGTTATTAAGATCCCCAACCTCCATTGCACCGGACAAGGCTTTTTCCTCCTCTACTCTCCATTTAACTATCCAGTCTCACTGCTATTCGGTAATTCTCCCTTTCCTATTTGCCTTACTCATCTTATTCCGATCAATTCCCGCCTTGCCGTGGACCCTTTACCCCCAAGTCCCGGAAATCGCATCTTCTTTCTACCCTTTCTCCGGGAAATTTCCCGACTCCACACTTTCCTTTCTGCCGAAGCTCATTCCCTCGGTTGTAAACCAGCGAGTGAGGCGACTTACTTCCCGCTCAGCCAAACAGAAACCGCGAAGTAGGCGCTGACGTCCTTAGGATTCCACGATGAACGCTCTCCGGTCCAGTTCCGCAGTCGCTCGTCGGTCCCTTGCGACCCCTCCTGCCCCTCTCTCTTCTACCTCTCGTCTTATTTCTTCCTCTTCTTTCACTTCTTCACTTTCTAAGAGATCTATCTCCTCTACCTCCCTCTCTCAACGAACTAATCGAGTTGCTGCTTCTTCCCGCTGGTCCGGATCGATCCCTTCGTCTATCACTCAAATCCGCACTATGGCTTCCGAAACCAAGATCAAGGTCAAGAACCCTGTGGTCGAGTTGGATGGTGATGAGGTATGGGAAATCCCTCTGCTTTTATAGTTCGAAATTTCAATCAGCCTGTTTCACAAACCCGCATATTCTCGTGCTTGGCTGGCGCGTTTTCGTCGAAAACGCGGGAAATACGGGGAATATCGCGATAATTCATGTGTCAATCGGCTTCCCCAAGGCTTTGAAACTCATCCTTGACATGTGCTAACCGGATGATCTTCGTGAACATAGATGACCCGTATTATCTGGCAAGAAATCAGAGAAAAGGTAAGCTTATCGTCCCCTTCTCGCCCGGGCCAGACCTGCATGATCGCCGCCGTTGCAGGTGCATGCAGTGAAGACGTCACAATCCATACCGGCCCGGTTACATGCTCATACTAATTGGCTGGCTATAGTTGATTCTGCCTTATCTCGATATCGATCTCAAGTACTACGATTTGGGTATTGAGTACCGTGATGAGACCAATGACCAGGTCACCATCGATGCCGCCGAGGCTATTAAGAAGTACGGTGTTGGTGTCAAGTGTGCCACCATCACCCCCGATGAGGCCCGTGTTGAGGAGTTCAAGCTGAAGAAGAGTAAGTTCATTAAGCTCTGCAGAAGTCCGTTTTGTGTAACGGCAAAAAGCTAACCATTTCTAGTGTGGCTTTCCCCCAACGGCACCATCCGTAACATCCTGTGAGTAAATTAAATCCGATTGGCTCCGACCATTCACTAACGGTCTATCTAGTGGCGGTACCGTGTTCCGTGAGCCCATTGTCATTCCCCGCATTCCCCGCCTGGTCCCTGGCTGGACTAAGCCTATTATTATTGGCCGTCACGCCTTCGGTGACCAGTACCGTGCCCAGGACCGTGTCATCCCTGGCCCCGGTAAGCTCGAGTTGGTCTACACCCCTGCCGGCGGTGAGCCCGAGCGCGTTCAGGTCTTCGATTTCCAGGGCGGTGGTGTCACTCAGTGCCAGTACAACACCGATGAGTCCATCGCTGGCTTCGCCCACTCCTCCTTCAAGATGGCCCTCATGAAGGGTCTTCCCCTCTACATGAGCACCAAGAACACTATCCTCAAGAAGTACGATGGCCGCTTCAAGGACATCTTCGAGGAGATCTTCCAGAAGGACTACAAGAAGGACTTCGATGCCAAGAACATTTGGTACGAGCACCGTCTCATTGACGACATGGTTGCTCAGATGATCAAGTCCGAGGGTGGCTTCGTCATGGCTCTTAAGAGTGAGTTTCCATCCCACGTTGGTTTATTAGATCTTCTCTAACACACGTGTTTAGACTACGACGGTGATGTCCAGTCCGACATCGTCGCCCAGGGCTTCGGCTCTCTCGGTCTGATGACCTCCGCTCTGGCTACCCCGACGGCTCTGCTACGAGTCTGAGGCCGCCCACGGAACCGTGACCCGTCACTACCGTGAGCACCAGAAGGGTAACGAGACCTCCACCAACCCCATTGCCTCTATCTTCGCCTGGACCCGTGGTCTCGTCCAGCGTGGCCAGCTCGACAACACCCCCGAGGTTGTTACCTTCGCTGAGGAGCTCGAGCGTGCCTGTGTTGACGTCGTCAACGAGGAGGCTATCATGACTAAGGATCTGGCTCTCGCCTGTGGCCGCAAGGACCGTGAGTCCTGGGTCACCACTGGCGAGTACATGGCTGCCGTTGAGCGGAGGCTGAAGGCCAACCTCAAGGCTCGCCTGTAGATTGTTTTCCCATTTGCTGCAAAATTTGAGATACTCCCGTTTTAGAATCCCTAGCGGAAAGGCATTGGCCTGGCTTTGATTGGTCATTTTTGTATAGTTTGCAATCGAATTGTCATTCTGTATACTTCTATCGTAGGCTACTATTTTCGCAACTTTATGCTTCTAGACTTGTTTGAGGCGCTGTCACAGTCTACTAATGCCCACCTCAGATATCCCGACCTCAGAGTCCATCTTCAGAATTTGCGTTCCATTAGCCCGGCTCTACCACTCCTTGCCTACCTCACTTCCACCTGGGTAAATATAGTGCTCCTTTGTAGATTCCACATAACCCTCACACGTCCAGATCGGAGCATCAAATATTTCGTTTATACCTATGATAGGATGGAAACGTCGCCGACGCCACAATCCACTTGCAGAGCCAGAAAACCACATACTCAAATTTAGCGTCTTATGGATAATAACTCGGAGCACATCCTCAATAGGGAAGTGATAGTTTCCCCCGGGGCCGAAATACCAACGTCCAACCCTAAGCTAGAAAGCACCCACACCGGTGTCCCAGGTATAATCAAACAACCTTGGAAGGATCTTCAACGATTATGTGATCTCTGATCTCATTTGCCCTGGTTACTTTCTCCAGAGTTACGGGCTACCAAGCAATCATTAACACTTTGAACCAATTGCAATGTGAGCCGGATGCGTAGACCCCACAACTTTATTAGGACAGCCAATCATCTCTTTTTAACTTTAGTTAGCCGTCGACCTAGATCGAGGTCTTGACGCAAGTGGTTATATCAGTTTCCTAATGCGGCGATTTTCTCTTCTGTCTTTTTGATGGCTGGCTCAACGAACATGGACGGAAAACTCATTGGAAGACAGGGGCATGGGTGTGAAGTCCTTGATTCTGCGGATCTGACTGTCAAAACTTTATCTTCGTTACAGGGTTTTGGCGTGAGATGTGTGTGGGTTAAGGGAGTCATTTTTTTCTCTTTTTTGTTTTACTTTCTACTTGGGATTAAACTTCTTTTCTTGTTATACTACAATTCCGCCTCAATACTCACCTGCAGTGTGGTGGCACTGTTCCACTGCATTCCGTTCAATGCAATGACATACGTCTAAAGCTTTCGACTAAGATTTTGTTGTTATCCTTAACATTGATCAATTGTTTGTCTTTGCCGATCGAATGTACGTCGTGACCATCACGTCGGTCTTTACCGGCCTGGCGGTTTTGGTTGTCGCCCTCCGGCTATACACCCGGATCTACATGGTGAAGGCTCCTGGGCTAGATGATTTGATTATATCATGTGCATTGGTACGTACATCTATATGCTAGATATACCGCGAGGACATACATCTCTCAGATGAGGTGACGGAACCCAATGCTAATCACCTATCACAGCTCTCGGACCTGGCATTGTTTGCCTGTATACTTCTTGGTAAGTAGTCCGTCCCATCAATGCCTTATTAGTATACATTTCAATCTAACAAGTCCCTCGCAGAACGAAAATATGGCATCGGCATCCACTCGAGCAAACTTTCCGAATATGACCTCCAGCACCAACTATTTGTACGAAAGGAAGCCCTCCTGCTATCAAACCATGGGGAGAACAAGTAACTAATGGAAATCAACCACAGTGGTTATGGCTTTCGGTCCCTTTCTACAACATGACCATGGTCTTTGCCAAGCTCTCTGCCCTTACGCTCTTCGCCCGTCTGTTCCGTCCCCTGTCCCTTCCTCTTAACTACCTACATCGTCATGGGATTACTCGTCATCATAGGTCTATGGACGACACTGAGCGGATTCTTCTTCTGCGTTCCTGTCCACGCCTTCTGGAATCCCTCCGAAGACGTCCGCCTGGCAAAATGTCTACCTGCCGCCCCTGTCTGGTTCACCAATGCGGCACTCCAGACATCTACTGATCTGGTGATATTGGTTATGCCCATGCCGCTATTGTGGAAGTTACAACTACCTAAAAGGCAAAAGTGGGGAATACTTGTGGTTTTCAGCCTTGGAATCTTGTAAGTGGAAATACATGGCTTGTCATTGATCTTGGGGACAACGCTGACTGTTCTTATAGTATTATTGGCACTAGTTCCGTTCGCTTGTATCCATTAAGCGTCATGGTTGGCGGAGGAGACTTTATCGGTAAGATTGTAGATCCCTTTACACTCTGCAAAATAAAAATTGAACGAAAATGCTAACACACTAACAGAGGAAAATGCCCAAGCAGCCCTCTGGTCCTCCCTAAGAGGGAAACGTATCCATCATCTGCATCTGCCTCCCACCACTCCACCCGCTCCTCTCCCGCATCTTCTCATTCTTCTTCCTCCCTAGACCGATACACTCCAGAGCCTCAAAATGTCACTCCAGTAGAACGCAGATGGCTGAGCCTCTCAACCGTGATGACGGGATATGGTGCAACGAACTCTTCACTCCCGGACCGGCGAGTTACTGCACTAGTATTTCCAAGGTCGATACGAATGAAGAAGACCACGAGAATGGGGAGGGGATTCGTGTTAAACGGGAGTTGAGGATGCAGTCTGATACTCTTCCTTCCCCTGTTATCAGACCTCATTCGGCGAACGGTGCCCATCCAGATATGGGGGAAGGGGCGGTGGCAGCAAGGAGTCATACTGCGCCTGAGAATCCTTGCTCGAATTCTAGTGTTGAGAGGGATTTCGGGGATTTCGAGTTCCCGGACTATAGGGAGAAAATGAATGCTCCGATTTGAATTTGCCGGCAGTTGGGGGTGTATATATGTTCAGCAACATCAAACGCTTGTGATGTAATTGCATATACTGATGATACAAATGACGATATTAATCTGATAAATTGGATCATAGTAGGTCGAGTGCACGTAGAACATTTAGAAAGCATGATATTTATGTAGCATTCTGTTATACCCCCGCCGTCGAGCCGAGTGGCAAAGACTTACATGGAAACGCATTAAAAAACAAATCACTATATATAGCTGCCTGGATGTCTACCTCTAGTGCTGGACAAATCAAAGTCTTGCCCGCGAGCGAATCTTCCCCTGCATAGCCTGTTCAATCGCCTTGGCCACAGCAACACACTTCTCTTCACCAAACCGTCCCCCAACAACCTGTATCCCGACAGGCATCCCCTCCACCAGGTTAATATCATCTAAACATGAATCAGTATCGTACGGAGAGAAAGCTCTCATGTTGGATGTACTCACACTGCTGCTTATTAAACCTGTCACTATCATTCCTCGGAACATGAGCCAGCCACTCTTCATCCGGAACATCCTTCGTCCTCGAGGCAGTCGTCACAGGCACTGCTAACGCGGCATAGCCAAGGAAATTCCAGATACTGGTGTAGCCCACATATGCACTGGACTTCACCCACGTCCACGGTTTGTATCCCACCCATGCAGTATTGGGCATGATCAATGCGTCAATATCGGATGATATCCATCTATCGAGATATGCCGACTCGAAATTGTATTTGTCCGCATTGAGCTACAATATAGGTTAGCAGGTAGCAACCGAACCATGGTGGTCCCCTCACTTGGTGCGTTTGACTGGTAGTCAAAGTATCCTCAGGTTTACCAACGAGCATACCCTCAATAAGCGGCTCGCCCGTTTTCTCTATCTGTCTTCGACAGCCCTCGCCGCCATCGGAAAAGATAGCCTTTGCCCAGAGCTCATATGCATAACTATGTGAGGAGGCGTCCCACTCAAACACTGAGATTTGTTAGTAGATGGTCCGCAGTAGCCACTGGGAGAGGATGTCAGTTATCATACCCTCGTGTCCCGCCGCTTTCAGCGCCTCAATAACCTCACGCATGGCCCTCGCAATCGGCGGCTGAACCATGACAACACCATCATCAACCAGAAACCCGATCCTCAACCTCTTTGCACCAGGAGAAGCTAATTCCTTCCTCCACGCGACAGGTGCAACATGTTGATCAACCTCCCACGGCCTCGCCTCCGGCAATACTTCCATATACCTCTCAATAGTCGCGAGATTACAGGCCATAGGCCCAGCAACAGACCTCACGATATCTTGCCCAGGACTGTAAACCATCCAAATCAGCACTTTCTTGTTCATATTGCTCTTCCTCTCCACCACACAACAAAAAAAAGAGGTAAACTTACTTCCCCCTCTCATACGGATGTCTCCCCGGACTAGGCGACAACCCATAAAGTCCACAAAGCGCAGCAGGAATACGAATCGAACCACCCAGATCCGTACCAATACCAAGAACACTTCCACGCGCCGCAATAAGCGAGCCTTCGCCGCCAGAGCTCCCACCGGAAATTAGTTGACGGTTGAATGGGTTGACGCACTGCCCAAAGACGTGGTTGTACGAGTCGGACATCATCATTGATTGTGGCAGATTGGTTTTCACGTAGAGAACGGCACCGAGACGGCGGAGTGTGCGCGCTACGGATTTGTCTGCTTCTGCTGGGTTGTTGGTGAGGCCGACCCAGCCTGGATTTGATTATTGTCAGTATGTGGTGCATACATACAAATACCTGTACATGAAGAAATGGGTGTTTTCCTCTTAGCGGGTGTGATTGATAGGAAGGTGGAAGGTGATTACCGATCGAAGTGTCTACTCCTTCAACGGAGAATAGGTCTTTGATGGATACTGGTAATCCATGTAGAGGGCCGACAGTCTTCCCTGTCTTAGCGAGGTAATCGTCTAGTTCCTGGGCGACGGCAAAGGCCTGCTCGAAGAAGATCTCTGTACAGCATGTTGTAAGTTGGTGGGCGAGGGCCGCACGTTTAGCGAAGACTCTAGTCAGCTTCAGGGACGAGAGTTCTCCGGATGAAAGCTTGCGAAGAAGGGCGGCGATATCAGTTTCTTCTGTGAGGGCCAGTTCCTCTGTACTAAGAATGCGGCCAAGATATGCCAGAGCATTCGGCGCTGATTCAATGGAGGGAACGGGATGTAAGCGCCATTCGGGGGGTATGAGGGAAAGCTGGTCTGCGCGCTTTTTAGCGCAACGGTCTTGGTACGAGGTAGCCATGGGGAAATTTCTATGCTTATAGTGGAAATATAAAAACTACGAAGATACAAAGTCAGACCCTAACAGGATCATTTATAGATGTTCAAGACCAACCAAGTACATGTAGATAAGAAGTGTGATGCCTTACCCGATTAGGAAGGCAACCTAACCGACGCTAAACCCCACCCCGCATATCCTCCACCTCCGCTCGCACTGCGCCTCCGCGTCCGGATAACGGGGGAATTCACACGACTGGCAGTTGCGCCAGTAGCCTCGGATTATTTCACACTGCCGTTCTGTCGAGGCACTCATTCCTATCAGGTAGGCAGGGGTAGCTAAGTGCACGTAGAATCTCGATGTAGAAGGGATTTCCGCGATAGCGTGGCAAGTCCGGTCCACCATGGAAGAGACTACATTGGAATGATAGGTCGACGCAGAGGGGTCGCCGCCCGTAGCCATTCCCGCGCGACTGAATGCCATGATTGCCGCGGCCCCTCTATACACGGTCGTCGCAAGATTGCGATCCGTCGAGTCACCCGCATTGAGCTGCAGAATCTGGGCTAATGCTCGAGCACTAAGGTCTATAGCGCGGATCCCATTGCTGTCGCGGTGTTTCGCAAGATAAACAAATAGATCGAACGTGTCTGCTGGACATCCGACTGAGTCGAAGAAGCCAGCAGATAAGGTCTCGCGATGCCAGTCCTCGAAAATTAATGGACTTTCCCTGACAAGGGCACCTGTAACATCAAACCATACTAGATAGGCGAGGACATCGGCTAGACCGGATATTTCGCCGCAGAGGTCGTCGAGATCGGCCTTGTGTTGGCAGTGGAGATCTAGGAGCGAGCGCGCGCCTTGGAGATGGCAATGCCAGTTGCCAAAGGATCCGCAGCATACTTCAAACATGGCAAAAGTGGCGATTCCGAAGAGCGCAATTGGGTGTGCGGACTGGATAACCTGGCTCAGGTTTGTCAAGGCCACTAAATGTGACTGGAGGGACTCTTTATTGTTTGCATCCTGGATGCGCGAGCGGGCAAAGCTTAGCGTGCGTGAAATCAGCTGAATTCCCTCTTCTGGGATGTCGCGGCTGCTAGATTGGATTTGTTGGCAGAAAGCGTCCAGGAGGTCGATGAAGCCGTATAGGTTGATAGATGCCGACTTGTAAGATTCAACATTTGGTGTCTCTTCATTGGGGATCTGTGATGAAGTGCCTTTTGGCGGTTTCGGCTCCTTCTTATCATCTACCCATACAACTCGCTGCGGATAGTTGCATGCTTCTCCACCCTGGAGACAAGCTTGACATCGGGGTCGGTTTAGGTCACATTTGATCCCTCGGACTTTACAGCGACCACAGTCTCGGTCATGCCGAATGCCACGGGGCTTTTTCACTTTCATAGTGTGTGTGAAGATACCTGGTTTGGAAGGCTATCAACTAGCCCTGTATAGTGCGGGGGTTACGGACACTTGCCCGATTAGTCTTAGGTGGAGCTCCTTTGGGGTTTTTGGGGTCAATCTTTCATATCTTTAATGTCTGATAAGGGAGGAGTCAGTACTGTATGTAGTGATGTCCCTGGAAAGTGGAATACTCTGTTCAATTCTGGTTGGGTTCAACAAGTGAAGTACAAGCGTTGTAAAGGAAAGTGAGAGACAGTTCCGAATAGCAAAAGGAAACGACAGGCACAGTCATTAATCAGTCGAAAAAAGCAAAATGACCTAGTTAAAACAAAACCTCGCGGGAAGGAAGAATAGGAAAAGGAACGTGAAGGCCAACGAGAGACATTCACCGGCCAGACATCAGCCGAGAACAACAAAATGACCGAACCCAAAAAAGGGCAATTTGGAACGACCGGAGACATAGCCAGACCCAGCGTAAACAAAATGGGAAGGAAGGACATCTATCTAGTATAAACCAGTACCCAGCCAAAGTAAACTTTTGTGAATAGTACCAACAATCAAGACAGTGAGTGATACAGCCCCATGATGTCCTTTACAGACCACTCGTCTTTCTCTTCGATTATGATTCAGTGCTTGCACATACCCGGGCTCCAATTGGGGACCCGCATCATGTTTCGATATGGCTGCTTGCCACGGTCAGATTGCCTTCTGCGTTGCATCATGCGCTCACGTCGATCGCGTCTCTTGGTAGCCGAATTCACTTGCTCTGGCTTCTCCATTGGGATCGCTGCCTGTGCTGATTTGCGGGCCTTCCTTTCTTCTGCGCGTCGACGACGCAGTACAACCTTTCGACGATGCTTTGAAATAACCCGGATGGAGGAAATCTTGGAAACCTTGGAGACCCTGGAGACCCTGGAAAGCTTGGAAGTCTTGGAAGTCTTCGACATCTTGGAAACTTTCGAAACCTTTGAAATCTTTGAGTCCGAGATCTGAGACAGACTCTTTGCCTCTGCGACACTGATGCTTGCATGCAGGCTGCTTCCACGCGAGAGCCTTCTTCTCCGCATTCTCTTCATTTGCTCGATGGCAGCAACCGTCAGAGATCGAGTAGATGCAACGCTTCCACTTTGCATTGATGCAACGCTTTCGTTTCGCAAGGATGCAACGCGCTGGGGCTTTGCAAACGATCCAGGACCATGTGCATGTGGGTAAGGAGAATCGGGCCTTCGAGCGTTCGCGGAGTTGGCCACGGAAAGCGGAGGACTGCCAACTCCGACTGCACCAAAGACCTGAGGAGGAACCGAGTTCTCGAGGCTCATACGTCGTTTCGAGCCAGCCTGGTCTGGGGCTATATCCGGATACTGCGAATTCACGTCGACCACACACATTCCAACAAAAGGTGTCTGGAGGATCGCACTGAAAGGAGGCTGCTCCAAGAAGTGGTTTGGGGAGTCGCGATGGAGCACAGTAGGCAAGGACACAGTATCATGGTGTTGGGCATTTGGCGAGGCGTGTTGTTCGTGACAGTCTTTGGACGAGGCGGCATTACTGGCTGCCACAGAAGAAGCTTCTCGTTCAGAGACACTCTGGTGCAGCGAGTCCACGCCATGCGAGCAGTGATGACAGACAACATCATACTCACCTTCTCGTGGTATGAAGGTCATTGACGCCGGGTACATTCCCATATACATGTCAGGGGCCCAGTTGCAAATCTCCAACCAAGAAGGCAACTCGTCAAGTGGAATCAGAGGTGTCCAAAACCCTCCAGGGCGCAGAATGCAAAATTTTGGCCGTGGCCGGGCAAGAAAGGTAGGAGGGGGTGGATGCGAAGTTTGGACGAAGACCGGAACTGGGGTAGTATACTGCATGTTGAAGAGACTGGAAGAGTATTGAATGAATGTAGTGGAACAATGATTGTATAAGTAAAAGAGTGTTCGATGAAAGAATGTATGGTCAGAAAAGGAAGAAGAAGGAAAAGAGGAGGGAAAAGGGGGACGATGGAGTTTTGTTGATGTGCAGTGGTTCTGAGGAAGGAGCAACATGACAGGAAGGAACGGGGATGGGCCAGATGTGGACAAACGGAAAGAGCGAAAGAGTCTCATAAAGGAATGGGAGATATACCTAGGTAGTCACTTAATGTGGCTTCAAGTCCTCGATTGATGTCAATTTGGAATGGGTTGGTCCATCTGATTTGTCGCAGGTAAATTCTAAACGGGTTGCTCCTTCGATTCAACAACCTGAAAGATGCGCAGCTTGTTGATTACATCTGCAAGTTTGTATTTCCGTGAAGATTCGAGGGAAATATAAACGTGAAGAATGTGTGATATATTTGAACTGATCCTAAGATATACTCTATCTGAGCTAATTGGTACGCATAGTGCCGGCCAGTGACTGCTGGCAGATAAATGGGAATACTTCAGAAGGGAAGACCTCTATCCAAAGCCGGGGTGTAATGTCCGGTCTTGTCCTGATTGCTAGAGAACATATATACTCAAAGTAAATCAAGGTCAAAGATGCGTCTGTTTGTACATTTATGTGCGTAGTTCGTTATAGGGACAGCCGCACACCGTATTCTTCGAATACTTGTCTTGGTTTCCCATCGTGCCACCTAATGAGAGTGACTTCCTGGTCAAGTTGACTCAATAAATACTACTTGGGCATATGGTACATGTCTATGTAGGTAACTAGTTAGGGCTATTTTCTCATTTACACTTCCAAGCTTCGTACTTCAGAACGTTATCTTATCTTATCTTATCAGCACTTCCAAGCTATCAGCTCGGAGGCAAACGACATCCGAGGTGCTACTCTGGCAACCTAGCGTTGCACGCAACTTCTCCTCAGACTCTTCCCTGCTTATCTTCATTCCCTCCTCAACCCCATTCCTCCACAATTTCAAACATTTACCAGCAAACCCCGAATCCATCATGACGACCCTCACAGACCCAACCAACGCCACCCGCGCAACCCCGAACATCCCCATCGAGAAAGCAACCCTCCACATCGGCAGCTCAACCTTCATCAGCGCGCCCTCCCAGGAAGTCTGGGCCGCACTCATAAACACCTCAACCTGGCCGAGCTGGAACGCCTTCGTACCACGCGTAACCATCCGCTCCCAGCCAGACCCAGACCCATCCCCATCCACCTCCGCACCGGACCCAACACCAACACCAACGCCGGCACCGGCATCAACCACCCAATCCTCAAACACAAACCTATCCCCAATCCTCCAAAAAGGAACAAAATTCACCTTCCACGTCCGCATGGACCCAACCTCCACCAAGCCCCAGCCTTCAACAGACGTACACCTCCTCATAAGCGAATTCAGAGCGCCGAACGCAGACACCGGCGAAGAAGGCCGTATCGTTTGGCGCGCTGACCCCGATGCACCGGGTGCGCTTTCGCCATCACTTTTGACAGCTGAGCGCGTGCACGAGATTACGGCTGTTGAGGGCGGGACGGAAGTGCGGAATTGGGAGGCACAGGTTGGCTGGTTGGTCTATGTGGTGCGGTGGATGTACAAGGCTAAACTGCAGGCGAACTTTGAGATGTGGGTTGCTGATTTGAAGGGATTTGTTGAGGGTGGCAGCAAGACCGGTTCTTCTTGATGAACTCGGGTTGAAACAGTTGCCCTGCGAGCTGGGCTGTTCACTCGTGATGTAGCCGCTGCAGGATCCTACTATCCACTACCTTCCGAGTGTGCAAGGGAGCAAAAAGTGTTTTCCTAATTAAATGCATTCCTTATTATGCTGCGATCGAGATTGACATGGTAGTCGTCTGCGTCCTTACTACGGACGAAATGGAAATTGGATAAATGGCAAATACAGTGGGCTTTGGTCTTGTTTGAAATATTCATCTGTTACCCAGATGTTAGAATAACAACATTCTGTTCTGTTCATCGATAACCTGTCGACGATGACCGTAACGCTTGGTTTGAAAGCATAAAACCTGTCAGCTCGCAGACGGGAATCCAGCATCAGTGTGATTATTTGAATGGGATATTTCTTGCTAACACCACATACTTGGAGGACAGGACGGGGATTGGGTTGAGTATTTCCATTTGAGTAGTCGACATACTTGTGGCACAGTTGTCTTTGTGAAAATGAAAGATAGTATCTAGCTAGGTAGTGACCACATAGTTACCGTGCTGCCTTTACTTGACTGACACTCATACACAATATTGGTATGGCGGAATAAGATAATACTTGACGTGAAGAATTGAAGCCACAATAGGCCCTAGCCAGTGAATCCAATGATACGAGGTAAAATGTGAGCCGACCAGAGCACCGAAACTCCTTGCAGGGTTCCCACCTATAAATACCAAGTCTGGTGAACCTTCATACTACTATTGCCACATGTATCGATAGAGTGGTATACTCAATTCCGACATCCATCAACTTCTTGGTAGTGTCCTTGGATGTCTTCTTAGAGATTTCCTTGTGGCTTTAATGCTCTTTTCCTTCATGAGTGGTATATCTATACATGTAAGTATACGAGATCAATTAAACTCAAAGCATCTTCGGAACCTTGGCACCTTCCAAGTTTGGAAGGCACATGTACCCAGGCAGGTGCCTTCCTCCTTAGGACCATAGGGGTTCTTGCAGGGCTGCTGAACAAGCGTGTAAAGGATTGCTGCGCTGAGCGCCTTATGGGCCGTGGGATACGGGAAGAAGACGATGAGACACTTGGTTATGCTTCAAGTCACCTTCAACAACCCCTTCCGGACCAAAACAAACGTTATCAGGATGGCCGATGGCAAAGAGGCTATAACGACTGTGACAAATGGCTTTGTAAGGAACCCTCGAAAGCTTCAAGCAATGCAACCATTCATCACGTGCTCAAGACGGCAATCGAAGGACCAGGTACCCCAAACGAATTCAGAAACGCTGCAACCACGTGTGGTATCAGAATTCGCAATCTCGCAGGCGAAGAAATGCCGACAGCCGAATCATGAGGATTTTGCCGTCGTGGATTTCACATCTTACTCGCATTTCGCTCGCATCGCTCTTACTTTCTTCTCATCATGACCCCACTCCTATTACCGAGCACGAAAGCCGGCTCTCAGTTTCTTACACAGCTTTCAATGCTATAGGGACTCAACGGACGAGGTATGATGAGTTGCAGGGACTGGATGTGAGTGATATTCCATGTGTTGTGATGTTGATTTCGCTGATTCGGACTGGATCATGGTACCAGGACACAATGTATTCGACAACTAGAGACCCATGGCATCAAACCGCACGTCATGAACTGGATCCGAAACGTATCCGGTCGGGGAGGCCGCCCTGGCAATCGCATTATAATCGTCTTGATCGGACACGGTGTTGAGGAAGACCACGCTGTCACGCTGTATCCTCAGCACACAGAACGCGAGTTTCCGTCTAAAGCCGAGACGATTGCGGCCCTCTCTATCTTGACGCCTAATGTCCGCCTTCTGATCGTCAACGAGGCTTGTTACTCCGGCTCCTGGGCCACGATAGCCCCTGATCTAGGCGCCCAGCAAGACGTGCTTGTTGAGACAGCAGCCACCGTCGGTGAGAAGCGTGGGGCTTGTGGGTATTGATGGGTCACTGGGAGAAACATCGCCATGAAGGGCTAACTATTACTATTCCGGTGGACGGATGAGAAATAGTACTGTCGGCAGATGAATTTCGGCGGACAAGGGAAAATCACGCCTTGCAATTCTTATGTATCATGCACCTTCCCCGTCAGTTCTTCTATCCTTTTCATCAAATTTCATCCAGAAGAACCTTTTTCTGGGGGAATATGACAGTGAAGTGTCCCGTTCTCTGGGAACCGCCAAGCCTTCCTATAGTGGGCCTCCAGGTGGGTCAGAATCTCATCTGTCAGGTATCACCTGAGGATGGAGGGCAGACACAGTCCTAACTGAAAAGTGGAATTTGCCCCGAGCACACTTCCACACTTCCTCAACTCTCCTTATCCTCTACTCTTGTTACTGGTTATTAACGTCTATTATTCTAAACTATTGTTACTCTACCTGAGAATCAACACGGTACCACGAGATGTCACTCTTGAATGAAACACTGATATCCTCATGCTCTATTAGGTATTATATGATTTGATTTGATTAAATATGACGCCCATTCTTCCAATATGCAAACAAAATGTACCCTGATACCATATACCATACATGTTCCGCCAAACTCCATCTAGTATATGGACAATGCAAAAAAACAAATAACCAAAAAAGTGTCCAACAAATCCCTTCCAACATCAACTAGACGCAAGCTCAACCCACTCCGGCGTCGAAATCCGCATCGCGGGATCCTTAACAACAGCCGGCTTAACAATACGCTCAACAAACCCATTTCTCGGCACCCGACTCCCACTCATCCCAGACCTCGCAAAATCAACAATCTGATGCCCGGCCCTCGCCATCTCCAGCCTCAACCGATGATTCATATTCGGATAAAGCAGCAAATCCCCCGTCGCAGCAGCAAGCAGCGTAGCCGCAAGCGAGAAGACATCCGACGCCGGTGTCGGCGCCATCTCCGTCGACGTAAGCGAAGCCAGCATTTCCGGCGCCGTGAACGGCGGCGTGAACGACGACATCGACGCGCGCGTCGTATCGGGCGCCTCCGCGTGGACGGGGATATCCACCGTCGCGGAGAAATCGGCGTACAGAGGCTCGAACGGGAAAGCCGGCGCTTCGACGCAGTCGTCTGTGTCGACGGGGCGGAGGAGGATATTGTGTGGTTTTATATCGCCGTGTACGACGGCGGCGACTTGGTGCAGCCAGTTCAGGCCGGTAATTAGTCCGCGCGCGAGTTCTTGGTACGAGGCTGGGCCTTGGACTGGGTCGAACATTGTTGCTGTTGTGTGGTGGGTGCGTGCTTGCTGGGATTGGTCTTCGATGTAGGATGCTAGTGAGGTTGGGATGGCGGACATTACTAGTGCGCCTAGGTCGGCGTGGTAGCCGTGGAAGGGGACGATGTATTGTTCGTGGCCTTGGGTGAATGTGAGGCGGGTTAGGGTTGATGCTTCGGCGTTTAGGACTGGGCGCGCATCGCGGCGCAAGGGTGCTTTCACGGCTAGCACTTGCGATCTTGAGGTTGGGGAGCTTGGGGGTGTGCCTGGGGGGTTTGTTTGCGCGTGTGGTAATGAGTGCGCTTTGTATACTATGCTCCAGACGCCGCGGCCGAACTCGAGGGAGTGGTTGTTCTCGTCGCGGCAGATTTCGAGGTCGTCGGTGAACTGCAGAGTGCCGACATTGTCCTTGGAGGCGGATGGCGTTTGCGCTGCCTTTGGGTCTTGGAATGGACTTGGAGTTGATCTCGGGGGCCTTTCTTTGGCTATAGGAGTCACTGGTGGCGTGAGACTCGACGGGACTTGAGTAGATAGTGGGCTTTTGCCCTGGGTTGTCTGGAGCGACAATTGAACTGGTGGGTTGGCCATAGTTCCAATGTGTAATATCGAGGGATTTGCGAGCAGATCAGGGTCTATATGACGGGGCAACAAGGCAAATGAAATCGGGTTGATATCAATAACGCCACCGGAACAGTTCGCGATAGGCAATTAAGCCTCACCCACGGTTGGACTGATAATGATGACGGAGTGGCGGACGCACGTTCTGATGAGATTGGGTCTATAGGCATAATATGGACAAAGAATAACTGTTGGGAAATGGCCATCATAAAAGGAATCTAAAAAGCAAAGAAAAATAAAACAAAACCGGCCCACCGGTCTCGAACATAATGTCAAAAAAAAAAAAGATAATCGACAGTGACAGTAAAATACTACGGTGACAGTTGCAAACGGGAAATTAAAAATCTGGAGAGTTCGGGTGCTGCCGGTCTTCATTTTATTTTAAATTAAAGAGATGTACCTAGTATGGATTTATTATACGAGTTATATAATTTCAGCTAGATAGGCTAATTAAGTTAGTTAACTTGATAAAATTACTTCTAAAGAGTAGATAGGTTAGTTAATAGGTTAGTTAATAGGCTAAAGCAAATAGGTGTAGCCAAATGCATCCTACCTATGGGGTACTCCGCATGCGTCTCAACGGTCAAGTCTTTATAATTTTATTTTTAGTGTTATATCTGTGTTTATTTATGTTTACATCCGTAGTTTATGTCGATATTTGTATTGTCATTGACTATCTAATGCCAATCTTTACTCAATGCGCTTTATTACAGTCATTTCTACACTCAACGCGACATCCAATCCTTTGGCCTCGTGTTCCATGCACATGCAGAATACATACTCCCAGTCAGATTATCAATTACATATTCCCATTAAAATTCTATTTTGTACAAAATACTAATATACACAGTGATATACACGGCCCTATCTGAGCCTCTTGTTAAGTAACTCCTCGCCTAGCTGGGCCTGGGTCATTGTCCCGCCTAGAGCTCGGCTGAAGGAGATTATATCGAGCTTCTCCGGTAGCTTCTCGTACTTGATCGCAACATCCAACAGGGTTGCCGCGGAAGAGATGCGGAGTCGAACACCACTCAAATCATAGTCCACGTTATCCTGGTAGGTGAAAGCCGGGTCGGACGTCGAACCCTCCGGCAAGGGCATTGGCCCACGCCCAGGCTTGAGTCGTCTCTCGGCGAAGCTGGCAAGGCTTGGAATATCCCGCACATGACTATTGATACTCTCGGCTGGGAAAAGTGTTTTCAAGAATTCGGCGACTGGCATCGTGCCACGAGTCCCTACCACGGCTAGCATTGAAAAATACCGGTCGAGGACAAGTTGTACCATTGCGCCTGGGAGGTCCAATGTCTTCTTCAGAACGGGCGGGTTGGAATCTGGTTCGAAATATATGACTGCCCGCCCGTCCTCGCGAGGATAAGTCTCATCGGGATGGATGTATAGGGGTTCAAATGGTCGTTGGTCATGTGTCAGGCCCGCATCAACAAAATGGTTGGCGAGTCTACCCAAGCGGGCATCATCGATTGTATGTTGATGTTTTTCTAACATAGTGTGGTGAATGCTTGATTTTAAAGTGGCATAACTCGACTTGAGCGATACCATACGATCTTCTAGAGCCTTCAGACTCTCAACACTCTCCTTGGGATCCGCAGCCGCACGTGCAAATGTCCAGCCCACTTGGTCCTGCTCAAGTATTACGTCGGCAAGCTGTTGGCGGAAGTAGCTCGCTGAGTTGTCCCTGGCAAGCTTTGACCATGCTAATGATCGCTTTCGAATTATTGCTTTGACTTTGGGGTCTGCGGTGTCGGTGCACGAATCAAGACCCAGCTTATCTGCTGCTGCGATATCCATCAATTGCTTCTTGTGCATCTGAGAAAGCACTCGAGGTTGATACGGTCGCTCAACTCTCGAAGTTCGGTAGGGAATGTGTGGCACCACTTCCAAAGGAGGAAACTCTCTGGTGGGTGGAGTGATAATGTTATTTGCTGCAGCTCTTTCAGCCACACGCTCCCTGATCTTGTTCAAGTCATCCCAGCCCCGCCATTGATGGGACCGTTCTTCTTCAGCGGGACTGGCAATCTCTATGTTGTGCAAGCCTATGGTCTCCGCGAATACGCCAGTTCGTGTGCGCTCCCCAGTGGACCGCGGTAACATATCCGAGACTTCGCTGGAGGGCATTGTAGCAAGAACTCGTACGGCCCCGTACAAGTTCACATCTTTCTGTTTTAAGCAACTCTTCATGTAGTTGAGAAACCAGCGGCTGGGTTTGAAGTGATCCATTCCAGATTTAGCAGCAGGCAGATTAGCGAGGATGAGAAGGGAATCATTCTTTGGTATAATAGCTGAGCACTCTCGGTTCCCACGGCCTTGTTCTGGAAGATGAGTTGCGAAGAAATAAGACCAATCAAATTTCCCATAGATGGGTTCATCGACGAGCTTATAACACGGGTTGCTCTGGGCGAGCGGTTGAAGGAAATTGTTGAAACGAGGATCGGGTTCAACAAGGACATGACGGCGTGGCTGAAGAAGTTCATTCACTTTAGATGACATGAGACCACCCCCAGGCCAAAGGTCCAGAATGTCTAGCGGTTGGTTTCGGCGGAGGTAGGGCGATACGCGCTCGAGGACATTATCTGCCGAGTCCAAAGTAAGTTTGTAGCCATTATCAGATCCGAATCTCAAGACTTACCTATTAGCCCTTCACTCACGTACTGTGTTCGAGGCTTGTTTTTCCCGCGTTGTTTGGATATCAATGGGTAAAGCTTCGTCGTCAACGGAAACCGCGCCACCGGCTTTCGAGCCATGGTGCTTTTTTTTTTCGTTATTTAAGATCTGGTAAATGCCATAAATTTTGAGTATGACATCAAGGGGAGAGAATACCAATTGAAGGAGATAGAGGGTGGTAGAACTTCCGCAATTTTTTTTATTTGGAGCGGAGAGCGGAGAGACCTTGGGAGCTTGCCGCTCTCATCCCACCTCTTCTCCCCTCACCTTTATCTTCGTCGCCTAGATGAGGCTCCCACAGTTGCCGCTGGTCTTTCCAGGTTTCGGAAATTCCTATAATCTCACTATGCTATTTGACGTTTGATCTACAGCTTCATCATCTTGGTTTCCTAACGCCTACCCTTTTCTTAGCGCGCCTTTTCGCCATGCCTTCCAATGTGACGGGCGGTGCCACTGGAGCTACTGCCCCTCAGAGCGTTGAGCATATTACGCGGATAGCACAGAACTACGAGTACAACTCCTCTGTTCCATTACGGTATTGGCTGAGGACCGCCACAACGCTTTTACGTGAGGTTGGTTATACCTGTTGCCTTCACTTCAATCACGAATGCTTCCAGACTTTCAGACTTGTTAACTTTTCTTAAATTACTAGGCCCGCATATATGAACGCGAAGGACACGATGAGCAAGCCTATCTCATTCTATTTCGACACGCTCAGTTGATCCTGGTCCATCTGTCTAAGCACCCCGATACCAAAAAGAACGAGGAAGATCGCAAGGCCTTGGTGGCAGCCGAGAAAGAGGTTGAGAAAAACCTTAGCAAGCTGGAGATTCTGAGGCCGCGTATCAATAAGCGATATGAGCGTTACACTCAGTTGATGCGCGAGCGCGAATCTCGGAAACAGCCCCCACAAACCAAGATTGTCGCCGAACCACGAGAACAAGTCGCCGATCCCGCTCTTGCCGGCGTGGCAGAGCCTTTGGAAGCTGGGGAGAATCGAGATCTTGCCGTGCAGTTAGCTCAATCAGAGCTCAACCGCCGAGCCACCGTCCGAGACTCAAAGAGTCTTTCTGGGCCATCTGCCGAAGAGCTGGAAACTCGTCGCGCAGCTGGTGTATGGGGGGACTGGGACCATTCTATCAAATCGGAATCCCGCGCGGGTGATGGCGACCTCGGTCAACGTGTTCAGAATATCAGGGCCAATCTGGATCATGCAGATGAATCTTATGGTCAACTTGCGAAAGAGTCCGTGGTTCCTTCGTCGGCTGCTTCTGCGTACAATTATCCAACTGTGCCACGTCAGAAGCCACTGGAGCCCACTGTATCTCCAGGAAATATTGCCATTCTCGATAAGAACGTCGAACGCCAGGCACCTCCGATATTGCCTCCGAAGCAGCACCTTGAGCCTAGCCGGGCATCTATTGTCAATGATTCTGCAACAGCTTTAGCGCCAGCGCGGCCAGCCAAAGTATTGCCAGGTCCGGCGCTGCCTGAGAAGATCCGACCTTCCGAACAGACAACCGCTACGCGCTCAGATCTCGATCCCTCGAGTTACACCTTCAAACCCTCCGCCTATCTCGAAAATGGCACCCCCCTGCGCTCGGTATTTTTACCAGCGAACCTTCGATCCCGCTTCTTATCTCTGGTTGCTCCTAACACCCGCGCTAACCTTGAGACATGCGGTATTCTGTGTGGTACCCTTGTCTCCAACGCGCTCTTCATATCCAAGCTGGTCATCCCCGAGCAGACATCGACATCAGACACCTGTGAAACGCTTAACGAATCCGCTCTTTTCGACTACTGTGACTCGGAGGATTTGATGACACTCGGCTGGATCCACACACATCCGTCACAGACTTGTTTCATGAGCTCTCGTGATCTACACACGCACTGCGGGTTACCAAGTGATGCTGCCCGAGAGTATCGCCATCGTGTGCGCTCCCAGTAAAAGTCCCGACTGGGGTGTGTTCCGACTGACTGATCCTCCGGGTCTAAAGTCAGTTTTGAACTGCCACCAGACGGGTCTGTTCCACCCACATGCCGAGGAGAATATCTACACCGGGGCCTTGCGGCCGGGACATGTCTTCGAAGTCAGTGGGTTGGAATTTGAGACGGTGGACCTTCGTCCGGGTGCCTTAAAGAACTAATTGCCTTGCGTTTTTGATTACTCGATACACACTAAGATACCATCATCGCATTGATCTGGTTTTTTTGTGACATTTTATATCAAGGGTTTTCTCTAGAGGGTTGGCGTTGCCAATTATGCCAATAGCGTTGAATCTAGCTATTTGCATCTGTTTCCAATTGAAATATTTTCTTTGTAGTGTACATCAAAGCCATGGGCACCTATTTGATAGATTATGGCTGGATCTAGCAAAGTTCCGCCTTGACGAACATTTATCATCTCAGCAACACGAGTGTACCTAGATACTGTCTAGCAAGTCAATTGCTAGTCATATATCTCTTTGATGTAAATCCATTACCTACCAATATAGGTAATAGCCAAGAAGTTCTCTCGTAATCATGCCACGCCTTACAAGGATGCCCAGGTGCGACAGCTTGGCTCATTTTCCCCACATAGATAACCTCAAACTTCCACTCCGCATACTTCTCTACTTTCTCTACTCTTCAACATTCAATTGGTTTCAAATTGCTCGCATGTCGTCCACGTCAGAAAATATCCCCTCCGACACCCCCACCTCCTCCACCTCCACGGGATCAGCATCCCAACCCACCGAAAAACCACCCTACCAATCCGCCTCCTACTCCTCCTACTTCTCCTACCCAGTTACCCACGTCGTCTCAGGACTCTACCGCCGCATAACAGATCCAGACCTAGCCAAAGAAATGCCCTCCGCCATGCCATGGTCACGGTCCTCCTCCTCATCCGAAGTCTTCACACCACGCAGAACAGCCTCACCCTTCCAACCACCACCGCTCACACCCCTCACCCTCGAAATCCCTACAGGAGCAGACCTCCTCCAGCAGCAGCTCCTGACACGCGCCCTGGCAGAAGAAATCCGACTACTAGTACCACCCCGCCTCCAACTCGCCGAAACCTGGCGTCTAGCCTACAGCCTAGACCGCGACGGCGCCTCCCTTTCCACCCTCTACGAGAACTGCGCCCAGTTCTCGCACCGCAGCCCGCGGGCGGGCTACGTCCTCGTAATCCGCGATTCCTCCCCTTCCAGCTCCGTCTTCGGCGCCTACATGACAGACGCCCCACACCCGGACTCGCAATTCTACGGCACGGGCGAGTGCTTCCTCTGGCGCGCCAGCGTGCTCCCACCCCGGCAAGTTTCCCCCTCGCCCTACCAGGCGAAGGGCCACAGTCCGAGGAAGCCCTTGAGCGCGCTGGCCTCCCTCCTCCCCCCTCCGCCGATACCACTACCGCCGGGCGCTGGAGTACCCTACGTAACGACAAGTCGAAACCCCCGCGCGCGGAATCCCCGGCTCACAATCTCAATATGAATATTAAAACCAATCTCGCGGCTGCGAGCGGTGGAGTCCTGGCGCCTCCATCGCCTTCCTCCATTCATACCCCTTCGCGGAGTGGTGCGAGTACCCCCGAACGCATTCGTTTCAAGGCTTTCCCGTACAGTGGGGTTAATGATTATATGATCTTCTGTGAAACTGGATTTGTCAGTCTAGGAGGCGGGTAAGTGGTTGATGTTTCTGGGAGAACATTGTTCTCGGCTAATATATTGGATAGTGACGGTCACTACGGATTGTGGCTTGACAGCAGTCTTGAGAAGGGTGTCAGTGCATCCTGTCAGACCTTTGGCAACGAGCCTCTCTCGGATGAAGGAGTCAAGTTCGATGTTCTTGGGGTGGAGGTGTGGTATGTTGGTTCTTGAACAACTGCATATGTACAGCCTGACACCTTGCACTGGATGTATAAAGCGCCTGCCTGTGTCAGGGGGGATGTACGTCTTGAGGAGGAATTATTTCGATATAGACAGGGCCGACTGGTGCGGACTTTGGCATTCTTCGAGATTGAATATCCGGATACCTCAGAAAAATGGTCTTTGGGTTTATCTAGTTCATCTTAATAGCTCTTCAAATACCCAGATGGCGATGTGGTGCTGGCCTCTCTGCATTGTTAATTCTGCCATCTGCCTTAATTTACTGTCTGTTTCTTGTGTCTCTTGCCTAATAAGGTCTGTGTCGTGGCAAAGAGAGATACTAGGGCATGAACAATTTTACACGAACAGTTCTTTTTTTCTTTTTTTTTGTCTTTTGCTATCGTTACATACAAGCTAGTCTTTTTTTGTGTTTTTCAAAATCCCTCCATATCACACCCTCCAAGACTCAAAGACATATCCAGATTGAACGAGGTGTTCAAGCTGTAAAACTCCATAAGATTCTCTTTCCTCGTTCCCTATCATCTCCCCCTTTTCTTCGGCTTTTTCTTTTTTCTCTTTTCAGATTTTCCTTAGCTTTCCCTCAGGTCGGCTTTCCACGATTCTCAAGGTGAGATGGGAACTTGAACGTCGCACCCTCACCTCTTTGAAGACGCCGCGTCATACTCGCAATACGTCGCTGTTGCTCAGTATCACGCCCCTGTCCAAAGACTGACTGCCTTGGTGTCTGACGGCCGAGCTTGTAGTCAGCCCATCGCAGCTCCTATGGATATCACATCAGTAATCATTCAAATCGACCCCAGGATAAACATAAGCTTCATACCTCTGGTGAGAAGGACTTGAACTTCTCGTGACAGCAGATTGAATAGTACCGGTTGTACATAGTGGCACCATTATGATCTTTCTCCTCCCAATACGAATTCCTATTGAATCAAACCATGTTAGCCACTTTCCCACACAAGAATTCAGAATAAGACTGTATACTTACGCATCGTGGCTACTGGTATCTGGCGTACCGAATAGACCAGGTCCAGCACGGGGCGAATAGAACGGGCTAGACGTAACTGTCTGAGGGAGCGGAGGTGCAGGTCCAGCGAATCCAGGTACGCCGGAAGGGGCTGGAGTGGTGTTCGCAGTCGGGACAGATGCAGTTGGAGCACTCACGGTCCCAGGATTCATTGTACCGGGATTCAAGCCGAATGGACCACTCGGGCAAGGCGGGGGTGGGTTCTGCATGTCTGGCGCCGGGCTGGATGGCCACGAAATTTGATACCGGGGCGTGTTGTTCTGGCCTTGGACTCTAGAATCCACACACAGTACGCCGAAGGGGTTGGCAGATGCGCCATTGCAGATGATCCCTTGGGGGGTAAGGTAGGGTTGGAGAGATGAACGCCCATGAGCTGAGGGTAAACCGGGTGGCTTGATTGCTCCGGTAGATGGCGCAATCTTGAATTGATCCAATGCTCGCACGGCGGTTTGCAACAGCTGGAGCTCATCACCCAGATTGTGTCCCTGATTCTCCACGCCATTGTGTACGCCTGTGAAAAGGTCTTCGATTTGGCTGTCCTCCATTTCGGTGATTTTCCGCGTGGTCAAGAGGTCGTTCAGAGGGTCGAGAAGGCAATTTTCGATTCCGAGGGTCGTAATGTTGTCCATGAAGATCCCTAGAGTATGCTGTTTCTCGTCAGTATCTTGCAGATGGTAAGACTTTATGGTCAATGATTGGTTCTCCTAACTCACGTTGTAATATGCTTGGAACTGGTCGATGATGTCCGAAGCGATGAATGGGTTGCTTGATGACTCCATGTTCTGAGTAGCCGCCTGGAGCTCTCCCATAGTGTAGTTAGTACTGAAAGACGAAGGAAGATTCTGCTGTATGTGGGCCAGCACGCGATCGTTCCTGGACTTCTGCATCTTAGCAAGAAAGCTTCGATCAAGAGGCAATGGATGACCTCGAAGAAAGCTCCGACTCAGAGGCAATGCATGGCCTCGCTTGTGGGCAGCAGTCAACTCAAGTACCTTGCCCAGTAGACTGGCAAGCATCCTATCGAACTGAGGTTGAATGACAGTTCGCATTATCACCGCAGACATGTGTTCATCCGTAAGATGATCCAACAACAGCGACACGAATTCCCGGGTTGTCTCCCATAATTTCTTTACATGGGCTCGAGCAATTTCCGCCCAGGGCTCCGACTGGTCTCGAAAGAGGTTGGCCACCACTAGCTGACTGGTGTTCCCTGGGACTTCAAGTCCTCTTTCGCGGCACATTAGTTCAAGGACATCGAGTTCGAACTCCAAGCGGCTCTTGTGAACCGGCTGTCTGATATTTGCATAGGGGTTGGAAGGGTGTAGCAACGAAGTGATCTGATTGTTGACTCCATGGATGAATTGACGACAGCCGGCAATATCCATAACATCTGCGAAATCCTCATTCAATGCACGGATGATAGCACGCAGACGGCGAGGGTCACGAGTCGTGAGTTGGTCATCATCCACTTGGGTAGCAAAGAAGTCGTCAATGTACATTCCATTCAAAGCTTGCTCGGTTATGCGGTGGAAATCGCTACTCAAGTTGAAAAGTAATGCCTTCTGTTGATCAATCGTCTCCTGAGGAGTGCGCAGCTTAGCCATATTCGATTGGATCTTCCGAGTCCTTTGGTTGATTTCAGAAACCAGTCTGGGGAGGCTTCTTTGAACGTGATTCACAAGAATGGTACTGAGTCGACTGCGCAGGTTGCCAGTACCAACGGACTCTCTTGGCACGGTTTTCCAGTCTCCTCGCTCGAAGAACTCCTTCTCCTTCTGATCTCTCTGTTCGTCTGGCACATCATGGGTCTCGGACGATCGGGTCCACACCAAATGCAAGCCCAGTGGCTGTTGCGATATTTCTTCTTTGACAGCCATCTGCCATAGCTTTTCCTCGTCGGACGATTCCTCGAGTGTGTCGAGATGGGTGATAATTCCCAAGATCCGGTTTCGTCCTCGATCATACTTGTCCGCGAAATCGTTTATCTTTTGAGGACAAATGTCGATTTTTGCCGATACCACAGCGAGGATGATGGTACGTGGATTCTGCACGTATTTCTCAATTTGAAGACGGCCAGCACACTTCTCCTTGTTTTCATCGTCTATGCCCTCTGTAAAGTAGAGCCTGGGAATATCGATAAGAGTCAGGTTCGGTTGATCGGGGCCAGAAAGCTCCACTCTCATGACATCTTCACTGAATCCGTCTTCGAGAGAGGGTTTGACGAATCCAGTAGCTTTCTCAATCAGCGAGACTGACTGCTCAGCATTGGGGGCTGTGAGCATGGATCCTTTGAGTTCCTGGATGTCTAGCTCGCTTTTGCTCGATGATGGACCGGGTTCAACGCTGACTTGGAAGCGAGTAATTGCATGGCGGCGTAAGGTGATTTCCGTAACGAAGCCATTGTAAAAGTCCTTCCTGACTGGAAAGCGTATGCGAGAGATTGACTCGATAACAGAGCGTTTGGCGTTGGCCTTGGAACCGCAGACAATCATCTGTGGCAACTCAACATACTCGCCAACACCCATGCTTCGGAGTTTGTCGATCGTGTTGAGGAGCAGGGGAATTTGGTCTGGCCACAGCTGACGGGGAGGCCCACTAAACTCGGCTGGACCAGCCATGGTGAGATTTAAATGTAGCAGGTAACAATGAAGATAGAACGACTTCTGTGGTTGATAGAAAGAAGAATGAAGGATATGGGATGGGAAGAAGGAAGAAAGAAGAAAGAAGAAAGAAAAACAGACGAGTCGCTTTTATATTCATGTAGCAAACAACGGCCTTAGGCCATGTAAACCTCAATAGCTGCAATCACCGCGGCGACAGTGGATGTTTGCCCCGACAATATCATCATGTGCCCCCCAACGACATCATGGACATGTGCCCCAACGACACTATGGACGTGTTGCTATGTGCTCCAAGCGCCTGCACTGCTACCTTCTCTATTGCTACAATATCATTTGGAACACGTATGGTTGGATCTCTTAGCTGGCTATTCAATCATCTACTCTCCAATTATAACGCAGAGGTTACTTGCAATTTTCACCCTATACTGCAATCACTGATGGTGTCCTCGTATTCTCCTATCAGCAGTTCATACTTTGACTCGCAGGTGAGGTACTAAAACAGTCACCGCCCTGGAAAGTGCATATCTGAATAGTCAATCAACTGCATAGGTTGTAGGGTAGATGTTGAACAAAAAGGAACATTGCTGGTAGTAAGATCTACCTAAGAGTTAAAGTACAGGCGTTCACGATGAAACTGCTCGCATTCGTTCATCCCCCAACGGTTACTAAGATTGTGTAGACTTTGAGAGCAGAAGGGATCCAATGACCACGTAGGTATTGCTTTGTCTCTCAGTTTTGCTTGCTTTGTATTCCTTTGTCATCTAGGACTATATGGACCTAGGATGCTTGCTCATGGATCAAAGATCATTGGTAGTATATACGTCTTCTTATATCCTCTATTTTTATATCCACCCTACCTATTAACCCTTGTCCTCGGTAATGATGCTTAAGTATGGATCGACTAGGTTAAACGTTGTTCATTTATCTTCCAGTTAGAGGCCCCAAAGACATCGAGGAGGTCTTGACCTCGGGACACTTTCCATCAACTCACTCGGAGACCTCTCAACCTTGCACAATCTTGAACCACATATATTCACCCGGAGTCACTCGCTGTACACTCAGTATATGGTCACTCTACGCTCACCTTCACCTATCTTCATCCTCACCTATCTTACCACACCCAAACAACATGTGGTTCCAATCACTGTGTGCTTACCTATATGGCATCTATAGCAGAGCATCAATATCAAGCTGGCTTCAAAAAGCAGGACGGGCGTCAGCCAGAAGGCCTTGCTCATCATACATCCTTGATTTACCCATTGAACTGCTGGACCGAATCCTCGAATACCTTCCTGAGATTGACCGAGCTTGTTTTTCTTTGGCCTGCCGCGCATTCTACTGCACCTTCAACTCCACACTTCAAGCCCCCGGTCTTCGCATCTACCGGCCACCGCAGGATTTGCAATATCTTGTTACCTGCGACTCGTACGGGGGATACAGAGCCGAGTTTCTCCGTCGTCTCGTGAGTTCACATTTGTCTTACTGTCAGGTCTGCTGGTATTTACACCCTTCGAAGTCAAAGTCTCGATGGTCTTCCTTTCTTCGTCCGCTTCTGCACGCCAACCCCACATCCTGTGGATACATCGAGAGGTCTTTGCAGTTATGTCCCTGCCTTACTCTTACCCCAACTGATCAATATCGTATTCTCAAATACTTGCAAGGGAAGGAATACGAAAGCCATACTTCGGATCCTATAGATAACCTACACTTCGACCCTCAATCGCAGGAAACCAAACGACTCCTCCATCACATATGCCGGAATACAGACCACACTATGATAGACATTTCAACCACTATATCCCTCTGGTCACAGGAAAACGACTTGGTCGTAAAATGGGACTTTCATTGTAGGGTGTTCACCAGGCAGTCCTTTGCTGATACGGATCTTTATCAATCACCACCCTTCCATATCTGTCCACATCTGAACTTGGTTCAATGGCTGAGGCAGTTCGAAGACCAGTTTGAGTCGATAGAGCTGCCGCCCAATACGCTGGAAATGTGCCAAATATGTGGGGTGCGATTGACGCGGTTTCTACGGGTTTTAACGGTGAGGACGTGAGAGTTGACTATACAAGACCTACCTGCTAATTATTCCTAGGGACAGGGCACATGCATTTCCGTGTCCGGTTTGTGCGCGAAGACGGTGAGTTGCACTATGACCTACCACATAATCTGGCTAATAATCATCTGGTTGAAATAGGTATGTGGTGACCTGGGATTGCGGGACAGCAGTTAGTTGATAGCTATATCCAAGAAACCATACCTGTTTACGTTAAGGGCTGGTTTTGTTCACGGGATGATACTGGGGAGAATCCGATCCCGGGAAAGCGTTGGCTCCATAGTTCAATATCGTGGTGCATGACGGGTCTTCCTCCCACAGCGAGTATCATATGGGATGCATGGATGTTGGTTTTCAGAGGATGAGATATTGAATCAGTTAGAGGTTCAACAGTTTCGCGGATGAAACACAAATTTGGATCTTACTATGGAGCTGTATTTCTTTTTTCGGATCGGATGTGTATGTCAGTCATGATTGAATTGTATACAATGATTTTGATTTTACATCATAGTCCAGTCGCTGGCCGTGTTTCCCAGGTCGAAATCGATTGCCCAAGACATTAAATCAAAATTCTCGTAGTCGTCCAGATTAATAGCACCAATCTCCCCGTCTCCACCAGCGAAGGAACTGTCAATATCAGGGGTCAGGACTGACATCGGGCTCACGCCAGTGCTTGTCGCGACATCGGGAGTTGCCTGAAACTTTGATGTCGCAAACTTGTCCAAGATCTTGTCCAACTTCTCCGTGATGGCTTTTGCAGCCTGCAAACAGAATGCTTGATTTCTTTCCCGGGAACTGGCCACACTTTCAAGTTGCGATGAAAGTACAGAAAGATTCCGGATCACAGCCGACGTCTTTATACTAGACGGAAGGATTCTTGAAGGACCTTGCGTAATATTCTCGAGTGCAGTCGAAAGGACTGCGGCAGAAGGCAAGCCGCAGGACAGAAGCTTCACCCTGTCAGCTATGCAAAAAAAAGGGGAATGGGACGGTAAGGGAGGGGAGTACGTACGATTTCAGGCAAATCATTGAAGGTAAAGGCACCTTTTCTGCGAGAAATTCCCATTTGCACAACCGTCTCCAGTATGTTTGCAGACACATCAAGCAGCTCGGGAAGCGGAGATGAGCTATCTTCTCCAAGGAGGTGGTATATCTGGAAATGGATTTGGAGGTAGGCCAGATGAATCTTCGCATGCATATAACAAGTGGTAAGAGGCATGTCAGATTCCCAACAATCCTGAGTATACCTCAGGTGGGGAAGCAGGTTATCCCAAGTCTGGCGGCATTGAGAAGACAAATCTCTAATTGGTTGTCAGTGGCCATTCAGCACCGATTGATGGTCCATACCTGAGCTGGACAGAGTCAGCTGTCTGTGATGCTTGAAAATGATATTCCACGATTCCTTCACGAAACTGACTCAAAATATATCGTAGTCGAGCATAGGTTGCTGCCCTAAGTTTCCCATCCGTGTTCCAGCCATCTTCTGTGAGCCGACCTTTTGCTTTCTCTAATTCCTCGGGGGTTTGCGCGAAAATTTCATCATCTGACAAATCAAGGGGGAGCTTGACATCAACATATCGAGAGGTAATGCGAGGTGGTAGATTAAACACCAGGCCGAACATTTTCTCGAGATAATATTCAGTCACAAAGCATCTCCTCCGGCACTCTGCAAGGAAAAACGGCGTTCTCTCGGGGGAATATGTCGCTTCTCTGTTCAAGCCCAGAGCTAATAAATCCGTAGTAAGATCGCCCACCAAACGCCACACACCGAGGCCTGGAATCAATCAGTATCCGACAATCAACAATATTTGCATGACGCGACTCACTCGCATCTCCTTCAAGGAATGATCTGAGCTGCGCATTTTCATTCGCTAACCACACGATAACGTCGGTTGACTGAGGTGCAAGGTCACGAGCTAGTCGTAAGGCCAATGTACTATACCAAACCATGTCTTGGACAAATGCGCCATCCTTATCCTCGTCGCGGTCAACAAAGAAAACCGAAGCACGGGCAGCCATAGTATACAAAAGACCGATAGTCTCGACCCGAAGATTCGCGCCACAGAACAAGGCGCAGAAACCATGCAAGTCTAAGGATGGGGTGATGATGACCTCTGTAGAGGAAGAGAGCAGCACAGTTTCTGATATCTCCGAGATATCGCCCAACTCGACTTGCTCTCCCTTTTCCCCAAGAATATGGCCCGCAGATACCAGATCTGTACGGAGCCTTTCCAGGAGGTGCAGAACGACTGGTTTCGGTACAAGTGCGTTATGCTTAAAAGAGTAGTACTGATGGAGACACTTTGCAATGACTGGGAGGTATCTCAATTGAGACACAATCTCGTTCATGGTGGCTAGATGGGCTTCATAAGCTTTGCTGTCATGCGAGCCCGGCGTGGGTGTCTGTGGCAGCGTGTCAGAGACAGTCGACATGAAAGGCCATGTGTGGAATTTGGGCGGGCCAGCCGCAGACCGTCCAGGATAGGCCTGGCAGCCTTTTACGCTGTTCCTGCTCCATGATGGCGTAGCAAGGTTTGATCGGGGTAGCGTAGAAATGGTCAGTCGTGCACTCCGATTTTTAGATAGAGGTGCGGGATGGTAATAGCATCGAGAGTCGAGCCCACGACGCTGGCAGGAGGCGCAAATTGGTTTGCCATGATCACATCGACTTTTCCTCTCTCTACAAGGTTCACATGAGGCCAGAGCACGATTGCGCCTGGTTGTGGGTGCTGACATGTTCAAAAACCTGGGAGGGCGATGTTGCCTGTATCCCCGTCACGAAACTGGACCCACACTGGTGTGGATTCAGTGCTCCTTCGGACTCGATTTCCAGGTCCACTGGGTTGGAATTGGTATTCTGCGGGTTCAGTGACCTTGTTCAAGTCATTTCGCTTGCTTCACTGATGATATTGAGTCATGAGGAGCAATTGAGAACGCGTCCTCGCTGTCAGAGGCCTACCACGTGAGTTTACCCCGATACAAGTCCGGTAACAGAATTCGTATCGGACTCGTGTCGGCATAGCTGACTTCGTTACATACCGAATAGGGCAGCCCTGATATAATGTGCTTACGAGGCGAAGCTACTGTATCTGAAAAATGTAAAAGTCCATTTCGGAGTCACGAAGTATTCTCCGACAAAGAAAGAATCAATGTCTCTCTTCTCCTTCCATCTCGTCTAACTGTTGAGCAAGCACTTGGCAAGGCCATTTTCCTCCCACGTTCAAACTTTCCAACCTCTTAAACCCTTGAGACTCATAGTATTGGATCAATTTGCCGTCACCACCTGCATAGCAATCTACCCGTAGTAATGAGACTCCAGCCTTGCTGGCAAGATCACGCGCATGGTCCAAGAGGCGTTTGCCAATCTGGTTGCCAGCACATTGGCGATCCGTGACTAGCAATCGCACGTAAAGCTCCGGCTCAGAGACAGGTGTCACATAGGGCATCTTCTCTCCAATAGCAAGCGCACCTACAATGACCCCAGGAGCTTCTCCGTTCATAGTTTGCGGCTCTATACTGGAGAGTCCATTTTGACGTAGAATGGGCGTGTTATTCGCAACGACAGCGAGCCAAAGGCCATGGCCAGTTGTTGCAAATTCTCTGAGTTGCTCGGCGCGTTGTGGATTCTCAGAAAACGGTGCTGCTCCCCACTGCCCAGTTCTGTCGTGCGATACCAGCCATCGGACTGCGGTATCTAGAAGGTGGAGGACTGCCGGAACGGCGTCCACTGTTCCCCGCACGATAGTTATGTCGTGGACTTCATTGTTAATCGTGCTTTATAAATTTTTAGTCAGTATCTGTGAATGGCCTTTTGCTTTTGTTCTTCATTTCATATTGTCCCCTTCTGATCTACCTCTTCTTGGGTAGGCGCTTCGAACAATAACACTTACTTTGATGCCATTTATCCAAGCACCTTGAAGAGAGTTTGTAAGTAACCTCAACAAGCTCAGCTAACTTGAAGTTTGGGGGGGGGATCTTTTGAAGATTACCGTTGCTACATCAGCGGAGATGGTACATACTACTAGTCCACTAGTACGTATCCATGTAAATTACGTCTCCACGGATGCAACGGTGGCTTGACAATGGCGTAACCTCATATTAACTGCTGAATCAGCGTATGGGGCTTCCTGTTTTACTATCAGATATATATACACAACATTGTAGACACATCTCAAGTACCGTGCAATGGTCTCATGGATTTATGAGGTTCAGTGGATAAAACACAAATTCGTATCTTACTATGGATGTTATAAAGCTGTCTGCCTTTTTCGGATCGGATGTGAGTCTTGACTGAATTGTATAAGCTCCTACTAAGCCAAATTGGGTAACTTCCCAGACTTTCTATATCTACTCTCACTCACTTCCATCTCATCAGTAACTTTTTAACATAACACATCTATTTCATTTTCATCATATCAAAATGGAGCACGACTTACTCTTTATCGTTGATACATCAACTTATCGCAGCTGCTATCTACGCTCACTAACCGCATCCCTGCCTGAAGTAATTTCGATTTCCACTCAAACTAGATGCTTTTCACGAATCGGGGTTCTAGCATACCACGGCTATCGCTGCGATAATGTCCTCGAGTGGTCAGGATGGCTGAATCAGGGCGAACAAAGACACTCGCAAGAGCAACAGCCCGATCTAGTCGCTTTCGCCAAAAGACTCCGCGCGAACAAGAACCCCGAGCCCCAGAGCGCTATCAAGACAGCTCTCGCAAAGGCCTGCGAAGTCATGCGGTCGAATGCGAAAACACTAATCTTTCTCTACGCTGACACCCGCCCTATTCCAAACGTGTATTACCCTGGAGATTTCTGCAGTGGACCGATGGAAAAAGCTGCACTATTGGCCCCGGGATCTTACTCTCTGTATGGTTTCGCATGTATTGATTGGGTGTCAGCGTGCAATGCCCTTCGAGATGGACCGAAACAAGCACAGGTTTTTACTGTTCTCCATAAGTTTGTGGGGGAAGCGAATGCTGCCTGGTATATCTACCTGTCTACCAGGACAGACGGAGCTTGTGTGCAAGTCAAAAGCAACCTGAAGGGGGACATTGCAAAGGTGACAGTTGATTTGCTTCTATCATGGACGGAAGTGGAGAAAGGGCCTTCTTCTGTCAAGGAAGGCCAAGAGGATTTTCTCGCAAACCTGTTACGCTATATCTCGGTTACTGAAATTGACAGCATTGAGAATGAGCGGGATAAAAGCACGTTTCCATATTTCTTGTCCGAGATGTGGATGAACATGTATGGCAATGAGAACATCTCTAAGGTCGAGTTGACTACGGATGTCATGAAAGAATATGTTCCCAGGAAGACCGCCCCTATGCCAGACTTTGCCGAAGAGATCACATCTATCATCAACAGTGTCCCTGATACAGAAATGTACCCATGTGCCTTCCTTGACCCTACATTGGACTTTTCCCACAAACGGCATGATTATGCATACGATGGGGCCAACAGGCCTGTCTCATATATGACCCGATCCGAATTTTTGCAAATTGGGCGATCTTGCAACCCCGGTGTCCTTCGGCAGTTTGGTGCTATTCTGACCAGGTTGACTGTGGTAGCATCAGCGCGTGAGATGCCCGACCACATCTCCAGTACTGATGCCGATCATGTGGCCAAGATTCCATTGGTATTGATAAAGGAAAAGTACAATAGACAGTTCTGGAAAGTCCTTTTACACACCATTGAGCCAGGAACAAAGCTGCCGGCTCGATCTGCCGCTCTCCTTGCTGCTCTCAGTCTGCGAATGGGAATCGTGCCGCTGATGAAAGTAGCAGAGCAGGAGATGCTCGCGTTCAAAGACAAATGGAACGACCCTTCGATACCTCAAACATGGACTCTTGGATGCTTGACACTTCTCATTGACGCTGACGAAGCACACCAGAAACAGCAAGATATGAGTTTGACCGACAACCGGTCCCGGATCTTACACCCTACTGACATCACGCTGTTTGACCGTCTGATTACTTTCAAACGTCTAGAACAGCATACTGATGCTCAACTTCAAGCTAGAGTTACGCGGATAGCAGACAAAACAATCGCACCAGTCGGACCACTAGTGACATGCAGAGAGTGTCAGTATCCCCGATCCGTGACCATGATGGGCGCCAATGGAAAATGCGGTCTTTGCCTCGGCTCGTACGAGGAGCAGAAGCACAAATACATTAACAGAGGAGTCTCAGTGTACACAGATGCCACTTCCAAGGCCATCTGGGTCGAATGTTCCTCTCGATCCTGCCGTGCCCAATACGTTGTATATCACCCTGATGGGTTGAGGATGTCTCGTCCCGCGAAATGCTATTACTGTCGAAGCCAAGGCAGCCGGGATAATAGCTCGGACCACGTCACGCAGGATGCGTCTCCTGCCCAACCGTGCAGTGTAATCTGTGCTTAAACCGCATGATCTGGCCCGAAGAATACAGGGCCTCGTTCAAAGAGTCAGATTTCATCTGCCCCCTGTGCACTTCGGGCTATGACCTAACAACAACGCTCGAAGTGACGCCATATAAGCTATTCACCGAGAACAAGTTCTCTTGGCTCGTCCAAGACGCCAATGGCCAGGAAGTATGCTTCCAGAAGGACTTCAACTCCCACATCCGTAGCGAATCCATTTTTCAAATCATTACTAGACTGGGAAGCGAGGGCTTCCTTTCCAGAATCAGGCTTTTCCCTTCATCTGAACCCCAGCTACGCTACGACGGAAAGCCCATCCATAACTCCAAGGAACTGGTCTCAACCCTCCAGAAACTCGTCGCTGACGGCAAAACAAGTGACAATAACTGTTCGCTGTGCTTCGACCAACCCAGAAAAGTTTACCCAGCCTGTGGGCGAGACGGCTGCCCCCAGCGAATGTGCGCCATCTGTCTGGAACGATGGCACAAGTACAACTCTGCAGGCTGTGTGATTAATACTGAGATGCTGGGATGTCCATTCTGTCGCCGATACCCCATCCCTCGCCTATTGGCGAAGTATGGGTTGTTGATCCATTCAGTCAAAGATCTTGATAAAGCAGTCCGTGATAAGGGGAAGTTCATTTACGCATGGTGCTTTGAATGCGCTACTGCCAAGGTGGTGAGGGAGCGGAGCTGTATGCTTGGAAAACCTCTCGAATTGAAGGGATGGATTTGTGATGAGTGCCTCCGTGAGATATTGAGGAAAAGGAGTGTCAACGTAAGCACCGTGATAGAAGACACATAAGTTAGCGAGGACATTGGTCGACGCCTCCGGAATAGGTTATTAATTGTTGGATATTTTTCATTTGCGAATTGTCTGAACTAGCTACCTTGCAGAATAAAATTTGGTTTATGGAGTGCCGCCCTTTAGCTCCAGATTAATATGGCCCAAGAAAAGGAATCTCAATTAAAGAAACAGAGTAGAGAATGTGAAGGCTCCAATATAGAGATCTCCGGCGGCGTCAGAACAGCAAAAACCCCGCAAAGAAATCGCAACGTTGGAAAAGATGGAAAAGCACAAAACATCAGGGGGTATGGGTAATGGTACAAAAATAGAGGGAGGTCCAGGGGCCGATGAGAGACATAGGGGAAAACGGATGTCAAGACTAATAAGGCGAGTTGACAATGTCATCCTTGCCAAGACGACTGCTCCATCCGCTGCGCGCACGCCTTGGTGTGGCCGGGCCAGCGATACTCTCACGAGTAGGCTTCTGAAAGGTACGCTTGGCGACCATGTTGACCTCATTCGGCAGAGCAACGATGACATTCTTGTCAGAACCGAACCGGAAGTTATCAGCCATGACATTCTCGCCATACCGCTTGATAGTGTACGGGTCCTTGCGGTTGGCAATGACCTTCTTCATACTCCATGTAATGATGAAGGGGCCAGTAGCGGTGACGATGCTAGTTTCCGTTGAGTCGACACCAGTGTTGAAGCGTGCCGTGGTGAACGAGAGAGGCTGTTTTGTCTCGTGCTGGAACTGGGCAACGTGTGCGGGCTGCAAGCCAAGACGGCGGGGCTGAGGCTTCGAGTCCTTCGCGAAAGCACGCTCGAATCCAAGCTTGCCTTCGTTCTTTCCTTCCTTCTGCAGCGAATCAATGAGGAGAAGGTAGGTACGGCAAGTTGCCAGCACCCAGCGTCCATCTGCAGATACATCAAGACCGATGATCGGCTCACCGAGAGCCGGGATATGAGTCTTCGCATTGACGCCAAGACGGTCGAACATGCGGATGTCACCCTTGTTGGACGCGACAGCAAGGTATCCCTTCTCAGTAGTAGCCATAGCCGAGAAGTCATTCTTGCTGGCGTACTGCTTCAGATCGGAATCGACAAGCTTGTTTCCAGAAAGACGAGGATCGATGCGGTAAAGGGCGTTCTTCGAGACTCCGACGAATGGCTGCGCGGCGGTCATTTGTGCGAATTTCTGCGTGTTTTGTCAGTTCGTCCAGAGAAAGATTTCAAGACACGATAAATCACTTACATTTTCGGGAGCAAATGTCTCCACGGGAATATCGTCATGGACTTTCCATTCGTCGACGATTTTGCCGTACTCCAGATCCATCTTGTACAGCGAATTGGGATCATCCCCGTTCTGGAGAATCATGTTTTGATCCTCGGCATGGAGCATGACCTTCTTGGGGCTGAAAAGGTTGCCCTTGGGGGTCTCGACCTTTGAAATAGTCGTCGAGAATTCAAGGTTGTTGTGAGCGGTGTGCTTGAAGACACCGATCTTGGATCCGCGCACAACGAATGATCGATCATGCTTGTAACCGACTGCCAATTGCGAGTTGACGTTGCCATCTGCATCGCGCGTGACAACATCTTCCTCTTCTTCATCGCTGTCGTAGTGTTCACTGCGCTGAGCATCGTCCTGGTCGCCATCGTATTCCTCTTCGGGCTCTTCTTCCTCCTCGACTTCTTCTTCGGGCTTGTCGTCGGCATCCTCCATGGTAAGATCCTGGAAGGCATCAAGAACATAGTCTCGGTCATTCTCCTTGACCTTAGTCCACTTCACCTCATTGAGCTGTTCCCATAGCGCCTGCATGAGACCCTCCTGGAAACGTTCTTCCGAGGCTTGGTCCTTGAATCGCAGGAGCCATGAGTAGGCCGAACCATCCTCACCGTAGTGGTTGAAGATAAACGAAAGATATTCGAAGTTGAAGACGGGGTTAATGTCGGCCACAACAGCCTGTCCTAACCACTCCTTGTCCTTGCCAGAAATCTGGAGCCAGTACTGCCAAGTACCGACCTCCGAGACAGTAGCAACGATGCCCGACTCCTGGAGCACAAAGGTTCCGGTGGAAAAGTCGAACAAATGCAGCTCGGCATTTTCCCTGCATAGAATCTCCTTGGCTTCGGGATGGGCCGCAGACGGCGGGGCAGTAGTCGGTTCCTCCTCGAGAGTGGCAGTCTTGATCTTTCCTTTGGACTGAGCGTATTCCACGTCTTTTGCCATGGCTGCAGCTGAATCTTCTGCTGTCAAGGAATTTCTAGTCGGCGAGGAGACCGGACTCGCAGATGGAATGGGCTTCTCTTCGCTGTATGAGAACTCCTCCAACTCCGCTTCGGTAGCCTTCTGTGCGCTGCGACGGTGTTTGCGTTCGTACTGACACTGGAGGGCGGCAAGCTCGAAAGTGGCGACTTTGTCCGATGGGACCGAAGAGTCACAGATGAATTCAAAAAGATCACCAGCGTCGCCACTCAGATCATCCCAAGCCAATATCTTTGCGCCTCCGTCACGGACTTCAGAGCGAAAATGGAGGGTTTGGTCTAGGAGGAAAACCTTCTCGTCCTTATCTAGGCCGTCGCCCGCGCCTTGCTCGCCGTCGTCGTCCGCGAGTTCTTCCTCGCCCTCTTCATAGGCTCTCTGGATTACAAGCTGGTATTGAAAGTCCTGGCCGGTACGTCGGATCGTGGCAGCAGCGTCCTTGAAGATAAGCTCAGAGTAACCTTTGGGCGACTGTGGGCGAACCAGATACAGCTCGCCTTGGGGGATTTCGATGATGGATTCTTTCGAAGCGTCACCGAACAAGAATTTGCTCACTATTGAATTCAGAGAAGAGGAAAGATCAGTTTACTAGTTCAAAGAGGCAAAACAACAAAAAGTGTCCTGATATGGAGGGGTTTGGCGGGGCATGAAAGGCGCGTTGCTTACCGTTGCGGAGCATAAACATGGTTGCGAGGGGCAGCTGCCAAACAAAAAACCCGAGAGGCAGTTGAGAGGAAGGGGGCAAGAGCAGGTGAAGGGAAAGTAATATGGGAAAGAGCAAAAAAGAGGTAGACACAACAGCAAAGGCCCTTCTACCTGTATGAGGAGGATAGAGAAAGAAGCAAAAGCCAGTCCCTCCTGTGCAAATAATCACAATGAAAATCGCTTCCGTCATAGATTCCCAAATTGTGGCTGTGGTGGCTAATTGCTGAGGTAAGCACCTTCCAGGGCTATGCCGAAATAGGCAATATGCTTTTCTACCTAGGTACCTCCATGGAGTCACGTTCACTGTCTTTTTGAAAGGCTTTACGTGGTAAAGTCCATTCCACAAATTAAGCCTTTTTGGCACTTTTCTGCTGTGCACCAAACAAGCTGAGAAGGGGCAAGAAATATCTATATAACCAGACATCTAGAAAGACTGCTTGAGAAGACTACCCAAAAAAAGATCACTAAAAAGACGGAAAAAAAATTTACCGGAGAAGCTACTTGAGAAGCGTATCTTCATATCTCAATCGCTGTCTGCATCCCTTTGGGCGTCGTAAAAATGTACAAGGTATTCTTTGGACAGCTCAAACTATTGCTTCTCTACATTTTCGCCCTCGCTTCCTTCCTCCAACGCTGCAATTTCTTCCAGTTGCTCCATCTGTTCTGCTTCCATATCTTCCTCGTTCACATCTTCATCACCATTCTCGGCGTTGTCCCCGTCCTCATCCTGAGTTCCCTTCAAAGCTCCGCCTTTCCGGGTGGGAATAACCTTCATGAACGCCTTTCCCCAGTCACGAAGCTCCAGCCATTGAAGCATGATCTCAATGACATGGTTGGTGGCCAGTACAGGACGATGGGCCATTTGAATGTACTGCCCGATAGGCAATTTGGCGGTTTTGATGCCCTTCGCAACCGCCTGTTTATAGCAAACTGCCTTGTGTCGGTTTTTATCCACTAGCGCTCCGACAATATAAGTGCTGTAAGGCTTCAGCTCGGTCAGAGTATTCTCACTATCACTACTGAGATAGATGATTTCACCGTCCTCGGGCTTCGCATCAGTTTGTTCAGCGAACGGTCCAGCGAGTTGACCTCCTCGCGGGGCTGCCATATCTTCTTTGGCCAGCTCGCCAGCACGCACAAAGTCTTCCTGCAGAAATCGGACGCGCTTCCAGTTCTTGTGTGATGTCAATATGGTGTCGAATCGCTCTTTCAGTAATTTGTCAAACGACGAGAACATCATGTGTCCGCTGTAGGGTGCGCGGCTGTTGTCCGAGTATGAGCGCGTGAGCTGACCGGCTAGTGAGATGCGCTCTCTATCAGACATCAGCTCATCATAGCCACAATCCATCACGAATGTCAGAGGTATGAGTGTGGACTTGATGTGCTTGGCTTTCTTGCCTTTCCACAACGCCCGTAGCTTGTTGACAGCTTCTTCGTCGCCTTTTGCCCTTGCCTCCTCAATCATAGCCTTGCGACGCTCTCGCTTTTCTATGATCTTTTCCTTTTTCTGGGCCTTTTGAAGTGCGCGCTTTTGCTGGTGAGCTTCCGCGCGGCGTAGTTTCTTCATTTGATTTTTGGACATAACAGGCGCGGCTGCCTCCGCGCCGTCTTGAGTTGTGGGTTTCGTTGTCCGTTTTTGTCTCCTTGTGGACTGTGAATTCCGACAGGTCGAGAGGTTCATTGCCAATCTGAGCGCTCACAGGCTCCGGTTCTTTGCCGGCAACATCACCAGCTCCAGTCATGGCAGGGCCGAGTATCTCGTAGGTGGTATCTTCGTCGTGGTCTAGTTTGGCTAATTTCCGAGGCCGCTCTTGCTCCTCCATCATTGTTCAGTGGAATTGACAAGCAAAAAAATAACGGTGGGCTGTCGACTGTAGATCAAAAGTTCAAAAAGCGCCCGCCCCGAAACTCATCAACCAATGACGTGCGCCGCAGCCCTCATTACTGTGCAAACTTCACGTGACCCTCCAGACCCAACTTCTCCAATCGTCACAGCGGCTCCTCGCTATCCCTCCAAGCCCTTTACCCGCTCATTACCGTCACAATGCCTCAGGATATGCCCCCAACGGGGGGCTACGCTCAAGTCCAGTACAAGGTGAGCCACACAATCCAGTTTCGGGGCACCCAATGGCCCTGCGCACCCAGCACACAGACATCCAAGCTAACGGTCTTGCTTCTTACTCTCTATAGCGGAACATCCCTGCCCGCGGCTTCAAGCCCGCCTACTACATGATTGGAATGCACGTCATCATGGCCTACGGTTTCTACAAGTACTTCCACGGTGTCCGTGAGCAGCGGTACGTTTCGTCCAACAGGCCCATTTCCTGACTCCGAGCGACCCGCGAGAACCGCAATTGGACCCCGATACAAACTCGCTAGCGGGAGGAAGTGAACTCAATGACTGATATGTGTTTGGATGATAGTGAGCTCGCCCGTGAGAAGATGTGGTCTCGTCTGCACCTCACTCCTCTCCTCCAGGCCGAGGAAGACCGCGACCAGGTCCGTCGGCACTACGCCGACAAGGCGCGCGAGAAGGAGCTTCTCGGCACCGATGCCAAGGTCTACAACTCCGACCGGTATGTTCCATAAAATCGCACTTGGATGCTATGTCATTTCCCGGTTTGTTTCTAATTTTGCTTGCCTTGACAGCTTTATCCGCCCTACTTTCGCCTATACCCCCGCCAATCTCACTCAATAGACAGTCTGACAATTTCAATGTCACACTTATTCTGAGCGATATTGTACCTCCGTTCCCTCCTTTTGACTCTGTATGATGCTGGTGTTTTGTGATGCTTGGTTGGGTGACCCCTTGCCTCCATGGTATACGGACTGAACTGGGCCTTTCTGATCGTTGTGGGAGAGCTAGAAGCATTGTGGTGGTAGTTAGGGTAAACCATCTCGAAGCCATTTCGAGGAAAACATTGTAGATATTACTTGCCTAGTGAAGGGTTTAGTTCAGTCTTTTGCAATATGTCTTATTTCTTTGCTCGTTCAAGATCTTCGTCTCGTGGTAGAAACACAAATAGGCTAATATGATGGAAGGTAATATATTTGTGGGTAATGGTATGTAGTTTTTATGATATCATCTCTCGCGAAGTGCCGCTGCTCGCTAACGATGGGGGTAGTTGATAAAGCTGCAACCCAGATCCAGACAGAAAGGATTGCAAAAATGTGGCCGGGCCGCAAATGGTGTACAGAATGGAGATGTGGACCATCCATCGTATGTAAAATGAAGAATCAACAAGCTGGGCAGCACCACAGCATATCCCAACCTTTCGCTGCCCAAAAAGCAGATGATGCTTGGCCTATCCAAATAGATCAGCCACACCACCAAGATCGGGACCATCGTTAATATCGACACGGTGGTTCTGCTGCTGGGTGTCCATCTCATTGGTCATGTATCTCTCCTGCAAAGCTGAGCGGGCCTTGCGACGTTCCTCGCGAGAACCTAGTATCTTCCCTTGCTCAGCAACACTGATGCCGCGCAAGGGCTCAAGAAGCTCCAAGACCAATGCGCGCTGCTGTCTTGGTGAGGTAGTCTGATGAAGTGCAGACTCAGTACTGGCCACTTTCTCTGCGCTGATTCCCGGCAAGCTCAGGAAAACAGCACGAGGAGTCTCGCTACAGAAGCCATAGAGACACCAAATCGATGCAATTAGCTGGGCAAGGTCCTTTTGCATATCAACAAAGTATGACTCATGTACGGATGAAATGCATGCTGTGAGGACATCAGTACATATGAATTCGCGGATGGTGGCGATGGTTGGGGTGTCCGGGGTATCGTTCGTGGGCGCAAAGTCTTGCAGAATTGACCGAATTACGCGGGTGATAATGCTGCCGCTGCGCGTATCGCGCATACGAAGAGCGTGCGTACAGAAGAGCATGACTGGCTCAAAGATTTGGGGGGATGAAAGGACGAAATGGCGGATAGAATCAGAGAGGTTCGGAGTCGGCTGGGGTGCGCTGGGATCCGATTCAGTCCCATCTGGGTCTGAGATGTCACGTTCCGTCAGTATCGGGTGGTTTACGCTTATGAGTAGCCGGCGGGTCAGGGAGTATTTACCACCTCTCTGTGGATCGAATAGACTGGCTACCATGATCACAGCAGAGTAAGTTAACTGACGAAGGACACTTTCAGACTTCATCTCCGTCGTGAGATCTCCATCCGAAATCCCGTCCCTGCGTTGTTCAATGATTTCCCATTCTGTGGTGACTTTGCGGTCAATGTTGGTGAATAAAGTCGACAACATGGGGGGGCAAGAATTGGCTGCGGAACTGCACAGGGCAGTCGTCAATCAGACAACGCGAGATGTTGAGAAGAACCGAGAACTGATGGGAGGAGAGATGCGGTGAGTCAACGAATAATGCTTCGGATAGGGGTCCTGGGAGTTCGGCGAATCCATAAAAGTGCTCTCGCATCCTGCTCATGCTGAATAGCATGGAGTAACATGCCTCGCGGACAGCTCTGACTTTGCCTCGGACTGATGATGCAAACCCTTCAAGTGTAGACTTCGACGATGTGATTCTGGCATAGAACTCATCGCGGCTACCAATAGAAATACCAGCCTGCCAAAATCGATCCGTGAGGATACGTTCGACTACTGGTTGCATTCCTTCGACCATGTTCCAATTGGCAGGGTTATGGAAGGCATGGGCATTTCTTGAAATTGAAAGTTAGCTTGATTGTATGGGCCTGCATTAGCATAGGTAATTACCTGACAAGCTGCAGCAAAGTGGGAAGAATGATAGGGATCAATTCGTGCCACATCTGACAGGCGGTCACATAGGCTGGCGAGGACTTTTTGACTCGATCTGTGGAAACAGCCAACATAGTTTTGGTGCCACGCAATGGCAATAGCTAGAATATAATGGGTCAGATGGGCCCTCGCACAGGAAAGTGGGTTCTATGTCTTACCTGGAACTTTCTAGTCATCTCTTCTTGGACTAACCTTCCTTCGTTGTCCAAGGCAACCTCAGACCAGTCTGCCAGTTTCTGTGCTTCTTTGGATTGCATGTATGGACCAACATTTTCCAATCCAAGCATATTGCAAAAACCGGGGAAAGTGGAGCTGCTGTGACGGAATTGCTCATCTTGCCACGCCTCTTGGATGGGGTGAAGGAATGATGCGAGTCGATTTTGACGCAGATAAGGGTCTGCATTGGTTGCACGTTGCCTGAATTGAGTTAGTATGCGGGAAATTAGATGGAAACCCGGATAGGACGAAAGGTTACATAATAATGAGCAAGATAGAAGTCAGTTCCATTTGCAACTTGTCATCGATGCGGTTAGCCAGTGTGATCTCTTTGATCTTTGGCTCAAGAAGATCATAGAAAGTCTGCAATGAGCACTGTTAGAGAGTGCTGAACGATCAGGATGTGAGAATTGACGTACATAGAAGTAATCGGCATAACGCATAGCTAACCGACGAAGTTCGGAGCTTGCCAGTCCATGTAGTTCCTTGACAGCCTCGGAATACAATGGGTATTCAGATCGATCTGGTAGACGTGACATCAGAATGTGTTCCAGGACTTTGAGTGCAAATCCTTGATGATTGTCCAAGGCCTTTGAGGAGATGTCGACAACTAGTTTGATGACCCTTTGTTTCAAAACCGGATCCTATTGCAAAGATATGAGTGGATGAAATTGCTTCGGTTTGTGCAAAATGACTTACCTCGAAAGACTTTTGCATTAGAGTTGAAGCCCAGTTTTCCACCGCATGTTCTAATTCCATTCGTTTAGACTCCTATCAGGTATTAGCAACTGATTATTCATGTTCCTGCTTCATCCTCTTACATCACGTTGGGGTGTTTTCCCATGCGCCGAAATCCACTTGTTGTAGCCCTTGATGACAGCCTCTACCACTGCGAATTGAGCATCCGCTCGCATGAGAGGAATCGACGATTTGCTGAAAGTCGCCACTGCAAATTAAATGAGTCGCTAAGTCCATAGTTCGTTAGATCGTTGACACTCACTGCTAAATGGCTGAACACCGCTATACAAGTTGTCGAGGTTGGTGTCAACCCGGGCCAGGATTTCGCGCACCGCTTCTTGAGGCCGCTTGAAGGTGATGGTTTCGATGATCGAGGAACAGTAACGGCGGTAATTCCCAACAAATGCATGTCGTTCGGGAACTGTATCAATATCCTCGACTAAGAACTGTACCGTGGGATCGTCGGATTCAGTCGGCAGAGACTCCCAACGAAGAAGCCTCTGGGTGCAAATGTTCAAAAATTGAGGAGTTTGTTCTACCACAAAGTCCAGGTTACTGATTTTTGAGTTTTGTAACAGTCTGGACCAAAGATGCAAGCAAGGTATGGAGACCGTCAAACTCTGGTGCTGCATGATGTTGACCATGAATTGCAGGAATGGCGGCAGATTCAAACGGGCCATGGTAGAGACTAAGAACTTGTCATCTTCCAAGCATCCTGCAATATATGAAATCATCTCGGAAAGCTTTTTAGAGATAAGATATTTGGGTTCATCGACGTCGTCCGGGCCCACGATTGACCATTCGTAAAGCCGCTGGAGAACAACTAGGTATTCTGACTGAAATATCAGGCAGACTAGCTCCTGTGAGTCTTCGCTGCCGATAGTGTTCCTTCCATAAAGCGCATGAAGTGCTTCGACTGCAGAGAGAAGCACCTGATCATCTTGACAAGGCAAAGCTCGGAAAATGCTGGGAACGACCTGGGAGGCAATAACGCCTTTGTAGACGGACCATGACAAGGCAGATCTCAAAGTTGCCAGAGCTTTTGTGGCCGCATCTCGAGCCTGTTCCGAGCTAGAGACATTCTGGACGCAATTGTCAAGAAATTCGCAGATGCGAACGAGCCAGCCCTCCTGTCCACAGCGTGGAATGGTGGCGGTAGTTTTATCCCCAGTAATTTGCTCCACGATTCCTGCAGGAGTAAAAATCTCAATGAGCGACCGATTGAGCTCTCCTCCGCGAAGTGACGAGGCGGTATCTTCTCGGAAAAAGACATCCTCGGAAAGAGTCTCCAGAACAGCAAGTACCAACTCTTTGTGAACTAGAGATGCACTCCAGAACTGAACCAGGTTGGCATCCATATCCATCCAATCCAGCCCCCAGGTCTTCTTAGCAGCCTCGGTCCACAACTGGGAGATCTTGTTCCGAAAATAGGCAGGGTCTTCGGGGCGGACGTTCTCAGCGAGCTGCAAAATCATCATGCGTAAAGTCTTGGCTTCTTCGGGATTGGTGAAGTTGTATTGGCGAAGAACGTGATCGAGGAGAGTAAGACCGAAGTATCGTACAACGGGCTCATGCTCCATACGGGAGGCCAAGAGGAAGCCATTTCGCGCCGCAGCGTCAGACTCTTTCAGATTTTCCACGAACTGAGAAGCCTCCTTCCGTATATCGTTTGACGATGCAGGGTTGTGAATGAGTTGCAGGGCACGGATGATGTCGGCCATGCCGCCCTCCGACAACTCCTCCGCAGCCATCTTGTTGACGCGTTCCAGAAGTACTTGGCGAACAGAAAAGTATAGTCTCAGTCTCGTATCACTGTAGTAGACCGCGTCGCATAGTCAGGGAAAGGTAGGTAAGACTCGATGGCCGTTGAATTCGTCCTGTGTTAGTTTAGCAGACGGACACCGCAACGGCCATCCGCACGCGCCACTCGCTCTTTCCGGGGAGGGGTGGTTCGAGGTTGAGGACCGGACTTGAAGTTACGAATCGGTACTTTTGCAACGAAGGTAGTTGGCGAAGTAAGATCTCGAAAGGGAAAACTTGCAGAGGACAATTGGTGACTTGTCGGGCTGAGAATTTTCCCTAAAGATCAACAAGGGCACACCGCTCACCCGTTGATGCTCCGCTCTTCTTTCACATTTGCGGCGCACTGGGTAAAGGACTTGATAGAAGTGTTTCAACAAAACTGGCTAGTTAAGCAACAATTGCTATAATTTTTCTTGGTTCTATGCTAATCTCTGCTAACCTACGTTGTTTTCGTGTCATCATAGCTACCTATTACCCAAACTATGCCCCTCATTGTTTATCTTATCTCACATACCCCCGGCGGTTATATACTTCCAAGGTTCGACCTATAGACCTGTCACATATACAATCTAAAATGACCTTGAATATCATTTGGAGAATCATTTGGTGTCTTTCATTGAAATTCGAAGAGGCAGTGAAAAAAGAAACAATGCAAGATACACACATATATATAAGGAAGCAATTGAAGGAACTTAGCTCTTGAAACACAATTAGCAACTTCACATCATGGCACACTCGCCCTTTTGGCATTGTTCTAGATAGCCGATATCTTGGCCTCCAGGATTACCAAACTCCCCAGGCTTGCGCTTCAGTCCCTCGATCTTGATATCCTGTTCTCCTTCGGCATGCCACCATCGCAGGCGCTGTAGCTTGGCACCGTGAATGTCCTGGACGTCAATGTCCCACTTGCCACCGCTGACTGTGACCACGATGTTACTCTCCGGGAAATGGAAATCAGGAAGATATATTTCGGTGGGGGCAGTTGCGGTGGTTGCCCCTTTAGCCGTCAGCGAGAGAGTAAACACACAATTCTTCAGATCAAAAACATGACTATCCAACTTTCCGCTGACGTAGGTTGGACTCGGGCGAAGGTATGCCTCCGCGGCGCGATACCCTTGTTGCTGTCGTAGCGATGGCAGGGAGCGGTCACTAGAGATCGAGGGAGTTGACAAAGCACCTTTGAGATTACGAGGTCCAACATTTGGTTCTGCTCCGCTACTCTGGCTTTCGGAGTAGGCCGGGGAATTTGGATCAAGAGGCCGTGTGCTGGATCCTGCGGGCAGTTCTAGATCGTCGCGGGAATATATAGACAGGTCCTCCCCATTCCATTGGTCACCCCATTCGTGGTCATTCTAGATAGTGTTAGTATACGATTCCCGTTTTGGGGAGCAAATGCACGGGTTTGATAAGCAAATATACATACTTGTGTGACATATACCCAGAGAGTAAAGCCATTAGAAGTACTACCCTCCAGTGCGAAATGATTTGCGTCCATAGCGCTGGTTTGGCTACTATAGTCACCGGTCTTGTATGCATATTTGTCGTCCATGTCATAGGGAATTCCAATCTCCGTAAACACCACGGGATGACTGCCCATATAACTCCGGCTTTCATCGCGGAGGAATTTGAGTTGGTCACGCAAACAGTTGCGAATAGCCGTCTCGCCGACCTTAAGCGCAAAGGCAGGGGTGAGGTACTTGCCCCGGAGAACACCAATAACATCTACATTGTAGAGTCGGTTCCAATGTTTCGTCAAAAGAGTCAATCCATCATAGAAATGAACCGCATGGACCATGTTCGGGTCGTCGTCAATAGTGCCTTTGATATCAGGCGGTACCTCCATCACCGGTGGCTGGCAAAACATTATTGCATCGGGCCAGATTCCGCGAATGGCATTTTTGTATGCTCGGTAATGATCCAAGAAATACGAGTTCGTAAATTTCTCATAGTCAAGCGGCTCGCCCGTCTGAGGTCTCTTTGCGAAGTAATCCTTCTGTAAAAGGACGTCTGTGGACGGGTCCCAAACTCCGTGCTGAGCCCAGATACACTCTCCAAGTTTCCACCCAGGGTCTCGTTGCCAGCCATATTTGTTATCATCATGGTCAGCTGGCAACCAAGCTATGACACCTGCCGGATCTACTAGGTTTGTGCCAGTCTTGTAAGGTCCGAAGTTTCCAAATGCCCATGTTGTCTGTTCGCAAGCCTTGCCTGAGCCAGTGAGAATTGCTTGGAATGCTGTCGGTGAAGTACCTAGTTGAAGTTGCTGCTCCGGCGGAATCACTGAAATGTCTTGTACACCAACAAGACCGCGATGAGGCTCATTCATACTCTCCCAGCCAATGATCACTTCGCCATCAAGATCACCCGCTTCATGAATTCTCTGAGCCAAAAACGCACATGCATTGATAAAGTGATTCTGGAGATAATCTTGAATGTTCATCCCATCAATGATTGCCTTGGGAGCAAAGTCCCGCCCAGCCCAAAATAACGTAAACATGGTTTGACAAACCAGTCTAGTATAATTTGTGCTCCAGATCATCTTAGGAAACTCCGCGGGGATGTCGTATGTGTTCTGAACCAAGGCGGCTTCCGTGTTTTTGAAGGTTTTAGGGTTCAGTCCCGCCGCATAGAGCGTCCACATCGGTGCCCCAGATCCTCCTGATAACCTAGACCACTAAGAAGGGGTTAGTATAAAGAAGGTTATAAGCTCTTTGCCCGGGTGATCACATGTACTCACCACGTCCTGATGGGGGTCCATAAACACCCAGAAATCATATTGTTTGGCTATCCGGAGGACTTCTATAGTATATGCAACCCACTCATCGTCGTAAACTCCCGGGCCCGCATGCTCAATGGCTTCCCAGGTAAAGATGTACCGGATAGTGTTATAACCCCATTTCCGAAGGCGCTTGAAGTGAATTTGGGCATCTTCAAGTGAGAAAGGCCGTTCAACGAAGGAGACATTGTCCGCGTCAAAGAAGTTCTCGGCGATGTATGAGGGGATGTCGGGTGTCTTTGGATACTTCGCATCGGCCGCAACGTTTATCCCCCTTAGCGTAATTTCACGATTGTGAGGGTCTCGAAAGGTCTGTCCCTCGACTTTCAGATGAAGAGGAGCCATTGTGGCCCCGGTTCTACCGAAGTTTGAGTTGAACGAAATCGCGCGACTTCCGGTGTTACGCGGGAGGTGGGCAAGTCAAGAAACGAAGTATACAAAGTTCACAGCTCGTAGGAAGTAGATATCTGGAAACAGGCAACGACTTTCCGATTTAACTCGACTAGCAGTATTGAAATAACTTGCGAACGAGCCTTGGCAACCTTTTACGAAGGTCACTAGTGCTCAGCTGCCCAGCTCTTCGTACAAATCACCGGAGCACGTGATTCTGACCACTTCGAGCAACCTCGCAGGCAACTGACTCTTCGACTTGTGTTCTGCAAGCCTTCCGTGAGATCCAGAAGGTGAGCCTTTCTCTCAATTTGCCCAATTCAAATCTTCAAGCCAACAGTGCGCCCATTGCTAACTCGTTGCCAGCTAGAAGATCATCTTCGATAACGATAAGAAGTGACGTATCGAGCTAGCCGACCGCCGCTTTGCTCCACCACGACAGTTTCTCCCCGCTGTCTCTGCACACGGGAATAATGTCGGGCAAAGCGGCGCTGAAAGCTGTGCGAGCAGCTTTGGAATCGAAAGATTTCCAAGTTGCTGCTGAAAAAGCCAAGGAGCTTGTCAAGAACGAGCCGAACAATTACCACGCGTATGACAATTCCCGTTCCTGTATGAAACATGGCTAACTCGTTCGTCTTTTTCATAGGAACGTCTTCCTCGGCCTCGCCAGCGATCGATTGAATAAGAACAATGACGCAGAGAACGCTTATTTTGCTGCCACTGCGATCAACCCCAGCGATAAAACTGCTTGGCAGGGCTTGGTCTCCCTGTACGAGAAACAGGGTGGTTGCCAGCATGATGGTTACCACAACGCAGTCATTGCTCTTGGGACGATATTCGCCGAGAAGTATGCTTTTATCCCTTTGTACAAAGGACATGGTGCTGACGACTTCTAGCGACGAGAAGGAACGCTGCCAAGATCTGATTAACAAATACACAAAGTCGATGAAGAGCAAAGGGACCCCGACTCAACACAAGCATGCATTGGAACTCCAGATACCGGGCTCACCCCTGTATGACTTCCTTGAGGGCCGGTTGCCCCGTCCAACCCAAACATACCAGCGACTGATTGAAATCACCGAGCGCCAAGAAAGAGAATTTATCAATCGTGAGATTGGAGAGCGCAGAACGCGCCTTGGTGCTCGAATCGAACAAGTCACCCAGGAAGTTCGGAAAGAAGCTGCCAACAAGAGTCGTTTGGACCAATATTACCAAGGAATGATTGATTGGACCAACGACGATGCAGTACGCCGTCATTACGAGGAGAAGTTGTTTCAGCGTGCATATGAGGAACTTGGAGTTCTGCCTAACGCGGCGAAGGAGGCAAAGAGAGCAGCCGTTTTCAAGGCAGCACATGACATGGTGATCATAAAACATCCGTTCGAACCCGCATGGAAAGTTTTCCTGGGGTGGCTGGATGTTCAGGATTTCTCCCAGTATGACGTGGGGCATCTGCGTGAGTACATTGAGTTCTTCCCAGAATCTGGACTCTCGCAAGTTCTCAAAGGCTTTTTGTTGAGCGACCTATCACCTTTCCCCCATGATCCCTGGGATGAAACACAAGGCAAAGATGCCAAGGATAGCAAGGAAACCGCAGCCACTCAGGCTGATAACAAATCTGATGACGATGCAACTGCCCCTCAAGATCCTTTCGTCCTTATGGTTGAGGGCTTGAATTCTGCTCGAGATTCAATTCTTGCCCACCGCATCATGGCATATGTCTACCTCTCTTTCGAAGAGTATGAGAGCGTGGTCACTGTTGCTCGTAAAGGGCTACTGTACGTTGAGACCTTGGTCAAGTACAGTGGGGTCAAGATCCCCAACACCATCGATGCCTTGAACAACGCACTTGCCAATGCCCTGATCTATTATCAATCCCCCCGGCATCACACGGATGCGAAACAGATATTTGAGGGTATCCTCGAACGAAACCCAACCTCCTCCAATTGCCTGCTTGGTATTGGTCTGATTTTAAAAGAGGATCAGGACTACGCAGAAGCTGTCGACTTCCTGCGCCGATCACTTGAACGCGATCCTTCTAACCTCAAGATTCGTGGAGAACTTGCTTGGTGTGAGGCATTGAATGGCGATCTGGAAGGTGGCCTAGCCAGCCTCCGGGCTACGCTTGATGATCTGCAGGAAGCTCAGCCAGATAACAGGGAGTTCAAATCCGAGCTTTTTTACCGCATTGGGTACTGCCAGTGGGAGCTTGATCCGTCCCCAGCCGCGCGGAAAGATCGCAGTGGTGCTTACGCTAGCCTCTTTGCCTCCATCCAAGCGAATATGAATTTCGCTCCAGCATACACGATCCTTGGTTTCTACTACGCGGACTACAAGAAGGACAAGGCCAGAGCTCGCAGATGCTTCCACAAGGCATTTGAGCTGTCAACCTCTGAGATTGAAGCCGCCGAGCGTCTTGCCAAGGGATTTGCCGACTCGAAGGAATGGGACCTTGTCGAAGCAATTGCGCAGCGGGTGGTTGACTCCGGCAAGGCTAGGCCTTCCCCTGGGTCAAAGCGCCGAGGGTTCAGCTGGCCATATGCGGCACTGGGGTCTGTCCAGGTTAACAAACAGCAATACAGCAAAAGTATCGTGTCCTTCCAAGCAGCGCTTCGACTCGCGGCAACAGATTACCACTCATGGGTCGGTCTTGCCGAAAGCTATCACCACTCTGGTCGATACAACGCTGCCACCAAGGCTTTTGAGCAAGCAAAGCTATTGGAACCTGAGCTTTCAGCTAAGGACAAGGAGCACGTATGGTTTGCCAATTATATGCTGGCAAACGTCAGGCGAGAACTTGGCCAGTATGATGAAGCTATCGCTGCCTACGAAGATGTCCTGAAATCCCGACCTGATGACATTGGTGTGACTCTCGCGCTTCTTCAGACCCTGACTGAGAGTTCGACGAAGAGCCTTGGCCTGGGCCTCTTCAATGATGCGGCAGACCTCGCCTGCCAAGCTATTTCGGTGGCCACCTCGCTGGCACAGAACCGAAGCGATATTTTCAATTTGTGGAAGGCTGTAGGCGATGTCTTCTCCAATTTCTCATACATGAAGGCCAAGGCTGTAAAGCTGTCTGCTTCCAGTTGCAAGACTTTATTGGCAATTGATCTCGACCCTATGGCCCTTGATGTTATGACCGATATCGATGGTGTCGGAACTGATTGCCTCGCGGCCAATGAAAGTGAAGAGTCCATGCCATCTGAACTCTACACTCACCTGTCCATAATCGCTTTTAAGCGTGCACTTCACGTCACCATGCATGATGCTCATTCTCAAGCAGTTGCCTGGTACAATCTTGGTTGGGCTGAGTACTTGGCCCATCGCACTGTGCAGCCGGATCCGACCAAGAAAGGCAAGAAGTCTCGCAAGTTCCTGAAAGCAGCCATGCGGTGCTTCAAGAGAGCAATTGAATTGGAGGCGGGCAATCCCGATTTCTGGAACTCATTGGGTGTCGTCACTGCAAGCATGAGTCCCAAGGTATCCCAGCATGCTTTTGTGCGAAGTCTGCATTTGAATGAACGCAACGCCCAAGTTTGGACCAACCTCGGAGCACTCTACCTCCTCCACAAAGAGGGCCATCAATCGTACAAAACCTTCTTGCGCGCGCAGGCCACCGACCCAGATTACTCACTCGCTTGGGTCGGCCAAGGCTTCGTTTCACTTAGTGTTGGCGAGGCACAGGAGGCGAGGGGCTATTTCGAGCATGCCTTCGATATCTCGAATTCGTCCGATATTCTCCCTAAGCGCCAGTTCAGCCTGACCCACTTTGATCATCTTACTGAGGCCTCCTCCTCTAATGTGTCCGAGCTCATCCAGCCATCCTTCGCACTGCACCAACTCTGCATCCAGGAGCCCTCTAACCTGCCCTTTGTGCACCTTTCCGCCCTGTTGGCAGAGAGAATGGGTGAGACCGCAGATGCCGAGTTTAGCTTGCAGGTTGTGTGCTCAGGCATGGAAGACGAGTTCGAAAAGACCGAGTCCCCAGCTTCCCTGTCGAGGTATTCCCAAGCAAACGCAGATATGGCTCGTGTCCTGCTTGCACGCCAATCTTATGAAGACGCTGCGGAGAAGGCCGAGCTCGCGCTCACCCTCTCTGGAGAGGAAGACGCTGAGAAATTCGATCCCGAAGCCTGCAAGAAGCTTCGTCTGTCTGCGCATCTGACCGCTGGTCTAGCATTTTACAACTTGAAGTCTATGGACAAGGCAATCGATATGTTCCGTGATGCCCTCGAAGAAGCAGGGAACGCTCCAGATGTTGTCTGTCTTCTTGCTCAGGTCCTGTGGGCCAAGGGCGGGGAGGAGAATCGGTCTGTTGCTCGCGAGCAACTGCTCGACTGCGTGATGAATAACCCTACCCATGTTGGAGCAGTCACCCTTTTGGGTGTCATCGCTCTCATCGATGCGGACCGGGACGCCATTGAAGCAGTTGAATCAGATCTTAACAGCATGATCTCACGCGATGACATCGGTCTCCACGACCGAGCTAAAATCATCAAACTCCTAAGTGCCATCTCAGCAATGGGACTCAAGGATAACGCAGCCCTCCCTGAGAGCATCAGGCGCATGGGCGATGCCACCGCTGCCGTGATGCTTACACCCGGCCAACCTGCCGCCTGGTTGGAGTTGTCGGCAGCATCGCGAAACCAGTACCCATCCGCCATGACTATCAAACGCGCTCTGCGGAGCGTGCCTCCTTACGGTAATCTCGGAGCCGAGGATCTCAGCCGAGCGTACTCGCAAACCGGCAAGGTCGGTGACGCCTTCCGAGCGATCATGATTGCCCCGTGGAAACGCAATGGATGGGAGGAGCTGACCCACAATGTACCTACCCCGAACATGTGGACGCGCTCTACAGGCCACGGACCGGAGTGATCGGGCGATGAGGTAACGGCCCTGCCACCCTCAAGCGCCGTACAAGCCCGTGCGGGGCGGGGCGAACTTGATGCACAGTGTTATTTACTTTAACTGCACATCAGTCTTTTTTTAGCGAATGAACATGACAATATCAAATTCACATAAGAAAATATACCCATTATAGACTAAGAGAAACGTAAATTCCATACCTTAATAATGAGTGCGATGTAAAAGAAGCACACTCCTCCATCTATCCAGCTGCTTAAGCCCATCTTATTCTCTCTCGACGCCTGCAGTCTTCTCCAGCAACCTAGCCTTCCTACCCTCCCTCCACGGTTTATCCAAAGCCTCAATCTTTCCCCCGAGCAAAGTAACGGACCCCGGAGAAAGCAGCACCATACCTCTCGCAACAGACGGATTACGGAGCAAGAGCTTTGCCCCGATAGCAAGTTTTTCCAACGCTATCCCATCAATACGCTGCATTTCAACGCCCATAACCATAATCCCCGCTGCATCCTGAAGAATCAGGCGGTGCGGTCCGTACCCACTGTTCCCGACGCACTCGCAGCACCGTTCGCAGGGTTGTTATTCGCGCGATTGTTCTCCGATGCCTCGGGGTCTTCGCCTACAGCTATTGTGCGCACGATCTCACGGCCTCGAATTGCCTCGCCGCGCTCAACGCGTTCAATCGCTTCTATCTGGCTCCATAGACTCGTGCCGATGTCTTCAATGTCTAGCACTTGCACGGGGATTGAGCCTTGCAGCCGTCGCTCTTGGACTGCTGGGTCATGGATGTCGACTGGCAGTACGCATGATCTGTGTTTTGAGAGTGATTCTCTGATATCAGAGGCGAGAAGACGAAATATAGCCGTTTTTGCGAGAGCCGAGGCGGGGATATTGCGTTGTGCTGTGCTGGACGATGATAGGAAGGCATTGAGCCAGGTTTGGGAGACTGAGAGGGATTTTGTGCTCAGAATCTGAGCTGCAATTTGGTCAGGACTAGTCATGATGTCTTGGGCTGCCTTATGATCATATTGGCGCGTATGGTAAATGAAAGAAAAGCGGCGAAGTTGGAGAAGCTCAACGAGAAAACAGAAGCACAGACCACCGCTTAAAGCAATTGACCTGGCCCGACTCTCTCACCTCCGACGACTCCGACACACCTCCCTAACACACTGCAATGTCGACTATTTCATCCCCACGTCCGTCCATTGCCTCCTCCCGAGCCCACTCCCCGGGTCCAACCTCCTCCCGCCCATCACTCGATGTCTTGAACACCAACGCCAGTGGGGGCCTCAGCGCCGCATCTACCCCATCCACTGCACGTGCTCTCTCCCCCTCACTCCAACCCCGACGCAATCGCAGCGCCCTGCGAGACTACTACAACCTCAAACCGCCCGGCGCGGACGCATCGGCTTCCCGAGATGTATCTCGCTCTCGGAGTGTGCCGCGGAACACAGATGCAGGAGACATCTCCGACCAAACTGCTCTGACGGCAGGAACGGAGCTCGACAGTCCAGACTTCGACCCGCAGCGGTACGTGGAGCATCTCTTGTCAACATCGTCGCTGGCTACGGTGCTCAAGGCAGAGAACACGTTGGTTGGGGATATCCGCACTCTCGACGGAGAGCGGAAGGCGCTGGTCTACGATAACTACTCCAAGTTGATTCGCGCCGTGGAGACTATTGGTAAAATGCGGCGTAGTATGGATGAACGCGGGGCGCCGTTAACTATGACGAAGACGCTGGGTCCGGCCATTGCTTTTGTTGCTGAGACCGCTGGTGGGCTCATTAAGGAAGGCGAGGAGCAGCGACGGCAAATGAAGGAAGCGAAGGCGGAAGACGAGGCTTCCAGTCGGAAGAATGAGAAGGATACTGTTCGGTGGGTGCTCGCTACACCGCAGAGATTGGAAAAGCTTGTGGCGGAGGATAAACAAGAGGATGCCGAGAAGGACTGGAAAGAGATCCAGCATTTACTCGACGCTTGGGGTGATGTCAAAGGGGTCGCTGAAATTCGGGAAGAGTGTGAGAAAGTCATGAACCGGGCAGGCCATGATGACTGAACACCTGCTTATACACTTTGTTCCGTCATTATCCATGCGGTTGAAGCTCCTCGGCATTGGGCTGCTGTTGAGGTGAGGTATCACTTCGGACTGGGCCGATAGTTGCAGCCATGAATGAGCCGGCTCATCCATGAAGAAAAATCGTTCCCAATCTATGCAAATCATGATCAATGGATACCTGCCTTCAGCCGGTCCCACGAACACCTCTAGCGAAACTACCGCTGCCCCGACTTCTGGGAATGCTTTGGGGATACGGCCCCACCTCTGCCACCAAGGCCCGGAAACACATCAAGTATCATACATATGTAGATAACTGCGTTCGGAGATACCCACTACAGTACATTAATCGTCAATCATATCTTCATTAATCATAAACAAACCTCACTAAGCCGCAATTCCCATCTACTTCCCCTCAAGCAGCTCACGACTCGAATACATACTCGCCTTCAGCCCATACTCATTCTTCGAGCTAATCTCCAGATGAGTAAACGCATCAGACTTGTAGTAAATAGACCGGGGCCCCTTCCCAACAAGCCCAATATCAACCAACTTACTCACAACCCTTTTAACATCCTCAACATCCCCAAAATCATCCGTATAAACACAAATCAAACGACTCTCTCCTCCACCATCATCAGTAGCAACTTTCGCCACATCCCCAAGCTCCCCCTTCTCCATAGCTCTAACAACAACCCCCCCAGGACTCATCAACCTGATCAACAGTCGGAAAAAGCATCCACTTCCCACCAATAACACCCGTCTCCCTCGCAAGATCAAGAATACCCCTCTCAAGCTCCTTGCGCATCGGATTCAATTTCCGAGTCAAAGCAGCCGTAGTCTTCGCACCAGACTTATCATGCTTCTCGCGCAGCATCGCACTCTCATTCTCATACTCCTGGAGAAGCTCCCTGCCTTTCCTAAGTAGAGTGGGAACATCCCCCTCCGGCCTCGGCGACATGTGCGGATTGTACATCCAGATCCAGGGGCCTAAGCTTGCGGATTCTGTTGTTGATGGCGGGAGACGCGATAGGAATCGAGCTATGGGCTCGGTCCTCCCGCGCTGGTTGCGCGGTATGCTGTCTGCTTCTGGGGATGCATCGTCCATGGAAATGTCTGATGATGCGGCCTTTGCGCGTGTCGGCGCGCGCAGACCCTGCTGGATGGTTGATAGAAGCTTCTGGTGTGTTTCTACCCAGAATGGCTCTGGGTCGTAGGATGAGACTTGTGCTTCTAGTTGTGTCTTCTCATCTTCGTCGCCTGGTATTGGTTAGCTGGGTTCCTGGGGTTGGGGTCTGAGATGGGTTTACCGTAGAAGCTTGATTCGTCGGAGAATATTTCATCGACTACTGTGGTTGATGCCATGATTTAGATGGTGCTGGATGATATTATGATGTTCTGGTAGTGTAGTTGGGGATAGGAAGTAGTTAAGAAGTAGAGGTGGGCGCGATCTGATAAACAGCCCGCATTTGAATTCCCGGACTGCGCCATCTACTCCCTAGCCAGTCCATCCATCTATGAACGTCTCATGGTAATATTTTTTGTTAGAAATTAATCGAAAATCAATTTTAGTCCAGTAACTACATATTCTTTTATTATTGGTTGCACGGTCTTTGCTATGACATGACATTTCTTTATACAGTAGCTTGTCACAGCATCTAAATACATTCCAACTTCAGACGCAACTTCAAATCATTATATTAACACTCTGGTGGCAATTTATCTCAGCTTATTTGGCACCGGCAATGCCTGGCCACACCTGATCAACAAACTTGACCAGATCCGTCTTCAATTCATCAGGTCGCTCTAGTGCCGCGAAATGACCACCCTATAGTAAACCAGCGTTAGTCTCGAATCTCAGGTCTATTAATTGTTATATTGCATACCTTCTGATGCTGCTCCCAGAATACCAAGTCTCCAGTTGTTTCGATCCAAGAGCGTGGCAATCGAGCAAGCTCCATAGGGAAAGAAGAAAATCCAAATGGCTTGTGTATATACCAACGGGGGTCATTGGAAGCTGGAATCGGTGACGGAGGATAGTTCTATTTATTCCCATCAGATATGTACTTGTGGAAGTCGAAAGTATTAGGACACTCACCTGTCGATAAGTATAGATAGCTCGAGGGAACGTCTCCGTAAGCCAGTACAAAGTGACAGATTCCAAAATGTCATCCGGGGCTATCGGATCGTCGGCCCATTCCAGGAATTTCTCTCCAATCCTGTGTGTGTCAGTTTTGCAGCTGTCAATGTCAACTACACTTTGCTTTGCACGACTCACCACGCTAGTAGAGCAATAGGGCTCGATGACAAAACGTGTCCAATGGTGCTGGGTCGAGTGCCATGCTCCATCGCATAGCCAGCGCCCGTAGTCGTAAAGTTCGTCATCCTCTCAATGCCCTCTATCTCAAAGGCATTCAGGTGGTCGTCTGTCATGCCGTCCGGCTTTCTCATGAAAACCACATTGACTAGCTTATATTGGCGTTCTGGTCGTTGGGTAACATTCGTTAAGAAAGAACTCACCGTGCACAGCTATACGGTAACTTGTCAGAAAAAGTACAATGTCAGACTATCATGAACGTTCCATACCTTTGCAGCTCTCGTGGTCCACGCCCAAATGCCTAGCAACCCGACTTCCAATATCGCCTCCCTGGGCAACATATCCGCTCTCAAAGCCGATGTCTTTCATCAATTGATCCAACACGCGGGCAATATCACCTGTTCCAAAATCCCTATCCAATGGAGGTCCAGAGGAAAATGCGTAACCTGGCAACGAAGGTACAATCAAGTGATAAGGCAAGGTTTCTGGCGTGTACTCGTCTCGGAACCTTTGTAGTATAGGCAAGAACTCGAGGAAGCTCCCTACAATACGTTATGTCAGTCTTCTTACAGCGGGTATCTGCGTGCTATGAGGTTAAGGCAAAGATATAGACCTACCAGGCCATCCATGCAACAACAACAGAGGAACAGCATCCTTCTTTTTCGAAAACAACCCTACAAAATGAATCGTGAGACCTTCGATCTCCGTCGTGTATTGAGGGAAACTATTGATTCGATCCTCGGAGGATTTCCTAGTGTGACAATTCAGTCCTGTGTCGAATATCATGCACTGTGGTGTCATTACCAGTTGTAAGACCTCAGCCACTGATCCCGCATCGTCACTAGCCAGTCCGTAGAGACACCATAGCGATGGTCCGTTTGAGAATTCTCGTAGGTGCGAGGTGCGATTTTCGCTATCTTTATCAATGTCTCGAGCTCGTCCAGTTTGGCTTGGGGGATGGTGGCCTTGAATGGCGTGAGGGAGGCCGTCACCGTAGAGGGCGGGGTACTGAATGGCAGTGACATTGAGAAGTAGATGACTTTTATCTTCCAGGGCTGGATGTTGTTGGACACACATTCTTATAGGACTCGGCCCTTAGGCAACCGCGTCATGTGCGGGGTTCCTAAACGACTACACGCTTACAAACGCATTCGGTTCTGCATGTGGATTTGGATGTACTGGGTTGGGAGGAATTTATCAGACCTTTAACGTATATATGCGTCCCATTTTCTATCTCAAATGTATCACACGGCATATTTATCAATCTTGCTCAAGAATTTATCACAATAAACGACTTTTAGGGCTCGTTTCACGCATACGTATCAACTACGTGAATGCTCAAACTGAGGCTTCGGGGGCTTCGGGTGAGGGCAAGGCGTCCAGCCAACGCCAGGAAATCACGGCCTGGATAAGGCAGGTAATAGCTGCGCCGAGTGAGTAAGTCGAACGATACTTTATTAGAGATGGGACTCACCTAATGCCACAGTCATGTAGAAGAAGCCAACACCTTCAAATAGTGAGCCGGTCAACAAAGGCCCGAGCATCATACCGAGACTGTATCCCACTTCAGTCATGGAAAATACTCGCAGGTTACTTTTGTTGGCCTCGAATAGATGCGGGTCCTTAGCTTCCATATCCTTGACAACATCTATATTGAAGAAATACCTTTCGTTAGTGGGGCAATAGAGCACATAAACCAAGGTTGGATCACTCACAGGCTAGTTGCACGGCTCCTACACCGCGCACAAGAGGTAGGATACTACCTAAAGCAATCAAACTGCTAGTGAAGATAGACTTCCCAGCTGCATGTCCTCCGGCCCAGGGGAAGTGGGCATCTCCGGGCATCCCTAGAAGTAGGAGTAGAGGGATCATGGCAAGCCAGCCGAAAACGGTGGGTCCCCGTATTCCGATTCGATCCCGAAGCCATCCAGATGGGCCGCTCAGCACGATATTCGGGACTTGGAGACAGAAGAACATCGTACTAATGAGTAAACTCTTCCAACCAAATGCTTGTCTTAGGTGGACGGGGAGAGTGTTGTTAATGCCAGACATGAGCGAGGAGACAACAACAACGTTAGCCAACGCAGTCAAAACACGGGGATCAGAGAGCATAGCTCTGTAGTATTCCTGTTTGAGGTTATGCTTGCTCTCAGGGTCGTCTGGGTTGACCGTAGACGGGGTATCAGAAAGCAGAGCAGTCGATTCTTCTGGGCCGTCGTTGCTGGGAACTGACGTGGCAACAGGTTTGCTCAAAGAATCCATGTTTGGATATCCGGGGCCAGGCTCAATCATGACCAGACGGGCAATGATATCCAAGACAAGTACGATCAAGGGAAGTGACCAGGCGGCCCAGTAGCCAAATAACTGGAGCAATGCGCCACTCACTGTTGGTCCGCCGACAATTCCTGCAGTTACAAAAGACATGGCCGTCCCCATTGACTGCCCGAGATGTTTCTTGTCCACATTGTTTGCTAGTAGAGCAAATCCAACCACCCAGGTGGCGGCGCCTGCCATAGATTGCAGGATGCGACCAAGGAAGAGGAGCCAAACTATTCACAGTAATCAGCTTCAAAGAATCCCGGGTTCGTGATCGAGATTATAGGTACACATACTAGATGGGGCGAGAGCAATCATAAGTGTTCCGATAAAACATCCTGCCAGAGCAATCAATAGCGGTTTCTTCTGGCTCGGAGTCTTCTCGGCAAGGTGAGCGACAATCGGAGCAGAGACGAGACCGATAAACCCATGTGTAGCGAGCAAAGCTGTGGTGTACGTCTGGGTTCGTGACGGATCAAGATGCAGTCGTTCTTCAAGCATATAACTCAATATCGGAGTAAGAAACCCGTAGAGAAATGTCTCTGATGGATTGTTAGTGTGACTCAGATGTGAGAGAAGCCCTCCACGGCTGGAGTGAAACAGCACACACATACCTGCGAATAAGGCAACAGTGATGGATGAAACCACCAGAAGCCGAGACGAACGCCATCTATAGCCCCATGGCTTTGTATCGTTCATTTTAATATAGCGAGAGCTTGACAGGAGAAGAAAGAAAAGTGGGGGCCAGAGAAGAAATTAGTTAAGTACTTAGGTAGTTTTCAGGCGGTAGCAAATGGAATAATATCTCTTCGCATTAAGCTAACTCATGGAGATAACACAATTCTCTGCTTTTACGAGCCCTGCATGTTTGGCTCCCCTCTCTTGCGCTGTTGACGGGATTCTATTGGCAATGAGTCAATTGAGATCCTCCTTGGCCGAACATCGTGATCGACGCACTGCACCTACAATGCACCTCTACTGCAATCCATCCTCAATGCATCTACAATCAAATACAGAAACGAGAACTTATGTGTCACACTTAGAGTTTACGGCCTTTGCTGCAGATCCCAAGTCTCATGTACATACTGTGTACACCTTGCACAAGTGTCACGAATCGAACTTCAAGAGCCTACATTTGTATTTTAATGCATATTGATCTAGTTACTTTGTGAGTCTAGAGCTAGGATTATGCAAATCCACGAATGTGTCTAGTCGCATAGAGCCCGTCGGGAACCGTCGGACATCCCAATGACTACATAGGCAGATGACAATAGTATCGGCACTATAACTTGCGTGTCCGGTCCTTAGGACTAAAACTGTTAAACGGCCGAATGTCTCGCGGGACAAAACCGGGCTTGCCATGCAATGCAGTGAAACAATAGTTCGAAGGATAAGCCGTGGCGTGAGACGGACATGCATGAGACCGATCTCACTGCAAACCCCATCCACGAGGATGCACCCCGTACGGAATTTATCAGCTCATCTTCATATAGCATTGTACTGGCCTGTTTATTCTTTATTCTTTGGTTGAAATTCACTTGGTAACCCTGCCCAATGTCAACGTACCATGCCGGCAGGAACTATATATACTACCATGTACCATCGGCGGTGGGCAATTACTATGACATCGAGCTTTATTGGTTGGATACTCCGAAATAGCTATGACCACACTATAGCTGCACATATAAAATGTCAACTATACATATTCAGTACTTATCCCGACTATATTCCATATTGCAGCCGCGATATCCTTCCAAGGTCGACTTCAAGGTGGATTCTCACCGCCCCACTATGTGATTTTTGACTCCAAATCCCGTCAACGTAACAAAGAGCAACGAGGTCATCAAAGGGCCTCATTTCGTTCATCCTGTGCATCACCAGGGTGGAAATAGTGTGTCACGCGACTTGGGCTTTTCATAGACCCTATCTGTGGCCATACTGTCGGACATATCCAGACGCCACATTCCGGAGCCCCTCCGGACTCGAGAACTAAACTCCGAGACGTGCATCTAGAATCATTCAAACTCGACCTAGATCAAAATGGCAGGCATTCAACACCCCCAGTCAGCGACTACAGTCTTTCTAGACCAGCCACCCAGTTGCCTGGAGTTCTGCCCCGAGGCTCCAGACCATTTCATCGTGGGCACCTACCTTCTATCAGAGAACAAAACAGAAGATGGGGAAGTCGAGCAGTCCAAAACTGGGAGTCTACAACTATGGAAATTAGACCCTGTTAGCAAAACATTGTAAGCCACAATCAATCGTATTACCTCGCAGGCTGTCCGAGAAACAAGTATAACAACTCTCATAACGAAACCACTAACAGCCCTTAGATCCCAAATCCAAAGAATTGCCGTCCCATACGCAGTATTTGACCTGCACTTCCACCCAAGACACAAAAACCTATTCGCAATCGCAAGCAGTGTGGGATCCGTGGCTCTATTCCAAGTATCCACCAACTCCACCACCGGAGACACATCCGCAACCCCAAGCATCACCCAGTTATGGACGAAGCAAGTACACGAAGACACATCAATCCCAGCACTTTTCCTCGCCTGGGCACCGCAAAACTGGTTCCCCAAGCCAGCCGATGGCTTCGCCGTCACATTCTCAGATAGCCGGACAGCCGTCTTCGGGACAGAGGGTGATATCCGTCAAGAGGAGAGTATAGCAGAATGGGGCACGTACGAAGCCAAACAAATGATCGAAGTCTGGTTTGTTGCGTTGTCAACAAGAACGGGAAACCCGGATCCTGAGACCCAGAACCCATCTGCGATCCCATTCATGTTCACGGGCAATGATTTCGGCTCGTTGCATACGCGCCGATTCGATAATAGCACCGAGCTGGATGATCCAGATGAGCATATCTCGCCCATGCTGCTCGAGCATGATGACCGAGCCCGTCATCACACTGCTGGTGTTACGGCCATCTTGCCTCTTGATGTTCCCTTGGTCGACGATGCCCCGGTTCTTCTGACGGGTTGTTATGACGAGAGTCTGCGTGTGTATCATGCTACGCGGAGGGGAGAGGTTCTCGCTGAGCAGGGGCTTGATGGTGGGGTTTGGCGACTGCAGTTGCTGAACACGACGAGGATTCCGGGCTCAGATGACCCGTCGAGTGTATCTGAGTACCGCTTTCTGGTGCTGGCGAGCTGTATGCATGCCGGGACGAGGCTTGTGCGGGTTACGTGCAAGCACGAAGATGGGGCTCCGAATTGGGGGATTGAGGTTCTGGCGAAGTTTACCGAGCATGAGAGTATGAATTATGCCAGTGGTGTGTGGGAGGATGGACAGGAAATGACGCCGTCTTCTGAGGTTTTGTGCGTCTCGAGCAGTTTCTATGATCGCAGGCTCTGTGTTTGGACTGTTGATCTATAGTCAAACAAAAAAGCCATGCCAATTTGGAGGCTTGGGGTTGGCTACGTTGACCAAATCCTACTGAAATTCGCAAGCCGAAATTATTCTAACATGATTGTGGTCATGAACACGCTAGAGAAAACACGATGCATAAGCGACAGGTATACAAGGACATCCGCGCCCGAAGACAAGAAAAAAGCCATTCATCCGAAGAAAGTATATCGTTCCCATTGATCCATTGAGCGTGTAATTAGACAATAGTCTCCAGCTCACGAGCATAACCCAATGCATTCTCAATAACGGTGCCGCTAGCCATCAGAATATCCTTCTCAGACCTAGCAGCCGCCTCCGGCTCAACAGGGAAGTATATCCGGCCGTCTCGGAGGATCCAGCCGCGCTGCTTGGCAAATTCGATCACTGCACCCTCAGACTCGAGGAAGAGGAGGTTCTTGGCGTTGGAAATGGGGAGGGATGGGTATGCCTTCTCTGAGCAACCTGCGATTTCATTGCGGATAGTGCCGATGAGAACCTAAGCTTCTGATTAGTATCCTTGCCGACGCAGATATTGAATTGAAAACTGAGCACGTATCCAACTTACATTTGAGAAGAGACCAAAGTCTTCCGACGGAACACGCTCGGACTTCGTCTCCCTCCACACCTTGTCGTAGCTTCCCTCCATCAAGTTGCGCTCCAACTCAACAGGGTACTTGATGCACGCATCATCCTCAACACGGCCACCCTTCAAGCTTGCCTCTTCCACCAATCCCTCTAGCACTGTGTGGAAGTTGGCACTGTCGCCCATGCTCAAAAGAAGAAGCAGATACAGCCCTGTAATCTTGCTGCGTTGGCTAGTGCTGAAGTCGACCTCCGAAGAACCCTGCCCGGGCAGACCGGCATGTCTCTCAAGATCGTAGAATGGCTGCAGTTGCTGGTAGTACCGTGTGAATAGCTGCGCGTCGGTCTGGCGGATGGAGGCGAGTGCTCCGAGTTCGAGGACTTGGCGGGCAAGGACGACAAGCTGGGGAGGTGTGGAGGAAGTCGGAATCAGGGCATTTTGCATAAGGAGAGCTCTCTTGGCACGGCTGAGGAGGTCGTTGGCGGCATCGAACTGTTTGCGCTCAATAGCACCGTGGAGCTCTGACACAAGGGACTGTAGATCGGACATGGCGGATGTGTGTGGGTTCAGTACAATGCTGAAAGGGAATAAGGTAGCCTGGCCGTGGTAAGGTGAAGGCAATAATTAAGACGGCGGAGACGATAGCGAGTTCTGGTTTTGGTTGATGATTGTTGGCGACATTCAGATGCTCATGACGGAGCTGCGCTAGGCGGTCAGCTTTCAGTCACGTGTGGTCATTTTGATATCGCCGGTTCAAGGTTGGCCCTTCTTCGTTTTAACTCATTACCTGTCATCACAATGAGTATTGCCTGTTCGATCTCAATATTTTTAGCTGCTAGCGGTCGCTACGATGCCTCGTTCAAGCTCGCGAAACGTAAACTTCTTTGATGGTTTGACACGTGATCACCTCGGTGGTGTTCGACAAAATGGGTCAATCACCAATATCAACTTTTTTAACATGCTTACGGACATATTACTCGTCGTTGAAGCACCAATTACAATCAAGTCAAGAGACACTGGGCATCCACTTCCATTGAACACCGAACCCTTGAAAGCGGGAGACTATGATATCTTTTGCAGTCAAGGTAACTTTAGAAGTTCTACGAGAATCGTAATGAAAGCCATACTCAATATGGCTAACTTTAGCAGGAAATATCAAGCTCACCGATGATGTATGCGTGCTACGGCTAATTCACCAAGGGGACGAGAGTGCTCAAGAGGACTCTTTCCGGGATAGCGTACGGGCGCGAGACGGCAGGTGTGTTTTGACTGGAGTGATAAACGCTATCGCTAGTGATGACGATTACAGCTGATGTGAATTTGAAGCAGCCCATATCTTTCCTATGGAGCAGGAGGAGCTTTGGAACAAAAACAACTACAGCCAATGGATTACGAATGAGACGGGATGTCATAGCGCGTCTATCAACTCCATCCAGAATGGCATATTGCTTAGTGCAAGCATGCATCGATTATTTGATATCTATTTCGTAGGTGTGAACCCCGATGTAAGTGATTTCAATTGAAGTTGGCAACATTTGAAGCTATATCTTTGCTAAGTTTATCCTAGGATAACTACAAAATCACTCACTTCAGTTACGACAACTGGAGTGTTGACAACCGAGTGTTAGAGGATGTATGCCGCAAGGAGGGCAGTCCCGATCGCGTTGCAGATGAATTACTCCGTTGGCACTTTCGCCAGTGTGTGCTAGCCAACATGAAAGGGGATGGCGAACCAGTCTTCGAACACGACTTGGGCACGGATATGATCGGAGAGATCCTCCGGGGGCCGTATCCCGCAGAGCGTATGGAAATGGAGCTCTATTCCCGGCTTCGGGGTTTGCAGGATAAACCCTCATGATGTGCGAACAACGTCTATCTTTACATATCATGTAGTTGCTATACAAGAGAATAGTACTAATTATTCCTTCTAAAAAAAAAAATCCTTTTTGGCCCTATTCTACTATCTACCTAACAAACTGAGAAAGAGGAGGAAACATCTATATAACTAGACTTCCTAGCTGAGGAGACCAAAATATACATGAAAGACCTCAAAAAGAAGTCTACCGAAGACGTCCAAGGTATTACGCCAGGACTGGTGTACGTACAATATATACCTAGGTAGTAGACCCTCCAGGGCTCTCAATGGTCTATTTTATACTACCTAGGTAGTGCATATGGATACATGTATCCTACGGCCTGATAAGTGATTTTACCATAATGAAGACCCACAGCGCAAGGCACAGACGCCGTAGCTAAACTTCGTAAATTAACAAAATTACCGATTCAGACCCACATGTATGTATGTATTGTACGTTACTAAACTTCGGAGTCCGGTAAGGCTGCCCCACTTGCTAGGTATCCTTATCATCCTTATTGTTGCTATCCTTATCGAGGCTACCAAAAACTAGACGTAACTGCAACATACTAGTCCTTCCCAAAATATTAACGTATCTTTTATGACGAGAACATCAGCTTTGAGAACCTTGGAAGCATTTTCTGGATGCGGTTGCCGACATCTATAACGATTGGAGAGTAAGCCTCCTACCGGTGCTACGCATGCAGACATTAATAACACTCTGTCTCCTAACTGACGATCATTTTAGATTGAATGGGTGAAAAGTATCGGCAATGTTACAGACGACTTCAAGAATGAGTTTGTGCCAAACTACTACAGCCTTCTAGAAGGATTTTATGCTCAGCACGATGGGCCTTATCTCTTTGGCGAGAGGATCACTTACGCAGATTTTGCCATATATCAGTCTATCCACAACAACACAAAGATTGGCGGGTCGTCGGTGGGTTGTCCTTATTTTACCTATTATTACTGTCTGTCAGGTACACTTCTCACTGACTTGCTTTCTTCGGAGTCTTCCAGGCATTTCTGTAAGACGCTCTCGCCAGGTTTAAAGCGGCGTTCGAAGCTCGGCCTAATATTGTAGCGTATCTTGTGAGCAGCGATGCTTGAAATGTGGTCTCCTACCCAATATACACGTCATTCTGCTGTCTATATCCTTGCGCATTGTGCTTCAGTGGGGTAGATAGTTCTTTTTTCTTCCAAATTCAAATTGGCAAGGGACGCTGTCGAATCCTTTGTGCCATGAATCTGCAGCGTGCTTTCATAAAACTAGACTACACTCAGATTCATATCTAGGCCTGACCATCTGACAATGCCAATTTCACAAGTGTAGGGAATAAGGGCGTGCCTAGCCCTGTCACCGGATCCCAGCCTTCGGTGGCATCCCAGCTCGCATTCCGTACCCGAGCATCGCTAGGGTTCCGCTTACAGCCCAAGGAGCTGCCTAGAACAATATCCGTGAACCCTGTTTGGCAGTGACTATACAACCATGGGTTTAGGAAGCCCATTCGAGGCTTACCCTGGGCAATACGCGCAGCGTTGAGCCGAGATATTACCCCTGCAAGCACTGGCGTTGAAGCACTGTACACGTCAGCTCATTGCTCTCCAAAAATTTGCCAAAGACAAACCTTGTGCCGCCAACCGAGATCCACTCGCCCTGATCCCGAACAATGAAGTTCGCGGCTTGGGCTGATATGTCGGGATACCCTCTTCCCGTAGCATTGTACAGTCCATTCCATTGATTTCCAAGATGACCGAGGTAGCCTTTCACTGCCTGGTTTTGGTATTGGGGACGGGGAACACCTCTGAAAAGCCGCCCGCAGAGAAGGAAACCGCCTTTTCGGGGTTGATGCCGTACGTTCCACCCACGGCGGTAACAAATGGACAAGAAGCCGGATATCCGGGAAGGAATCTAGTTTGATTTGTCCCGTCATTTTTCACACAAGAACTTCCCGGACCAGCATCCCCGCTACCGAAAAGTATCGATACACCCCGAGCACCGAGCTGGGCAAATAGGCTGCAGGTTGCGTTTAAATATGACAGTGGGAGACTCTGCTCGTTTTCTCCGTACGAGTTGGACAACACTGCCGGGAGCTCTTCGTCTGGGAGATCCAAGAGGTAATGGAGCTGTTCAAGATATGGCTCGTTTGATGACTCGGTAGGGTCTGGATGAGTTATTTCGGGGACAACAGGACCGCGACCTCCAGTGCTATAAAATGTTGCTAGCACTTCATCCACCAGCGGAATAGAGTACTGTACATCTAGGTTTGCTTCGACACTATCAGACATGGAGTGTTGATCATCCTGGCCGCCGTTGATCGAGACGACACTGAAGTTCGCGTCTGTGTGGCTTTGGGCGTAACGACTCAAGAACTCGTCGAAATCAGCGTGGCGAGCATATTGTTCCAGGAAACCAGATATCCCCAGTCGATTCCGCCAATCGGGTCTGGTGGTCGTGTTATCAATTTTGTACAGGTCCCGAAGGCAGGCTGGTGTGATAGTAACATCGCATCCAGCGGCTAGCTGCTCGGAAGTCGCTATCTTCGGTTTTAAAACGGAGCTTATTTGAGGCACGAGGTTTCCGAATAGAGTTGTAGGCTGAATCAATTGAATATGGGGATGTAAGGCCCTGGGTACAGAATAGCCAAGAGTTCGAATTGCTGGGCTTTGCTGGCCTTGTTGGTAAAAATAGAAAAACTGCGTCTTCAGCATCCGCTCAGCCTGGGAAATTTGAAGTGTGAATGAGATCCAATGGCCATCTAAGTTGATAGAATTGGCTGGGACATTTTCTGATTGCAGCCATGCAATAATCTTGTCTGAAATGGTAGGATGGGGAGTCAAGAATTGCTTCACTTCGTCCCTACTCATATGTTGACCATAGCTCGGGTGATCCGGGGTTGACAATTCGATGACCTTTTGCTCGAACCCTCTGGCGTTGTGCTGGGCAATGGCTAGTCGGAATTTTATAAATTTAGAGGCCGGCGGTTTATCCCCTCTTGACCAGCCATCCGGTGCCTTGTCTAGCTGTTCAACCAGTTGGTGGCTGGCATCGACGAATACCAACTGGGTATAGCATAGAAAAAGGGCCAGGGCCTGAAGAAGTACAAATTGCAGTCTCATTTTGTCATTAAATACTTGCTAAAGTAGAACGGTTAATAAATATCATGCCAGGGCCATCAGACTACGTAAATATATCAGATTCTAGAAGAGTGGAAAATATATGGACATTCCGCACATTCAAAAAACTAACCATGTCATTTGGCAAGTGAATAACTACCCGAGCTAGGTACATATGTAGTAGAGATATGACGTTGATACCAAGTAGGGACACAACAGTACAACGTTGCACACCATCATGATAGTCACCGACATCTGCCATGTGCCGAGCCTGAGTCCACTCGTGTAAGCTAAGATATTCTTATGACTGCCGGCATGTCCGGTCCTGCATATCTAGATACAAGACATAATTGTGAAATGTTACTCTAGATACGCGCGTGTCTCTGTTTTTAGCGAAGACAGGATATATCAATTCAAGTCTAAGTTCCGAATAGAGGTGGAAATTAAGCTTATTTAAATTTGCAAATAGGATCATGCAAGTTACAGTTGGCTGTCGCCCTCACCAACAAGAGGAATGACCCATGGAGACAAACTGCCTGTATATGTACTACGCCCTAAAGCACATCAACTTTATATTGGGCGCAAGTCATATGGTTCTGTTTGACTCTGTGGGATTTAAAGGCTGTAGTCAGTCTGTACTAACCCGGCTATAAAGAGATGATCGACCGGCATGTCCTCGTGAACAATCTCACAATCTCACTTGGCCAGTGTTTGCTTGTGCAACGGAGCAAAACCTTACATTGCAGTAGTCCAGTCCAGTGCTCCCTCTGTATTACCCCCATGCACGAATGGAATATGCTCAGCTCTCGAGGCTTCCCGTATCCCTCACTGGACTAGAAAGAGCTTTATCGGTCTAGAGTGTGTCACTCACATTAGAAATCAAATCTCATTCTGTCAGAGCAAAACAAACCACTCCCATGTGGCATCCTCAATTGGGGGAATCTGTCATCGTCTGTAGTTTTCCAATCTCATAGTCTCCTTGTAGGGTAACGTAATATGGATACGTATGGATGCATAGTATGTGGCAGAGTTCAACAAGAAGTATAAGTTAAGTTGATGCCTTGTAGCCTGAATATCCGGATCATCTGATTTCCGAGCTCCGTGCAATGCGGGATGATCGACGTCACAGTGAAGCTGCAGTGATTGTCGCGTCAATCTGAGGTCTGAGGCCAATCACTTCAAAAAAAAGAGGATTTATAACTGGATACTGTGGGATTGACTTTAATATAGCCCAACTATCCGAATATCCGAACTTATTTTGGATTTTGACCCCGAGGGATTTGATATAAGTATTCGAATGTGGGGAAACACTGCTATTTTCGCTCACAGCTACACTAGGTATGTATCACGATCATAATCATCTTTTACAAATAAGCTTATCCTGATGGAAAACAGAATCTGATTGATTTGGCTTCAATACCGTGCGGGGTGGTATGATCGACGTGGGATCCTATCGACGTCATTACTACATTCCCACCTATCTCACGGAGCCTCGACCTTCCCCGGTCTTGCATCTCCGCTTTCATTCCTGAACCAACATTTTTAACCTGCGCCATGGCTGATACGGAAATACAACAACTACGTCGCCCGTCGGCGGATAATCAGACAGTCTCGAAAGCCGATATCCCTTTGAAGGAACGCTTCTTCCGCTACTTCCAGCATGAGATCACCGGTATGTTCTCGTTGATACACATCTAAACGTCACTTCATTGTCAAGCAACACAAATGACCAGATCCTTGCTAATAAAAATACCATTCTAGATTTGCAACAGGAGATGGATCGTCTCGCAGACACGTCTCTTGTGGGTGGTGAACGTGCCGATGCAACAGACCACTGCCTTGCCGGGATCGTGCGGTTATCCAACGAAGTCAAGGATGCAGCGAGCTATATTCCCACTTATGATCAGAGAGTATATGCAGAGGTAAATATACTCACACTCTATCTTGATAGACCAGAGCTGACATCTCTATAGGCAATCAAAGCTTTGCAGGATCGGTTGAGCGAGACACGCGCAGCTTTCGAGCCCCGATCAAAGTTTAGCTTCAAGAACAAGAAGAATACCTCTGCTGTCTCTTTGTCTGACGCTGCCGTGGTGGGAGTTGAAGGACGCCTTAGTATCCCTGGGTACCATTCTCCGGGTGGCTCGTCCGTTGACTCGTCCGCGAACCACACACCCAACTACCCTTCCACCCCACTGAACGAGCCCGATAAACAGCAACAAGAGCGACCGGAGCTTGCGCCCACTTCATTTCCAGGTGTTTCAGTCGGCGACTTCGGCGCAAAGTCCCCCTCTGGTCCATTTGCGGCCACCGGCATATCCTCTGTGTCAGTCGATGATCATCAGGGACTTCACATTATGCTTCCGGCCTCCGGGTCCACATCCACAGTCCCGGTGTCTATTACCTCCCTGGATCGTTGCATCGTTGATATGTCCATTCCCACTGCCAACGGAAAGCCATATGCCAGTCTGACTGCCAAGGGTGTCCAGGAAAGTTTATTGATCTGCGGTCAAGTCAACGGCCCTGCACACATTACCGGCGTTGAGCGTAGCGTGATCGTGGTATCATGCCGCCAGTTCCGCATGCACAACTGCAGCAACGTTGATGTCTATCTCAGCTGCTCTAGTAACCCCATTATCGAGGACTGTTTCAATATTCGGTTTGGTCGGATCCCAAAGGCCTATGTCAGTGTTTACCCGTGGCTATATCCTTTCCTCGGATTTGTACTTATACTTTTCTATTTAGGCCTTGAATCATGACCGCCCCGACCACGAAGACCGTTGGAGCCAAGTCGAGGACTTCAAATGGATTAAGCCGGAGCCTAGCCCAAACTGGAGTCTGCTCGATCAAAACGATGCCGTTCCCGAAGAGGTCTGGGCGGAGATTGTTCCCGGCGGGCCGGGATGGTCTCTTGAGGACATCTTACATGCCATAAAAGTAGTCCCGAGCTAGTTTCCCCCGCCTGATTGATTGATGTCTTGCTTCCTACTTGAATGGTCATGTTCGCACAGGACGCATCCTCGATATCAATCGTCATCATACGCTCACACGATCGATAACGCCATTTTACTTTAAACAATCATACGTTGACTCTTTTTGTTTTTGTTTTTTTCTTGGCGTCACCACGATCAATTACGACTTTTGCGATCTTGGACTTCGGGATGGACTCAAGCTTAGTTGCGCTACTTCACCTATGTACTTGTAGTCTCAGCTATGTACTTGTACCTACGGACAGAAATATAAAAGATTGATGGAGGACCTTATATTGATTTGAGTCTTATGTACAATTCATTGGATGGAACTACCTACCTAATGTACTTGATTTCCTCTGCCACTTCTTGGCGTTCCCTTTCCGTTTTGGTAGGGACTAATTTACACTGGTGACGGCGTTGATTCTTGATTGACATTATCATCAAACCTGTTGTCATCTGGATCTTTCCAAAAAAGTTCTAGGTCATCTTCATCTGCCTCTTCATCCACATTCCTGCCATTTGGAATACAAGGATCAACGCCTTCAAGAATCTTTAGTCCTGGCAGTTTGGCATCTTTCTCACTCGCCAGTTGCTCAATTTGGGCATTGACATCTAGATCAGATTCGTAATCCAGATAGGGAGTATCCGCAGGCTGTCCATGCCCGTAGATCCGGAGAGACTCAAGAGTAGACGGGATATGGTCAACAAGATTGAAAGACTCTGAGTCAAGCTGCTTCTTGCCATCTCCTGCACCTCGAGCTAGGTAGCATAGCGTATGGGCTCCAATACTGAGATTCTTGAGCCGTGGAAAGTCTTTCAGGGAGACGCGCATGGGTGCGATTTCTGGGGCGGCTAGCTCCTGCAGCTCGTCTGCCCATTGCTCCTCATAATCTTTTCGGTCCTCTTCGGTCATCCCACCTTCTTGACGGGGTTGATATTCTTCATCATACAATTCTTGCCGAGGTATCTGGTTCTCCATATCCAGATTCAATTCTTCTAGAGTCTGGCGATGCATCCAAAGGGACTTGAATATCGGAGTCACGCATAACACGGGGTTGCCACCCTCAGGGTATAAACGACCACCGATGGTGGAAGTAAAACTTTTCAAGGTCTTGGCGGATTCGATGATACGGCAAAGATCCCAACTTTCCATTACAGAATGTGTAAAGCTGACCTTAGTGTAGTTGGCGGAACGGGGAGGAGGTGGTATTCCGGCTTCATTGCTCCACGTTACCAGCTTGAAAGCGACCGATTCAACAGCCGGAAGTTTGCGGACCATATTGAGCCGATGATAATATGGGTCTTCAACGTACTCATTGGATTCATTAAGCTTATCGTCTGGGTGGAAGCTAATATTTCGTAGATTTTGGCAGTATGGCACCGACTCTGCAGATGCAGAGGCCCGACATAGCAACCTTTGGAGAAGATTCACCCTTTCATAATTCCCAGTAGGTGAAGATCGAATGTATTCCTGTAATGGATACATTGAAATGAATTCAAGATTCGGGGCAGCTGCAACTAAGAGCGTAATGAGGGCATCTTTGAACTGAAGTGCTTCCGTGCTTGAATCAGATCTGTATTGCTAGTGAGTAACAACGCAGCACTCTGTGAGATGTTCATAGACAGAGATAAAAGCTTACTGGAATTTAGCAGGGTTTCTTGAAAGCATGGATAAAATTGACTCGCGCTCCTGTGCATCTTGGAAGCCGGCGCGTAGAATTGCTTGCTTGAGTCTGTCGATGTCGTCGGGGGAAAGCACAGAATCTTGGATCGAATTTTCAGAGTCAGGATCAAACTCAATCATTCCAGTTCCGTACAGGTCCACACGACGAAGATAAGCTCCAAGGGAAGGGGGTCGTAAGATGGCAACTAATGTGTCTAGGCCAGCTTGGAGTACAGCTTCATGGGTCTGCGGGTACTTCTCTCGGCCGAACTTCAATTGATGATATTTCTGACGATTTTTCACCTCACGTAAAGCATGTATTCCACGGTCTTGCTGCGACATGGCCATGGCGTCGTATGTCGAAAGTTTGTTGTTCACGTTGAGCAGCAATTCACCGGGAAGATTCTGCAGGGACGGCATTTTTGCCCGTGTAGCGACACTGCGTCGAATCAAAGCCTTGGGAAAGCAAAGAGTTCGGAACATGTGTTCACTACCACCGCGTTGACAAGCGCGCAGATAACCATGAGTTTTCATACACCGGTAGGTTAATTTGCTACTCCAGAGCGAGCATATGTTAACACAATCGATCAAAACACGGCTCGGGATGTATCACATCAACAAACTTGATTTCCTCGTAGCATACTCACAACCTACCGTCCACGCGTTTAAATTGAGGAAAGATTAAAATAGCTATGACGCAGCTGGTTTATTGCCAGTGGTTTTTGAACTATTGCTTCAAAGCCTAATGTTGGCCTTTGTACGGAGTACGTCTACGTTCACTTGAAGGACTTCCTCGTGGGGAAGATAAGTTCCACAGACCAACCGCCTAAAGTAGAAAAGAGGTAGTGACACGGCAAGTACGTAAGGGTATAAGTTTGTTTAGGTGTCATATATAGGCCCTATACGACTGGGGAGGGTACTAAGGTAGTAGAAAAATAAGCTACACCTACTTAATCAATAATAATAATAATATCGGGGTGATCCTTACCTAGATCAATAGGGTTAGCTACATCCTGATAGCAAATACAGAATAGGATATGAAACACATTTCCATGTTCAAGTGTGATCAGTAGCATTACTTTTGAGGCATATTCTAGGTCCCTGTTCGCGATCCGGCAAAGCTCAGGTTTCACCCGTGTACCAAGTTGTCAGAACTTTGGGGTAATTCTTCGCATGGTAGCCCAGGTCTTCATAGACGGTTTCATCTCCTGGGGTTCGGGTTAATCTTAGCCTGGTTAACAGAGAATCAACAGAGCAACATACCTTTGAGAGAATCCACCCGATGCTCGTTTTCATCTTCCAGCTTCTCCAATTCCTGACCAGGCTCTTCCTCGTGCTGCTGTTTACCACCCATAGCAAATGCAGCCTTGCCAAGGTCATTCTGCGCCTCGCCGATCATGAGGAATTGGGAATTAGGATAGTCCAGGAACTCGGGCTGCAGAGGCACCCATCGAAGATCTGAGAATTTCTCGAGGACCCTAACAACGTTAATATGAGAATGCCACAATTTCTTTATGGAGAACTACTTACTCTGGAGGGTATTCTGGGCCTTTCGGTAGTTGACCCACTGGTGGACCAGCGAACTTGGGACTCTTCGACTGAACGATCCAGCTGCCTCGTTCTTGCAGGCCGAAGTCCTCCTGAACATCACCCAACTCGGTAGGGATGGTCAGGATGTAAGCGAGGTGGGATGCCCGGGGTGTGGAAGTGATCGCGTAGACACCTTCAGCGTAGGGTCTAGCTTCCTCGACGTGGCGCTCACCGCGGGTGGAAGTCTCGTATGTTCTACCGGTGATGAACTTTTCATGAAGCTCTTGCATAGTTTGTCCAGCTTTCTCCACAAATCCCATATCACGTTCTTTGGATGAGGTTGGATACTTCTTTTTCGGAAGAATCATCAGGCGACATTTGGCGTCTTTGTCGACGGGGCCTTGGCCTTCGTCGAATTCCGCTCCAAGGACGGTTGGACGGAGGACAAAGAAGCTTCGGGAGACATCGCCGATATCCTGAGGTTCCTCTATGTTGACGCGTGGGCGGAAGAAGAAGTAGATGAAGCCTTTTTCGAGGATGTTGGAGGAGACTACGTTTTCCCTCTCCTCGGATTTGCGAAGACCTCCTTCGACTTCTTGAGGCTTCTCCGGAGGGGCTTCGACAGGTTTCTCCTTTGGTGGTTGTGCTTCGGATGGTTCTTCTGCCTTGACAGGTTCCTCCTCTCTCTTCGCTGCTGGACCGTCTGATACATGCTCGGCTTTCTCTTCATCTGGCTTTGTATCCTCCGTTTTCTCTTTTTTGGGCTGCGGGGCTTTTTCGGTTGAAGCTTTCCGTTTCGTTCCCTTGGAAGTCTTGCCAGTCGGCTCGGCGGAAGTCGAAATGGCTTCCTTGGCCTTCTGGGCCGCGTTGCGTGAGGATGTTCGTGCAACCATGATGAATGGTGGGGTTCTTAAATAGTGGTAAAGTCTGAGACGTATCTGGAGCATCGAGGTAGATTTAGCCTCCAGAGCTGCAATGAGATACACATGACGTCATGTTATACAGGCAAATCCGCAAACATCTGTATTGTACGTTACTTTTGCCGAAAATGACCACTGAGAATGACATTATAAGGACATTTCAGTCTATATCCATCTCGTCGGCCATGGGTGAGTTATCCGTGCCATCATTGCCACCACACAGGTCGATTGATGCCGTCTCAGAACCTGAGCTTTCATTCGCGTTGGCTTCCCGGAATGTCCCAAATGAATCTATGTCTTGGGCATGCCACTTTGGCAGTTCAAACCTTCGTCTTTTGGGGGAATGCCCATGCTCTTCAGGCTGAGTCCCGGCCGATGCATGTCCTTGTGCCAAGTGTGGATAGCACTGCTGTGTAGCGAGAGCGTTGTGGGCTGGCTTTCTCTTCTTCCCTCTCTTTCGCACCAAAGGCATTGCATTGCTATCAAATCCAACGTGTTCGTAGTCTAACCCATTCAGATAGTCTGTCAACTCGCGCTGCCATTGCTCGAACGGATCTGGGAGACATAGTAGATCTACCCTTGGCACGCTAGTTTCTAAATCATCGTCGGGCTCTTCTATATCGTAGGGCTTGATAATTCGAATGTTGTCGCTCTCCTCGAATGGATTCGTGTCCTGGGTAGGCGTTGAAGGTCCTGATCCGTTCATACTCTGCTCAGTATCTTCCGGCTGGGGGTCTGCTGCAGCATCAGAAGAAGTAAACCCGGCGAAGTATTCAAAGGGCTGGTCTGGCTTGGCAGGACCCGTGTCATCCATTGGGACGTCCCCCATACTTCTATATCAAGCCTTGAACCAAACGGTGTTGACATTCCGGTCCTCGGTAAAGTAGACTGTTGGACGGTCAAGTCGCAAGATCCATAATCGGGTCTAAAGAAAGATCGACGGAGTGTGTAATCAATGAAATGCACATATGCTATTAAATATTGAGTATATCAAGAGAATAGTAAAAACGTAGGAAAAGGAACTCGCACGAAAGTCATGGTCGTCATAACATCATGGGTTTCCAGATGCTTCTAACGTGGGGGTAGATGGGGAACAGGATATATCTCCACTCGTCGAAGTTGAGCTTTGAATGTATAACCACAAAAAAAGAGTCCATAATTAATTCAATCTATAATAGTAGTAGATCGAACATTATTTTTTACCTTAACCCTGATCTAAAAGCCATAGTAATGTTGTGCACATGTACAGAGTAGAGATCGAGACCAACCCCCTGACCGCTCACCGCCCGGCAGCATGATTGGCCCATGTCATTCGCTTCCACAATAGAGTCCACGTTTAGTTTACTGCTACACCTACACCAGCACCAAGTGTTTACCTTTCGCTCTTTTCTTTCTTCCAGGTGGATGCGGTGGTCGCCTCTGCCTTATATTGCTCTCTAGTGTGCGGAGCTTGCTACTTTACAGTGCGGCTCCGGCCAAATCTTCAAGATGCAGTCCTCCCCAAACATGCTCACCAAGGTACACCCTCCCCCTCGGGCATCTTAATGCGCAGACCACGGGACTCAATTGCAAATGCTAATGATTCTCTTACTCGTGCAGTTTGAGTCGAAATCCTCCAGAGCCAAAGGAATCGCGTTCCATCCCAAACGGTCAGTCAATCCCGCGGAGGGACACCTAACACCTCAAAAACACCCAATCTGACCTCTAAACAGGCCATGGATTCTTGTCTCCCTCCACTCCTCTACCATCCAGCTATGGGACTACCGCATGGGAACCCTTATCGACCGATTTGAAGAACACGATGGTCCAGTTCGCGGTGTTGACTTCCACCCAACCCAGCCCCTGTTTGTGTCGGGAGGTGACGATTACAAGATCAAGGTTTGGAACTACCAGACCCGGAGGTGCTTGTTCACATTGAATGGCCACCTGGATTATGTGCGAACAGTTTACTTCCACCCCGAGCTGCCCTGGATTCTGTCTGCGTCCGATGACCAGACCATTAGAATCTGGAACTGGCAAAATCGGTCACTCAGTAAGGATGCATTGGAGCTACCTGTATTAACACCAACTAACGCTGTGACTTGTTCTTAGTCTGTACGATGACCGGTCACAACCACTATGTGATGTGCGCTCAATTCCACCCTACCGAGGATCTCATTGCCTCGGCCTCGTTGGATCAGTCGGTTTCGCATTTGGGACATCTCCGGCCTGCGGAAGAAGCACTCGGCCCCAACCTCGATTTCCTTCGAAGATCAAATGGCAAGAGCCAACCCGAACCAAGCTGATATGTTCGGAAACACCGATGCAGTCGTTAAGTTTGTGCTTGAAGGTCATGACCGTGGAGTTAACTGGGTGTCGTTCCACCCCACACTGCCCTTGCTCGTGTCCGCCGGTGACGACCGGTTGGTGAAACTCTGGCGGATGAGTGATACCAAGGCATGGGAAGTCGATACTTGCCGCGGCCATTTCCAAAATGCCTCCGCCGCTCTGTTCCACCCACACCAGGACCTCATCCTTTCGGTCGGCGAAGATAAGACGATTCGCGCCTGGGATCTTAACAAGCGTACATCCGTTCAGTCATTCAAGCGCGACCTTGATCGATTCTGGGTTATCGCTGCCCACCCCGAGATGAACCTGTTTGCCGCGGGCCATGACACCGGTGTTATGGTCTTCAAGCTCGAGCGAGAGCGCCCTGCGTCTGCCATCTACCAGAACCAGTTGTTTTACATTACAAAGGACAAGCATGTTAAGTCATATGACTTCGCCAAGAACGTCGAGTCGCCGCCGATGCTTTCCCTGCGCAAGCTGGGTTCCCCATGGGTTCCTCCTCGCACCCTCTCTTACAACCCCGCTGAGCGTGCCATTCTGGTTACGTCGCCCGCTGATAATGGAACTTATGAACTGATTCATCTCCCCAGAGATGCTACGGGGGCCGTTGAGCCTACTGATGTTAAGCGTGGACAGGCCACTTCGGCAGTCTTCGTCGCCCGCAACCGCTTCGCTGTCTTCAACCCCTCGAGCCAGCAGGTCGATATCAAGGATCTCAGCAACTCCACAACGAAGACAATCAAGCCCCCAGCAGGCACGACCGATATCTACTTTGGTGGTACCGGATGTCTGCTCTTCATCACCCCTACACATGTTGCTCTGTTCGACATTCAACAAAAGAAGCAGCTTGCAGAGCTTGCTGTCAGCGGAGTGAAGTACGTGGTGTGGTCTAACGATGGTTTGTACTGCGCTTTGCTTAGCAAGCACAACGTCACCATCGTGACCAAGACCCTCGAGCAGGTAAGCACCTTGCACGAGACTATTCGCATCAAGAGTGCTACCTGGGATGACGCCGGTGTCCTGCTCTACTCCACCCTTAACCATGTGAAGTACTCCCTTCTCAACGGTGACAATGGTATTATCCGCACTCTTGACCAGACAGTATACCTGGTGCGTGTTAAGGGACGTAGCGTCTATGCTCTTGACCGCAACGCTCAGCCACGCATCTTGGAGATTGACCCAACTGAATACCGTTTCAAGCTCGCCCTTGTGAAGCGGAATTACGATGAGATGCTCCAGATTATCAAGACCTCGAGTCTGGTTGGCCAGAGCATCATCTCTTATCTGCAGAAGAAGGGTTACCCAGAGATTGCCCTGCAATTCGTGCAAGACCCCCAGACGCGCTTCGACCTTGCCCTTGAATGTGGTAACCTCGAGGTTGCCAATGAAATGGCACGGGAACTCGACCGTCCCAAGATCTGGAGCAGGCTTGGAGCTGAGGCATTGGCTCATGGTAACCACCAGATCGTCGAAATGACTTACCAAAAGCAGCGTAACTTCGACAAGCTCTCTTTCCTCTACCTCTCTACCGGTGATGAGGAGAAGCTTGCTCGTATGGCTAAGATTGCCGAACACCGTGGCGACTTCACCTCTCGTTTCCAAAACGCCATCTACCGTGGGGACGTTGAGGACCGAATCCAGATGTTCAAGGAAGTGGACTTGTGTATGTTGTAACCCTGGTGGCAATTGTTTCTTTCGTACTAATTTTCGCCAGACCCTCTCGCCTATCTTACTGCCAAGTCACATGGTCTGATTGAAGAGGCCGAGTCGATTTTGGAGGCTGTTGGTCTCACCGAAGATCAAATTGTCCTACCCACACTTGAACAACCACTGAAGGTTCCTCACCCTATTGTGCCCACTTTCAAGTCCAACTGGCCTGTTAAGGCTGCCGGTCACTCCTCCTTTGAGAAAGCTCTTCTTGGAGAGGTTGGTGTGGATGAAGAGGCTGGTGCTGATGGCTTCGAGATTGAGGAAGAGGAGCAAGAAGCTGCTGTCGCCCGGGAAACACTAGATGAAGACGAGGAGGAAGTCTCCGGATGGGATATGGGTGATGATGTCAATGTTGAGGAAGAGGTCGACTTCGTCAATGTGGAAAGCGCCGAAGCTGGTGCGGGCAGTTCTGAGGCCGACTTGTGGGCTCGTAACTCGCCGCTGGCTGCTGATCACGTCGCCGCTGGCTCTTTCGACACTGCGATGCAGCTCTTGAACCGCCAAGTTGGTGCCGTTCAGTTCGCTCCTCTCAAGGCTCGCTTCCTCGAAGTCTACAAGGCGTCTAAGACCTATCTCCCGGCCACTGCTGGTCTGCCGCCTTTGGTCAACTATGTGCGCCGGACTGTCGACGAGACTGAACTCCGGAAGATGCTTCCCATCATTCCCCGGGACCTAGAGACTGTTGCCGGTGTTGACCTGCAGGAGGGTTATGCCGCCATGCGGTCCAACAAACTGGAGGATGGTGTAGCAACCTTCAAGCGCATTCTTCACACTGTTCTCGTTAACACTGTCTCATCCGAAGCCGAGGTGGAGGAGGCAAAGAAGATCATTGCCACTGCCCGGGAATACATTCTCGCCATGTCGATCGAGCTCGAGCGCCGTTCTCTCACCACCGACTCCCCTGACAACCTCAAGCGCAGCCTTGAGTTGTCCGCCTACTTCACAATCCCCAAGCTCGAGGTCGCTCACCGTCAACTGGCATTGATGGCTGCAATGAAGTTGGCCTTTGCCAATAAGAACTACGGCTCAGCCTTGAGCTTTGCCAACCGCATGCTGGCCAATGGGGGCTCCGCTAAGCTTTTGGAACAGGTAAGGCTTTTCTGGAAATTGAATCTTCAACTTGTGATATACCAATACTAACCCCGAGAAACAGGCCAAGAAGATCAAGGCTCAATGCGAACGCAACCCTCAAGACCAGATCGATATTGACTTCGACCCCTTCGCCGAGTTCGACATCTGCGCTGCCTCCTACACTCCTATCTACAGCGGCTCTCCCAGTGTCTCAGACCCATTCACCGGTGCCAAATACCACCCCCAGTACAAGGGAAGTGTTGACCGGATATCGGATATTACAGAAATTGGTGCCCCGGCCAGCGGCCTGCGCCTGTTCGTCCCCAGTCAATTTTAGTTGCCGCATGACGAAGCATAATGGTTTTCTCCCTTTTTTCTCTTCTTGATACGAAGTTACAAAATGGGTACATTTTCATCTGCAGGAGGAGAAGTTGTGTTTGGCGGCGCTTTTCATTTTTCATTTTTTTTTCGGCTGGGAGAAAGACAAAACTTCCTGCACACAGTCCCCGTCCCTTGTCTAGATGTCTTTTTGTATCCAAGATTATAATTGCTTAGCGATCTAGTTTGTATGCGAACATGTTTTGTCCAAAAGCTCTCTTCTAGACATAACCCGAAGGTGATGCCTTATAGTCGGTCGGTAGTTATATATCCCGCTGTCAGTAGTGCTAAAAGTACAACCCATCTTGATTTGCCAAAATATGCATGTCTAATATACAAGGGAGATGTCCAAACCGAAGAGTAGAGAGAAGGTCACTCCAACAAAAAATCTATACTAGTACAGTTCAATCACACCGACCATCCTTCCACCCAGTCCGCCACCTCTCCTCCCACAACCGACAATCAAACTCCTTCTTCCCCAGCTTCCGATTAACCTCATTATGCGCCTCGCACATCCACCACCCAAACTCCTTCCGGCTCCCCAGTTTCGGCTGGTTCCGTCCACTCGGATGCGCCATCCATGCCCGGAAATCATCCGCGCACACCCAGCACGGGTACAGCTTTGAGAAGAACTTCAAGAACCCGCTCATATTAGCCTGGTGTTCCACGTCTGCCTTTTCGGGATATGTGGCTGCCATGGAGTGCAGTAGTGTCCACGTTGAGCGGCCTAGCTCTTCAACGTCTGGCGGGCAGTCTGAGGGTATTTCGCTGGGGGAGGGGGTTGCGGCTGCGGCGAGGCCGGCCGTTGGGGTTGTCGTTTTGCTTATGCTCGAGGTGGGTGTTGAGGTAGAGTTTGAGTTTGCACCTTTGAGGTCGGCTTGCTTGGTCAATGCTCGCCATGAGGCGACGGAGGTGCAGGTGCGGCAGCTGTGAGATTGGTCTGTTAGCTTGTTATGTAGACCCGGTGTAGACCGGCTGACCCGGTTTGCTGCCATTGGTATATACGTACGGCTTTCCGTCCTTGTCCAGGACTACGCCCTTGGGCAATGGGGGTTTCGAGTCATCTCCGGCTGGTTTCGAGGAGCTTGCGGAGGCGGCGGGGTTTTGCTGGTTGAACATGGAACTCATGTCTTTATATTGACTATTGACTTGTTCCGGTGGAACTGAGGACATGTTTTCACTTCTAGGTCTTTGTTTCCCTCGAGAAATTGGCGGTATGGAGTTGCTGAAGTGATTCGGGGTTGATTTCTAATAGATTGCGGAGAAAACAGCGGAGGTGAGAAAGAGATAGTAGTAAAGGATATTTGCCGCAACAGTCAGTAAAGACAGCTCAAAGTAAAGCAATCAATGCCCTTAGGATCAATGAGCTTTGAATATGTCGAAAATCCAGAAGCTGAGCTTTCAGAGCAACCTTGGAAGGCAAGTCGCAAATGACATAGAAGTGAAATGTCACGGCGCCGATCAATCTCGATCCAGCTTTGTCATCCATTGCCGCGCTCTCTCAACTCAGACGCGCTCAGGTTCACAGTTGATTGAAAGGCATAACCCTTTTTCTCCCATTACTTTGCTCTTTTGTCCTTACTTTTCTACATATGGTCTGAGTAGCTGGGCCATTCATATGAACCCACTCCTACACCATTAACTTCGTTTCAATCGTCATAGGGCGACATCACCATGCCGCCGAAGTATACAATGTCTACAATGTCCGATTCTGAGTCTGAAGCTGAGGGTAAGGCGCTCAACATTACCTCTGACCAGATCCTTGAGAAGACACTTCGCGACCAGGTGGCTGCAATCTTTAAGTCGGGAAACATGGAGGAATTGACCGTGAAGCGCGTACGACTCGCCGCGGAAGATATACTAGGTCTCACAGCGGGGTACTTTAAGTCTACAGGTGACTGGAAAGCACGGAGTGAGAATATAATCAAGGATGAGGTGGTGAGTCTAGTTTGCATTTACGGCGCCCTTTCAGATCAGCTTCAGAGGACAAGACACTCATTGCAACGCTTTTACAGGAAATACAAGACCAGGCGGTACAAAATCAACAATCCCAAGCACCTGAAAAGTCCCCTTCTCCTCCCCCGAAGGCCAAGTCCAGTGCCCTTGCGAAGCGAGCAAAATCAGAGACGATGCCAAAGCCTAGGAAACGCCAGAAGACTAAGACGCCGGTGTCCGATGAGGAAGAGGAGCTATCAGTCCCGTCTGACGAGAGTGATGGGGTCACAAAGCCCAAGAAACGATCGAAAGCGCCAGTCAATAAGGCACCAGTGAAGGTCTCCGTACAGAAACCCAAGAAAGATATGTCAGATGCTTCTGATTTCTCTGGTGATGAGAGTGACGAGGTCACAATGCCCAAGAAACGATCGAAAGCGCCAGTTAAGAAGTCGCCAGCGAAGAAGCCCTCCGTACACAACCTCATGAAAGATGTATCAGACGCTTCCGATGTTCCCAATGACACTTCAGATGCCGCCAGAGAGACCAGGGATACCAAGGATGATTCCGAAAGCGAGATGTCGGTTGTGCTTGACGAAGAGCCTCAGCCCAAGGCCCCACGCAAGCGACAGAAGAGTGCCGGGGGAACTGCGACCAAGACCAAGAAGAAAGCTCCCAAAGCCAAGGATGAGGATATCAGCCCGGACCAGGCTGAAATCAGACGGCTGCAAGGATGGCTTGTCAAATGCGGAATCCGTAAGCTGTGGGGTAAAGAACTGGCGCCATATGATACCCCCAAAGCCAAAATCAAGCACCTCAAGAAGATGCTGGAGGATGCTGGAATGACTGGTCGACCATCTCAAGAGAAGGCAAACCAGATCCGCGAAGAACGGGAGTTGAAAGCGGATCTAGAGCAGATCCAAGAAGGTGCAAAACAATGGGGTGCCAAGAGTGACGAGGAGGATGAGGATGCGAAGCCTCGGCGTAGGCTGGCTCGCGGGCGACAGTCGCTTGCATTCTTAGAGAGTGATGGCGAAGAGACTGATTGATGGATAGCATAGGGTTCATAATGAATGAGTTCGTCGGACCAAGGGCTGCCAGGAAATCGGAATTATGCGTTCACGTCACTTTGTACTTCATACTTCATATTTCATAATACCCAAATATATGGTAATAGGGGTCTCCATCATCGCCCAGCTTTCGGTCCACTCATGCGCTGAGCAGTTAAGCTGAAGATGGCCACAGAAGAAATGAAGAGAACGAGATTGTAGAACTACACCTGTTAGCATTATCAAATCGACCCGAGTGTTCGATGACATACGGCCTTTCGCGAGTACTCGTTCTCCTCCGCCTCCGTTCTAGCCTCGACAAAGAGGCGTCGCAAGTTAGGGAGGTTAGCCTGAGATGCGTTAGTGGCAGTTTGACAGTTGACAGAGATAGAATAAATACCATTAACACAGCGATGGTCTGGATTAGAGGGCAGAATAAAGGAGAGAAGTTGATGACCGTAGAGCGGGAGAGTCCAGAAGCCACCATTTGTGGACAACTTTTGATCGTCCGGAACACCCTTTCTCTCCTTCCTCGCCCCCATTCTTCCTCCAAATCTCCCCACACCGGATTGTTCACCTACTTCTTTGTGTTTGCGGACAAGGTGACGAACACTCTCGACACATTCCATTTCCCGACCTCGCGCGACCGTGAATCCCCCGCAGTCGCCCAACGCTACACGATTCCCACTCCCATTCCCGATCTCTAGGCGGAGGCACGACCTAGTCGTTGCTGAAGCTTATACATCCTCGCCATGGCGATGAACAAGATCCGTGGCGCCTTCACGGTGCCTCGGAAAGGAGAAACGTTCGAATTGCGAGCTGGACTTGTGTATGCGGCCCCCTCCATGCGCTGGCTCCCTCGCCATAGTGAATGACGGATGATATTAACTATGATTACAGTTCCCAGTATGCCTATGAACGGTATGTACAGCAAGTGAAGACTTCAGTTCGCCCTGGTGGTGTATGTCGAAGACGTGGTATGGCTGACAGTGTAACAGGAAGGAATCCATTCAAAAGACAATCATGGCCATGACCCTAGGAAAGGATGTTTCGGCCTTGTTCCCAGATGTTCTCAAGAACATTGCTACTGGAGATCTTGAGCAGAAGAAATTGGTCTACCTCTATCTCATGTAGGTACCACAGTACCGCTGAAGGTGGCTACGTATGCTAATCGGTCTAATCTCACTTCCAGGAACTACGCCAAATCGCACCCTGATCTATGTATTCTCGCCGTTAACACCTTCGTACAAGATTCGGAAGACCCTAACCCACTGATTCGTGCGCTGGCAATCCGGACAATGGGTTGTATTCGGGTGGACAAGATGGTGGACTATATGGAAGAACCACTGCGCAAAACACTCCGAGACGAGTCGCCATATGTCCGCAAGACCGCTGCAATCTGTGTCGCCAAGCTTTTCGATCTAAACCCGGCAATGGCTCTCGAGAACGGATTCTTGGAGATGCTCCAGGAGATGATTGGAGACCCCAACCCCATGGTCGTCGCCAATTCAGTGACCGCACTTCAGGAGATTCATCACACAGCACCCGAGACACAGGCTCTGCAGATCACTAGTAACACTCTACGGAAGATGCTGATGGCCTTGAATGAGTGCACGGAATGGGGGCGCGTCACCATTCTCACAACTTTGGCCGAGTATAAGACCTCCGATGTGAAGGAGTCGGAACACATCTGCGAACGGGTCGCTCCTCAGTTCCAGCATGTTAATTCCGGCGTGGTTCTTGCTGCAGTCAAGGCTGTGTTCTTGCATATGAAGAATGTCAACCCTGACTTGTCGAAGAACTACCTAAAGAAGATGGCTCCGCCATTGGGTATGCTCCCTCGCTGTTCTCATTACAGCCCTTCCATGCTAATTTTAGATAGTCACATTGGTTTCGTCAGCCCCCGAAGTGCAATATGTTGCATTAAGAAATATCGACCTTCTGCTGCAGAAGGAACCTGACATTCTCAACAAAGAACTCCGCGTTTTCTTCTGCAAATACAATGACCCGCCATATGTCAAGTTCCAGAAACTTGAGATTATGGTGCGCATAGCGAACGATCGCAATGTGGATCAGCTCCTCGCTGAATTGAAGGAGTATGCCCTTGAAGTCGATATGGACTTTGTCCGCCGGGCTGTCAGGGCAATCGGCCAGGTTGCCATCAAGATCGAGAGCGCCAGCGAGCGGTGTGTTAACACGTTGTTGGATCTCATCAACACCAAGGTGAACTACGTCGTTCAGGAAGCGATCGTTGTCATCAAGGACATCTTCCGGAAATATCCCGGCTACGAAGGTATCATCCCGACTCTGTGCCAGTGCATTGATGAGTTGGATGAGCCTAATGCTAGAGCGGCCCTCATCTGGATTGTTGGAGAATATGCCGAGAAAATTAGCAACGCCGGTGATATCTTGGGTGGCTTTGTGGATGGTTTCAACGAAGAATTCTCTTCGGTATGTTATTCCCTCCTGATACACGCTACCATCTTGGCTAACATTTATACCTAGACCCAATTGCAAATCCTCACAGCTGTGGTAAAACTCTTCCTCAAGCGACCCGAGAAGGCACAAGGGCTGGTGCAGCGAGTACTCCAGGCTGCGACCTCCGAGAACGACAACCCAGATGTCCGTGACCGGGCATATATCTACTGGCGTCTTCTGTCCAACACTAGCGATTCAAACGCGACAAAGAACATCGTGCTATCGGACAAGCCCCCTATCGTCACCACCATCCACTCACTGCCACCGTCGCTTCTCGACCAACTCCTTTCCGAACTGTCTACTCTCTCTTCCGTCTACCACAAGCCCCCCGAGCAGTTTGTCGGCCACGGCCGATTCGGCGCCGATGCCGTCATGCGCGCTGCTATCGAGTACGTATTCAATCTCCTGCGTTCGTCAAGCACGTTACTAACCAATCCACAGGAACAACTCCAGAACGCGCGCGAGAACCCATTGGCTGCGGCTGCTGCCGCTGCCGCTGGCGGCACCACGGCCCCTGCGCAGGCGCAAAACAACGTCGAGAACCTGCTGGACATCGATTTCGACGGCGGTGCTCCTGCCTCCGCACAAACCGAGCCTTCAAGCGGTATGTCCGGCCTGGAGGGTCTGGCTGGCACCCCCGTACGGGTAGCATCCCCTGCAGCTGGTACCACCACAGGGCAAGCAAGCAACAACCTGGATGATCTTTTGGGCGTGTTCGGAGACTCTGGTGCTGCCCAGCCCTCCTCGAGCGGTGCCAACAGCGGTGATCTCATGAACGGATTCTCTGGGCTTGATCTCTCCGGAAATGCGGGCCCTTCTCAAAATTCCCAGACCAAGAAATCCAACGACGACATCTTGTCGCTCTTCTAGAGCAATAGCATTGATGGTATAGCCAAGTGTGTCTAGCCGGCCCTACTGGCTGATGTTATATCCAGGTGTTTTCGCAAGCGAGGATCTGAACTGAATGAGATAGATTGGTGTTTTCTTTTGCTTAATTTGCTTGCATCTCTACCTAAACGGACTTCAAAAGGCCTGTACATTTTCTGCCTCGAATATCAATTTCTTTGTGGTGTTTTTGAGCGTAGATTAAGCATATCTTGGCAATGCAGCCAAGCCTTGTAGTGTGCATGTATATAGGTATGAGGGACATTTATAAATACATGTGCCTACCATCTAGCCCTATGTTAAAGAGATGCAAATGGAGTTCCGCTTTTTCTCGGCCGATATAGGACACAGCTCCACAGAAAAAGGAAAAAGAAAAGGCGCTACACCTGGATATTAACCACAAAGCAAATTTCTAGGTAAGCATATCGTAGTCTAATCAAGCAATTGTATTGGAGAGCAGATACTGCCTGCCTGCATATGTAGGTAGACATGCAGGTATGGGTGGAGATTCTCGATTATGGGCAAACCAATTTCTCTAGGTAGAGAGACAGCACACTCTATGGGCCTTTATGACTCCAAATCTCCAAATTGGATCCATAGAAGAACGTGGCTTACCAATTATTCATCAAAGCGAAGTTTCCAGTGTGCAAAGTCGAGTGGGACTCTGGGCGTGTCCCGCTTCCAAGACTAGAACATAAATGGGGCAGTCCCCGGGAAGGAAGTGTACAGCGAACAATTTCCTTAATCCACATCATGGCGCAAACAAACTACAAGTTCGAAGGCTGGATGGGTCTCGACCCTGAGTTCCGCCGAGGGCAAGATGGTCTGGCAAGAATTTCAGCCGAAAGAGTGGGAGGAGACCGACGTTGATATCAAAATCTCTCACTGCGGCATCTGTGGTTCTGATATACACACTCTGCGGAGTGGCTGGGTATGTTTTATGTTTTCCGTATCAGCGAGATCTCGATATGGGAAGACTCGCCGATATACAACGTTGTATAAGATATCCGTATAAGGAAAAAAATCTAACATCCGCCACAGAGACCCACCGCCTACCCCTGCTGCGTGGGCCACGAGATTGTCGGCACAGCCGTGCGCGTGGGTAGCAAGGTATCCGGCATCCAGGTCGGCGACCGAGTCGGTGTCGGCGCACAGAGCGAGTCCTGCCTTGGCCGTCTGGGCGACTGTGAGGAGTGCGCATCAGGCCAGGAGAACTACTGCAGCAAGAAGGTCGTCGGCACGTACAACAGCGTCCACTACGACGGCAGCAAGTCGTACGGCGGGTATGCGCGGTACAACCGTGTGCCCGGACACTTTGCTATCAAGATCCCCGATGCCATTTCCTCGGCTGATGCTGCGCCTATGCTGTGCGGCGGCGCCACCCTCTATAGCCCGCTTAAGCACAATGGCTGTGGTCCTGGCAAGCGCGTGGGCATTATTGGTGTTGGGGGACTGGGTCACTTTGGCTTGTTGTTTGCTAAGGCTATGGGGGCTGATAAGGTGGTTGCTATCTCGCGGAAGATGGGGAAGAAGGAGGATTCGCTGAAGATGGGGGCGGATCTTTATATTGCGACTGATGATGAGCCGGACTGGGCTACGGTTAATGCTCGGTCTTTGGATTTGATTGTTTCGACTGTCTCGTCTACTAAGATGCCTTTTAATGACTACCTGGGTCTGTTGAAGACTGGTGGATCTTTTGTGCAGGTTGGTCTTCCCGAGGATGGTGGGCTGTTCGCTCCTGTTCGCAGCTTGATGCGTCGTCTGAAGCTGCAGAGCTCCCTTGTTGGTAGCCCTAACGAGATCCGGGAGATGTTCCAGCTTGTTGCTGAAAAGGGAATTCGCCCGTGGGTGCAGGAAATCCCGATGAAGGATGCGAATAAGGCGATTGTGGATATGGAGGATGGGAAGGCCCGCTACAGATACGTGCTGGTCAATGAGTAGGCGCCTGTAACTAGATAACTAGAAGATTGTTCAAATATAGAGATGTGTTCATGATTGAAGTCTAAAGGGTTGAAAAGAGTCAAAATATCACTGTCGACTGTATACACGTGACAGCCAATCAAATCACGCACGTGAAGGCCGTTCTCGGAGACGCTAATCCATTTTGGGACACTCAGATTTCCCCCGCGGTGGGATGAATCATTCCGCCTCTTCTTCTCTACTTTGGCTTCAAGGAATTTCTGTTGAGTCAATTGACTGTTGCAATCATGTCTCCTACTCTCTCACAACAATATCTAAGTACCCGTGGTGCTGAGTACGGGGTGAGTCGAAAAATAACTATTCCAAATTTCATCGCAAACATGTTCCTAACCAAACTATCTTTCTAGAGAACCTTTGAAGATGTTGTTCTTCAAGGCTTGGCCTCGGACGGGGGTCTCTTCATCCCGGAGGAAATGCCTACCCTTCCTAAGTCATGGGAGACCGAATGGCGCGATCTGAGCTTCGAGGATTTGGCGCTCGAAATCATGTCACTCTATATCTCCACGGACGAGATTCCCCGTGAAGATCTCAAGAACATTATCTACAAGTCCTACTCGACTTTCCGTCACCCCGAGCGCACTCCTTCCGTCCTCCTCGAAAAGAACCTCTACTTGCTTGAGCTATTCCACGGCCCGACCTTTGCGTTCAAGGATGTTGCGCTCAGCTTCCTCGGAAACCTGTTCGAGTATTTCCTCGTCCGAAAGAATGCTGGAAAGACTGGCAAGGATAGACACCACCTGACCGTTGTCGGTGCTACTAGCGGTGACACTGGTTCAGCTGCTATCTATGGACTTCGCGGCAAGAAGGATGTCTCCGTGTTCATTCTTTTCCCTGATGGTGGCCGAGTCTCGCCTATCCAAGAGAAGCAAATGACTACAATCTTGGACCCCAATGTTCACAACCTCACCGTGGCTGGCTCGTTCGATCACTGCCAGGATATCGTCAAATCGCTCTTCGCTGATGAGGACCTTAACTCCACCCACAACATCGCCGCCGTCAACAGCATTAATATGGCCAGAATTCTGGCCCAGATCACCTACTTCATCTACTCCTACTTCGCCCTCACCAAGACCCCCTCTTTTAACAAGGATTCCAAGGTCCGAGTGGTCGTCCCGTCCGGCAACTTCGGCGATATCCTTGCCGGTTGGTTCGCCAAGTCGATGGGTCTTCCCATCGAGAAATTGGTGATCGCCACCAACGCAAATGACATCCTCGACCGCTTCTTCCGCAGCGGCGGCCACTACACCAAGAAGGCCCTCGACGCCCCCACCGACCACGGCGTGAAGGAAACCCACAGTCCAGCCATGGACATCCTCGTCAGCAGCAACTTCGAGCGTCTCCTCTGGTTCCTCTCCTACCAAACCATTAGCGGCACCGAAGCCGAGCGCCGCAAGCACGCCTGCGAGAGCGTCAGCGGGTGGCTAAACGAGCTCAAGACGAACGGCGGCTTCCAAGTCCCCAGCGAGGTCCTCGAAGCCGCCAAGGTCGATTTCGAGAGTGAGCGCGTTAGCAACGAGGAGACTATCTCTATGATCCGCGATATCTACAAGACCTCTTTCCCTGAGGGTCTTGGCCCCAGGCTCTGCCAAGAGCTCCAAGACCGGTGGTTACATCCTCGACCCCCACACTGCTGTTGGTGTTGCTGCCACGCGCCGCTCTATGGCGCGCAATCCCGATGTCACCCATATCTCCCTGTCCACTGCCCACCCGGCTAAGTTTGCTGGCGCTGTGGACCTTGCTCTGCGTGGCGAAGATGGTTATGACTTCACCGAGATCCTGCCCCAGGAGTTCATTGGTCTGGAGCAGCGTGAGAGTCGGGTTACCCCCGTCGGTGAGAGTGCCGGATGGCAGGGCGTTAAGGAGATTGTCAAGGCGGAGCTTGAACAGGAGTTGCAGGGTTTGCGCTAGATATGGAACCAGGCAAGAGAAAACAAAATGCATCATGAAATACACCGAGCTGGTGAGTGAATGAGAGGGAGTGGAACATGTGCACGCTGAGAAAGTCTTATACTGTAGTATAGACATGTTGACGCTTTTACTTCTTATCTAAATATATGTCTGTTTTTGTTTATAACCTAGAGGGTCGCTTCAGAACCTAATTCTTTATATGTGTATTGTTTTCACTGTACCATTCGTGTATACAAAATCCTCAACACTTTAATGTAATATTTACGCTACTTGATACTGAAGTTGCCTTCAGCAGGTTCCAGATATATGTATTCCGATCAGACAAGCATGTAGTATGTCGAATATAGAAGCCAAGTTCTATATAGCATGTATGTGAGACAAAAATAGTATGATGAAAGAACACTATGAATATAAAAGTTCCAATATACTGTGAAAAGTGACGGAAATCAGGTGTATGGCGAACGTATTGGTAAATTCACGATGGTAAAGTTCTCTAACTAACTAAAAAACAACAATGGTCCGTTTTTGACAGTCTGGTCGGACACAATTAGTACGCAATTTGCATAGTCTAAAATCACATGATTCCATGGTATTGGACTCGGTAATCCATGTACTCGGTCTGTATTCTGACACACCCCCTAGCTTTTGAAGCTATTCACAAATGCTTTAAGAGCTGTTAATTCCACCTTCCTGGGGTATAATCAGATGTCTGATTTCTCTCATCCTAAGCAGATGTCTAAAAGCCTGCTGCTTCTGCCTCGGCAGTATCTTTGTGAGGCCATCTGCCGGCATCTCTGCTGTAGGAATCCAATGCACGTTAGTGCGGCCAGCATTCACTTCCTGTTTCATCCAAAGCCTGTTGATGTCAACATGTCGAAGCTTTGTATGTATAGTGGCGCCTTCCTTTGTTAGTAGATCAACAGTCTGCTGATTGTTGTATGCAATTGACAGCTTGTGAGAGGGTTTAAACCCTAGGGACTCGAGGACTCGGCGCCACTATTGGACAGTTTTACCTGCTTCGGATAGAGCTAAAAGCTCTGCTTCGGTGGTAGACGTGGTGATAGTCTTCTGTTTTGAAGCCTTCCAGTCTATAGGACCACTATAGAGCTTACATATGTAGCCCTCTGAGCTCTTCCGATCTCTGTTATCTCTAAAAGATGCATCGCTTGCAAATTTAACAGATTTTGCTGCAAGCTGCAGGCTGGAATTCTTATCTTTTATCTGAACTCCGTACTCAATTGCATAGTAGCGGGTTTGGTAGAGATATTGGATGACTCTGTCAATAGTATCTAGATGCTTCGGTCCGGGGTTTAGAAGGAATTCAGCTAGTTTGCTGGTTGCTTTTGTAGCGTCTGGTCTGGAGATCGTGGTGGCGTACTGAGCTGATCTAACTTTGGCCTGAAAACCATGGATCTGGCTCGCTGTCGTAACGCTATTAAAGGGGAGCAATGGCTCTATACTTAGGGGCGTATCAACCCTCCGGTTAGTGATCAGACTGTATCTCGCCGCTATGCTCTTAATGTAGCTGTCTTGGCATAGCCAGAGCTTCTTTTTGGTCCGATCTTTTACAATGCGTATGTTTAGAAACCAACTAGCGTCAAATTCACGAAGCTTCTAGTGCTTTTTCATCTGATTATCTAGATCAGCAGCCTGTTTTGTATGATCTGGGTGGTTCATAATGATAATATCATCAACATAGAAGAAAACGATGATCCCGTTTATGACAAAAATGTATGGATCCTCCGGTATAGGGGTAAGGCCTAGTTTCACTAGCACCCTGGTAGCTTCTTGCTGCTATAAACGTGGAGATATCCGCAGTCCGTATAGCGCACGGTACAGCATCCAGTATCGGCCTGATACTTCAAAACCGGGGGGACAGCGAGTATAAATCTTATCTTATAAGATAGAGTTTAGAAATGCATTCATAACATCTCGCTGCTTTATGTCTAGATCAAACGTAGCAACTAATGTAAAAACCGCTCTCGCTGTCTTCACCGCGAGTGTAGCAGCTCTCTTTTCTTCCGGTGTTATCTACTGAAGATCTCCCCGCACGCAGATTCTGGCTTTGAACTTGTTAAGTATACCATCGGCATCAAATTTGTATGTGAACACCCATTTCAATAGCAGGATTTGTGTGGTTTGTGTGTTCGGGATCGGAATCTAGGAGAAGGTCTCCTTTCTACGTAGCGTATCGATCTCGAATTCCGCTACTGCCATAAAGTCTTTGGCGTAAAGATGGGATTTGACTTTATTCTAGTTCTGCGGCTCCGGGGGAAGCTGATCTCTGTGAGGCTTCCTAGGCTTTTGATCTGTTTCGAATCTCTAGTTTATACAGGCTCCAAATGCATAAACTAGCGCTGGTGGTTCGTCTTCTTCTATAGCGAGATATACTGTATAGTCGGGGTCCTGCCTGGGTTTCCGAGATCTGGACCCTGAGATGATATTTACAGTGTTAATACCATCTGATCTATCTCTTCCTGTATGTAAAACCGGGGTTTGTGATAGCTCTTGCTGCAGCTGCATCTCGCTCTCTGAGATCTCATCTTCGTATTCCACCCCCCTAGTCTTAATAGATGGTATGGTTGTCTGTATAGCGGAGGTTGGGACTGGCTCTGGTAGTGTGTTATCTCTCACTTTGGGCTTACTATGCGTTCTAGCATCTCTCACTTTGCTCTCACTATGTGTTCCGGTATCTCTCACTTCGTCATCACCGGTATGCTTAGGATCTGCATCTGCGGCGTCTGTATGTAGAGATCTCGGGGTTTGTGAGGCTGATTCCGGGGTATCTGGTGCGGAAGATGATGAAAACGGGGTCCGTTCTGATGAAAAAGGCTGATTTTGCATAGTATGGGATGCTGGTAAAGTAGGTGACGGAGGTGAGGAGAGATTTGCTGGGAAGGACCTAGGTATATAGCCTCTGTTTGCTGTTTGCTGTGTTGGTCTGATCGACGCCGGGGTAATTGGCATATTATCAGATGGTTTTTATATAGCAATTGGGGTCTGCTGTCTTCCAATTCTCTCACTTTGTATCTCTCTATCCTACATCTCTCTATCTGTCAGATCTGCATCTTGCATCTCTGCATCTTGTATCTCTGCATCTTGCATCTCTGCATCTTGTAAATCTGCATCTGTATGCGGATCCTGCCCTTGCTGTGTATGCTGAACGTCATCATGCAGGGCGATGCGGGCTATGGATGACGGCATCTGCATCTGGGTACTCAGTTCAGACTGAGCTTCATCCTATGTTAGGAGCGCAGGCCAGTTCTCTCTCTCTTCTAGCGTATTTGTCAGCGTACTAACTGTATCTTCTGATTCTAGCTTCTTCGCCGTCGTATACCGCCGTGTCTCATCGAAAACAGTATCTCTGATAACGTCTACCCTTCCATACTGTCCCCCTTTGTACGGAAACCAGATCCTATATAGGTTTTTGGAGACATACCCCACTAGGAATCCGATCTCTGCTCTCGGTGATATCTTGTCTGATTGTGTGCGCTTTGAATCTAGGATTCTCGAATACGCTAAGCAGCTATACACCTTGAGGTTTGAAAGGTTGATTCGCTGGTCCTTTATCCTATCTGGTGCAGCCAGTTTTATCAATTCCATCCAAGGTATGATCCATCTTCCATCTACTAGCTTTGTTGGCATACGGTTTAGTATGTATGCTGATGCATATACTGCTTCCGGCTAGAGCGTCTTCGGTAGATCCGGGTTTTTATTGATTAATACCCTTGCTATTTGGATGATTACACCTCCGGATCTCTCTGCTGGTCCGTTCATCTCTGGTGTCTTAGGAGGTGAGTGCTCTATAACGTAGCCTTCGGCTTCAATCATGTTTTCAACCTTATTACTAGCACTACGCTCATTGTTATAGTGGAAGACCTTGATTCTGATATTTAGCCAGTTTCGGATCAAAGCGATGAACTTCCTAACAGCCCATTGGCAGTCCTTCTTCTTCACGTGAGTGAATACAAAGTGGCATCTGATCCTATTAAGATAGAAATGCGTTAACTAGACATGTCTGTTATATGTAGGCTGATTTTGTACGAGGTTAAAGTGCACTCTGCTGAGTACCCCGTAGGCTTGGCCTATCTTCCTCCGTGAGATCTGCCTAGGTGCATTTGCTAACTGGTAAGCTTCGCATACCTGTTTCTCCGAAGCCTCTTGCTTCTTAGGGTTGCAACCAGTTATCTTCACACTTTCCGTTATTTTAGTAAGTTTTTCAATCCTCTCTTTACTAATATGGCCTAGGCGACGATGCTAGGTTTCAATAGAGGCTTTAGATGCAGGTTCTCTGGCTGACTTCTTTACAGCTGTATTCACTAACGGCTGGTTCGGCTGCACTAACTAGGGAAGCTTTTGATCCCGGTATGTAGTATATAGTGGGATTTCGTCTTATTCGATCTAGTTCTTTTTGAAGTTTAAGAACGCTCCTGTTGTCTTAAACATCTGACTGTGGGCGATGATGTTCGTATGGAAACCTGGCGAGTATTTGACATTGAATAAATCCATTCGCAGCGGTGCTTCGTTCCCAAGGCTAACACCATAGATTGAGACAGTTCCGATTCCTTCTACCATCGTCTTCGTGTCTCCTACCCGAATCGAGCTCGTTGTCTTCTGAAATTCGACGAATAACCTCCGGTTATTACAAATGTGGACTTATACACCGGTGTCGATAAGCCATCTATTGTGGAGAGGATCATAACTGGTTTGGTGGAACATGGAATGATCGTGAATGGTCACAGAATGTTCATGATTGATCGCAGAATGATCGTGATCAATCGCAGAATGTTCGTGATCGATCGCAGAATGTTCGTGATCGATCGCAGAATGTTCGTGATCGATCTCAGAATGTTTCTGATCGATCTTTACGGGTTTCTGGATCTCAAATGCGTCGTTTACTAGCTGGTTCTTAGCTACGAAGAAGCCTAGTGCTCTAGGCTGGAAAACTGGGTTCGCCTGTGTGTTTTTCTCTTCTGCTCGCTTCTTTTCAACAAAGGCTCTCTATTTAGGGTCTGCCTTTATGGCTCTATCCCATGCCTTCTTTTTGTCTGGGTGTGTATCTGGCATACTAGCCGGTTTATCCTCTGGGAATGCAGCCTAGCATCTCCATGGTGCATGTCTCATCTTACTATATGGACAGAACCGCTTTTCAATAGGAAAATCAGATGGTTTCTTCCTAGCTGGTTTACTAGTAGATCTGCTAGCTAAGCTGCTTGTTGTTGAATCTCCGGGCTGAGCTTCCTGGTGGCCCTGCCATGTTGAAAACACAGCTTTTGACAGGCCTCTTTGTGCTGCCTGTTTTCTATGGGCCATAAGCTAATAGGCTTTATACCGGGTAAGTAGGTTTGCGAAATCAGCCTGTCTTTCTTCCTCGCTTCTCTCACTAGCAGAGGCTATCTCAGCTGTGACGATCTAGGCTGTATGGAATTCCGGTGAAATCACTGATACAGCTTCTAGAAATTGGATTGAAGCCTCCCTGGCCTCTGTAATCCCTGCTTTTGTACAGCGTTTTTGTAAGGTTTGCCAATTCAGCAGCCACTGATCAATGTCTGTTGTTTTATCTAGACCTCTATCTAGATTCCTCTATGCCGTGCGAAGGCTTGCTCTATATGTAGGGTTGCACTCCGGTGAGACCCGCTGTCGAGATTCCTAAGTAGTCCCTATGGTGTCTCCTGGTCTATGAAAACCTGGTATTTTTTATGGATGCTCTGGCGGATTGTATTTGCAACTATCTTCCTACCCTGGAGCTTCTTTTTGTATACACTGAGCTTTCTCTCATATTGCGTATTTAGTACGCCGTATAGATGAAACCAGTCTATTGGATGATCTCTCTTTAGATCCTCCTAACTCGGTTCGATCGGTTCTTTCGGAAGTGCGGGTTCTGTATCTGATTCCGGATCATATAGATCCCAGACGTCGAACTGCTCCGCAATGGTTTTGATCATCGAGAGCCATAGCTCCCAGTTCGATGTGTCTTTTAAGGTGACGCGAGAGGACGAATTCGCGGAGAGAGTATAATCCGACATCGTGACGGTTCGATTGACGTTCGCAAATGGATTTCCAATATTGTTGTTGATACTTCTTAGGGGTTGTCTCAATTCAGGGGTTGTTATCTCCGTACAGCCAGGGGCCGGTCTAAAACCAGGCAAATATGGGCTCAATATATATGAGATTTAACAAAAGGATGGAAAAGAGATTAAAATTGAAGCGATTCCGGGCTCATAACTGACGGAAATCAGGTGTATGGCGAACGTATTGGTAAATTCACGATGGTAAAGTTCTCTAACTAACTAAAAAACAACAATGGTCCGTTTTTGACAGTCTGGTCGGACACAATTAGTACGCAATTTGCATAGTCTAAAATCACATGATTCCATGGTATTGGACTCGGTAATCCATGTACTCGGTCTGTATTCTGACAAAAAGTAATAAATTGACTTGTCTATCTTCTTCATACATAGAAAGAAGCACCTATTTATGCTTCTTGTTCTCTATAACAAAATGCATTTATGCTAGGGCGGCCGTTTCTAGCCTCTATAGCAGCCGAAAATGGCTCCCCCTGACCCAGAGCATTCAGATCTCAATTCCACGCTGTCCCATAGCTTCGGTGCAATACAGCTAGAGAATCCTTCGCATAACCAGAAAGGTTTCCAACGTTGTCCATTACTCAACATTAAAACACCTCCTTACGGCGTGATGAGTCAACTAGTTCAACCGTCTTTACTGAATCATCAGGCATGTTCGCTCGGAGTGATTACTATACATTCCCGAGCTCAAGTTAACCAACTCACTAACTCATTACGGACTAGCCCCCTGCTGCATTTGGGCGGGTTTAAACTTATAAGCTCTAGCCCCGTGGATAGTTAAACTAATAAAACTAATAAATCACATTCAGAGCTACGATGGTCGACTAGAATCAATTAGAATCAATTTAGTGCGTTAATAAAGACTAGACCCACTTGTCCTCAATGGTCATACTTATCTTTCTTCTATGGGAATTTCTTCGTCTGATCCTAAGTTATTAACTAACCTGTCGATTATTACTTTGCCACCACTAACTACTACTCCCTTCGGGTCAGAATTGCGTAGGAATGTTTATGCATATTTCCGGGTGGTGTAGTATTAAAGCTGATATTATTAGTTAATTATAACGTCCTAGCTTTACATGGCAGATTAGAACGAGTGTGGGTTGTAGTTGGCCCTAGTGATAGTTAAGCCTTTAGGGACAAGAATATGAGAGAATGTTGACTAGAAATAGAGAGCATGCCACTATAATAGAAACCTCCAATTTTCTCGACAGGGTCTCTCTATGATGAGTAAACATGTAAAGACCGATTAAATTTCGACCCAACAGCTAACTGACTATTGGTTCGCGGTCGGAGCTTAATCCATCCATGGATCGACATGATCTCTAATCACAGCGTGAAGACACTTAACTAATTACGAGTGTAGAGAGACATAAGTAGAACAGACGCCGTGCAATATCATTTACTTCCCTGTGTTTCTAACCACTCTGTGCTATTCCTATTATTTTCTACCCTGTTTATCACTGTCACGCCAGAGCGAGCACCTCCAACTTCCCCCCACTACATCACCACCCCACAGCCATGACGACTCCTACCAACATTGATCCCAAGGATATTCAAGCATACTGGGCTAAATACCAAGATGACAAGTATGTTGAGGGCTGGGCCTCCCTCTGGGACAAAGGTAATCTACCCTGGGATCGTGGCTTCCCCAACCCCGCGCTAGAAGACACCCTGGTCCAACGAACAGGCACCATTGGCGGGCCCATCGCCCAGGACGGTCAGAGGCGGAAGGCCCTGGTACCGGGCTGTGGACGTGGAGTCGATGTACTCCTTACTGGCGAGCTTTGGGTATGATGCCTATGGCCTGGAGTGCAGCGCCACGGCTGTCGATGCATGCAAGAATGAGGAGAAGGAGAACCATAGCCGGTACCGCGTGCGAGATGAGAAAGTCGGAAAAGGGAAGATCACTTTCGTCCAGGGGGATTTCTTTGATGATACCTGGTTGAAGGAAATTGGAGTACCTCGAAATGGATTTGATATTATTTATGATTACACGGTATGTATGCTCACTGCGGCTGTTTGGGCTCCATTCCGTCATTGCTATCATTTTCTCTCCACTTGTACTCTGCGTTCCGCAGGGGGACCTGCAAGATGCTTCACTCTCTGTCTTTGGACTTTTGATGTGCTATTTTCGACCCAGCCTGGATCTTTCTCGTTTTCTGGTCATTCCTTCTAATAACCATCTAGTTTTTCTGTGCTCTGAACCCAGAGCTCCGTCCGAAATGGGCTCTCCGACACACCGAGCTCCTTTCTCCCTCACCTGCAGGCTATCTGATCTGTCTGGAATCTCCGCGTCATAAGAACCCCTTGGCCCCCGGCCCTCCATTTGCCTCTCCCTCCGAGGCCTACATGGAGCACCTGAGCCACCCCGGTGAGAAGATCTCCTACAACGATAAGGGTCTTGTCAATGCGGACCCGTCGCGAGAGCCCAGCAAGACGGGCCTGGAGAGAGTTGCGCACTGGCAGCCAGAGCGCACGCACACTGTGGGCCAGGGTGAGAATGGGGTGATCCATGACAGAGTCTCTATTTGGCGTCGACGTGACTAGAAATGTGCCTGCGAATTTGTGTGATCCAAAAAGGGAGAAAATGTAAATGGAAAATATAGGTGATTCTTGGAGTCCAGCCCTGGATTTCAAAGGCCAGCCCCTGGACGCTAAAGCTTTCGTGGTGTACTTGCGAGCTTCGTTTATAGATTGGACTGAAAATTGGGCTCTATTGTACCCTGAAAGGGTTGATAACGTTGGAATCCAGAAAATGATGTCTTCTATATGCACATAGAAGGTCATGAGACTGGCGAAACCGATGTCAGTTGAACACATGCACTGGAAGGATTTCCTCAACTCCACAGCGGGATCTTGCTTGTAATAGTCGCATCATGCAAAGTAAGCGGAGATTATATCTATTGAAGACAACTATTGTTAATATACATAATTCATGGTATTTCGCACACAGCGTTAAACGCCCAAGGATCATCAACAGTTGCAAGGCGAATGGCATTCTCAACATCACGCTTTCGGAACGCTGGTCCGCGACCGAGACAGATAGAGCCGAGGGAAAGATCTACGACAAGGTCAGTAACGTGCATGGACAAGAAGACACAAAGAAGAATTGATCTCGGCATTACTCACATTTAGTGAAGCTCGCTGCGTTCAGCCGCGGAGCGGAATTGAATCGGGGACTGGAGAGGGGCGAGCTCGGGTCCTGAATACGAATCCCTCGCTGCTGTAGCAGCCTTTGCACACCACTCGCATCCATCCACTCATCAGCACCCGATTCATTGACAATTTGCCACGTTCGAGAGGAAACGGTGAGTTGTTCAGGCGAATAGCTGTCCCTCGTTGAATTGAGAACTTTTGTCCTCAACTCGACCGCGTCTCCTATTTCGTCGTGCATGGCGGCGAGGAATGTGGAGATCAAGCAGTTGCGCTCGTCGATGGTCATTCGTTTGCCGAAGATTGCCTTGACCCTTGGATCATCTCCAGATAAGCTTGTTAATAGATAGTATCCAGTCTCGCAGCATTGTCGGACCAGACGGTGTGAGAGTGTCCAGCGCCCTTGCTTTAAGAGATTGTCGGGCGGTACTATGGTCGGGAAATTCAAGGCGGGATTAGGGATGGATGAGAAGGGGATATACGGAGACGGCAACACTATTCCGAACGGTAGAATTGCTTGTTCTTGGAAGGGTGGCGTGGGGGGTAGTTGTGATAGTTCAGGCCATTGAGCCGCGAGGTCCGACGAGGACTGGAAAGCGTCACCAATTATTGGCAATGAATCAAGTTGTGTTATGGGCGGGTTGTAATTTGAGGTTATATCTTGTGTATCGCTGAGCGTGGGAGACCTCGATGGCGATACGTCCGCCGGGGCTGCAGGTGCTTGTTCGGCCTCGTCGCAGCCACTTTTGGCAAGCGACACGCATTGCTGTGTAACTTTTTGCAGAGCAACTGTGACACGAGGCTGATTTTGGAGAATCCCAGCCTCGAACAGAAGATTACTAAAGGAAAGGAACGACTCGCTGAGCTCTTCGATGCCCGACTCGAGTTCCTGTACGCGAGATTCCAGATTGACGATCGTGGTCTCTTTTCTCTTGCGATATGCTTGCTGCGCGACGCGAAGCTGCTTTCGACGTCTCTGGATTCCTTGGGTCAGTTCCAACTCGCTCTGTAGTTGCTCGGGATGTACCCACCTCGAGAACTTGCTGATCGTCCGTCACAGTTCCTGGCCGGCCTCTCTTGCGAGGCGCGGGCGCGTCAGTCGTTGCTTTGACCATTGTGTGTTGCTTTTGGGGCCTTTTCTTTATCTTGAAAACATAGAGTGATGTAATGGATAATCTGAGAACGCGAAAAGGACGTGACGGCGTTGGTTTACTCGGGGCGTCGGGACTGTTGAATAATCGAAAAATCGGTGGATCGCCACGATTAGCCTGAACTCCGCCCAAAGTTTATTGCTAAGCGCCTCTAAGGACCTCGGGATGGCTCGTTTGTTACTGTTTATGCAAAGTCGCTTGAAGACGAGTGATAAGAACTGAGGTGAACTAACACTACAACCCTATAGGTAGAAGATTGGATGGTGAAATGAGTGTGTCTTATAAAGAGTAGGATACTACTTGACTATACCAGCGATCTTGACCCAGAGCGGGATATACTTGTAGGTAAGGTCTGTATTGATCAATCCCATACAGACCATATTCACAAAGACGATGGCTGTGTCCCCGGCTGCCGCTGGTCGTTCAAAGCCCGCGCCCACAGTAGCAGCATTATCATCATCCCCATCATTCCATGGAGGTGTCTGCGAGCCTAGATGCTCCGTGAACGAATATAGAAATGCCAGACAGAGTAGCTTGGTATCCGCGTATCGATCTTTGGTGCTGTACTTCGTAGGATTATCCAGATACCTGAAAATGTCTGAGCCCGGAGGAATCTTGCGAACGAAGTTGGAGTCGCACGCAGATCGGCTACTGAGCCAGGTGATTCTGGCGGGCTGGTGGCCCTGTGATGACTGCTGCAAATAGGGGAGGAGTTCCAGTACAAGTAGCACATTGGAAAGATAGTTTGTCTGTAGAGTAATTTAGTGGCCGTCCAGGGTAGAATGGAAGTCCCCCATATATCCAACTCCTGCATTTAATATCAGGATATCCACAACCAGGATGTCGCTCTTCACCTGGGCTGCAAGTGATAAAACACTGTCGAAGCTGCCTAGGTCGAGCTTGATTACCTCTACTGACGGGGGATCTTGCTTGGTTGCTCGAGTAGCATACTCCGAGAGGAGCTGACCGGGTTCGAAAGCCCTCGGAGATATCACGGCAAGCGAGAATAATGGTATGGCATCCAAGGCCTATAAGCTAGCGGCAGGTTTCGAAGCCGAGTGAGTCCCGCTGTTGGTCCGGTGACAATAACTGTCTGGCCTGTGAGTTTGAAATTCAATAGGCTCAGCGTCACTCGGGGTTGGAAGAACGGCATCTTGACGGAACCTTTCGTGAATATTTTGAAGATGAACAAGCCACGACAGAGGCAGGGAGGGATCTTGTAGTTTTCAGAGCAAGAAACTCGTTGAATGGTCTGGCAATAGAAACCGAGAGGGGGTTTGCACCATTGTCAACCAAAGTGGAATGTTACTTACAGTCTCCTTACAACCTGGATGGTGGAGAGTGGTCCCGGCAGGCGCAGTGATAGAGACTTCGGAACGCAGGAGCATACGCCGCGGACTTTTGTAGGAGCTGCAGGGGTCAGGGCCCGCGGTCACATGGTGCGGGACTAGTTCTGCGGCTCTCTTCATTAGAATTCTCTTAAGGACGGCTATTCATCCCTTATCATATCGAATCAGCAATGGAGAAATACACCATTTCTCTTGAAAAGGCAGTCGAACTGAGGCCAGTGTCTTCGGAACCGGTACGCCTCTTTCTTTGATTGTTTCTTTTGCTTTTTACTTGGTGATCTGTCTCTCTAAAGTACCTAGGTAGCTAATTTCTTCTTTAGGATAACTTCACTAACACTCAACCGCTGTGGAGCTTCGCCGGCGGCTATGGAGTCTATGGCGGATCAACTGTTGCCCATTGTCTTATGGCCGCTCAAAAGACTATCCCGAGCGACTACGTCGCCCACTCTCTCCACTGCGGCTTCGTTAGCCCCGGTAATCCAAAGCGACCGATTGAATATCGCGTTAAACGCACACGCGATGGGAAAAGCTTTATCACGAGGACTGTCCACGCCACCCAGAAGACCGGTGTGATCTCTGAGGCAATCGTCAACTTTGTGCGGGTGGGAACGTATAGTAATAACGGTGACGTTGATAAGGCAGGGAGACTCGAACATGGGAGAAAAATGCCAAAGGATTTAACACTACCCGATCAAGCAGAGATGGATGGGAAAGGAGTAGATGGGCCGTTTGAGGCTCGCTGGGGGAAAATCTTGAATCGTAAGTCTTTCCCTAGCCCTAACGGTGATTGAAGATTGTTTTCTCTTTATTTTTATTCGAATCTAATATCGAAAAATAAATAGAAATATCTAACGACCTGGTCAACACTCAGATCCGATACTGGATACGGGCTAAGGACCCCATCCAGCAAAGGAGTCCTCAGGCCCAGCTCGCGGCGCTAGCATATATGTCCGACGCATATTTTATTGGCGCCGCAGTTCAAGTACACGACCTGCCGGGTCAAACGTTCGGGACTAAAATGGCTATGGCAGCTAGTCTGAATCATACAATTTACTTCCACCACCCCGAAGCGGTGCGGGCAGATGAGTGGATGTGTTCCGAAAGAGAGAGCCCGTGGGCTGGCAATGATCGCGCGCTGGTGGTTCAGAGGATTTGGTCTCCTAAGGGGATCTTGGTAGCCACCTGTGTCCAAGAGGTATCCATTTCTTCTCTTCCCCTCTAGACTGCCTACGTTGCTTATGCCGTTTACGCTGAATTGCTGACCAGTCCGTAGGGAGTCTTACGTGTCCAAGCGCCCTCCGAGAAGGTGAAACTGTGAAAATTCCGTCTCCAATTGATGGAGGGATAGGCGACATCCTCAATTCTAGTCCTAGGAAGTCGTTGCGGCTTCCCGGAGAATTATGACTTACTTTTGCTACATAGACCACACTTTCTTGCCGTGCTTGATAGCCTTACTAGGAGTGAGACGAACAATTTAGTTATACGTATTACGGTGGACAGGTTATCATTTACGTGTAATAAGTTAGTCAAGGCTATACCCTCTCCTAGCGCTCGTAATGGCACCAGGAATCGGGAAGGTTTGGATCTATAGCCATCATAATCCTAAGATATGCGGCGAACTTGGAAACAAAGAAAGCAAGCTGCTCTGGTATGGAAAGATGCGCAAAGGAAAGAAGAATGCCTACTGTTCCTACCCATGAAAAAGTACTTTTGGAACAACACAGTGCTTCATCTAGACAGACTGGGTTTCTTGAGAGAATCATACATCAACGAATCTGTGTTCCCTGTATATGTAATTGACAGCTTGTGCCCAGGTGTAACGATGTTTTGAAAGAACCCTACTCTGTAAGTTTGAAGAAGCCCCTACGTCTGCACTAACTGTATCTAGCATAGAGTGTTTCAACTTGGGGTTCCATACACAATTCCTCTATATAAACATAAAAGCCAATTTCGAATTTAGCTGTATAGTAACCGGAGTGTGCGTTCTAGCGGCCATTTTTCTAGTAGACATATACAAAAGACATCCAATTGCAGTTCACTTAGAAAGACTACGCAGTCTCGTTGTGGGAGACAACAATTCCCGCATCCCTCTTCTCGTCGCGGTAAATCGCCTCCTGTTCACGATCGTACTCCTCAGCAAACTTCCTTCCGTACAGACCAATCTTGTACCAAGGAAGGTCGAACATCTTGTCGATAGTCTCGAGACTGCGACCAGCGGCCTCTGGCACAAAGAGCCAAACCCAGATACCACCAACAATGGAAATAACACCAAAGAAGTAGAATGTCCCATGAGGGCCGAGACCCGTATCCTCGAGCAGCATCTCAGGCAGGACACGGTTGACAGCATACTGACAGATAAAGTGCATGGCCATAGTAATGGACGAACAGATACCACGAATCCGAAGAGGGAACAGCTCCGAGGACAACAGGTACTGGCCACTGTTCCAACCAAGCGCCCAACCAACACCAGAGATGTAGATAAAAGCGATGGCGGCAGTCGATGCACGATTCTGCGTCTCGCTGGGGACGAAGTCTGGGTTTTCGGCGATGGGGACGAGGTTGAGGAAGATGGCAATGTAGAACATGGCAACGGTTTGGATGACAATACCAATGATGAGAGAGCGCTTACGACCGGCCATATCGACCAGGAAGAGAGCGCAGATGATGGCGGCGACGAATTTCACGACACCAAAGACGACGGTCGAGAAAAGGGACTGCTCTTGGCCAGTGATCCCGACGAGAGTGAACAGATCAGGCGCGTACACCGTAATGGCGGAGCCACCGGACCAGCAGGCCATGTTCTGAGCCAGGTTGGTGAGGAATAGACGGTATGCGTTGCGTTTGATGCCCAGGATCTCCTTGAATAGACCCTTCCAGCCCATGCCGAGCGTGGCCTCCATCTCTTCCTGGAAGGCGACGTCCATTTCGGAGATCTCGTTCAGGACGTATGGGTGGTGGGCGGGTAGGCCACGGAGCTTGCAGAGGACCTCGAGGGCTTTCTCGCGTTTACCCTGTTTAATGTAGAAACGGGGGGGACTCCAGCTGGAAGAAGGTGAGGAGCAGGATGATGCCAGCGAACATTAGGTGGAGGGATGTAGGGACGGCCTGGAGAGATGGATGGTTTAGTCAAATCAGTACGACAACGATTGTAGTCGTTAGCACTTACCCAGCGATTGAAGGTGTCCGCCATGTGAATCTGAGTACCCCAGTTGGCAAAGTAGGCAATCATGATACCACTGCACTTAGCATTAGCGCCGGAAAGCGAGGCAACGGGCAAGTAGAAGAGCATGAACTTACAGGTATACAGCACCAGTAAACATACAAGTACAGAGACCACGGATGGGAGCGGGGGAAATTTCAGAGAGATAAATAGGACCGACGACGCAAGTCTGTCCAATACCAAGACCAGCAATAAAGCGACCAGCGTAGACGGCAGCCATGTTGCCGTTGTTTCCAATAAAGATGGCGATTCCAAGAATCCAAAGAACGCAGAGTTGGCGAGTAGCCCAAACACGACCGATACGATCACAAACGATGAAAGCACTGTTATTCAACCGTGGTTAGCAAAGGGTCTGGGCTTGAAAATGAGGACAATGAGTTTCAACGGCAAGAACTTACAGAAGAGCACCGGCGACACTGCCGAGCTGAACCATGGAGGAAATAGTACCCTTGACACTAGCGAGGTCATCTTTGTCGAGGTCGTCGATACCGACGGACTTCTTGAAAGCGTGGGAATTGAAGACACCCGTGATGAGACCTTCGTCAACACCACGGGCGGCACCCATAAGACCAAATGCAAAGACGGCGAACCATAACTTGAAATTGAGTGTCTCCTTGGGCAAGCCGCCCGTGTTGAACTTGAAGACGTTGATAGCAGCACCACCCGCCATGATGGATGCTATTTATTGTTTTTAGACAGGTGAAGGAAAGGTCGACAGGTCACTTGTGAATTGAGGCTGTGAACCTGTATAAGAGATGATGCAACGCCGCAACAAATCTCGGATGAAGACAATGGGCTTAGCAGGGGTCTTCGAGGCTGGCAGTCGTGGAAGAGAGAAGACAGTGAGGGGAGGACTGCATTTAATAGGAAAAAAAAAATGGTTGTGCGGAGAGCGGACATACAAGGTCTGTCAACCCCGGAAATTTCATTATCACGCCATGGAGGCTCATGCGGGGTGCCATGGGGTATCAAACGCAAGGTTCATCAATCGAATGGGTCGAATGGTGACCAGCCTTTCAAGGCTTGCTTGGCCGAGCCTTGGCTTAAAGATTAAATCCACGTTGTTCCTTAATTCTCCGAGTCTCCGAGTCTCGGGCAAGGATAAATGAGCCATAGCTCTAGCGTTGCAGTAGGATTGTACATAGGATTGTAAATTGAACTGTTTCCCCCCATATTATTCCCAGCGTGAACTACTATCCGATCCAAATCAGCACACTACAGAGATAGTAAAAGTAGTGACGTCGAAGTGTGCTTTGTAATTCTAAGTGATGTACGTGATAGACTATGCAAGGACCACAGACCACATGGATGATGATCTCGATCCGATCCCAAGAATGATAAATGCCGATGAACGGACCAAATGTTTCTAGAGCTCTCCGAATCACGGTTAATATTGGACAATGTCGCCAGAAATTGCAGATATATGCCTCACTAAGAGTCAAAGGATTCCGAGGACCTCTTGGCTGGATCCCATACGGTCTTCTCCGGGGCATCTCCAGAACCACGAGGGATAGAGTTTGGATGATCGGCCATGTGTTCAAAGCGTACCCACGCCAAGTACGGCTAAATGTTGGTTTGGCCAATCAGAGGGCTTCACATCAATGGCGCTCTCCAGATTTTGGCTCCCGTTCCACACCCATACCCCTGCAAGCTATACCTATTTGGGATATGCCCCCATAACTTAATTGCGGAGTTCCTCATTTCCCCGTCGATTTCGGAGGGTCTCCGAAAGCCAGTGTTAAAGTTCCGGCCCACCAAGCAAAACCCGACAGTCTCGGGGCAGTATGCGGTGAAGAAAGTCGGCATCTGAAGAAGACGCTGCGAGATAGAAAAAATGTCGAGCAGGAAAGCTACATTGCAATAACCTTGAGGCTGCAGGTTACATTTCAAATCAATTTTGGAAATCTTTGTGTTGCAGTGCGGTAATGTGTCCCGTTCGAAAAACCAAAGAAACAGCGGCGGTGCCGTCAAATGAAAAAGAAGTTGATTGTGTGGACACGGGATCCAAGCTCTCTTGGCGCTGTTCCTCGGGGCTTGGCTTCTCTTATGTCTCGCCGATGACCAATGGCTCATCGTGACGGCAACCGGGGAAGTCTGGGGTTTATGCCAGTCGGTCCACAGAATAAAGTGAGATGCTGGACCCGAGGTTGGCTTTGATATTTCCGATTCCGGTTTCCCCCACAGATTCCCCCGCATGTAGCTGGGAAGGTTGGGCGGTGAATCTTCGGAATATTGGAACCGACCAAGAACGCTAAACCCGAAAGAAGGCAAACCGGAGGCGCTAGATATTTGCTGTTCTACAGGCGGGGGAGGCAAGGAAAGCCGTCGACCGGGACACCACAGACAAAGCAATCCAGGCTTTTGTGGAACAAGCGAACTATATCAAATAGGGCATTCGGTGAAAGAATAACCTATACCGCATTACTTGAGAATATGCATTCCAGGAAACACGGGAAGAGATTTTCTTGAAAGCGCCACTTGCGTAGTCAGGCCAGGTGATCCAGACCCGAAGAGTTCGAACTGAAAATGGAACAGGACTCAGCCGCAGTTTGTGACTGAAAGAGTAAGGGGGGAGGCCAAGCGGGTTGTCTGATTGGGGCGAAGTTGCAGGGGTGCAGCGACGCAGAGGGCTTTGAAGGAGGGAGAGGAAAGAATGAACCAACCTTGGAAATAGTCGGGAGCTTTGTCTCCTTTCCAATCCGAATCCTACCTTTCGTCTTGGGTAGCAGCCCCCGACTTCCTAACCTTCCTAATCAGACGGATGTTGAGGCCCCAACCCTAAAAGGAAGAACTAACCAGAAAAGGAAATCCATAGGACCTCCGTTTCAAGTCCTAATATACGGAAACAATCTGAGAACCTGTAAAAATGGTTCCGAAATTATTTCGTGTAGAAAGCGTCCTTTCCACCGTTACATTGGACGAGACGCCTAACCACCCTGTGCTCTATAACCCCGCTATTCTATATCTTCCAGCTCCATTATGGTGTTGCGGGCTAACTTCAACGACTGCTCCCCGCCTCCCCAATAAATGATTATATATAGCCCCTCAGCAAATTCGGTGATTCTTGGCGCAGCCGCAACATGGAGGCCCACTTAAGAGTGTTAGAGTCGGGCACGTCCCGTTTGGGCCGACAAACGGAAAAGATACTTCACAATATTGATTAGCGCCACCAACTATGCATCTTGAAAATTGCGTGTTGGAACTTTCACCATGTTTATGTCGAAACTCATCGCATATAGTAGTGAAGGTTAAAAGGTCTATGTTGGCTGAACAAGGGTGGAACTGAGGGCCGAGCTGAGAAGTCTCGGTCAAGAGCTCGACCGTGCTGATCGCACGGGTCCAAAACGATGCCCTATAATTTCTTTTTGTCATTGAATGGGGGCAAATTGGGCAGCGCAAAATTGCTTGGTTTCGAATACGTCATCTGTCATAATCGGCGAATCGGTCGGTGATATGTGCTCGCTATAACAGCTGCATAGTAGTTTTAGCTCCGCGTCACTTGCGATTCCTAACACCTACCACAGCTCTGCAATTACTAACTAGTTAGTTAGCTATCAATTCCTTCGCTTAAAGGGGCCCTAGCTAACCGTCAAAGAAAAAAGTAGTGTAATGCTTAGAGAAGCTGTAAGACAGTCGACGCCTCTTTTCATAGCCGACAGGTAATTCAATGTCATCGTCTTCATATATGAATCTGAACTCTCTCCTGGGCGTATACAATAACAGCTGCATATAACAATAGACGCGAATATGGGCTCGTGTAATGGTTGAGAAGATATAGAAAATGTGATATATCAGAAATTGCTAGACACGGTTTCCATCTTTGCGGCTAATGGAATTGTCCCCTTGGGAATTTAAGATAACCACGATTCAGATGAACTGGATGGCGATGGCTCCCGCGACAGACAACCAGGAGATAATATATGAGGCTTCTCTAGCATAAAATGAACTCATACTTGTAGGGACGGCGATAGCGTATCAATTGCCCCCGCTTATCCCAAGATATTACATGGTTGTTAAGTTTGACTAAATATTAAAGACCCAAAAGAAGTCAAAATTTGGATATTTTTGGTTTGATTGGGATGAAGGCTTTCGGTTCTCTTGGCTGGTCTTGTACTTTTGTATGGAGTTAAGGCATCATTTCTTCATCTTTCTAAGGGTGGAGATTTAACGGAAGCTAGTATCCTATGCTAGTTAAATAATTCGCCAACTGTCCAACAATGCTTGCAGCTTCTCTAGACTGCACTGTTTCAGGGTAATGTGCGACAATTATTGATTGCGATGATTTCACCACACAAACACCCTCTTTGCCCTAATATTCTCACGATTTAACGAGCCATCCGCTATTGTCGTAATTGAAATGCCTTACCTTCTCAGCATATATGCTCTGATAATCTGCTTTGGTGACCATAAGTCTTTCCCCTGCGAACGTAGAGCCCACCAGAGTATAGAGGAATTGAATCCTCGAAGCCCCTCAACATATATTGGACTTCCTCTAATTGAACCTATTGGAAGGCGTTCCAGCCGCCTGCAACTTTCAGAGTAATATAATAAAAGGAAACTTACGTTGAATCCTGCACTCGTTGCAAGTAGAGCATCGCCTCCTGCTGAGAATATAGCCGCTTTGTCGACTTTTTTAGATCCCACCAGGGTTTGATCGACCCATCCTATTACGGTAAGATTAGCCTTGAGATGTCTGTTTGTGAGATCTGCATACCTTGCCAGCTCATCTTGGGTGAAAAATAGGAAGAATGGAGAAAAAAGAGAGACGGGAGGAAGTTTATGTCGGCCTTGAAGGGAGGACGGTGTATAAGGACGCTAAACCTAAAAGGGGAAGGCTAACCCGCTGTGTCGTTCAGATAGTCAATTATCAAAGCCTGGGAAGTCCAAGCATAGACTATACAAACGCACTAAGTGAAAATAACGCAAGTCTGGAGCCTAAAGAGGTCTATTAGATTAGAGGATAAAAGGTGCAGCCAGAAGAGCGCTCATGTATCTATAATCGTTGCGTTCGAAACTTAGGGCTAATGAGAGGCGTTGCCTTGGGAATTTCTTCCAAGAAAAGATAAATTGACTTTTGATTCAATGCAGATGCTTTTCTAAGATAAGATCCTAAAGCATACAATGAGCAAAAGAATCCAAGCAGTAGAAACTATATATTACTATTAGTTATTTAAAACAGGTCTGATAAAAGTAGACAAAAAATCTCGAAATGACCAAGCAACCGTTCTTCCTTCATCCTGCTGCCCTGGCAAAAAGCAGAAGAAGAACTTCCAAGCGGAGCATAGGCCAGACATTCAAAAGAAATACTCAGGGTAACATGATGTTTCTCTGATCCGCACCACAAGGACCAGAGAGATCAGGAACCGAGAGGGATCCGGATAGCAATCAAGAGATGAATCGGCGTCGAGGCTACTCAACCGATTTACAGGAGAGCCATGAGACCAACAACACCAGCGAGGAGGCCAGCAACGGGCTTAACGTTGGAGGCAGCACCGGTGAACTCGTTGGAGGAGGGGGAGACGGGCTCCTCAGGCTTGGAGGGAGCCTCGGGGGCCTCAGGGACGGAGGGGTGGGCAGCGGGCTGGGTCTCCTTGGGGGCAGCGGGCTTGCTCTCAGCAGGCTTGGAAGCAGCGGGCTGGGAGGCAGCGGGCTTGGAGGCAGCGGGCTGCGAGTGGGCAGGGACAGCGGGCTGCGACTGAGCGGGAACAGCGGGCTGCGAGTGGGCAGGGACAGCGGGCTGCGACTGAGCGGGAACAGCGGGCTGCGACTGGGCAGGGACAGCGGGCTGCGACTGAGCGGGAACAGCGGGCTGCGACTGGGCAGGGACAGCGGGCTGCGACTGAGCGGGGACAGCGGGCTGCGACTGAGCGGGGACAGCGGGCTGCGACTGGGCGGGGACAGCGGGCTGCGACTGGGCGGGAACAGCGGGCTGCGACTGAGCGGGAACAGCGGGCTGAGAGTGGGCGGGGACAGCGGGCTGAGAGTGGGCGGGGACAGCAGGCTCAGAGTGAGCGGGGACAGCAGGCTCAGAGTGAGCAGGGACAGCAGGCTTGGTCTCGACAGGCTTAGGCTCAACGGGCTTGGTCTCGACAGGCTTGGGCTCAACGGGCTTGGAGTGGTGGGGCTTCTCAGGAATCACGACATCTCCGGTGGGCTTCAGAACAGGGGCGGTGGGGCCTGCGGTGGGGTGGGGGGGCGGGCTGAGTAGCATTGTGGAAGGTCACAGGCTTCTCGTTCTCGCACATGGTGCAGACAGTGGTCTTGGTGATGGTGATGGTGCTTGTTCCAGTGACGGGAACAGTCCAGGTCTTAGAGCCAGAGGTGACAGTAGACGAGGTGACTGGAGGTATTGTTAGCATGTGTGCTTCATGAGATATGTTTTGGTAGAGATTAAGGGCTTACCAGGGCAGGTGGTGGTCACAAAGGTGAGCGTCTTGGTGGTGCCAGGCTTCACGGGGTGGTGAGGCTTGGTGGTGTGCTCGTGAACCGGAGTGGTCGAGGTGGTGCAAGGGGTGGTGCTGTTACTCTGGACCGGGGTGGTGGTGTGCACCGGGGTGGTCAAGGTGGTGCATGGGGTGGTGGTGTTGCTGTGCACCGGGGTAGTGGTGTCACTGTGCACCGGGGTGGTGGTGGTGTGGTGGTGCACCGGGGTGGTGGTCGAGGTGGTGCACGGGGTTGTCCACGACTCAGTGGACTTGCTCCAGGAGTCGTGAGTCGACACATGCTCGGTCGGCTTGGACCAGGAGTCGTGAGTCGACACATGCTCGGCCGGCTTGGACCAGCTCTCGCCCCAGCCCTCAGCGTGGGCAGGGGCAGCGACAGCGGCAGAGCTCTGAGCGGCGGGACGGACGAACTGCTCGCCACGAGCCTGCATGATACCGGCGAAGGCCGGGCTGGCAAGAGCCAGAATAGCAACGGAGTTGACCATTTCGAGAGATCAAAGTCTTAACAAACAAACTTGGAAAGATAACGAGTGAAGAGATGATGATAGAAAGCTTGAAAGATGGACAGATATGAGCGGTCTTATATGCCTTGTTTGGGATGACTGGTTCCAAGTCATGACGGATATGGGTACCACGGTCGTGTCCAGGACAGAAAGGTAGACCTGATTCGCAATGTGACCATATGGCCGAATGCAGGTAGTTGGATGGCTCAACCACAGATGGCAAAGGCACAGATGCAAGGCCATTGGATAAAAAATTTGTGCAATGATACATTCATTTGGCGAACTCCGATGCAAACGTGACAGGCTGGAGTATCATTTGGGTAAGAAGTACAGGAGGGCTCCATCTTCCTCCACTAGCCCTGGAGAGTAACCTAATGCGGAAGTATAAGAAGAGCTTGGCAATTTCCATAATGTCAACAATCCGCAAAAGTGGTGGGTAGATTACTGGCGTGACTGCATATTGCTTCATTTCGATGGTAAAAATCGCTTAATTATTGTTCAACAATATGTGTATTTTGGATTATATGGTCGGCAAAAGGACCATTCTGGGTGTTCAGTGTTAGCAAAGTGGCAGCCATGACACCTCCAGACCCGGAGGCAATTTCTAGTGCGATGGCCGGCCGATCATATTCGAACGGGACCGCAATTGATATGAGAAGACTCCTCTGATTTGGGTTAGAAAACCCACGGTGATGTATGGCCTCGCAATGGAAACGCGAAACCAGTGGACCAGAAGCAGCCAAAAATCCCCACATACGAATAGGGCTGTTTCCTTCCAAGGTTGGCCCTCTGGAATGTGGGAATGGCATCCGATTGAGTGTAGGGCCGTTCCATTGGTAGGTGCCACTTTGCAAGAATGTACGCGAGAACCCAAAGTATTCTCGGAGCAAGACGATCCCAGTAGGCTCACAAGATTTTTTTTTTTTAGGGATCAATCCGGATATGGCCCATTGTAACATCGGCTATAATCAATGACGGGGACATCAATATAGCACTGGGTTAGGGATAGCCTCCACTGCGCGAAGAGGGTGCATTTTGCGGCAAACCAACAATCTGGTTCTTGCCAGAGATTGAAAGCGGGGAAAGCTTCAACCAATCCGAGGTGTTCTGAGCATCCTGCATGCTCGTTGCCCTTTGGAACAGCAGGGAAGTCTAGATGTCATCCATGGATCCTGGTGGACGAGAGGTACAGCAGTAAGGTACTGCAGAGATCTTGGCCGCATGCGGCAAGCGTGAATGTAGTACCTCGACATCGTCCAGCACAGTTCACAACTGCCTCTCGCTAGTAAAAGCGAGGAATAGTGTCGAGGCAACCCATCCGTTTTCGGTCACTAGATAGCATTTCCATTTTGGGATAGCACGTGACATAGGGCTTAGGGCAGACGCGTGCACGGGGCGTCGCGCGTCGCGCGTCGCGCTTTCCTGTTTGGGTTCAATTAAGCCCCGGAGAACCTTGGAAAGAGCATTTGCTTTGCCCATCACAAGACTCGCCCACAATGCCTCACTCCGTATCGCCTGGCTCTGCGCAGAATGATGATGAGATGCCGGATGCGCCTCCCGTCGAGACCTCGACTGAAACCAATGTCAGACTCGAGGATATGTTCAACGACGATGATGACGATGACGAGGAGTTCCCGGCTTCTGGAGATGTGAAGATGGAATCACCATCAAAGGAAGAGTGAGTGCGAACTTTTCGTACAGTAAGACGAGAGTGCTGATAGAAAGTTCGCAACAGGCCTCCAGCACCCACGCCCTCTGGCGTGGATCCGGATATCATGCTCGCCTTCTATCAACGACTTTTCCCCTTCCGATACCTTTTCCAATGGCTGAATCATGGAATTGTACCAACGAAAGACTTCGGAAACCGAGAATTTGCATTGACACTGCAAAATGACGCCTATCTCCGATACCAATCATATCCGACTGCTGACCTGTAAGGCCCATTTCAACTTTTATTGTCAACCCCCGTTTGAGCTGACACATATGTCCAGGTTCCGGAAAGACATACTTAGGATGAATCCTTCTCGTTTCGAAATCGGACCTGTCTACAGCACCAACCCACGCGATCGCAAAACGCTACGAGGCGGCCAGATGAAGCCAGTCTCTAAGGAATTGGTTTTCGATATCGATTTGACTGATTATGATGACATCCGTACATGTTGCGTCAAAGCTAATATCTGCGCTAAGTGCTGGGCTTTTGTGACAATGTCCATCAAGGTTATCGACACTGCACTACGGGAGGACTTTGGGTTTGAACACATCCTCTGGGTTTATTCGGGCCGTCGTGGTGCTCACGCCTGGGTGTGCGATCCCCGTGCACGCAATCTACCGGATGAACGGCGCCGAGCCATTGCTGGTTATCTTGAGATCGTCCGCGGAGGGTCACAAAGCGGGAAGAAAGTCAACATTAAACGGCCACTACACCCCCATATTGTACGAAGTCTTGAGTTGCTCAAACACGACTTTGCCCGGACCACACTCGGTGACCAAGATACATTTGAATCCGCCGAGCAGGCAGAACGCCTTCTGTCCTTGTTGCCCGACAAGACCTTGAACGAATCCCTACGGAGGAAATGGGACTCCTCCCCAGATCGTGCCAGCACCAGTAAATGGGCCGATATAGATTCACTCGCAAAGACGGGTAAGAGCAGCACGCTAAACCCGGCGACTCTCCGAGATGCGAAGCAAGATATTGTCTTGGAATATACCTACCCACGCCTGGATGCTGAGGTCAGCAAGAAGATGATTCACTTGCTCAAGAGTCCATTTGTTATTCATCCTGGCACCGGCCGGATTTGTGTTCCCATCGATCCTCGCAATGCTGAAAACTTCGATCCTCTCTCTGTCCCGACAGTAATGAGTCTGCTTGCTGAGATTGATGAATATGACGCGAAAAACCCTGCCGGCACAGCAGAAGCAGATATCCCTGATGTTGAAGGCAGTGCGATGAATGGCTCTGACATTAAGGGTGGTCGTAAGGTGCAGGACTATGAAAAAACTAGCCTGAAGCCTTATATCGATTTCTTCCGTTCCTTCATCGCAGGCCTCATTAAGGAAGAGCGTGCTGGCAAGCGTGAACGTGATGACAATGGCGCTGCTGTCAAGGCCGATCCTATGGAATTTTAACCGCAGCATGTTCATGTTCCTTCCCTTTGCCTAGCTTTGCCTCATAGGATTATGACTTTATGTTTTGTTAATTACCGTCGCTTTCATTTTGTACTTTATATCAAGGATTGCGCTTTCGAGGAGTTGGGGTCTGTTGTGCATGGGACCGAGTCATTTACCTTCAATCAGCCTGTTTTTTACATTTATCACCTTCTCACTCGAATCTACCAATTGGATAAAGATAGTCACTCGGCTGTGGAACTTGTCAAGTTACAAGATATGCAATATAGCTAAGGCTAGGGGTATAGCCATATAATAAGTGAAGTGATTGTATATTGGAAATATTGGTACAAATAGAGTCGCACAAGTAGTTGCACTAAAGCTAACCAAGATATGGAGGCACGAGGGTGGTATCTCCACAACAGGTAAACTTCTCATTATCAAAAGACACCCCTGACAGGATTAAGAGGAAATGAGCCAAAGGTTAAATAGGGTAGTTAATTTAAGCACCAATGAAGTTCTTGACGGCTAAAGGAGAGAAGTATTGTCAGCACGAGTCACAGAAACATTATATAGGAAGGGCAACATACTCTCCAACCAGCGCAGGTACTCCTTCTGCTCCTTAACGGAGATGTAGTCAGGAACCATGTTAGCGAACTCGGCGTTAAGGCCGCGGTCCTCGAGGTAGCGGTCCCAGAGACCCTGGAGGTCCTCATCAAGGTTCTCGAAGGGGGGACCGGCGTAGAGGCTCTGGCGAGTCCAGTCCTTCTCAGCAGTCAGGGATTGGGCGAGCTCAGCGTTGGCGAAGTGGGAGACTTCCTCAATCTGGAAGACACCGTCCTGGACAACGGTCTGGATCAGAAGAGCACCGTTGTTGGGCTTCTCAACGGTGATGGTAACGCGGGCAGGGAAGCTGGGCTCCGGCTGCTCGAGACCCTCGGCGGAGGCGTCATCGCGGGACTGGTTCTGGAAGTCCATCTCGTCGGTCAGGGAGGCATCGTCAAAGTCCTCCTGTTCGCTGATGTTCTGGATATCGGCGACGGTGAAGCTGACCCGGATGCTAAACAGTCATGTATTAGCATTGATCATCGATGTCGAATGAAAGGAAAAAGCGGAATGAGATCGTACTTCTCGGTGCCGAACTTCTTGGTGAGGATAACCTCCTGTTCACCAGCAACATCCTTCACCTGCCACTCGCCAACCTTAATAGTCTCCTCGATGGCTTCCAATTGCTCCTCAAACTCAGGGATTTCGGAAGACTTCTCGTGTCTCAGCTCATCCTCGAGCTTGGCGAGAAGCTCGACGTCGACTGTAAAAAAAGAAAATCCAAAATCAGCGCAAGGCCACATACGGAGTCCGCCACCAGATAAGACCGGATTTCGGCGGACTCTTTCAAATATCAGTCAATGCATCTTACCTTCCGATGAAGGAGCCTTGAAGATGCTAGAGGTCGAGAACGCAGCGTAGGCGGGCTTAGTGGCCTGATTCCAGGATTGGAAGACAGCGGGCTTGGGGAGTGCTGGGCGCAGTGCCGAGGTGGCAATGGAGCGCGAGAAAGTGCGCGGGATAGAGCGGGTGATAGTGCGAAGAGAAAGCATTGTGAATGTGGATGGTCTAAAGTTGATGAAGATGAGAGCTCGGGAAAAAGTGAATGAGCTAAGATATTACGAGTGCCAAGACCGCTTCTGTTTTGGCCGACTTTGCGCCACGCAATTGGATTCTACGATAGACAAAAAAACACATTTACTTTGCAATTGATCTTTATTGTAGATGATATTAAGTAATTTTGGTTGATTGGAATCCATATTGCGCCTCGCTCTACTATACGCTCGTGGATGGCTGGAAGTCCTGGCGCATGAGAAACTACACATCTAGATGGACGATACAACCGCATTGAATTGAAATGGTATATTCGAGAATATTCGGCTGTACAGAATCTAGAGAAGAATCAATGTACCCATAATGCGCCAACCCAGTCTTTTTGGACACCAGACAAACAAAGTATAGGAAAAAAGTAATCGTGGGATCATGACATGCTCTTCGGTGGGAAAGTAGACGTGAGTTTCTCTCCGTCTTTTGTGAACCGCATAAACTTGATGGCACTAAGACCCGACCAGTGTCCATTCCAGTTCTTCATCGCAGTCATTGCATATTGATCGCTTAGATCAGGCATCCATAGCCCAGTTGCGAACTCCCGATCCTCGGTTTGCACCCGCTGTTTCAAGGCCTCTTCGCGCTTGCTAGGAGGACGTCCTTTCCGGCGCTCCGACTCAAGCTGTTTGATCTCCTCAGAATCACGCGCAATATACCTGGGCTGGGTTAGTCTTCGGGTATGGCGGTTGAACGTTGGTGGTACATACTTGGCGACGAACTCGGAAATCTCCTCGGTCGAGAGGGCCTCAGTACGCTCCTGTATAGCCTCATGGATGTAATCAATTCGGTCCACTATTTAAGTCAGCCTGGTTGTCCTTCAATTGAAATGGGCAACTGTCTCACAGTATGGCTGTCTTGCACGGTTCACAGTGGCGTTATGGCGGGACAATCGATCGTCGCGAGCACCGGCTTTACGGAGTCGGTGGGCATCGCGACTGTTCTCATGGAGCGCATTAGTGGAGCTGCGCTTCTTGGAAATCTGCTTGTGCACCTTTTCCAAAGTAACAGGCATGATTGCGGGCAGAGGACAAGAATTACTCCAAACACTCCGCCGTGGGTTTCGACGATAATTTTCGTGGATGCACCGGCATAATTAGGCGGTGACTCCAAAATCACCGCCTTCCCCACTCGAGGAAAGCGCGTCTGCGCGTCGAGATAGGAGCATTCCAGGAGTTATTTACTCCCTCAATTCTTTAACTAGGATTCGATTTGGACCTCGCATTGTATTCCATATTCATTAGTTTCCTGCTTGTGAAAATCCCAACCTATGTTATCATTTATTGCTTGAATACGAGGACCCGCCTGTCCCTCAAACGGTGTCCACCATGGGCATTAAAGGTATGTTGTCTTGTGACTGTCTAAAGGGGGGGATAAATGGTGATTTTAACGCAACCAAACAGGACTGCACGGGCTTCTCAAGTCCATTCAGAAACCATGCCATATTAAGAATTTCAATGGGCAAACACTTGGAGTCGATGCATATGGATGGCTGCATCGAGGAACCGTTGCTTGTTCAGTTGATTTGGTCCTGGACAATCCTACTAGGAAGTATGTCATTTGGTCTCTTGGCCTATGGACTGTTGGCTGACAAGGCTATCTTATGGCAGACACATTGATTTCGTCCTCAACCGAGTCCGCATGCTTCTTTTCTTTGGAGTGAAACCCTACCTTGTCTTCGATGGCGACAATTTGCCCAGCAAGGCAGCCACCGAACAGGATCGCTATCGACGGCGTCAGGAAAGCAAGTCCCTTGGATTGGAGCTACAGCGGAAAGGGAGAATGCCAGAAGCTTACCAGGAGTTCCAAAAGGCCGTCGATGTGACTCCCTACATGGCTCGCCAGTTAATTGAGGAACTGAAGCAAATGAATGTTCAGTATGTGGTGGCCCCGTACGAGGCAGATGCCCAGTTGGTGTACCTGGAGCAACAGGGAGACATTCAAGGAATCATATCTGAGGACTCGGATTTGCTTGTCTTTGGAGCAAAGCGGTTGATTTCCAAATTGGACCAACACGGGGAATGCATTGAGATAAATCGCGCCAATTTTACTGCTTGCCGCGAAGTCAGTCTGGTTGGCTTCAGTGATCCAGACTTCCGAAACATGTGCATTTTGAGCGGTTGTGATTACTTGACAAATATTCCTAAGCTGGGACTGAAGACTGCGTACCGGATTATTCGCAAACATCGGAATGTTGAAAAAGCCCTGCGTATGCTCCAGTTCGAGGGCAACTTTCGAGTCCCGGCGGACTACCTGACCAACTTCAAACAGGCAGAGTTGACCTTTCTTTATCAACGGGTCTTCTGCCGTAAAGCTGGGAAACTAGTGACTTTGACACCACCTGACAAGGATATCAATTTGGCCACGCTGCCGTTTATTGGCGCCGATATGGAGCCGGAAATTGCCGTCGGAGTTTCTCGTGGCGATCTGGATCCAACCACCAAGGAACCAATCACCCTGAAGCCACTATTCGCAAACAGATGGACCCTTGGCATTAATCGCCGCCAGACACTAGGTACTTCTTCCGAGTTGAAGCCAAAGAAGTCCATCAATTCGTTCTTCACTCCTAAGAGGACACCGCTAGCTGAGCTGGACCCTAACAGCCTAACTCCGTCTCCGAGCCAGCAGCGACTCCTTGAGCGAAATGCAAACAACAGCTGGCAGGCCAATACAGCGCCCTTCCGCTCCAACTCGGTCAGGTCCACGCCTCTCAGGGCATTCTCTGACCAAGGCCTCAGCCCTATGGTTCGGAGTGTGGAACGCTCGTCTCTTCTGGCGCAAAGTGCAAGATCGTCGACATTGCAGTCTACAAAGAGACAGAGGCTCTGCTCTGAGACTGAAGGAGATTCTCTGCCAGCTTGTTCCCCTGCTCGCAGTCGGTTCTTTGCTCCTACTTCTGACCAAACTAGCCCTAGTGGCCAAAAGCTCTCCAGGTCAAAACGGTCACGAAAGTCTGTGATCGGTGTCTTCTCTGATGAAGTCGCCGAAGACATAATGTCCAGCATCCCCGATCCCAGTACCACACCTGGGTCCGCTGAGTCTGAAACCCGAAACCTCCCTTGAAGTATCTGGCAAGCCCAGTGAAGTTGAAATCCCTTTCAAGCCTACTTCCAACGAAGTCCGAGTGACTGAGGACCTTGAAATATCTCGGAATAGCCCCAGAGATACAACACCGAATTCCCCCGGTTTCAGGCAGGCTCTTGACTATCACGTTGACCGGCAAAACTCGAATGTACTTTCCAAGTTTACTTTTCAAGCGGGGCAAAAGCCCGAAACAACCGCAGCTAGCTCTATCATCACTAAGGTTCCTGCGATCCAGACTTCTCATAGACCTTCAACACCCTCGACCCCCAGAAGCCCAGCTGCGGTCGCACGAAGCAACGTTTTTCAGCGACGCCTCACACCGCTCCAGCGGATGGGACAGTCCGCTCTCAGTCGATCTAACAGCATCAACATTCCTACTAAACTCCGGAATGCCGAACCTGCTGAACCTCGGACTGAAGCCTCTTCTCCTGCCATACATAAGGGGTCCTCTTTTGCAGGAACTCAAGGCAGCGAAGATCTCATTGTCCCAGACAGTGAGGACGAAGAGGACGAGGATGAGCCTAGCACAGGGCCCTCAACCACTCTTGATCTGAAACGCTTTTCTTTTGGCGCAAACTAGGCTGCATATCTATTTGATTACGGAGCATTAGGACAGGAACATCGGGTCTTGGTATCCGGGGTAGCATCGGACCACTGGCTTGGTGGGTTCCACTTTGGCGCGTAACCTGTGGTGTTAATACTTTTTTTTTTAATTGGGGTTATTGTTTGACATAGCGTTGGTTAGGGTTTGGGAATCATAGCATGAAAAGTCTGAAACATTGAAACGTGCCTGATCCATAGATGGTACATTGAGGTAGCGTACCTAGGTAGACGGCCCAATATCTAAGAGGCTGGGTGAATCGCGTGGCTTATGGAAGTGGGGCGAAGGTTATCGAGATCTGCACTAGTCCATATCGGGACTAATGCGGTCCAGACTTTCCCGTGTGAGTGGGCAGAATTACCCACATAGAAGGCGGTCTGACATGGTTACCGGGGAAGCGGGATAGTAAACAAGAGCGGTTGGCCCAGCCTCCTAGATTTCGTATACTCTTGCCTCATCCCCAGCCTCCAGAGAGATTCGGAGAATCTGTCGATTAGCCTGACGTTGAGTTTTGTGCCAGCTGCAATCCCTTCTTTCTCTTCCATTCCTTCTACACATTCCCTGTCTTTCATATACTTCCCACCTGTACTACAGTCGTCAAGTCATATCATATTTCTGACCCATCTGGATAATCCACTCTAGGTGCGAGCCGGATTCCACAATAGTATCAGATATTTTGGATATCTTTCAAAATATCCCAAGTATTGACTACGTCTTGAACGATCCGATCATCCTACCATCCCACATTCTTCATCCACATTCCATTCCAACGATCTCGATCTCGATTCGCCCGTCGTCCCAATCACACGAACAAGCAACAAGTACGCCACTGGTGTCCAATTGAGTTGTGTGATTGCATTCAGTTCAGGCAACTCCTTCTCGGAGACCGAGAAGCGAGTCAACAAAAAAGTGCAGGAGTTCGACCCCGAGGTGGTCATAGTTGAACACAATGGCTGTTCCCTTCGCCCAAAAATGGGCCCGTAAGTGACCACATACCAGGGGAAATTATACAATGCCATTGTCGCTAATTCTTGAGACAGGGTTCCTTCCAATGATCGGGTACCACCACGTGTTGATGATTATCATAGCAGTTGCTATTATCCTATTATGTGAGTTCCTGTCTTTCTCATCGCTCTCTCTGTTGGAATGTTACTAATACATTGCAGCACTTCTGTTGGCCGGCTGCTCTTCCTCATCCCCACAGATGCCTGACATCTTCCTTATCTCTCTATACTATGAAAGGTATAACCCCATTATGGACCTCGCACAAGTCCAACCGGATGTGGCGAGTCCGATCTCCCATATCGTCGGCGGCGCAGAGATGGAAGTCCGAGTGGGGTACTTTGGTATCTGTGTTCAGCCTGATAAAGGTTCTTTCATTTGCAACGCCAATGCGACGGCACTGGCTGAGATTGTCACTGTGGATCAAGATCCAATGAACCTGATCTGGGTTGCCTCCACGTTCAAAGACGCCGTCGTATTCCCGTATCTCCTGTGAGTAACCTTCCCTTTGTTATTTCTAGACAACGCTAATACTCGTACAGGATTGTTGCTGTCATTCTCGCATTCTTCTGTTTCATCCTTCTGGCGACATTCCCTGGCTGGCACGAGGAGGTCGACGACACTGGATCCGAGACTGAAGTCAAGCCTTTCCCCTCGCGGCCCGTTTCCCAGGCTGCGCTAGCCCTCATTTTTGTCTCCTCGGTGTTCGTTCTCGTGTCCGTACTGTGGCAGCACACAGCATCTGTCGCTGCCAGTACGATAGCCCAAGACATGGGCAATGGAAGTGTGAAAAGTGGCGTCGGCGCTTCTGCAATGGTGCTTGGCTGGTTTGGCTTTGTCCTACTAGTTATAGTCACTGTTGGTTTGCTGTTCATGATCTTGAGTATACGCCTGCTCCACAAACTGACCGACGATGAATAATCACATTGATCCTCAATGCCGAACATTTGCTCTCTTTGCTTTTCTTTTTTTCGCAACTTGTTTACACCTACCTCTTCTTCGCCTACGACATACCTTACCCTTATAACGGGACGACACAAATGGGAAATGAATAATATCTACGAGCACACGACCCTGGCTCACAATTCACGGAATGGATGGGAACGGAACACACGGCACTTGGGACATTTTGATTTCCCCGGGAATTTGGGACCTGGACAGTTGAATTTCACGAACATATTTGGGAATATGGATCCTCGCATGCTTGCTATTCTTGGGATTTGACAAACATCGTTGTCGTTTCATCTCGGAAATTCACATTTGGTGCACCTCTGCCGATCTGCCAGGATAGAATGAATGCAATGCCATCGAGTCACATTTTGTACAGACCTTTTTTGCAGGTGTTGGTTTTTTATTTTGAGTGGAATTCTGTTTTATGGTCAGCACATGGCGTTTGTTTGATACAGTCATGTATACCACAGCCTCTTGTTTATTCCCATGCTGTGTTCATGTTTTGCTTCTGATGCATAACTTCAAATGCTAGTTAGTCCTTATGACACAATGTCAAAAATGATACCAAAATCAAGTCTTCATTACTCGCTCTCTCAGGTAAATAACCTCTAAGATCAGAAGTCCGTTTAGCTTTGTCCATGTTACCGAGTATAACTACATGTAGATACACACCTTATGTGCCTATATGATATCCAGGACAATCAATAGCTTTTAGAGATATTTTGACTCAATTTAGAATGCTAAAGGACCTGGCTACCCTTATCCGCCTCCCATCATGGACAGACGCTTGGTCTGGTTCTTTGCCGTTAATGTATCAAGGCAAACTCCCCTTCCCTTCCCCATCCGAAACCATTCTACCCTCACTGCACCATCTCATGAATCTCGGCACGCGTGTTGTTGTGCTAGATCATCTTGATACGAAGGAGCTATAGCTGCGCTGGGTTAAGATTGTCGGGTAGAACGTCCGACGGTAGTGTCATGCGATAGCGTGGATGCTATGGGGATTGAATATGATGCATCTGTGATCTCGCTCCAGTTTCCTGGAAGCTAGGCGAAGCTTTCTATAACTGCGACATGATACTAGAGATTGACCAGAACCATCAACGTAAGGATGGGGCTGTCGGATGTGAACGTTGTGGATAGCTTCTGTTCGAAGGGTCTCAGTTTAGACAGTAGCTCATTGGCACGATTATTCAAGTCTTGGACGTCCATGGGGATTTTGCCCTTTTAGGTGATATTGGAGGAAGAGATCGTTGACTGAGATATGCCTGGTGGTTGTCATCTTCATCTAGAAGAACTGCATCTGCCAGAGAGGCTGTTGGAGAGAGCCGTGGCGAATGTTGTTTGTATCACTCTAAGTTGAAAATTCATCCGTCGCCAGGCGCACACGCCTCTTTAAGCTGCATTGTGTACATATGAAGCCACTTTTCTATAGTCTTAGGGTTAGCCTCTTTATGGTAGGCAGGAAGGTTGTTGAGATATCAGAGATCACTTACCGCTTTAACTAGCTATAGCTTCTCTGCCAGATTCACTGGTTCTGGAAGGTTTGTGGAGATGAAGAGAAATGGCAAGAGAGAGAGAGTAGTGGGAGGAGCTTCCTTAATTATATAGATCGAATCCAACCACAATTTGTTAAATGGTATTCAAGACGGTCCATCATCGTGAACATAAAATGGTGTGAATCCATGGATATCTACTCGGATTAATAATTAGCGCTTATCCTTGAAAGGATGTAGGAAGGACAAGGAATTGTGAACGAGGGATCCATTACCTTTGTTGCACCTTCGTGTATACTATCAATACGTGCTGGATCTTCTGGGCGCTCCATGACCCGTCCATTGGCACCAGGCGCTCACCACGGTACTTTCCATCTGCTGTATCAATGACTCCAGTCCAGTAACAAGGTCACGAATTGCGACCGCAGCGCACGCCATCTCCTCATCCTCGCGGACTAAACGGCAGGGTCAGTGGTGCCGTAGCCAGACTCTTCATTCAGTCAGAAGTCGCGCGCCCACTCAACTGCGGCATGAGACTCGTAACGTGGCCCCCTATTGCGCTGCTGGAGTTTGGTTATTTACAGGCCCTTGCCCGCTCGTAAGCGTAGCTATATAGAACATGGACTGTTTTATGAAGACAGACGGACCGGAGCTATTACCCTGAGAGTTGGAGGGTTCATATACATCAGACGAGTATGTACCCAGAACTGGCATGTTAGGTCCTGACGGAAGTCGTAATAGAGATCCGAAGTAGATCAAGGGTTGCGTCTTCCGGCGCTCCTCGACCCATTCAGGAATAGGTTTGTCTCCATGCACATCAGCAGGGTCACCCGACTAACAAGGGCGTCTGACAGACGATGATCTCCGGGCGGAGTAATTAACCATCCGTGTTCGTCGAATTCAATCTTGCCGTAATTAGATCCTGTTTGTATTGGTCATGACGACGATTCTGGTCCCTCCAATGTTCTCCTATAATCGAGTATTCGACGTACCATTGCCCACTAGGTAGCTGGGTCCGTCTCAGGGAAATGGTCTGCTTGGAAGGTGCGGCCGAAGCCGGAACGGGAGCTCCGGTGGTTGAGGAAAGCGACTGTAATTTCTATAAGTATCCGGCTTTATAGAGTTCAGCGTAAATATGAAGCATACCGGTCGATCAATCGTTTGCACAAGTAGTCAAGGCGCCATGTCACCAATCGGGCTAGATGGATAAGAAAAGGTCCCTATAGAAACACGACGGCTTCGTGACGGGCTAAGGCAGCCAATAGGCGCCCGACCAACGTCTCTAGATGGGTAAGGTAATCGGCGGGTGGGGGAGACTAGCTAGCGGGCGTAGCATATGCGAGAGACATTTTAGATAGACTAGGCCACGTTAGCAAAAGCATACCTGGAAAAAGGACTGCTGGAGAGAGTGCTGGAGAGAGTGCTGGAGAAACCGAATGCAGACTTAGGCTCACCATATGAAGAAGAGGCTGTCCTAGGAGACACCTCATCCTTTGAGGCAGATCTCTTTGTATAGGTAGGCGAGGAAAGCATTACAAAAGCCCAAGAAATGGGATCGAAGCGACCCCAAGAAGGAGCCGAGTATTCACCAATCGTATTTGTCACGCGCCCCATTGAAATGTTGACGAAGGTGGGACAGAGAAGGCACCACGGTAGCACTCAACCTTGGAAGGTTGCTCTCACTCTTTATCTCCAGCCCAACCCCGCAGTGAGATGCGGAAGGAGGGGATGCACTAAGCAGATGCACTATGTTGTCGGGATGTCGAAAGGCTTATGGCTGGTCCCCGGGTTCTAGCTTCTGTTATTGATTTGGACATCAAGGCTTGTCAAATACCCGAGTCCAGCTGCAAGCCTGTTTCAAGTTGCAAACTTTGATATATTGAGAATGGTCTGTGTAATTGTTGCATAGTGACTGCGGGTGCAAAGCTGTCTCTGTGTAGGCCGATCTAGTAGATGCAGAGAGCTGGGACTCGAGGCAGGTCCCAGGACTCGCGTTGGTTGATGACCGGAAAGAATTTGACCGAAATCAGATTTTCGCAGTAGGTCACTGGCCGAGTCTTTGCCAGCTGCACTTGAGACCCTAAAACAGGCCAGCCGGCTGGAGATGCAGGCCTCATAGGATTCTCTCGAACCTGACCGTGGACGGAGTAGGGTTTGATCGTCAAGCAATGCAAGATCTGATATACGTAGGGCGGAACAGCGGCACTGTAGAGGCGTTTTCGTGGCCAATAAGGGCAGAAGCTCGGCCTTCAAGTATTGGGCTCTCTTATACCGGCCTACGGCGGGTGTGTAATGATCATTCTTTATGTGCAAAGCTTCACTCCGATCGGAAAATATCGAAGCTATGTGGAGAGTATCACGAATCCAGCTTGACATTTCTGGATGCCTGTCTTGAGCTTTCGCACGGTTGCGGAAGCTAGCTTTCTGTGTTCGGTAGCGCTTGACCCAAGCTTTGTAGTCGATGTAATTTTTGCTTTGCGTTAGGTGAGTCCCAATCCGCGTCGGGGAATTCTGCATAAGGATCCCAGCAGTGCGGAACGCATCATCGTACTTCTATGGCCACATGTGTATTTCCACAGCCATTTCCCATAGGCTGCCGTTCGGCAACATCCCGGGTCCGATAGATGGCGGAAAGATATTGATCGAGTTGCGGGAAACTTTCGTCCCAGGTCGAAGTTCGTGTGTCTAATATATTCCTCTTGCATTGGACAATCATGGATTTCTTGGATCGCTGTCCTCCAGATACTGGTATGTGTGTAAATCAGAGAAATGCCACTTGCGGAACACAGTACGGTCAATTTTTATCAACTCCGAAGAGGGACGAGTGTGAAGCTGGGTCGATTCCATGTCGATATCGAGCATCGGTAGTTCCTGTCGACCTGCTCGAACTCATAGCCTTGACAGTCTTCGCAAAAGAACTCTTCTTGGTCGGATCGGGAGGCAGGTATGGGATTAGGCCGACACAGCGACAACAATGCCTCGCTCTTCACTAACTGCTTGCTGGGTGATAGAGGACTTTGGACTTGGACTTGAGCCAGAACCAAATCGAACTTTTGGACTACTTAGGATCGTTTCCCTTTAGCGTGGTCGACACAGCGCCCAGAAACACTCTTCACACTTGATCCAGCGTATAGCCCATTGAAAATCTCATAGTCCTGATTAGTGGTAGAGAGCAGATGGTCATCTGGCATCTGAAGCTGTTGATCATTGGTTTGTGTGAAGCAGATCAGGTAGACACCTGGATGAGATGATGAATGATCAATTCTTGGTAGAGCCATGATGTGTTCATGTGTCGAGTAGAACATCCAAGAATTGTACTTGTTGATCCAGGGATGTAGGGAGCCGACACCCATTTCTGTGTTGACATGGGTGTGCAATCCATAATCTCTTCGAAGATGTCAGGAATCTTCTCAACCCACCGCAAGCTGAGCATAGAACATACTCAGAAGTCATTAAGCCGTCCGGTTTCCATGGTGAAACTCAGTGAGAAAAAAAAAGCTTTCCAAGGCATCATTTTCAACCAGCTTCCAATCGTTCAATCACTTCAATGCTTCATCTGTTCAAAGTCCATATTCGGCAATGCCTTCGTCAATGCATCTACCGGCCTCGGGGGTTATCGTCCTCATCCATGTCATCCACGCAGATCTGGATCAGCTTGTCTCTCGTAGCGTCACTCGACAGGATTGGCGATGGGTATTTGCGGGCAACGAAATCCACAAGTTTATAGGCGAAAGATTGAGGTTGTCATTTTCAGCTCTTCAGATTCATCCTGAAATCTGCCGGGTTGGATATGAGTCGTCCGTGGCATTTATCCAAGATGGTATATGTATCGAGCCTCTACGATAGTCTCAAGTCAGTCCTCTATTCACACTTAAACATAGCTCAGAAGCTACTCGGTTGCTCACTTACCATGATCTTGAACATTGCAAGGTATTATCGATGGCAAGGCTGACTGCGAGAAAGTGGGTCAAAGACTTGTTCTCATCAATGTGGTGTTCCGCACGTTGGATAGGGTCCTCGTTGCTGTCCTCGTCCACTGGGGACTCTGTGACACTGGCACATCGGCATATGCGGGGAGTAAACGTGTAGAGCAGGAGATGGAAAGCGTATATGGGTTGCTAAGCATAGCAAGAAAGGGAAAGGATGTTCCATGAGATTTGTAGAGAGGAGATTTGTAGAGAGGGTTGATTTTCCATGGAAGCAAGTCTTTAGTTAACTAGTTATATGTGCTGGCCTGAAATAAAGGCCTGATATGTAAGGTGACAATCAACGCAAAGCAAACATTACCAACGATAGCTACATCAATGCTCCTAGATCAGCACACTTTGCACTTCCGTACATCATTTGCAGAAGAAATCTGGTTAGACCTATGCACATATATATATGCTCGTTACAACATATAGTGCTATCAGAGTTCATTTTCAGATGACCTTCGGAGTGCAACAGTGGGCTAATTCTGAATGAATAGAGTGCGAATATTCACTACAAGATCATTGTTCTAGGATGTTATGACCATAAAGCGTCGATAAGAAAGGTGGGCACCGTGCGCCAATCCATTGATGCAAGCCGAACTTGGACATAATAAAACCCGTAAAGTTACAGATGCTGGAGACCAGCCCATAGATAAGCCTTCCGAAACTGTGGCTTTGGTGATTCCGAATACAGGTTGAATATCAATAATCCATAGAGTAACCCCCTCTGCCTGAACCTCCACCATTGTGGCCATTCTTGCCGTCATATTGCCCATCATATCCATTGCTATGGTCATCCAGCGACCTGTACTGGTAGTATTCACCGCGGCCACGGCCCCGGCCACGGCCTCGGTTGTTGTTACTGCGTCCGCGTCCGATACCTCGGCCACGACCACGATGAGCTCCTCTTCCCCGTGGACTATCATCATATTGGCGACGTCCTTCACCGCCACCCCGCTGAGAGGATTGGTAGTTGCCGCGGCCAGGAGATGGGGCATCGGTATTTGAGCCGGGTGGCCAGACGATATTCTCATCCTCCTGCTGGAAGCGTCTCTTTTGACTCCTGTTCAAGGGTCGCTCTCCTTGACGATGTTCTCCGCTGTCTTCGACTCGCAGGACAACTTTCTCACCGACCACAGTGTCAAAGGTCATGGCCCTGTCAGCCGGAATGGGATGCCAGTTTTGGATCTGCCCTGCATCGATCAGACGAGCACCTTTGCGCACAGCCAGTACTACAATTGGCAGTGGGTTCTCAGTGTAATATGCTTCCGTTGCTGGGATAGGCGCCACACGGGCTGCCCATATCTTGTTGTCCAGGGTTCCAGTTCCGGTAACCTGCCACTTTAGTTTCTTGCCCAGGCCTCCAACCTTGTCCAGGATTGAACGGGGTGCTGGGCGTGGGGTGATTAGGATGCTGTTAGCCATGTACTTCAGGTCATTTGATTCCGCAAGCCCTGGGGGAAGCAGTGGAGCTAGCAAATTCTGCATCATGTCGTTTGAAACCTGTGGAGTAACCAGATATCCGGTGTAGAAGACGACGCGCTTGATGAACATCCGTCCACAGTGGCTCTTGGTTAAATTCAAGGCAGGGTTTCGCAGTGCGAGGTTATGGGCATTGACCATGCGCTGCACCTCGGCAGTCTCAGTTACGGGGTCAAGGTATGTGCAGCCCTCAGTTACCTGAATGACTTCAGCAAGGATGGGCATCCGGGCGGTAGAGGGTCCACTTTGAAGGTCTCTGTTCACACTCTCGAAGAAGTCTCGGAACCCTTTCACACTAGAAGAAGGTCAATACCTTGATATGCTCAAATTTAGCAACTCCGTTTCCAAGGGACTTACTGTCTGACACGATCCTCGTAGACGCGGATTTCCGCAGCCTGCTCGTAAGTGAAAACAAGGTCCTCAAGGAAGTTCTGTTTGAAGTTCATCGTGGACGCAAACCGTTGGCCGTTTGGACCAACTTCGGGCTTGAGACCAATAAGGTCAAACTCAAGATTTTGACTAGCGACCATCCGCTTGATAATCTCTGCAAAGCCGGCCTCACTTCGACCGGTCAGCAACACCGTGAGCGCATCTTTCTGCTCCATGCTATTCCTAACTAGACCAAGCTTTGAAAAAAGTCAGCTGAAACTCCCGAACATATAATACGCGATAGAAGTCACACAATTTGCTCGTTCCACCAGCTTTCCCATTTGCGAGGCTCTTCAATCTCCATGCCTTTCCCTGTGGCGGCGAGAATGTTGGGGTCATGCCACCATCCTCCAGTTGCGAAACAGTCGTTCGTTTGAAGGAACCCAATTGAGGAGCCATGCCATAATTGTGGGTTTGGTAGGGGACTTAGAAATACTGGAAGCGCGGAGGTTAGTGAGTGTCGGACCATCGTAGGTTGAATATGCTCACAGGTGTTGTCGAAATCGTAGACGTGAATTGCGCGGATTTGAGAAACAGCTGGAAATGAAAAATGTGGTCAGAATCATGGCAGAGGAATAGACAGAAATGAGATCGAACCTGGCAACTCCTTGTTCACTACAGACCAGCGCCGTAGTGAGGTGATGGTATGCGGGCGAATCCCGCCTGCGCTGTAAGACATACTGGGAGAACCGAGGCGTGCAAGTTTCTCTGAAACGACTGCCTTAGCAGACCGCATTATATCAGATAAAGGAGAGATATGACGCTAGCGCATGGTTTGGAAAGAAAGAGAGTTGGAAGTCGCAAAGCAGGGTGACAGACAGCTCCCGAGAAATTGGTTTTGCCGCCCGAACGCGATAAACGTGACAAACGTGACTGGGAACTAAACTCCTGCAACCCACCTCTGGCATGTCGCCTGTATGGATGATGTCGACTTGCGACAGGAAATCCTCCAGCGGACTCTTAAAGAGGTAGCTGATGAGGAGAAAGAGGCGGCAAATCCTTGTGTTATTTGCTTAGACACTGTCGCCGAGCCATGTGTGGCACAGCCATGCCACCATACGAACTTCGACTTCCTCTGCCTTGTCAGTTGGATTGAGCAGCAACCGAAATGTCCACTATGTCAGAATCCACTACACACATACTTCTGACTAGATCTGGCTGACAATACAACAGGTAAAATCGAGTTGACAGCGGTGCAATACGATCTCAACGCCACACAAGGTCCGAAGCTATACAAGCTCCCGCCCCGAGCGCAGCAATTCTCGCAGCTCCAGCCTCTGCTCGATTGCGCCATGGTAATCGCTACGGCCCACGAGGGCGACGTCCTCCACCCCTGCCGCGACCACAGCCAGATGACCCGCTCGAGCGCCGGCGCAATGTCTACCGCAACCAAACATACTCCATGCGAGTCGGATCCAATCGGTTGTCTCAGTACCGAGAACTGACACCGGAGCTCTTTGCTCGTGACGAGGGGCTCGTCTCGCGCGCTCGGAAGTGGATCCGCCGTGAACTACGAGTCTTCTCTTTCCTGAACCCGGAACCGGAAGACGTTGAGCGGACATCTCACCATGTCTCGCGCCCTGGGCCTCAACGGCTGGAGAATCGCAGGGCGAACAATGCCGAGTTTCTGCTGGAATATGTCATTGCTATCTTGCGCACGGTCGATCTCAAAGGCAGTGCTGGGCAGGCGGAGGATCTGTTGCGTGATTTCATCGGACGCGAGAATGCGTGTCTGTTCCTCCATGAATTACAGGCGTGGCTGAGGAGTCCATATAATTCTTTGGAGGACTGGGATCGTCATGTACAGTACTCGAATACTCCGCGGAGTACATCCCACGGAAGCTATAGGGACTCTGATGGCTCAGGTCGTAGATCAACTCCTGTGCACACTCGCGGTAGACCACAGAGGTCCCGAAGACCATACAGGTCCAGGTCTCAGGAGAATATTGATCGCTCCAGGCGGCTACAACAGGCTCAACAGCGATATAATCCATATTAGATATGCAGCTTGGCATACAGGTGTTACGTCTACAACTTTAAGGATTGCATAGGGAAATAATCAATCTCTGGTATACGAATTATAAGATTTGGAGTCGTGGTTGCAATTGGAAAGAATATTTTCCTCTCTTTCCAATCTCTCTGCGATGCTGTGCTTGAGTTCGAAGCCTAAAGTACTGTAGATCCGCACGCCGTGGTCGCGCGCTCGGTCAAACTATATCGGGCCATGGAGAGAAAGCTGTCCTTATGCAGGCCAATAGCACGCTTGCTTCCCAGCGGGTGCATGTATGTGTCGTTGAACCTGGCCACTGTGATGAACATCTCGTGATTGTCTTCCGAAACGAGGAAACGGTGCCCAGAAAGACATCTCCTCGATAATACTGCATCCTTCGTGAATAACTATGTGAATAACCATGGCTTTTCCGTCCTGCCTGCTTGATGGAAACTCTACTACTGTCTGCCGCGTTTGCCTTCGACTTGTTCCGTATTTCCTTCTGCGACCACACGCGATTGCTCGCGCTCGTGGGTCTCAGCCTGGTCGCTGGGTGCCTAATCTTGGATTTCCTCTGGAGAAGTCGCCCGCAGAATAGAATGACTGTGTCAAGGGCCATGCGCAATGTGTACTGGGTTGTTTCATCTTTCCCCCCTATGTTATAATGTTAGCGCTTCCAAACGGCCAGCGTCTAATTAATAAAAAGGACTTCGTACCGGCAACGACTGTGTCGCATTTTAACCATACATCCATTTCTGCAGCTTCTTGCATGGACTCGTCAGGCTCATGCACTCTTCTCTATGACCTCTTGATCCCAACAAGGGCACTAGTGGGGCCATCTCTTCCCCTCTTCCCACAAAGTAGCCATCTACTTTCGCATTGAAGAGAACTCCTGGCTTGGATTCTGCTTCGAGAACTTCTGGAGTTGGCGGCCCCTCTGCTACCCCAAGGTTCTGGCTTGGTGGCTGGGATCAAAATTTGGGAAGACAGCCCTAAATTGTCAGCCATGTTCTTCTGGGGTCGCTTCTTCGAAAGTCTCGCCGCTGAGCGGTGCGAAGAATCTCATTGAGATGTCACCGTCATCGAAGTTCCAATGAGTAACAGGTCCAAAAGGAGTTTCAGGGACAGGGCCACGACTGGTGCATTGGCAGGGCCAACAGGAGTCTCGAGGATAGACTCAACTGGTGGTTCATTGACCTTATTTTGGGCTTCTGGGGGCGCTGTGGGTGAGTCTGACCATTCTGTGTACACTGTAAGACGAGGGTGGGACGAGAGACGTAGCCAGTGGCGGACGTGGAAGTAGTAGGAGTGCCATTGCTTTCCAGTCAGATCCGTTGATTTGGAATTCCGGACCGATATGGCAAAGCAGACTATCGTGGTCCGGCTGGCTCTCGTTTGGCATCAAAAAGCAAGGCCGACGCGATAAGTAGGATTGTCACCGAAAGTCTCCATGGCTTCGGTGTGATACCTACCACCGCTGCTGGATTTGTTATCTCCATGTGCTTTAATCCAATCCCCCCGCCGTGCTTTGGCCCCGAGGCGTTTATTCGAGACCCGTTGGGATTTGAGGTCACAACATCGGTTCAGTTTCAGCAGGGCTAAGTGGAGCCAATTTCATTGTCGCAGTTGCCTGATTGATGAAATCCTCCATCGCTTCGTGGACTCATGTCTTTGCCAATTGGTAGTCTTGCTGAACGTTACAGCCTCCAATAAGTCGCAGAGATTTGTCACCCACGGCAGATTTGATGATGAGGATCGGGAGCAGACTGGTAGATATATGTAGGTAAATACCCTCAGATATCACAAGTCTTTCACCCTTCATGGTGTATCGCGGATCTGTTGTCAAGTTTCAAGACTTAGCTACCCACCCGACGTAGAACAGGCACATTTTCATAGAGACCTGCGACAGTGCGAGATGGTTTGTTAGCGCATAATAACTTGACGGGGATATGGGCTGGGATTACCACTCTTTCCATGCATTCGTTTCTTTGAATGCCAGAGAATTGGTGCTCCAGCGAAGCCCTTCTGTTGACTTGCTTAATATCGTACCGATCTCCGTGTGAAGCATCGGCATAAGCGAAGAACGCGGTACGAGTTCAATGGAAGATCGGCGCTGCTTATTGTGCCAGGGGACTGGAACTGCTTCAGGAAGATAGCGTCCTCCTATGTGCTGAGGAATCCAGACTCACAATGCATCTTCTGCATATCACGCAGAGGCTGTGCGATCTTGCGCCGAAGGTTGCTTTGACTGGCCAAGATGCCGGTGTGGCTAACGAAGCAGGTGAATCAAATTCCCGGAGCCCTCATTAATTCCCGGTCGACCTGTTATAGTTGCGGAAGGTAGCCATCCAGGCTTTACCCTTGACGCCACCGGGTATAGGAACTCACGGCCTTGAGTTGTATCAGTGTGAGGATGGCCAAGGCATACAACTGACGAGCAGTCAAGCAAACTTACCCAGACTGATTGGAGCCACGAGCCAATACATCATCTTGCCGAAGTCTCAGATGCATTAGACAGTAGAGGACGAATGTAAATAGTAAAAGTATTAGGGTACAGCTTCACGGGATTGGCATAGGTCATGTCCCATAGACACGTCCCAAAAGGGACCTCTTGGACGCATACGAGGATAAACAAACAGCCTCTCATACGACCAATGTGAGCATCCTAGGAGCTGGCGTATATATCACAGGGCACAGCGTCCTCCATCACCCGGCCCTGGTTTGAGTATGTATCGTCATGGACTATGATCGGTGGATATTCGATTGCCCTTTCCTTGTCGAAATTTGCCTGTTGGGAATATCGCTTTTTTATATGTACTCAGGAATGCATGCTTTCGTTGCATCTCTTCTATACATCGAGTGACCTGACCTATATCGGGTGAGAACTTTGAACATCAGGCCTGGGTCAAGAATCTTACCAATTGCAACACAAAAGTCCCAGTCGTAGCCTCGATTCAAGGAAGCCAAGATTCACTCAAGCAAGCGCCGTTACCCGCGGGATTTTGACTTCTCCCACGGCTTTCATGACAACGGCCAGCCAGATGGCCGACCCCCAGGATCGGCCTCTTGCACTGCACAATGATCGCATCCATGGTAGTGAAAGGTGTGGTTATCAGAAAGGCCGTGTCTGCCGCTGGGGCAGATGGCCTATGGTACACGTTTGGTCTTGGTACCATTGTGATGAGAACGGTTGGAGACAATGATAAGATCAACGACGATGATGAGATAAATGAGGAAACAATGATAAAGGAATTGAAAGGTGGAGATGTTATAGTTGAGATGGGAAGGAGTATGCAGGTAAGTTAAGAAATGGTGATCAGACTCTGGTAGGGAGCCGTAGGAGATACCGTAGACTGGTGAGGAGGAGCAGGATATACCGCACGTGGGCTCTTTTCAGCGAGGTAGATGGCCTGAGCTGCACGACTATGCAGCACCAGAGCGCCGCCATCTTTACTCCTGTGTTTCCAAAAGACTCCTAAGCCATGATCAGCGCCCGTCGAAACATAGGCCGAAATGTCAGCCGGCAGCACTTAGTAGAGGTGACGGCCGAGTCAACAAAGGAGGGGGGGGGGGGGTGGCGGCGAGTATTTAGCGGAATGGTGTAAGGCGACCATGAACGAAGGTTGAGAGAGACTCAGTCGAGTCCTTCATACGCCTGGTTTTGGTGACACATTCGCATCTTGACATCAAGCGCTGCCGGATGGCAACCTTCAATTCTCCCACCGCTTTTAGGGCAACTGGGACACTGCGGGATACGATAGCAGCGTCTGTGCCTTGCTATACCCTGTTCCAACCGTCGGCGAAGCAAATGTTCACCCCATCCGTTCTGAAGACCGCTCCTGAGAACTTGGACAGCCTGTCCGAAGTGCCCTTGAACGTCCGTTTCATTGGCGACACACATCTCCTCCTCCAGCTAAACTTTTTCCACCCCTTCTTAACGCTTGACGGGACGTCTGATGCCAGCTATATTCAAGGTCAGCGTGTTGTTCCTGTAGTTCCTATAGAGCCAGTGACATAGTGGTTAATCTCTCGCCATACCCACCAGAACAATAAATCGATTCCCTTTACGGCCAGGACGTAGCCGACCACGAGCCAGAGAAGGTCATGGCCCGTGGCCATCATAAGAGGACGGCCTGGGCAAGAGAGGAGCCGGAAGTTCCCTCATCCGGGGGCTGTTATGTCTCAGCAAACATGTCAAAAAGAGAAAACAAGAAAGAGGATCAAACTTACGGCAGGGCTGAGGCCACGAAAGACAATCAGTCATGTTTACGACGGGTATTAGTACATCATTAATGATCGCCTGGACCAAGTGCTGATACGCTAGCAGGGTCAGTCGCCTCAGGCTTGCGCCATGGATGTAGTGGGCCAATATATATGATCTTGTGCATTGCGGAGGATCCTCCATTGAGCCTGGCCATAGTAGAATTCCAAGGTGAGTCCTTGCACCCCAGCGAGAAGTGTGATGAGTTCTCCTGGGCTTTCTCCCATTGGAGGATTTCTGCAAGACCACCTTTGCCCACTTTCAAAGAATTAGCCAGCTCGGTCTTCGATCTTCAAATGGGTTCACCATTTACCTGCTTTATGGGTTGATCTGCATGAGGAGGGGACTCTTCTCCTTCTGTGCTTAGATTATATATACAGATGTAGCAGGCGTTTCAGAGGCAACCTGCTCTCAGAGAAACAAAAGCTGCACCAGGGTAGGATATTGGCTATCGGGGTCGTGCTGGATAAACCGGGCCGGGCCCCCCGTAGGCAGCGGCAACACGCAACTAAATCGATCTAGTCAGCGCCAGTTCATCGCACAGCAACGGTCTTTCCACGATGAGCGTCCATAAGAGGATAGGTGTGTTTATATGTCTATATGTTTAGTACTCCGGGAGGCATTGTCAAGGCTGACGCAGGCTATGATCAATAGTCGGTATCAAACGCCTAAAAGATCCATCAGACAGTTGGTATGAAGACTGAACCAAGACTGATGGCAGTGGAACGAGGAAGACAAGGGAGAAACGAACCATGCGCGGAAAGTGACAGGTATATGATCCTGTCATCTTCTTCGTCTTACCAGAGCATGGCCCCGAAGGGAAAACAGAGAGCTATGCCGTGTTTCAACATTGACTTCTCGTAAGAAAGAAACTGAAGGGAGCAACAGCAGAAGCAGAGTCCAAGATGAGTGTTGGGAAAAAAGGAGAGTCAAGTGCGGGGAGGGTCTTGCTTTAATGAGTTTAAGAGGTTTACAAAAATGGCAACCGCACCTGGCCAACAATGAAGGAAGGAACCAGCCGCCAATTTCATTGCCTGAGGCAGAAATCTCAGACAGCTTGGAATCCCATTAACGCAGATAACTAAAATCATGCCCAGGTGTGGTTAGCAGCTGACGGTGAGCGAGAGAGTTGATCAAGGCCATTCACTTTCTCTCCCTCACTCTCTCCTCAGATATAGCTCCCAATAGCAGAAGTCCTGAAAATGCCCTGGAGTTCGCTGCAGGCGCCTTCAAACTTAGAGCTAGATTTATATTTGTTCAACGCCAGCCACATTTTTCGTTGGTAGGATCTGCTAATTGAAGAGGTACTATGTGTACGGTTTCAGGACCAATTTCAGTGGTTACGAGACAGTTCTCGAGACTAGACAGGCATGATGGAGAGCTCGAGAGTGTTGATATGCTATGAAATGTATCTGAAATGGAAGATGCTATGTATGCTAAATAAAAATGTCTGGATGCAGTCGTCACTTCATGAAAACCAAGCAGGGCTGCCCGGTTCTTACTTCCGGCGGAAACGCCCTCTACCCCGTGAGGAACCTCCCCTGTTGATGCTTAATGACCGATAGTTCGCATGAGCTTGGGGATTGACCTTCCGGGCATGAGGTTTCTTTGCTTCGGCAGTCTCGGAAGGCTTCTTCGGGGGTTTGCCCATGGGTTCTTGTTCCTGTTGTTTCGCAGCAGAGGATGAAACAGCTTCCTTTATTCTCTCCGAGAAAGTCTTCGGTCTGGCAACAGGTTTTGGCTGTTCTCCAAATTCGGGATCATCATCCGAGTCCGGATCAAACTCGGCCTCGGTATCAAGCTCAGGCTCTGACATGGTATGAAGGGAAGCGGCCTCGTCCGCCCGCTCAATGTCACTCGGGACATCATCCCAGCCGTCACTAGCAGCAGGTTGCTGTTGCGTCTCCGGAACTGCTGTAACATCATCCTCATGTTCCGAGTCCTTATTCGCCGCAGGAGCAGCCTTTGGTTTGGGCTTCGGCTGATGAATGACCGGTCTCATGACCACTCTTCGTGTCGTCCGCTTCTGGCCCTTCTTCTTATATTTCCTGTTCACATCCGGTCCTTGACTATCCTCAACCTGGACTTTGGCAGCTTCTTCCGCCTCTGCCTCCTCCTCCATCTCGCGCATAATCTCCCAGTCTTCGTCCATACGATCCTCTTCCATGTCCCGCAGTCCTTGGACCAAATGTGTTAGCCCTTTGCTGGCAAATCTTTGCGGCTTGCGCGAGACAATAGGACTGAGTCCCGGACCATCATGCTTTTCGCTAGGTGGAGGATATCGACCAGAGTTGGAGCGACGGAGGAAAGATGGTGTCCCAGACTGCGCTTCTTGGGGTGATATTTCAGGCGCCGGGTTTAGCGAATTTGTCTTCTGAGCATCTGCATTATCATCCGCTTCCACCATAGCGGCATAACGCATCGTGGTCGGTGTTGCGAATAGATTTGCGAGATAGAACTGTTTGGTCTCAGACGCAGGAGTTCGTGCAAGCCTGGGCGTCTCCTGCTGAGCCTCTACTTCCGGGACCTCAGGGATCGTCTCCACGGGCCTTCGTTTTGAGGGTGTTCGGAACGTGGCAGCTAGGTTATTACTTTGCCTTGTAGCGGATGGTGTTCCACCACTCCCACCAGATTCAGATAGCATGTCGAACAGGCCCAATGCCTTTCCATCACGCTGAGGCGTAGGCCCAATTGCGGCTTTGAGTGGTGACGGTGCTGGTAGTCCTTGCCGGTGCGTACTGGGACTAAATAGTCTCCGAAGAGTTGACGGCGAGTCATACGGATCAAGTTGTGCAGGGTGGTGTTTGGTGCGATTGTTGGATGGAGTCGCAAAGAGTCCTCTAGACGATTTGCGGGTGTGACTTGAAGATATGCACTATCCTGACCAGGGGAGATGCATGTTTCCGCTTCTTCGAGTGACTTTCATATGGCTCTTGTCGGCTGTTCTCGCGTCGGCTTAGGGATGCTTCAAGTGCCTTGAGGCGACTGTACTCCTTGTATTTAGCCGCTAGTGTATTGAACAAATTCCGAATTAGTACTTTACATCCTTCCAAGTATCATGCGGGCCGAATTCTTGACCTACCGATATCCGCATTTTGTTTGATATCATCGCGTCCGGCTTTCCGGCCCCCATTCGCCGACGCGAAGGCTTTCTCCCATGTTTTCAATTCTGCGCGAACGTTGATAGCTTGAGCGCCGATCTCGGCACTGGAAGTGAGAACGCTGTCGGCCATTATTGCATTGTACGTGTTACGGGCCAACTTGGAAGAATAGCAGTCTGGCCGTAAATCGGTCGATGCGCGTCGCGCGACGCGAACTAAATAACGAAAATTAGACCAAAGTAAGTAGGCGGTCTGATGTTACCACCCGTGGACCACTAAACCTGCTAGTCATCAAGCCTATTCCCAAATAAAAAGGCGGTAAGTTTCTGCCCCAAAAGTGGGGTTATATTGAACTTTAAGGGTAGATCTTTCGCCCTTCGGGGCATATGGTCAACTGAAAATATACAGAGAAGATTAGCATGGCCCCTGCACTAAGGATGACACGCATAATCAAAGAGAAGCTACCTATTTTTTTTTCTTCACGCGAGCTCACTTAAGGTTCTGGAGTACGAGCTTTTTGTGTCTAGTATTGTATCTCAGTACTGTTTACTCCGTTGTTGCTCCATTTTGCCGGTCACGTGCTATCGCCGTTCGACTCACCATGTTGTCACGGTTATATTAGAACTTTCAGGACCAGCTGCACATACTGTGAAATGAAAATATACCTGGAAGTTTTGCCCCTGCACTAATGACGTTATAACACAATCAAAAAGAAGCACCTTTTTTTTCTCCTTCAGTCCTTAAGGTGTGATGGCATGGTGCCTTTCTATATGCTGTTTACTATCTAATTGGTCCTGCGGCTTTAGGAATGTCAAGGCCCACCAGAGCCACAATTGTGGCAGATCCACCTTCCTAGCTTATTGTACCTACGACCTTGGAATATAGTAACGACTTGCCTGAATTATTACGATAATGTCAATCCAAATCTTTGCCATTCATCCAAACTGTGAGTCCCAAAATATTTACAATTTCCATTTGCGCAGCACCAAATGCCTTTCCCAAGGGTACCCTCTGGTTGCAAATATCCATGGATGTGAGCTTCACATTAGTAAACCAAAACCCATTACAACAAGCAGCATCGCTCCGAAGACTCCAGTTGCCCAGTTTAATGTAGTGCAACCCCGGAAAAATGACCAGTTCATAATTGGGATCTACTGCCGCAGGCATGGCTTTCTGGGAACAGAATTGCACCCACTGCTTCGGAGGGGATTCCGTTCGCTGAACCTGGGATCCCAAATATCTTATTCTATACTTAGACACGCCTTGAGAAAGACAGGAATGGCGTACGTGAGACGACGGGAGAGGTTGACAAGCCTAGTGCACAATTGCAATGTCGCACGATGAAATCAGCAGCCAATGCTTTGTTCTTATATCATCCAATCAAATGATCCGGGAGTAAACCTAGATATAGCGGCAACTGTGTCAAAACAAATATATATATGTACTTTGTATTCTCTTTTCCAAAAAGATTAGAGGAAAGACAAGTCCACTTATTGCAGATATCACTAGGTAATCAGCTAGTTCCCGAACATTGTCAGGGAGCTCGAACTGAGCAATATATCTTGGTCGAAGATTTGCGCCAAACACAGATACAATGCTAAGAAAATCTCCGATAACATGACGCAGTTCCACGTGGTGTAAACATATGATGTAATCATGTTCTCCCCGCATCTGGGCAGTCCTTATCATAGTTTCGCATCTCCGCTTCCTCGGTTATCTTTGGCCAAGACCTTCCCACCTGGGCTCCCAATAGGAATTTAGTCCCATTTTGTCTCATCTCTTTCATATCGTACCGCAATGACAACTGTACAACCATGCCCCCAAAGCGTGAACGTACGGTTCAAGGCTCGTGTTGGCCCTGCAAACAACGCCGGGTGAAATGCGATCTTGGGAAGCCATTATGCCAGAGATGTATCTCATCTGGGGCAAAATGCTGTTATGACAAGGTTTTGATCAGGTGGAAAGAGACACCAACAACACGGAGCTTGACCATGTGTCAGTCCCCAATTATGAGCCTCAATATACACTTAAAAGACAACACCTTGACCGTTGGAGACCTCAAGGCCCTCGAGTACTTTCAATTCGCTGTATGGCCTCTTTTCACCACTGCGGCTCATCCTTGCCCACCACCCATACCCCTAGCCATGGAAAGTCAACCGGTACTTCTGGCTGTGTGTGAATTGGCTGAGGCGCATCGCACACTGCGAGACGAGGCTGGAAGTAGCACGGTGAGCGCACAGTTTGATAAAAGAATGAGCTGTCTGGCTGCAGTGAGGGAGCAGCTTCGAAATAATTCCAATCACACATCACTTTCACCTCTGCTGGTAGCAGTCTTTCTGCTCTATTTTCTAGATGGCTTTATTGAATGTGATCATCAATCTGCATCAACGGCAAGTCACCACGTGGGCGTCCAAGCGATTGTCGATCATCTTGGAGGGTTCTCAGCTCTTATAAAAATAGGCCAAAAGGACATCACTATGCTACTATCGGAATTCGCATCCACAGACCTGACAAAGGCTCTGCTGGACGACCGACCCCCTTGCTTTCCTGCTGAAATCTGGACACAGATAGAGCACGGGACAGTGTGGTGGGACCAAGGAACATACAACGGCACGACACTGGCCTCAGTGTTTAGAATCATGTCACAAATGTCTTTATATCGCCAGCAAATCAGGGGAGACCCAGAGACACTCTCGATGGAAGTGGTGCGAGGATTTGAGCGGTGTCTACAGCCATCATACCAGATCCTCGACTTTGACCATCTCAAAAACCCCAGTACCTACACTGTGCATGAATCGACGCTTGGACGAAGGATGCAGGCTGACTCCTTCACACGTGCGTTTCAACATAGTGCCCTCGTCTACCTTTACCGAGCAATCTGTGGCCTTCCACCGAGGCATTCTTTGGTACAACAACATGTCCAGTCATGCGTGGAATGCATCAGAAATATCTCGCCTCTTTCTAAGGCCCATAACTGTATAATATTTCCATTATACATCATGGGTGCCCACACATTCTTGCAAGATCAGCAGGCCTTCGTCTTGGAGAGACTTGATTCTATATACAAATATTTGCGCTTTAACTGTGTGCTGTTGGTTCGTGCAGCCTTGGAGGATTTATGGAAGTCACCGCGGCATGATGGTGATTGGTGGGGGATGTTTAGATCTCTAGGCGAACATGTGCTTGTGATCTAGCTATTGCTGTAATTACTATGAGCGTCCAAGCGAATACCATGCATTAATGACATTTGTCTGCCATGTATATACCTGATAGTGTACCTATACGAACAAGGTTTCTAGCGGAGCAAGTTGATATTTTATGAGGTAAAATAATTTACTCTAGAAAGGAAGACTATACTATCCAAAAAGTCCTATACAAGTCTTGATTCACTAAATGAATATCCAAAAATAGCAGAATAACAAAAACAACCAAATCGAGGACCAAGCTATTCATTGATCCCTATTCCCATCCAACAAAATCCAGAAATTTAAATAGGCCCAAAAGTCACGAGCTAGAAAACCTTCGCCATAATCTTATCCTTTACAGTCACTGGCGCAGCCTCGCGCTCTTGCCGGTAGTGCTCCGTCAGAGCGTCGAAGAAATCCAACCCCGAAACCAAGTCAATGTCCTTGCTCTTGTGGAAGGGGGGTGCGTTTGAATATCTTCCAACTGATACCGATTATACTGGCGAGAGCGATCTATAACAAATAAATCAATCTTGTTAGCTCTGACGATACCGTTTTCCGGAAAACTGCACGTACGATTCCGTAGTTAAAGATGAATGTTGATACTTTCCAGTTGCCGTGGATGAAGACGGCATATCCCTGGACCCTGACGCGAGGTGTATTGCTTTAGTAAACTAGTGTTCGATGTCCTTCAAGGTCAAGGTAGAGGTAGAGTGACATACCAGAGGAAGATGAACGCCCAGAAAAATGCCCAGTAGCCTGCGTAGGGCTGGAACCTTGAGACTCTGGGTAGAAAGCTCTTTTTATCAATGCCTTGGGCATTGAGGGCCGCGTTGAATCGGATCCATGTAAAAGACATGACGGTCCAGTTGCTGGCTCAGTATGTTAGAGTCGATCGGGTGATAATCGCTTGGTGACGTGAGAGTGGAAGGATACGTACAACATAGTAGCAGCAGTGCAGAAGCTAGGTGAGCAAACCTGTTAGCGAAGTTATATTCCACCAGCTTGAAAGAGGACTTACTTCAGAATCCAGTTTAGGACTTCGGCACTGCTGGAGCCTAGAGCGAGATATGCAAGGCAAGAAAGTACCATGACCACGATAACAGCCATGTACGGCACGCCTCTATTAAATAATAAGCAAATGCTTTGTTCCATAGTACCAGTAGGACACACACCTTTTGTTCAATCGTTTAAGGAACTTTGGCGCCCGTCCATCTCAGGGCAAGAGCGTGTAGACTGCGCGAAGCGTTGAATGTATATGCATTCCCAGCGGAGACAATCGTAGTAAGCAATGCGGCATTGACTATGGACGGCAAGACTGGGATTTGTAGACGTTGCATTGAAATCACACTGTGATGTTAGACCAGCTTCCCGAGAGTCTCTAGAACGGGTACCTACTAAGGGGATCCGCCGCGTAGCTGTCCGAGCCGTTTGTAAGACTGCAATAACTAATTAGTGATCCTGAAGACTTGGCCTGAGTATCGAGCCGAGCCTCACATCTGGTCATTGTATGGAACTAGAATCTGCATAACAGGTTAGTCTATCTGGAAGCTGGAGTTGAAGGGCGTTGACCAAAGGCGTTGACTTACCCCAACGCAAAGACAGCCACCAATAAAGAAGACAATAAGACGAGTCATGATGGTGCTGAATGCTCGTGGCACAGTTCGACGGGGATCTCTGGACTCTCCAGCGATCACTACATGGTATTAGCTGGTAATATTTGGAAGGCTGAATGGACTCACTTGAGATGTACTCTGGCCCGCCCATACAAAATGCAGCCACGTTAACGGCGTTTACGAACGACATTAGTCGGTTCGAAGGATCAGCACCAGCCCAAGGCCCGGGGTCTTTCCAGTAACGGAAACCAAATCGACTGCATGGTGTTAGATTCAATTCAGTAATTGCAGGGTATACTTACTCATTCAAAGGGTTTCCTCCAAGCATGACCACGATCGTGTATACGATAAGACCCGTGGCCAGTAAGACCTTGCCCAGTGCGAGCCAAACTAAATTGTTGGTTAGAAGTTAATCAAGAGGCGCTGGAAGACGTACACTCAGCTTCTCCGAAGAGATCGGCTCGGTACACGTTGATTGCCAGATAAAGAACGAGCGAGACTGATGTTGTCAGTAAATTTAATACCAATCCATGTTAAAAAAGCCTACTTGAGATTAGAACGGCAGGCGATTGGTTATACCCCCAGTATTCAACAAGTGTGTTGATAACCGTGGCCTCGAAGATGACAAAGGACGTTTGGGCAAACTGAAGCGCATCATTAGCAATAACTTTCTGAAAATACCGAGCTGTACAGTACTAACAAAGTGGTTATAACCAACTGCTACCCCAGCGCAGGATCAACCATTCGACCTGCTAGACGAATGAAGGCCCCATCGAGTGGAAACAATGTGACGATCTCAATCTCTAGACATTATCAGCACCTCGTTACACGGTCGGTAACGATACACTCACGGCATTGAGCAATAGAAAAGACTATAGTAGCCCAGAATATAAATGCAAGGAATAGGCAAAGGGGCCCGGACATTACCCCAGATCCAATGCCTACGAACAAAGCGCTGCGGATTGTCAGTGTGACATCGGGTTGATGGAAAGTATGCTTGGTGACTGACGCTCCAATTGATCCAGCAATTGCAGTAAGCTGGATCTGCCTCGGGTTCAATCGGCGATGGTTCACTGCTTCTCTTATGGCTGCGCTCAACTCCGTCTCATCGGACTTGGAAGGGTCTTCAGGGCTCCCAGGCTCCTAAGCATAGCTCGTCAGCCGAATACCAGATACAGAGGAAGTATAACGAACAAAGGCTACCTGCCCAATATCGATAGAGTCGGTTCTCGACATTGCGTTTTCTTTTTTGGACGGCTGAGTGCCATTGTTCGAAATAGCGGTATTCTCCATTGTGGCGGAAGGGGATAGACACTGAAAACATGGAAGGAAAAACCGTGATTATGTACCAAATCCGTAACTAGGGAACCACCATCCAGTGAGAACCAAGATAAAGCAAAATAACTCCCAGCGCGGGGGAACCGCTAAGAATAGCCGCCTGGGCATCCTCATCTGCCAGATAACCTCTGCATCTGGAACAGACCACAGCCGGCCCGGTATTCCACCAGGAAACAGATAAAGAAAACGTGAATTGGGGTAAGCTGTCTGGGGTATGGCTGGGAGGTTCGTTCCGATTGAGAATGCTGATAGGAGGAGGCCGTGGAGGGGAAACAGCAAGGATCCTTTGTAGGTCCACCTTCGAGATACCAAGGAAGGTCGAAGCTATCTTTGCTGAAAACCCCAGGCCGGGGATTTCCTGGCCTGTGACCCGTGTCTTGTTCTATTAAAACCAGCCGTGATTCCAGCACATGTGTCGTTCCCCAGTAGTTATCTGTTCTGTCTGATAGGCATATCACCATGGCCCCCTCACTCGTCACCATCGACTCCTCTGAACCTCTCGAGAAGATTGTCAAGATCATTGAAAGAGATGGCGGGGTTATCGTTTCCAACTTTCTATCCCCGGAGCTCTTGAAAGAATGCATGGATGCGAGTGAGTCCGTCCACCATCCATAATCAACAACAGTACTAAACAACTCCAGTCGAGCCATTCTTCCAAGGCCGCAAGACCTACGATTCTAAGGCTACTCACGAGGAACTCGGTCCAGACTTCTTCCCAGAGGGATCCCAGCGTGTCTATGTAGGTTCTCGCGCCGCCATCAACACACATAGCTGACATTCCCAGGCCCTCCTAGCCAAGATCCCAGACCAACTCACCAAAATCGTACGCCTCCCCGTTTGGCAAGGCATCATGGCGCAGTTCTTGAAGTAAGATTCTCTTCCCCCACAACTTTCTCAAACGCCCAAACGGCGGTACTAAACTATCACCTCAAGTGATGAGTTTTCCTCCTACACAGGAGATAGGCTTGTCCCCCAGAAGAGCGGATATATGCTCGCTTCCACCGCAGCTCTTCGCCTGGTCCCAGGAGCTAAGCCGCAGCCCCTACACAGAGTAAGCCAGCCTTTACCTTGCTTGACACCTCGCCTTCAAAAGAACATGCCTAATTAAATCCTGTCTCCCAATCCAGGACCAAATTGCCTACCAGACGCGACCAGACCCCAACAACCCCTTCTTTACTCCAATGATCGGTTGCCTGATTGCAGGATCCAAGAGCACCTACAAGAACGGGGTAAGTCCGCTTCACAGCTATTATCGTCTCCCACAATACCAGCCATCATCAACTAATGACCTGGATCCCACTCCGCAGGCCACCGCGGTAATCAGCGGTAGCCACCTCTGGGGCCCCGAGCGCATTCCCAAGGTCGAAGAATGCACATACGCAGAGATGGAACCGGGCTCTGCACTCTTCACCCTCGGCTGTAAGTCTCCAACGCAATTCAACCTACTCTTGGGTTCTGATTTAATTTATGACTTGACGTACCGTGACTCACCGTTCCTCTACCTAGCAACCTATCACGGCGCCGGTGAAAACAAATGCGACAAGACCGACCCGTTGGCTCTCCGCACGCTCTTTGCCGTCTTTGGGTAAGATGAGCGTCATCTATCGTACAGTTTCCCCTCTTTCGATATGCTAACCCCATCCGTCCAGCCAACGAGACTACTTCCGCCAAGACCAGGAGGAAGTCCTCTCGACGCCCATTGAGATCGCGCGTCGACTGCCCGAGGATATTCTCAAAATCGCTGGTTACTGTACGTTATAACTTACTTATCGTAGCCCTGCACTGTCTTGTCACTAGTAGAAACAACTAACCCATACACTGGAATACCAGATAAAGCCGTTGGCGGAGTTGGTTACGTAGAAGATCACCAGAGCCCGCATGAGTTCTTGCATAGGGACGATCTTGGGACGGGCAAGTTTGGGGTTGCCAATTTGGCTGTTTGAGTTGAAGTTTTCAGTCTTTTTTTTTCTATATTATCAGTCAAATGGAATGAAGTGTAATATTTGGAGTCGTGACGCCCCGTACTGAGTTAGGGTTCTCGGATATCGGTCCAAGCCCCCTTTTTCCCCACCCCGGCAAATAGAATATCTGACTCGCGTTGTCTGGGGTGTGGCCGGTTCTCTGGGTAATTACCTAGTCATGGCAGGGACTGCCAGTTAATATTGTTATACGGGGTTCAACTTCCGGACTGGAGAGTATCCTTAACATTGAAATTGAAATCTTATGTAGGACCCGATCATTTTTCGGGACGCCCATATCCAATACTTCAGTAGCCTTATCATCATCAAGTGATAGTATCATCATCAACCGATAGCACAGGTGGCTATCTCCAGATAAGGGTCGCACGCGTCTCCGAGTTCGAAGTAAAGTAAATCCACGAGTCAGATCAAACCTCTTGGACCTTCCTTCGAGTCCAGGGTCAAGTGACCGTACGTGACTCCGGGTCTGCTCCAGGGCTATTCTAGTGGCGTAAGCTAATTTTTCTAGGTTGAGAGGAGATAAGCTCGGATCGATGGTAGACGATGATCTTAGACTATCTACCTAGGCCTGGACAATCCCCGTCCATGAGGATAGTTCTGTATAAGTATACGACTATAGAAGACTCTAATTTCTAAGCACTTCTATAAACACGCTATCTAATATAAGTCATTATAATATAGATTATGAGACATGAGTTTCTAGATAAATGAAAAAGGCTTAGTTCAAATGACCTCGGACTCCCACCGTACCCACCCCCTGTCTAGAGGCTTGGACGTGCGGGGGTGAGATTATAGCTTTGATGCCAGCGAAATCCGGCTCCAGCAACCTGTTCAATTATTATCACTTTGCTTAGACTTTCGCAATGACCGTATCCTCCGAGCAGTCCCCGTTCGATGAATAGTTTGATGCTCTCGTGAAAGAGCAACTGGAGAGATGGAAAGTCCCCGGCTTGAGTATCGCAATTATCCACGACGCCAAGACCTACACCAAGGTAATATCACCGATCCATTTGATGTATCAGAATGCTCATAGAGGACAGGCATATGGAAAAGCAAAACTTCCAAACCACAACACAGATCGACCATCCCGGGAAATGACAACCGATGCATTGTTCGCAGCATGTAGCACCACCAAGGCTTTTACCCATGCAGCGATTTCCATAGCAATCCAGGACAGCAAGGCCACTAACTTCCCGATCGACTGGGATACACCTGTTACTTCCCTAATTCCAGAAGACTTTATCCTGGAGAACGACTACGCAACCAAGAATATTACACTTGAAGATGCGCTATCGCATCGGTCGGGTATGCCGGAGCATAATTGGGCCTTAGCTCTGTTGAAAAAGAAGGGTTCGACGCCGGGCTCTATAATCCGCGCGATGCGATAGATGCCCCTTGCAACACCGCAGTGCACCAAATACCACTACAGCAACTATACGTACATCGCTGTTTCACATGCGCTGGAGCAGCACACCGGCGAGAAGCTGGGAGCTTTCATGAAGAAACGCATCTGGGACCCGCTCGGTATGAACGAAACATTCTTCTCGCCAAGCGAAGCAAAGGCAAACCCATCAATCGCTGCAAAACTCGTGCAAGCGTACGCCTGGGTCCCTTACGACGGAAGGCGGAAAGTTCATCCCACGACCACAGAATGACTGGCCAGCTAACAGTGGTGCTGGTGCTATTTGTCAGTAACGTTATCGACTACGCCCATTGGATGCGAGAGTCGATTGAAAAGACCGGGCCACTGAAAGGACATGACGGCTTAACAGATCTGCGGACAATATATTTCCAGAATGATGACTTGAACTTGCCAGCTCCGTACCATGCGTATGCGCTTGGATGGGTCGTGCATAACTACCGCGGCCAGCATCTATACAGCCATGGCGGTGGCTGGCCTGGCTATGCGAGCTGGGTGGGCTTCGTCCGCGAGAAGAAGTTTGGATTTGTGGTTATGGGCAATTCCTCTTTGGCTCGATATGCCGCGTTTAGATTGGTTACTTATCTTTTGGATAGGCGACTTGGTCTATCGGATGATCCGAAATACGAGCAGCAGATTGCTGCTTGTATTGCAAGACAAACGGAGACATAGTCTAGTCTCAAGAACGAAGGCAGGGAGGACTCGGAGCGAAGGTTGTTCCCTCCTTTGCCTGATCCTTCGATCCCATGTGTCTTGCATATGTCTGGATATACTGGAACATACAGACACCCCACAGGTGCGACTTTTACCATCCAAATAAAGGATAACTGGCTTATTGCCGACCTGCAGGATCGTGTCATTCCGTGTAACCTATCTCTTGTTCATGCAAGTGGGGAATTCTTTATTGGAAGCATCCGTAATGCAGGGTTCGACTTGATGCCACCCTTCGCAGTGGAATTATATACCAATGCTGCGGGTGTGGCGGAAAGAATTGGCCTTCTTTTGGAACCTGCTCTGAGGGGGAAAATGCTCTGGTTTGACCGTTGTGATACTTAGGTTTTTATGTTGCTATGCAAGAGGCAGAAAAAGAGCGAGAAGGATACATACGGATGGTTCAATTCTTGCCCAAAGACCCTGACCTTCCCCGTTTCCCTCGCTATGAATGCATTAAAGATCGCCATTTGAATCAAACCTAAGCCTAGCGCTATTAATTCCAATTACCAACTCGTCAACCCTTTCACCCGATCAAACCCACCCCTCAACTGTGACTCAGGATGCACAACCTTTCCCTGCAGAACAGTATACTTAACAATGCCCTCACAATGCTCGGGCCGGACACGCGCAAGCCAAATCATCTGCTGATCCTTCTTGCGATAAATCAAAACATTCGCAGAGAACTTGTGCCCGCCGACATGCGACACGAAGAATATACCCACCCCGCCAGGCCGGGAGTCATCCGCATCCCGGTTCAGTCCCAGCGGACGAAGATGTCGCTCCAGCTCGCGCTTAATCAGTGGCGCTGTAATACCACAGCGCGCATCTCGGCGTCCGTGCGAGCACAGTAGTATCACGTAGTCAAGTTCGCAGGCCGAGCGCTCATCCCGCTCGCGGGAGAGGTGGTCTCGTTTCCATTTTGCTGGTTGGTGGGGTGGTCGATGAATCTGGCGACCAGGTCTGGAACGTCTGTTTGTGTCACCGAGTCGATGTATGTGAATGATGGTAGAATTAATACTGTGGTAGGTTGGTTGGAACTTTCGTCTGTGGGTGGTTGTTCTGGAGGAGTAAGATTTGATGCCGAGACTTTGATGACCTGGATCGGGTGTTAGTGGGGGTAGGCTACGTGGGAATTTCAGAGCTTACGCCATGGTCTGATCTTGCTTCATCGAATGCTTGCATCAAACTTCCTGTTATCTTTTCGACATGTTTTTCCTTCCAGTCGGATTGGCCCGTTGCCACGAGAACGTGGGTGTGAAATTCTTTGATCTGGCCATAAAGGGGTCTTGACGTTTCGACTTTGACTTTTGACGGAAACTTGACTGTGCAGTCGGCGCAGTCCTTTAAGCATTCGGGGCCATCCTCTTTGGGGTCCACTTTGGGGAAGAGGTAGTCATTGGTCCCTGTGCGGCCGAAGGAAAGCAAGGAACGCAGCATGGTCGAAGGTGTTATTAAGTTGTGAAGGCAAAGTTGCAAGTTGAAGGTTGAGTCCAAGTGTTTTTGAATTTGAAGGTTGCCTGGAGATCTGGAGATGTCTAGGTAGTTGTAGAGCCCAGTATCTCCGAGAGATGCACCGAGTCGGAAAAGCCCGAGCCCCGAGCTTAACAGGGTTATCTCCAGCCCCGGGGAGACTAGGATGATGTTTAGTGGAGATGATTCCTTTTGACACCCCGTTTTATCTTACTTGTTATATTAAGTCTAACGCTGCGGGGACTTACGGCCACTTAGAATGCATTTGATCTACATCTCCGACGCGGAATCCACCTTGGAAGCTTGGAATTGGTTCATCTGGCGAGCCTAAACATATCAGTTTACTCACCTTGAATTTAATCACGTCTTCGAAAAATAACATATACTGCACTGTCAGTGAGATTGCGAGACAAAAGACGGTATGAACATCGCCACCTTTGCTTCTACCTTCTACTGCATCGAAAATCGTATTTAGAGCAGAAATAGAAGGGCATATGCGACCGAAAAAGGCAGTACTGGTGTAACGGACTTTGAAACCGATCAAACATGGGCATCGGGTGTCTCCCAGGCTTATACAGTCCCATTGTATGAGTAACAATGAGATGAAACATCTGCACACGGTATACTGCATGGTTACTCGTATGAGCATGGCGACCAGAGGAAGGGAATCGGGTCCCACGCGTACAACATATAGGGACACTGTTGATATCGACCTTGGTGATGGCGATTCTCGTGATTCGAAACCGGACCAACACATCGGGATTACCGCGTGTCATTGCCTAGAGATTGCCAACGGATGTAGTTACCCATTTGCAATGCTTGAATAATTTCCGGTTGGAAGATTTTCAGTCCCGAAATGTGTCAGCCGGGAAGATAGGCCCATGTCACTGAGCTAAAGTGAGCGCATGCCGAGCGCCTTAACAGGGGTCCAGTTTGTTCACGGAACCCTCGGGACGTGGACTTTGTGGGCCTGGAGAGATAGACCCGAAATATAATATACAGGATGGTCCTCAATAAACAAGAAAAGAATATAAATCCCCTTATTCCTTTGTCATTCAAGTGATAGATTAAGGAAAGGAACAAAAGAACCAAAAAAAAAAAAGGGACTTCGGTCAGACTTTCCACATTGGGTCCCACGAGCGGGACCACGTAAGCCGGAGAAGCCAATTCCCAGAACTTCCACATCTCGGACGTAAGATCCTTCCTATACAATATAGCTTGTCTCTAACGAGTGTATGGATGTTCAAGGGAATGTCCAACCCGAGCGCGTGCGCAAGCGTCGCCGCCGCACAATGGCGTGCACGCAGTGTCGCACGCGCAAGTTGCGATGTGATCGCGAGTATCCCACTTGCAGTCGCTGTTTAAAGAGCAGAACTCCGAGCAAATGCACATATGAGGATGGCTTTTTATGGCAGCAGCCCACTACTGTTCCGACTACGGCATTTGCTGCCGACCGAGGGTCTGCATTATCTATGCCTAGAGATACCCCAATCGAGACACCTCCGGACTCGGGAATACCTCCAGTGTCAACTCGGTCGGAACCTTTCCCCACTAGTGATACACCTCGTCTGGCTATGGCCGGCGGTCCAATGCATCACAATTATCATGGTCTTACGGGACATGCTCTTGCACCGCCATATAGAAGTCGACCACACGACAAAGAGCGGAAGGACTGCTTTTTGGAGACTGTTCTCGGGGCTCCTAAGGCTGCTGTCAATCAGGAACCCTACGTGAACGTGGGTGTTTTACAGCGTCCGAAGCGTCCGGCGCCGGCTGAGCGGGAAATGCAAGCTCCGTCGCAGGCCGACGATGAGCACATTGATGAAGAAGAGGACCCGTTGTTACCTACGGACCAGCTCGACCTTGCTCCTCGCATGATGATGAGGGGCCGTGAAACTCAAACGCGGTTTAGTGGATCGGGCATCTTTGCCAGTTTAGTAGCACAGGTCTGCTCCTGCCCTTTAGGTTCCAATTGCCAACAATGGCAATCACAATACGGAGGCTGACATATTCGTAGTTTCCGGATATAAAATCTTTTGCGGAAGAGATCAAGCTTTCTACCCCGATCTTCGCGCAACTTCAGCCGGACCTGAGAAGGGTTAAGCGCGGGCTATTGAAACATATGGTGCTCAGCAGGCCCTTCCCCGACCCTACGACGGCTTCGCTAATTAGCATGCTGCCCTCGCGCGGTGTGGTCGATGAGCTTGTTGGGTTGTATATCACTTATATCGAATCCACTCACCGCATTCTTCATGTTCCATCCTTCTTACGAGAGCTTGACCAATTCTGGGCCATGCGAGACAGCCCGGCCTCAATATCTGCTGGCTTTACAGTTCAGGTACTGTTGGTCCTTGCTTGCGCGTGGAACCTTGCGGATTTTGCTAGTCTGCAGTCAAAAAGTTCGGGCGAACTCAAGTGCCAGTCTGCAGTGGAGTGGACGCTCCATGCAGGGAAATGGATTGAGAATCTTCACACTAAGCGTCCAGAGATCACATCAATGCGACTCTCTATTCTGTTGATTTTAGCGCGCAATGCTCACGGAATGAGACGTAGCCAGGCTTGGCTCGCAACAAGTACATTGGTCAAGCAAGCAATGATGGCAGGGTACCATCGCGACCCAAGCCGATACGCACGGATCTCTGTATTCAACAAAGAAATGCGACGGCGACTGTGGACAACCATTGTGGAACTGGACATACAAGTTGCTCTTGACAGGGGAATGCCACCGTCAGTACAAAGCTTCGACTATGATGCAGCTCCGGGGATGAACATCTACGATGACGAGATCCACGAGAACAGCACCGAAGTTCCCGAAAGCCGGCCATTGAGCGAAGTTACCGACTCATCGTTCCAGTCTATCCTGAGTCGCTCGTTACCTCTCCGCCTTCAAGCATGTTCTCTCATGCATTCGCCACGGATCAGCTGTCGATACGAGGATATTCAGCGCCTGGACAGTGAGCTCAACCGGCATCTTTCTCGGATTCCTGCATGGGTGGCACCAGACCCCAACGACATCGTCGCCCAACGCAAAGTAATGTTGTGGAAAGGATTGATCGAGACTAAGCTTTGCCAGTCTTTACTGTCTGTCCACACCCCTTTTGCCATTGAAGCACGACGAGAATCACTCTTTGCTCCCTCCGCGCGTACTCGCATGGATGCCGCAACCAGAATACTGTCAACCCAGGGCCGGTTACACCAGATCTCGCGAACGCTCTCGTTATGTATGCTTGGCGAATGGACTATCCAAGCCTACATTTCCATTTGCCAAGTGCTACACACAACCGAATTCGACACCTGTAAGTTTTTCCTAATATTCGGTACTTCACTATCAGAGCTTCCACTGATAACTTGCAGCTCCCCCTCCTATCCCACCTCCTCGACCTTCGTCCTCCATAATATACCCGGTATCCCCGAATCGCTCATATCGCTCGTAGAAACAGCCCTGATCGCACTGGAAGAGCGCTCCCTTTTGATGACCAAGGGAGCAAAGGACTATTATTTCCTCTCAACGATCGTCGCACTAGTCAAATCCCGACTCTGGCCGTCACAGGCAGCTATATACAAGCAACAAGTTGTCGAGCGAGTCCTGTCATTTGCGCAGATTCTCTTCTCTCGACACATGCACTGCGACCACCTCGGCGACAAGGGGATGGGCAATTTCAAGAACAACCAGGTAGCTGCCTTTATGGCGGCTCCAACAATGGCACCAGTGATGCAGCCCGAATTTGATCCCAATGGGATGCATCCGTCGCCGCAGCCTGGCGCCATAGTGAGTTGCATGTTCTCCTTGGCTCTTGCGTCTTTGCTAACTGAGTTCCCAGCCGCCTGGCGAGTTCGATCCTTTCTTGGAGATCTTCGATTGGGAAGATCTGACAAGCATGACGTTTCCCTGTTGAGCAGAGCGGTTCGAGCAGGTGTTGACTTTTTGTACTGACATTGTAGGATATTTGTCTTTCTGCATTTGCTATGCCTCTAGCGTTGTACATAGAACCTTCTAGCTGAATACCCATAGTACATAAAAACTAGTTATCGCAATGCGGCCATTGATAGTCCGTTGCGTAATCATGAATGTTGTGACTCGGTCGGGTCCACCATGAGATCATGATCGGAGATATCAGGATTGACGGGATGCAAGGGGGGATGCAGGTCAAAAGAACAGGAACAACACGCTTAGCACGGATCGTTATTTGGCCCTTACTCGCAAGTGCCGAGTCTTACATGCAACTGTTTTTTCTCTAGTTTGACAGTTGTGCATTGCTTTGAAGAGCCTTACCTTAGAGCGCGAAGCCTGATTGATCGTCACGTTAGGCTATTCCAAGGTGGGAACGATATGCAATGATCGACTGGATTTGCTGTCACCTACAACACTTGTAGGTCATATCGCAGTATCTTTCGCAAGAACAAGGCGAAGCCACGACAGATATAACCTTGGAAGAAATAAAAGCCACAATAATAAACATGAAATTCAACCTAAAGCCAATCCTGGCGAACTTTGATCTGAGACAAGCGGGTCTAGTACCTGAGGGTACCACGGTACAAAGCGGAAAATTGCCGTGAGCCAGGTACCTCTTAGGTACCATTCCAAATATAGATCTATGTAGCCGCCTAAAACCAAAACACTTGACTTTCGAACTAACATGAGGCTCGCGGGCTGTGCTGTTTTCTTTTTTCTTTTCTTTTCCCTTGCCACTTGCATATTTATACCATGTGTTTCTCCCTCGCTTCCCCTATCCACTGCATTGACCACTCTGATATCCATTAAAGAAAGAAAGAAGAGCCATGCGTATCACGATTTGATGAAATCCCAAGGCCAGCCAGGCCAATCCCCCCACATACAATCCACGCATTTACTCCAATGTAACCACCACAATGCACCACATCCTACTCCTATCAATAATCCTCGCGATCGCAGCCCCACTGGGAGCCATCCCATCCCAAGCCAGGGCGGAAAGCGCGAAACAAGTATACCAAACAACGAAAAAATTCCCACTCGCAAACCCAGGCAACATCCCAGTCCACGATCCCAACATAATCCTCCACAACGAGCAATACTACCTCTTCAAAGGCGGTGTCAACATCCCAATCTTCAAATCAGCCAACGTCTCCGGCCCATGGGAAAAGCTCGGCACAGTCCTGGGCGGCGACAGCATAATCCCCAAAACCAACCGCACCCGACCCTGGGCACCAACAACAATCGAAAAAGACGGCACATTCTACTGCTACTACACCGTGAGCGCGAAAGGGTCACGCGACAGCGCGATTGGCGTCGCGACAACAACATCCCTTGACGGCAGTCCCTGGACGGACCACGGTGTACTCATTAACACAGGCACCGGCGCTGGCTCCGATGTGTGGCCGTACACGATCACGAACGCCATCGACGCGTCTGTGATTTTCGACCGGGATTCCGGACAGGCGTATCTCAACTACGGCAGCTTCTGGCATGATATCTGGCAGGTGCCGCTGGAGGATGATTTGCTTTCTGTTCAGGATGCTGGGGCGCCGGATGCGGTGCAGTTGACTTTTATCCCGCGGGCGAAGTCGAAGCCTGAGGAGGGGGTGTGGGTTAGTTTTCGGGATGGGTTTTATTATGCTTGGTTTAGTCATGGGAACTGTTGTAATTTCAAGAATGGGTTCCCGGAGCGTGGGAAGGAGTATAGTATTCGGGTTGGGAGGTCGAGGAGTGTGCGTGGGCCGTTTGAGGATCAGAAGGGGAAGTCTTTGCTTGATGGTGGTGGTACGGTGGTTTATGGCTCGAATCATGGAGCTGTGTATGCACCTGGTGGTCTGGGGGTCTTGCCTGGGAATAATGATTCCATGCCGGATATTCTCTACTATCATTATTTGAATACTTCGGGGTGGATTTAAGCATGGGGTGAGTCTTTGTTTTGTTTTTTGTTTTTGTTCTCGAATTGGCATTTGAACTGACCGTTCTCGCAGGAAGCTCAGCTCGGCTGGAACTATCTGAAATATGAGGATGGGTGGCCAGTGGCTGTTGAGGGCCAAAATGCCACAGCCAATAACGCCTTCGGTTATGGACCTCCTGGCTGGGCTTATCTGGCAATCGTTTCCGGTAAGAGGAGAATTTCAATGTTTATGTTTTTTATGCTGACACCTGGCTATAGGTCTATGGCTGTGCATATGGCAATAGCAATTCCTCGCATCGATACCTTCATGTTTCTTTTTCTTCGTGTTATTCAGCGATTCTATACCATGGCGGTGGCGTTCTATTGGATTCCCAGGATTATGTCTATCATCTAGCGAGCATTGCATTCTATCCTCATCAATGGATATCATTGGCATACAAAGCCATGGCGCTAAACCCAACAATTCATGCCCTAACCATCACCACGCTACATGCCATTGAAACCACAAACTTATTCCCACCCACCATCCACACTAAGAACCTGTCCAGTCGTATACGACGAAGCGTCACTGAGCAAGAAAACAACCGTCTGAGCCACCTCCTCGCCCGTCCCGATGCGCGGGATACTAGCCGGCGGCATAGTGATCCCACCCTGGATTTCCTTCGCCATGTCAAGCAAAGGCGTCTGAATAGAACCACTAACATAACCCATCAGTCAAGTCCACCAAACAATTGAACACAAATACTCAATACTCACGGCGCAACAGCATTAACCCTAATATCAGGCCCAACCTCCTTCGAAACCGACTTCGTCAACCCAGAAACAGCATGCTTGGTAGTCGAATACGCAGCATGCAACGCAAACCCCTTAATTCCCTGAATACTCGACGCATTAACAATACTCCCCTTGCCCCCAGGCGCAGTCTCCATAATGGCTCTCAGCTGCGCGCGCAAACAATACATCAACCCGGTAACATTGACACGCATCAACATATCCCACTCCGCATCATCCTGGTCAACGAATCTACCAGTGCCGTGTTGTTTGCCGATCGTGCCAGCCATGTTCGCCGCACCATCTAGTCTGCCGAAATGCGAGACCGTATCGGCGATCCAGTCTTGTACGGCGCTTGCATTGCTGATGTCCAGCACGGTTGTTGTGATTGTTGAGGCTGTTGCGGAACCGAATTCGGTCTCGATGGTCTGCCGCGCTGTCGAGAGGACTTTTTCGCTTAGGTCGGCGAGAGAGAGGAGGGCGCCTTGTGAGTGTAGTTGGCGGGCTACGGCGAGGCCGATCCCGCCTAGGCCGGTTACGGCGTATACTTTGCCTTTGACGGAGTCCATTGTGTGGGTTTGTTGGTGATAGGATTGGTTTGGGGTAGCGAGGCTTGTGAATTGGGTAGATTTTGTTTTGTATGTGTCCTGGGATGTGACGGTTACCTTGGATATGGCGGGGATAACGTGGGGTCGGAGATGCTCCGTGGCCAATGTGTACCTGACATCGGGTATTTTCGTGTTGGATTGTATAGAGAATAGGCTAAATGGGGTTCGTCTAACACCCGAGGCACAGGTCCATTGCATAGGTAGGATATGGTATATCGCGAACCATCTGCTGAACACCTCAGAAATACTATTAATTCTTATCACTTGAGGAACTTACGAATCCCATTAGAATTACATGAGCTACTTCATGCAGATTCGCTAGTATATTCAGTTCAATTTATTGCATACTCGACTCCGTCATCTGGCTTTACATCATAAGGAAGCACTTATTGACTTGACACGCCAGTGCATCAGTTGCAATTGCCAAGTTAATTGGGAACTTGGCAAGGCTTTTCGATGGATTAACTTCGCCGGGGCCATATTAATTTGAATATATCTCCAGAATTCTCTTATATTAACATTCCAATATCCATCTCAACTCCAAAATCACAAATGGGTATCTCAAAATGCAAAAACCAACCCCCAAATCCCATCAAATAAACATCCCCGACAAAACCAATCCCCCAACCATCAAAGACACCCAACCCATCGGACGCCTAACTGTCGCAGAACTCTTCTCCGTTTTAGTCCCATATACAACCGACTGAGCATTCAAGCAGTACATCGTCTTCTTAGCCTCAGCCGAAGAACGCGAATCACAAACAGCCGTACAAGGATCCGGATCCTCGTAAATCCACACCCCGTTCGAACAACAAGACTGCAAAACAGCCTTCATATCTCTGTTTGGACTTTTGGTCTGGTACAGCGGGACCTGGTTATAATATTGGATGTTGGAGGGCATGGAGGCGGGCACCGCGTCGCGCGAGTTGTAGCACTCGGCCGGCTGTGTGAAATTGGTGTTTATGGGAGGTGTCATTGTGTTCTTTTTGTGTGTCGGGTGATCCGGTGAATTATTGACGCGTCGCGAAAAGAGGAATTTTGATATTTTGTGGGATGTGTCGATCGCGGTTCGTGGGGAGAATGAGATGGTTCGGCGAGACCATTCGACAACGGAGACGGAAGGGATAGTCGGGAGAGTTTATGTTGTAGAGAAAAAGAACAGGGGATTTAAGAGTATATGTACGAAGATCTTAATATCCCCGTCTTTTTTAACTCCTGAACTGGAAAAGTGCCAAGCCGGTATTGACTTGACTATTGGGGATATTTGAAGAAGTGGAGTCAGAACTATCCAGCTGCACTGGACTCAATTCGTTGATCCCTTTTAGCCCCCATTGTAATTTGATTTTAACTGCGAACATGAGTCAAAAGCCGTAAGTGGGAACTGATAATCCGCTCCTTGCTTGGCTATTTGTTTTGTGATCTATATTGTATATTGTATACTGCATGTCTTTCTATCTACGGACTAGGGGGAACTCCTTAATCCCAATAACCAACAACCCTTACGGGTCAGATTTACAATCGAGCCGCTTGATTGGCTCGTCGCCACATCTTCTTCCTGCGCTCGTGCCCTTCGTCGAAATCAGAGAGCCATTTCTGCTCGAACCGAGGTAGCCGTCGTCCCGTGCCACGAGGTTCCCCCGCAAGTTGTCGGAGGCCCTCGAAGTAGGGCTCGAATTCGGGGTTGAGGACTGTGAAGCCTGGGCCGTCGCTCTTCTGTGCTATACGGTCGGTTTCCCATTTTTCCTGTTCGGCGATCGAGGGCAGGTTTGCTTTGCCGGCTAGAACACGCGCCGCAGCGACGGCTTGCCATTCAAAAACTTTGAAGGTCAAGCCAGCACCAACCTGAGGGTATTTTGTTAGCTTTCTTTCCGGATGTTTGTTTTCTGGCTGGGTAGACTTACAGCGCCGACAAACACCAATGATGGATCATGTCTGTAAAAGACGTGTTGGTAGAGATCCGGCACGCGATTGTTCCGCGTGGCAACCTGAGGCAAGAAAGGCAAAGTCCAGCTAAAGCCAGTTCCAAAAATCACATGGTCGACTCCAGTCTCAGAGGTGCCGTCTTCGAAATGGACCGTCCGTTCGCCTTGATCATTACTCGTAATGTGTGAGATTGGCGGGCGACGCTGGATCTTCGGGTGCTGGAAAGCGAGATCTCCGAAATAAGCGTTGTAGCGACCTCGAACCACAGCAACGACTGGTGTCTGCGCACTATCGACCAGACTCACTGCCGTATCCGCGGCAGAAACAGACGCTCCGACGGTGATGACTTTCTGCGACGTGTAAGCAGATATTAAAACTGCCATGATGGAAACATCATTTACCTTTCCCCGATATTTCTCAGGTCCCCGGTAATGCTTCGTATGCTGAACACTACCGGGATACCGCGCAGCAAACTCCTTCAAACCGGGAATCGCAGGAATAAACGGCACTGCGTAATGTCCCGAAGCCACCACAACTGCATCATACTCCTCAGACCACCAGTAATCCGACTTGACACCATCGAGAACTTCCGTCCGGCGGAATGTAAGCACCCATTTCTGGCTACTAGGATCTTTGATCGCGCGCTCAACGGTAGTGTTGTACTGAACAAGATCCTGATACCCCCTCCGGTTAAACAGGTCTTCAATATACTTCCTGATAACCGAATGGTGTCTGAAAGGCGTATCTGCCCCATGACGCTCAATCGACCACTGGGACCGAACTACAGGGATCTCCTCTTGAGAGAACGACATGGCCGCCGCGTTCACGTTAGTCTCCAGCGTCGGGTACACGGGCGAGTCCATGAATCTGTCCTGGGAGACTACGGGCGTCCGGCACGGGAGCCCCTCGGGGATTTCGAGAGGCGCATCTGCTGTTCGCGCAGATAGACCGTCAAAGTCTAACTCCTGAGGCGGCTCGTCGTCTCTTGATACCCTGTTGTTTGTTAGTTGGGAATTGGTGAAGATATTAAAGTGACATACCAGCATCCGCCGGCCTTCTCTTGTCTTTCGAATACGCGGATGACGTCGAATGTTTTCTCTTGTGCTAGTGCGTCGACTGTAATGGCGCCAGCTGGGCCCGCCCCGATGACGGCTATGCTCTTGATCTGTGGCATGGTGTGGTATTATGGGTGTTTGAGAGTTTGGGTATATACCTAGGTAGTCGCTCTTATGTTCAATGCTGTCTCGGCCGAGCGGCTCAAAAATGGGAATATCTGGGGTGCAAATGTTTGACTCTATCACGCCATCCAACTCTGTTTTGGCGCAAATTTGGCATTGGCGTCCAATGAGGGTTTCGGGTATAATGTATGAGATTGCCCAGATCAGGCTCGTATGTAAATGGAAATTTCCTTTAACACATCAATGCCAAATTGAACATGCCCAGACACTCGAAACTGAAAGTTTCTATCTTCCTCCCCGGGCCCATTGCCTGGCACCTCGGCCGTTGATCTGATTGGCTGGCGGCGTTGGAGTTTTACGGTCACGTGCAAATTCCCCGTGGGGCTCTTCAGGAACAGCATTCTGATTGGTTGATATTTCATGCCTCGTGAATCAGGCCATCAACCAGTTCAACTTTTTATAAGTTAGTTAGTTAGTTAATTAATCCCAAGGTTAGAACCGTTGAACTAATATAAGTGAAATCAGCCTCATGTGCAGCATGGCTAGGAGAAATAACAAGATATTATGCAATTTGTAAATGGCGAATGATGATAATACAAACGAAACCAAATCCAAGACGTAAAAAAGCCGCTAAACTAAGTAAACACATCGGTAGCATAACGCTCCTTCGTCCGCAAATTATCAAAGAACTGCTCAGCAGCCTGATCCTCCTCAAGATCAGCACCTGGCGGAGTCTCCCCCTTCTCCCTAAGCTCAGCGTGCACCGCACGACGCCTCTCGAGATACATCTGTTTGCAAGCGTCGCGAATACCAGCACCAACACCGGTACTACCGCAAACATAAACATTCGCACCTTCATCAAACAGCTTCACCAGCTCTTCACGGTCATCAAGCATGGCATCCTGAACATGCTGTCCCTTGCTTCCATCAGCGGGACGACTATACGCCCAGCGGACATCGACAGCGCCGAGCGCAGCCCACTCCGCAAGTTCAACAGCGTGGATATCATCCTGACCCTTCGTGCGGCAGCCAATGTACAACACCGCCTTTGCAGGCTTGAAAGCCCCGTTTTCATGGAGTTCATCTGAGTCAGGCGAGCTGCGGCGGCCGCGGATCTTCTCCGCGCGGTCCATGACGAATCCGCGGAATGGTGCGAGCCCACTACCCGCGCAGGCCATGATCATCGGTGTTTCGAGATCCATGGGCGGCTTGAAGCCTGAGTGCGAGGGGCGGACGGTGATGTGTGCGCGTTCACCGGCTTGGAGCTCGGAGAGGTAGTTGGATGCAACACCCAGGTATTGTTCGATGCTTTCGCTGCCTTCTGGGGTGGCGTTGGCGAGGGCGGGAGCGCTGAGGACGGTGAAGGTTATCGAGCACTCGGATGGATCGACGAGTGGTGACGAGGAGATGGAGTATTGTCGCACGCGCATTGGTGGGAGCATGGCGAGGAAGTCGCCGATCGGTAGCTTGATTGATGGATAGCGGATTAGCAGATCCAGCGGGCTGACGCGCTTCTTGACGATTTCTTCGGTGAAGCGGCTGGGGCTGGATGCGAGATAGCGTAGTTCGGCTTGGAGTTCCGCGTCTGAGATGGCGGCGTCGGCTAGGACATTGAGATCGCGCTTCGATGCGGGTTGTGATAGCTCGATGTAGGTGGATAGGAGCTCGAAGGCTGAGATCGGCGTGTCGATGGGGATCGAGGGGGAGGATGTTGAGCCTGAGGGCTTCTGGACTTTGAGCACGGCGTCCCAAGGAAGGTCGAAGCGGCGGATTGCGCGACGGACGACTGGGCTTGGGTTCACGGGTAGCACTGCGAGGTAATCACCGCACTGGTAGGTCATGTCTGACGGCAGCTTAAACTTGACTACTCGTTTAGCTGGGGCTCCGGGCGGCGTAAGGAGCTGGTTCTCGATGACGAATCCCTCTTCGAGCTGGAGACCCAGGGTGGATGCGCGCATACCCGAGCTCACTTCGACCTGCAATGAAGACTTCGGCTTGGCGGCGGGTTCAGGGCTAGCTCCGCCGAATTTAGCCATCACGCCCGGCCAGAATGAAGTCTCGCCCCAGCCATCGAAATCGGTGAACATGTCTGAGTTTGCTGCGTCAGCAAGACCAATGTCACAGAGCTTGTTGGCCCCATTGGCCTTGGCTAGTTCGTCGATGGCCTTGGGGACACGGTAGAAGGTTGACGACCAATCATGGTGGCCACAGCCGAACACTGCGTAGTTGACACCTTCTAATTCGCTGCCCTTCAGCTCACTGAGCCATTGGAAGAAGTGAGCCGCGTTGTCCGGAGGCTGTCCTTCGTAAGAAGCTGAGATAAGGACAACAGGGTCGTTCTTGGGGATATTCTGCATGGCTGAATCCAAAGAGTTTGTCTGCGCAGCATAACCGTATGCAGCGGCATCATCGGCCAGCCTGCGGGCGAACGCCTCACAGGTTCCTGTGTTGCTGCCGTAGAACACATGCATGGGCTTCAGCTTGCCATCCGCGGGTGCGACCTTGGGCTTGCGATCCCGGCTGGCGGCGCCAGTCTCTGTGGGCGCGGCACCAGAGCCACTGAGAGTAGTGCTTAGTTGAGTAGGGTCGAGTCCGTCTCTTAGAGTCGCCTTCATGTGGAAATCCTTGGGCTTGATGGTAAGTGTCTGCTTAAGGCGGAGATCGTAGCTGGGGTTGTCCATCTGGAAGTTAAAGTTCTGCAGCAAAATCGCAACCACAAGGAGAGCCTCCTGCCATGCGAACGGCCGTCCAATACAGCCCCGCATGCCATTTCCAAATGGCTTCCATGCATTCTTGGGCAGCTTCTCGAAGTTTTCGTCGAGCATGCGCTCTGGCTTGAACTCGTCGGCGTCGGGGCCGTAGACCTTCGGGTCTCGGTGCATTTTGGTAAGTACGAGCGCAATTGTCTCGTCCTCATTAAGCACATATTTGCCACCTCCAAGTGTAACAGGACTCTCCTTATTCTTAGTGGGGTGGGGGTGCAGGGCAATCATCGGGGCTGTGGGGTTCAGACGCAGAGTCTCGCGCATCACAGCGGTGATGTATGGCAGCTTGGACATGTCATCGACGGTGATCTTGCGTTTCCCAATCACACGGTCGACTTCGTCTTGAGCCTTTCTGTATGCGCTGGGGTTCTTGAGAAGATGGTAGAATAGGAATGACAACATGCCGGAGGTGGTCTCGTGTCCTATCAAGTTCCAAGTCAGGTCTGAAATAATGTGTCCGTTGCAGGACTCCACTTACCAGCGATGAGGAATGTGATCATGTTGTCTACAATCGAGTCATCTGTCATACCGCGGCCAGTCTGCGGGTCCCGACCCAGGATAAGCGCATTGAGAAGATCCTTCTTGTCAACGGGGTTCTCCTTCCGTGAATCAACTAATTCCTTGGATAGATTCCGCAGATACTCAATATCACTCCAGTACTTGTTGTTCTCTGAAGTGGGAAGGTTGTTGAGCAAAGCAGGCTTAAGAGCCCGATGTCCAGACACAGATAGCAAACCAACCATTGCCTCGACGAATGGGTGCATTTCATCGTGATAGAATGAGTTGAAGCGAGTGCCCATAGCACAAAGAGCAATGGTATCCAGCGTCAAGCGGGTGAAGTCATCTGTAACCTGGATAGGAGCCGCAGGGCCAATCCGAGCCCATTTCATAACCAGTTGAGTGGCAATATCATACATTTCTAAATGCAAAGGTTAGCCAAACTCATTCATTTCCTTACCTGGGGCATAGGTCTCGAATCCGACAGAAGAGGGTTCACCGACCATCGAACATGCCGCGAATCATCAGCGGACCGAATGCAGGAACAAGAATGCGATGCGCAATAGCCCAGTTCTCTTCACCAGGGTAATGCGCGGTAAAGAGACCGTCATGAACACCATTACGGATCTCAGCCAGACCAGCGGAGACCATTTTGCTGAAGCGTTCCTCGTCACACACTTCGTCCACTAGCTCGTGGGAGCTAACGAATACTCGTGCTCTGCCAAAGGTGGTCAAGCGATAGATTGGGCCTGAAAAGTGATAAACACAGGAAGGAATTAGCCCAACAATTTGTCATATACATCCCTGATCGTGAGGGCCTAGATCCATACCATAGCTATCGGCCATCCGCTCAAAGCTTTGCAAGGGCAACTCGGGCTCGATGTCGTAGACGTTCCCCAAGAATGGGACACCCTTGGGGCCCGGGATTGGGACCTGTTCGGTCGAGCTCATGGCGTATAATGAGCGCCTTTCGCTTGATAATTTGAATCAATCTCAATAAATGGGTGTTGACTTTATGAAACACAGCTTGGAGTACGTAATGGCGGGGTTGGAACCTTGGAAGATTATGTACTAGGCCCTGGTTCACGTGGTAATGCAGGTCAGCAATTGTACAATATATGGAAATGTACTTTTGAGCTGCAGGTAGAAATATGATGAAATGAAATAGAACAAATTTGGAAGAATAGAAGTCGGGATGGCTCCGAATTATAAAAAGAGAAAAAGTGTGACCTCACCGACTGAGATACCTCGGTTCCTTTTTTAAAGTGTACAATATTGTAATCCAACAGCTTTTCATATTTAGAAACTGCACAAATTTTCATAACTTCATTTATTTCATTCGTTCCATTTGTTTCATTTGTTTCACCGGTGTTGAAATGCCCGACGGGCCATTGGTCAAAGTCCAATCACAAATCGCCGTCTATCGATCGGCCATGCCGAGATCTCTTCAGCCACAATTTTTATCGCACCGCCCGTCGGATTTGACGCGAATCCCGATGATACGGATTTCTAGAAGGGGGACCTCGGCATAACCGAATCCACTCTATCCACACCTTAAGGGATTCCTCTCGGAAGTATCCCTATTCGGGAACACCCTAATCTCAGCCGGGCCATAAACGAGCCCGACCCCGACTACTCGGGCCGTGTCTTAACTATAAGATGAAGACATCTTAGTTGTGCAAGAACTTATGTGTACATCCCTTGGGGGTGTGCAGGTTTGTGATATCATCATGCATGAGAACCCCAGAGGCGCATAAGACAACCTTGGAAGTGTGGCACACTATTTGTAATGTGCTGCAGTTATGAGCTGTCATCGGGTGGCTTCACCGGAGTCGCAAATATTCTGTCCTAAACGCCAGCTAACGGGAAATATTGAGACCGAAAGAGAACCCGTTTTATATGGCAATATATTTACATGGATGTATTGAGCAAATTGCAAGCAAAAGGCGGCCGGAACAACGCCAACGAAAGGAATTGTGACCCGAGGATCACCTGGGCAAAAAGGGGATATCAACAAAATAAGGGAACGGAGGCAGCACAGATGCCCAAGATTGAAGTCATGGCGGCAATCTGTAAGATCGGGCACGGCGCGAAACGAAAGAAAAAGGAATCACAGAACTATTCATTATTAAGGTCCGAAAGCAAGTTCGTGGGGTTACTAGTGCTTGTACTTGACAAGCCCGCTAGTTGCTGACCTGCTGGTAACCACCGTTATGCTTCCACTCGCTCTGTCTCCAGTCTTTCTGGAAGTTCTCCATCTCAGCACGGTTAAGAGGAACCGGGTTGTTGCCGAGCGCGTTCTCGAGACGGCCCTTGCGGCGCTGGCGCAGGCAGAAGAACAGGAAGCCTGCGATAGCAAGCGCACCGGCGACGGCGGCGCCAATGTACACTCCGATGTGGGCTCCCTCGCCGAGATCATCCCACTTCTCTGACAGAGACTTGGGCTCTGGTTTGTTCAGTTCGTTCAGTGCGGTCGAGTTTCCCCTGTTCCGTCCTATTAGCCATGTCCTGCGTGGTTCTAGTCTGGACACACTTACTCTAATATCTCGATGCTCTGCCAGGAACCTGTACGGTCGCCGTAGCTGTACTCCTTGCCCGAGTGGAAATCCTTAACACGCAGCTTGCCAAGGGTCATGGTGAAAGGGGCGGTATCCCAGTCGACAAGACCACCAGCCCAGTCGATAGTACCCTGTGGGCATCTTTCCGGCCAGCGGGCCAGAGACTGAATTGGACACGACACGGGGTCTGTGGGTAGTTCTTGCCAAACAAGGCGGACTCATCGTTGTATGTGAGGTTGCGAACCTTCTCGCCGTCAATCCACCATTCGAGTATATCCTGGTCCCAGTATGTGGTGTAGTTGTGGAACTCGGTGTCTGCGTTCGGCACGTAGTGCTTGCCGCCGCGATCGAAGGTAGTATCGTTACCCTTGCCAAAGAAGTTGGACTGCACTTCACTAGTGTTGTATCCCACCCACTCCCAGTCGATCTCATCCAGATCGTCGGACTCCAAGACCACACTGCTGACTAGACCTTGGCCCTTGGCCATCTTGACGTGAGCTTCGACGACACCGAAGAAAATATAGAAGTTGGACTGTAGGAGAGTGGACTCTCCCTCCTTCTGCAGGGTGAACTTGGCTCCATCGTCTTCGTACTCGTAGGTTCCGGTGGCCATCTTCCAGATCTTTTCGTCCAAAGTCGTGTTGAAGTTCCATGAGTGTTCGGTGCCCAAAGCGGGATCGGGAGGACAGTCCTCCTTGGTCGGGTCACACTCGGTTGAGGTTTGAGCGGTGGCATAGCCAGCCAAGGCTGCCAGAATGGCAATGCGAGAGAAAAACATGGCTGAATATAAACAATTGCTCAGGATGCTGCTGTTGGACTGTCCAAAAAGAAAAGAATGGACTCGAGACTACTCGAGATTCGATAAAGAGTGGATGTGCGAGTGCACGGTAAAGAATGGAAGGCAGTCTGCCAGCAGCAAGCTAAGTGTGTGTTGAAGGGAACATTAAGAAAACGGGGGGGAATCAGCCACGACGGTCCAATTTAGGCGCAAAGTGGACTCGGTGCATTATGGGCTAGTGGTGTTTTGGGCCTGGTTATTTTTTGTGTGCACCGTTGGAGAGCGTAAGGGGAAAGCTGCAGAGATTACGGAGTATGGTCCAATTTGCTAGCTAGCCGGTCTAGGTTAGGAGGTTCCATTTTGGCGCATGCCACTAACCTCTTTGGGCCATCCCCCCAAGGGCCCTGTGCGCCATGCTTAACCCTTTTGGGTTTGCCTTGTGTTTCCTGCTAAAACTACTTTTAGGCGGGCGAAGCTGATTGGCTGTCGATTACCCACCGATTGGCTGATCGCAAAGAAACCCGATAACCTTGGATCGAACAGGACATAGACGGATATTACCAGGTCTGTTGTACAATATATAGTATTGTACATGGACTCTGTAAATGGATCATATGGGACACAGCTCTATGAACGGAATTGGTTATTCCTCATTTTATCTGCAGAAATCTCTTGGCTTAAATGCAGGATAAGACTAGTTGTTTAGCTCACGCCTGGGCCATTCGAGGGAACAACAGCTGCAATGAAGATCAAACGCCCAATTGATAAGAATCGCCACGGGGTAACAAGTCCAAGATTACACTACAGATCATGCATGTGCCCCTTGGACACAACATTTTGAGAATCATAGCATCTGAGTACTCCGTACATAACAATAACCTATTTTCTGAGTTCCTTCAGTTCCATAAACCCTGCAACCAAACTAAATTTTAAGGCAGCTCCGCTCAGGGGGGTCCAATAACAAAGCCACCAAGAAGCCAAGTCCGCCCCAGTGAATGAGTGGAGATGTCTAACCCTTGGAAGTTTTTCTTTTTCTTTTTTCCTTCTTTTCCCCTGTGGGCCCTCCCCCTGTCTTACCTGCCTCGTTAATGCACTCTCCCAACAATGCTAGCTGAATGAATGAACTATACGTCTACGCCCTCTTATTCGTCGAAACGGCGAAATACCGGGTGCGGCGCTTGCTTGTGCGATCACCATTGGATGGACTTAGCTTGCCGGCTCGGAGTTCTATCAGGGGAGACTTCGGCAATTCTGATCGATCGAACGCCACTGCTCGGCGGTGACACACAGCCAAGTCCCGCTGGACCAGGCCAAGGCGTGCAGTCCCTCACCACTCAGGTACCCGTCAGGAAGTTGTCCGACTGGATTATGTAGACATCCAACCACATGTTCAGTGTACATTGCAAGGGCTAAATCAGATTGTTATTGACCATGTCCTAGGATCCAAACTCAGGGGGTTTGGCATCCAGATCAGATTCTGAATTCAAATACAAAGCATCACACGCACAGGCCAGACAATCCGTTCCAAGAAATATTTCTCATCGAGTCGTAAAAGCGCGCAGTCATATGTATGTCATGTCTCATAATTAACATTGGCTCCGTCAAACGTGTCCATCCGTGATCCACCCATTTCCTCCAAGTCATCAAAACAAAAATAGCGAACGCCAGTCCCAATTGATACGTCAAGACCATTCCACATCTCTCATGTATAATCCCCACCATGGCTCATGGCTCCGTCAGATAAACCTTAGCCGGCCGTCGCAAATCATCATGATCCCTATACCGGCGCGAACTGCGTACCGTAGTCGGCTTCTCAACATAGTCGACGTACGTCGCAGACGGCCGACGGCGCTGTCGCTTTCCGCGGCTACTCGTGCTGCTGCGAGTAATTGGAGGCCGGTAGCCGACGTCAGGCGTATCGCCACCGCTCCATGCAGCGGGGAGTCGGAATATTCGCCACAGCCAGAGGATGAGGAGGGTCCCTGCGATGGAGCCGATAACGATACCCGCAATTCCACCGCCGGAGATTGTGCTTGGGCAGCTCTCGCCGCTTGACTGCCGGGGCTCGAGCATGGAATTTATAGGGGCCTGAAGAAGCGAAAGTATTCCACGGTTAGCTTTTATGAGTTCCAGAATATGTCATCCGTGGTTCTTTGTTCGGCCCGCGCGGGTATTGCTTGGATGAGCCACTGAAGAGGGCTTCAATAACGACCATGGATATACACTTACCATAACTGCAGTGTAGACTCTCTATTTAGCAATGCTTTTGGTCTGATATCGGGGAATTAGTCCCTGGTGGCTGGCAATTGTATGCAGGGCAGTGGGTCTCGATGCGATGCGATGTTGTCTCCAGCCAAAACAGTGTTGGTATAGGTGATTGAGGCCAAACAACCCACACAGCAGATGGAAAAGAGAACAGAAATCAAAGCCAGAGCCTCACATCTTATTAAAACCGGGAGCGAGTCTCACAATTCCCCTCTCGATTGCGCCCCAACCTCCTCTCATCCCGCTTCTGACGTCAAGCGGACGTCGGCCTTGGCGGCCTGAAAGAGCAGCGATCTCCTCTTTTACACAGCACAAACTTGGAATTTAGCTCGAGTAATCCTTGTCTGGTGCCATTATTGGCTGCTTACTTTCTTTGTCCTCGTAATCCCAGGTCAGATCCTATCAGTTGAGGATATTGTGCCGGGAGTACCAAGCCTTGCAGCAAACACACATGCATTTGCGGTATGCATGTCACGACATGGAAAGTCTTGTCATCGTGACATGTGGAGAATAAATACGGGTAACTTAGGCCATCTGGTAAATAAATGCCCAGAAACAGTCCGAGAGACTAAATGAGTTACCGTTGTAGTATATTTGGATCGATTGTTCTGTCGTAAGTAATAAATCTGCGGCTCGGCTCGAACAGGCTCAAGCGTGGAACATTATCTAGCCTGCTCTAATACATCCGAAGATCTACCTAGATAACCTTCCAAGGTTGGAACACAAGAGAACCTTGTCCAACCGCACGTGTCCGGGCGAAGGCGGAACCTGTCCACCTGGGCAGTCTCCTACGCCTTCGCATTCTCCCAAGCTCACATGCAATCGTGCCACCATGCGTCATAACATCATCGTGGTAGAGCCGGTTATTTCGCCACTTATCATATATCTTAATACTATACACGTAGTACCCGCTCTCCAAACCGGTTATGGAGATTAGGGTCATTCCTATTGATCATGCTTAGATTCGTGAACCATGACGATGAGACAAAATATCTGATAGATCCTGAGCATTTGCCATGACGGCTAGGATCTGATGCCGTCAGCGTTATTGTTCCAGGGATTCCGTAGGTGGTACCCTTGAAGTTGTACATGCGAATGAGTTGTCAGCAAGGGCCTAGATAGTATGAAAGAAAAGTACATATTACCTAGACATTGAAGTCCCGATGCCAGCTACACTAGGCAAACTAGTGGAAGCTTGGATGAGGATCTATGCGGATAAACAAAAATCAGGGAAAAGGTCCGCCTGCTGGTTCGGCTTTTCGGCTGTGACCTAAGCCTTGCATGGTCTCTGCCCCTTTCATGCATAGCTGAGACCTCTGTTCTAGACCATGGCCCCTTGGTCTGAATATCATATATATCTTAAATCTTAGATTGCTAGATTGGGATCCATTACACATTCCTTCAGATTTGAGGAGTTTGTGTAAATACCAAGTGCTATAACACCAACAACGAAATATATGTGGAAAATGTACTCAAGTCTCATTTCTAAAGTGCACGAGCATCATTGTAAAAGGAAAAATGTCCAAAACTCCCCAACCCATGATATCATCAAAAACAGCAGCATACAACGCTATCCACCAGGCAAGAGGCCGAAAGTCAAGAACCCCACGGTATTCATCTTCAGTCATTATCGACCGGTGATATAATCCCGGTTCTCGATCGTCACACTCTTGGTCATGTGGTTGACCTTGTAGACACCGACGAGTCGGGCAGCAAGCTCGAACTAGAGAATAAGTTAGCTAAGTCGACTAGGAAACGAAAATCAACGGCACCTACCATATTGTTTCTCAATGAAATGACAATGAATTGGGCATTCTTCGTTCGCTCCTTGATGTACGAGGCAACGATGGAAACCTTTAAAGAGTTAGCACATGTGTTCATCACAATCGGTTCAAGACCAACTCACATTTCGGAAGTCCAGGGCGGCATCGATCTCGTCCATGACATAGAGCGGAGTAGGCTTGTAGTGGTGAAGAGCGAAGACTAGCGCCAAACTGGACAAAGTCTTCTCTCCACCAGACAGATTACCAATGTTCTTCCAGCTCTTCTTGGGAGGCATGACCGAGAACAAGATGCCTTCCGAGAAAGGGTCTAATGAGTCAACGAGTTCCAACTCGGCGTTACCGCCCATGGTGATCATCTGGTACATTTCTTTGAGGCGCAAAGAGATAATTCCAAATCCTTCCATGAATCCATTCAGGCGAGAAGATCGAAGCCCGTCTAGGCGTGCCTTGGCAGCGTCTCGTGAGGCCAAAGCGGTTGTCAGATCTGCTGAGCGTGATTCATGCTCGGCGGCTCGGCGGCGGTATTCCTCGATGACTGACAAATCGATAGAGGCATTTTGAACCTTCTCCTCCAAAGCAGCAATGACGGCTTTCAGGGAATCCTTGTTCATAGCGTCTAACTCGTCCTTGGTGTACATCTGAAGCTCTATGGGCTCCTGCTCTTCACCAATATCGCTGATGTTCTGGATAGTCAGCTTTGAAAGCTTCTCCTCCCAGTAACGACTGCGCTTTTGGTTCTCAGCCAAGGCCTTTTGGTTCTCTTCCAGTTTATTGCGCATCTCGATCTCAGCAGCTCTTGTCTCATTGAGCTCAGCCACCTTTGCGTCAAGCTCATCCTTCATGGCCTTCAATTCGCCCTTTTTAGATTCCAAAGCCTAAAGATGGTCAGTAGCAAATTCAGCATACTCGTGGATCTTAGATAGCTTACCTCCTGGGCTTCATCGGCCTTCTGTCTCCAGTCGGCAGATTCATTGGTCTGGTTCGCAACGTCTTCTTCCAGTTTCTCCAACTCCTCCGCGATCTGACCGATCTCCTGCTCTGAAACATCGCGGGCTTTGGTGTGCTTTTTGATCAGTTTTTCGTTCTTGGACAGCTGCCCCTCTGCGTTCGAGATCTCCTCAGCAAGCATGCCAATCTGCTCTTTCAAGCCATCCACCTTCGCCTTTTGACCACGAAGCCGAACACCACCGACCTCCATGATCTTGCTCTGCAAGGTCTGGATCTCTTCCTCGATGCCACTCTTTTCGTCATTGAGTTTAGCGATCTCCTTTTGGGCTTTGGCAATCTGTTTCTCGAGGGCAGCAACTTGGGCTTCATCCGAATCAGATGGCTGGTGCTGTGCGCCAAGCTCCTTTACGCGTCGCTGGGCATCAGCAAGACTACGCTTTGTGCTGTCGATCTCAATCATAATCTTTTGGATCTTAGTCTCCAGGCGTGGGATTTCTTCCGACCTTTCCTTCATCTGAGCCTCCACATTCCGCTGCTTGTCCTGGAAGGCCTGGAATTTCTTTTCCAGTTCCTCGAGATCTGATTCCAACCGAGACACCTGCTCCTTTGTGGTGTCTGCGACTTGCTTCGAGGACATACCGCCTCGGGCAACACGGGTGCCACCACCGCTCATTGTTCCAGACACATCAATCAACTGGCCATCTTCTGTCACAACTCGCCAGCGGCGAGCACCATAGGCAATACGGTTCGCCTGCTCCAAATCCTTAGCAACTAACGTGTTCTGCATCACGCTGTAGAAGGCTGGGGCGAACTTTGGATCCTTCGGCTTAACAAGATCAAAGAGACGAGGAACGCTTTCAGGAGTGTAGATTGATGCCATATCACGGCGGGGAGGCGGTCAAGAAGAATGAAGTTCGCTCGACCAAGGTTGTTCTTGCGCAAATAGTCGATGCATTGCTGGCCGACTTCCACGGTCTCCACCACCATGTTATCGAGAGCAGGACAAGCTGTAGAAATAGCGACATCATATTTCTCATCAATTGTGCCCAGATTACCAAGTCGGCCATGGAAACCATCGATACGGCCAGACTCCTTGAGGCGCATCAATCCAGTCAAGACACTGCCGCGGTTTTGTGTGCTTGCGAGACTGACTCGTGCTTCATCTGCTTTTTGACGGGCACTTGTGATATGCGAACGAACCTCGGGCTCACGACCAGCGTATTTCTTCAAGTCGTGCTTGAGCTTCTCCACTTCAGACTCCAAAGTCTCTTTCTGGGCTTGTCGCTCTTCGAGATCGTTTTGTTTGGCTTGCAGACTCTCTTCGATTGAAACAACCTTGGCCTGCGCCTCTTCAAGAAGGACAGTGCCAGCGTTGCCCCGCTCACGCAAGATATCCAGCTCACTCTGAGCTACTGCGACTGCGGACTGTTTTTCATTGATCTTCGCATTCCATGGCTCCAATGACTTTTGCTTCTCAGCAATCTGATCAGATAGGCCTTGCGTCTTGCCTTTGAGCCCCTCACGAATTGAGTTCAGTTCCTTCTCTTCTATCACCATCTCTTTCTCGAACTGGGTCGTTTCGGCAGTCTTCTTCTCAATGTCGTAGGTAAACTTCTCGACCAAGCTCTGACATTCCGAAGCAGCAAGGCGGCTGGTCTGCATGGCCTTCTCTAGCTTCTTCTGTTTGCCGAGCAAGAATTTCTTTTTCTCCTCAAACTTGACAGACTCCTTGTCGTACTTGGCCATCTCCTTGAGCAAGCTTTGGGTCTCCTTCTCTATCGACTCGTAATGACGGACACCCTTTTTGTAAGCTTTTTCGAGCTCTTTGATGCCGGATTCATTTCCCTCGTGTTTCTCGAGTTCCATGTTGAGTAGCTCCTGCATTTGGAGAATGGCCTCTTCCGTAACACGAACATTATCAGCACACTCCTCTATGTAAATCTGACAGAGCGCTGATTGCTTCTGGGCCAGCTCGTTCTCCTCGCGGATATAAGCTAGAGCTTTGTCTTTCTTATCCACCAAGGCCGTCTTCTCCTTCTCCACGTGTTGGACACGGTTGTTCTTCTCAACGCATACGTCATTGAGAGCTTCGAGCTCGGTTGCCGCTTCATCGATAGGTGTCTTGTATTTGGAAGTTCCAATGATATCTTCCAGGTACTCCAAGAGGCCTTCATCGTGTTCATTGGAGGCTTTTGGCTTCATTTGAGCGATCGACTCGACCTCACCCTGCAAAATCAAGAACCGTTTGTGGTCAAGATCAATTCCACGGTCACGGAGGAAGGTCGTCACAGCCGTGAAATTGGTCTCCTTTTTGTTCATGTAGTATTTGCTGGTGTTATTCTTGAACGCTCGTCGCGAAACAATCAGTTGGGAATCTGGGACCACTTGCTGGCCACCTTCAGGCAAATCGAGGACTTGGGAGAAATGAACCTCGACTTCACAATATGCGAGATTGGGGTACTGAGCAGAGTTATGGATCAGCGCGGAGATTTTGCCCTGTCGCATCTTGCTGGCGCGGAAGCCGAACACGAATAGGAGCGAGTCAATCACGTTGGACTTTCCGGAGCCGTTCGGTCCAACTACGGACGAAAAGGAGGCGTGGAATGGACCAACAATCTGCTGCCCAGCGTAACTCTTGAAGTTTGTCAGAATAAGGTTATCAATAATCATTCGGGGCTTGGGCGCCGCGGGCTCCTCGGGCGCTTGAGGGACCTGCGTTCTGGACTTGGCCACAATGTCCATAGGCCTCTCCAACACTGTCGAGTTCGGGTTTATAATGGAAATCTGAGATTTGGGCTCTTCCAATTGTTTCGATGGTGACTGATTCACGGCGGATTCGGTGATATCGGACAAAGGTGGCACGCTTGATCGGTGCGCTCTTTCTTGAGGCTCTGGCGATTGGGATGGCTCTGGAGTTGGAAGTGAGCCCTGTGCCGGCCTGGGTGTGATTGAGCCGTGACTCTTGCGGGGATGAGCCATACTTTTTCTTTTCAACGCCGCTTTACTGGACGGAGATTCTGGATCGGCTTCCCTTGACGCCATACTAACGCCCTCGTCGTTCTCATCATTTTCTTCGTCGATGTCCATCGCATCAGTGTCCATCGCGTCGGTGTCCACTGCATCGGTGTCCATCGCATCGGAATCATCTGTTGTCGCTTCTTGGGGCTTGCTGGCAGGGCGCACAGTAGAAGGTGTCACAGGATCTAGTGTCATTCTTTTACTTGATGCTCTCCTTGCTTTCTTAGGGACTGGTGTGTAATCCTCCTCCACCTCGTCATCGTCATCGTGCGTATCAGGTGTTGGTGTCACATTTCCGGGGTCCTCCGATTCAGACGTATCTTCGACGACATAACTCCGGCGGGGAACAGAGCGGCGCGAAGGCCTGCCCTTTGCGACTGAAGCCATGTTGTGCAGATCAGTGGGATGTCTACTGCATGGAGAGGGGCGATAGTGTTTTGACGGAGGTTTTGTCGGTTGAAAGTGGGTTGTTTACCTCGTGCCCAAACGGGTAAAGTGGCCGCCGTTCTGCCACAACAAGCCCTTCACCGCCATGTCCCGCTGTAATTTACCGTACGGTAATTACTCCTCCGCGGAGCTTCATGGAGATCAGCTTGGGAATTGCTCACACAACCTATCTCTCCTCTCAGTATGCCCAGCATGGCTCCATGGGAAAGTTTCGACCAGGTCTTCTCATTTAATAAGAAATATTCATATGAACCAAAGGTTTTCGACCAGATTCTATCCAGCCGGCGCTCGTTGGACCAACTCTTTGCCGATCGACTCTTGGGACTCCTCGGCATCCAAGGAGGTATTGTGACTTGAAGCTCTGCGCGTGAAGCCTCGTGCTAATTAACCACTTCTCTATAGTGACCAAGATCTACCCGCCGAAGTCCAATTCAGATCTCCGAACACTGTTCGATCACATCGTTTCTTCGGAACTCGATATTCATCACAAACAATCCTTGATCTATTACATCCTTAAGGACTGTCGCACTGCGCCAGAAGCTTCGTCTCAGTTTGCGCAACAATGCCACCTCCCAGAAAAGTACCGTCTCTTCATTGAAGGTCTTTGGCATTTGGATCGACTCGATTTCAGGGTGAGTAGTCAACGATCTTGTAAGGCGGCTGTCTTCTGACAATTACATGATATAATAGCGAGCAGTCGAGTATCTTGCTGAGCCCTCGCTCATTCCTACCTTCCCGGATGAGATCCTCTACGTTCTTACCCTCACAAAGCTTCCCAAGCATGATGACAGCCTCGCAATCGCATACTACCTCACTGCGGCCCCTCCTCTTGCAAGCGCAAAGATCCGCAAAGCTTTCTTCGATACGCTCGCCCGATCCAACGTAACCGAGGCATTCTACTTCACGCGCAAGTACGACGACACTTTCCGTCAGAGCTTTTTTGAGCAGTTGGTGGAATTTGTTCACAGGGTCACTCCTGGCCAAACCAGAAGCAGACGCGCGATGGAACTCGTCGGTCTTCCGCTTGACGAGGATGAGGAACAGTGGTTTGAACATGTCTTGCTGCATGGCAATGCCAGTACCCTTCCTGGAGCTAAGGATACTGTGATGATGCGACGCCTTGCAACTGGACGAACTGGTGAACTCAATCCGGAGCTAGAATCTTTGGGTGGCAAAAAGGTTGATGGGTTGAATTGGGATGACCTTCGGGGGAGCATACGACACACGTAGATGATATACCCAACCAGTGATCTAATACTGGATTTATTGACTACCTGAAATTGAAATAGTAGTCAGAGTTAATGGTTTTAAATGATTTCAAGGGATTTCATAACAAAAATGTTTTCTGCTAGGTACATCGTAGACTTGAGGAGCTTCCCATGCTAATATATATATCAATAATCAGATTACATCCACTAAGCTGAACTAAGTAAATGAACTTCTATTTCACAAGACCCTTTAGTCTCATCTTAGGCAAAGGTTAAAGTGATAAAAATCCAATCTCATACTCTCAAATACTCAAGGAGCGTGCTATACAAGAGTGCTGGGATGGCTCTCCAGGCGTTCCGATAAGATACGGACCAATTCCGTGAAAAGTCCCAACCACAAGGAGTTCAATGTTTCTCTCTTCACAACCAACCCTATTCTTGCTTTGCTCTCAAATTGCTTGATCATATATCGAAGGTCGCATATTCATCTGAGAAAGAGCGTCAAGATACAGACCTTCCTTGAAAGGGAGCAGTTGAGCAAACACCAAAACCGCTAAGATGGTGGTATGCAGCTTTTTCCAGCAGGGTCGCTGCAAGTTCGGAGGTATGAATTTCTCGAGTATAGAGAAACCAAGTCACTAATATATTTTCAGATCGGTGCAAGTTCGAGCATCCTGGCAAACCCACTGCTGGTGCATCGGGGAATCGATTCGGTGCTTTATCCGGAGGGTTTGGAGGTACGTCAATTGAATTGTTTTGATTCAGCTCTGCTTAATCCGACGAGCCCGTTTATTGGGAGTCTATTCTATCATGCGATTAAATGTTTGATCTCTATGTTCATTTGTTCCCCTGCGCTCTTTCTCCTGTTCCTACCTCCTATCCATCCTAGTTTACCCCCCAATCTGCTTCGATTCTCAAGGCGCAAGAGCTGTTCCTCTATGTGAAACTATGATCAATCCTGTGAACTACGCGCCCTCTCGGACTAGCCTTTTTTCCAAAGCCTAACGCCAAGTTTACGATAGGTCAAAACCAGACTCAACAAGCAGTCGAGTAAGTACAACCTCTGCGCCTTGCGTGCATTGCAGACTGACAAAAAGGCAGCCCACTAGTGAAGGCAACCGAGATCAAGCAAGACTTGACCGCAGGTCAGGGTCGTCCAGAATGGATCTTCTCCGCATACGCGCCCCACAGAGATGTTGCACGCCAGCTATTCGGTGGAGCCCACCGGGAGCGCAGTATGGAAGAGATGCGCCTGCGCCATTATGAATTGGCAGCATCCGGTAACCTGAACCAAGCGGTCCAGGAAGCCTCGGCTCTGTGGCAAGAGTGCGTGCAACAGATGGAGATCTCACTGAACGACCTGAATGGTGCTGTCAAATATGTTATTGATGGCAAAGATGAACATCCCAATCGGCACGACATTATTGAGGGAAAGACACAAACTAGCATGAACCAAGCTCCAGCACCATTTGGCCAACCATCTCCATTTGGCCAGCAAACTGCTGCCCCTGCACCTGGAGCGTTCGGCGCCCCTTCCTCGGCGTTTGGTCAGCCGTCAGGACTTGGTCAGTCAGTTGGATTCGGTAGGGCTTCAGCACCAGCGCAGCCGACTGGCATGGGTCAGTCTACGGCCTTCGGACAGACTTCTGCCTTGGGTGGCTCAGCCTTCGGCCAAACGTCCACCCTAGGAGGGCAGCCGGCCTTTGGCAAACCAGCTTTCGGCCAGCCAGCAGTTAACCCAAGCCCATTCGGTAAGCCGTCAGTCCCAGGAAGTGGCGCCCCGTTCGGTGCTCCATCTGCCGCTTCACCCTTCACTCAAGTAGCTCAGAACCAGCCCACTGCTGGTGGGTTTGGTCAGCCCGCTGCTCCGTCACCTTTCGGGCAAACCGCTGCACAAGCCGCCCCATCACCATTCGGCCAGCCAGCTGCCAATACGAACCCATTCGGTCAACCCTCAGCTCCAGTAGGCGCGTCACCATTTGGTCAGCCCTCAGCCCCGGCAGCCGTCGCCCCATTCGGTGCTCCATCTGCTGCTTCTCCCTTTGCTCAAGCATCTCAGACCCAACCTGCTGCTGGTGGGTTTGGCCAGCCTGCTGCACAACCCGCTCCGTCTCCCTTTGGCCAGCCTGCAGTTCAGGGCGTGCCGGTGCAGACTGCCGACGCCGGCCCGCGTGCATACCTCAAAATCGAAAATCCTCAAGACCTCAACCCGCTTCCACAACTTGAGGGGGAAACTCGACGTAACCCATCCACTAAACAACTAGTGATGTGGAAGGGCCGCCCTGTCAAGTATATCAACGAGCACCCGTGCTACCTCCACCCACAAGACAACAAAACCTTTGTGCGCATCAACTTCCCTAATGGGCCGCCTGATGCGGCCAGTTTGAAAGACGCACACGGCAAGCCTGAGGAATACACACCAGAAATTGTGGAGGCATATGAGTTTTTCCTTCAGAATGGCTACTTCAAGGACGGCAACATCCCCGCTGTACCTCCCAAGCAAGAATGGCTCAGTTTCGATTTTTGATCGCTGAAGCCGAGATACCATTTATTTGTCTTTATCTTTCTTTTTGTTTGTTATTTTACCACGCGTCTCATGGGCTGAGATGACGTGCATCTTGTTTTCATTGTTTCACGAGCAACATGTTCCGGCGTGCGGAACATGGGGACTGGCGCTTCGGAGCTCAACAATACTCGATTTATGAATGTAGCAATTGCAGCGCCTTATTTTCACTGTGAATAGGAACAAAACTACGGTCTGTAGACCACTACTGAAACTCATTTTTGTTTTTCAAGATGTTTCCATTTTTTATTTTTAAAATGTCAGGTCCGAACGGAATCCCCCCGCAGCACGAAGCAAGTCATGCGGGCCAGAACCAGCTCCAAAGTCGCGCTGTGCACTCCAAATTGGCTAGTCCATGATCCCTCCCTGAGTCAAGCCCAGCTTAGCGCATTTAAGCGGCAATGGTGACCTCAACCTCAACACCAGCCTCGATGTTGATGATGATCTGCTTGACGGTCTCGGTGGGGGCGAGGAGGCTAGGATATAATGTTAGAAACTGGATCTGGGAGGTGTCGAGACGATAGTGCCGCAGTCAATAGGGCGGGGGAAACTCACTCGATGAGACGCTTGTGGATGCGCATCTCGTACTTGTCCCAGGTCTTGGAACCCTCACCGTTGGGGGTCTTACGGGTGGAGATCTGGAGGGTCTTGGTGGGAAGACGGACGGGGCCCTTGACCTGGAGGGACTTGGAGCGGGCACGGTCGATCAGCTCCTGGCAGACCTTCTCGAGGGAGGCAACCTTGCGGGAGGTGAGGGTGATGCGGATCTTGTGGACCTTCTGTAGAGCGGAAAAGAAGCAATTAGTACCGAGTTCGTATTGTTGAGGTCCATAGACACATTGCACAAAGCGACAGCGACAGCGAGGTGCAACAGCGATGTGCGACAGTGACCATTGGGTCAGGGACAACGTACAGGGCCCTCGCCGAAATCCTTCTCGGGCTTCTGGAAAGACATCTTGAATTTGAATTGACTGGAACGGGTTAGTGATTCGATTCGGGAATTTCAAGAGTAGAAAAAGGGGAGCGCGCACAGTTTAAAAGGCGATTGCCGTCAAGACCTGAACTACTAGGCTCGGTAAAGTGATGATGGCTGTTGAGGTGATGTGGATCGAGAATTCCATATCCAAAATGTTCAGTGCGAAAGTCTTGGCGCTTCGGCTATCGCACGCTAAACCCCTTTGGGTCCCCTCTCAGTAATTGCTTATGTCATCACTCAAAGAGGACATGAGACCGCCAAGTGATGGCATTCAAGATGATAATCATGAGCTGACAGGGGCGTGTTCTTTTCTTTTGTGCTTGCTTTTCTCTAATTTCATATTCATCCCACATTTCCAGTCATAAACACCTTAGCTCGTCACAATGGCGGAGTTCCCGCCGCTGGCTCCAGTGCCCTCCCCCCGCAGTGCGGAGGACAATCCCATCAAATGACTGGGAAGCTTGTCTAGATGCATGGATGGCCCTGTTAGGGATCCGCCTGAATGCATCTGATCAGCAATTTAAGGTTGCAGCACCTGAAGATGCATCAATACCCCTATTCCTTGGATCCTACTATCAATACACGGCTGCTGGTGATTCCAGTCTACAAAGTGGACCCAAAGCTCGACAGCTTCGGAAGCTCTGCTTTCTGGCGACAAGAAGATACATACTCGATCTCTCAAATCCACCAGACGGAATTATGGACTGGAGACTTCTTGGCAATTTATGTTGCTGTCACCCTGCTAGCGCGGCCTTGAAGACGTCATTATCAAGTGCCTGGGATATGCACCAGAGCAAAATCACTTCCAGTCTCGAGAGAGCAAAAGCTACTGTGATTAAGAACCTGTCTTCGGCCAACTCATCCTCAAATCCCGAAGTCATTTCTGACATCCGCCGTCTGACCATCCTTGCCTCAGTGCTGCCGGCATGTGGCCAGGAGCTCATGGCGGGCTCCGACTTCCTAGACACAATATCAGAAGCCTACCAGTCAAAAGGTGCCCGTGATGAGTTTCGTAAGATTCTCGTCGCTAACGTCTACGTCGGGCTCATCTCGTTATTGAAGGAGCCCGTCAATTTATCTTCGTTATTAGACCAGCTATTCAGCCTCAAAGCCGCTGCTCGAGTGGGAGCACCGAAAATGAAGAAGGAACCGACTCTACTCTCTGATCTCATCTGCAGCTCAGACTTGCTTGTTCGGCTGGAGAAATATCTGAGTATTCACCCCCAGAAACGGGGGCAAGACCTGCTTGCCAGCTTGGGCACCTATCAAGTGGAATCGAAATCACTACACCATCGGTATCAAAGACGCAAAAGGGTGGACAAGGGAAAAGGGGTATCCTCGGATCCGATTGTTTCAGGAGAACTTCACGCACACAAGATGTCACTTGTCACTCAAGTACAAGACCTCTTCCCCGATCTTGGCTCGGGCTTTGTTGTACGGCTACTGGATTTCTACAACGACAACCCCAAGACTATCGTCGCCCACCTTCTCGACGACTCACTTCCTCTGGAGCTCCAGTCTCTAGATCGATCCGAGCAACTGCCTCCCCCAGCAGAACCCCACCATAGCCATCTCCCACCACAGCCAACACCACCCGCCGTGCCATCACCTACCTTCGCACCACTCCCAACCCGCAAGAACATCTTCGACAAAGACGTGGATATTGCGGAACTAAGCCGCTCCGGCGAAGCACAAGGCAAGCTACACTTCGGCCGCGCCGACGCAGACGAAACAGCCGACACACTGCTCGCAGACCACAGCAAACACGCGGCAAACAAAGCAGCAATCCTCTCCGCCCTAGCAACGTTCGACTCAGACGACGACGAACGCGACGACACCTACGACACAGCCGATGTAGGCGGCGCCATCGATGGAGCCGCAGGTGGCACAGATGGCGAAGCCGACGCAGCTCAGCGCGACCGCCGGGCAGCAGATACCGAAACAGCCCTTTTCCGAGCATACAAGTCCAATCCAGGACTCTTCGCCCGCGACTCAGCGACCCGCCGCTCACAGCCCCGCGCGTCGTTGAAGCGCGAGACCGAAATGACCGACGAGGCTATTGAGGGCTGGGCTCTCATGCTAACGCGTGATCCCAAGCGCATCGCTAAACTTGAAGATCGGCTGGCTATGGACGCTGGCGGGTCGGCTGGTGCTGGGCCACTCAACCAGCCTGAGTTGCGTCCTACTTCTTATAGGAGGCCGCAGCCTCGTGAGGATGGGGATGAGGGTCCTGATGAGGGCGAGTTCTCTGGCCATGCTGGTCCGCGAGGTGGTAGAGGAGGCGGTGGACGTGGACGAGGACGAGGTGGCGGTCGTGGCCGTGGGGGCCGTGGTGGTTCTGGCGCCCAGGGGCAGCCGGATACTGCGGCGTCGAGACAAAAGAAGGAAGAGAACAAGGGTAGTCGGGCAAACCATAACCGTCGACAACAGCACGCGAAGAAGATGGCGCGTGGCGGCGGGTTGCCTGGCTAAAGCATACGTGGGGATCATGTTTGTTTATATAGATGCAATGCGACATAAGAGCCTTGGTCACTCTATCTTTGATATCTGGTAATGACCATGGATGTAATTTACATACAAATTTGTTGGGCTTCTAAGAAAAAGAGCCACGACGCATAGAAACAGAACGCATTCAAGTGATTCATTAATATACCTCAACACATATAATGTATAGGCAGTCGTGATAACATGTTTACACAGGGAACTCGTACTTGGCCAGCAAGGAACTGACGCTTCGTATCAGTGGTGATCTGAGAAGACTCCGCCCTCGGCAATGGACTTGCGGCACTCCTCCATGAGGCGGACCTGTTTTGCGACATCACCAAGTCGGCTGATAACCTCCTTGTTGCCATCGTAGAAAGTGAAAATGGCGTAAGGGATACCAGTATCGCGGCAGAATTCTATAACGAACTTCTGCGTACGACGCAGGTTATGGCGCGGGATGCGCGGGTAGAGATGGTGAATGGCCTGGAATTGCAAGCCGCCGTGGAAGAAATCCAGCCATGTTGGACAGTCGACATCCATGGTGGTACGGAGCATCTTCTGCGCGAAGGACTCACCAACACCCAGGTCCGCGGTGGACATAGCGAAGTGGGATAAGGTGATTTGGACGTGTAGTGGGGAGGAGACGATGTGCGAGACGAGGAGGAAGATGATACGGCTGCTTGCATCGGGAAGCGTCTTGTACATAACACCGTAGCCAAACCAGGTCCAAAAGAAGACCTGTCCCACCAGCTCAAACCAAACATGCCACCAGGCGGGGCCCCTTTTAGGAGCTTGTCCCTTCAGCAGATACTCCCAACTCAAAACATACAGATTGAATCGAGCGAGCATCATAATGGGGTAGTAAGAGTAATTCTGGAATTTGAGTAAAAATCGAGCTGGGGCGTCGAAGGTCATGATTCGATCATAATACGTGCTCCGCAGACTCGTAAGGAAGCGATGCGAGATAGCGAAGAATGGGATATGCTCAATATCCGGGTCATGCTCTGGCTCATTGGTCACGATATGGTGAACGTTGTGGCTTCGTTTCCACCACCCGAGACTCAGTCCTCCGAGATAATCTGCGATGAACATTCCAATGACAGTATCCACATGGAAATTGTGTGTAATGCCCATATGACCAGCATCATGGGCGGTGAAAACAAGCTGATGCCAGAAACAGCCGAGGAAGAATGCCGAGGTCGCCCACCATCCCATACGGAGGAACATGTAGGAAAGTCCGGCGAAAAGTGTGTATCGACAGCATTCAATGAGATAACAAGAATAGTTGCAGTCGTAGAGTCCCTCGGCCTTGATACGCTCGTTCAGTTCGCGATATTTTCGTTTGATCTCTTCCTGACTTGCGGGATCCAAGGAAGGATATTTGGCAGTGTCCAAGACGATTTCCTCCCGTGTCCTCGCGTCCAGGAAGGCAGGCTTGGCCTGGGATTGCTCGGTCGAAGCGGTTCCGGTCGGTTTCCGTTGACGAACTGTGGATTTCGAGTCGACCGCATCGAATACCGGCGAGGGAGGAATCGATCCATCTTGACTGGAGCCACTGAAGATCTCTGGGGTTGTTGAATCCTCATCGCTGGAGCACGTGTCTTCGGTATAGGCGCGGAACTTGCCGCCCTGGATCGGAGGTAGGAAATTGATCCATGTTCCTTCGATTCGTCCAATCTGGTACGAGTGCATACGCTGGCGGGCTTCTTCGGAGTGCAGCCTGTAGGGGACGGGTTTCAATTAGACTGACTAGAGGTCGTGGTGTTTGCTGTCCTAGAACATACGCGTTGATCTCATCTGTCGCATCCCTGCCCACCATGTGCTTGATTGGCTTTTCCCCTCCGGGATGATATCTGATGAATGGGTCTACTCTTAGGACACGGCCCTCGAATATTATGACATGTTTTCCTTCTGCTATGAGGCCTTCAATATATCGTCGAGTCAAGAGGGTGTCCTTCCGGGACGGTCGGGATGTGGTCTTCTCCATCGTAGGTGCGGTGAGAGGGATGTGCGTAGCGTTCGACAACAACGCAGATTTACAGTGACATTGCTGAAGGTGGAAGGAAACTCACAAAATGCATACAAAATGCAAATAAACAGAAGAAACAGAAGAAACAGGAATGGGATTGAAAAGGCAGAAACGTTGCAAGGGCTATGGGGCGGAGGTGGATAACAGCGGGGACTTGATCAGCCCATGTGATTGTCCATCTTTCACATTACCAACATACCTTGAGGCCCGTACATATTTTGACATGGCAGTGAGTTTCAGATATAAACTGGTTTTGTCTAGATTATTCTAACTGTTCTATAGCAATCAATTTCCTCCTTGACCGAGCAATGGCTCCAATGGGATCAGGTCAATACAAATTTGTTTCATCTCGTGGCATGATCCCGCTGACTCGGAGATTAGGATCCTGCGACTCGCGTGGAAATAGAGCAACTGCGGGACTCTAACGCCACCGAGGAGCTGGAAAAGCGCCTTCGGAATCGTATGTCCTGTTTTAATGCCTTGGTCAGGGCGTCTCTAATCTGTATACATCTAGGTATTGAGTTCGGAACAGCTGGTCTGCGAGGCCGCATGGCCGCGGGGTTCTCCTGCATGAACTCTTTGATAGTCATACAAGCCTCACAGGGGCTGGCCAAGTTCATCCGAGACAAGCGTTCTGAGATTGCTTCTAATGGTGTGGTCATCGGACACGATGCGCGTCACAATTCTGCGAAATTCGCTGCACTCGCTGCTAACGCTTTTATCGCGCAACGTATCCCTGTGTGGTTCTTCAATGAGGAAGGCCCGACGCCGATGGTAGCGTTTGGTGTCAACTATTTCGGCGCTGCAGCAGGTATTATGGTGACGGCGAGCCACGTAGGTCTACACTGAAACTATTTGTGGATGCATTGGCTAATCGGCTTGAAGAATCCACCCCAGGATAATGGTATGTTAATCATTTCTGACGTTGTAAAATAATGGCTAACTGTTTCATAGGCTATAAAGTGTAAGAATGTTGAATGTATATCATGGAGACTGCTGACAAGACCTCTCGTAGCTACTCAAGCAATGGCGCCCAGATCAACCGACCCGAGGACGGGGAAATAGCACAGTCCATTCAAGAGAACCTCGAGCCATGGCCGACCGCATGGGCGGAATTACAGCCAGGCGAATTCCTGCGCGCGGACTCCTACCAAGAATTGCTGCCTCACTACAGCAGCCAAGTCGCAAAGTACACGGTACGTTGTGGGCGCGACGTTTCAGGGAGATCAGCCTAACATGTTCACTCTAGAAATCTACGGTGGCTGATTGGCAACCACCGAGACCGTTCGTTTATACACCTCTACACGGTGTGGGAGGATTGGTTCTTCCAAATCTGTGCCGCTCACTTGGAATCAACGAATTTTCGTCCGTTGGTGCCCAGGAAAAGCCTGATCCTGACTTCCCCACTGTGAAGTTTCCCAACCCGGAAGAGGCTGGAGCCTTGGATCTTGCTATCGAGACTGCCGATCAAGAAGGAAAGACCTTGATCATCGCAAACGATCCCGACGCGGACCGCTTCGCCGTAGCGGAGAAAGTGGAGTAAGCCTTATTCCTTTCCCAACCGCTGTCGATTCTCCACAGCTAACGTGTTTTCCAGTGGGAAATGGCATACCTTGACCGGAAACCACCTCGGTGTACTTCTGGCGTCCCATATCTTGGATTCGTTCGACGCCAGCAAAAATTGGTCCCACATAGCGGTGTTGACCACAACGGTGTCAAGTGGAATGCTCGGAAAGATGGCAGCTGCAAAGGGGATTCACTTTGCGGAGACCCTGACAGGGTTCAAGTGGATGGCTAATGTTGCCAGAGACTTAGAAAAAGAGGGAAAGACAGTTCCTTTTGCATACGAGGAGGCACTGGGATACATGTTCCCATCTGTATGCTATGATAAAGACGGCATTACAGCAGCAGCGGTTTTCCTTGCAGCGGAGGCGAAATGGAGAGCCCAGGGATTGACTGCATATGCTAAGCTGCAGCAACTGTTCGGCGAATTCGGCCACCACGAGACCTTGAATAATTACTTCCGATCACCGAATCCACAACTCACCTCAACATTGTTCCAGGGCATTCGAGGCAGTCCAGGCCTCGCGAATATGCAGTTTGGTCGATTCAAGGTTCTACGATGGAGGGATTTGACCGAGGGCTATGACTCCAGCACCCCCGATAACAAGCCGGACCTACCTCAAGATCCTACAAGCCAGATGATTACGATGTGGTTGGACGGCGGGGTCCGCTTCACTTTCCGAGGGTCGGGGACGGAGCCCAAGGTCAAGTGTAAGTCTTGCCACTCTATTTCAAACGAATTGGTTACTGACAAGTGGACACAGTTTATATCGAGAGTTGTGGAGACTCCCGCGAAGACGCCGTCAAAGCAGTGTGCGATGCATTCCTCACTATTCGGGAAGAATGGGTACAGCGCTTTACACCTTCGATGACATACAGCAAGCAGCTTTCTACATCATCTGGTGATATTCTGAACGTTGAATGAAGACGCTCATTGGATCGAGGTAGGAAACCTGTCCCGTGAATAGCTCCAATAACCGTTATTGAATATGTATCACATATTATACCTGGTAACAAGGCGTTTTGTGGAATTGTGCTTCCCCAATCTTGTCATCTTAATCAATTATATCTGTTATCTTCGTAAAATTGAATACTGGAATTCGGATTTGGATGATGGTCTCGCTAATTGTGAGCCACCCTTCCGCAACGTCATCGGCGAAGAATTTCCCCCCGACGCGCCAGGCCTCGTTCAGGGCCTCGATCTCACTATTGGTACTATCCAGTCACGCCTTGTAACCGATCGGAGAGGTTTTAGGTCTTCGTAGCAATAGGGGTTTCGGAGGCAGAGAGAGTGTGATTGTCGGTAGCAATCCATGATGCTTGGTGAGGATCATCGACCCATCTCAAAGGATGAGATCAATGTTCATCTCTTCGGAACCCACCCCACTGTAGGTTTCTGCCGAGGTCTCCTTTAAGTGGGCCTGGGAGATGGCCGCTGCCTTCCGGAGCATCCACACCAGCAACCCGAACGGCTGCTCCGGAGCTGCCTGACGACCGACAACAGGAAATTCTGACCACTAGTAGATGTTAGAATCCCGAGTTCCTAACGTTGTGTTCTTGGCTGTCCAAGGTTCGAATCATGACAAATCTTCAAAAAATGCCAAACTGATGTAGTGTACGCCATCCCGTACACACCGTAGTTGTGCTTCTGGTCATTCTTGCGTCCCCGGTGGATTCATCCTTTGATACCAACTAGCTTTCCTAAAAAAGGTATGACACATATAGCGAGATACATACCCATATATCTCAGGAGTTCGAGGATTGGATACTGGGCTGGACTAGTGTTTTCATGTCGTGGCGAGACCAACTCCAAATACGAATATCATGGTAGAGCAAATAAAGCAACTAACCATAAACATGTGGATGATAGGACAAAAGCTACTCATTTTCAGCAGTTCGGTCCAATGCAGCCTAATATCCTGCAGCAAGCCATCTAACCTGACTTCTAAAGAGCCCATGGGTGGCACTTCCGAAGTAGCCAAACCGGATTACTCCATCATCGAGAGCCAGAATAGTTGTCCGCAAATCGCCGTCATGGGCGATATGATGGATTCTTTGATGCGCGGAGAAACATATTGTTGTGATCTGACGAGGTTGAAGTCCCACGATAGTGAAAGGTGTGCAGGTCGGAAAATTCTTTCTCGCTGGACTGCATTGTTCATTTGTGAAAGGGAAATTTTCAACATTCTTTTCAACATGTAACCCTACGCAGAAATAACCTCGTCGTGGGCGTAGACTGACTGCGTTGATTTGGGCTTGTTCGAGGAGAGTATGTGGCAGAGGTAGGAAGAGGTGCACCAGCCTGTCCGGGAAATTGCTAAGAGTCTGCTTCTAGCATAATAGCTAGAGCAATCCCCACAAATTCCTTCATGTCGTCAGCATTGGTTAGCTCTCAGGGGCCGTATTGGTTCATCTGTAGGAACCTGTGACTCGACAGCTTTTGCTGTTTGTTTTTGGATCCAGTATGCACAGATGTCCCAAGTGGTATGACCACTGAGCTACTCTCTGTGTAGGTGATACCCAGGTGAAAGGACACCACTGATCGAAGGTACATGCAGGTGGTTAGGCAAATTCTAGCCAAACAGTCACGAAATGACTTTCGGTCAGGTCCGTAGGCAACCTTCAGCGATGGGTGAAAATCTAGTGACTTTCATTCCAACTGCGTTAGCCTCATAGCCTTCAAAGACAAACACTTTGCAACATGAGCATTGGGATATAGGCTGATGAGATGCCCTGGATGCCTCACAGGAAGAATCTGAATGTTGTTGCGAGACAAGACAAGACAGCAAAAGAGCATTTTGCTCTAGGGAACCAAATGGCGGCATTGAATAGTATGATCTTTGGGGATTGTCGTCATTCGCCGGGCTCCAGGCTGATGGGATTGGTTTGTGAGCTGTTTGAATATATGTGATAAAGCTGTAAGGCCTAATGAGTGCTCACTGAGAGCTCAAGGATTGTGCATTGATTCTATTGCTTGGTTTTGTTCACGCGCTAAATGTGAACTTGTGGAGGGCCATATTTGAGTCCTCATGGCTCCACTTGCAGTTGCTCATACTCTACATATCGATGAGGAGCGTGTGCTTGACGCAACATGATTAGGCCATTAGTAATGCTTGGGTTTGGTATCGGGTGCCCTTTATATGTTTTTTCCTTTCTCACTTCTTGTAATCAAGCAATCATGCGCGTAGCACGTCCCCATACTTATCGGGAGGTCTTATGCCTTAATTCTAGCGCTAGCCACCTAATAAGGTGTTGAGCAATCCAACAACAAGCTTGGCGACAATGCTCAGTAAATTTGGATGATGACGAGGTCCATAAATCTCGGGGGATTCACATTGCCCGGAGATACAATTCCGACACAAATCAATATTCAAGGTTATTTTTGACTCAAAGTTGACATCTAGGCCTTCTCTGATACATCTTTGCTTCAACGGTCCCTAGCCGCTTTATGTGTCGGCATCTTTTTGATGAAGAGCGATGCCAACATCATGGCCCCACACATTGCACAATAGAAAATCCACATCGTGCTTAGGGCCGAAGCAGAGTCCTTGACACTCAGTGTCTTGTCTATATTTTTGTCTGCTCCATCATCACTCTCTAGCGTAAGTTTTCCGCCATGTAGGTTCTTCTGAAGCAGCACGGAGCCAATCACAATAGAAATGCTACTGCAAAGACTTCTCATGAATGATGATGCGGACATGGCCGCTGCAATATCGACCTGCTTCACATGGCTTTGTAGTGCGATCATTGGGCTTTGAAACAGCGGGCCAGCTCCTATGCTGACAATGATCTGGAAGATGATTATCTTGGGCCAATCGATCCCAAAGCCAAGACAGATAAATAGGCCGGTTCCCAAGGTCATGAAGCATGTCCCAATCCAAATGGGCCACTGGTAGTCTCCTTTGCGTCTGACATACCAGCCAGTGCTTATCGTAAAAACGGAAAGCGGCACGACCAAAGCAAGGAGGCAAACACCAGAAATAATAGCGTTGAAGCCCAATACCACTTGAAAGTAAAGAGGGAGGAAATAGTCGTATGAGATGAAGACGAAGCTGTGCAGACAGAGAACAGAAATAGAGGCGCAATTGGTTCGAGAGGACAATATTCGGCCTGGGATCAGTGGGTTTGTCGCGAAGCGGGCTTCATACAATATGAAGAGCCCGAGGATAACCACGCCAAACACCAACAGGCATATCACCATGGCACTTGCCCATGGGTCTCTTAATCGGAAGCACCGACCTCGAGACCATATAGTAAGCATACGGTACCGCCAATTATCAACAGAGAGCCAATCCAATCAAGAGACTTCAGGCCATCCATTATGGGTATCGTTTTCGTTTTCGATTTCAATGCGAAGAATAGCACACCGAGGGATAAGCCGTCAAAAGGAAGATTGATCAAAACTGCGAGTGGGTCAGTGACCAGCCACAGACAACAGAGCGCAAGATAGCTTACAACACCACCTCCAACCAATAGTTTGTGTAAAGACACCACCAAGAATAGGCCCGAAGCTGCTCGAAATTGCCCAAACAATACCCGTGAGGCCATAGTATTTGGCCCTGTCCTTTACCTCGAACATATCCCCAATAATGACTGTCACCATGATCAGGCAACCGCCACTGCCCAGCCCTTGTACAACTCGTCCGCCAATGAGCAATCCGACAGACTTTGTGAGGCCGCAAACCAAACTACCTCCTAAAAAGGCTAAGTTCGCAAGCATGATGATGGGTTTCCGGCCGAAGATGTTCGAGAGCTGGGCCCATATTGGGACGGAAGCGGTACTGGATAGGGTATATGCGCTCCCAATCCAGGCATATTCCGCGGTACTGGCGTTGACTTCCTTCGCAATTGTTGGAAGGGCTGTAGCCACGATCGTCACGTCGAGGGCTGAAAGGAATAGAGCCAAGCATAGTGAGAACATGACGCCTCGTCGGCGTAAGCGTCCCATGGTCGCGCCAGTGGGCTCGAAGATGCTGGTTTGGTCGTCGACTTCGACTATTTCCGTGTTCTTGTCACCTTCGGGCTCTTCATGATGAGGTTCCTTGGCGTCCATGATGAGGTCTTGCGCGAACAAAGCTCCCCACACCAATTGTTAGCAGGTGTCATGTATTCACCAAGTTTAGTGTTTTGGTAGTGATCTGCACTTGATTGAATTCGAACAGTTATATGCCCCAGAAGAAAATAACGGCCTGAGTTAACTGGCTTACGATTGAGCACCACTTGTTGAACCGAGCCGGTCGCGAACTGACCCGAGCCGATTCGGTTCACCCAGGCACGAGATACGAGCTGGAACCGAGTTGGGGGCCCTTTTCAAGTGTCTGTTAGGTCAAAAGCAACTAACTGGTCAAGGTTAGATCAGGGTCCCTTGAGCGCGCTTGGGGCTACAAGAGTTCGATCTGTTTACTTGGCCATTATCTCACGCAAATACCCATCTCCCTTGTTTCGATGTCCAGGCGACAACCGCCTTTTTGAACCAGCGGAAGACCAGATGACGCTGGAACTGATAGGGCCAGACGGAGCTTTAGAAGGAACCTTGCGACAATATAGTGAATGAGAGCCAGCCTTGTCAATAACCATTGGGATTGCGATGATGAAGCTAATAGTGGATCTTTCGAGGGAACACCTGAATATACATGGTGGGAAACGAAACATAACTTGAATTGTCAATACACCTATGTCAAGAGTTTTTGGCGAATCCATGCGGTCTAAATTCACAAAAAATCCAGAAACACTAGGAAGCGGTTCGTCATTATCTCTGTTCTCGACCATGGGAAATACTTGATAAGTCTGGACAACCCAAAATTACATATTTACTCGTCCACGGCGAATTTACCAGTGCGCTCACGAATCTTTTTACCCCATATAAACACAGGAATTCCAAGCAGCCCGATCGCGGCAGTCAAACCCCCAAAGGTGCCGAAATGCTCCATCATAGCCACTTCGGTCAATGAATGGGCTGATGCCATAGCTAACACCAAATGAGATAATCCCACGGAACGCACAAATAATAATCAACAGCGAGCTAGCTCGCTGCGGGTAACTGTCGAGCAGATATGTGATGGCTACAATATTCGCACCGACGAAGGTAAAATAGTAAGCAGCAACGGCCCAGGCGTAGACAAACCAGTGGTAAGATGTTGGATCGGTGGCACCGAGTCCATACAGTACTGCAGTGAATACACCGATAATAATGGGGAAGATGAGTGGTAGTAAACGAATTTCGGGCTCATGAATGCCGTTTCGTCTTTTGGCGAACCAGGCGATGAGCCTGTCTGAGCCGAAGCCGAAGACGGGCAGGGCTATTAGGGATGTGATTATTTGGCCACAGTTGATGTAGCTTGCGGACTTTTCCGGCCAGTAGTACGACGAGGTGAGAATGGTTCCGTAGGTGGTGCCAATGGCGATGTTGACACCCAGAGTGAGGCCATTCAATGCCATAGCCCAAAGAACATTGGGGAACAAAAGCAGTTGAAAAGTTTGCTAGGCGAAGCTTTAGTCTAGTGTAGCTCTTGTGTGAAGTTTTCAAAACTCACGAAGAATGTTTTCATTCCCATGCGCCACTCAGGCGAGCCAATCCAAAGCCGAAGATCGGATCGCCAAGTACGAGCCTCGTAGGTGACAAAGTCAAGGGCAGGCCTGTCTGTCACCACTTTGTGAGTGCGTTTGGAGAAGTTTTCATCCGACTCTTCTCCCACGCCTTCAGTCGACTTGTTCTCTTGAAAGGAGGATCGTGGGCGGAAGTACTTTGTCTCGGGGACGAAGACGAATGCCATCACCAAGGAAACCCCGGAAAGACAAGCACCAAGCCCATACCACCATTCAGGTGTTATAGCTCCAGCGATTGGACTGGCGAAGAGAACCAAGACAGCAGTTGCGATCGTCTGAATTGTCTGCTGAACCATGAGGAACGTGCCCCTTTCGTGAAGAAAAAAAGATTTCCTAGAGTTACGGAGCACGGTCAGTTTTCGCGCTCTGCTAGGCATAGGAGACTCAAAGTGGATTATTGCGCTTACCTGAGTGATCATGGGAAACAAGAGCCTCACTCTGGCCAGCAGCGAGGCCAATAAGCATACGCGCTCCGAGGTGCCACTCGAAGTTTGTTGCAAACGCACACAATATAGCACCAACGAGCATAATAGCAGTTGCGACGAGGAGAACAATGCGACGACCCACTGCTATGGCTATCGGCATCCCAATCAAGTTGCCGATGCCCCTAATTATCATTAGGCGAGGTATAGAGATGGACAGGAACTTCACTCACATAGTCAGTGTAGGGTAAGTCATGAGAGAGGTAATGTCGGCATATGTCTTGCCAGCAGTTACATATCCAGGGATGTAAAAGGCAAGTAGGCCGCCAAATCCGGAGACGATGCACAACCCGATGGTCGAGACTAGACATGTTAGTCTGCCTCTACAAAACCATGTCATCAACAGGAGAATGTTCACATAGGGATATGGCAATCAGGATCATTGTCTTCCGCCATCTTGGCATGTTTAGTGGATCTGCACACCCACGGTCAAAAATTTGTGAGAGAACAAAGGTGTGTGGAAAGCAAACAAACCTCGAGGGTCACTCGTAGGGGTCGGTATATATACAATCGTCCCTGCAGTGAGCTGGACAGTTCCACTCACGTTCACCTTGGACTTTGTCACATAAATCTCCTCACCATCGTCCTCAACGTCGATATTCTCAACTTGCTCAATGGAAGAGGTTTTGGCCATGGTGTTCGCACGTTGGTGTATTCAATAGCACGGGTGTAGAAAAACTGGCATATCACCAGATCTGGGTGGGAAACGGCACAGGAAAACGAGTCAACGACGTGGTGTTTATAGTGCCCTCCGGTGATGGAGGCGCTAGGGCCATTGTTATTGAAAGGGAGTTTGCTGGTCTCCTAGATGATACGATGACCATTTAGTGACTCTGATTCGATGAAGATAATTTTCCCGTTGGGAACGTCTGCGCCCGCCCACTTGAAATTGGAAACAAATCCCCCGCAATTTCCTGCCTCGGACCCCGTGGGGGATGAGGAGGAGAGCCCACCGTCCACCCGGGCCGAGCAGGCGAATACGGGATCCAAGTTTCAGGTCCCCAGTGGCCGTGAACTCTGCCCGCCGTGGCCCATTTCAGACAGGCCGCATGATGGACTGCACTTAAGTGCAGCAGTATGAGTATTTGCTTCTGTATAGGTTCTGGTCGATGATGAAGCGTTAGGTAAATCGTTTGGTATTGGAGAATCTCGTAGCGTACATAAATTGGATACTGTGCTCATAACGCAGTGCAGTGTCTATTTTTTGTAAACGAACATAAGGATGCTTATTGTGTATCTTCATAAATTCATAGTAGCTCTATTCAAAGACCACGAGAAATACTAAAAAGCCATATTTGAAGTAGCTGAAATAGGACGTTATAGACGATGACTGCATTTCCCGTTCGGAACAGAGTCTTATGTACATCTGACCCTTCTTTCAGTAAGGCTTAACACCTGCAAGCTGAAGTACCTGGTCGGTAACAATTGGTTTCTCAAATGGCTCCGTTCTGTACTTGGGGCAAACCTCACCATTGCGCATAGGCTTTTCCTCGGCTGGACGAATATTGCTAGAGAAACATTAGTTGTTCATGCTTGAATTAGGTTCAAGGAAGGGTGGACTTACCAATGCGGCCAGTGAGTGGTGCCAGTAAAAGTCTCAAAGCATTGTGCCTTTGCTTTCAAGGCCTCTTCATCGGCAAACTTCCTTGGCGTCATGCAGATATACTGCACATGGCGAATCTGATTGCCCTCGGGCAGACAAGCATAGTGCATAGTTCGAGAATCCCAAAGGACAAAATCGCCAGGCTCCATGTTAATCTTGACTAGCTCACAGCCTCGCTCTTCGAACCACTTGATGTCTTTCTCGCTGAAAAGGAACAGGTCCATGTACTGAATCTCCGGGGGCGGAGCGTCTTCGTGGTCTGCGGACTCACGCTTATGCTCGAAGAATTCATTGAATAGATTAGAAGACCCCTTCATGAGCATTAGACCACCGTCCTTGGGGCCGTTGGGCGCATAGTTGAGGAGTCCTTGGACCGCTTGCATACTGTGTATATCATCAGAAAACAAATTCTTGAGTTCGAGGGTTTGACTTACCCCTTGCGCTCCGGGTTCTGGTCGCAGTGAGGCCAAGGGCTCCAGTTCAGATCTGTCCGGTTGGGCAAGGAGATGTTCATGCCATCGAAAGAGGAGATTAGCTCCTTGGTACCCCAGAGTCTCTCAAATGTCTCGACGACCTTAGGCTCAGTCCGGGCCTCCCAGGCCATCCTTTCATGGGTAGAGCCATAAGCAAAGTACATGCCACCTTTGAAGCTGACAGGAAGGTGCTCAGCCGTCCAAGTGCTAGGATCCTTTTCATCGAAGCCAAGTTCGAAGTTCTTCAGCCATTGGATCTGTTTGTCGCAGTAGTACTGGGCACGTTCAGGGGAGATAACATTCTTGATCAAAACACAGCCATTCTTGTGGAACTCGTCGCGCCAGTCGCCATAAACTGCATTCTTGTCGAACGTAACTAAGTCTTTCGTCTCGAAGCGAGTGGCAACCGTGCGTTGCTTAGTCTCAGCGGTGGTGGACATGGCTATTGTTTGTTTCTTTTTGGAACTTAGAGATAATTTAGGAGGTCCTTGCTCTGTGAGTTTGAGTGAGATATCTGCGTCAAGGCTTTATGTGTTGGTCAACTGGAGTTAGGAAGTAGAAAATCATTGTGACACTCGGTTCGGCTGGGCTTCGGCTCGGTTCGGCCGTGGATCCCCCACAATTCGGCCCCGGCCAATGCTCTCCGGTGCTGGTATAGTTGATGTTTCAAAGAGCTTGGGTGGGGGAGGGAAGTGGGGAGTGGGGGATATGCGAGACGTGCGAGCCGAGCACGAATATTTCTCCCTCCGATGGATACCGGCTGAGACCCCCACCTTACCGTGGTAACGGTCTCAGCGACTCCACGCGATGCGATGCAGTTTTCTGCCGTGTCCACTTTGATGTGTATGGGGGGTTTATATGTTTACTTTCTCTTTTTATCTCGTTACTTAACTCCGTGGATAAAATCTACTCCTTGCGCTTTCATTCACCCGTCAACAATCTCCTGTCATAGTCTATCACAGCGATGCCTATCCCATATCAAGTCGCCTTCAAGCCACTGACCAAGCCCGAAGTCGGTGTCAATGGCTATGTCGAGCCTTCTCCAGGAAAATCAGAGGTCATACCCAAGGGCTCTGCGCCATACAATGCCAGAAAACTTGAATCCGACGTTCGGATCGACCATGATGTCGCTATCACCGTTCGAGACGGCTGCCAACTCTACGCTGACATCTACCGACCAACGAGCGCCGAAAAAGTACCTGTGATTATACCATGGTCCCCCTATGGCAAGAAATACTCCGCGCTTGAGATGATTTTCAATGTCTGCACTTGGGCTTGTTGTCTGGAGCGCGGTGATTTAAGTGGACTGGAGAAATTTGAGGGCTTGGACCCGGCTTGGTGGGTGGCGCGAGGCTACGCTATTGCCAGCGTTGATGCCCGCGGAGCTGGTAACAGTGATGGCGATACGTGCTGTATGGGGTTGCAAGAAGCTGAAGATGCACACGACGTGATTGAGGGTCTCGCCAAGCTGGCATGGTGTAATGGCAACGTCGGCATGGCGGGTAATTCATATCTCGCTATCATGCAATGGCACGCAGCCGCTCAAAACCCGCGATCGCTCAAAGCTATTGCCCCCCTGGGAAGGATCTGGAGACATCTTTCGGGAGCAATTCTGTCGAGGTGGATGGTTCAACATGAGCAATTATGATCTGATCACCACGCTGGTCATCAAGGGAAATTCCGGGGTTGAGGACATTGCCGAAATGTATCGCCGGAGCCCACAATCCAACGTTTACTGGAACGACAAGCGGGTCGACATGACAAAGATCAACATCCCATGCTTCATTACCGGATCTGACTTCAGCCAAATTCACACCATGGGTGCCATTCGCGGATGGATGGAAGTCGGCACGGACAAGAAGTGGATCAAATGGAGTGGTTACCAAGAGTGGTTTGAGCTTTACGCGGTACCCGAGAGCTACCTAGAATTGAAGGTTAGAATCTAATTCTCCCTTTTCCCAGACTTTGCGATAAAGAGATTTGTTGACCACGAGCAGGAATTCTTCGACAAATACCTCAAGGGTATTGATAACGATTGGGAAAAGACACCCAAAGTACGCTGGACAACTCTTCCATTTGGAAACAAAGATGTCACCAGCGACATAGTCCTCCCCGATTTTCCCGTACCAAACACCGATTACCGTACCCTATACCTTACCTCAGACGGTTGCCTCTCTCCTGAACTTCCGAGTCAAAGTGGTACAGCTGTGCACAACTCGGAAGACCGATGGTCTGTCTCAAAGTTCAAGTATACCTTTACGCAGAAGAGCCGGCTCCTTGGCCTTCCCAAGATAGAGCTCTTCATGAGCTGTATGGAGCTAGATGACATGGTCGTATTTGTGCAGCTACGTAAGCTCAGCAAGGAAGGCAAAGAGCTCGGACAGCTACAATTCCCCTTCGATCGTGCACCGGTCAATTCCATGGACGAAATTGCGGAGAAAGACAGAGTGAGTTTAACAACCCATCTTGGCTCCATCGGCATTCTGCGCGCTTCGCAGCGAAAGATCGATTCGAACCGCTCCATACATCCCCAGTTTCCCTTCCACCCCCATGATGAAGTCCAAAAGGTACCGAAGGGAGAGGTGGTAAAGTTGGAGATTGGTATCTGGGCTATGGGTGTCGACTATGAGGAGGGTGAGAGTGTTCAAGTGGATATTCTGGGCCAGTACCCAGGTTTCACTGAGGTTGCAGCGTTCTCTAAGCCTAGACCTGACTACGAGATGAACAAGGGGGAGCACACCGTCCACTTTGGTGCAGAGTTCCCTAGTCGAGTCATTCTCCCTTTTGTGCCACTATAGTGTTATCTGCTCTTGAAAAATTTATTGGTCGCGTCTACTGGCGTTTCAAACTCAATCTCGATTGCGTCATGTAGAACTTAGAACTGATCAAGTTTTAAGATATCATCCCCAGGGTATGAATGTGGAGTTGTCAAAAAAGCACCTGTATCGGATTAAATAGACTAGGTAGTGCATTTAAATGTCGAATCCGCTCCATCAAAAATCCCAGTGGAGTGCCATTCATATGTAAAATTGTCTTGATAGGCTGCGCCACGATCAGTATGTACAGTTTACCTAAATAGGTAATTGATGACTGATGTTTACACAACCTTCCAAGGTTGGAAACACTTGACCCGAAACGACAGACTTCGGCTCGGGTACACAAAATCCGGGGAAACTGCGGGGGAGACGAAGAGACGTATCGATAGTACGCATGCGCTGGCGCGATGATCTTGGCTGGGTGTATGGTAATCTTGGTATTGTTTCTTCGGGACCACTTCCTTCAAAAAAAGAAATTCCCCGGCTCGGTTCGCCAGCTTTTCGCTTTCTCTCTACGATCCCGCAAGTCGTCTTCAATGCCATTACCAAGCCATTTCGGTCTTCCCCGGTCAAATGAGACCCCAGTCCATGCCAAACAGGGACCCTCGGCAGCTAGCGGAGCTTCTACCCAAAACAAACCGGTTCGAGTGGCTCTTGCCTGTAACCAGTGTCGAAAGCGCAAGGTTCGCTGTGACGCCCATCAGCCGAAATGCCGGAACTGTAGGGTCAGGGGGGAGTTATGTGAAACGTCAGATCCCCGAAAGCCGGAAAATAGCTCTGCCGTTCGCCGCCGAGCCACCAAGCGCTGGCAGTCGAAGGTTCGGCAGGACGTGGCCCAGGCTATCCCACCAGTCCATCACTCGCCAGCGACTGTTGGTCCAGTGCCAGTTGCTCCAGATGTAGTGAGCTCTATTAATTCAGTGCTGACTCCGACCGTCCCTACCGCAGACCACCTGGTGGGTCAAGCTTCGGCGGATGTAGGACGCATGTCGAGGAGCTCCGCCATACCCGGATCATCAGTGAGCACAGATGTCGTATCAACGCGTACGAATCGAAGTGAGAGGCTAGGGGAAGATCACCTTTCATGGCAGTCCAGGGCATACCAGGAGAGCACTGCTGCTCAAGTGGAAGAAGCTACACATGGGCATAGTATAACTGAACTGGGTGGGGCCCAAACACCCGTGACACCAGATGTTGGTGGCAATGCAGATGGTGCAGCGGGCAGAACTAAGGTTGGTGTTGTTCGTATCCTTTGTGTGATTTTAACACTAGGTCTAATTGATTATGTGCAGCACATTGGCGCCAGTAGTGTGCACTGCCTCTTTAACTTTGTCGATCTGCATCTAGCAAGGTACGGCTTTAGCCAGGCTACCCCATTATTTGAACATGGCATGTTACATACTGAGGAATTTCCTATGCCTCTCATACCCAAGCTACCGCTTTTGCCAGATTGCCAAAGCCTGTCCACATACGTGGACATCTTCTTCTCGCGATTTTGGCCAATCTACCCGTGATCGATCAAGGCAACTTCGAAGCAGAGATTAGAACTATCCGAACCATACAGGCAGCCAGCCCCGAAAGCTGGCAAGAAAGAGTTACGCTGGCTCATGTACCTGCTCTTGTTTCCGCTTACGCAATTATTTCGCTTGGCACGAACGAGACATCCGAAGATCTAGAGCTGAGCTTCGACTATCTGACAGCTAGCCACAGTCTTCACGGACATTTGACTGCCATACCTTACTTGACAAGCGTGCAATCGCTATTTCTCTTGTCTCTTGCACTCAGGGCTGCTGTAAAAGACTGTCAGGCGTGGAATATCATCGGCCATGCAGTCCGCATGGCCCAGTCTTTTGGGCTACACAAATTACATGCTTCTACTTCTGCGGAAGGCCTCACGGCTGGCCCCGAGCCAGAAACCCTTCCCGAACGTGTTTGGTGGTCCTGCTTTGCTCTAGAGAAGCTCATGCAGCTAGAGTGCGGAAGACCATCTATTCTCGACAGAAGCTATGACTCACTCTATTTCTACTTCCTTGTCGACGAAGTGGCGTGTCACGTTCTCCCGTACTTCAAAGCATGGATTGCATTGAGTAGCATCATGGGTCGAATATCGAACCGTCTATACTCGCACAGATTTCAGGGCGGATCCGCTGAAATGCTCGGCGAGGTCATAAGACTAGACCAGGAGCTATTGGGGTGGGAAAAATCCCTGCCAGATTCGCTCAAGCCTTGCAACACAACTACCGGTTATACCGGAGACGATCACAGGGTCATTTCAACCTTTCTTTCCCAACAGTACTATCACGTAAGTCTTCCCCAAAGCTCGGGGAGCTTTGTTAACCAACCCGCAGGCGCAGCTCAGTGTGATGCGCTTTGCGATCATCTTCCCACAGAAAAGCATCGAGATCGAAGTGATCAAGAACAAGGACAAGCTACCAAGCCACCCTCGACTCTTAGATGGCGCATCAATCTGCGCCAATGCGGCAAGATCAATAGTGACACGGTCGCTTCAACTAGCTGATATGCGTTTACGATCGACGCTACTCGCAGCCCCTCCTACCTACTTGGCCGCGGTAGTCCTCACTCTTGGTGTCCTGAGGCAGCCTAAGAGCAGGCTTGTTAGATCTGACGTTGAGCTTCTGGCCTCTGCTACTGAGTTTGTAGAGGCCTGGTATCTTTATCGTGGATTTGGGCTCGCCGTTACCCAGACATGGACTCAGCTGCGGGAACGGATGGTTTCCATCTTTCAGCGGCAGGACGGTAGCATTCGAAAACCCTCCATGGAAAGCTCAGCTGAGTATGGGGTCGAAACGATGTCGGGGCAGCGCCAGCGACCGGGCGTCATAGGATCGAATGACCACCCATTACATTCGGGTGACCAGGTTTCACGACGTAGCCTTCAGGAGTTGGAAGCAATCGATGCGACCAACCCCAGTGCAGATCCTTTTGGAAACTTTGAATTTAATGACCTATGGAATATGACAGAATTGGACTTCGGGGCCTATGACGAGTATTCAGTCAGTGCAAAATAGTGACAAATCGATCGTCAACGATGGTCCGTCATTGAAAGTGCTGTGCCATTTTAATCTTTTTTTCTTTTTTTTCCCCCGCAAAGCATTTCAGATATTCCTGGAGGCAATGCGGTTCACGGCTAGTAGAATACCAGCGGCTATCTAGGCGGATGCGTAGGAATCGCAGCATATTCCCATAGGACCAAGGTTTCGGGATGCAGAGATACTGGGAATCATTACTGACGCAGAATGGCGTTGGTGGATGAGGGGGACCAGCATCACATGAAGCCAAGACCAGCCTTTTCTTTCAAGAGATGTCGGACTATGCAATGATGATTGAACGAACATTGAATGCTTTATTCTGACTGGAATGCATTACAAAAACAAAGGGCATCATGACTTATGACCTACTTGATCTATATCAAGCAGAACCCACAAGCTAAGCCTTGATATAAGGAATACCAGTGAGCTTAAAAGCTCTCTCACTCAAAACTGGGTCATTCAGTGGCTTGGAACGATTATGAGCATCCTCCTTCCCGTCCCGCTGGGCGACATTGGACCCAGTATGCTTCGCATTCGGCCAGTGCGTAGTACCAACACGACGATCAAACGCTTCTTTCTTGCGCAGTAGGTCGTCTTGGGTCGCGTCTGCAACAGGCATAAAGCAGGTATAGACGGCAAAGCGTGGCTGGTTCTTCTTCGGACTCAGGTTGTAGTGAGGCGTGCGTGAGTCCCAGAGAAGAAGATCACCAGGCTCGGCGCTGAGCTTTTCCCACTTGCAGCCGTGGTCTTCGAGCCATTTCATGCCGCGCTCGGTAAAGCCATACCATTCAGGTGTCCAGGCTGGAATTCTTTCTTCGTCGGCCATCGCTCTGTGAAATTGTTCGGATATGAGGTGGCCGCCTCGGCAGACGATCAATCCGCCGTCTTCTGGGCCGTTGGGAAGCAGGTTCACTAGTCCTTGCATGCAACGGAAACCATGCTTCTCAGGGTCCTGGTCCTGGTGTGGCCAGGGCTTGTTGGGAGCAATGTCAGTACGGCTAACATGGCATTAGCATACTGAACTATATGTGAGAAGGTCAACGTACTTGGGGAACTGGAAATTGATGGCATCGAAGGACACAATAAGATCCTCGTCATCGTAGATCTTCTCGAAGGCACTAACAACTCCAGGCTCACTTCGAATATCCCAGACAAACTTCTCATGAGGAAGGGCGTAGTGCAGACACATGCCCTTCTCATTGATCAGGGGAAGTTTGTCTTTGTGCACACTAGACAGATCATTTCTGTCAAATCCCAGTTCACTACATTTTTTTGGTCAGGCTTTTCCGGTAAAAATATTGCTCAAGTATAACTTACAAGCCCTCTAGCCAGGAGTACATCTCATCGGCATACTTCAAAGCCTTTTCTTTGGGAATAGCGCCTTTGACGATGGCGAAACCATCTCTGGTGAGGTCATCTCGGAAATCTCCAAAATGCCTATCGGTACCATCAACACGCATGCGACCAAAGCCATGCAAGTTTGGGTTGACCTGGGCGGTCTCAACGGTGGTTGCAGTAGTAGACATGAGGAGACTTGGTGATAACAGTGATTAATGAAACTTCAGCGTACCAGCTCCTTAAATGATTAACCGTTTTCAAGAAATCCCGTCTCACCACCACTGCCCACATGCAGTATCCAGCAAGTTACCAAGTAAGATTTGATTACTTCGATTGGTCCCCGGCTAATCAACAATGGGTTGCCGCAGTGTTCGGAAAGTGGAGGTGGGGGAATGGGGGACACGGGGAAATGGGGAAACTCAAATGTGGTCTTTGGTGGAATGGTAGATAATCAGAGTGAGGTGCCCAGGTGCCGAAAGTATCCACAATAAACATTTGAATTATGGCGCCGTTTCGTATCGTCATCGTGGGCGGTGGTATTGCAGGCTTTACGGCTGCCATTGCCCTCCGTGGACATAACAGACATATCACAATTCTCGAACAGTCGACCTTAAACAAGGAGATTGGTGCTTTGATCTCTTTGCAACCAAACGCATCGAGAATCGTGGAGTCCAAGTGGAATTTGAGCGAGGAACTCTTGGAGGCACGGCAAATGGTGGACGAAGGGTTCCGGATATACAACACTGAAGGACATCTCGTCAGCACTATACCTTTACTGACAAAGGAAAAGTATGGGGCGGAACGCCTCCTGTTTCATCGCAGAGATCTTCATGAGACATTGAAACGTGCAGCTGTCTCACCCACACGGGCAGGAGATCCAGCCATTGTGCGAGTTTCGTCAAGAGTTGTTGACTGTGATGCTCTAAAAGGAACAGTCACTCTGGAAAGCGGTGAAATAGTCGAGGGCGACTTGATTGTTGGTGCAGATGGGATGTAAGATGTGAATCTCCTTGAATAAGTACTAAATGCTAACATGAATGTTGTTTAGCCATAGCATGCTTCGAAAACATGTACTTGAAGAGACGGTCAGTCCCGTGCCGACCGGTCACTCTGGTGAGACTTATTTGAATAATATTCTGTGATTAATTTAGCTAATCGCCAATAGCATATCGCCTGATGGTTCGTTCCATGGCTCATCATATAACCAGCGAAGCTGATGTCTCTAGATACCCACAGAAATTCTTAAAAAGGAAGAACCTGACTTCTGTGCTAAGATCAATCCCCAGGAACCTTTCACGTCAATGATCGTCGCTCACGACTGTCGTCTTATTATGGGCCCCGGAAGGCAAGGCGAGGTTTATGGGGTTGTCGCTTTAGTACCGGATGGTATGTACCATTAATCTTTTTGCGGCAAAACTAACAATGAACATAGACCAAATGACCGAGAATTCTTATGCAAAACAGTCTTGGGTTGCAGAGGGAGACTTGAAAAGGATGATGGAGACTTTTGCCGACTTTCCGTCCTGGGTCAAAAATATCTTCAAGTATGATCTCAAGGCCTCTCTCTCTAGCTTTTTTTAAGAAGCCTGCTCACATTTTATAACAGACACTCGGCCGATCTGGGACTTTGGCAGCTACGGGATCTTGTAGGGTCCTCTATCAGATATTTCGTACTACACTAACAAGTACAGGACCCTTTGCAGACGTGGCACCGTGGCCGTGTACTTATCATTGGTGATGCCGCACATGCCATGTTACCGACACAAGGCCAGGGAGCCAGTCAAGCAATCGAAGACTCTGAAGCTCTTGGAGCATTCTTTGAGGAGGTCGTTGAACAACCGTCTTTAGAAATTCTTACAAAAGCACTTGAGGTAAGAAGCCCAGTAAAATGGCCATAGCCCGGTATTTACCTAAAGGAAATGCAGGACATTTTCCAGACACGCTATGCGCGTGCCTGTCTGATCCAGGCATATAGTCGGCAAGCAGCAAAGCCAGCAACAGCCCATGGAAATACAGTAGTCACAATGTACGTATGAGAACGGCCCTTGATTCAGCATAGACTAACTATCTAGGAAACCGGATGAATTTATGGACTTCAACTGCGGATATCGCGGGGCCAAAGAATGGAACATTAAAGAATAGTGAGAATATGATATAGTTATTGACAGCAAATTGTTTCTTGAATGTATTGGAAAAAGGTAAACGGATACGACAACGAAATTAGCAAATAATGTTATTCCCCTAGACACTGTAAAAGGACAAATGCCTACATAGTGAAGAGGGGAACGGAACGCTCAAGGCTGTATGCTCTACGGCATACGGGTCGATTCAGCACTCGGAGTTTGGCTTCATGCCCAATCTTGCATACAAAAGGACCCAGGAACACTGTCCAAGAAGTGGATTCAGAGAGGTGTAGGAGTGTGTATTATCGATCTGTGTCTATCTGCTACTTGTAACCTCAAAATTCCAATGCTCGCTTACATAACGCATGAACAACATAAAGCAAAAAGGCGACCTCGGGAGTGTGATGCGCGCTGATCGTAGTGGAGAGCATATCTCCCACTACAATAGGTACATACCTAGGTATCTCTGGATAAACAACATTTCCCCGCAAATGTGGAGTTGAGACTGGAGAGATTCGCATATAGCTCTGACCCTATTGGACGTTGAGTTGCCCAGGCCCGCAAAACAATCCTGTCCCGCCCATATAAACGGCACTAAGCCTCGACCTCCCCAATTCTCTGGTGCCTCGTGTCCAAAATGCGAACCCCTCGGCGCTCCTCCCGGGGTAAATCTTCCACCCATCACTGCCTGCACTGCGGTAAAGGGTATGAACGACCAGACCATTTGACGCGTCATTTAGACTCCCGTGAGTGTCTCTATTACCTAGGCAGATACTTGGCTGACGAAGTTTTGAGATCGCAACGAGAGAACATATCAATGTCGGATTTGCCAGCGCGGGTTTAATCGCAGGTGAGTCTAGGCTGTTCCAGACTAGATGGCTAAGCTTATGGAGTCAGAGATGTTCTCCAGCGACACCAAGCAGTCCACGAAAAAGATGAGAACGAGGGCAAGAAAACACCGCGTCGTGCGCGAGAGCGAGCGATCGAGGCTTGCGACGCTTGCGCGAAAGCCAAGTTAAGTTGCGACAACGAAAGACCGTGTCAGGTAAGGATGTTTGGCCCCCGACTTGGTCGCTTGTTAATTGCCACAGAGGTGCCAATCAAAGCGGGTTGAATGCGTTGCAAAACGCTCTCGCCTCAGCGAATATAATAGCGCTTCATTTCCTCAATTCTCTCCGATGACTACAACGCCAGATTCGAGGCCCTCAGATTTCAGTGTACCCCCTACAACAGAGTACTCCGGCGGCCATGAAATTTATGACGCCAATTTCGCACATGATCTTGCCCTGGATCCATTTATTCCTAGTACCGTGCCAGTATATCCTGATCTCAACAATTTCCCGGCCTTTTTTGAGCAGGTTATGCTACCAAACGTGGAAGTGGAACTCCGACAAGAAACACAGCAGCCTCGTGGCGTGTTCGACTTCATGCTTGATACAGATTTCATTTTCCCTGAAAATGATGATCTCTTTGACACAAACTTCATGCCCGATCTTGATCGAATACTAGAGACTGGGCCCTCCATCTGCGGATCTGAAGATTTACAGAATCCTCAACTTGGTGATCATGGATCGGCCAGCAGGCGAGCAGCTGCATTTCGGAAATCCTTCTGGTATGTGGAGATCTTGCGAATGATATTGATGTAGTAGCGGTCTTCTAAGCTTCATAGGCTATGGGTGCCAGAGAAGAACCAGCATGCGTTCAGTGAAGAGGGAAGAATCCCTCTCCGAGATGGGGATACAATCTCACCAAACCATCGAAATAGACTTCAGTCTCTCCAAATACCTGGAAAACTGTCTATGCAATCACGGGATGATATCTTTAAATTGGTTGTGCGAACAGCCGGCTCTCGGCTTTCGGTTTCCTCTTTTCCTTCTGCTGAGTATCTTGACACGCTGATCAAGATCGGTATTGGGAAGCGGACAGAGACAGATGCATGGATTCATCCGTACACCTTCTATGACCAGAAGTTGAGACCTGAATTGTTGACTGGTTTAGTCGCAGCAGGATGTGTGTGCTGTGGATTGGCGTCTATCAACAAAACTGGGATCGTTCTACAGGAGATTACCAGAGTATCTCTAGCACAACTTGTATGACTTGTAGCTTTGGAGATAGTTTGACTATTGGCTAACCATTTTCTTGTGCTAACAGGTTGAGGAAGATAACAGTGCCTTGCGCGATCTTCAGTGGTTACAAGCCTCAATGCTGTGGTTGGATATCGGCATCTTCTGCGGTTATCGACGAAAAATGCAAATAGCAGAAAGCTATCTACAACCGCTGTGCACTGTATGTGCCTTAAAGAACAGACTATGCTCTGAGCTAACTTCATAGGCTTTTCGACGTGCTGCGGCATTTGACAGATCCACATACTCAACCGTAACACCTTATATGGCTGGCGATGATGAACCGTCTTTGAATAATGTATGGCATGAGTGGGTAAGACAAGAATCACTTAAGCGGTATGTATCAATCTTCAACCTGTCGAATTACGTTGCTAACAGGACCAGGCTGGCATATCATCTATTCGGCCACGATGTAGAGGTTGCCATGGCTATGAACCGCCCGGCTCTTACTTCATACACCGAGCTAACATTACCGTTCCCTGCTGCAAGAGATCTCTGGCTTGCACCAACAGCTACTGCATGGCGAGATCTTTGGAATACAAAGTATCGTTTTGTCGAAGTATCGCACTTCAGTTTACGGGATTTATTATCTGATCCATCCTTAATGACGCATGTACCTATGGAGATGGACGTCGATATTGCGAGAACTGCACTATTACAGGGAATGGGTAATCAGGTGTGGGATACTCGTCAGCAGATGGTTTTATCTCAGGGGTCAAAGCCTGAAACCCGTGCTATGGCTCGACTGTGGCTACAAAGCAGACAAGATGATCTGTATGTTTACTATTGACCCCTCTTGAGACTTTTATGCTAACTGGCCAAGGTATACTACCTTAAAGTCCATACCTGAGAACCCACCGGCACCTCCACCCGTCACAACATTACTGAACGAGTTTGTAATGATGTACTTGCACTTCGATTTTGATGCCATCCAACGGTTTGTAGGTACGCTTGGGGAGCTGGATGCCCGCCGAGCATACCCGGGCCTTCGAGACTGGAGCCGTACAAAAGAAGCACGCATGGGCATCTGGCATGCCGGTCAGACTTTGCGGGCCGCACGGACTGTCAAGTCCTATCAGCTACGTGGATTTGACGCTATGACTATCTACCACGCTGCTTTGGTTTTGTGGGTATACGGGCTTCTTCAGTGTGGAGAGTTGAAGCGGCTTGAAGCCAAGACACCAATGAATGAAACTGACTTGCCACCATGCGTGTGGCTTGATGGGCCAGAAGATATGGCGACGAAAGCGTTCTTGTGTCATGGAATTGGTCGCCCGGGTCTGACAATGACCCAAGGTGGTCCCGACGGGGATACTCCAATGTTCTGTGAGCTAAGCAAGCCACGATCTGTCATGGCTGTTGCTCGGCAGGTCTTTGAAAACAATTGCCCTTGTTCTTTTCCCGAGGACCGTCTGCCACCAATGATCCAGAACCTATGTGAACTAATAGGGGATTTGGGGAATCTTCCATAATTAAGAAATAATAATGTACAGTTTGCGAGTCGACTAATAAACTAAATCAAGTAGTATCTTATATAAGTTTCATTCCCCGTTTGCCGAAGTAATATCTTGAGCCAATGGGCGAAGCCCCAACGCCCGCCCTCGGCAATTGTGGGGAGTCGAGATTTTGACCAGCTGCAGACTTGCGAGCTGGGATAATCTATCAGCCGCTGAACATATGCCCATGGGGCTGCGGGCGAGATGAGCTAAATTAAATGGAAGTTGCACCCTCAAGTGCGAGACGTCGTTATCCCTCTGGCCCACATACTCCAGCCCGGAAACAAAATAGGCCCGGGATTTCCGTCCAGCTCATTAATCCAACCTTGCCAGGGGGTGCTCACACAGGCTGTTGGTTCATTGGTTGGGGCCACAGCACGTCCCACTCACCCTAGGTACTGAATATATGTCTTCAAGCCCTCGGTCTCTCTTCGAAGCTTCACATACTAAGTTCGAAGCATTGTGCACCCAGGACCTGGGTTATCTAACTGATCGAAGATATGGAAGTGTGATGAAGCAACTCAGCCGGTCTCCACCAACCTGGGGTCTATGGCATGACCCAGTATGAATATGCATGGTCTTGCTTGTATTAGTACCAACTATTATGTATGTAAGATTCAGTTTCAGATGTGGTTATCCGAGACAGCAGGCATGTAGCAAACAGAATAATGCAAGGCTATAACCTGCAGGGCAATCGAAAATATCATCCAATTATTGATCTTCAATTCCGGAAAGCGCAGTACGACCTGAAGCAAAGCTATCAAACAGCATTTTGCAAACAAATTCAAAACTTGGATTTCAAAATTGAAACTGGTCACCTTCCCCCAAAAGCCATAACTGAATTTCCAGCAGCGCAGCGATGTCATTCATCGGCAAAGCTACTTTGGTCTTCCCATCGTGCCACCCATGCGTGCGTTTAACCAGGCTCAAATCATGGCCACGAGGTCGAGCGGAGTCAAAATCAATAATAACAGGTGTGTCACCTTGGAACATGATGTTGCACGGGTTGATATCATTGTGAACGATCCCCAACCCATGGAGATGTTTCAGGCCCTGTGCGATTCCCTCCACCCAACGGTCGACCTCCTCTCGGTCAGCCTCTTGCCTCTCATATGCAAAGTCTATCTTATTGCGTCTGGCAGAGTTCACTCTGGCCATAAGCGTTTCATCGTACTTTGTGAAATAGATGCCTCTGATGGAGCCGCCATCAACGACGGCGCAACCGTGGTATTCGGCGATATTCGGGTGCGGATTTTTCTTCAGGAGTTCGCAAATCTTCACCTCTTCGATCCAGGTTTCTCTGATCAAGGCCGGGTATTGGGGACTGTAGGGGGAAAGGCTTGGCTTTTTCAGATACCAGGTCGAACAGTCCGGGGACTTTTCAGCCTTTGTGAATTTGTCCGAAAACTCTGGGAAAATGAGGGCGCCTTGAATTTTGTTTGTACTGTACATGTCGCCAAACTGAATGTCTTCTTTTGATGCATATCGCTTTCGGGAGTATGCTCTGTAGATTGAGCCGGCCATTTCGTAGACTATGATGGTCTTTTGAAATGCGAAGTCATCTTCCGGACCTCCAAAATCTTCGGAATATTCGAGAATGTACATTTTGAAGGGGGCTGCGCATGAGGTAGAGGAAAAAGAGAGAAAAGCAAGGTCAGCTCAGATAGGTAGCTGGGGGATTCAAACGGTTGAAGAGTCACAGGATGAGCCGGGTGCCCGTCCAGTCAGGATTGAAAGTCCCGGTTTGCCTCCAAGGCTTGTGTGAGGGAAATCAGTGACCTTGGAAGTAAGCAGGAACATCCAATTTGGGAGCCTTTTTCGAATATATCTTTCGGCCTTGGGAACATCCAGTTTCTTCATTCACACATCATGCATCGTATTTATCGAGAGACCAAAGCGAGAAGGGATATTCTTCTTCCACACCATCGCACATCAAGACAGGAGGCTGACTGTTATAACCATCATAACCTGTGTCACGTCCAGCAAGACACACCATGTTTAAGGGACAACCCTCACCTCCGTCAACCTCAAAGTACCAAGGAGACGGTTCATTGTTTCTCTTGTCCTCATTTTCAAGGTCACGAACCGGGCCTCAATATGTAAGTCTGGACTTGTACTGGGTTGCGTCGGTATTTCTTCACCACTGAACGAATTGCAGGAACAACAGCGAATCCGACACCCGTGCTCAACACCACAAGACCTGCTACCATCATCGCCATGAACGCCAACCTATCCACCTCCCACCCCAATCTCGATCTCCCGACTCGAGTGAAGATACACAATACCGCCACAACGCCGGCCATTATCATGTTAAAGGAATCCACTCCAATGAGCGACGAAACAACCAGTTTCCAGTCAAGCACTTCCAACCAGAGACCTCAAATGACCTATTTGACCGCATCCACCGCCACGCTGCACCACCAGAACAAAGCGATTTATCTCGTGTTACTGGGTATAAGTCACACGAGGAAGGGTGCGGTAGCAGCATTAAAGCCGTTAGGTTCAAAGAGGATGGCAAAGTGCCTGAATACGCGGAGACTCACCATTCAAATTGTCATCTGCATCATACTCCAGCCCCTCTGGAGGACGGCTATCATTCCAATCGCAATTCCCACCCGAACCAGAGCCAATCTCGAGAATCGAGAACTTACAGGTGGGTTTGGGGCCCTCCGTTGCCGGCGGTGACACCTCGACGTGGAAAGGTTTATTAGAGAACCATTGGGACTCATTATTAGAATTGTCGATTGCCTATTACCGAAGTATCTACTTTCTACAAATTGATCGATCAGAACGTTGTGTAATGGTCCCCTCACCTAGCCATGTAAACCATCTATAATGCCGCAGCCAACCTTAGTGAAGCTAGCATATAAGCATAAGCGAGCAATGTACTATATAAATTGTTCTTGGATAATAATTCTAACGACAGATGATTCCTTTTTGTCGGGGGCGTCTCGAGGACGAGCACTTTGCGCTCTCGAGGACGAATACTTTGCGCCCTATTGTGCAAACGGTACTACGCCAGTCTTTGCCTGGCGTTTCGCCAAAACCATAGCTGTGGTTCAAGATACGTGAAGCAACGTCTTATTGGATGATCATTCCACCACCGGGTTGCTATGCGTGCACGTTCATCCGCGTAGGCTTCATTGAATGTAAAATAAGCCCCATCTCTCCCTCGATGAAAGTCACCAGCACGCTTAGTCGTATTACTGGATGGACCTGCTCCTTGACCGTGGTTAATAGCCCGGCGTACATCAGATCCTCGGTAGGCCCTACTAGGCAACCTGGGAGTTATACAGTTAACCCTGTCCAGCATGATATCCGAAGTACCGTGGGTGCTCATACTAACTCCCCATCTGCTCTAGCTGGGTGGCCCGGGCTGGGTTCACAGGTTCTCTCAGGGCTGTGAGGGCCAATGGTGAGTCTTAGCTCGCTCGAGTGTCATTCTCCGTACGGGGTATCATACTTGCTGGGAAGACAACAAATTAGTACCAGTTAGTACCATACAAAGTAATGTAGGCCAGGGTATAACTTACTATGATTTTCCTGGAGCCTTTCAACAAGACATACCGCAGATTGCCTGGGATAACGATAATATCAAGTAATTCCCAGAAAAGGCCATCATTATCGCATTCCACCATGTATCCTAGTATCTTTTGAGATAGACATATACTTCTCTTATGTTAATTGTAAACTTGGAACCAGCCATGCATGGTTTAAGCAGTCTCACATTGTTCAAGCGCTTGATTCCCTGATACCTCTTCGCGGTGTGTTGGCTTAAGCCTGAAATGGATAGAGAGGCTGTCAAAGCGGGAGTTCGGTGAATCTTATACAGTTCAGCAAATGATTAAATCGGTGTGAGAAGTAGGAATACAAGCTTACTACGAAGGAAAGAGAAACTGATAGGCTTTTTATAGTCTCTACGAGAATATGCGAAGAAGAGGTAAGAAACATCACATGTCGTTCCACGGGCCGTGCGGGTGCTTCTTTATTTAAAGCCGTCAAACTTCGAACCTTCAAACATCATTCACTTTACCCCACATCATAAATGTCAACTTCCCTATGCTTCCATCTGCCCCCACAAGTCTAAAGTCATTCTACATTTTGGCCTGGCTGCCATTTTAGCTTATCCACATTTACCTGCTTGTGTTGCAAGATGAGTGATGCTGAGAATCGCCCCGAGCGCGAGGCTCACCTTGGTGGTAACACGGAGCAGATCAAGCAGATCAAGGAGATCAAGCCGATCGATCAGATGGGTGATTCTGAGGATCACCCAAAACGAAATGACGATCCCGAACACGGAAATCACCCCCAAGGTGACACTGAGAGACCGATCAACTTCGAATGGACTCCTGAACTTGTGAAGATTGGAACCTCTCGCGGCGCGATACACCCATCGATTGGTCCCATCGAATCCCACTACGGCAAACCCATTTACCGGCCTGGCATGACCCTCCCAGATCCGGCTGATACACGGGAATGTCTGAAGTGGGCTGGATTGTCCGATAAAAAGATCATTGAGGTTGAACAGGAATTCAATGATCTATATCCGGATTACCAAGGACCCGCCTGTGGGTATAAAGAGAAACATTACCCGACGGGCTACAATACAATTGTATTCCCTAAGATCGAGAAAATGTTGGACCTGTTCCTCCAAGGAATGCATAAGGACGACAATGAGTTGGAATACACGCATAGTGAGTCACCTTAGTTTGTGTGGTAGGAAGTTCCCGGCTGACCTATTTGACATTGATATAGAGGGTTACATTGAGCATGGCATCCAGCTAGGATTACATCTAGAGTTTGCAATATTCTGTGGACTACATAAGGACGATCCCCGGGCTATTGATAACCCCACCCTTTTCAAAAGGAAATGGTTTGATTTAGGCCCAACGCGTATCATGAGTGATACCCTCATCCCGTTCTGGATGAATGTCGAAGAATTGCTAGCAGCGAAGCTGGTGTACGAGGGGAAGGCATGGGTGTGTCATGGAAGATGCTTAGTGCATAACGGGGAAAGCCTAGCTCAATCGAAAGCGAGAATGAATGAACAAGAGCGTGAGAGGCTAAAAGAGCAAGCGGCAATGGAATATGTAGCAGAAAGGGAGCGTGAGAAACAAGAGATAGAGAGACTATACGCGGAGGAGGACGCTATATGGGCAGAAGAAGACAGACAGGCGGAGATGTTAAAGCAAAAAAGCATAGAAAAAGCTGTTCAGCAAAAGGACTAGGGAAGGCAGTAAATTAATGTTAATATTACGACAAGATGCCTGAATATGCCGTGACCCACCACTCAAATAGACCTCTGCATAATACTCCGTCCCCTTTGGAGGATTGGTATCATTCTCACTGCAATTCCTATCAAAATGAGTCCCAATCTCGGGAATTGCCAACTTACAGGTGGGTTCGGGGGCCTCCGTCTCCTGCGGTGGCCACTCGACGTGGAACGACTTATTACGCGGGTAAATACCAACATTTGAAGACTTATAGAATTATCCATTGTGTATCCGGAAAGTAGTCACCTTCTAGAAATTCGATCGATCAAGAAGTGGGCTGAGTTTTAGTTTCCTCCATTTATGTACACTACTCTACTAGAACCTTCATGTATGCCATGGCCAAAGCCAACATATATTAATTGAATACCTTTGCAGGATGATGGAGATTGTCTTCAGTTATTCGCCTAGTCGAGACTTCGCGTTTGCTGGAGCGTCTGCTCCAGCACCCTTTCTCTTTGGATCTAGGAAAGACGAGTCGAGACCAAGGGATGCTTGACGAAGCAGATCCGGACTCTATTATGGCCTCCCTCGGTTGTTGACGTTTTGCAAAGCCCATTTCCAACTTCTATCACTGCGTAGGCACTCTCGCAAATACCTCCAGCGGGCTTAGTTGGTTGTACCATTACATCTCAGCAGAGCTAGATGGATGAGAGGGCATCTATGAGGTAGACACCTAGTAGGTAGGTAGTTCATCTCCTTTCAAATAGTACTCTATCCCCCGCCGTTTTCCTTTCCACCAGAATAAGGCCCAACAGGGTGTAAGCCCTTAGTTTTTCAAGCATTTGTCTACGTTCTTCGGTGAAGTTCTATAGATGTCTGTTTAGAATAATCAGCCGCACGGGAATACACAGTTCCTATAAAAGCGCTTTTTCCATATATGATATCTATATAGTGGAATGTGAGAACCTGAATTGCATTGATAAAGAAGCAAGAATCCGATACTATAAACGAAATAACAGCAGTAACAACAGTAACAATATGAGAGAGAAAGAGAATAGCAACTTCCAGATCGAATCACACCGGTAAGATATACAAATGACAACTCTTGAATGATCTTCGAACCAATAGATCCAACTAGTGAAGGGTGAGCTTGCTTTCCAAGCCAGATATAAAACAAAGGGCCTCCTCAACAACGCCGAGATGGTTAGTAGACTGGCATCTTTATCAATGCCGTCTTGGAGGTCTTGCAGGCCTTGCATGCCTCGGTTCTTTAGCCAGTTCGGTAAGTGCATCGGCTTGAAAGCGAACCTGCTGGGGATAAATTGGCCCTCTTCTATGTGTATCGATCCGGGGGTCTTCGCGTGACAGCTCCTGTACGGGGTGGAATGCCTTCTCAAATTCAGGCCCCAAGGGATACTGTTTGGTTCCTACGCAAAAGAGCTGATGTCTGCACGTGTGCAGTTGGGCCTATAACAACACTTCTTTGCCGAGATTCAGCAACAGCAGGGGGCTGTCGAGGTGTACTCCCCTGTATCCTATTGGTGTGGACGGTCTCACGCCAGTCATTTCCTGGCCTTTCGGGAAAAACATAGGCTCCATCCAGGAGCCTTGAAGGAACAGCTTGTTGAATTACCATCCCGGTACCACCAAGGCCACGTGATGCAAGTTCATCTGCGTAGCGTTCACTGGTTGTGTAATAAGCCGCCTCGTCTACTCGGTGTCGATGAAAGTCCCCCGGCTGGGCAGTGGTGATCTGGTCTGTATTTCCTGTGCGAACGTAGCGTATAGCCCGCTCGCGGTCGGACGCTCGCCACATTGAGCGTGAAGGTCTGGGACCATGCAGTTAGTAATGTTCTGGTAAGGTATCGGAGGTAATTCTACTTACGGCCCATTAGCCCTAGCGAGATGCCCCGAGCTGGTTTCGCGAATTGGTTCAGGACCGTGAGGACCAATGTTGAGTCTTGACTCGCTTGAAATCCATTCTCCGTGAGGGCTAGTATAATCACTGGAGAAAGACGAATGAGTAAAGTTTGAGATGGTATAGGTCATGGCGTCACTTACTACACTTCGCCAGAAGAAGGATCATTATAGCGTGGCTTCCCAACCAAAGTCCGTCGATTAGGCATGTGATGGATCTTCTGGAAGAGTAGAAATATCGACTCTTACACCAGATATCTCAAGATATAGCGAGTAAGGGTATAGATATTTTGAAATAAGGAAGCGGAAGCACTTCGAAGACCTTCTGGACCTATAGAAAACTATACGGATGAAATTAAAACAGGGCACGATTTCTTTCCCGTTCGTGTTATTATTATATGTTTTCTATAACTACCGCAGAAGCACAAGAAGGAGAGGCGTAGATAGGCGCCACTAAAGCTGAACACGAAGTCAGACACTAATTTTGGTGCATCTTAACGCCGGCTTATGTTTCAATCTTTTTATATCGATGGCATGCACTTGGAGTCTCAGTATGTGTTTCAACGAGTACAATTTGAGACTAACCGCGCGCAATATCCATAATTAGATAGATCGTTGCTCGCATACTATCTTTAGAACAAAATCCCGCTGTGTGATGATGACAAAATGGCGCAAAGAGATAGAAGAAATGGAAACAGCAATTACTTCAAATCATAGAAATTAAGAGAGCTTCTCAATCGACATGAAAGACATGTTAATGGGTTTACTAGGGCAGGGAAAGACAATACTATATGGTTCTGTACAACCCTCCGAATGAATGGGAAGAAGTCGCAGCAGAAGAAGAAGCGCCTTGGCAGACATCCTAGCGAACTTTGCAGACAAAGAACAGGATACAGAGCAGGTAATCCAGACTTTGATCGATTCATCATGATCGATTGGGAAAATCAAGTGCAAATCACTCTTGCAGTCCTACAAGGATCCTAGTGGCAAGCGGCTTAGCTTGATGCACGCTTGTTTCATTGCGCATTTACCGCCCGGTCGGTAGGGACTGTGAAACGATGTCCGTAACCCTTGTAATTTAGATATTTGAGTGGATTGAGCATGAACCTGTAGTGGTGCGCTAAAGTACGGAGTAGATAAGTGTGTCGCCCCACTTGAGCACGGGCCGTGCGGCGCTTATTTATTTGTAGCGGGCACTGGGCAACTTTCCATGGAGAACGGGACATCATCACATGTACCCCGCACCATAAATACCACGCAACAAATTCACTTCGCTCTCACAAATTTGAAGTGATTCTATACTTTCATTTGGTTACCATTTCACTCTACTCCTATGATATTGCCCGTATTCCAAGATGAGTGATACCGAGGGTCAACCCGAGCGGAAAGATCAGCTCAAACCCCAGAATCACCAAGAACATGAGGACCACCCCGAGCGTGAGCACCACCCCGAGCGTGACACCGAGGTAAACGAGCCTATCAACTTCGAATGGACTCCCGAACTCGTGAAGATTGCAACGTCTCGCGGCACAATACATCCGTCAATTGGTCCCCTCGAATTCTATAACGGCTTCCCGACATGTGAGTATCGGCCCGGCATGACCCTGCCTGACCCTGCCGATACGCGTGAGTGTCTGAGGTGGGCTGGACTGTCCGACAAGAAGATATCAGAGGTGGAACAGAAGTTCAACGAACTACATCCAGATTATAAAGGACCCAGCTGTGGATATGATGAGAAATTTCAATATCATGCACATGCCTACAATGAAATTACATTCCCTAAGATTGAGGAAATGTTGCACATTTTCATTCAAGGAATGCATGAAGACCTCGATGAGGTTGAAGAAACTCATAGTGAGTCTCTTTATGTCGTGTTATAGATGGTTCTCAGCTGATCAAACCGCTATAGAGGCATACATCGAAAAGGGCATCCAGCTAGGACTCCGACCAGAATTTGCGATATTCTGTGGGCTACATAAGGATGATTCCCGAGCTATTGAAAACCCCGATCTATTCGAGAAAGACTGGTTTTGGATGAGCCCAGCAAGCATCATGACTGATACTCTCATCCCGCTTTGGATGAACCTTAAGGAATTCATGGCGACGAGATTGTTATACGAGGGGAAGGCATGGTCGGGTCATGGAAGATGGCTGGTCCATGACGGAGAAACTATGGATCAAGCTAAAGCGAGAGTAGATGATCGAGAGCTTCAGAGGCTAAAAGAGCAAGCGATAAAGGAGAACGAGGAAAAGTTGGAACGTTCTAAGCAGCGGAAAGCCAAAGAGCACGAGGAAGACTTGGCAAGATGGGCAGAAGAAGATAGACAGGAGGCGGAGATGCTGAAGCAAAAAAAGCACAGACAAAACTGCCCAGCAGAAGGATCAGGAAGGAACGCAGTAAATTCATGGTGATATTGCGACCGACAGGTTTGAGACAGCAATAGTATGAATGACATTACCATTCCCATGGACCCAGTGCTCGATATGATATCAGCCAAAGACTTTTGAAACTGTTGATTTTTAATTCAGATATGTTAGGATCCATAAACGCGAAACCGATAATCGAACACGGAATTTCCGACGATGAGTCCTTTCCAGTCGCTCTATTCCGTTGTGTGTTAACGGTGGGAAAGCAAAAGTAGCCGAAGTCGTATTATTGTTGTGTTCACCGACATTGGAATCAACACGGAAATACATTCTACACTTGTTCCACTAGCTAGCGGTGAAGTTCGCTGATGTTGAATTTAACCTTGGCTCGGTTTGGTCGAGCTGAACGACAATATATTACAAGCTTGGTCTCTTTCTGCTGGCATGAACAATATAATGAAAAATGCTAACCCTCTGTTAGAGTGGACCGTGTATAAACGAATAACATGATTATCGGGGAAGGATGATGGGTGTAATAGGGTTAGCGAAGTATCGATCTTCAGATGGCGGCGAATTGATAAACTATGCCGTACCACCCAGCGGCTGTATGTACTGCTGAACCCCATTCTGTATAAAGATAGCATCGCCCAACGAAACTGAGGGTACACGCTCGAATGGGCCGCTATTAATGGGTCGACCTTCGACGTATGCTGGAAGCAGGCCCCCCCCCCCGACGCCTGCGGAGGTGAGCCCAGGCAACCATTCACCTTGGCCGCTGTCCACGGGCATACTGGAATAATTGGACTGTTAACTGTTATATGAACATGGCGTCAATACATGCTTCAACGACTACGACTGGAAGAACTATCTTGCTAATGAGGAAGATGTCGAAGACCGGGAAGAGGGACACCCGCTCTCCATGGCGGCGTCGCATGGCCAAATATCCATCGTCAAGCTACTGCTTGGATACGGCGTGCGCCCAGATCTCCCCACCAGCGGCTACGAGAAACGAACGGCTCTCCATCTCGCATCGGAGAAGGGCTATCTCGATGTTGTCCGATCAATACGCAGGACGGGCATAGCAAAACGCCTCTCGCATTTGCGGCGGAGACAGGCCATCTAGATATCGTGCAGTTTTTACTCTCTCGTGGAGCAGATCCTAACATCACCACCCATCACACGGAGGACATCGCTCTGCATGGCATTTCGTTCAGGTAATATCGACATCGTGCGATGTCTACTTGACCATGGGGCAAGCCCCAACCCATCCTTTCCAGACGGCCAGAAGCCCCTTTCCGAATTATCCCGCGCAGCGCAGGGAGGGCACGACGACATCGTCGACTTCCTGCTCACCAGATTCGACTACGTTCAATCCTCCACCGAAGCCTACCAACAGACCGTTCTCCTCTGTGTCGCTGCACTAACGGCCGCACTACACTCCTCACCGACCTGCTGACAAAACACAACTACGACCCCAACCTGCGTCTCACCGACAAAAGCATCTTCCTCCCTTGCCGACCTTACTACCCTATCCCTGAAACAGCCCTTGCCCGGGCTGCAGAGCGCAACCAGCCTGTCGCAATCGACATCTTCCTCTCCCACGGGGCAACGATCACCCCACCAACCGACAATGACGACGAACCCCCTCTCATTCGCGCCATAAGAAAGGGCCACAAAGAAGCTGTCGCAACTCTCCTCGCCCACGGCGCAAACCCCCCCCGGGAAAAGCCCTCTGCAGGGCCATTTCCAACCCGCCCATCTTCTCCCTCCTCCTGTCCCACAAAGCAGGCCCAACAATAGACCTCTCCAAACCCAGTCTCCTCGTTCACACCCTCTCCTCCGGCAATGTTGACACCCTTCAGATCCTCCTCGACCGCCACAAGGGGTCCAGAGCTAGTCTCCGACCCAACATCGACAGGAAACTTCCCCCGGCCACAGTCGACCCCGCTTTTCCGTCCCGCCCTGTGGGGCGGCGAGGGGCCCTCCGTCTCCTTGACCGGGGATTGGTGAGAACTCGACGATCACATCGCAGGGGGTTATCTCAACGTCACGGCGCAGCACGGTGAGATATTGCTTATGCCTCTACCACTGAATATGGGGTTTAATATCCGCGCGGGTGGTAATGCGGGGAACCTGGTTTATCGGGGCGCGACAGCCAAGGAAGATACCGAGTTGGCGTAGGCGTATCCGGCGTGTAATTGATTGGTAGTCCTTAGAGACTACTAGCCGTCTACTTCCTACAGGCCTTGTAGATCTTTTTGCTGGTGCTGGTCAGTAGCCTGGTGACCTCGCCCAATGAGTTGAGCTCACAGCCTAGCGCATCTTGCCTAGGAAAGTCAGTCTTGTCTGTACTTGTTAGCAAATTCCGTCCTCTGATGATGAACATGGGATTGTGGCCGTTGCGCGTGGTAAGCATTCTGAAAAGGGTAGGTGGAAACAAGCTCCTGGGGGCCATCAAATCCATTGCCGGAGACGGGCGAGCTGGGTGCCTGCCGTGGCGGGAGGCGGCCATTTACGTCAAAGTGGCATTCTATTGCGGCCCCAAATCTCCACTGGGGCCGCGCCGTTGGCATTGGGGCGGACCTCGGCTGATCCACTGCCTTTGTCCCACCAATGGCGCCTAAACTTATCAGAATTCAGCCGCCCTCGAGAAACTCGATGCAGCCATGACCCATCCGAAGAGCTCCACTTTGGCCAGGACGCGGGAGGAAGCGACGTGCATTGAGACACGGACCGAGGAAATGATTCATTAGCCGCTTGGCGACCTTGGGGGGGTGGAACCCGAACGAACTGTTGACACCAATGGCATTATTTACACGAGGGGCAATTGCTTTCCACAGCGGTGGAACTTCTCCAGGAGCAAATTGACTGGCCAACGGCCCTGCTAGTGGGGAGAGGGGCTGAGAATGCTGTTTCTTAAATATTGCCCTTCTGTCGCTTAAGCCCGAGAGCGCAGCCTCTGCTCCCGCTAGCATTGAATATTTCGTCGAAGCAAACCACACAAGCAAATGGCTCATTCGAAGAATGTGGCATTGGTCTTCGGGGCCAGCGGTATCTCCGGCTGGGCTGTCACCAAATGCGCTCTCTCATACCCCACGCCCACCACATTTGACAGAGTGATCGGTTTGACGAATAGGCCATTGCCTCTGGAGAAAAGTGGTCTACCGCATGACCCTCGACTCGAGTTGGATTGTGGAGTGAATTTGCGGGGGAACCTTGATGAAGTGCTGTGTCAGTTGCAAGAGAAGGTTCCCAACCTGGAAGATGTCACCCACGTGTATTATCTTGGTAAGCAAGGGAATCACATCCATGGATGCAAACAGTCATCATCTAACTATACCAGCCTACTCCAATGCAACTGCATACTCTATAGATGTGATGGCTATCCGGGATATCAATGAGAGAATGACATACAACGCCGTGCACGCTGTCGACCGCCTATGCAAGAATATGAAGTTCTTCGTTCTTCAAACTGGAACAAACGTAAGTACCAACCTAGTACCAGTCGATATCTCTGGCTGATTAGCTACAGAATTATGGAGTCGCTGTGTTTCGCTTCCAAGAACACATCGAGATCAATCCTCCCCTGCGCGAGGAAAATCCGCGTATTCCCTCGCCCTGGGGAGACGAGATATTCTACTACGCACAGGTCGACGTAATCAAGGAAGCCAATAAGGGCAAGTCTTGGAAATGGTGCGAGGTTCGACCGGATCAGATCATCGGTGCGTACCCCTATTTCTTGGGTTTGATCATGCTGACATTCCAGGCCACTAGGCCACGTCCCCACGCCAACAAGCATGACATATGTCGAGCCTCTCGCGCTCTACTTGACGCTATACCGCCATGTAAATGGCCCCGGTGCCTCCGTTGTCTTTCCAGGATCCTGCACAAACTATACCCACACATTCACGGCATCCTCGCAGGATATCATCGCCCGTTCAGAGCTCTACCTGTCTGTCGAGAAGCCGGACCGGGCGAATGGAGAGGCATTCAACACGGCCGACAATGCCCTTCCCGCGTCCTGGGCCCTCGCATGGCCCAAAATCTGTCAATATTTTGGTCTAAGGGGTGAAGGTCCAAGTCCCAAGGATAAGGGCTTCAAAGATATTGACAAGTGGTGGTTCGCACACCAGGACGACTACAAGAAGATGTGCGAAGAGTACGGTCTGCACCCTCGCGAGATTCCCGAGGCGACTTGGACTTTCCTTTCAGTGGGCTTCGGCTTTCTGTGTCGCAACCGCGAGCTGAGCTTGGATAAGATCCGGAGTGTTGGTTTCACAGAGGAGTACCCGGTTGCATATGGGTATTTCCAGGTGTTTGAGCGCCTGAGTCAGGAGAAGATTATTCCCAGCAAGGAGGAATGGACTGAATATATCGCACAAGATAGGTTGGAATGAACGAGACCGCGGCTCAAATAATTTGTCTGGAAATATCCAGCTGAACCTCATTTGGTCCATGGTTGGCATCCATACAGATATGGTATCACCGAAAAGGGCAACCTTGGTCCCTTTGATTCTAAATCGAGTATTCACTATGATATCATTTTATGAAACTGCCAATTCTTAAATATCCAATAATTTCTCTAATTACCATCTCCAACGTTGCCACTTCGCTTCTTCCTTTTTTTGTTTTTTACTCACTATGGTGCGGCGTAAGGTACGTCCACATGCTACTACTTCGGGTGTTTTACCCGAGCCAACATGTCTCTTGTGTGGAATTCTTATCCCACACATGCCCTATCCTGGATTACCAGATTCAGGGAAAAGCCATCCGTTACTTCAGGAAAATCAGTGGAAAAGGCTTTGGAAACCCGGTCTCAAGCATCTGTCGGTACCATCCCGGGAGGTAGAAAATACCTTCACCACCAATTTCCCTCGACTATGGTCATGGCTTTGTCGGGCTAGTGAGTCCCCAACAAGTGGCCCCCCATCAACAAGCCCAGTTCTTCTAACTAGCTTGAATAGTTATCAAAGAGTCCGATACCAAGTACCGTCTAACCGGTATTAATATGACACAAGATGGACACGTAAATGAACCTTACCATGTCCCAAATGATCCAACGAAGGCGAGGATTAGTGGGAAGAAGAATGTCCCATATGACAGACGTGTCTTCACTCGATTCTATGCTGCAAGTATTAAAAGGCAGCCTCGTGAATACAAAGACAACACGATAGGATATCTCGTCCATGCCCATTGCTGGGCCCTCTTCGGCCAGGTCGAAGGTCTACAATAACGATGCCGGCCTCGCCAAATTCGTACAGGTTTGTCGGAAATACTGGAAGGACCACGAATTATGGCAAATATACTCTGATTTTGGCGACCCACCCTCAGATATATCCAGGATGAGGTATGACTGGGATATCTATCGGAATCCATTTGTGGTGCCCGCAATTCGAGAAGCTATAGACTGCGCAAAGATCGAGGGTTTTCACCCATCTTCTTGTTTCAGCAACCTTCCACTAGAACTTGCGATTTCAATCTGTCAGTTGGTCTGCCCTGTTACACATTACACAGAGGATGATATAAAAAACACAAGAAACTTACTCTTAGTGTCTGGGTGGGAGTTGCCGGAGTGGTTTTGGCGAGCACGACTGAGACTGTACATTCACTTGTTTTTTGAGTTGGACAAAACCAGCAAGGTGCGCTCTCCGGCAGATTGGCAATTGTGGCTCAATTTGATGAGTCTTGTTGCGGACCGAAGTAGGTTTGTTTCTACCGGTCTCGCAAATCGTGAACGAGTGCTTGGGGTCATGCTTGCTCTCGACAAGACGTACACAAATTAATTGTTGAGATAGTCCCATCTCCCATGGACGCCTGTTCTTGCTGACATACTGAGTGATTGTTTCCAAGGTTGCTAGTTGGTAGCCTATAAAAGGCATACTTTTGCTATAATAAAGAACATCAAAAAGACCACCAAAAAGACTACTGAAAACGTTTACATAGATATGTGATTATTTGGTTCCAGGCTCATCGCTATTTTGTCTATAATATACACCACTAGTCGGTTATGGTTGGGGTGAGGGTAATCCAGCGCCGCCTAAGTATTGATACAGACACGAATCTATGCATTGTGTTGAGGGAACCGGTGTTGTCTGTTTTCTATAGTTGGGAAGAATCCGTGTGCTTAACAGCCCCCAATGAGGTTAGACTCGATCTACAATGCTAGTGAACAGTTCGCAAGATGTGCCAGCTTGGTCGGAGGCCAAAGCCCATCCGATCAATGACTCGCTTCTCAACACCAGATGGACTGCGAACACCTATTTTGAGACTAGAAAGTGAACTCGCACAAGAGCAATCACCTACGCTGGCGCTCATCTCCCAACCTCACCCACCGCTAGGCCTAGTCTCGACCGTACCTGCAGACGGCATGATAATCCACTTCCTCTTCGACACAACCAGTTTCATTTCCAACTTTATCATCGGCCCTTCCATCGCCGAGGGAATGCGCACCTCTTTACAAACTCGCTTCTTCGTCTCGCCCGAAACACAGCTAGCAGGCTTCCTCGCCTTTGCCAGCGAATACGCCACGCGATGCGGCCGGCTCGTCCTCTCGGCACAAACCAACATGCCTTGATGCACGAAGGCAATCGCCAAGCTCCGAAGCTTATGCGCGAGGAATATACCCGAGATTCGCACGCTGTTAGCCTTGGGTACTTCTATCTTAACCTATGATCAGCTGGCTGCCATGGAAGGTTCGAGGATGAGTTGGTTGTGAAGCATTTCAGCGCCAGCCATGGCCTCTACGTCTAGCCGCATATCGAAATGCGACGGCTCCTGAACTTGGTCTGGAGTGAGAGGGAACCCGGGAAAAGGTGCCGTGGCGTAAATTCCTTGTTAAAATACCGAAGCTGGACTATATACCTTAAGATACAGTGATGAATTCTCAGAGTTTAACCTAAAATGAAGTCTGCTTGATCAAGTCATGCACGGCCTCCGACACAGCGAGCAACTTCTCATCCTCGAATCCCCGGCCAATGAGCTGCACTGCCAGTGGTAGGACATGGAACGAGTCTGCATCATACATGTCTTGTAGATCTGCATTATGAGCATTGAAAGGAGTGACTTGGACTTTCCTATCAATATCCTTCTCCGCGAACATTCTCCGCGAACGTTCCCAGAGGTAGAGCTACGGCGGGCCAGTCGATGATATTGCATAACCCCGTAAACCCGAGATAGGTATACTTGTCAAAGGGGACCGCAGTTTGAGGTGCAGGAACCAACAATAGAGCGTCGATGGGTTCACGAAATCGACCTCAGGAATCGTGCATTACACGTACCGGGGCGCCGATCCGTGCATTCATCGAGTGAATATACGCAATAGTCGGTGGTGGACATGGCGCCTTTTTTGTGATAATTTCAGTCGCTTTCATAATCTCTGTATGTGATTCTTTGGATAGGAGTTCGCGTAGATACGACAGGTCCTGAAGTTCGGTCCATTCCTTATGCAATTCCCAGGCCCGGCAGATATCAGGTCCATGGAACTCCACCAGTTTCCCAGGCCCGGCAGATATCAGGTCCATGGAACTCCACCAGTTCAACACGAGCCTTTCGGAGACTTTCCTGTGCCACCTTAAGCCCTCTGTCCACGGGCGGGTGGAGGTGCACGAAGTCGTTCGACGACCAAACTCCGAGCCGAAGCCGCTGTGCTTTCGGTAAGGACAAGCTCTGCCATGAGTGGGGATAGATGAACGGATCCTTCTCCCATGGCTTCGCCTCCGCAGGGAGCTTCGTGAACAATGCCACATCTTGGACAGACCGTCCGAGAAATCCTGTCACACTGAGTTGTCCAAATTCCGTCGTCCCCATCACCCCGGTACCCATGATTCGCCTCCCGTCAAGTGGAAGACGATATCCGCTAGGTTTATACCCGGCCACCAATTCACAGCAGCAGGCATTCGCACTGACCCAGCGCCATCTGTTCCAATTCGAGAGCCAGCGACACCAAACTCTCGATTATACGGATTCGACGTCCGTCCGAAGACGATCGAGTCCGTGTCCGCGTTGAGCATTGTTTGGGGCACTGTTGTCTTCGCGATAACGACCGCGCCGTGATCCTATACGGTGTCGGCGCGGCGAATGAGATTCACTGGGCGGGTCGGATTATAGGCGTGAGGATGATTGCGTCTGTGCTCTCGATCCAGCGCGGAGGTCGGGCTGGGGTATGTCAGTGAGTGTTATCCTTCTCTGGCGGGGGAGCTGACGGCGGCGGTCACTGTGATTCGGAATGTGATTGGATATGGGATGACGTTCGCGATTTCGCCGTGAATTGAGAGGAGTGGATTGAAATATACGTTTGTAACGGTTGAGTTATTGGCGCTTGCGGTGTTTTATAGTGGAATTTTGCTTGTTTGGAAAGGGAAGGCTTATCGGCGGCTGGGGGCGCGGAGGTATGCTACTTTGGTTTTGGGGTAGCCTGGCCTTTCTGAGCTATCACGGCATTTCTTTTATGCTGGCTAAGTCAGAACTATGGTGAAACAGATACTAACCCGACCAATTAGAAAGTACTGGCAATAAGAACGTGGACAGTCAAGAAAAAGGATCAGTGGTCGGGATTATTAGGCATATAGGCCTAGAAATGTAGGCAAATGTATGTAGTTGAGGTAGGAAGTATATTCATTGGTGTGAAAAGATATCTCTTAGCATCGTTTTGACTCATCGCGTGATAGCTGAGCCATCTTCACAATAACAATCCGAGATGGTGTAAGTCAGGGCTACAATGGGAAGACCACAATTCTGCGTGGCTTTCTACAGCTGTCCGCGAAATTCGTTCATGATTTGTTCTGATAACCAAGACCCCAAGTTCTTACACATATCACTTGACGCATGAATCTCACTTAGCAAGTATGGCTCTCTTGGTCAATATTGCTGATGTCTTATCTAGTCGTCCAGAGTCATGCGCGTCTCGACAAGCCCTGGAAAACGGTCATTTTTCTAGATATGTGTACAAAATACAACTTACTTACAAATGAGGCTTAACGTGACATTGTCGCGTGTAGAGCGATATTTTATTTCCCTCGAGTTGCATCGATTTGTTTTCAATTGATGCATTTATCTATCCTATATGAGTCTAACTTTCAACACTTATTTATGTCTACAAGGAAGTCTGCCTACACTGAAAAAATGGGCTGCGGCATGCAATGTTGTGAATTGAGGAAGGCTATCATAAAAATAACTTGGTATATGGTAGAGAGACACTCATGCAGGGATTCGTTGCTCAAGACCGCTTCGTTTGATTTCCCTCGAAAGGAGAAGCTTTGTGGGTGGCTGCATGTGGTTGATTGATGGATCGAGGTGTTCAAGTAATTGAGGTTTTCAAGTGAAGTGGTTGAGTCAAGATGATCAAGCGCTGATATCGAGCAACAACTTTCTTTTTACCACCACAGCAAGCGGTCTCGAAGAGTCTCCTTTAAATGGGTTCCTTCAGAGGCACTCCTGCTAAGACTCTAGTCGACCAAGACTGTTTCGTTTCTTTCCTCCTCTTTCAAAGTTGAAGCGCTGTGGATGGGCGAATGTGTATGGGCGTATGTAGTTGATTGAAGTTGTTGGTTGAAGTATTCTTAGAGGTGGATGTTTGAATTTGGATCGTTGGTTGAAGTGGATGATTGACTCGACCAGCTGCCGATTGTCCTGAAGCCGAAGCCCGCCACGGTCAGACTAGGATTGGATTGTTGAAGTGGATGATTGAAGCGGTTGATTGGTATTGTTGATCGAAGTGAAGGCTTGGGTGTGGATGTTTGAATGTGGATCGTTCGTTGAAGTGGATTTTTGACTCGACCAGCTGCCGATTGTCCTGAAGCCGAAGCCCGCCACGGTCAGACTGGGAGTGGTTTATTGAAGCGGTTTTTTGAAGTTGTTGGTCGATGTTGTTGTTCGAGGTGGATGTTTGGATATGGATGTTTGAATGTGGATCGTTGATTGAAGTGGTTGATTGAAGTGATTGGTTGAAGTGATTGGTTGAATTGAGTCGATTGAAGTGGACAGTTGATGGAATTAGTCGATCAGGTAATCGAAGTGGATGCTTGGACGTGGATGCCTGGATGTGGATGGTTGAATGTTGGTTCATTGAACGTTGGTTGATTGAATGTGGTTGATCGATGTGAATGTTTGGGTGTGGAGGTTTGAATGTGAATGCTTGTTTGAACTTGTTGATCGGAATTGTCGAGGGTTTTTTTTTCTTTTTCTTTTTCTTTTCCTTTTCCTTTTCCTTTTTTCTTTTTTTCATTTTCATTTTCATTTTCTTTGTTTCGTTGTTTCGTTGTTTCGTTTTCCTTTTCTTTTGTTTTCCTTTTTCTTTTTCCTTTTCCTTTCCTTTCCTTTTGGTTTCTTTTCTTTTTGGTTTCTTGTTTTCTTGTTTTCTTGTTCTCTTTTTTTGCGTTTGCTGTCATTGCAAGCCTGACAGGGCCCTGAAGCCAAAAGCCATCTCGGCAAGGCTGGACATCCAGGTAGAGTGGAGCTTGTTGGGTGGAGGTGGTTGAGCACACGTATCTGGTACTGTCAGCCCATGTCATGTTGACCAAGTTGTAAAATGTAATGGTCCAGGATGAGAGCAGATGGGCAAGAGGAAACGAACCCATAAATTGGAAAATGGAAGGCCGAAGAAGCATGTGATTGAGTTGTCTAAACAATGAATGTGAGTATATGAAACAAACAAGATGTAGGAGATAGGCATAATATACAAGTCATGTAATGGATGATGAACATGAAAGGTCCCAGACATGTTGAAGAGATATGTTGTCATGTGGTTGAGTTGTCCGAAGGATCAATGTAACTGATGATGAATGTAAGTAAGGAAGAAGGAAGAAGCTGGAAGAGGAAGGCACAACTAACCAGTCATGTGATAAATGTGGATGTGGATGTGACAGAGGCCCGATTCGTCAAGGGCATGGTGATCACAGGCTTCATCCCTTGGGATGTGGAAGTAGAAAGATGGAAGAAGTGATGAGGCTTAAGCTGACGATGGAAGACCTGATGGGAGATAAAGGATGGATATAATATATGATGAAAAGTTTTTGGTGGATGGTATGAGAAGATGGGGAGATGAAGAGGAAGAAAAGAAAAGAGGGGAGGGGGGGGGGGGAGGGGGGGTATTTATACCCTGGGGGTCAGGAGGGTGTCAGGAGGGTCAGGAAGTACCATTGTACGCCATTGTACCTGGGGTGTCCTCCAGGGGTCCCCCCATTTCTCAACTTCCCCTCTTCAACTATTTGCCCGGTAAGATCAGCCCACTTCTCATGATTATTGAGGCAGTAGTGTAGTCCTGGATAGTCTCTAGAGTCGTAAAATGAAGATGCGACTGTGTATACACTCTACAGGCTTACACTGCATAATAATATTGCCAGTCTCACGCCTGGACGCAGATGGTTCGATGGTATCCCAACTCTAATTCCGTCCAGCGACGTCTCATAGAAACGCGCCATATTGTCGACTGAAGATGTACGTCGTTGCTGGAAGATTTATAGATCATTAAGGTTACACCTGCGGACGCTAAACTTCATTTGGTATGGCGTATATGCACGGTCCTTGTGTCACGTCCCGAGGTCGCACAACCTTCGAAGGTCCCAAGGTTGGCAGTGGAGGCCCAGGTAAGTAAACAAGAGTTCCTATGAAGTGCATCTGAGCTACTAACTGCAGTACTAGGAGTTAACGATGTATCTGGATAGTTTGTGATGTGTTAGTCGTGGCTTGCTAGTATCTGCAAGTGGGCTCCCAAGGTTGCATTATGCCCACATGGTGATTCTTGATGGAGATAGAATACGGGCACACGAGTAGTACAGGGAGAAAGGCATCCTAATCATACTGTGGTCATACCGAGAACTACTACGACTGTCTCATCCTCAGCTTCGCTTTATCCGCCTGTGGACCCTTTGGATCGATCGTCTTAGCTGTGATCCGTGGGACCTCGAATTGGAAGCCACTAGTCTCGATCGCTAGAAGGCATGTGAAAATCCCTTCACCTGTCTAACCATCAGATACACAGCCTAATCCGCTCCCCTAGAACCGCTCGCTTCGTTGTTAAGCTGGACCGCGTGGTAGTCTCGACCGTACCGGCTTGACTGAATAATGGATATGGTTCCCATTACACCACGCAGATTACCAAGACGGGTTATTGATGGAGTGTACCTAGTATCGAGTATAGGAGCAACAGGGGCCTAGGATATGATGTAGATACTATTTGGGCACTTTCGAAGACCTAGATGGTAGGGTACCCTAGTGAACTAGACGGTACTGTCGGCTTGGACTACATTGCGACCGAGGAGTAATGAATGGCAGTCTATAGGGCGACACAATGTACGAAGCGGCTAATCTTTGGTAGGTCTTGAGGGGCTACTGGGACCGTGAATGGCATGGAGATGCATAATGTATTGAGTGTATGGAAGGCTATAGATGAAGGGGGCAGATAGAGAAGGGAACCGAGCCATGCGAGAAACATTGATGCCAAAGATTCCCAACGACCATTGCGCAGTCCATGTGAGCGAGGCCCCCTATAGGGTGTCGTAGGCCGAGGTGTGTGCTTAGGTTTGTCGCGGGTATTGAGAAACGTGCGTGAGAATTCGGTTTTCGGGTTGGCCGGAAAGCGCGGTATGCTTTGTCGATGAGAATTGGTAAAGGCTCACGGAGGTGAGCGCGATGTGCTCTGTCAATAAGGATCAGTTGAAGCTCGCGAAAGTGGAGGAGAAGTTACGCGGGGTGTACCGTCGATGAGGGCCGGTCAGAACTCGCGATAGTAAAGGAGGAAGGAAGGGAATCGTGCGTTGTGCTTTGTGGATAGAGTTCGCTGACGACAATATCTGAGTAGTTCACTGGTTTCGTCGCGTAATTGTGGTGGGAACAGCGAGGTGGGCGGGGGAAATGCGTAGAGGGTAGAGCGCGACGATTGGAAAGTAAAGCGAATGCATAAGCACGGGCTTCTAACCTTCTTAGTGCTAGTCGAGGACCATAAAGGGCATGGAGATACATTGTGTATTAAGTGAATGGAAGCTACATAAGAAGGGAAGAGATACGGGAAGAGACCAAGCTATAGAAGCATTTATGCCAAACAAATATGTACTGAACACCCTCTGGATATAATACAGGAAGGGCGCCTGAAATCTCGATCTGCATTTCGGTCACATGTAGTCCTCCAGATCAAGGCTCGAAGTATAGCCGACCGGTCAAAGGGAGTATGGACGCTAATGGAAGCATTGGTATGGAAGAGGGGTACACGCCAACAGATTTCCCAGATCCTGGCCCACCAGGGTGAGCTGGAACACCAAAAAGGATTTATCTCAGGCACCAAGGTCTGCACCATCAAAAGTATCATCGAAGACCATGAAGCAGCGAGGACAAGGCAAGACAATGGGAGAGAACTGGACACCTGCCCCCTCCCCTAGGTATATTCACTGACGAAAGTGGATACAACAGGTGCAGCCGTGAGAGATACGTTGAGTGTCGAAAGAGGGTGCAAGATGGGCGACGAAGAAATGTCCACCGTGTACGCAGCCGAGCTTAGAGGCGCCGAAATGGCCCTGCAGCAGATTCAAGAAGGCTGGTACCGGACAGTTGGGAAGACGAATGGACGGGGACGGCGGCGAGGAAAGGGAAGGAAGCGAGGAAATCGAAAAACCTGGTCGAATTACCAGGAAGGTAGACACTATAGTAATGGAAAGGTCAGAGAGAAGTCATCTTCTTCGGCCATGATACAGACGCGCACCAGCATGATTGTATTCTGATTGTATCCATAAAAGATCAAAGGGTGGACTCGCCGAGATAGGTTTGTGGTTGAATACCATAATGTGCGATATATGTTGTTGAATGCCTGGCGTTCGAAGCGTTGCGGGCAGATCTGCTCGGTGAACTGGACGGCCGCGGAATATCAGCGTGGCTTCGCAAGATGGTGATAGTCACTAAGGCATCCACGATTCGATTCGTGGCACATTTCATGATGAGACTGGGCCTCTGGGGACAGTTTCAGTGCGTGGACTCCACGGCCAAAGGCATAAGACTGCCGCGACTGCCGGTGAGGGCGGTCCACAAACAGAACAACACCACCACCACCTCGAATCTCAAAATCAGCCAAACCAGGCCACAGAGACCATGAGTCCGGGGCCGCGGGGACCACATAGGGGATAGCTGCCAGGTCTGCGTCCCTCGGCACCAAGTTCACCCATCCAAGCGGCTAATTCCGTGGGCGACATCAACGATATCAACGACGGGGTCGAGGACAAAGGGGGCAAGCCATAGGGTGCACGAAGGCAGCCTGTTCGCATTTGTGGACTTTACGAAACTCGTGGGAACGCGGGGAGATGGCGAGCTTTGGTAATACGAGGTCGACGGGGGTGAGGATGCCGGTGAAGGACGGATGGAGAAGGGCAGATGGAGAGATTCGGGCAATTGGGCAATGTAGGCCAGAATGCGGGCTATGGAGAGAATGTGCGGCGATACCAATTTAACGAACGGTACGGGCCGGTGCTGAATCTCGGGGTGGGTTGGTATTCCCAGGCGGTATATCCCTGCTAGTTTCCTGCTTCATGGACCAACCGAAGAGTTCTGGAAAAAGGTCGATGTGGGCTTCAGGGATTGCCGTCAAAAAAAAAGGAAACAAAATTGCCAAATCCGCTGTGGGAATTCCTACGGAATAAGAAGGCATCACGCGATAGGTACCGCAGCCTGGACAACCGGAGTGGCACATTTGACAGTAATGATTATGCCCCTTATATCTTATCATTGGGGTACGGACTCTCGAATTTTATGTGCATACCGGGACTCGGAACTCCCACTAGATTTTTGCGTCATCCTGGAGAGCGGCTTCCACACAAGACACATATTAGGTATTTCATTGCACTGGCTACCATACAGTATCTTCCTGTTAATACTCTGGCATATCGATGAATTGGTGTTTCCGATCTCATTTTAGTGGGACTAAAAGTGCAAGAAGAACAAGTGAATGAATGTTGTCTTCCTGCACTTGGCATTGTGATGTTCAAGATTCAACGCCATCCTGGTCGTATTGTTGCCACTTCTGTCGAAGCAGTGCCCGTAACACTCGGATGTATCCCAATCGCTGGGCAATCGCGAGTCTGTTGATCTCCCTCAAGAGTGCCTCTCTATCTGACCAACAAGTACAGCCTAGACCGACAAAATAGAACGGGCAGACTGACGTGGTCTGGAACGCTGAATCTTCCATTGCAGCGAGACTCATGAGACCTCTCGCAACCATGACTTGTGCCTTCTCCAACGCCATGTCGCCGGAGTATATGATGGACAGAACCCAGATAGAAATAGCAGAAATATACGCTTCATACATAAGACTAAAATCAGAGGCCGACTCAGGGGAAGTCCAGTCGCTCACTGTTTGTCAGATTTGAACATCCTGCGCTATCACTGTGGCACTGGATGTTTCGGTTGCTGAAGCTTCGCATTGAAGTGCATGGACGCGTAAGATGATCTCAACTAGGCCATGATGCATTCCCAACATGTGCTCTCGATGGAGGAGAATGATTTGCGAGGCTTCTTGCGGAATGCAGTCAAATGATTGGCCTTGATCGATTCTTTCACAACCATCAAGCGCTCTTACAAGGATGTCATGGTATCCGAAAAATTGTGGTAGGAATGGGTTCATTCCTGGTTCTTCCGATTTGGACAGGAAACCATTCCTGTCTCATGATCCGTTGGATTCCATTCAATTTCTGACTTTTTGACATTGATACGCTCGTTGAATAATTGCATAGACAAATGATATTGTCTGAATTGAGGATTTCTTGTCCTGGGCTGTCGCCAGTACCTTCCGAGATCTCGTATAGATACAATAGGAGGTAAGTGGTGAGGATTGTTTCGCGCTCAGAACTGACAGTTGATGTGGTTATCCTTTGCAATCGCATAGAGGCCACCCGTGAGGACAATTCTCGTTGAGCTCTTTGCAGCAGGGTATCTCTGCTTTGCGCCAAGTTTTGTACCTTTAGACAACCTGGCGGCGAATGATTGATCAGGTGTGATGCCCCTAAGCAGAGTACAACACTCGCGATCATTGTATCACTCAGACCATGAGAGATGATCCGGCTCATTCTGGGGCCATGACCACCTCCAAAAGGTAGAGTTTTAACATGAGCTGTCACATTGACAAGATGGCACCAAATATGTTGCTCTCGAGGAGATTGGCAAACCTTCCCGGGAAAACCAGGGGCTCCATAAGCCAAAGAACGATTGGATTCTATTACTTCTTTTCAAGCTCTTTCCACACTCCTCAATAGCTGGCAAGTTGTGTAAGGACTTGATTTATATAGTCACAATGAGACTCTTCCACTCTTAAACCAATGTTGTATACGTACTTTATAGCCCTGTGATAGCAATTTTCAGGTCTTAATTGTGTCATATAAAGCACATTTTATAGTTCGTCGACCAATACCAAAGGCTGTGGTCACCCGTGCTACTTTATTTTGACGCGGCAGCAGCGCCTACATGGTGGAGCAATCTCGAACTCGCAGTACTCTAAGACACCTCCTCTCCTTTACTGCTTCCAGATGACCCGGACTAGTTCGATCTTACATTGCATGATATACCATTGGGAAGGGAGTGTGACGCCGGCATTCCATGGTATGGACGTTTCAGTAAGCATTCCCTGCTCACCGTCGTTCGCTGACGCTTCACAACTATCCAATTTATCGGATAGATCTCCTCTTAATACTTCGAATGCCGGACGTTCTAGAATCGCATTTCGAACAGTCCGGTTTCCAAGGTCCCAAACACACCGTGGAGTTCTGCTCTCTTAATCTGTGACAAAGACAAAAACAGGGCAATAATTACCGTCCCCGTCTATATCATGACTGAAGATATAGCCTTTGGTTGATCCTTCTAGTACTGCAAAGTCTGTTTTCCGGTATTTTGATTATCTTCCGCGTCCTCCTCGATATTCTCCTTGTTGTTGTCTTCGTCCATTCGTCAGTCCTCTCCCAATGCGTATTTTGACGTCTGGTTCATCATCGTCTTGGTCGCCCCCGCCAGACAGATATAATGGTTGCAAGGGTTTTGCGTGGTGGGCGTGAACGGTTCTGCCGCAGTAAGTTTCGCAACTGAATCTACCGATGCATCTCGTGGAATAGCTTCATATGTAGGGGTCCATCTCAATTCGATATTTATCCCTTTTGCGGCACTCAACCGTAACCATTGTTGACAACCAGCGAGATTGACTTGCCCGGCATACGGTTCCATCCCGTATACTGGATTTGTTCCAATGCTATCTTGATTTCACGTATTAGGTTCACGGGGCTCTCGTGCCCTTGTCGCGCTGTCCTTAAGAGCTGTGGCCTTCTATTGTGGGTTTCCCATCCGCGTAACCTCAGTGCGCATACAGTAATTTCATTGATCTCGAGTAATCAGCTACTGGCTGCCGTGGCGGTCAACCAGCCGGAATGACACCGGAGTGTATCATGATATGACTGACAGAGGTGAGTCAACTTCCGGATCGGCGAAGCCGCTAGATGTACGGAGTGACAAGCGCCTAATCATCAGTCCAGTCCAATCTGCCGCTATTCGCTAACTGTCAAGCTCCGTCCATCGAACCTGAGAGATCACAAGTCAACACGCCAATGATATCGGAAGGACTGTGTTATAGTACAGGGAAAGATCAGTTGAATGCCTTCGGGACATGGAGCCTTTTTGCTGAGTGACTTCTGTGTTCTATCAGAACGTCCACGATCAGCGCTCATTTGCATCGCACAGTGGGGTCTGAGAAGATAGCTCGGCAGAGGGCAAAGCCGGGAACCACGAATTTACGGGACGATTACTGCCTCCTGGCTCTGGGATTCAAAAGGACAAAGAGTGGGTGGCCGTAGAGGTGAATGAAGTTTGCGCTGATTCTAATGCCACTACAGTAACGCATAGAACAACTAATGTATTTAGATGGTTCAGTTTGGTTCTGAACGGTTTCATATTGCAAGGTATCTATGGACGTCACACAAGTCTCCTCCCCTCCTATTTAAAATGGTCAGTTCTCGTCCGCATGCTTTCATTCCATTCCTGATGTTTCCTTCCAAGGTTGGTACCAGTTGCCACATGGTGCGGAACTAGTTGCGGACATCTAGCAATCGGGAGCTTCCTTCTTCATTGCTTCCTACATTAGGTCCATGATGCTTTTATTCCGCCGTATTGTCACTTCCGACAGCAGCGTCCGCCCAGACATATCCCTCGCGTCCGGGTCGACCTTGCCGGTGTCGAGAAGCCGTTTGGCAATAACTTGATTCCCGCGCACCGCCGCGTAAGTTAGCGGCGTCCACCTATCACCATCCTCCGCATTCGGGTCGACCTTGCCGGTGTCGAGAAGCCGTTTGACAACGGCTTCATGCCCGTGCGCCGCCGCGTACGTTAGCGGCGTCCGCCTATCACCATCTTTCGCGTTCGGGTCAACCTTGCCGGTGTCGAGAAGCCGTTTAACAATGGCTTCATGCCCACCCTCCGCCGCGTGCGATAGAGGCGTCCGCCTAAATCCACCTACCTCGTCCCGGTTAATCCTACCGAGCCTAATAAGCCCTTCTATCTCGTCTTCATACCCAGCCGCCGCCGCTTGCGGTAGCAGCGTCTGCCTTAATCCACCCACCGCGTCCGGGTCGACGTTACCGGTGTCGAGAAGCCGTTGGATAACGGCTTCATGCCCGCCTCCCGCCGCATACGATAGCGGTGTCCGCCCATCTCTATCCTTCGTGTCCGGGTCGGCCCCGGCGTCGAGAAGGCGCTTGACAACGGCTTCATGCCCCCGCGCCGCCGCGTATGTTAGCGGCGTCCACCTATATCTAGACTCCGCGTCCGGGTTGGCCCCGGCGTCGAGAAGCCGTTTGATAATAGCTTCATGCCCGCGCGCCGCCCCATGCGATAGCGGCGTCCGCCCATCTCGATCCTTCGTGCCTAGGTCGGCCCCGGCATCGAGAAGGCGTGTGACAACGGCTCCATGCCCGCGCCCCGCCGCATGCGATAGCGGCATCCGCTCATCACCATCCTTCGCGTTCGGGTCGGCCCCGGCGTCGAGAAGGCGTTTGACAACGGCTTCATGCCCGCGCGCTGCCGTGTGCGTTAGCGGCGTCCGCCCATATCGATCCTTCGTGCCTGGGTCGGCCCCGGCATCGAGAAGGCGTGTGACAATGGCTTCATGCCCGCCCGCCGCCGCGTGCGATAGCGGCGTCCGCCTATCATTGTCCTCCGCGTCCGGGTCGGCCCTGGCATCGAGAAGGCGGTTGACAACGGCTTCATGCCCGCGCGCCGCCCCATGCGATAGCGGCGTCCGCCCATCTCGATCCTTCGTGCCTAGGTCGGCCCCGGCATCGAGAAGGCGTGTGACAATGGCTTCATGCCCGCCCGCCGCCGCGTGCGATAGCGGCGTCCGCCTATCATTGTCCTCCGCGTCCGGGTCGACCTTGCCGGTCTCGAGCAGTCGGTTGATAATAGCTTCATGCCCGCGCGCCGCCCCATGCGATAGCGGCGTCCGCCCATCTCGATCCTTTGTGTCCAGGTCGACCTTACCGGTGTCGAACAGCCGTTTAACAACGGCTTCATGCCCGCCCGCCGCCGCGTACGATAGGGGCGTCCGCCTATCATTGTCCTCCGTGTCCGGGTCGACCTTGCCGGTCTCGAGAAGTCGGTTGACAACGGCTTCATGCCCGCCCTCCGCCGCGTGTAATAGCGGGGTTCGTTGCCATCTGTCCCTTTGGTCTGGAAGCACACGTATGTCTCTTAACAGGAGTGCAACTACTTCATCAAAACCTGCTTCTGACGCATATAACAACGGTGTTAGGTGGTAATTATCTTCTGAGTTTGGGAAGATACCCCAGTCTGATAATTCTTTCACGACGCCGACCCTCCCATTTTGTGCCGCGTAGGACAATGGTGTTCTCCTGTCTTCGTCTTGAAAATCCGGCTCGCCATTTAATTCGAGCAACGCAAGAACCACCTCGGCCCATCCAAACATCGCCGCCACGCAAAGAGCTTGACCTTTCGTTTTGTTTTCCATCTTGGATGGTGGGTGGGTGAGAATAACCAGTGCTGTGAGCAAGTTGGCCTCCTCCATCGCGGCGAGAAGGTCAGCGTCAGTGAATTCACGCAGTGGAACTTCATTTTTAACGGCAATATACCGATCAATGACCTCACACGTAGATTTGCACGCAGAGACCGATCTGTTGGCCTTCTGTTTCTCGAGCAAGGATAGTCCATTTTGACCAAACGACCTTGTGGTCTCGTTCAGTAAGGCCCACCGGTATAGCTCGCATAGAGAGACTGTCGCATCCTTTGCAAGTTCGTGCTCTCCGTTTGTTTCTGTCGCAGTGGTACACGAATGTTGAGAATTCATGCAAATTCTCCATGCCCATCGAAGCACGGTTTCTGCTCTTTCCCACTCCTTGTCTTTTCGTTTCTGATTTGCGATTTTCTTTGCTGCTGCCAAGACTTTTGATGCAGAGGGCACGTTAAGGTGAGGTATCACTGAAGGGATAACACAAAGTAAAGCTTCCTGTCTTGAGCCTAATCGCATCTCTGTGAACAGTCTAACAATCTCAGCCACTAGACCGTTCTCGAGTCTAAGTGTTTCAGCTTCTTGAATATCAACTGGCCCGATGTCATCCACAATCTCAAGAATACTCGCGAAAAAGGATGCAAAAACTTCCTGTGCACACGCTGACACAAGCGAACCTTGAATTGCGGCGGATGAAAAGCTGGAAATCTGGGGGTATTGACTCTGTGACCGCGGTATAGCACTCCTGCCAAAGAAACGAACCTTTCGTGGAATAGGCTGCGTGGTTGACGGTGACGGAGATTTGCTGCTGGTTGCCGTATCCTGCTGGCCCGCCCTTATCCATATAGTACTCGCGTCTCCAGGGTCAGCGAATTTGGCCTCCCTAGCATATTCTCGGTGGGTAATAATGTTCATGTCGTCACCCAGCCACATCTCCAAGTCCGTTCTAATAGATTTGTCGGTTGGGACAATCCGGCGTGGCTGGACATCAATAGCCATGGACTTCCGAAAGCCAGGCTCCGAGTCTCGAATTTCAGTTGGGTCAAACTTCAATGACCAAACCCAAAGACCGAGAATCCCTTCTAGCTCAAATTTGTTTTGGAGTATCCAGGGGCTCCCTGGGGCTTCGTGATCTTGAATGAACTTCAGGTAAACCGTGTGCATCTTTATTGTGTCGTTTCCCCTTTCGCCGATAGTACAATTGATGCCCCAGAACATCGGTGGGGATTCTGTAGTCTCTCTCTGAGCCTTGGGCTTCCACGCTGCCCTGACCTCACCCTTGAGCTCGGCCTTAGAGGCAATTGTTTTCATGGCAGCCTCAATCAAAGCAGCCAGGCGCCGACTCAGGTTTCGGACCTCGACCATTTCGTCTTTGAAATTCCTCGCGGGCGCGGTGGATGGAGTGGATGAATCAGTCAGTGATGCAAGTCGAGTGCGATACGCCAACACTATTGCGGCAGCATTCTGGGTGTAGTTTGGAGATGGACGCTTGAGGCTCATCTTGTTCGTATTAGGTGCACCACTGAACCTCCAGAAGTGACGAGCTTCATTAGTGCTTGCCGGGGTAGATGATCTTTTCACTGACGTGCTGAAAGACAAAGACCCCGGTGAAGATGAATCAGGTTGCCTTTTTATTTCCTTTTCAATAGCATCACGGCCAAGACGCAAGGCGAGCCAATCAAGTTCGTGGCCAAGAACCTCATCGGGAAATGTCGCAAAGCAGTTGTCACCAGACTTTAGCCGCTTCATACGGAGTGCAGCTCGTGCTATACTCATGAGCATAATGACACCTAATTGGGCGACCGAGACTGCCGAATGTATACCCCGAAGCCCGGTGAACTGTAAGATAAAACCAGAGAGTGTGATTCCAACAGCTACCCACACTTGAAGCTTCGGTTGTTGGAGCCCGTTATTTCTCTTCGAAGCCATGTACTTCTTTAGCTTGTTATCACAGTCTGTATGAGAGAAGGGGTCAAATGTTTGATCTCCAATGATTTGACCGCCGGGCTGTATCCAATATATAGATGATCTGTCCTTGCTATCCTCTTGCCGGCACCAGACCTCTTCCTTAGTGCTCTCGCCTATCAGGAATGCGCAATGAAACATTCCACCGCAGACAAGAACAGTCCCGATAATCACTAGCGGACATGCATAAAACTCTGGGGGGGTTGTCGTTGTTGCCCCATTCCAGGTAGTATGTCGCCACTCCCGCGAAAACTAAAACACCAACTTGTAGAATAAGGCCAACAATAGCAATTGCGACAAAGACTTGCTTTGGTTGCTTCTTGATTCCAATGTTAAGAGAGAGATTCGGAGCATAGGTCGTAAAGGGTGTGTTCGACTCAGCAGATTCAGTGTCCTTCTTTCGCCCTTTCCATGGCCACAGCGCCATTCCGTTCCCAGGTTCTTCCTTTTTCCATAGCTCCTTGCCCTTTTCCCGCTTGATGAACTCCTGAAATGTGTAGATACCCGCTGTGTGATCGTTCGCATCGCTGAAATCATGATCCGGGTCGTGGACAACCTCTAGAATCTTTGGACGGCCGAAGACGCGCGCAATGCCCCCACTGTTGTAGAGCTCGCACACATCACGACTTGTCGAGGTGCATAACTCTGCCTCTGCGTTGCCTGCTCCTTCTTGCGCTCTGCCGATAAAGGCGCGTAGCGATGGGGTCCCACACACGCGAATCGTAGAGACGACTCCGGTGAGGATACCCATTGGCGCCATTGCGAAAATAAAATAGTCGATTGGTCGTACGCTCTCACTGAGGTACTGTTTCGTGATCTGTTCACCAAAAAGGGATAGAAACGGCGCGAGATCGGTCGCGAGATTGTTCGAAAAGTCGTCCCAGCCGCCCGCGCGGACCACTGGAAGAGCGACGAGGATTGCGAATAGAACATGTGTAACCATTTTGAGTGAGTGCAAGTGCGGATTTTTGACGAAGTCGCACCGCCAGACTTTTTCAACACCAGTGCTTCTTTCGCCGTGTTATGAACAGCAATGTGGCTGAACGATTGCAGCTGTGGCAGAAATATTCTGGGTCCATTGTGATGGCTAGTGTCTAGCGCTGCGTTCTTATTCGCCAGAACAGTAGTTCCAATCGAATACGAACTTGCTGGGGCTTTTCTAGTTTTAGCATCTGCATAGATGATCATTGACGTGTCCGAAGTGCACCGCCAAACACAATCGTGCGGGTTCTTTTCAGTGTATGCGCCAATCAAACTCGAGTGCTCAGGATTGCGGATCAATTTGAATTTTTTCTCCTTCATGTGGGGGAGAAGGAGAAGGTAGATCTCCACGGAACCAGCACCGATTTTGTGATGGTTCCGAAGGCTCGGGTGCGGGCCGTCAGCCACCGATCTTTTTTCAGGGGTCAGGGCCGGCAATCCTTACTTGTTGTACATACTACATATATCTTCGAATGTACTATGTACGTATGTACGTATGTACGGAGTACTACGTACAAGGGTCTGGAATCGTAGTGTTCGAGGGTCCGTATGTTCAGTTCTTGTGGTATGGGAGCAGAGTCAGAGGGGTCTCAGCCTCATTGCTCCCACGCACAATCCGGCCCTTCATCGCTCAAGTCTGTGAAGCCCTTCTGGCCTCTGAGAAAATACGGAAGAACCCGGGGGGGTTTGTTCGATCGCTGGATTCTAACCAACTTCAATTTTGTATCGGCATTTCCGCCCACAATTGCGAACCACGCTCCTCCAACTATGCTGAATTTGCACATCACAGGAGACAATCGGCAAGATACACAGCACATCTGACGGGCTTTGGCAAAGTGATAGCTTCATAATCAGCGGTGCCCTTTTGATTATATTTGAAAGGGATTCCAAGCTCCAGCCACAACAGGGCGGAGTCGGGGGTACACTACTCCGGAGCGCCACACCAGGTGACAGGTCGCCAGGAGATTGAGAGAATGTGGTCGGGGACCAATCGGACCAAACCTTTAGGAGACATAAGCCACTTACCTGTGACTCATCACCAGCGCCCTGCTATGGCAAAGAAAGCCTACGATCGCGCGGACTGGGGCAAGATCGCCGAAGACGTGCTTCGACCATTAGACCCATGGAAGAAGGTGAAACCGAGACTGGCGCTAGATGCGACAGTCGAGATGCTCACAGAGACGGCTGCCACGGTGGATAAAAACACCCCCAACTTGCTGCCAACACCACATTCTACATATATCAACACTGGTTCGCCCCAGGCCTGTAACTAGCGAAGAGGGAAAGAGTGCGGGTCCTGCGTTGTGCAATTTATGCGGGAGGGTTTTTGTACTCCCTGCTTTATTTTGTTGTCTTGCAATACTCAACCCGTTTGATAGATGCGTTGTTTGCCATCCCCTGTCACCTCCTACCCCGCCTGTCTTTTGACAGCGCATCCTCTTCTCGTCCTTTAAACAATGTCTGACTAGCTTTTTAAATCCATCATTCTTATATTTTCCTTACATCTCTTCAGTGCCCAATACAGCTTGCAGCCACTTGACCTTTCTGTCATCAGCATGGATACCCACGACGTCTCCGATGTTCCAGAGTACTTTCGGTATCTTCAAGCACAGAAGCGAAACCTGAAAAACGCCCAGGCGGTCAAGGGCCGCCCAGCAAGATCCCCAAAGTCCAAAGATGAAATCTTGATGCAGTTCATGTTTCGACACATGATGAGAACGGAAGTCCCTGCTAGTCCGATGAATATCCGATCCTCGTTCCTACCACCTGCCTACCCCCCCATGCGTTAGTCCCTTCAGCAAGTTAAAGAAGGTCATGATCAAAAGCTTATGTCTTGAGACTCATCATCGGGAGCGGTATCTCCTTCTGAGAACAGTCACTCCGACAGATACAATGACCGCCGTGATGGCCATCGTAGAAGATGAAGACGGGAGTGTCCTCATGTTGCAGCTCTACAACCACGAGGAGGAGCTATCGGGTGCACAGAGCCTCAGAGAGGGTACTGTGCTTGTTGTGAAAGAACCCTATGTGAAAGTAATGGCAGACGGGGACTACGGGATTCGAGTGGACCATCTCTCGGACGTCTCGTTTATCCCCGAGTTTGACGACCTGGTCCCCTTATCCTGGAGGAAACGTGTCACGCAAGCTGATGCAAACGCCTCTTCTTGGAAGGCGAAAGGAAGTGAGCATTTTGAGAAGGGTGATTATCATTCGGCAATCCAGTGGTAAGCTGCAAAATATTGCTACGTGGAAGAGGAGAGGCTAACAATAACCTCAGCTACTCAAAGACTTTGGAAGCCCACCCCTCATCAGAATTACTGGTGATAGCGCAGCTCAACCGTGCCCTTTCCTTTTTGAAAAGCTACCGCTTTGATGCAGCATTGAGGGACGTTGAAGATGTCTTGCAAGTATCGGAGCTGTCGGAAAAGGCTCTTTTTAGGAAGGCTCAAGCCCTGTATCAACTTCTAAGGTTTAAAGAATCATGTCAAACTCACGAAATACTTGCAGAGAAGTATCCAGATAACACCATGGCTGCACATGAGTATGCACGTGCGTCTGCTAGGTTTGTGGAGCAGAATAGCGGCAAATACGAGTTCAGGAAAATGATACTGGAGGCCAAGAAGCGTCAGCCCCAAGGCTTGACCGCGGCACCTACATTGGTCCTGTGACTGTCAAGCAAACTCAGTCTCATGGGAGAGGACTCTTCACAACACAGGCGGTGAAGGCAGGCGACCTTCTGTTCTGTGAAAAGGCATTTGCTCACGCTTTCCATGATGAAAATGGCTCGAAAGATCTCCGTCTGTTACTCAATGTCGACATGGACGAAGCTACAATCGGTACCCAAGGAGAGCTCATTGAATTGATTGTTCAGAAGCTTTCTAAAAATCCGTCCCTGCTGCCAGGATTTGTCGATCTTCATCATGGCACATACAAATCAGTGGATGTCCTAGAAGTGGGTGCTATACCCATCATAGATACGTATGTCACTGCTTCCCCATCTTGATATAAAAGCTAATATCTTCCAGGTTCCTCGTTGAGAGAATCATTCTCCTAAACAGTTTCGGATGTCCTCTTCTCTCCCGTCAGAGTCACATACGCACCGTGAAAGGGGATGATGATACGGACGAAAAGTCCAATAAACAGTTCCATTCTAGTGGAGTCTGGTCGATGGCCTCATACATCAACCACTCTTGCCTGAGCAATGCTCGTCGTTCTTTCATTGGGGACATGATGATCGTTCGTGCTTCAAGGGACCTGCCTCCTAACACCGAAATTACCTTCTGGTACAAATCACCCATGACCCGTGATCCCAAAGAATCACCCGTCAACCTACAGCACTGGGGCTTCAAGTGCGATTGCATATTATGCCAGGACACATGCAGTGCTAGCAGGAGTGTTCTATCAAACCGAAATAGAATTTCAGCTGATCTTCGAAGACTATTTAAGACATCCAAGATGAATTTGCGAAAAATTGAAGATAAAATCTCCATCCTCGCAAGGACATATTGCCGACCAGCTTCTGAAGTCCCTCGTCTTGCACTTGATTCACCATATCTGTCTCTTGCTGCGATCTATGCTTCATCCCGAAACCTCAAAAGGGCTGTGGAGTTTGGATTGATGTGCCTAGAGTCACTAGGCTTCGTTATTGAAGGTGGAAAGGTTCCTCATGTCCCATATGCCCCATTAGTTGTCCAAAAATGGGGCCTAATGAATGATGGGGTTGTGGGATGCTGGATGATTCTGTGCAGGGCATATCAAGAGCTCGCACCTACTCTCGCGTCCCAAGCTGAGGGATATGCTAGAGTATCCTACAGAATCTGCATTGGCGAAGATGAGACTTTTGATCAGACATATAGCAGGCTATCGAATCGGGTGGATGGCCTTTTGATGACTGCAAAGTAGCCATGCTAGGTCATAACGCGATGACTGGTCATTTTTCGACTCATGACATGGCAGAAGCAGTAAGCCCCTAAAGTGTAACCCAAAATATTTCGTGGAGGCAAGTTTCTTTTTCCCTTCTTTTTTATTTTATTTTATCTTACGCAGACTGGAAGAAGCAGATGGGAATAAGAACTGGATTTACTCGAGCTGTCATTTTTCTAGTAGAGTAGATCTCAAACCACCCTGTAGAAAGGCAACATATGCCAAAGCATTATTCAGAATGTGAACATTTGTGAAAGCACTGCCTGCTGAGGCGCATTGTGTTTTCACCTTGATTGTGTTGGGGCTATATCCAATGTAAGCCACTGCTAGGCGCAAATCAGGGCGACCAACCATAAATCGCCTGTCGTCCATTTGCCAAGTCAAATGCAGGGCTGTAAGTTTGGGTAGGCGCCGTCTCTTGAGTCTGCCCCGCTTTATCCTTTTCACCCAATTATTCTGATTCCCTACAAATTTACGACGTTCATCGTCGGCCACCAAGTGCTAACGGCTTGGCTTAGCTCAGCCTATAATGTCCACGGGTGTCCACTACTCTGGGAAAATGAGGGGATTCTCTCTGCCATGTGACCCTAGCTCTCGTGGCTCCATGGCCAATCATCCACTCGAACTAAACGCCTTACAATCTAAATCTAGGATTGTTCTCTCCACCGCTATGCTGGGGCTACATCCGGCCTTTTTCGTTAGGGATTGAGAATCCCTCATAATACCACAAATAGAGTGATAGTTGGGCCCAGATGTAAGTGCGAAATTTGAATATAAGAACAGTAGAAATCAACCTTGGAAAGAACCTTGGAACGCCAGGCGAATCGCCCAGATGGTTCCCTCGCGGGCCGTGCCTTGTTACCCACCTTCTTACACATTGCCATTGGCTACCATCCATGGACGGTCATAGTGTTCACCGTTGTCTGAGCTTCGCTTCGATAGGAAATCTTTGACGAATAATGTTTGCTCTTCGCGCCTATCTATATATATTGAATATGTGGCGACAGGGGCTGTTTCATGAGTCATTTGTTTGCAGGTAATCAACTGCAACACTCGGATACATAAGAGGCCCCACGGCCGATTTCCCACTGTGGTTTCATACCTCCCTTCGAGGACTATCTGCTCCACATCCGCTTCATTTTATCGTGATATATTTCGATAATTATTCGCTCCCCCGCCAGCCACAGAACCTCGAAAGCAGCCAACATGATAAATGAGACGGACAAACTTGGCAAAAATCCCGATAATCGTGCGCTAGTAAGAGGCTCAAATTCCACCTCAAAAGCGCACCTGAGCCCCAGACCACTGGAAATACTTCTGAAGGAGACAATACAACCTGCCCTTGAGGTGCAAAAACAAATGGACCGAGTCTTACCAACCGATCTTTATTTTTCCCGGGCCGAAAAGCTCCACCAAAAATATAAGTTACCGAGGGAGTGCTTCGAAAATTTTCGTAAACTGCTTTGCGGGGTTCGCACGTTCCCCTGTATTTTGCTTCAGAATCCAATAAATGACCATTTGGAATACAACAGGATGGTCGCAAAGACCAACACTCTACACTGGCTTGAAAAAGAGTTGCAAGGGGTCGGAATAAACCTTGAAGACATTATCATTATGGACTTGTTCCCAATGTTGACCGACAAATGGTTGGATCGGCACCCTGATGAGCGCAAACAAGCAATCGACGAAATGTTTGCGCTCACACTTGATTTTATTCATACATTCAAGCCGGCGGTTATCCTTTCATGCCAATGCCTTGATCCTCAAAGCCACGACCGGTGGACTTCGTTCAAGCACAGCGAGGCTAGAAAGCTACGATCGTCAAGGCGAGGTGCCGAAGGCCAACAAGTGTCTGAGTTCTCGCACGAAGGTCATATTATACATATTGTGCATGGCTTCCACCCTGCTTCGATATTTCGTGGAACCAAAACGATGACGCCTGGCCGGGCGCAAAGGAATTACCAGGCGCAAAGGCAGGCCCAGACGGAGAAGCTCATGCTAGAAGCCTTGCTGGGTCGGATATTCGTTTCTTTATTCCAACCGTATTCAGTATGGCAAAATAAATACATGCTCAGGAAGCGCCAGAGTATTAAGGAACGGGCTATCAAGAAGCTGATTGAACATCTGCGCCAAAAGAAGATAGAGATTGACCAGATACACGAGGAGGGACTTGCTTTGGGCATGTTCCAGGAGCAAGACGACTTTCCCACACTTGATGAGTGGAATGACTTCAGTAGTGCGTTGGATGCGATGTTGAATAAATTATCACTCACCAAAACCTCAGGTACGACTTCCAACCTTGGAAAGTTCTGAGAGTCCCATTATCTAATCAACCATGCTGACCTACCTAGGTAACACCTAGTCACGAATTTCTAGGGCTGCTACCTCATGGCTAGACGTGTGAAGAACACTGGATATTTCCCCTGTGGCTTAATACATCGATCGAGCACAACGAGCTTGTTCTATTCTTTTCTGGATCCCTGTTAAGGGGGATACAAAAGAGAATGTAGCCAGGAAATGAAGATATGCAAGAGGACTTCTTGGGGGACTACTGGAACAACATAATCATTTGTTTATACTATCGCTTTGTCTAGAAGCTAAGATAAGCTTGAAACACGTCATTTATATAACCAATGAGTAACTCGCTATGTTTCTATTTCTTCGTGTTAGGAATCGACCCATGATGACCACGGAGATCATCTAGCTCTGGAAATTCAAGGGCCTTGACGCTTCGCCCAACACTAATCAAGGATCGTTCGATGCTCAACGCCCTTCCCAAGTACGCCGACTATCGTCCGCCATAATGGGCGGTGGTGGTGGTGGTAAAGGAAAAAGTCATCTAAAGAAGTAGTATACTGATATACCTGGTTACTGGCTAGCATTGTGACGGACCCGGAAGGCGATCTGGCGTTATCTATAAAAGACCCCGCCCCCACCTAGTCAATATTCATCCAAGCATCTATCTAGTCAATCAACATTCTTTAGGCCTGTGGCCTCCAATCCTTTATCTTGTTTCTCACATCATGCGATCCTAAGAGTGTCTCCGGATCCCGGGCCACGAGGATTGACACCAACCTTAGAAATTACTTTAAGTTGGTAACACCCGTGTTTGCAAACTCAGTGCTTGTACTACGTTCTTCAATAAGTTAACTTCATAGTAAACAGGTTTTGTTACGACAATATATCATATCCGAGTGGTTCTACCGCTACATATGTAAACACTATTCAGATTGAGTAGCCCAATTTTTTGTAACTGCATGTCATCATTACGGCCCTTCCATCATAACGGAAAGCAAAGTTTTTGCCACCTGCTTAAGATACCTCCACACCGTATATAGGCGATCACGAAGGGTTTTTTTCCATCAATATTCTCTCATCGGGATTTCTGAAGACTACAATATTAGAACTCCAAACCATTCTAACCATGTCTTTCCACCAAAGCGCATGTGATATCCGTCTAAGAGCCGACTCCGGTTGCACGTTCTTGTCCGCGATTTGCAACAATGAGGAGGGTAGTGGTCTTACCGACAATATCCCTCTTGATGAATGTCTCGGAAATGAAAATGGTGAGACACTTCGTAGATCATATTATACTTGACCAACCGTCTTTAGGCCATTTCAGCTGGGGCGGGAGGAATTTCAGCCACGATGCACGTAATATCACCCTTACCCGGGGACCAGATCGAACGCCTGTCCTTCATTCTGATCTCCGGAACTCCTCTGGTGATTTTGTACCCAGCGAAATCGATCTGGCTACGCACATAGCCAATATCGACGGCAAACTTGTTTACTTGTACTAAATGTCTTTCTGGTCTGGGAATGGGAAATTATCATGCTAAGTTAGCTACATATGTTATGTCATATCTTTGCACCATCAAAAACCAATCAAGTCATCATTTAGCAATATGTATAATTTCATTATTGCTACGATTATGAATGCCGAAATGATATGGATCAGCGATGTCGTCTGCACCGTGTTCAAGTCCAGGATGTAAGTCTTGTCTCGGTGTGAATCGGGGCTAAAGCGCGGCTAGGCGGTTTGATAAGCTCGATGAATATGCCTGAATGAGGATTGTATGTTCAACGATATTCCGTATTATAATATAGGTCGTCAGGTATCAGTTTAATATACATTTTTACTGGGCAACTCCGTGGCGCTTCAAACCCTGTAGGTCGGGGATTTCTTGGTCACCCCCTCGGTTCTCCGCCTGGATCTTGACGTCGTCTTCAGGACCACCAGCGCCCTTGAACTGACCAGCTTTGGGAAGTCTATGACCAAGAAAAAGATGTTAGTAGTTGAAAGATAGCGAGAGCGATGGGATAGAATGTTCCTTACCGGTTGCGATCATCACGGGTGCCACCCTCGTCCTCGGGGATCACCCTGTGGTCGCTGCCGGAAGCAGTTGAGCCGGGGCCGTACTTGAGACCGGCAGGCTGCTCAAACTTATTCTCGACCATCTCGTTGACACCGGACTCAAGAGCTAAACCATTATTAGTATGCAAGGCAATTAAGGTGATATCATAGCAAAACGTAGCAGAACGTAGCAAAACGTACTTGAGTCACTCTTCTTCCCGAGACCCTGCTTAGCCTGGTAGGAGTTGAGGTCCTTCTCGGCGTTGAAGGCTGTCTGCTTAAGTTCCTCGGTGGTAGGCATTATGCGTGTATGGAGTTGAGACAAGGAATTGAGAGTAGGAAATTGTGTTAATAGCGGAAAAGACTGTCTAATGGACCATGCTTATAACTCCAGATATACATATCATTCTTTTCGGTATGAATTCAGTTGCATCATAATACATCATAGGTATGTCACGAGTGGGGAAGTGGGGAGTGTGATCTTGAAATCATTGAGCTCAAATATTCTAGAAGCTGCGTGGAACAAATACTCCAGATGGAACCGTCGGTTCCACAAACAGTGCAAACATGAACTATGAAGAATATTGTGGAATACAGAAACACGATCTGTATAGCATGTATGTTGAGACAAAAATAATACTATGAAAAGTACTATGAATATGAAAATTCCAAGTGTATACTGCAGAGAGTAAATGAATGATTTGTCTATCTTCTTCATACATGGAAAGGAGCATCTTTTTATGCTCCTTTTTCGTATACCCCCATTATGGTAGAATAGAAAAGACTCGGTGAGAATCAACAACAACAAGAAGAAGCAAAAACTGACTGAAAGCAGGCTCAATTGAAATGCGAAGCGCTGATGCAGTGAGATAACGACCTGTATACTGAGGACAGCAATGTCATGATCAAACTGCATATAGCCAAGGGAGCCAGGCTTCTTCTGGCAGGAGCCTGAGTGCAGATCCTTCGTGTATGGGACCTGCATTCTTGATGCCGAGTTAGGGTTAGCGTTGCATCACGAAAAAGGCCAGTATTAATGAGAATTAACTGGGATTGTCAACAAATATATTATCCGACCGCATGATATGGTATTCAAGCTTGGACTTCTCGGCGCGTACTATATCAAGGTAAGGCGTAAATACTCCTGTCGTAGACAAGACGCATTTCAATTCCATGACGACTATCTTACTTATAGTACCCATGTTCTTTGAAAGTCTCCTAGTAATGCGTAGACACACCTTCCTATCGCTTCTGGTTGCCGAACTTAGGAGGATAAAGGCTGATTTTGTCCATGCTATTCTTCACCTTCCGTACGCTTTCCTCGGAATCAAGCCAAACAGCACCAATTATTGCCTTCAGCGTGGTAGCAAGTGTATGATCTGGCACACTTCTCTTCAGGTCTAGTCTTTGGGTTATGAATTTCGGAAAATCCAAAGCCCTGGCTCTGGAGGTCAACTGCTTATTGCTGGCGTAGATCTGAAGTAGGTTCGTCCCTTGCTCTGCATGATATAAGTAAATATCAGTACGATGTCTGTGGTGGCAGGGTAGACCTACCAGTGGTGTTTCCTTCCATATACCAACGATGAAGTAACATGAGTGATAAAACCTTGTCTCCTAACAAAGCCAACCGCTCGTTTCCCTCAGTTTGTGGTCCGGCCTCTTCTAAGGCCTCCTCCATCAAACTTCGATCATGAAACTTGTAGCCAATCAAGGATTCAAGTTCTGGCTCCATACCGTATCAATTATATACTTAAGTACCGGTCAAGTCATTCAAGATTGTTTGGGTTAAAAGTTTTGTCGGCTTTCGAGAGAGTGTGTGAGCTATATACTACCTACACCTACTCGCTATGATAACTAAATGCTAAATGGCTTAAAAAAAAACATTACGTCAGTATGACCATGGTCCGAAAGTGGAAATAATTGTGCCAAGCCCAGCATATTAGTTAACCGGGCTTCATCCAGTCTTATCGTTACGCACACAAGAGCGGACATGTCTTTTCCAGCATGGACCTGCGTATGTGGTAGCCTCCATAGTGCCACTCGACGAGCTGGGCACCCACATAATACATACCGATGCGTGCGCGCGCCCGAACAACTCTTATTGAGAGCAACCGCTAAAAAGCGAGCTTGGACCAAGCCAGACTTTTGTCAGATCGCCCACCGCTTCTAGTAATGGTTCATTTATAAATATACAACCATGCGCGGGCACGTATAGGGACTGCTGGGGAAAATTAAGAAGAGAAATTCCCTGTATTCAATCTATGAACACCACTTTTCCAGAAGGCATAGAAAGCAGGCAAACTAGCAAACAGGAAAGGCTCAGTCTGAAAAACAAGGCATCCGTGGGATGGTCTCGCGTATACATCTCAGAGTCAGTGGGCGCGTATCAACGTTGGAATACTATATGATTGGGGCTGAATTGTCCAATCGCAATCAAAGCCAAGGACTTACATATCTAGTTAGAGAGGTGTGGAGATCAGTCTAGACCGACAACTATCCCGGAGTACGCTTGGTCACTGAGAAAGTATTGTTCTATCCATGGATCTGGCCTCATTATGCATCGTAGCCTAAGCGGTATAGATAAGAATTTTTCGACCGACACTTCTGCTAGAACCTACCAACCTATCAATCTCGTCGATAGGACAAAACTTGCACTTTGCGTCAGTTTCCATGGATCACTATAACGGTTTCCCTTCAATGAAAGGCGCCACTTTAGTCCAGAAGGAAACCATCATTCACTCAAGCCCTACGATAGTCTAGAACATCACTTGCGACCTATGGTTACCTTCTTAGAGTTTCACCATGCCTCCTCTCGTCCAATCGCAAAGGAAATCGCTTCGTAAAATGCACTGACTAATCTTCTAATGGAAGCTTGGAATGTATGCACTCCCTTTATATGCCTAACTTCTGTAACTATGATCCTCTTGCATGGTTATACCTGAGACTAGCATTCGAGTCGTGAGATTCTTCATCGACCTTTAAGAATGTCATGCGCATCTAGCTCTAATCCCAAAGAGTTAGACACGCGACCAACGCTTAATGAAGTATTGTCTGATGCCACGCCCCCGCCATATACCCTTAACGCATTCATGACATACCTCTCCGAAAACCATTGCCTGGAGACGTTGCAGTTCACCCTAGCAGCAAAGCAATACCGCGAGACTTATAACTCATTCGTCGATCAAGCGGGTGAACCTATAGTTACGACCGACCCTTCAGCAGGTAGGCATCTACGGATGCTCTACCAGCTCCTCCTGACGACGTACGTTATACCTGGAGCACCCCGTGAAGTCAATCTATCATCCGACGTGCGCGGTTCACTCCTACGATATAAAGACCAATTGACACCGCCCCAACCCGAGGCTCTCGAGCCTGGCGTGAAGCATATTCAAGAACTGATGGAGAATTCGATATTTCTTCTGTTTCTGAATAGCTGCGCTACCCCTTCGTGTCAGGTCTTGGCGCCGGAGGCATCAAATATGATCGATGTCAACATGGATCGCTCTGTCACAAGCTCAGGAAACGACTCCACGAAGTCGCTTCGCGTGAATTCCAAGCGCCCATTCCTTAGCCAACATATGAGGGCTTTGTCATGGCCCCCTTGGGGTCGTCAGCGAGGTTGAACCTCCTGGAATCTGTGCATCCAAATCACATCTCATCTCGCTCCTACCAGTGGAATACCGCCTTGCTAGATCTGACGACGATTGAAGTCTATCCGACCAATCCTACAATTTCAGCAACATCGACGGTTCAGAAAGGGAGCGACGTACCCTGCCCCTGTGTAGCCTGGAAGCGGAACGAGCCTGATGAGTTGAAAGGAAACGTCCTAGGTACGATGTGGCTCGGCGTCCGCCAGATCAGGGACTTTTACAGGTGTATAAGATATGAGGGTCTTGAAAGACGTAATGAATCTCAATTTGTACTTGAATTATGTATGTAAGCCTCTCAAGCGAGCTATAATACAGTAGCGAACCGGTCAATTATACTAAACATATATCGATAACCCCTTGAAGAAGAAATGATCTACAATCTAAGTAAGCAATACGAATAACCGATTAATATAGGGTAGGACAGATCAGAAAACTAATTTCAAAGCGATCGTTTCCCTTCCTTCCGTTAATTGGTATCAGCGCGCGTGGTGCTTCACTCGGTGTGGCTGGCGGCTCGACTGGGAAGAATTGAACAAAGCATACTAAAAAGCACACTTCTCCGTGAATTAAAGGGCCTTTACGATGCTTTGTGGTCTATATAGCTAATAGGATCTCACTCTATTGCTCAGTTGAGTTTCTAGAGCCTGGGGATTGACTTGGTGGCATAGCGAGACATCCTGTAAGATTTATATTTATATCAGTCTTGACTTTATCAGTTTAGATCCCCGGACTTGCATTTGCGATTGCTTATATTCTCTTACCAACTTTAAATCCCATTTAGAAACATTCAAGCCAGTAACGAGCGTAAGGAAAGTTTTGCCTAAGGCGGCATTTATGCCTCAGGCATGAATCAAAAATCAAGAAATATCAGGTTTTCATTACTTATGTCACTTGACTATGCAGGAGGGGCGATACGGCAGGGAATAGATAATGTAAATTCCCGCGCGTTCCCATGGTTGAATTCAAAGCAATCGTCATAGATATGAGATTAAATATTTCTTATATGTCAGATAACTCCCTTCCCTCATTCACTTTGTCAACAGTATCTTAACTCTCACATTGACGACGCAACTATGGCCTCTTCACGATCCCAGAAGTCCCTCCAGATCCAAATTCAAGATGACTTGAAGTATGATATCCGTATCGAAAACGCTAAGCTTGAAAGGTACTTCCTTATCTACCTTGGTGATTTTGAAGGCGGGTTACTAAGGCATGCACAGCGGCAAATTCTACAATGAGGATGATCAAAACGATATCTTGACATCGGAAGATGTCGATGACATGGTTATTCGGCATAACGGTGGGATCCGGTCTGTCTGCTCCATGGACGGATCTGAAGGAAGTATCGATCTTGTTGACGATGTACGGGATGCGAGGATTTGCAATTTAACCTGGAGAGCCTCCCCAGAGGGTGGAGAACGTAATGAGATCAAGAAACTCAACCAAGATACGAGGTACATGGTTGATATTGGGAGTTGGAATGAATCTGGGACTGTAGGATCAGTTCTCGTTACCGTCAAGGACCAAGATTGATCATTATTTGGGTCCTTTTTACTTTCAAGGTCGTCGAGCTTAGTACATGATTCTCAGTCACTTGGGCTCCATGTGCGGTATTGCGATGACGGAAATAGGGGTCGAAAAATGAAGCGAATGCTTTGGTTCTTGTCTCAAATGAAATGTCGTATTGTGTACTCAGTGGTAAAGATAACAATGGCACCCAGTAAATTCGATAAACTATAGTGTTATATATCGACAGGTGTTTCGTTTCATAGATTGGTTTGCGCTTTGCTCCCATATTGACTTCAGGTGTATTTCAGCGAAATGAACGGAACGGTATCATTGAACACTGTAGGAACGATCATACGCGGCTCATACGAAGTGAACCAAATATAAGAAAGGATAAGCGGTGGTTCATGAGGGAATCGGGAAGCATAGAATTTCTCTGCATGTTTTGAGGATTTTGCATCGTCAATTGCCAGAGGTTTTCAGAGGAAATCGATATTTCGCATGAGTTAGGGACAAAACTTAGAGTGAAAAGTGAACTGGAGAATACCAAGGACCGGATTAGCTGACAGCTGGTCGGCTTCTTGAATTATGAGCGATGTTGTTTAGACAGGGCCTGTTGCCCACATGTCCTGTGAGCATCTGGGGTTGATGGTAACGAGTAGAGAAAACTTCGAGTTTAGGTAGAAAAATCGAATCGGATGGTCCCAAAGTGTTGTAAAATATGTGAAAAGCTTCTATAGAACCACGCATTGGCACGTACAAGGCAATGTCAGAGCTAAGCCTGGGCTCATATTGTCATTTGCGGCAACGCTTTCCATCGAATATCCGAAATGGTGTAACTCAAAGTTACAGCGGAAGCACGTGGTTTTGCAGGTCGGCGTTTTCGTATAACTATGTAGTGTAATCGTATGTACCTGGCTAAGTAGAGCCCAGTGTATTTACCTGATCGCTGGAGTAGCCATAAGTAGAATTAAGCGAATAGCAGTTATAGGAACAGGTAGTGGAACAATTCAGGATATATATCTGGAGATATAAATGGCTTTAGCCTTTCGAGGCTAATTCTGTATTATCTCTCTTACTAGTGAACGAGAAACTTAGCGACGATTAAATAGGTCCGAGAGATAATTAACTATTGAATCTTTCCCTCTTATCTTTCCGTAATCCCCTTCGGGAAGACTGAACGACAACTGACTTTAAGACTGGCAGGTGGTGGAACGGCCATTGTGGCGTAAGAAATGAGTTGCATTTCGTAATTTTATTATATGCCGCAAGTGGCTTTTACACCATTCTCTCTTGCATCGCTAGGATCTGAGCATCAGTGGAAAAGTACAGTGACGGCGCCTAAGTATGGACACCCGGAATCCTGCCGGCCAGGCCTCCACTAATCAAAGATCCAGAATACCCAACGGTAAGGCTATTCAGAAAGGTTGTAGCAGAAGAGGGTGGTCAAACATATGCACCGTCACTGTACACTGGAATTGCTATAAGGGCCCTTTCGAAGTCTTCCTACTTCAGTCCGTTGGTATCACTCGTCTATAATGGAAGGGCGGGCTGTAGGGTCAGTTGTGCGAACATTAAACTCGTCCCATGGCGCGCTCACTATCTCATCTGAGAATATAATCCACGGAGGGATGGACTAGTACAGGTAGTATTACAGATGACCTGTCTATAGTCCTCCGCCGGCAAATCGGACCTACGCCTGCCAGGGCCATGTGGAAATTCAAAGTCAAACATCAAAATCAAATTTCGAACCTAAAAGCATCAGGTTCAGTCTCGAGTTCTGACCTTGAGAACCTGTGCGGCCATATTGAGGCCTACCAATTGCCTTGGTGAGGGCTAAACCTCCCCCATCTCAGTAGCAATCCCGCCCATAATCGTTCCGATCCCCGCGCCCCTGAGCGCGCTTCTGCTCGTCTTCCCTGCGAATGCTCGTAACATAATTACGGAACCGATTAGACATCTCTAGCACCTTCTGAAAGTGCGCTTTAGTGACAATCGTCACCAGTGACTCATTGTATTCCGGATCCTCTTCGCTCTCGAACTCCGCCAGCGTGATAGCCGTCTGTAGTGCATTGCGGATATCGCGCCCGTTCAGTTGTGTCTCGTTGGTGGTATCGAGAACCCACTTCTTCGCGTCCGGTGCGATCTGGATCTTACCCGCGCGGTCGCACACCAGCTTCCGGAAAAAGCCGTTCCAGACCTTCCGCCGCGTTTCTTCATTGAGAGACTGGTACCCGATTGCGACATGGACGCGTGAAATGAAGGCATCATCAATCTGTCCAACACGGTTGGTGGTTAGGAAGAGGAGGCCTTTAAAATATTCCATTCGTCGGAGAAAGGCTGTGAATATATCGTTACTAAATCCCTGTGAGGTGATAGTTCGGACTGCAAGTTACCTGATACCAATCCGTTTCGGGCGAGATCTCGATTCTGACGTCGTTCAAGAAAAATATCCGCTTCATCAACGAGTAGCACCGCATTCCAGGCTTCCGCGAGATTAAACCATTTCATGAGGTGGCCTTCGACTAGTGTCTCAATTGTGCCGATATCAGCCACTGTGAGCGCGAGGAGCGGCCGGTGCAACCACTCAGAGATAGCCTCTACCCTCCGTTAGCTGGTTCTCCCTATTGGGATATTCATGACTGGCGTACCAACTGTGTAAGTTTTGCCAACACCCGGAGGACCTGGGAGGATCTTGTCAGATAGGTATTAATAACAGGAACAGCTAACGAGGAGGTACCGTGGAGTAATATAATCTGCCCAGAACCCTTTCCCTCTATGAAGTCGGCAGACCAATGCCCGATCTTGCTATTTTGGCGGTTTGAGAGAGCCTGGATAGTCTTCAGCTCGTCTTGTCCAATAACTAGATTTGAAATACTCTCATCTAACGGCACCGATTCATGAATGTAGTCGAGAGAAAGCAAGACTGAAACGATATTAGTGTCATTTATATGGCAATCAGTAAAGGAGCCTTACTCCATTGCTTATATCGCAGAGCATATGCCAGAGCATCTGGGCATAACAGAAGAAGTTGATGCTCGGTGAGCTCACGAACGATAGGACCGCTGGACTCCACAACAGGCGCTTCAGTGTCCTGGTACACATTGGCGCTTATAAAATTATGGCCATCCTGCCAATCGATGACGGCGTCATTGCTGCCTCGCTCTGTGGTACGTTGCCGGGTATCTTCTGTGGTGTGGAAGGACCGATTGTTGTTGATAAGGATGTCATCATACTCCTGGAACCGATCCGAAAAGTCCCTGACGCGCGGCGGCATAGGCCGGTGGTGGTCAGGGTCTGCGAGCCCTCTCCTATGGTCAATCACCACCTTTCCGGTGTACTGTCGGAGTGTCAGGGAGTTGTTCAATCACCAGTTGTAGACCCATGACCTACATATTGGTTCGTTTCTTTGATGGGCCCATTGTAGTCCGCGAGGAGGTTCCCCTCACGAAGCGCCTTGAAGAAGGTGGCACTCCGACGTAAGATCTGCCTGCGCCGCTCGCCACTGTCCCAGGAGTCCCATATAGAAACTGGACATACTGGCAGACTTGTGATTTCATGGAGACCAGAATAAGCGTGTACCTGCGTGGTGATCAAGCCACGTCGGAGACGGGAGCCATCGGTCTCTAGTCGCCACAGATCAACGAGCCACCGCTCTTCATTCACGGGTCCCCAGACATCACCCGGATTGATGCCATTGGGCCTGACCTCCATCACAACCGCAGCATGGGTCGACCCGTCAACCTGAACATATACATCTGTCCCGGGTGTCAGAAGGTACCAGATCATGTCAAATGCCACCCGGGGAACAGAATCGTGGAGACTTTTCTGACAAGTCAAGATACGCTCTTCGTAGATGGGCCTGATAAATTCTATCAGATGTTGCATGTGCCCTTTCGTCAGGTCTATCATTTGAGTGTCGCCGTCATGTCCAGTCTTGCACATCGTTGCCGTTCTATCGGCCATCGCTTGGATGGCATCAAAGTGGTGAAACAGAACGGCATAGGGCTCTTGGATCCTTAGCTCCCTTCCTTTTACTGATTCATCGGATCGTAATCGGTGGAATGAGGGATAATATTCGATAATGTTATCGAGACCCTCGGCAATAAACGGGGATTTCACCACGAGATGCTGCCTAGACACACGCTTTGGATTCAACAGATCAATATGGGGTGGGTCCGCAATCTCCCATGTTTTGCCTTTCGGGATATCCGCGTCAACAAAAGTTTCAATCGTGATGACTGGGCCGTCCCACTTCACGGGCTTTGGCACGGTATTGTTCGTGTCTACTGATGGCTGGGTCGGACGTACACTGACGGGAAGCTCGATGGGTCGATCGTCGACATACATCAGGTCGGGGTTGTGAAAGTTGAAGCTGTCATCTCTGTAATGACTCCCTAGGCTCTGAAAAACTTTGGCGTTCCAAGTAATGGCTGGTTTAACGCATAAGTGCTCCAGATCTGGATCCTGAGGACTTCTAAATTTAGCCAGATCAAAGACGGGGGAACCCTCAACACGTTGTCGGCCAAAATTCCAACGAACATGTCGGCGAGAATTATAATCCCGTTTGTATCTAGAGTCAGCTAAGTGGCGCGAGTCTGGGGAACTAGAGTCGCTCAAGTCCCCTATAACTACTCTTGGGGAATCCTCAAATTCCATGGTAGACCACGTTGTTGGCGGCTTGTAATTTGAAGATGCGGAGCTGCCCTATGCTTGTAGGAGAAAGCTGAGTGGGCTCATTACTGGCCTAGCGGAAACTCCTGGACTAATATAGGCAGAGAGGGGTATGGCGGCATGCACGGTTCCCTAGGACACGTCAACAGGAGGTTCCCTTTACAAGATGTTTAACTACATTTGCTCGCCAGGGGCTGTACTCTTCTTCATCCAGAGTGAAGGATTTAGAAGGTCAGCTATTACAAGCGAAACACAGCGCGATTCACTAATTATACTTCATATTTCCTCATGGCAGCTGGACCACACTAAAGAAGGCCCACGACAAAAGAGGAAACGGAACGCGCGGGGCGAAGTGGGGGCTAAAACGGAACTCGGGACGGTCTGCAATTGGGGTGGAGGCTGATCGACCATTGGGTGCCTTAATGTGGACTGGTCAACCAGGTCGGAAGACTATCTTAGTGCCCATATTCTCTGCGATCCATATTCTAGCCGAGACGAATACCGAAAACTCATTCACTCGTCTAGGATATGAACAGAGACCGGCAAGCAGAGCCCAGCAGGGGTCTAATCCGGCGGTTTAGCGATGATGTCTCGCAATCCTCGCCGTGTAAACCCCTTAATCGTGCTCTGGCGGCCAAGGTGGCCTTCGATCGCAATCGAGAGCGATCCGGGTCATTACGAGACGAATGGGACCAGCTTCTGTCGGAAGGTCGGGAGCTGGCCGATCGCTCCGTCCCTGACGAAGAAGCCGTTCTATTCCACCAGAGCCAGCGACTTCACACGGCGTGGAGCAAATTTCAACGCAATCTCCCCGAGGACCAACTGATGCAACTCAGGGACCATGAAAGGCCTGACATAAATTTCCTAATGGCCACTGTAAAGAAAGCATCGGCGACATGGCAGTCGGATCGAGAAGAAAGCACATTGGGCAAAGTCAAATCCAAATTCCGCGGCCTCTGCGAGACCTGCCACGATCACAGTTCGCTGCTGGCAATGATTCCCAAGGATGAAAAGTACGTCACCTTGCTAACAGGGTCTCTATCTGCCATCGTGCAGGCTACAATCAACCACCAAAATATCGCCGAGGGGGTGGCCGATACCCTGGACGATCTGGGCCATGATATCGATTTCTGGAACCGGCAGATGAGGGAGCATGGCAACATTCCCGCCCTTCGCCGATATATCCAGGAGCTTTATGTCATTGTTTTCGAGTTCTTTACTGAGATATTCAACAAATGGTCAAAGTCCAGCTGGAAACGCTTCCTCACCAGTTTTGATGAGGGCGCTTTCAACAAGCTTTTCACGTCCAAGAAAAGTCGACTGTTGGCCATCGAGCACCGTATGGAACGTGATATCAACCTTGATTTTCGCCACCGTACCATGACGAGTCTGGAGAGGGTCATTCAATATCAGGAAAAGCTCTTCAATTTTTTACCGGACAGACTCGCCGAGCAAAGATTATTACTCGGCGAATCCCTTCAAATGTTTCTAGAGCAACAACAATCATTCCATCTGGAATCACACCAGTCAGTCTCCGCCACCAGTATAACTGAAAACGCGTCGACATCAATGTCCCCTGCTTCTACCAGTGCCGACAGTGTCCTCCGACTCCCGGAACCCGAGATTAACCCTGTCCGACGAGCACACTTCCGGTACAACCGCACAGAGATCCAGGCAGAGCTGACCATCTTCACAACTCAGTGGAAGAACCAGGTTGATCACTTGATTCAGGCTGCCACTCAGTCATCGCTTCTTCGCCTGGATAAGGAGGTACATTATCGCCTAATGACATGGCTACGAGACCTCAACTCGACCAATGTCTGGATCCGAGGCCCTCACGACGTGTCACGGCCCAGCCAAAACTCCATGACCGCAGTGTCTATGGCGGCACTGGCGCGGACCCACAACATCCCCTGTATCATCTACTTTTGCACGTTCACAGACCATTATGACTCCATAATATCAAAGAAAGCCGACATAGGGTTCTTCCTCGCCTCCATCGTGACTCAGCTCGTGCAGTTCATTCCCGATAAAGGTTATACCGAGGCGGATCTATCTTCTGCTCGCTTTGCCGCCCTGGAGCAGGGCGCTTTGGGTGTTGAGGAGACGCTCCAACTAATACGCGATGTGCGGAGTGTTGGTCCGAAGCTAGTGTATGGCTTCATAGATAACCTTCAGGTTCTGGAAGATCGATCCAACGAAGCCTATACTGGAGATTTCTTGAGGGCCATCATGACACTGTGTAGGCTGGATCGCGGGAGTCAGTCCCCAGGAAGTGTCGTAACAACGAATGAAAAAGACGCAATTCCGGGGACAAAGATTTGCTTCACTACAGATGGATACGTGGATGGTCTGGCGCAGGCTGCCGAGCTGCAGTTGGCCGATAGGATTGAGTATGACCTTGAGACGACTGACCCTATGAGTGGGGAGGTCGGTGGACCAATTGTATGGGATATGAATGGAAAGGATAACACCACTCTATAGTTAACTAAATGCGATTAGTTAGCTAGGATGACAAAGAACCACGCATGGAAAACGAGACACGGACAAAGGTCATTAAACTTGAAGACTGAAACTAAGTAGGCTAATTCAACATAATGTCCGATGTGGTGTAATTCAGGGGGACAGCCGAAAGACCACGGTTGTGTATGGTATTTGGGGGATAATCGTGGTGATTCCGTATAGGCGGTTTAATGGATCTAATTAGGACTAGTGATGTGTAAGTTAGACCTTGCCAACTCCCATGGGACTAAGAAAATTTTGGTCCCTTACCATAGTCCACTCTCGATGTGAGGCACGAGGCATACAACACAGCACATACATTATAGCGCATTCCACACAGAGACCGTTTCCCCTATGCTAGAGAAAAATCACGGACAGCGTCAAGTCAGTCAGTTTCTTGACCACTGGCTTCCTGCTCACCCGCGCTCCTTTAAAATTAAGAAAAGAAAAGAAAAGAGAAAAGAAAAAATGGAAAATGGAAAATGGAAAATGAAAAATGAAAAATGGAAAATGGAAAATGGAAAATGGGAAAAGAAAACTCGCGGAGGGCCTATAGCTGTTTATTGGTGTCTCGGGGCGAGATGATATAGAGATTGGCGCCTTCGGCTCCTTGGGCTGAGAACCTATCTATCGGGGTTCTCAACTTATACCCACACTTATAGACATAGACAAGGTTATTCGATAACAATAGATACTCGTTCAATTACTCTAACATCGATCTTTAAGGTACCCATTGCTTTATCTCCCCGACTTACCCAAAACCCAAGGGACAGGCTGCGAGTGCGTATAGCGGTCTCCCTCGAATTGATTACCCTGAAGGATAGAGGCTTTCCTGGTACAAGACGCCGCCGCCAAGCCCAACCATCTCTTCCACTCGCAAAAAGACAAACGCAAGATGCCGTAGCCTTGGTACTTGAATCGCCCAATGCTGCGAATCGAATTTGCCCTTCTCTTCCTTCAGATCTCGAACGTCTTCACAATAAAGATCCCAGGAATTCGATGCAGAAAAAGGAATTCCTGATTAGTGGACGCGTAAGAGGCATATTCAGGAAGTTTAGTTTTAGCCAAATCCAACCAGCTGGAAATACGCTTGTAAACAACGCGACTTCCGCGCCTCTCGTACTTGTGCAGACGACTCTTCGAGATGCAAATCTCGTGCACAACAACATTGGTCATTCCTTGCATTTTACGGCGCCTTGCTTCATGGAAAGCCCAATGTCTGTCCACTGTAACTGAAATTAAGGGCGATAGGCTCTCGCTATACCAATCGAGATGGTTCAGCACTATCTCTCGACATCCCTCATTCATAGGGACGCTTCTGCTCAAACTCGCCAATATAGCATCCGTGCGCCTGTTGAAACAAGCCATAGACTCTCTAGTCTCAACACGCCATGCACGAAGGAAAATCTTGTCCTCTCGAGCCATCTTGAAATCGAAGGCGGTATATTGGAATAAAACGAGCTAGTAAAAGTCAAAGTAGAGACAATTTTAGAGGAAAGAAGAAGGAGAGGGTGTGGTTTCTATTGCAATGGGGGAGTGTCACATTTTAAAGCCCCTCACAATCTCCCTAGGCTTCCCTCCTAGCTCAAAAGCCTCACTCTATCCTCTGCACTTTACTCGGTTGGCTGCCCGAGAATTGCTGGATTCGGATTGGGGTACATCGCCAGCTCATCTTTCTGCACTTGTCCATGCCCAACCTATCTACCAATCACATGAGGCAAGGGTGTCTTGGTTGTTTTCTCATGCAGTGGGAGTATGATGCACGGTACCGTGTCAAATTTTCCACAAAAACTTTTCTTAACAACTACACCTCAGCGCGAACTTTAATGGAATCTCACCTACGTGATGTTTCTCAAACAGCAAAGCAATCTGATGCAGTTTATTTTTGTGAGCACGAATAGGTTGCAGGGTGTGGGCCCCAAGGCAGATTTGGAGCCCCATGGCGACGGATCTGCAGGTCGGCGCAGCAGGCCAAGGGCAAAATAGCCTTATCTCGTGCATAGTAGTGGGACCTAAAGGGAAACGAGGCTAGGCGAGTCAAGGCAGCGCATATTACGGTCGAGGCATTGCAGGAACTTGACAAATCAGTCGCGCCAGGTCGGTGACCCGGGCCAATGGTAAAATTGCCTCGTTAGGCATACAAGCATAGAAGCGTGGAAAATTTCATATATTACGATATTGTCTCATAGTGCCGCATTTGTAACCTACTTCCGTAAACGATCCGATATGGTGTAGTGGCTAACATCGCCGTCTCTCACACGGCAGCCGGGGGTTCGATTCCCCCTATCGGAGTATTCTTTTGGTTTTTATTTTCTTTTTTTCCCCAATCATTTTACGATGATTCTAGTTGCCGTTAAAGGCGAAAATTAAAAGCTTGGGAATGAAGGAGTGGGTGGAATTGAGAAGACTGCGCCATAAATCCGATGCGTACATAGGTAGGCTGCACAGGCCACACATTAAAAAGCAGTTGCAAGGAAACACTACGGAGTAGGCAGACGTCAATTACGTACTTTATATCTTGTTCCGATTATTTTCCGGAGTACATCACTTCAAAGTTCGAAAGCGATTGAGACTCTCGGCTGCCTCCCGTACTCATGGACTGGTTCTTCTGAGCATGGGCCAAGGATTCCCAGGCACATTTCCGAGTTGGGACATTGAAATACTGATCATCGGCGGATCCCTGTCAAGGATAGAGTTCAATGTTCGTCAGTAGTGAGGCCTTTCCAGGTTGCACGTGGAGCATGATGTATGAGAGCGCTGTAGAACTAGATAAAGTATAAGTATATCAACAGGAAACCACGGATGATGCGGAAATATAGTACTTGAAGTTACTATATTGGAGTGAAAAGGCATAGTAAATAAAGTAAACTACTAGTACTTATCTGATATATATTACTATGTAATCATCAATCGAATAAATCCAGCGACATTTGGAGCACATTACTTTAAATGCATGATTTGCGACGATCTGCGCGATATTACCCCAACAACCTTGCAGGCATCTCCAATTCTCACTCCACTTTTTCTGTACCTATGCACATATGGAGTAATCCTGCCAAGCTCCCCCAACACCGGGTAGGGGGCTGCACCGGATAGCAAATTGTCACCGGGTAACTAATTGTAAGGATCCGGTGCCCTGAAGTTGTATTTTGCATGTCAAATTCGTACAAATAGTCCGTGAAAACAACGTAGTCATAGTCTCAATTCTGCTAACACTCAACCAGTTGGGAGGAAGATAGGAAGACAAAATTACAAGGGGTAACTGAAGTCTTCAGTCTGGGTATCAATCTCAATTGGAATGATCAAGTATATTGTATGCTTAAAGCAACCTTGGAAGAGAATGGATAACCTTTTACGTACAATATTTATACGGGGCGCGCTTTAAGGTCCTCTTTACGGAGTACACTTTTGTGTCATATATTTAGAACGAATCTTAGCAGTAAATCGCTTAGACCACGTAGATCGTTATTCTTCCAATTTTCCTTCAGCTAGCTCAAGGTTTGAGAATATTCGATGATATGCTTATGGTGTAGTTATGTACCGTTTGTATGGAGTTGCAATACAAAAGATACCTGATCCGTAGAATTTGCTACCCGGTTCCACCAACGTCTATAGACATGTACAACATATGTTGAGCGCTTGGCATTGCCGTTTCGACTTCTAAAATTGGAGCTACCGTGGTTGCCTGTAGTATAAATCGTTTAGAGTTTCAGTCTCCGAAGATTGTCCGCTATCCCTCTTTGGGATTATTCATTCTTGAAGATGATATCCATGGATATCCATGGAACTCTTCAGATACGCATTCTAATAGTGATATAATTATTCCTTCTGTTTCAAGAGTTGGGGAAATGACAATTTAATGTACCTTTATGTGTTTATCCCTAACAAAATATATCTTGGCCAGACCTCAGGAGTTTGGGACCCGCATGGAGATTCTTGGCAACGACCAAGGACATCCTGCAGGTTCGGAGGTCCACGGGTCAACCGAAACGTGATGAAGATCAATATTGCCAAGTAACCTAAATTGGAGAAGCCCGTCAAATTCGGCATCGGACCTATCGGAATCGGATGATGCATGGCGTGCATCAGAGATGGCCTGTATATATAAACCGTGACCATGCCGGTCATCTATACCATCCCTCCCGTATCTCTATCCCGCTAGACTTGACTAATAATCACAGTCAAAATGGGTTTCTCTCTTCAGGCCCTCACAGTTTCAGCACTAGCTATTACAAGCTATGCCTCTCCTTTGATCCACTCGCGGGCAACAAACACATCCTACACAAACTCCAACGGCTTGACATTCAATCATTTCAACGGTTCTCTTCCTAACGTGACCATCCTAGCAACCGGTAAGTATCTACAACATATATGACCAATTTATACAACACAACATCTACTAACCCCAAAAACAGGCGGCACCATCGCCGGCACAAGCGACGACAAAACCGCAACAGCAGGCTACGAATCCGGCGCCCTAGGAATCAACACTCTCCTCTCCAAAATCCCAGAGATCTTCAATGTCGCCAACATCGCCGCCGTGCAGGCCCACAACGTTAACAGCGGCGACGTCTCCTCATCCCTCCTCCTAAACCTGACCCACACGCTCCAGACAAAAGTCTGCGATGATCCCACCATGTCCGGAGCCGTGATCACCCACGGAACCGACACGCTCGAGGAGTCCGCCTTCTTCATCGACGCAACAGTAAACTGCGGCAAGCCAATCGTGTTCGTCGGCTCGATGCGGCCCGCTACCGCTATCTCAGCGGATGGACCCATGAACCTCGTCCAGGGAGTAACCGTTGCCGCAGACAATGACTCCAGAGACCGTGGGGCATTGGTTGTTCTGAATGACCGTATTGTCTCTGCTCTTTTTGCGACTAAGACCCATGCGAATACCATGGATACCTTCAAGGCGTATGAGCAGGGAAATCTTGGATTCATTGTGTCGAACAAGCCCTACTTCTATTATCCGGCTGTGCAGGCAAATGCTAAGCACGTGGTTGATGTGTCTAACGTGGATTCCGTTCCTCGTGTGGATATCCTATATGCCTATGAGGATATGCAGGTCGATTCGCTTTACAGTGCCGTGAAGAATGGTGCTAAGGGTATTGTGGTATGTTGCTTACCCCGGGTTTATGAGACCTGAATATGTCCAGTGCAGTGCTAATGTGATAATAGGTTGCTGGCGAGGGTGCAGGTGGTGTTGCCACAGACTTCGGTTCTGCGATCAATGACATTGTTACGAAGCACAACATCCCCGTCGTGTTGTCGCACCGTACTGTGAACGGTGAAGTCCCCACTGCTGATTTCACCGGCGAGGACGCGCAGACCAAGATTGCTAGTGGATTGTTCAATCCCCAGCAGGCCAGGATTCTGCTTGGGTTGTTGTTGGCTGAAAAGAAGGGTCTTAAGGAGATCCGGGAGGTGTTCTTGAAGGCTACCGTTGCTTAAATGCTTGGGGATAATCAGGGAGTGGAAAAGGCAATAGACGGAGGACACAAATGTACACATAGACTAGATGCATACATTAATATATAGATGCTTGATGTATTTCCAAAAATTTCTCTAGGCATCAAACGTTTACATGCTTTACTTGAGGAGTAAGCAGGTGCTGAGTAGGACTACGCCTAGGACAAATATCGGGCTAGATGTAAGTCGACTTGAGTTTTCCCGGCTAGCTAAGTGCGCTTTCGGTATATTCGATTACACCAATTCTTTCAAGTTGTGCAGCATGTGTATTTCACGAAATAAGGAAAAGATTACATGAATGATGTATTTTGCTAGCCGAGCTAGTCTAGGTTAGCTAAAAGTGGTACATGGTGGAGGATATATGAGATCTGAGGAGGTCTAGAAGTGAATGGCCTTGGAGTAGGTGGCCATGGCAGCCTCCTTGAAGGCCTCGGAGAGGGTGGGGTGGGCGTGACAAGTGCGGGCAATGTCCTCAGAGGAAGCACCGTACTCGATGGCGAGGGTGGCCTCAGCAATCATCTCACCAGCACCGGGGCCGATGATGTGGACACCGAGAACGCGGTCGGTCTCGGCATCGGCGATGAACTTAACAACACCCTCGGTGTCGAGGTTGGTCTTGGCGCGGGAGTTGGCGCTGAAGGGGAAGGTACCGACACGGTACTTGACACCGGAAGCCTTGATCTCGGCCTCGTTCTGGCCAACCCAAGCGACCTCGGGGTGGGTGTACATAACGCTGGGGATCGCAGCGTAGTTGACGTGGCCGTAGCCAGTCTTGATGTATTCGATGGCGGCAACGGCCTCCTCCTCGGCCTTGTGGGCCAGCATGGGACCGAAGGTGCAGTCACCGACGACACGGATGTGGGGAAGCTTGGTGCGGTACTCCTGGTCGATGACAAGACGGCCACGGTCGTCCTTCTCGATTCCAACCTGCTCCAAGTTCAGGCCCTCGGTGTAGGGGCGACGACCAATGGCGACCAGGACAACGTCGGCGTCCAGAACCTCCTCCTTGCCACCCTTGGCGGCCTCAATGTTAAGGGAGATGGTAGAACCGCTGTCATCACCGGAGACGACCTTGGTGCCGGTCTTGAACTTGATACCCTGCTTACCCAGGATCTTCTGGGCCTGCTTGGCGATCTCGGCATCCATGCCGGGGCCACCGATCTGGCCGAGGAACTCAACAACAGTGACCTCAGCACCGAGACGGGACCAGACGGAAGCCTAATACCCACGATAAAGTGTTAGCGCGATCCAGCATTGAAACCCAATCTGCAGTCAATACATACCATCTCAAGACCGATGATGCCACCACCGATGACGGTCATCTTCTTGGGGACCTCAGTGAGAGCCAGAGCACCAGTGCTGGTGATGATGCGCTTCTCATCAATGTTCAAGCCAGGGAAGCCGGTGGCTTCGGAGCCGGTGGCGATGATGATGTTCTTAGCGCGCAGGGTCTGCTCACCACCCTCGTTGAGCGCGACCTTAATGGTGTTGGCATCAACAAAAGAACCGGCACCCTTGACGTAGTCGACGCCGTTCTTCTTGAGCAGGAACTCAATACCCTTGGTCAGACCGTCAACAGATGTATCCTTGGCCTTCATCATCTGGGTAAGGTTGAGCTTGACATCGCCGACCTCGATACCACGCTTCTTGGTGTCGTGAAGAACCTGGTGGTAGAGATGGGAGTTGTTGAGGAGAGACTTGGAAGGGATACAGCCGACGTTCAAGCAGGTACCGCCGAGCTTTCCGCGCTTCTCGATACATGCGGTCTGCCAGGGTGTTCAGTTAGTATGCGGATTAAAACGGAAATGTCGGCGTAATTAAAGATCGGAAAGCTTGAAGAAGGGCGAGTTCGTACCTTGAGACCCTCTTGACCGGCCTTGATAGCAGCAACGTAACCGGCGACACCACCACCGATGATGACCAGGTCGTGATCACCTATTGCCCGGGAAAGCGGAAATCAGCAATCGCATCCGGGAAGCAAAGAGAACCTGTCCGGGAACTCCGCGATAGGATGTAAGCGTCGACTTACCTGCTTCAGATGCGAAACCACGTTTTGACTGGCCAATGAAGATCATGGAAGTTGCAAAATTGTTGGGAATAGCCCTGGGGCCGGCATGGCGGAGGGCAGACCGGGGCGTAGCCCGGGGCAAGACAGCGCGGAACATAACGAGAGAAGGAACAAAAAGAGTAGTGGTGTTTGGATATAAATGCAATCCTCGATGCGAGCGGATTGAGGTTGTTGGGAGTGCGCAAATAGGGTGGGTGGATTCGAGTACGGGAAATGACTGAGCTTTTGCAGTATTGCTTCGCTTCACCGCCCACGACGGACCATAGCCGCTCAGTTCGCCTGGATTAGTAAGGCGGTGAATTCGGGCCGGTAGCTTACCGGAGGATATCGGGAGCCAATTCCGCTGATTCTGCAGGCAGAATATTGGACAGAGGAATAAACTGAATACAATACGATGCCAGGGGAAAGGAACATTTAGTAGTATCTACATTCCTCATCAAGTCTAATATATATTGCAAAACATCAAATGTTGGTCGTTTGACCTGGGGTTCCTTGCACCATCTACTTCTTTCCCGTGAGAGGATTACTCCGGCAATCGCAATTTGCCAAGCCACTTGCTAAGGGCTGGAGCAGTTAGCAGCGATTCCCCAGAGATACTTTTACCTACCCGCGGACCATTTTTATCGGCAAGGATTCTCGGCGGTCTCCGCCGGTTACAAGCGGGCGAATACAACGGATTATGCATAACCCAGCCCACCCTCCGCACGGGGTGACCTTGATATGAGCATCCACCCTTTTAACAGTGGGTCGAATAGTACGTTACCGGGATATAAAAACGATGTTCAAGTATTATTTTGCTAGGCCCTCTTATTCAATCAGCCCTTGATTTTTCACAAATTGCTTTCTATATCCCTGCGGTAAACACCACCCAATGTCTCACTACCCATCTCTGCGCTGTGCGAAGTGTTAGAAGAGCAACGGCCCACCCCCGAGGTACCAGACGTGTCCACAATTTTGATTAGACGGTGTTCATACGCAGCAATAAGAATCTGGAAGGAGGTATTTGTATTGCTGTACAAAGCCAGATGGAAGATGCACGATGAAAGCGAAAGCTACGCAATGTCCATTTGTAAGTAAGAAATTCAGAAACAAAATTCAAACCCATATCCCAGGTGTATCCTCTAGACCGAGTCCGTGAATTCGTGAGCTCGTACAATGCACATCAAGCCAGATTTAGTCCTGTTCACATGACGACTTCTCCTCGTCCTTCCGATTTCTTTTCTGTCGCCATTTGATCCCATTAATCGCCACGATCCACAAGCAAGGAGAAACAGCAATCGGGATCAAAGCAAGTGTTGTGTATGCCCAGCCCTCGCCCATCGCAGATCTCATAGGGCTGATCGCTGCTGACGCCGCGGCACCAAGCTCACACCGGAACAGATTGTTTGCAGCAGTCGCAGCCGCGGACTTCCCCGGCCAGAGATCCACCATCAAGGCGTTGAGGACCTGCGACGTACCGATAATCGACCATCCGATAATGAACAAAAGAATTATAGGAGCAGCAAGGTTGACCTTGTGACCCAACACCCAGCCGTAGGTCAGCATCGCCAAGTTACTGATGTAGTAGAGTGGAAGGGCGACTTCAAGTCTCGCACGCTCAATGTTGAAGTTCCGGATATCCGCACGCACATTCTTGACCACAGTGAGACCGGCACGTTTCGCATGGCGACGGTAGTTCCAGTCGACCAGCCGGCCAGTCGTGAAGGCCGAGAGAACCCCTCCTCCGCCGATGGGGAGGTACATCAGGGCAGCATGGAGGTCGTTGAACCGGTAGATCTTATGGAAGGAGGTCGATGCACCAGTCATGACAGCATAGAAACCAGCAAACAGCAGGCCTGTGGTGAGTAGGATGACCGACGTCTCGATATCCAGGACAACCTTCATAGTCGGGACCGGCGACGGGAACCGGAGGGAGTAGTTCTTCCGTATCTCAGCTTCCTTGTCTGGGTCAGGCACGAGACCTTTCCGCTTGCGCGTGCGATGCCGGATAATATCCGCCACAGAGTTATTCAAAGGAGGCGGTGGGATGGACCCGTCTCCGACGACTTTGCGACAAGTCTCCGGCAGGAATAGACCTAGGATGAGGAAGAACACGCCACCGAAGATGAGCAGAAACCAGAAGATCCATTGCCAATCGGTGTACTGACTGATAAGGCCGCCAATGATTGGTGACAAAGACGGACCTAACATGCTCCCGACTGAGGCGAAGGCGATGTATGAGCCTCGTTCCGCGGACGTGATCATGTCTCCGACCAACCCGTTTGCCAGGGCCACAGTGCCACTGCTACCTGCACTCTGGAGACATCTGAGGACCAGGAGGGCAGCATAGCTGTTTTGGAGACCAAGTCCCAGGTTGGCTGCAAGGTAAATTGTGAAGCAAATGATGTAAGCGGGACGGCGGCCTGCGGTATCCGAGAAGCCTGCGATCAGCATGGGTGCCACCCCCTGCATAATCTGCAAATAGGAAAGTCAGTTAGTTGTGAAATTCTCTGACGAGGTTGTTATTTGGTTGACTTTGACTTACCAGATAAGTAGTGACCGTCAAGTTCACCTGGGAGATGGAGATATGCAAGGAATTCGCAATGGAGGTCAAGGCGGGCAGATAAATGCTCGAAGACAAGGGTGAGAAGAAACTAGCCAAGGATCCCATGGCAACAATAGCCCGCTTCTGGGCCACAGTGAACTGAGAGTACCCTTCCTGGCGCGTGTCTCCATGCTGGCTTGGCAGGTCGGGTGTTTTGGTATCAACCTCGTTGCCGCGCTCTTGCACCATGTCGTCTTTTTCCATTGGATCCTCAAGGTCGGGGATTTAAATGACCATGTGGTAAAATCGTGGAAGATGCGTGTTGATGAAATATCCCCGATGGCTTTGTTACTTGCCCGGTTCAGGGAAGTCAACCAATTAGAGTTCGTCAACAATCCCGGGACCGGCATTGATCTGACCTCACCTGCGCTGTCTTATACCCTTGTTTTTGCTCTTCAGTTCCTCTTCAGTTCAACCAGTATGTAAAACCCGTGAGACTTGCACTTTTGATTCAAGGAAGCATTCGCTTGTGATCAAGTCTTCCCAGCTTTCTTGTGGCCTTGTACGTCATATATACATGCTTCCGTAGACTGTCACATGGCCTCTCATGTAGACCGAAGACTCAAGTATTAAAAGCCTATATCTCAATGACAGATAGGTAGTATCTCGAAAGTCGAAAGCAACGTGACCATGCTTGTGTTCATGGTCATGTGCACTTGATATGGTCAGCATGTTTTCGCTGCATCGACCTTGAAATGGACTCACCGGCAGGATATCATAAGTAGAAAACGCCATCTCTCATGTCCAAGATATTCAAGATTTGCGGAGAGACATGACACCTTGGCAAATCAAGATTCGTGGAGAAGAAGTGATTCGCCGGAGTCGGCGTACTACAAACCTTCTGTTTCCTAGAAAAGAGGGGCACAATGCAAACACATGTGTGTAAGGGCAAACATATATCGGAAGCAATCACAGCACCCGGCAATGTGGATAACAAACGGCTGCAGTCTGGGGATTTCGGCTTTCCCGTATGCTTCCCGTTCGTCCCGTTCTGCCCACATTGCCGATCCCTTTAATAAAGGTCAAACTTCATATGTCTTCTCAACCAACTGAGAGTATTTCTTTGTCCACTTTCACTTTCTATTTTAGTGCTCACTTCTTGCCGCTTTTTGATCAAGGAAAACTGAATAAACCCCTGAGGGTTGCCATGTGGTTGTCCAGGTCCCAGTGACCCACTCGGATCTATGCCGATTATTACGCTAGTAACATAACAGTATCTTACCAGTTGCACACGCTAAATTCAATACCTACAGGATTTTGTACTGCAAGAGTAATACCAGCGAGGCAATTTTATTACGGCTCTATAGAACCCTTGCGGAGTATTCATTCTTCTACTAATTGGTGTTGCAATAGTTGGTCACGAATTATAGAATGTTGTAATAGACTCTTATACTCTGTAGAGCAATGGAGTATATAATATAAATTAACTGCATTAGAGGCGCTAACGAAGTTTACTTAGATTATCATGGTTCCAATTGAGGGCGATATGCCAGTGGGGTAGGCTATGATGACGAAAATAGGCACAGCTTTGTGTCGGTGTTAAGTGTCTCGGCACGTGGAATGTGACAGCGCTAGTGCTTAGGCTCTTAGTCCTGTCCCCTAGTTGGATGGTCTGTATAGAGCTTCTCCTTCGTTCTCCAGCTCAGGCCCAGTAGCTCAATGTCTTTATTGATCTGCAGTTCGGATTTAATCTGCAGATACCAACTTACCCAATGCCATTGCAATCCGATCCTTCTCTCCGAAAAGGTACCCATCTATTAATCTATTTCCTCCGCTGATGTCCCCGGTACGTATGAATATGACACTCCCCTAGACTTATCGTCGGCTATAAACCCTTTAGATGCACCTTCTCATGAAGTTGCAGTTGGAGTCCTCCCGATCGGCTGTAACGTTGTGTCGTGTATCTGTTGATCCTTCTCCCTGGCCTTATATATTTCGGTCTGTTGCAATTCCAAAGTAGTCGAAAACAGCCAACTCTTGTATTAGACAATTCTCCCTTATCACCGCAGATATGATTTTCTCAGCAAAGGTCATCTGCCTTGGAGCCCTTCTCTCCGCGGGTCCCGTGTGTGCCGCCTCATACTCCCAGACCAAAGTATACGATAGCACCAACTTCTTCGAGGGATTCAATTTCACCAGTGATCCGGATCCCTCTGGTGGCTTCGTCAAGTATGTGGACGCCGAAACTGCCAAAGGTGCTGGGATGGCCAAGATCAGCAACGGCGCAGTCTACCTCGGTGCCAACTACGTGGATAAGAGTCCCAATGGCCGCCCTTCGACCCGGGTCAGGTCCAAGGACGTCTTCACCACCGGTCTTTTCGTTGCCGACATTGCCCACATGCCGGCAGGCACTGGAAAGGGTGGATCCTGCGGTATCTGGCCTGCCTACTGGACCTCTGGCCCTGACTGGCCCAACTCAGGCGAGATCGACATCATCGAGGGCGTCAACGGGCAGAAATCCAACGCTGTCACCCTTCACACAGCAAAAGGATGCAACATGGATGTCTCTGGATCTGAGTCGACAGCAAACCAGACTTCTGCTGACTGTGAGGACTCCGATGCGGGTTGTTCTCAGGGTACCACATCGGCCAACAACTACGGCGCTGCTTTCAACGCCAACGGAGGTGGCGTCTATGTCACGGAATGGGCAAGCCTTTCTATCAGTGTGTGGTTCTTCCCTCGCAGCAGTGCTGCGGCTAATGCGGTGATCAATGCCGGCGCTGCGGATCTGGATGTGGCCAAGTTCGGCGCCCCCTTGGCTCGCTTCGAGGGCAATACCTGCGACATTGCCGAGAGATTCAAAAGCAACTACATCATCTTCAACACCAACTTCTGTGGAGGCTGTAAGTACCCTCAAAATTGCAGTGGGAGCGCATCCACTAACTTCTACAGGGGCGTCGAGAGAATTCCTTGAGGACGAAACCTGCGCTAGCCTAGCCGATACCTGCGACGCTTGGGTTGCAAACAACCCAGACGCCTTCAAAGATGCTTACTGGCTGGTGAACTCGGTCAAGATCTATGCTCGAAACGACTAAATCTTGAACGCTGAGGCTGAAAGTGGAGATGAATATCGGCCTCAACACGCACTACTTTCCCATGCCACTAGTGAGAGTTGTATGTGCCTATGCCTAGGGATCTGCTTTGAGGATGCTGGGCCTAGGGAATGCAATGAAATACAAGAATTTCTCATATATTTTCCCCGCATTTCCACTGCAAACCCCGTTAATGCAACGACTATCACGTAGTTAGCTGAACCATCTGTATATATTCGTGGACCCTGGCCTGAGCAGACACACTATTCCCGATTAAGATAGATTGCGCTCTTCAATTTGCCGGGCCCACTATCCTGCCGTTGGACTAATTGTATCTCTATCTTTTAGATTCCCTTTCTATGGGAACAGGTTGAAAATACATCTTCTTGTTGTCTCTACCGTTTACAAAATCATGCGAGAGTACACTGGGATAAGCAGATTCAGAAACATACATCTCAGGCAAGTAATTCCTGCTTTTTGGGTGGGCACTGCGTTCCTCGAATACTAGCCTCCCCGTCCCTGCATGGCCGCTTGGTATTGGCTAAGGAAACGGCACAATATAGATTAAATGTGACATCGTCGGACCTAAGTGAAAGTACTTTACTCCGTACGCATTCTAACGTTCTGTGTAATTTACAAGAAACTCTGATCAGACTCGATAAATCCTCCCTTCTAGATACACCTCCTACGCGGTGGCTCATTCGCTTACATACATGTACTGATATGTGTAAGTACCACGGCTGAGCGAGATTATGCTTCTACCGAGTTTGTATGGCTCCATTGCCTTCACCGAAAGGTTACAGCGGTATAATTCCGCTGTAGCTAAAACTCACGCTTAAATTAAGTTGCCAAGCTCGTTCATGCGCGAACGATGTGACCGAGCACGATATTTGACTCTCCCGACCCGCGTCCACGATACCCAGGTGCTTCTCCACGCCACCCAAAGACAGTACACAGTTTTACTCCAGCACTAAACATCAACAAGTTATCTCAATTGTACTAAAAAAGGTACATACATATCGCAACTCTTCACTTTGACATAATACTATATCACTGCGCTTTGAAGGAAATAATGCATAGGATGACGTTACAGCCGATCGGAAGCAGTACCCCACAGATGCCGCATACGAATGCCGTTCGGCCGACAGTGAGTGTGTGGAGGCAGATGTGTCCGTGTCCTGCAAGAACCCCCATGAAATGTACGGAGTTGATCTCTTAGTCTAACATGGAAGTAAACGATGTATTGTTAGTGATTCTCCGGTAAAAAGGTTGAATGGGTGCATTGGGAGGTTGGCGGCGTTGCGGTAGAATCAGGGAACACGATCTAGTTGGCTGCATCACCCAATTCTTAAAACAGACCAGTGGACATAGGCCACACTGGAACTAGCCCGTAAGGCACGGGTAAGAGCAAAACGATTTAGATGATATGGGTTCGGGAATAATTCGGGTGTAGTTCGCTGTTTATTGTTTACTGCGCTAGGTGGGTTGAAGACCAAGAAGGTAGAACTCAAAGCAACACAACCAGAGGACTCACGGACATGGACTTTCAACGCTAATTAACCGAACTCTTACAGAAAACTCTGACAGAATACGCCGATTTCATTTTTGGGTGTCGTCTTGAAGAGTGTAATCCATGGATGGACCTTGGAGGGAAGGTGAGGCCGTACCTGGATGGGGCTGATATTACATAACAGCCAATCATATGAGCGATTTGTCACGAGACCTTCCAAGAAAGGAAACTGCGACCCGGACTGAGAAATACCCTGAGCGGGTAAAAGCGGCGTCAGTCCTGGAGAACATCAGGGACACTCCACGCGGGGAAAATGCGGAGGTTACAGAAAGCCATGCCATCGGATGATGCGCCTAATTCACAATGGAGTATGTAGCGCTCATTATATTTCAGTTTAGTTTCCGGACCGATTTGCGACCGAATCCATTGCAAACTTGCCGGAGCAGAACAAAAACGTTTCGGATTGCCGAGGTCTCAACCGGGTAAAAGCCCCCAGACATCGCCCCGCCATGACATGGTCGGCATTCGCCGAGCCCGCATTCTGGCCCTGATCCCCGGGTTTTCTCATACTGGTGGGTAAGGTGTGTTTTATCGACGATGGTGACTGGTCTGCTATCCGATGTTCCCCATGTACCACCGGGATATAACCGGATCCGAAGCGTCACTCCTTGCTGTTCATGGCTGCTTTTCGGTCGATCTCCGGGAGGAGGTTGCCGTGCATCATCGTCTATTGGTCGTTCGGGGTTCGGCCGTGTGTGTGATCAGGGTCCAGGCGCTGCATGTAAAAGCTTTAAAAAGCCCAAGTGCCGGGAAGTAAGCTCGTAGATTCTTTCTTTTCCTATCAGTTTGGTCTACCGGCGGGCTAGGGTCTGGTTGTTTTGTCTGCTCTTTCATTACTATTTCGGTCTATAGAAGCAGATCTTGAATGCGACAACCCTCCTCTCGATTGCGTTCAAAATGAGTGACAAGATCCCTTCGTGGAATGTCGTCCACAAGCTGGAGAAGCGCCAGCTTCTCATCGGAATCAACTGCGTGGCTGGACTGTCTATTTTGTTCTTCGGTTACGACCAAGGAATGATGGCCGGTGTCAACAACGCAAAGGATTATATCGATCTCATGAAATTCGGGTATACGAAGGTGGTGGACGGCGAGCTGACCCCGGTGGTCACAAATTCTCTGCTGCAAGGTGGGATTGTGTCGGTCTACTACCTGGGAACGCTCTTCGGCGCATTACTTGGTGGCTGGCTCGGAGATCGGACGGGAAGAATCAAAACCATTGCAGCGGGTTCTTTATGGGCTATTCTGGGCGCGGCTCTGCAGTGTTCGGCACAGAACCACAATTGGATGATTTGCGGTAAGGGGAAACAGTGTAGAATAGACGAAGACTTGGACTAACCTTCGCAGCGCGTTTCGTTAATGGCATTGGAACCGGAATTTTGAACGCTATCGTCCCTGTCTGGGCTACCGAGACGGCTGAACATACTTCGCGCGGACAATTCATTGCTATTGAATTTACGCTGAACATTTTTGGTGTTGTGCTGGCTTATTGGTTGGAGTTGTGCGTAAATCTATTCAATTTCTGCGGTATCCTTGCTAATGCTCGATAGTGGCCTGTCTTTCATCGACAACGGAGAGTCAGCCTTCCGCTGGAGATTCCCTATCGCATTCCAGATCGTCTTCCTCATCGTCCTCTTCGCGGCTGTCTGGTTCTTCCCAGAGTCGCCTCGATGGCTCGTCAAGGTCGGCCGGGAGGAAGAGGCCCGCTACATCCTGCAGCGTCTACGTGGATCTAGCGGAGAGGACCTCCTCCGAGCGGAAGCCGAGTTCCAGGATATTCTCAGCATCGCTGAGCTGGAGCGGACAGTCAATCATGGTGACTCGTATCTGTCTATGTTGGTTGGCTACAAATCTGGTGATCTTCATATCGGCCGTCGTGTCCAGTTGGTCATTTGGCTACAGATCATGCAGGAATGGGTTGGTATTGCGGGAGTTACTGTTTATGCACCTACCATCTTTGGCATTGCTGGGTTTGACTCAATGAAGAGTCAGTGGATTAGTGGACTGAACAATATCTTCTACATGGTAAGTTTCGGCGTCGACGCAATGGCCGAGTTGTGCTAATGTGCATGTTTAGTTTGCCACGCTAGTCTGTGTCTTTACTCTCGACCGCATCGGTCGTCGGTGGACTTTGTATTGGGGTGCGGCTGTCCAGGGTATTGCCATGTTCCTCGGTGGTGGATTTTCCCGTCTCGCCATCGACAGCAAGGCAGCTGGTGATATGGCCAAGGCATCTTCGTATGGTGCGGCCGCAGCCTCGATGATTTTCATCTTCACCTCTGCATTCGGAGCTTCGTGGCTCACAGTCCCTTGGTACGGAACTCGCGCCTGATTATTTTATTCAACGCTAATTCTTGATTTCTTAGGGTGTACCCGGCTGAGATCTTCCCTCTGGCCGTTCGTGCCCGTGGAAATGCCTTCGGTGTCGTCGGATGGAGTATTGGCAATGGATGGCTGGTGAGTGAATATCCTTCAACGCATGGAAGACGTACGCTGACAGAAGATCGAAAGACTCTACTGTGCCCCGTCATGTTCAATGCCATTGGCGAAAAGACGCTGTACGTCTTCGCCGCCAGTAACGTCATCGCCATCCCCATGGTCTGGGCTCTGTATCCAGAAAGTAATCAGCGGACGCTAGAGGATATGGATCTCCTATTCGCAGCTAAGACACCCTGGACCTGGGATGCAGAGAAGACCTTTGCGCGCCTCAAGGCGGAGAACCCAGGCATGGTCCAGTCTCTCGGTCCTAAGGGCAGTCTTGTGGACCCTGAGACTGGAAAGCCTCTTTCTGCTGCTGCGGCTGTTGCGGCTTCCAAGGCTGGTGATAATGCTGTAGGTGCGGAGCATGTAGATCACGCTTAGATTTGAAGGAGACTCGATGATGTGCTATGTTTAGGCTCCTGAGGTGCCTATGTGATGTTTTGATGAATAACTAACTAATAGCTTTAGAAATGGATATACGGGTTAAGGATCAGTCTGCTCATTGTAGGAAAAAAAAAATAAAGAAGGAAATGTGGCCGTGAAGGGAATAACTATACAGAAGCCGCTCTGATTGGCCACTTTAGGAACAACGTCCATCAAATCAACCTCCAAGTGAACCTTCATAGCCTTTCTTCTTTTCCTCGCCGTTTCTCCCTCTTCAAATATTTCTATTCAAACAAATTCCGTAGCTCATCTCTTAGAATCAACAGCTACTCGCGTGGTAAGTACCGCAACCCCGTCAAACGCGTCTCGCGTCGCATCGTTCCCGCTAAAATATGAAGCCTTGGAGTATCATCTCCTTGAACCCGAACAATTCCAAAATTCCGAAAAGGACCACGAGCCCCAAAATCAAAGGGAATAAATCAGATAAAAAGATCCACCAACCTAAACAAGAGGATCCACAAGTCATGTCCCTCACGACAGTCCAGCCCGCAGATCCGCGGACAACACCAACCCCAGAGCAGCAAAACCCCAAACCCCAGAAATCCCTCCAACCCGCACAACCCACAGCACAAACCAAAAAATATCTCCACCGCATATCCCTGCACCCAACGCTAACACCCTACCGCCGGCGCGTGTATCGCACGCTCCTCTCCGTCCCGCCAGGTCGGTGGACTACGTACTCGGCGATGGCGACGTACCTAGGCTCCAGCGCGCGGGCGGTCGGCAACGCGATGCGCACTAACCCCTTTGCGCCGGAGGTGCCGTGTCATCGGGTCCTTGCGGCGGATGGGTCGTTGGGTGGGTATAAGGGGGAGTGGAAGGTTGATGGGCATAAGGGTGGTGGTGGGTTTTGTGAGGAGAAGAGGTTGAGGCTTGAGGAGGAGGGAGTTGTTTTTTTGGATGGAAAGGTTAGGGGGGATTTGTTTTAAGGAGTTTGTGGATTTGGGGGCTAAGTGAGCTTGCTTTACTTGCTGGTTGTTGACTCTGTGGATGGAAGGGGGTTGTTGGGATGAGGAAGAGGCTTATGTTATTAGATATTGTGCCTGACTACAATGGCGTCACTGACAGCTCTTTGTCGGGTGATTGTAGTCTAGAAAATGGTAATCCAGTTCCAAATACTGTTATTTCATTTTGTGGAATACTCAGGCAAAGACACTTGTGGAAAGTAAAGACCGGGAAACAGTACAGTGATTTTTAAAAGACAAGTGAGGTTTGATTTGCGGGGACATACGCTTCCTACCAACAGTTGTTGTACTTTTGGCGGAAAATATAGGATCAAAATATAGTAGCATGACATTGCAAGCTCACCTACCCCTCAGGAGAGTCTTCCCTTGATGCTCGTTCAATAAAGCTGCAACCATTTCCATAGTCTCCTGCCTAGAGACTTCCGGTTCGTGCCTTGAGCGATGCCAATCTTTACTCCAGAACCGCCTGGTTTCGAAATGTTGATCTCGACTCTAGAAAGTCGTCTACCTGGCAAGACAGGCCACACACGTCTGAGCCAATCTTTCCGGCCATTCCGTTATGGTTTAAATGGCGCCTACTTGCTCCGGGAGCAGAGCAAGTGGTAGCAAGGCATGGGGTACTCAAACGCAAATGAACAGCGGAGATTAGGGTGTTCCTACAATCCAAGAGAATTTTGTCCCTAACTTGCGCACATCATATCCGTATGACGTGAAGCTTCACATGAATTCTTGCAGCCGATGTTTATCGATCAGATTGTCACGAACTAAGCTGTAGTCGCCAAACGGTGCGAGCCGGTAACTGTTAATTGCGCTCAGCATCAGTTGAGCGACCACAAGCCTCCCTTCGGTAGGATGTCCATCGAAATCTGTGTCCCGGAACAAAGGGATTTGGTAGTCATTCTTGGTCATCCGCTGGAATCGATCTTCCCTCTCGTCGCTTCGCTGGGGACTCTCCATTGCCTGAGAATCATGTCAACATCAGTATTGTCTTTGACCGAAAAGTCAGATCCTCCGTTTTGAAATCCACCAATGTGTCCTTGAACTGAGGCATGTAAAAGAAGCGCACCGAGTGTCCAATGCAAACAAGACCGTAAATAACCTGCGAGGGGTTTCTCTCTTCCCAACGTCGGATGGACCTTTCCAATTGGGCCTTAGAGGAACGCCAGTCGCTATCCTCAATGTTGGCTTTGTGCCTTTTGCACTCAACAAAACCGCATTTCACGATTTTGTTCGTCGACATGGTAAAATGGGAGCTTCACGTGTCGTGGGAGGTCTTACCGGCGTTGAAACCCAGCGTAGGTCTAGGTATGATCCTTCGGGTGCATCCATGGGATGAGGGCCCAATTTGACAAGGGCTAGACCCGCTTTGGCTTTCCGAGTCATCAATTGTTAGCTCGTTTGAGCCGCAAGTCATCGTCTCTTATCTAGTATGTGCGGAGTCGCTCCAAATCCGCTTCCTGGGATAATGCCGGCCACTCGCAACATGCGGTGTCCAAAGGCAAATTCAATATCCCCCATACGGTGATCACAGCCCCAATAAGTCGTAGAGGTCTGTCACCCACGGCAGATTGGATGGTAAGTGAGGGTTCTTTGATGAATTGGGTTAGCGCCACGATGCAATCAAGGGAAAAGCGTCTGCCGTTGAACTTATTGATGATATTGATCCAACCAGTCGAACTAGTTTTGCGTGGATGGTTTCGTCGCACCAATTCCTTGTGGAAAGTGGTGATGCTGAGGCTATGGATGTCGCCTGCCGATCTTCGCTGGACGATCGTCCATCTGGAACAATTTCGTGACAGCTTCGCCCCTCTCTGCGTTCTCACTCGATACTTTGGTGGTGGGAAGACAATAGCCACTTGCGTCTTGATCAGTTCGTCAGTTGAGATTCTGGAACATAGGATCCAGTCTTTGCCCTTAGCACCATCGCGATGCACTGGGTAGAGGAAATCCCACGCCCTTGGGTTGTATAAGATGTGAGAATGCCCATGGCATACAGCTGGCGAGCAGACAATCAAACTTAGACTGCTTAAGGTCGGAGAGCCGGATGCCGATGGATTCGACAGGCCACGAGGTGGATTGGATAGCGTCGACGGGAGGGGCAGTAACGGCGTAGCTAGCAAGTTGCAGGGGTGTGTGTAACGAGCGTGAAAACTGTACGCGTGTGGATGAAGGTGAGGATAGCGCGTAGAGAGAGAAAAGCTTGGGGGATGAAGAAGAGGAAGGTTCAGGACCGGTTCAGGACCTACCGGGTGTGGAGAGGGGTCTATATACATTTAAAAAAAAAATCAAAGAAATGTCAAAAAAGACAACTAAAAGGAGGACTGAAAAGAGGACTGAAAAGAGGACTGAAAAGAGGGTTGAAAGGACGACTAAAAAGACGACTAAAAAGACTGCCAAAAAAAACTATGAAAGACTATAAATACTATTTTCCAGGATGCACCCTCCATCTTTCCTTCATCTACAGGTTGTTGGTATTTCCAGCAAATAGCCTGGGGACCAATGCCTATTCACGTGGATTCTCTGATACAACTGCGACGTGAGGGATGGAGCTCTTAAGAGATGGGGATCGATTCTGTGGGCACTGCCAGCGATTCGAAGTGACACCCACTCGCTTCTGGCTTCTTCGACGATCCAATACAACTCCCCACGATCATCTCGGCCACGGAGATGAATCTTTTCAGATCCCAACGTGGCGGGCAGGCAAGGCTGGTACTCAAGGTACAAGCAGGCTTCGAGGTGACCGAACCCGAACCCGTGGAGATTCCGGACTCTCTCAATGTCACTACATTCGGTATTCACTACCAGGAGACCTTGTGCTATCTGGTCTGCTTGTGACGCTGGAGGCATCACCGCTCCTGGTCAAGATAAAGAGTTCCATGAACAAATTTTGTGACCTTGGGCTTGAGGAGTGTCCCTCTGCAATTTCCATCCGAATAGCATCCGCTGGAACCTTTTTCTTCAGCGGATCGTTGGTACATCGTCGATACGCTACAAAGAGTGGAAGACATGTGATTTGTTCTGTCCTCATCAGTCGATCCAGTTGCTTGCCATCGAATCTACCCTACCCGGCCGAACGATTTATTGGAGCCTGTGGCCTTCTAGGGACTACGCACCAATTCGCACAGTCCTAGGGATCAATGGTTGTGCCCTCAGAATCCTCGCCCTATAACAGACCGTGGGGTAACATTATGACTAGCTATTCTGCGCAACCATGTTATCGGTAACTGGCATTCGTGATCACCATCTAGCGGATGTCGAATTGACGCCTGGTCATCGGATGTTGCAAGTGACCGGCCTGTCCCATCAACTAACGCCTAAGACACCCGACACCCGAGAGGCGATGCTCACAAAAACGGAAGAAGGGGGACGACACTAGATCCGGGAAGACATCGACAGTTAGGTGGAAGCCTCGTCAAAGGCATCTCTTTACTGATTCACCTCATCCAACAGGAAGCCAGATATCAGCTCGACTAGGAGCTGAGCAACTGATTAAGCAAGGGCAGCAACCTTGAGATAACCGTGAGTTATACAGCATCATACCGTTATTCTGTAGCCTCTAACTAGTCCTGTTAAGTAAATATTCACGCGATTGAGCAAGAGATCTGCATCCAGCCGTTTTCTTCGCAGTCTTCTAGATGTCTTAGATATTTCCTTAGTCGTCCGCCTCGAACCAAACCCTAATAAGCTAAGCCCAGCTCTTCCTACAGCAAACTTCTTCTACAATGGATGCCCTCCCTGTAAGCATCTCACTAACCAAGCACTCCCTCTATCGCTCCCAATGCCAAAAAAAAAAAGAGAAAAAAATGGAAAAAATGGGGAACATCCGATTATTTCACCTACAGGCACGACTTCCTTGTCGTCGCGCAGGGATATAGATCTTGGAATGAGTCTATGTCTGCATATATATCCCGGAACAAGGGTACCAGTCTGACTCGTTACCCGATTTAGAATAGTTAGTTCTTACGTCCCGCTCGGATAATCCCGGTGTGTGGTTAATGCATGGTAATATGTATTAGGTGGCATCTTGATCAGGGGTCTGCGTTACAGTTTATTGGAGAGGATGTTGAGGGTCTTTTGGGGTATTGATGTTGACGAGGCTGGGGATTGGAGGAATTGTCTTGGTAACGGTCTAACCAGTTTGATTTTGGATACTGGGGTTCACACATGTATTTGTTTCGGATGTGCATTTGAACCCTTGGTATGTAGTACCTGCATGTAGGGACTATTCTAGATTATTCTGGAATTAAATGACTCCAACTGTTACTGGACTTGGAATGTCAAAGGAGAAATTGGGGGCCAAAACGAGGGCCAACCTTTTTTGGGGTTTGGGACTTTCGTACAAAGAAAAGGCTGGGGAAAGAATTTTTCCCATTAGAGTTTTCTTTCTTTGCTTTTTCTATTCAAATTTGTTTGTATTTATGATATACTCTGTATGGAATATAACATGCATGTATGGGATAGGCGAAAAAGAGACGACTCAACCCTGCAGCTACTAGTGCTACTTGTACGGAGCATACAGCGTGCTGTTTGATACAGCACCTACTTAGTCCGGTTAGTCTGTGTGACTACTGCAGCACGCGTACGTTAGTGGAAGTCCAGGCCTGAGCACCTTGGGTGGAAACTATTTGGACCAAGAAAGGGGGAATGACGGTAGATAGGGAGAAGTCTAGGCTAATTGAGGGAAATGGGACGAAGTATATCATAATCGTTGCAATTCATTGAAACATTCACCAATAACCAATAACCAATAACCCATCTAAGCCCGATCTAGAATCTAGAACACAGTAATGAGCGATGAGCTCGAAGAATAAGATCAAAACAGAATAAACCGAAGAGGCAATGCGCATCTTCTATACAGGACCGATCCATACCCAGAATGCGATCTATCGATGAAAAGAAAAATAAAACAGCAATGGGAAGTAATAAATAGCAGATGAGAAAAGGAAAAAGAGTCATGATATCGTAAAGAAGCCCATAAGGCTAGGATCACCGACAGGAAAGAAAACATCATGGTCATGACATCTGCTTCGCAGAGCGCTTGCAGGAACCGCGCTTCGGCACGTCCAGGTGGTGATACGAGCGCAGGTGCTCGACGAGGTGATCCTGACGCGGGAAGCCATTGCTACCCTTTCGCGAGCAGTGCTCGACAGGGCAGTTGCGGAAGACGGGGTAGTGGACGCTGGACTGGTGGCGCTTCAAGTCTGCGAAGCGGGTGAAGGACCTGCCGCAGTGGTCGCAGCCGAAGGGCTTAACGGGCCTGGGGAGAGGTTAGCGTGTTGATTCAATTGCGACGACAGAGGCGGCTAGCTTACTTGGATGCAGGCGCTGGCGAATCGGCGCTAGGCTCGTATTCGCTGATGGGGTAGCTTGGTAGGGAGACGTCTTCGGAGGGGAAGTTGAAGCTGCTGCTGTAGCTACTGCTGTAGCTGCTGCCACAGCTGCTGGGTGCGCTCTGCGGCATGACAGGTCGGTCGAAGACTGGGAAGTCTTGTGGTCTCTGGTAGGTGTAGGGCGAGCTGGTAATACCGTAGGCTTCTGGGGTGACCTCTTGCATGGGGAAGGAAGCGGCTGTGTCGAGGTCGCAGAGGGTATCGTAGACGGGCTGTCCGCCGTAGAAGAAGAAATCCATGGTTCCTGGTGAGGAGGAGTAGGAGGAAGAGTAGGAGTCTGGGTAATTGAATGGTGACTGCATGTCGGCTGGGGCGGAGGAGAGTGAGCGTTGAGTTAGGGGAATTGGAATTGCGGTCTTATAGAAAAGAGAGAGGGTTAGTCTAGAATGCGCCCATGCATATCTAAAGACACTTACCATTGTGGAAACTAATTATTGAAATCCTAAAATTGACCAAAAGCAAAATAATGAAATGGAGGCATGCGCCCTTTTATGTACCCAACGTGAAACTCCAACATCATGGAGCATGACCTCGAGTACTCCAGTACTCCATAGGGTATTGGTCGACACGGGACGGGCCAGACTGTGAAAGGAACAAATAACAACACATTCTAGAAAACTACTCGAAGGAGACTGGACGAAACCACTCAGCCTCCCCGCCTCCTCGCATGCGGGAATTTGTTTTGTATGCAATTCGCGGATCTTTTTGCTGAGAATCTTCCACGGCCCTTCTAGCGTGCCCCTCATTGCCCTCATTGCCCCCATTTAGACATCCTGGACGGTTTAGACGACGATGATTGGACGATGATTGGGAAGATGATCAGGTGTGATGTGAGCCAGTTGGCCGCGATAAGCAGAGCGGTCAGACTTTTGGGTGCCCAGTGAGTTCCCCTCACGATGTTCCTCTGATGATTGGACGTTGACTGTTCTGTGTGGCTTCTAGTGTCGTTCTAGCGTGCCAAGAGCTCGTGTCCGCCCCCTTTGTCTTTGTCTTTCTGTGAGTTGCACATTTGCTGTTTCATATGCTGCAGAGGGAATTCCTAATTCACAGGGGCTTCGCTAATTCACAGGGGCTTCGAAGGTTCTCAGAAAAGACCCATTATGTTCGAGATTGAAGTCAAAAGTCAGCGCTAAGGAAGAGTTCGAGGTCAAGAGTTCGAGTTTCACGATGCACATCATTTCCGGGGCCTTCCCTTCCCAAACCCACATTGACGTATTGACGTATCTCAGGTCGGCACAACGGCACAATCGTGCCGGTTATATTATCAAAATTGATCAAAATGATCCACGATCCAGCCTTGCGAACCCGAATCTCTCCATCTCCGTGGAGAAGGCCTATTCCCACAATTCCCAAAACCCCTCCAATCCGGGGTCACAGATCGACCGATGATGTCGTCGCGCACAGCCCCTGCCGACATAGCGACTAGCGACTAGCGTTCGCTAATGGGCTTCTAGAAAGGAAAAATCCCGCAATAAAGTGCATTCCATGTTAGCGTGCCAAGATGGAAGAGAGGTGCAGTGCTGCTTGCTGGCGAGTTAGCGTTCTCTGACGTCGCACGTCGACAGTGACTTCGTCATATGTCGGTACTTTTTTATTCTTTTTATTAATTCGGGGATATTGGGATTACTTCCGGCCTGCTGGGCAACCTTGGACGAGGTGAAATTGTAGCGCCCCTGTTTCCCGTTTCCTGGTTTCCTATTGTCACTATTTTCCCCAATATTTTTCTTCATTTTATATTTTTTCCTTGCATTTGCTTGCATC